GGGGGCTTAGTCAGTTCCTCCACCAGAGCTTCATCTAAATAATCCTACGTAGTTCCCAGTAGTTTGAATACCAGAGCCATTGGCCCGGGGCGTGCTTGTCGGTTCCATGAGCGATGGGCCCGTGGTCACGTCTGCAGGACGATGGCGAAGCCGCTTACCTGCAGCTCAAACGACCATGCCGGACGAGATTCAAGATGGAAAGCTTCAGACTTTCCATAGTGGGACAGTAAATCCCCGGTGCATCACTCCACTCCCCAGATATGCACGGTCCCATCTGAGTGACAGGTGCAAGGTGCAAGGTATTTTGTGTAGGAGTACTTGGAGGGTTTATCTTAATCGGGGGTGTTTTGAATTTCACTTTCCTATTTTTGACATTCAAACCAAGTACATGGGGAGCCGAATTTTTTTAGTTCGAGACAAAAGAGACCTAAACGGATTGAATGATTATATCCTTCCCAGTCTCTACACACACCTCGTTTGCCTGTCGATGATTGCTGACTGGAAAATCTGCCATGCAGCTGCTCTGCTTCATATCCCTAGATCGTAATCCGAGTTTCCCTGGGTTCATGCAAATGTGTCAAAAGACAATCGCGGGGAAGAAACGGACGAGTTCATTTATTTGGCGCCAAGGCTGGGGAAGTTCTTCTCGTCAACGGTGACGGGGGCGGGGCGCTCGCTGCGAGGACCGTTACCACGGCCTCCACGGGCGGCAGGACGGTCACCGCGGGGAGCACCACGGTCGCTACGGTCGCCACGGTCGCCACGGCCAGCACCGCCACGGCCACCACGTCCACCACGGCCGCGGGGGGCACCGGAGCCGCCACGGGGAGCCTCAACAAAGCGCATGTCGACGTCAAGGAAGTTCTTCTCCTTGCGCTGCTTCTCGCGCTTGCCCTTCTCCTCCTTGCCCTTGATGTAGGCTTCCTCCTCCTCATCACGCTTGAACTCCTTGGCACCAGCCCACTTCTTGTCGGTCTTGGCACCCTCGTTAGCAGAGCGGACGGGCTTCGCGCTCAGGTCTCCACGGGCAGCCTTCTCGGCGAGGTAGTCGTTGTAGGACTTGGATTTGTCAACGGGCTCCTCGGGCTTCTCCTCAGCGGGGGTCTGGGGCTCGTTCTCATCGGTCTGGGCAATGTTCTCGCCAGCCCTCTCATCATCCCAAGTCTTCTCACCATCCTGGTTACCCCAGCCCTGGTTCACCTGCTTGCGGGTGTCACTAGAGGGGATTAGCTGCATGCACAGACAGTGATTGACCAATAACAGGCGCATGAGAGTTAGAGAACGTACGTCTGACCAGTGCGGGACTGGCGGTCACGGCGAGCGGTACGGGGACCACGGTTGCTGGGCTCCTTGCCAGCCTCCTCAACGGGCTTCTCGCGGTTGTTGCGGCTGCCAGCGGTGCGGTCACGGAAAGCTAGAAATTGCCAAATCGGGATTAGCCGGATGCGACCGGAAACGATGATATCAACAGACAGGCACATAGAGCGACATACCGGCCTCGTTACCACTGAACTTTCCAGTACGGCGGGGAGCACCACCCTCGGTGGGGCGGACAGGGGCTTCCTTGGGAGCATCACGCTTGCCATGTCGAGGAGTAGGCTTGTCTAGGGCCCTCGTGGGAGGCTCGGGCTCTCTGTTGGGGTCTAACTCGGGATCATTTCCTGTAATCACGAAGCAGATGCCAGGTTAGAATCGGTATCAAAAGAAACAGTGTGAGCAGAGATGATTCGAGATTTGTATCACGCGACGCAAGCCGGGGTAAAATCGGATTCGAGGACGGATGTGGAAAGGAAAGGTAGATTTACCAAGAAGCTCATAGAGGTTCTATATCAACAAAAACAGTCAGCATTTTTGAACATCTCATTATAATTCATATCTCTCGCCCATGTCACTCAAAAATTCAGGATATTGAACACCACAGGAACAAGCAGAAGCTCCAAATCCCCACCAATTGAAGCTCCTCAAGCTGAATCCCTCGCCAGGTATCGAAAGATCTGTGTCGTCCCATCCCCACGAATCAAACACTTCAAACTAAACAGCAAAAGTTGGAGCCTTGATGGCTCTGACGTACAGCCTCTCAGCTAGCCACGTACCTTGGACCGGACGTCCGCCATGACGCCTGGGTTTATGAGGGGCCTTCCGGGGAAGGCTCTCTGTTATCGCAGCAATTCGATCCGGGGACGCGTTGGGCGAGGCGCGAAGACGAGGTAGGCAGAACCTCGACGACGGATAGTCTGTGTCTCACGTCTCCTCTTGGGGATGGGATGCGGATGATTGAGAGAAGGGGCGATGGAGGTTTGGAGGCGACGTTTGTGGTACCGCACGGATTGGGTAAGGCGCAATCTAAGCGAACCAATCACGTGATTATCTATTAGGGTTGGTAACTCGGGTTGACTTCTCGGTGCAAGAAAACGCGAACAAGCCGGAATCCGAGTATATTCTGAGATAGCACAGGACCGTTAGATTATTAGATGAATCACTAGCTATCTATATTTGCTTTGCTTAGATCTGTTCATTGCTTGCTAAGAGCTGTATTCGCGACATATTTTATCATGACTTGGAGAAATTTGCAGGTGGTGACGACATGCTGAAGTCCTCACTTTCTTAACAGCTAGACTTACTAATAGGAAGGATCGAACGACTCTACTTGAGGAGGTTGCGAAAGACCCCATAAAGACCTCTTGATCACTCCAGAACTCTTTCCAGCTTCCAAGTTGTCTTCTGTAGATGCAGTCCATGGGTTCACTAGAAGTCTGTTATCCATCGTTTCTTCAGGTTTTCTTCCACAGTAAGCGTCGTGGTGGAAATGACAGTGATACCATCGTTGTTATCCCCCGCCTACATTGTAAGTACTAGAAGTCTATGATTCGCTGAGGCTAATTTCTAGGGCTTAGGGTATTAGGTGATAAGATCATAGAATCGAGATGCAAGCAGCCGGTCTCGACGTCATGGGCCTGGCTGCCTCTGAAGATATGGCTTGCTGTCGAAGCGGGGCTATTGCCAGCTTGTGTTTACGTCACCCACAGGAGTTTAGAGTGAAAGTTGGCTTCAAGGTTATTTCTAGTTTTCGTCCATCGCCAAATCGAAAAGTTTACACAACAGCTCCTAGATATACATCACAAAGCAATTTGTGACACGTTTCCTATGCGTTCAGTCGAGTACATATATACATAAGAATTCTTGTTAAATACAAGACTGGAAGAGTCGAGAGTAATGCCCCTGATGCTTCAAGTAGCTGCGCGGCAGCCCAGTTCAAAAGAAGACATTTCGTCCAGAAAAGCAAAAAATAAAAAAAATAATAAAAAAAAAAATTATTTTGGACAAAGCAAATCCCCTCTCGAGATCACCTTTTGTTCTCCTTAATACCCCAAAATCAGGACAACCTGACCACCCATTTTCCTATTTTCCTTTTGCAAAAATGGTATGCTGAACAGTAAACCACACCCATGCAAACTGAAGCAAATGGTATCGACCACATAACGCCGGCTAATGCTCCAAGATCCAACTTTTGTCTTCTCCCCAGGATCCATGCCATGGATGAAGAGATAAGAAATGAAAGGCTGCTATGATGAACCCCCCCACCCCCCGAATGGCGGGGGCAGTAATGAAGAGGAAAAATTATATAGTAGAAATGCAAGATTGATAGGGCGCGATTAGCGGTCATTGGCGCGTATTGCTTTGCTCGTAGCTGAATGGAGTCTGGAAATGCATGCTGGCACTCAGTCCGAAAGGGTCGGCGTCGAGCATCGGCTCATAGTTCCCTAGCATTGCATTCGTACCGCCATACGCGCCGTTGACTGTTTCTCCGGAAGCGTGGTTATATGGATGAATGCTGTGCGAATTCATCGGATGAGAGGCATTTGGAACCGTGCCCGCAGCATTAAATCCAGGGACAAAAGGCGAGGCTGTTACAGATGATTCGTGTTCGTCATCAATCATGTCTGCTTGTGCATCATATTCCTGCTCTACGTCGTCGTAAGCAATACATTCGTCATAGCCCTCGAGGGACCGAAATCAGGATAGAAGGGAACCTAGCCTACCTAATTGATCATAATGTTTCTGAAATGGTGATGGGTAGTATGCCGAGGGAACACGTGGAGCTCGAGAGCCCATCGGACCTGACTTTGGATCGATGGGTTCCGGTTGACCGATGCTCATGGGCGGAGAGGTCTGGCTGATATTCCTCGAGTGGGAAATCAGGGAACGTGCATGCTGTGCTTGAGGATCAATTCCGGCAGGCGACATTGCTCCTTGAAACCCATAGCCGGGAGACTTGGTGTGTGACGGCGATGAGACGTGTGAGGGAGGCGTGGCTTGAAACTGGGGTGACGGAATGCTAAAACCGCCATCACGAGAAGGAGGTACACTAAAGGGCTCCTTGGGAGCAAGGCCGCTGGGGTGCCTTTGGGCCGAGCTTCGGCTGATTGCAGCCTGTTGCAACGACGGAGCCTTTGCGGTGATGGGGCTAGGCTTTCCCGGTCCGTTCGGGGTTCCCGCCTTGAGACGGAGTTCGGCTTGAACATCGATACCTGTGCAAAGTTAGTCTAGCTGTACGACGTGATGACCTCCACTACGAGAGAGCAGCCAGTAGGCGGAAAGAGAGGCATGGGTTAGCTAACCTTTTTCGAGGAGGATGCGCTCAAGAAGAGAGTTCTTGTAACGCAGCATCAAGCATTCATCCGCCGCAGTGCGATGATTCTGCTGCAGGGTCTGCAGCGATTCTTCATTGCGCTTGATCGTGGACTCGAGCTGGCGAATGTACTCTGTGCGACGCTCCCGAAAGGCGGCCTGGGCCTGTCGGTTGCGCTGCTTACGCTCCTCAGAAGTCGCGTAGATCTAGTTGAGGTTAGTTTAAGCACTGACAGGGTAGTGGGCGATCGGAAAATAAAAAATTGAGGCTCATAATGATAAAGAAAAAAGGTGAAGGAGGATGGCAAGATAAGGATGATCAATAGGAATGATAAATTGAAAAAAAAAACGTGATGCGGGGCCCCGGACCGAACAAGGATGCAAGATAAAAAAAAATCATGGTAGATAAGACCACCAACAAATGAGAAGAGGGATAGATTAAAGTGGGAAAATTGTGAAGATGTTGAAGAGATAAGGTGATAACAAAGAGGGAAAAGGGTATAAAGGGGCATAAACCCCCAGATGAAGATTCAAGATCGCTTACAGGTTTGCGACCCCCTTTCCTTTTTTGGATGTTCTGACTCTGGGCCTCTTGGGTCATCAAGATTTCTGCCTCAGGATCTGGAGTTGAGACTGCCGAGCTGATGGATCCCTCAGCCAGAGGTTCAGATTTGGCGACCTGGTCGAGCGCCATATCATTATGGTTTGAGTGAGAGGTCTCGACCATAGAAACCATTTGACGCTGTTAAGACGAGGGGGGATGTTTCCTGATACGCTTGACGTCCCTCCCCCCTTTGCCGACAAAGTAGACGTGGGATCCCCAGATTTTGCTGGAGTTTAAGTTGACCAGGGTCTAACAATATGTGCGAAGAAGACGACAGAGGGGTTGGGCAGGTGGACGGCGGACGCCAACTGGTGGTGAGAGCGAAGCCAGCGACCTGGAAGTGAGGGTGAACTCGACAAGCCTCTGATTCGCCAAAAAAAGGAATTTTTCTCCGGCGGGGTTAAACTGATAATTCAGACGCAAGAAACGCGCGGCTGGGCGGTAGAGAGAGGGACGTGCGAGTGAGAGTCGAGGTGGACGGACGAGATGGCAACATACAACGTAAGGGAAATTGATCGAGATGGATAAGAAAGGTGTCGTGATCGTGGGAGGGAGAGAGAGGGAGAATGAGCGGGAAGTTATGAGGTAAAAAAATCTTCTAAGAACCTGACCGGGCCTGTGGCAGCAGAGTGGGTGAGGTGAAAGGGAAAGGTTTCGTCTCGTGGAGAATCCCAAGCTTGACTATTTCTTCCTTTTTTTCTGCCAGCTTCTCGAGCAAGGACCAAGAGGGGTCATTCGCTGTGCCTCTCACATAGTAATTAAACCAGGTTCCCGCTACCAGGGATCTGCCTCTGCTTGATTTTCTTCTAACCGCTGGTTTGAAAATAAATTCATCAGGGCCTTCTCCGCATGGTTTCTTCTTCTCTTGTCCCCAATAGTATTGGCTCTATATTGACTCTTGGGTCTTGGCCCTCGCTTGTCTCTCAAGTCTGATGAACCCAAACCCTTGAATGGGAATTCAAACAGGAGTTAAGATTACTCCTATGTAGTTCCGAACAGTTCGCATCAACCAGGTCAATTCCCCTCTTCCCACTCGTCTGGCGAAGAGTCGACCAAGAGGAGGTGTTGCGACAGACGACTCCTCGCCTTCTTTTGCTCTCGGGCACGGCACTAGATCCACTTGGCTACGAGGTCAGTCAGACAAGACCCAGCCGAAGATCCGCCCCAAAGTCCAGGGAGGCGAAGGAGCGTCCCTCGTTCGCTCGTCCGTCATGGTCGTGACCTCTGATGGCCCGTCCGCCACCTGAATCTGATGCAATGTGTTTCCCCATCCAGGCAATGAGTGGAGAGACCGCTGGTGCCTGTGTGTATTTTGAGATGGAACGTGTGAAGAAGAGCTTGGAACTATTTTTTCCAAGCGTGGGAGCATCCGCTTTTCCGGGTCTGTCTGAGACTAAGAGGCGCTCAACATGGCTTGATCCTCAGCAGCGTCAATTCCCGAGGTTGCCTCATCGGAGGACTCTAAGTCCAAGTGACGCATCCAACTGCTAAGAATAAAGGACGGGTCCGCGCTTTTACTTGTCATTGTTGGATCTCAAAAGGGGCGATGACAATCCGCGGAGAAGTGGTCAGCCTTGCAAAATTTTCCTGTAACTGGCGATACCGGGATCGAGCCAGCCGTCAGACAGGGCTGTCGCTCCGAGTTGATGGAGACTCTCCTGCTCTTTCCTCTCCGAGGCCATCCTCCGGCTCATACTTAAAGATGGTCTCGAGCCCTGTCGGCGCTGAGTGCCTGTGACATTTTATGAGCTTTCCACACACATAGGATGCCTGACAACTGAAGAGTGTACCAGGGCACACCAAGAACTGCTGCCTCCGACAATCGCATCGTCATATCCCAGGGAAGAGATCAGAAGAAGCAAACAGGCATCATGAAAATTAAAAGTAAATTGGTGCAAATCCTGTTGGCTGATCGGCGACACCCGTCTGGGGGAGGTTCTCCTCATTTTACAAGTGCAGTCGTACGCGTTGCTTAGGAGAGCTCCGACCAGACTATCCTCCTCTCTGACACCGGGGAAAAGTGCGACAAAAAGCAAATTGTGAGATCACGCGGACAGCCTCAAATTAGCTCCATCATCTCAAGGTCATCAAAGGCGAGTGATGGTCTGACACCCCAATCCAGATCGGTGCAGACCGAGGCCATAAACAACAAATACTGTGAAGGCCAGAGAGCCAATCCAATGCAAGAAATTGAAGTAATTAGTACATTGCGGTTAATTATGCTTTGCGAGAGTCATGGCACCCAGGGGTCAGCGTCCAGGATGTCTTCTCTTAAAGCAGTTCATATACTGTATGTTCGTAGTCAACAATGGCTTCCTCAGCTTAACTATACTCCGTACTCGTGGAAGACTTGTGTGTGAGTCGTGGCAGAGATGTTGCCCGTTGACACTGACAGCAGCCGCGGCTGTCGGTTCCCCGCCAGGTCCACAGCTTATTCATTCGCCTTCACATGAAATACAACCCTCCTGGACAACAACCATCACCTTCAACAAGCCTGAACTCCCTTGTTGTTCTTCTCCCCTCAGAGTCTATTCTTATCGCCAACAACACTTTTTTCTGCAGACTGTGATTCGCTGTCTCCGCGTCTATCCCGCTCTTTCTCGGCCTCGGGGCAATGGCGGCTTCATCACCGAACCCCGCCAACACCGGCGATTCGCAACAGCATGACTCTCAGATTGCCGCTGAGGCGACTGTACAGCAGACATCTACTACACTGCAAGCTGATGACTCTGCGACGGCTTCAGCATCAACCCCTGCCACCACATCGGCAACCGACACCATAAAGCCCGAAGCCACGCAGCCAAAGCTGTCGGTGGACGAAGATGATGAGTCGGACTTTGACGAACTGGACGGTTAGCCACCCAGCAAGCAAATACATCCACCGCTTCCTTGGCGAGTATGTACTAACGACGCCATAACGATAGAGGTTCTGGATGACTTCAAACCCAAGGCTCAAGCTCCGACGGACGCCACCGCATCAAAACCCTCAGCCGCCGGCGCCGCTGCTGCTACACCCAAAATCCCCGAAGATCTAGACGAACTCGCATTTATGAACCAGCTTGAACAAGACATGGCGAAGATGATGAGCCAGGCGGCGCAGCAGTCCGGCGTCTCAGATTCCGAGGGCTTCGAATCCGCCATCAACCAAGGCGCAGACGCATTCACAAAACAACTAGAAGAAAGCGGCATTCCACCGGGCGATTTCATCAAGCAGCTTCTGGCGGACGTGATGGCCGAGGAGGCAGAGGAGAAGGGACAGGGTTCGTCGTCAGCGCCAGCCTCGTCCACAGCCTCAGCATCTGCATCAACGAGTGCTGCGGCGGAAGCCGGGTCCGAATCATTCAACGACGCAATCCAGCGGACAATTAACCGGATGAAGGAATCTGGCGACAAGGCGACTGCTGCAGCTTCGGAGGATAATACCGATGACCTCGTTGCTCAGCTGCTGAAGGCCATCGAGGCCGGATCTGACGGGGTCGGAGATGATGGCGACCTCACCAAGATCTTCATGGGAATGATGGAGCAACTTTCAAATAAGGATATGCTTTATGAGCCGATGAAAGAGCTCGACACAAAATTTGGCCCCTGGATCAAGGATAACAGGGGCGAAGGCAAGGTGTCGGATGCTGATATGGAGCGGTACGAGAAGCAGGCCGCCCTGGTGTCTCAGATTGTGGCGAAATTCGAGGAGCCCGGATATACCGATGAAGATGCCAAGTGCCGCGAGTATGTGTGGGAGAAGATGCAGGCCGTATGTCCCCTCCCCCTCCCCCTACCCCCGGTGTTCAGAGATCAATTAGTGGTCACTAACAACTTTCAGATGCAAGCAGCGGGTAATCCTCCGGACGAACTGGTCGCCAACCCTTGGATGGATGACTTTAAAGGTGGCGGCGTCCCTGACTGTCCACAGCAATGATACAGGACGTATGCACGCACGGAAAGAAGCCATAATACCTATCTCAAGAGATCTGATATAATCACTTTATATCGAAGACCGCAATTGGTTTATTGACGTTATTGCGCATCTTATATTCAATTCTTCTCCCTGGCATCTTTGTACATATACTTGCTGATACCCTTTTTCTTCCTAATTCGAAAGAATACTGCCTTTCGGGAAAACGCACCAATAGACCAAGCACTCGGAACAAGAGAAGGTAAAGACAACGCCAGGTATTGAGTACGACCGCTAGCGAACCCAGAACGCCATAATGCACGCCGAGCCCATCCTAATTTAACCAGAAAGAATAAAGAGCTCAGCCAGACATATCCATGTCCTGAGGTGGACTGGGGTCAGCAAGATCCATGAAGATATCATCGTACTCATCGTCACTGAACGACGAGGCTGCGATGCCTTGCACGCTATTTTGCGCGGGCTGAATCCGCTCCAGAAAGTCCATCTCTAAAGCGTACTCTTGCTCGAGGTACTCATCTAGAGCTTGACCTTCTGCATCTTCTGTCAAAACCAGCCCAGAATTAGCATACCAAACTTCGCCGCCGACGGCGGGAGAACAGGTAGAACATACCAGTATACACCCCCTGCTCACCCTCAAGACCAGCCTCCCAAGGCAACCCAGCCTCAATCTCCTCCGCTTTCCTCCTCATAGTTTCATTCCACTCCCTCTGCTCCGCGATACTTTCCATAAACGCCAGCTGCTCCACGCGCGACTCGAATTTCCCATTATCCCGCTCCTGTTTGACGCGGTTGAGAAAGGCATTGCGACGAGCCGAGCGCGCGGCAGGCGTATTCGAGGCTGTAAACGTGCGCTTTGCAGAGTGCGAGAGGAGGGGTTTGGAGATTGTTGTTGTGTATCGCGTCGCGTAGTCCGGTGATGATGTGGTGGTTGTGGTTGTGGCTTTGGGGAGGAACGTGAGGGGCGGCGTATCGTAAGGGCCGCGCGATGGGGATGATGCAGGGGAGGGATAAAATGTGAATAGGGCTGCTGGTGGCGCCTGTGATTGTAGTTGTAGTTGCGTTTGTTGGGTTGGTGACGTTGTAATCATGTTGTTTCGCGAGAGAGAAGATCGCCGCGGGGAGAGCGGGGAGGGACGCGTTGGTGTCCAGGGGTAGTGCGAGGGCTCGGGGTTGGGAGTTTGCTGCATCAGTGCGAGCGTAGCGAGCATATTGGCCACTGAGAAGAGCGTAATGACCAAATCGCTGTTTGGGGTTTTGATGGTGACTGTGAAAGCTGGGGCAAGTCCGGAGTGTAGATGATCGGCGATAGCAATCGAGGGCAAGGAGTAAAGGTAGAAACGCCCGAGACGAGTGCGGGTTACCAGAAACCAAAAGCAGCTGGTATTCAGGTCCCGGTAATTAAGTGCTGAAATAAGGGCTCTTCTCGCGACTTGGTGGCTGGATCTTATCTAGAATCAGAGTCGCGTCTTGGATTCTCGAGAATTATGCAGGTCCACGCGCAGGCACGTGCGCGCTAGGCCTAATGAGGATATATAGCATTCCTCAGGCAGTGAATAGTACTTCGAATTTTGAACTGTAGTAGCTATGTAAAAAGGTCGATTCCGACGTCAGAGGTCACAGACAATATCGTAGTCTGAGTCATATGGAATCCTTGTCTGCGCCAGTGGCGCTGGCTCCGACTCCGACTCTGTTCTGTCTGGCTCCGGCCTGTCCGGTTCGGTTGTACCACTCTCTGAACCATCGTCCTCTGCGGCTGTCACCGAGGAGGACCCAGCTTCTGCCGCGGGAGGGTCGGCCAGGCAATCGTCTGTCACTCGGGTCATTATAAATTGAAAAAAATGCGGCTGGAGCGCATGAAGGCCGAAGACTTACTCTGCTGATCCTGGCAGTCGCTCACAGAAAACGACGAGCCCGAGTTTGCAGCCTGATTCGCATTTGATTAGATTGCAATTTGACCATATGATAGTGATTCAGCACTCACTCTTTGGCAATTATCGAATTGGATGTTGCAGCTTGTGGTGCAGAGGAGTCAGTTTCGATCTCGATCATCGAAAAGCGGGGAAATCCAGCTGTAGATGTAGATGTGCTTGTACCTTCTCTGAGCCGCAGAATCATAATCCGCCTTTCCTCACAGGGACACTTAGCATGCTCTCAACTTGGGATAAGAGCCATGAAGAACGTACAAACGTATTCCCAGCTACAGCAAAGGGTCTCTCCGAATCGCCCGTCTTGATAACCTGCGAACCACTGCATGTCAGCCTCAACAACACATATGAACTCAACTCTGGCTAAGTTAAGGTAGACTTACCGACGGTGCAGAACTACCCAAGGTTCCCGCCTAAAGCGACCAGAGGAATCAGAACTCTGTCTATACTCACGGCCACGCGAACAAGTAAACAAACAAACTTACGCGCCGATCGAGATGGGCAACCTCATACACAACGCCCATTGGATCAAATGCTAGCGCAAGAAATGCAGATGTTATCCACAGGTGTGTGAAAAGTGTTCGAAACGTCGTCATCATGTTCAGGGCTGAGGTTTCAGGATCTGCCAGCTAGTTTTCTTTCCGGTTGTGGTTGGGGCTGATTCCTTAGGAGGGGCCGTCTGACTGTTTCGTCGCTCGATTTCTGGCGAGGATCTGATGCGCAGTCACGATAGGCGTTGGAAACGCGACACGAAATGGGTCGAGTGATTGTCCGATTCCCTGAAGGCCCGTGCTAATAATGCCAGGGCATAAGATGGGTGATGTTGGGGGAGACCATTCTTTCGTGCCTGAGGGGAAACAGCCACTTCCCGTTTTAGATTCCTACTAGTTACCTAGTGGTGGTAGTCCTGGGCGCTCGAGGGGCTCTATCTAATCGTCCTGTGTTGTTCTCGGGCACCTACCACGAATATAGGACTGGTTTCTGAAGATCTTGGTTGATGCTAATGTATTTCTGTCGAGATTAAATACATACGTACACTCGAATTATATGAAGACGCTTTTCCACTGGGAAGGCCGTGTAGTGGTCAACCCAGCTTGTGGGAATGGTAATAAAAGATGGGACAGAAGATACAAAGGCTCAAAGTATTTCGGGAAAGCTCAATGCTTCCAGGGGGAATCAAAGATGGCGACCAACCATGAATGCTAAACAAAAGCGCGAGGAAGGAGTGTGGTCTTTAGTAAGGAATGACGGGCGTCTATCAGCGGGAAACGAAATGGAAACAATCTGCTGAAAGGACGTACAAGAAAAACGACATGAGAGAAAATAAAGTCATCGACTGAAATAAATCGAGCAACCTCGCCTGAGCGCCAAATTGTTAATTGCGTGATAATCGTACAGACTTTACAAAGTCGAGTGTTTGTGCAAGCACCGAGAGGTCATGTACAGCTTCTCTGCCGTTACGACGCTCTCGCAAGTATAGCAAAGGAAGGTGCAGGACCTGGGGGTCAGCCGACGGCAGTCCGCTTTAGTATAAACGTGCGATTCGGCTAGAAGTTCGACGCAGCATTGACGGGACCAGGGTTGTGGTACTGGTCAAGAGTAGACCTGAAGGGAGTGCCTCCAGCAGCTGGACTAGGAGCCTTCTCACGGACGCCGGAGCCAACAGCTGTACCGCTCATAAGATCAGTGACGTCGTCGTCCTGTGCATTTCGTCTTCTGGCGCGGATTCTCCATGCAACAACTCCAATGGCACCGATCAAGATGGCACCACCAACACCAACAACGACACCAATGATAATGTTCTTCTGGTTAGAAGATAGCCCAGAGTCAGAATCATCAGAAGATCCACTTAGTCCAGGAGACTCGGTGGCTTCGCTGGATCCACTGTTGGTGCTGGTGAATGTAGTGGGAACTGGGGTTCCATCGATGGTCTGGGTGGTGGTAATAGTGGTCACGGAAGGGGTAGATGTTGGTTCATCGTTGTCGTCGTTGTTGTCGGAACTGGTGCTGGTGCTGGTGCTTGTTGACTCGGCGGTAGTGGTCGTGGTGGTTGTCGGGTCCGACGTGGTAGTGGTTGACCGTGTAGTGGAAGTCTCCTCATCTGACGTGGTGGTTGATGTCGAGGTTGTTGTTGACTCATTTTCACTAGTTGTCGAGGTTTCTGTAGTCTCGGTAGTGGATGTTTCTGTAGGCTCGGAATCTGTCGTGGAGGAATCGGTCGGCGTAGGGAGGACGTCGGTGATGGTGTCTGTCAGCTGAGTGCTCTGACCGGCGACCACAGCGACGAGGGACAGGGAGTAGAGGAAGAACGAGAGACTGGCGACGCGCATTGTTGGATACTCGGTCGATGCGACGAAGAAGATGGATCAAGGATAGTCGGGGATTCTAGAGCCAAGTGGTGAAGAGAAGTAGCGTGGGATCGAGTCTGTTGCAAGCTGATGCTGGCGCTGGCGCTGGCAAGATAGGGGGAATACGGGTGGCGAGTATCGGAGAAATGAAAGATGGTGTTATTGCTAATGGACGGAGTTTTAACGAGTGACTACTGCCTTGACGGACAACGTGGAGGCAATAATAACGGGCGAAGAAGGTTTTGAGAAGGGGGGGAAGCCAGGGAAGAGGAACAAAATGACCGATGGATGGGTTCAGGTGTCTGGGTGTCAAGAGACTCAAGAGAGCGACAGCCACGGGACGAAGCCCTAGGCACCGTTCCCACTTGGGAAGTCCCTAGTAACGGTCCACGGGTGCACTATGCTCCTTTGGATGGTTTCTTTTTCCTTTCTTTCATGGTTTTTCTTCGGTGCCTCCTTTCAGGCTTTCAGAGTATCCACAAGTTTCCAACCATTCTGTGCTGGCCTGTCTTCTTTCGAGCCAAATAATTGGTGCTTGACTACTTTGGCTTAGCTTTGGTACGCCGAAACAGAATTTGGCCAATCGTGATATTAGGACTAGGTATGGATCCTCTATAGCGCACTCACTAAGGGGCACGCCGCGTGAGACAATTCTCTCTGACTCTTGAGTCTGAGGCTGTGTCGGAGCGGCCGTCCAACTTCCATCTCGTCGGCTGCCAGAACCTCAGACCACCGCAAATTATCAACGGCAAAGAGATACTCGTTGACTTCATCCTTAGTTTTAGCCTTTTGATGCAGGGCTAGGGTTCCATGTTGTAGATAATAATCCCTTTGCGAGCCTGACAAAAGGCCTGAGGGGGTTGATTTGTTTTCCGCTCCGATTCCCCACTCAAGGCCGAGCAACCCGGCTATTTTTAAGTATCGACCATGGAACACCATCCTCCGTCTTTACTCCGAAGATTGCAATGTGCTCTGATTTGCTGTTTAATTTGCGATTTTATAAGTCTTGGATGGGCTCAAGCCACACTCTGCATGTCCAGAATTGAAACAGTTCCTGTGTTGCTTTCCAGAAAAGTGCAGGCAGAAACCCAAAGCTAGGTTCTCCGCACAAGGGACGAGAGAGAACGCTGTTTGAAGCGGTGGTAGGGCGCCCAATGTTCCATGATGAGTCTGAATGCAAGACGGTGCATATCCTCCCAGATGGCGATGCGTTACAGAGTACATCGCAAGCCGGCTTAGCCGCCCGACGATTTTCCGGGCATCCGGAGACCTCAGTCAAACCCTCGCAAGAATGTACGTAGTATGGAATATGCCTTCGATTTTCAGGTCAAGACCGCTTTTATTCGTCTTATGAATATGGGTCCGTTTGCAAACACGGACCACTGGTGAGGCGATGATCGACAGCTGGACGCTAATCTTCGCATCCTCCAGTAGATGCCCTAACTTCCGTAATAATAAGTCATGAACGATGGATCGTGGGAGATAGCCCTATTGATCATCGCCATTCAGTGGAGTGCAAAATCTCGGAAGAGTCAGATGACTCGAATGAGACTATCAAGTCTCCTTGTGGACTTGTGAAGTTACCGTCCACTCCACCTTTCGAATATGTACGGCTGGCGGATACGGAGTACTGTAGGTACTCCCTCGTGGAAGAATTTGCACATACCCTCCAACAAGGACGGAGATGCCAGACTCCCCCCCATCTCCAACGAATTTTTTGGCTAGGATCTGTCCAGTTGAGAACCCTGCACGAAGAGCAAGTGTCGACATCGTGACTAGCTGCGACCTAGAGTAAAACTTGATCGCAGTTCTATCGACCAGCAGATAACCATGTCCTCACATATATTTATACCGTCAGATCGGCTATGCTGAATGCGGGCGGGAGTTCGGGATTGGCATGGCGATTTCCGATTTACGGAATGTATGCGGAGCAATGAAGCGTGGATGCGTGGAGGGTGGCTGATTGTAATCGAGTGCGACAGCGCCAATGTCAAAACTTGTCTCGTGGTTTTCCCTTTGCCTGATCCTTGAGCTCTTCCTTGAAATACTCCAAGAATTGTTTGAATCCGGGACCTAAAGTTGATTCGTATATTAGTATGATATGACCACCAGTCGCATTACAGAGTATCGAGTGTCGTGAAGAGTAACAGTCGAGCGAACATGTATCCATATTCGACGAGCCAACCTTGTGGATAGAGCAGCCATACCGTTGTTGTCCAGCTTGGTACCTCCCATTTCTTCCGGAGGTGTACCGTGTCTAAAGCGCTGCACACGACCATGGACCCTTCCTACCATGCGATGGAACGTGGGACTAGCCAGCAGCTGGCGAGAAAGTCAAGATCCGGTCCTGCGAAGAGCCGATATAGCTGTCCTTACCCTTGTTGTAAGCCAAACCTAATGTCTGTTAGTTGTGGCGTGTTCAATGACAGTTGTAAGGAAAGGATTTACATACTTCAAAGGTCCGCAACAAAAACCATTTGGGCGTCATTTTGCGGAAAGAATCGGGCACTCCTCACAAGCTTGAGAAGAACAAAGGTTGTCAAGTGGAGGATGCTAGCTACTTATTACTATCTTGCAGCCCTTCTGAGCTCATGGAGAGATGGGAGAAGAAGGGTTTGTCAGCGGGCGGCACTGGCCAATCAGGGACCCCCGCAGCCCACGCCAGCACTCCAACGTACTTCAGGTGCCAGCTAGGGTGCATGGATAGGAACCGTGGGGTAATAGTACCAGTAGACAAGGTTGTGAGTGCTATTTAAGTATATCTAGGTATTGATGCAATGACCATAATCAAACATCAATATCTATCTGAAATCATTGCTTGATCACAACTTGGCGGGTATGGCATAGTCACGGTACTACCTACTCAGCAGTGATATGCGAAACCACCTAGGTACCTACTGGTACTTGCCGTACCTGACTAGAATTGGAAAGAACAAGTGTGTTGATAAATCGAACATTTGATTCCAGAAGCACCTCAACCGTCTAACCTCCTGATTAGATATTAAAAAAAGGGAATGTAAGAAGAGAACCGACACCAATGAGCCGTATCCATCTGTGACGCCGGTGAAATGACCTGATATGTACCGTATGAGGTGGTGAGTGATATATACAAGGTAGGGGGAGAAAGGATCTGTAGAGAATCAAGGGAAGGGATTGAAGAAGGAAACTGAAACCATGATCCACGCATGTAATGCTTTGCCCGGCCCATCCTGAGTTGCAAGTAGAATATGAGGTGAGAAATCCGGTTATTGCCCATAATATGCCAATGATTGAAGAGAGAAATGAGAGAGATAGTTGTATAAGGCGAAATGAGGTTGAGTTAAGGTTTGAGGAGGCGATGGCTGGTGACAGCGATTTGGTGACAAGCGACACTAACAAGCCGGGACTATTTTCGAAACCCATCAACGCCCAGCGTCGGGGTTTCAACCAAGCGATCACAGGGCACACCCTCATCACGCCGCCGGGAGAAGAAGCTGTCGCATTCCGACACAATCTGTGCCCATTCCGCAAGAGCACGACCTGCATACTTGCTAGATGCAAGTTTATCATCAGCTGCAAGAGATGGAGCCTTCTTCGAGAACTCCTTAGTCTCGGCGCTAGCCTTACAAGCACGTATATTGTTATCCGAAACCAGATCCTCCTGCTTCTCGTTCTCTTCATCGGCTTCAGCCTCACTCGATTCGTCCGAGGTTGTATCGCAATCTTCTTCTTTGAGCGTTGATCTCCGAAGTTGAAGGTGCAACTGAGAAGCGACAGGAAGGCTGGGACTATAAAGTCGCTTATTCTTACTGGGCCATTGCTGGCGCTCCATCCACTCTAGCGAGAACCTGAAGGTATAGGGCTGATGCGCGGTCTTTGGCCTGCATAATTCGGCGGAACCATTAGAGAGACGCCAGTTGCCATCTGTGGTTTTCTCGTTGGCCACAGGGCCATCCGAAACTGTCGTCTCCGATTCGTCAGAGCTGCTGTTGGGAGATAACTCTTCAGTGGATCTGGATGAACCAAACACAGCCTTCAAAATGTTCCAGCGTTTTTTCTGGGTCGTTGGGGCGTCAGGCAGAGCATTAGTTCTTGCGGAACTACTGTTCGATACCTGACTCGATGCCCGTGGAGGAACGACGGTGTCAAAGGATATAAAGAGATTCGAGGGAGACATTGGATTGTCGCATCGGATAATGATTATGCGACGCCCTGGCGCCGGAGTACAGGGAGCGGAAGACAATGGCGCAGTGTGACCATTTTCTGCTCTGGTCTGGACAGCTAGATAATACTCCCAAATACGCTGCAACCGGTTGAATAAGGTTTCATATATAATGCTGTTGGGCCCATCGTTAGCACAGTACATTCAGCGATAGGGTTCTCTTCAAACTTACGAGTCAAGCGGCGATGGGTCCTCATTGAACCTACTCAATCTCCAACAAAGCAGGCGATGGAAATATGCACGCACCATGGGGCTCCAATGACTAAAATAATGATAGAACAGTGGCTCTTCAAGCAGAAAGCCAAGGCAGAGGTCAGCCTTTCTCTCTTCTGAGCTTGTCCAAGTACCCCAAACACAGAAAAGAAATGAAAACACCCGGACTTCGGTGAGTGAGTTATGGCTCTGCATCATTTGGCGGCAAGCTTCCAACCAGAACTTCCAGTCGAATAGGTCCATTTCCATGGATCTAGAATATCGCGCAATGATTGGTATGACCTCTTCAACAAAGTCACACAACAGGAAACAGGCATTGTGATCAAACAAAGACGTTCTCTGTGCGGTTGTCTTCATAATCATGCAAAATGACTCGGCGTAAAATAGCCGCGCATGATCAGGTTCAACCGAGGACTCGGAAAGATAGTCTCGAAGCAATATAATCAAACGATTCTCGGCCATTGAACGATGACTGTTGGCTGTTCCCAGTGGCAGAGCTGATGCAGATCCGTCAGCCCCTTCAATAAAGTCGTCAAAAGTGATGGCCGCTGTGCTGTGCGATGCATCTTGCAATTGAGGCTGCGATTGCTTGTACAGAGTATCTTCCAGAACAACAAGAATCTGGGCATGAATGGGAAGCAGACCTGGGGACAAGATGCGCAAACTCTTCTCAAGATCAGACGGTATGGCGTCGGCGTAAAGAAGGTGGATGTACTTGGCAAACACGTAAAAAAGATCAGTGTCTCTGCCGCACCACCGTGACACCCAAGGGCCTTGCCACTGGATTTGAGTGGTGTTCAAAGGAGCATCAGGTTTCTGACGAAGATACCGGGCCAAGGCTGTGTGGGCATGAAACGACAAGGATCGTAGAGCTGGGGGGAAGTTCAGGGCCAGTCCTTGGGTCATTGCACGGAGGCCACTGCTTTTGTCCACATGAGACTCAGTGTACACTCGCCGATAGATATTGGGTGGCACATTCCAGAGCCTGACAAGAATATCCGCAACGCCTGGACAGAAAAAGAACGCGTAGGCGCAAGCTTTACCGCAGAATGCCACCAAACTAGCAGGAGCGTGTCTCATAGACATCCTTTCCACCACAAAGGCCATCTGAGATAGCAAGTTCTGTGTGAAGATGTTCCTTATGTTATGGTGTATAGACTCTACAAGAAAGTCTGAACCAGACGACGCTTCAGAGGCCTCTGAAGTGGAGGTTCCAGAGCGCTTGAGCGGCTTTGGAAGTTGCGTATCGGGCGAGGGTATTGGAAAGGGAACTCTCCATTCGGGTCGAGACATTATGCCAACCACTGCTTCCAAGTACACTGGTCTGTCTGTACCTGAAATGGATTGGTTGTGCTTTCCATTCAGCATGTCCAGCAATCCGATCCACCACTTATTGAGTATGTTTACTCGGCGGTCAAGGTCCTCGGGCCTCAATGCTCTGAGGCTTGTAGGTGGGTGAGGACGGTTGAGAAAGGGCAGAAGTGAGGATCGAATGACATTCGCTTTCAGTGAGCTAGACTTGGTCTGGAATCTGAGAGAAACATCAGCATCACGTAGTACAACACGTATATTGTCTGATCAGCATACTTCTGAAAATCGGCTTCAAGGCCCCTGAAAACGTTCCAGAGTTCATCCTTCTTCCGAGCGGGGTCGGATCCTCCAGAGACATTTGTGGCGCTGGCGGTCGCCTTAGGCACTGGGGGTAGGACTGGCGTGGAGACATTGAATGACGCTGTAAGTCTCTCTAGTGAGCCTTTGGCTAATAGTGACCTTGGAGAAGGGCTACTTTGGGTACTCGGGCTCTCTGCGCGGCTCTGGGTCACAACGGCAACCATTGGGCGTCGAGGTCGCTTGTTCAAAATAGTTCGCTTACGAGACGGGGCGGCAGAGTCGGAACTGGGGGGTAATTCTAAGCTTCCGGAGCTCCTGGATGACGGGGTTTGCGACAACGAATCTTCTCCCTGGAGAGTCCGAAGACGCGGGGTTTTGGAGGAAGGAGAGGTAGATCGGTTTGGAGAGCTCGACATCCAGGGCTTTCGCGCGAAGCTGACAAGCCTCCCAGACATTCCACGAGTCTTGGAAGGACGTGCGACGGGGGATGGAGCCCTAGTCTGCGGGACCTTTGGAGGTTCCGGCGGCTCCGAGGGAGGTACATCGGTCGTCAGGTCCTCGGTAGAGACAGTAAATCGGGAAACAGCAACAGTGGGTTTGTCCTTAGATCGGCGAAGGGAGGTTCGCCTTAAGATATCCTTTCCAGCTGCAACATCTTCTTTTGATGGGGAGCCGGATTGCTTCTGGAATGTCAGATCGGAGAAAGTCCTTCGAAGACCTGGTGAGCCTGGTTCGGAGGTGGGAAGTTCGGTAAGGTTATTGTAGCTCGCAGCGCGGGATAATGCGTCGTTCGGGTCATCCTGATGGGCGTTGTTTGTGATCTGGGGCCCGGGAGAAGACATGGTCAGGAAATCTAAGGCTGAATGCGATGCCAACGAAGAGCGCAGCTGGAGAGGTGTAGCTCACCCCCCCGGCCGGGGGTGGACAGTAAGTGTTGTCGGCGTTTGTAGACCCAGCTCCTCCATGTAAGAATGATCGCAGGCCGCTGAGATTATAGCATGTGCAGAAGGGCTCCGTCAAACCTTATCGAAGCGCAGGAAGACGACGGCGGACGGAAGACAGGTCAGGTCTGTAGGGAAAGATGGCAATGCTAGAGTAGATGCAGGCGCGGCAAGTTTGCGAAGTGGCTCTGTCAAATGAATAGGGTGCGCCGGTCGACAGGAAACAGCGAGGGGCTCAAGTCGAAACCTGGGGAAATGAAACGCCGTGCTGGGATCGCAACTCGTTGCAGGCTAGGGACGGAGAAGGTTAGCTGGATGAAGGTACCTAGGTAGGAGGCGCGCGGTTGATCGACGTGGAGGAGCGATCGATTGATTAAATTGGCAGAGAGGTTGTGAGACTGGATGGAGAACTCTTCTTTATCCCCTCCCCCTTTCCACTGAAGGCCAGAATCAAAGATCAAACGAGTGGAATGAAAGGGAGAGTGAGGATGAGAGTCGTTGGAAGGCCACAAACAGCGAAACTTAGGGAGAGACGTGGAGGCTGTAATACCAGTACTTTACTTACCGGACCCCGGGCCGTTCGTTGCAGACACTTCCCCTCGATTGCCAATATGCGAGTATTTCGGGGGAAATGGCAGGGTCTATCTTCGCAGGAGTATCTGAGATCTGAAAGAATCACCAAGGTGCGGGCGGAGTTGCGGATTATACATGGGTATCTTGTCCTCCTTCAGCTTCGGAGCCTTGTGAGGGCTGTGAAGGACACCGCCACCGGCTCCGACTCAACCCAAACAAACGCCATCAAACTCAACATTTCTACTCCGTATAATGCATTAATGATTATGTACTTTTCCATCTCATTATTGGGTCTTTTCCATTACGGCAACAGCGTCAATTCAATAGTCAGCTGCTATTAGTACTACTAGTTCCATCACTATTGCGTACTGTCCTGTACTAGACAGTAGTACCACCTACGGAGTTGCGAGGTTGAAACTCGACGAGAATAGAGTCAAGTCTCGAGATTCGAGTATGTGAGCGCAAGCTCAGCTGCAAGGGCCATAATAGTAACGGTATTTTCCTTCTCCCGTTGCGAGCGCAACCACTTAGCCTGCAAACTCTACGAGAAGGTTACAGTCATTCGAGCTGGAATCGTCCTTCTACCTCCACACCGGTATGGACTGTCATCTTGCTGTCAGAACAGAAGCCCAGCTTGCGCCATTTCTGACCCATCACACGTCTTATCGAGAGACTATTCACAAGCCCAGCTCTTCAGCACACTTTACCCCAATGGCAAAGCCCTTTCCGAGAATGTTGCACGGCCTCACGGGTGCATGACCACAACTCGTCTGTTGTGAACCGGGCGACCAGCAACATTCCACCACCTCAATTTGTACAAACTTTCAACGCTCTTGATGAATTTGATCAACCTGACCAGCAAGCAGTGCTTTACACTCTGGATTTTGACGGCTTGCCTTAAATTTCCTCTTGGCTCGCTTTAATTATCCCTATTCAAATCCTCTTTGGTCAGCCTGCCATGCACCGCATCGGTTGCCGTTGGACCCAACATAACCGTCGACTAGATATGCATCGTCGTGCAGAGAAGGCGGAGTGAGGATTCCTATGTATCCGAGACACTCGCCTATGAAGCAAAACTAGGGAGTCTAGCGGTCTAGAGTTGTCAGGTTTACTTTGGCCATAGCCGCTATCGTTGTAGTAGAGCTCCCTATGTCTGTTCAATGCCGGCGTTTCCTACGGCCGGTGTGACGCTTCGCTTTTCTCCCTTGTTCTTGATTGTCAGCCAAGAATTTGAGGTTACGGATTTTCGCCTTCAGCAGCGCGATGGCTGTTACGGGTTGCACAGTCAAGTCATCACTACTACGCAAGTGGGACCGTACACGGACATACAATACTATCAGACTTGTTGGGGTCTCCAAGCAAGTCTATCCTTATGTCAATGGTTGTTTAGAACATCTTCTCATCACAGATGCTATCAATTTTCATCCCAGTCGCTACACCATGTAGCTCCAAGGTATGAGTACGAGCAACGGTTTCTTACTATGCTTTGGAGCGATGTGGATTGACAACACAAGGAAAATTCATATGCCTCAAGTGGGCTTAATTTACAAAGTTTGTTCAGAACTCAACAGAGGGAGATATCGCAGAATCCCGGCCCATTGTCTATCGGCCCCGTCTTTATGGACCTTGGTTTTCTAATCAATAACCTAGTGAGCAGCGGGAGTCTCTTCCTCTTCCTCCTCAAACCAGCTCTCCTCAACGGGGGCCGCCTCGCCGCTAGCAGCCTGGCCCTCAACCTCAACTTCCTGGGTCTCGTAGGAGCTCAATTCATTGGCAAGGCTCGCCTCTTCGGGGGACTTGGGAGCAGCGGGAGCGCTGAACTTCTGGACGTGGGCCTCAGCATCGCCGGGCTTGACGGGGGTAGGCTTGTAGGCACGGAGTTCACGGAGGTAGAGTTCCTGGACAGGGTCGGCTGTAGAATGTTAGAGTTTGTCGTGTCGTATGAAAGCTCCACGGCGGCAGCGAATAAAATCATTGGAGATAGAAGGGCTGGCTGAGCAGTATAGTAGAAGGCTACGTACCGCGACGGACAGCAGAAGTCAGGAAGGTGCGGCGAGCGACAGAGGGGATCTGTTGCCGAGAGACGCGGGTGAAGAGGGAGCGCTGCGAAAGGGGTTAGGCACGACGACTGGATTGCGAAAGCGGGGTATGTCAATTGACATATACTTACCGAAGCCCTGAGAGACTGAGACATCATCGTGGCGGGATGTGAGATGAGAGGACTCGAGGATAGAATCTGCGAGGCAGGAATGGTTTCGTCCGTGAAGCCGAAGGTGGAAGTCAAGGTTGGACGTTGTTCGGGAATCTTCGGCTTGGCGCATGACTCAGCGAAGGCGGGCTGCGGCTCTCAAGAGTGACGCTGGAACCTCACCTTCAGCTTTCTTTCATTCTCTTCTCCAACCCCTCCTTCGCCGCCAGCCCGCTGCTTCGCACGGCCTATCCTGACTTGAAACTCGACTTCGACACTGCTTTGCTCCTTTCGTCTCTGCACGACCTTGCTCGCAGCGGTTTGTCCCATTCTGTGACCCTTTCCGTGAGATATCGCTCACGGAGACCTTGACTGGTTTTTCGCGGTCGGGAAAGTCTAGTTTCAGGGCTTCAAAGGTCTTGGGGGTTGACTTTGGAGATTTTCTTTTGTCTTCTCCCCTTGTTAACGTGCTTTTCTCTGGTTCCTGGAATCAGCATCCAATCCAGAAAGGTAAAGCCTCACTTGAAAGAACCTGATACCCTACCCCTTTTCATCCCTTCGAGCCTACAGGGTGAGAAAGATGTTCTTTCAAGTGGCAACATGACTCTAGATAATGGTTTCTAATGGTGTAACCTTTGATCGGGGCGTTGTTTCTCTACTTTCTACCAGATTCATTGTCTTCGTATCGCTTGGGGCTCTGCGCTGACATGACCAATAAAGGCAGTGACGCAGAGACGTGACTTGAGATACAAGTCCTCGATATTTGCGCCGCTGCTACCATCTCGTTCCTTTCTACCGTCAAGCAACAAGGTTTTATCCCGACCTCTTATTGGCGCAATACAGCCGGCAATCTGTATTCGCCACTGTTCATTCGTTTCTGTGTTCGAAAACATAAGCCCTTGGTTCGAAACTCAAATACCGGAAAACAACCCCGCAAAGACACGAAGGCGACAGGATCGTTCAAGAAAATGGCCGCCATCTCCCCTTCGGCCCGGCAAGATAATGCACCGTGGAGGAAAAACCTCTCAGCACATGTCATTTGTCCTGAGTGTAAAGAGGTCCCGCCAAATCTGGAATTTCCAGGCTCCCACGAGACAGTCTGCGGCTCCTGCGGTCTAGTTCTTGCAGATCGCGAAATCGATATGCACTCAGAGTGGCGAACTTTCTCCAACGATGATCAGAACAACGATGATCCTTCCCGTGTTGGAGACGCCATGAACCCGTTGTTGAATGGCGATCAACTTGAGACCCAAATCGCCAGTGGCGGTTCTGGCCGAGCCCGTGATCTTTACCGTGCGCAAAACAAACAATCCAGCGAGAAGGCAAACAAGTCTCTTCTTGCTGCTTATAAGGAGATTGGTGCCCTTTGTGATGGATTCGGAATTCAGAAGAATGTGGCCGACACTGCAAAATATCTTTTCAAGATAGTCGACGACGCAAAGGCTTTCAAGGGCAAGTCTCAGGATGTAATTATTGCCGGGTGTATTTTCATCGCTTGCCGCCAATGCAAAGTTCCACGTACTTTCACCGAGATCTTTGCTGTCACCAAAGTCACAAGAAAGGAAATTGGGCGCATTTACAAGGCTCTAGAGAAGTTTTTCACCGCTCAGAACCTGGAACGTGTCAATGCAGTCGTCTCAAGCGGCGGTGTTCCAGATCCCAATGACACGTACACGGCAACAACTTCAACAAAGCCCAGCGACCTGTGCAATCGTTTCTGCAATCTGCTCGACCTACCGTATCAAGTTACAAGCGTCTCAGTGGCACTATCGGACCGTGTCACCACAGAGGGCAATCTTGCTGGACGATCTCCTCTTTCGATCGTTGCTGCATGCATCTATATGGCATCGTATCTGATGGGTCATCCCAAGTCGGCAAAGGAAATCTCCCAAGTCGCCCATGTGAGTGACGGTACCATTCGAGGCGCCTACAAGCAACTTTATGGTGACAGGGAGCGCTTGGTTGATCAAGAGTGGATTAAAGATGGGAAGGGCGACCTGAAAAACTTGCCCCCCAGTTAGATCTCTCCGTCTTGATCATTTCGACAATCAATCAGTCCTCTTACAATTTCAGAATCACCAGCCTTTATTCGTTTAGTTAGACTATGATCTGCGGGGCAATCCTCATTATATACCCAAACACCAAAACACAAGAATATATAAACTCAGGGCTGCCGTCCTACCTGTAGCCGGCGTTATGCACTTTTCAACATGAAATCACGCTTACCCCCTTTTCTTGACTGGCTTCTTAGGAAATAAATTGCCGAGATCATTTGCAAGATGTACAGGTTACTTTCCTAATCATTCCGAGTTGACTAAATGAGTGTCATAATCTAAAAAGCCTTTCATAAATGCCTGAGTCTTGCACGACCCTGCCCGGCTTATAACCACTGTATATCTATCTAGTGCTCGAACCTTGATCGCTCAATAGGTGGGCTGAAGAATTCCTTCAGTTCGATGCCAAGCGTTGTTGATGACCAATATATATACTTTCAGAAATGGAGAAACAGATTTTGCTTTTGTGATTAAAGAGGTACAGCTGAAATAAAATGACAGTCATATACCATGTGTATTTGTGGCTCTAATCTGTTAACAAGGCCAGCTCTCGGTAAGGAGGGCCCAGGCAGATAGCATCATAATTCAGATCAAAGAAAGTCATAACAAGCAAAGCTAGTTGATAAGATTACTTTGCGGTGGTAGGCTTCGGCTGAGAAACGCTGAAGCATTATGGCCCAAGTATAGCCATAATGTGGCGAACAAGAGAAACAGGTACAACAGACAATAAAATCCGTATGCAGAGAATGTGACAGATGCAAAACGGCCAAACTGATATGAGCTAAATCAGTCATCGTCCGACGCTCTCTTGCCGTCCGCGGTGGCTGACAACGCTTCGGCGACATTATCGACCTTATCTGATACAGCAGACGGCAGGTCAACAGGCTCTTCGGCTGGTTTGGCCTGAAGCGCAGTGGGTGGTTCATCTATGGCAGGCTCCGTCTTTTCAGTTTCTGGTTCAGGTTCAGGGGTTTTGGATTCAAGGACCTCCTCCTTTTGTGGCTGTCTCTGCGGATCGACAGAATCCCCCGTCATGTTCCGAGCCAGGGGAGGTGCCATTGAATTGTTCCACGCTGAGGGCTCTGGCGCGGTTGTGCTGACCTGATCACCTTTGTTCCCGTCACCCACTACTAGGTTGCCGTCCTCACGGACCTGCCAGACGTTCCAAGTCTCCGTAATCTTGATCTCTGGAATCGTCGGCAATCGGCTGCTGGAGTTGTCGACAGCAGGCTTTCTCCGTGCGGGTCCACGAGCGCGTCCCTTGCGAGCATCACTTAACGGTCCCTTCTCCGCTGGCTCTTCTTTCTTCTCTTGCGGCTTGGGGGGCACTTGTGGGCCAAGCTGCAGGCGCGAGTTCAAGTCGGAGAGGAAGCCTGCTTTCAAAGATGCGATTTTACCTCCACCTGGGCGAGCTGGAACGGCAGGCTTGGGCTTGCTTGATACGTCGTGGGCTTCCTCACCACGGGAGATGCGGTTGGCCGGCCGCGAGGGAATTTGAGGCTTGGGTCTATCGGGAATGACGGGAGGCTGTCGCTTCTCGATAGGCGAAGTTGGGTTGGTTGACGCATCCACCTGAGGAGGCTGTCGCTTCTCAGGCCGGCGAGGAAGGCTAGGTTTTGATGGTACATCCGGACTTGTGGCTTGCTTCTCATCCGACGGCTCTATCGTTGTTACTAAAGTCTGACTTTCCGGTGCGTCCTCCCAGATATCCCGACTAGGAAACCTCTGTTTTGCGACAGCTGGGCGTGAAACTTTCTCATCTGCCTCTTCTGTATTCAAAATCCGTTGGGCAACTTGATGGCTGTCGATACTCGCTGATTGGTTCTTGCGGGCCGCCTCTTGTTCCGGGGTCTCAAAGCGGTCTTCCTTGGGAATGTCGGGCGTGGAAACAGTAGCATGAAGCTGGAGGCTGTTGGGTGAATCTTCCCAGATATCCTCACTGGGGAAACGGTGCTTGAGCGCGTCAGGGCGCTTTTTGAAGCGTTCTGCAGTAGTCATGGGCTTGTTCTCTTTCGAGTCGTCTTCCGGGAACAACGGCTCGTACTCTTCGACATCTTCCAGAGGCGCGTGAATATCTTCACGTTCCTCTCTCGAATTATACCTAGCAAGCGCAGGGGTACTGCCACGACGGCTAGCTCTACTATTCGAACGGCTCTCGTTGACACTTGGAGTCCGACTTCGGCCTTCATAGTCCATACTTTCTCTTCGGCTGAAGGTTGGAGAAACCGCGGCATGCTGAAAGGCGGATTCGGGACGGACCTCATCAGCAGCAAGAATTGGCTCATCTTCGTCTTCTTCTCCGTTGGCCCTGTTGGCAAATTCTTCGGGGTCTGGTGTCTGAGCAAATCCGTCGGGGTGGTGGAGATGGTGATAAGGTTCATCGATGTGGATCACCGAGGGCTTTTCGCTTGTTTTACCTTGCTCTCGTGCTTCGGTAGCAGGTATACTTGCGTTACGCAGCGGCGACTCAACAATTGGGCGTGTATCATTCTTCGAGTCTGGTGGCGGGGAAGCAAGGCGATGGCTGTATTCGTCAGAAGCGAGGTAACCGACCTCCTCTTCTGGTGTCCCTTTTACAGCAGGGGATGTTCCTTGGATTATATTAGAAGAGGTTTCCCTCTACAAGAAGCAGCTTTCACGCGTTGGCAGACTCACCTAGTCCGGAGCCAGTGACAGCGGAACCGCGAACAATCTTGTTCAAATCATCGCTACTCAACGCCCAATCCGGGCGGGGTGTGCCAACGCCGGAGCCGTAATGACCTTGCTCCTCCTTGACGTATTCATCTGGATGTTTTTCATACCAAGCTTTCTCGAACTTATCATTGGCAGGCACTCCATGCCCGTGAAGGCCGTAGCTACCGGGTGGCAGCGAATTCTCGCGGCCACTACGGCTGCGGTTATGGCCACGACCAGGGCGCTGACTGGGTTGCTCCAGATAAGGGCTCGGAGAGGGAGCTTGTACATCGCCTGCATTAGCCAGCATTGGAACCCTCTGGCCAATCTCAGGAATACCATGTTCCTCATCATGTATGGAGCGAGGACGGTCAAAAGACGTGGTTGATGATGCTGCGCGGGATCCCTGGGCAGAGTAGATGGAGCGGGTAGGCCTTTCGAGTACTTCATCTTGCTCAGGTGAGCCTATCGTGCCAAAGCCTGCAGCTGCAGCCTGATTAGAATCTGTGCGAGTGACTGCCTGCACTTTGGCCTTAGCGCTGGATGTAGGAAGCGAGGGACGCGGCGCATGAAGTTTGAGATCGCTGGCCACGTTGCGGGTCTCCGTAGGAGCTGGCTGATGGCTGTCGGAGCCATTGCCCACGTGCAGATCCTGGTATTCGATCCCTTCTTCACCAAGCGATGGAATTGTCACGCTGGGGGGTCGGGGAGGCAAATCGTTCGAGACAGTACGAGAGAGGTTCGAGCCGTTCGGGGGCTCGTTCAGCGGGGAGGGCGCATAGTTGGGGCTGAAGGGAGACACGGAGCGCTCAAAGCGACGTGTAGGGCGAGGAGGGACTTTTGGCATGTCTGTCGTAGCACCTTTCTCGAGGGGTGACCTTGACGGTCGAGGTGGGATAGCGGGCCCCGTTTGTGTTGTCATGATGAGTATATGTATCTTTTGAAGCAGTCAATCGGAGCTCTAGAGGCCAAGTTGATTGACGGTTAGCACTCGGTCTCAGCACTCTCCAGGGAAACGCATAGGCAAATTTGCACAGCAGTTTCAGCGTCGCAGCAACAATTACGAGCGCAGGCTTTTAGATTGTGCATCCCATCGATCTTCCAGCAGATGTTCACTGCAAGGTGGTTTCAGGGAGGGGCGCCCCAAATGCAGACAGACAGGCCAGGATCAGCTCCTGATAAGATAAAAGGAAGCCAATAGCATGCTCGATCTTACAGATCAATCGCTGAAGACGGCCACAGCATTCCTCCAAGGTCTGAAAATGCTCAAGAAGGGATATGAAGCGGGCATGAAAGGGACAGTTAGGTTGGCACTCACCAGTGAAGTAAAAATAACAGACTGGAGAAGGTTCAAGTTGTGACTATAGCTATGCCAGTGTCAGGCAAGGAAATAGACAGCTCTTCTGGCCTGGTAAAGCGTCAATGTGGAATGGGCGAACTGAACGTAGGGGAAAGTGTATAATTGACAGCTGGAATAAAATGAAGAAGCAGAAGCAGACAGCACGGGGAGCAGCAGCAGCAGATGATGTATGACTTTGAATGACTGTTCTCCAGAAAGAATAATACCGCGCGAAAGAACTACTGGTGGCCATAAACCCCGCCTAACCGCTTTCTTCCTGCCACGGCCCACTGCCCCATCGCGTGACGTGCTCTGACGCCATTCCAGGGCTTTCTCCATGGTCTGGAAACCGTATGGTGACTGTAATCTGGCTGTGAGCCAACAAGAGGCGCTCGTTGCAATTACAGAGTTTTCAAGTTTCCCGTTCTTATATTGAGCTGAAGGACTGCAATTATACGCCTTGGACTTCAAGATGAACATGATATGCTGTACTACTCCTGGATCTCGAAGATATCTTAAACAGCTGGGATGTATTGTGACAAGGGTCTGACTAGGTACTAAAGCAGTATACAGTATAGTCACCAATGGTTTGATAAGCCTGGTTACCCCAGACGGATGAGAGCTTGCTCCGAATTTGCGGTTGCCAATTTTTTTTTTTTTCCCCTTATTTCTTCCAGCTTTTCGAGCTGAGGCATTTTCAAGACCCGCGTGCATTAGCCTGTACGCGCTCCACCCAAGTTCCCCAGGTACCTCAAGGCTCAAAGTTGATGTGAGATATGGCCATTGTTATTAGTTTCCCAGTCGCAACATCAAGGCTCGGATCAGAGATAAGTATACAATTACTTATGTAACGATACTTTGTCTGCTTGATACCAAAAGCCTATCAAGTTATCAAAGTCTTTGGTTATAGGACTTTCCTTTGTCCTCGGCCCCATCATTGATATGCCCAGGCTAGACCCGGCCCGGCTGTAAGCATTTTCCTCACTCGCCCAACAAACAGGTCAGAGAATAAAAATCAAAAGTCTCTCATGCTTCTTCAGGCTCTCAATCTACCATCTTGTCAAGTGAAAATTCTGCTGCTCATGCGCACATGGTTCAGATCACAGGCCTAGATCAAATTCAGGAGCCCGGTGAGTGGGGTAATGCCAGCACCCCGATTGCACTTTTATTGGCAGCCTTATCAAAGGTATTCATCATTGGCTATCAATAGCCCATAGTAGCTGGAGTAGCCGGCGCCGGATACTGTTGAACCTGCGGTCAAATTCGCTCACTGGATGAACCAATAATAGCTTGTACCACTGGTGGAGTGTGGATTGTATCAACCTATATCTGACTGGCTGCAACCCCCTCTTTCAAAGTTATAGCGAGGCGGTGTGCTGCTTGAAGGTTGAGAAAGCCTGAGCCACATTTTAAAGCCGCGGATCAATCACTACTACCTACATCAACATTTGCCGGATGTGAGTCAGAAAGGGGAATGGCCAGCTTTGAGATATTTAATTTGGCTGCCCTCACCGCATGCGACTCGGTATGATCATCCGAGCAACTTCTTGAACACCCCTCGCCTACTGGTCAAAAGACTGCTCAAGGCGTCAATGCTAAGAGTTTCTCAGCCCCGCACGGAGAGCACATTGTGTCGGGCTGCCGCTATCTATCTACCCCAGAGTACATCAGTGATGCGCAGGCACAGACTCGTTGGATACATACGCCATCAACGAATCCATCGGCTGAATGATCATTTTGAGATCCTGGTAGACTACTATGGTAGTAGTCCCATATACTTCACTGCAGTGTGTGTACATGTCAGGCGATCCAGGAGTGCTCAGGAAGACACAGCATCTAAGTACCCTGTTGAAACTTACACCTACACTCTAGAAGTGGTTCTCATTTGTTACAGCATAGAAGTAATCATGTTGAGCTTGAATACTGCCAAAACAGACAGTATCAACCAGAAAGCCTGGTATGGACCGGCAACTACTAGTAGGTACGAGACCGAGACCCATCAAGCTTGAAACCTGCAGGGCGGGTTTCACGATTGTCCCTATATAGTCATGAGTATAGTGGCGTTGTTCAAGGCTCCAGCATGTTCAAGAATATACCTCTTATCCAATTTCAGGTAAGCACTCCATAGCTTACAGATTACGAGAGGATACTACAAGGAGACCTGCAGAGGAGTGTGGTAAATTTCAGTTATAATTAGAGCAAGAAAATTGCTCATGTGGCCTGTCCTGGTGATGATCCCCGTTCTCTACCGCCACGCTGTGGATCCATTTATTTCAGTAACGGAGATACACAGGGCTGGGTCTGTGGCTCAGCTGCAACCAGTGGCCCTGGTGGTCCAAAATCCACAGTGAGATTTCAAGCTAAGGCCTTGTGATTGGCTATTTTGTTCTCTTGAAACCAGAAGACAAGTTGAGACAGGGATACTGCAGATGAGATGTCTCCAAATAATGAACCCCAGATAGCATACTACTACCTACTAGGTACGTTGTACTCCTACGAGTATGACTGACAATGATTAGTAGTATCTACTCACATCAACTGCCCCTGGGCACTGGAGGACCAAGCTTACCACCACAAAGTCTAGTTAGCTCAGGGCTATGCTCACAAAGAACCCATGCCGCCACAGTTGAGCGCGGACTCGCTCAAGGGCAGTCATGAAGAACACACCTCAAACATTTTGGTATACTTCCTTGGTTCGAGCATCGCGAACTCTTACCCGGAAAAACTGGCTGCTTCCTCGCGCCAACCCGTTTTTAACCTCCCCATTCTCTGTACGGGTGTCCAAATTGATATACCGAGAAAACAAAGTACTAGTTCAGCAGCAGTAGTGCTGTTCAAATAATGCGGGGTAACTGTTGAGGGACATCTCGGGTAATGACGTAGAATTCTTCCAGGCATACCCGCATTACCCTCGGTAGAGTCGCTTCTCGATGTATATAGAGGCAGTCGAACCCTGCAAGTAGACTGTTGTATTCGAGCATTCATCTTATGTTCGCAGCGCTACCTAGCCTTTGCGGTTGGATATATTCTAACGCGAGGACCTCCCTCCAATCGTGAAAGGTACTCTTGGCGTCGTCAGGTATAAGATAAGGAATTGACACTTGTCATCAAGAAAGAATAGGATATCGGCTATATACAAGATATTTAAGCCCATCAATTCACTGCCACTGAGTAAATTTAACTATTTGTCAAATATTCAGGCTATTGACCTTACCCCGCGGTAGGGCCCCCGTTCAAACAGGATGCTCAGCTACCTCCAGATCCTTACAGAAGGCCGACAGGTACAACGTGCCAGTAGTATAGGGAAGACTTGCACTAGTAGACTCTGTGTATGGCTTGCATTGCAGGTGGTTGACCAGTGTGCAAATACGTTTTACTGGTATGTATTGAGAAAAGGCCACTCGTACTTTGGCAACCACAACATACGGCCTTTGATAGACAGGCCCTCGTCCATGACGTCAATATGTAAATGTTGAGGGCTATACTACTACTAGTGAACTACAACGTAAGCTGGAGAACCATGGAAAGTTATGCCCTTGACTTAAGACAGTGAGAATCGGTAATTCTGTTCGTGAAGCAGACGCGAGTAGCGACTACCTAGGTAGGCATTAAGGTTTGACTATAGTTTGGAGCTTTAAATTTGTAAGAGCCTATAGTTTGGGCAAGGCAACGGCTGTTATCATATAGAACCATTCCCTACATACTAAGCCAGCAATAAATAGCCCTTCCCAAAGTGTTTGAAGTGCACTTTATCGATTGGGAAGTTGTATGCGGTTAAATGCGTTAACCCCCTCTTTAGGTATGTGATTTACAGCTTTCCATCACCAGGATGATTGTATTAGGGTATATGCTATAACAGACATTGACACTGAGCCACGATGAGGTTCAGCAAGGACATGAGAAACCATCACCAACAGAGCCTTGTATAAACAAAAACAGGCGAATAACGATGCAAATATGGTCCATAAAGCAAGCGAGCATCAGGAATACTTGCTCCAAAGAGCCAACTCGTGTCTCAGACAAGATCTGGCTTCTCAACCAACATGAAATACTTGTACAAAAGCCGTAGCAACGGCATCAAGGATAGCAGCGTCAATCGTAATCATAGTGCATAAGACGCAGGTATAATTCTTCGTCAGCGCACCGTCTTCTTCTCATTCCCTCATTCAACCTCTTGACTTTTTTATCTCCAGCCCAGAAACGACAAATAGCATCAGTGCTACCTGCATCTACTTCAATGAGACTAGCCGTCAGAGAAGTCATGGTTGTGGTCCGACGGTGTTGTATTAGACGATCATTTGCGCGATGCCTTGTCCGCCCAGGGTCTTGCTGCCAACAAAATCCTGGTTCTTCAGACCTGCCAGCGCATAGAATAGACCGGCGATGAGGAGGAGGACAGCGGCGGCGAGTAGACTGGAGGGATCTTTGAGCAAGCTGAGCCATTGGACAATACTCATAACGGTATATACCGCAGCTCGCATATAGTTGGTTGTGAACCGTCGGATGAAGGTATCGAATTTCTCGGAGGTAGGACAGATTCTCAAGAGGAATGGCACTTCAATGAAGACAAGAATGCAGCCCGAAATGCTGTAGATATTAGTCGCCAGACATACTAATCAAGTAACCCATCAACTCACATGCACAAGATGCTGAAAATGATGAGAACCGCGTTAAAGGAGAAAATATTGGCAATACCGACGGCAAGACACAGGATGATGCACAGCACCCCCGTCCTAATCGCACGATCAGCAAATCGTCCAGGGAAAAAGTGGCCCCTTGATTTTGAGGTTCCAGATAGATACTGTGAGTTCGAGCGAGCGGTTCAACAGCTGTCGATCATCTGAGCGACAATCAGGACCTCCAACATTGGAAGCAAGCAATGCCAAGCATCTCCGTTGAAAGTGTCCAGGCAGCCATTATTCGTTGATGGCGGCCTTTGATTATGCGCAACAGTGTGATAAAAAGAGAAATAACAGATCATAATTTGGGGCACAAACCATTGTCCGTAGATACCTAGGAGAAAAGCTGTTAGCTGCTTGTCCGCCGACAGTCAACAAAGGTAAGACGGAAGCTCGTACTAAAGTTTCTCGAACGGAACTCTTCTGCAAGAGACATGTTGGAGAGCTTTGAGGTAGCAAAACAATCGCAGGCTATACGGATTATGCGGTCAGGTAGTGCGAAGAGCTTTTGGGAGTCTGGAGGGATAAATCAGAAGGAAGTCCGGTTGAGTCAAGAGCACCCTGCAGATGTTCCAAAGGCAAGACAAAGCGCGACAAACAAAAATGGGGCCAAGTTGCCATTTCTCGGCGGCGATCCCCTCACCGCCTGCAGGCAGAACTGCGGATCCGGGGTGTCACTTCCGTTGGGGCAACAGCTGGTATGATCCAACTTGGGTAACCTCAACTTCTCCGCATTGGCCAACGTCTTGTCTGTATCTAGACAAAATCTCAACCCCTACACCTCCTGACAGACATTTAGCATGGATGCAGGGACTAAGCACGGCCGTAATGTCTCCAGATGTAAGCATTTCTTTCTGCTGCCCAATCGTGACACTGATTGTTTTACTAGCTTCAAGACCGCGTAGTTCAACTAAAGGCCCTCTTGATCAACCAGACGAGTAAGAGTTGGATCTTCAGCCTAGCCGAGCGGATGCTGATAAAACTATAGCCCTCTCAATGTTGAGAGCTTGAGCAAGATCTCGACACCATTGATCTCAAAACCAGCTGATTATGGAATGTATACCGGCGCTTCTTTCAGCACTTTGGATCCGTTGGCTCCAGAAGAACTGTCAACGAATCTGGAAAAAGACCTTTCCTTTCTTCTTCGGTACGACAACTACCATTCTCTCTCACAAGTCGATATTCCACATGCTTTGCGATCCGAGTTCATATCGCTCAAACCTGATGAGTCCCTGACTTCATCACTTGGTACTCTTGAGGCGTTGCTAGTCAGAGGCCATTTCCTTTCAGCGGCCTACCTCTGCGGTACTATCTTGACGTCGTCACTTGTTTCTCCTACCGACATCAAGCATGTTTTTGCACTGTTTTACACACGGTTGGCATGCCTGGAGCTTTCAGGCAACACTGTCATTGCAGCTCAAGAATCCAAGGCTCTCGAAGATTTAAGCTCGACATTCTACTATGTGGATCCTCCAACAAAGGCCGCTGACGGGCATCATGACCACCCAAACAACCCTCGTCATATCGCGCCGTGGCCGCTACGTATTCTGGCTATCAGGTTGCAGAGTATTGGATTTGGAGACTCACGTCGGGGGATTGGCGGGTTGTATGAGCTCGGATTGGAAGCGCGAAGGGAGATAGTGCGTCCGGATCTGAACCCTACCGAACGGGAAATATGGAGAAGTAGACTATCCGATCTTGGAATACGGACGGTGAATGCATTGATCGAGATGGGGGATCTCAGTGCAGCCAAGAGGTCGCTAGAGAGCCTGAGGCAAACGAAACCAGACCATGTAATCACCGATGTAAGAGCGGTGCTTTTACTCCTTTCAATTGGCGATGTTGACGCGGCAAGACAACTGTGTTTGGAAATTGGCGACCCACGGGGGGCAATATTAAAACCTCTCCTCTGCATGGCAGAAGGCAGTTATGATGACGCAGCCCTTGAATGGCGGTCTCTCCTAGGCAGCAACGACAGAGCGATGGACGACGCCGCAATCTCTCAAAATTTGGCTGTGTGTTTGCTATACACTGGCCAGCTCAATGAGGCATGTCTCCTGTCGCGGTCTGTTGTATTGGGGCACGATTAACGAGTCTCGTCTTAGGCACGAAAAGTCTTGGAATCGCTGGTCCAGAAACAGCACTCTTTCTCCAGCCTTGTCTTCAACTTAGCGACAGTGTACGAGCTTTGCTCTGACAAGTCTGTGCAGCTGAAGACTGGGCTTGTTGGAGCTATTGCTGAACAGCCAGTTACTGGCGATACCAACCGTGAGAAGCTAAATGCAGATTTCAAGTTGTAAGCAACGTCATGGGAGTGACATTCTGCAGGAGATTGTGCAGTAAGTCTGTCAGGAAAGAACACGAAGTAATGACATGTGCTCTATGAATATGCATATGGTCTGCCCTTCTATACACCAAGAACGCCCACACTTATCACACGCCATACGCCCGATGCTCCGAAACGCTTATGCGGTATCAACAAATCACATCAGAACTACCAAAGCATCGTCATGAGGTTTCCTGGATTGGCGTCAAAGGACCTTCGGGCTTCGGCTTTGATCTCGGCTTTCGGATTATGATCCGGTCGCCTTCTTTCTGCCACCCTAGCTTCTCCACCTCGACCAGCTTTTCCCATGTCCAAGACTGGTCCCCTGTGCAGCCCTGAACGACCCAAGCAATGTCAACACCGAGGTAAGACCGACCCACTGCTTTAAGAGCGCGTCGCCGGACTCGATCCTCTGCCCAGTTCATCACTGCACGCATTAGAGAATCCACTTCTTTCCGAACTCGCCAAAAGACTATCCAGTTGTCATGCGCAATGGCTTGCAGAACCTGATCAACTTCTTGCGATTGGAAATTATACTGCCTACGAGCCCGTGCGCGCAGCTCAAAGGCAGTAAGCAAATCCTCTTGCCGGCACGCGTAATCCAGTATGAGATACGAGAAGTATTCTTTTAATTCTGATTCCGGGAGTGGGTTCGAAGGGGTATGAAGATGGTCGAGAAGGTAGCGAAGGGAGGGAAAGTACGACGGCGGGTGCTGAGCCTGGATGGAAACTTTGATGGAGAACACATGGACCCGCTGAGAGAAAGCGATAGGAACAGTTGAGGCTGTGGCCAGGACAGCTTCGCGAAGCTTACGAAGGGACAGGAGGAGGGTGGACAATTCTGTGGCAGCTGTAAGACCGGGTGACGCAGCGGATTTGGCCGACTGTGGAACGGAGGCTGGGGGGTTCTTCGTTGCATCGTTAGAGGCGCTCCTGGGGAGGGATAACCAAGCGGAGTCTAGGTTCTTTGAATGCCGGGCGCAAAACTCAATATATCGGGCCACAATCTTGTCGTAATAGTCCTGCTGGGTTTTGTGGTCTAGTAGCCTGCGAAGTGGGTACTGGTTAGTTAGGTGAAGCATGGAGGAACAGGGCGAATCATACTTGCGATCGCCCTTGGACACAAAGCCCACTGTTTCAAGCGAGTCTGTCACGGGCTTGAGACGACTGCCTAGCCATTTTCCTGGAGACGCCCGGCCAGTCATGCTGCGGTGCAATCTGGGGGCTATGGGAGGGCATCGATCTGCCGCGGGGAAACTCGAGCGAGTGCGGGCGATACTGCTAAATATGAGCTTAATGTTTGTCCTGTTTGCTCGCTTTGAATGGTTTGCTAGACTTCCCCAACACAATGAGATGGCTTCTAGAAGCCTCAACAATTCCTTTTGTTTTCTTTCCCCTTTTTTACATATTGAGGTTATTATTATAGATTTTGAGGCATTTACGTACGTTTATATCTAGACACCATATCTGGCTGTTCTCGTCGATTTTCTTTTCTTAGTCAGGTTCCTTCGGCATCTGCCCTCCCATTGCATATTCGCGATGCCACCTCGTCAGCGTCGTCCCACCGAAAGCCATCAGAAGGATCCAGGAAGCTGTCAGACAGCTTCTGTAGCGGCTGCAGTGTTAGAAGATCCTCCCCGAGCTATCAGATCTCTTCTTCACTGGAACGATCTGCCCCACTGGCAGCGGGATAATCAGCATATCCACACGGGATATCGACCAGCATCGAACTCGTTTCTCGTTTCGTTTCAGTCCCTGACATATATTCACAACGAGACCGTCAATATCTATACCCATCTACTGCCGTCAATCTTGGCAGTCCCAGCTGCGACCCAACTCTATCGAGTCCTCACTCCGCGTTATAAGACCGCCACCGATGGCGATATTCGTGCCTTTGGCTGCTTCTTCGGGGGCGCCGCCTTTTGCCTAGGGATGTCGGCGTTCTACCATACCATATCGAACCATTCCCCGACTGTGGCACGCATTGGGAACACGTTTGACTACATTGGTATCGTAGGACTGATAGTGGGTAGTTTCGTCCCTAGCGTTTACTATGGCTTCTATTGCGTTCCTGAGATGCAGAGGCTGTATTGGTCGATGATATGCACGATTGGCCTTGGCTGCGTCGCGGTTTCGATCTTCCCTCAGTTCCGAACCCCCCGCTGGCGCCCATTCCGTGCAGCCATGTTTGTCGGAATGGGCCTGTCAGCGGCGTTTCCGGTGGTCCATGGGTTGCAGCTGTACGGGCGTGACCAGATGATGCGCCAGATAGGCCTCGGCTGGCTTTTGCTTCAAGGATTTCTGTACATCCTTGGTGCCGGGATTTATGCAGCCCGAGTCCCCGAACGGCTGCAACCAGGGAGGTTCGATCTTTGGGGAAGTTCGCATCAGATCTTTCATGTGCTTGTTGTTTGCGCAGCCATTGCTCATCTGACAGGACTTTTAACTGCCTTTGATTATAGACATAGCGGGACTACAGAAAACTGTCCCGCAGAGCTTATTATGTGATTCGTCACAAAGAAAGAGAAACCTTTATGATCACACGAACAAGCAAAAAAAAGTTTTAGTTGGATAACACGTTACTTTGGGCCCGAGGTTACAATGATCCAATCTGAGGCGTGATATACATGTTGGACGGTGATGATATTGCGCTGACGCTCATCATACGAGATTTGTCCAACCAGAAAAGAGTTCCTCGTGCTGACCTGACAACTTGTACGACTGCGAGTAAACTTGAGTTTGCCCTAAAATGAGGCCGGCAACGAAAGAAAGCCTACTCCACGACCAAGGACCATGAGAAACGAAAGAGAGCCTGCAATAATACTGCGCTGTCGGGTCCTGTGAATTTCACCGCTTCCTCTGCAGTGTCGCAACTCAAACGAGAAGGGCAGGAGGCCCTGCTGCCTGCGCGCTGCACCTGTTTACAGCTCACATGCTGCGCTGGCATGCGTCCAGAGTACGTCGCTACAGTGGCCTTTTTATTTGATATTCCCCAAAGAATGGAAAAACAAAAGAAGCTGGCCGCGGAAAATAGATCTAGTCGATATTCTGATCCCACGGCACTGGTACGTGGCTTGTACCATGGTGTCGCACCTAAGCTTATTCATCGGCCTTACCGTACTTGATTCTCGAGGCGAGTACTCTCACTTTCCCCCAGGAACAGCGGATGATGCCAAGTGATTGGTTACTCTCTCTTTGGCTTTCGAACGAGCTGGTGTCAGTTGGACTCAGGCATGCAGATTAAGCCCTAGATCGCAGTTGGCTGGCTTTTATGTCTGGTGGATCAGAGGGGGTTCTGGGGTTTCACAACGGCTGACCTCGTCTGTGCTCAAGTCGTCAACCAAGTATGAACTGAACTCTGCAGCATGAGCGGCAATGCCTTGATTATATATACATAGATGTATATATAATCAGAATACGCTGGGCAGTACATGGCTTACACACCCCAAGAGTTGTGCATTCTCCCTCCTTGGCTTACCGCAGATTCTACTTTGCCCTTGCATTCCAGAACTTTTCAAAATCCCTGGTCGCCTCTACTTTTGCTGCGTGATGCTCACAGGCTCTGGTGCAGCGTCCGGTAACCGAGAAACGCCGAAGTTTCGGACAGCTTGCGAGAACTGCAGGCAGTCAAAGGTGAAATGCAATTTGTCCGGGAAGGACACTTGCCTTCGCTGCCTCCGCCATGGGCTGCCCTGCCGCTACCGGGTTGCGAATAGATCCGGCAAACCCAAGGGAAGCAAGAATAGGTCAACGCTACGGAAGCTGGGTCAACTGCAAGAGAACAAGGCTGTTTCTATCCCGAACGATCATCTTGTAAGGAGAAGCATCGAAGCCATACCCAGCCCGAGGTTCGCACGCAGCGAAGCTGAAACGGTGATTGCTACTTCATTTTTTCCGGTCTTGATATCATCCATCTAAACGCTGCATAGATCCTACAACCCGAACCAAGGCTTCCGGACAGCCCAATAGGCGAGGTGCCTAATGCGTCCATGTTTTTAGCCGACTGCGCAGAATATCCTTCGCTGTACGGAGATTCGATGGCGGACAGCCCTTGTGCGGAGGCTTCGATGTCGCCGACTTTCTTGCAAAAGGAGTTCATTACGAAAGGATTGACCAGCTTTCCCCTTGCAGTGCACATCCCCAGCGCGCTTCGGCCAACATGTGACTGTTCGGAGACGCTGGTTTTCTATCACGACCACCTACGGCAGATGGTAATTAATCCAGGGCAGCTTCGGTTCGATCAGACGCTCCAGGGAGTGCAGGCAGCGCTCGCGATATGTCGCGGATTCTTACAGTGCCCAAGTGGGCACAAGGAAGGCCACAACAACACTGATGGTACGAGTTTGATTCTCTGCATGTCTACCATAGAGTTAGTCCTACAAATATTGGACTACTGGACTTCATACGAGCTCCTTCCACAGCCCAGGGAGGCAATTCCCTGTGAGACGGTAGGGTATGGAGAGTACGAGATGGGACCGGACGAGACTCGCCGAGTTCGCCGCTTTCTTATCCGAGGACGGCTCCTGCTCTGCAAGGAGACACTCGGCCTCCTTAAGAGTGTGACAAGCGGCGAGAACACAGAGGGAATAGGAGGAGGCTGGCTACAACAGATCATTGGAGGCACTGAGGCTATGACTGACACTTTTCTCCATGCCATGTCTGAGGCAGAATGTATCTGCAACTTTTAGCGCGCTGCACGTATAGCCTAATCTGACTACTTAATCACCACATAACCGTCGACTACTCTGTGTTTTGTTGGTCGGTGCAAGAAACTGCTGAAGCCGTCCGGACGGCTCTCGGTTGGGACTGCAGCAACGGGCCTCGGCAAACACCTCCCCGCAGCTTGAGCATAATGTACTTGACCACTTTATAATGACTCTTCTCTCCTTCTCTACGCGCACCCTCCTTTCCGTTACTTGATCAGCCTATCTGTGCACCCAAAGAAAACAAAATGGCATCCCGCCTTTCTCAGATCAACGCCCACCTCAACTTCCCCCGCGGCCTCCTCGCCGGGCAAGTCGCCATAATTACCGGCGCAGGCCAAGGCATCGGCGCCGAAGCAGCCCGGCTCTTTGCCAACGAAGGCGCAAAGGTCGTAGTTGCTGACATTGATGGCGGTACTGACCCTTTCTTCTTCTGCTATTCAATCTCCTCTGACGAGCACTGTAGAAAAGGCAAACGGCGTCGTCAAGGCCATCAACGACGCCGAGCCCAACCGCGCCATTGCTGTGGTCGGCGACATCCTCGATGACAAGTATATCCAGGATCTCGTGGACAAGGCTGCGGCTTTTGGAAACGGCAAGATTCATATCATAGTGAACAATGCCGGGTTTACCTGGGATGGTGTCATTCACAAGGCGGGTACTCTCCTCTTACCACCTGCCAGTCGCTCTTTCCTCTGTTGAATACGCTGGGTCGTTCTTTTCTTCTCCGTCCTCCTCCCGGCGTTCCTTCCCGATAGGGTCGTCGAACTCTCAGGAAGGAGCAGGTCTCCCACAGTGCTGGACACCCGTCGCTCTTTCCCAGTAGGCCTCTGGCCCTATTCACGGTCCGGATATTGTTTTTTTGTTCCTCTTTTTGTTTTTCTCCCCCTCTCTCTTGCTCTCTTCCCGCCGAGGCCACACTCATCGCAAAGATATATTTACTAACCTGGCTGAATGTTTAGATCACAGACAAGCAATGGGACACCATGATCGCGGTCCACAACACAGCCCCCTTTAAGCTTATTCGCGCCGCAGCAAAGTACTTCCGCGTCAAGGACAAGGAGCCCCGCGTGATCATTAACATCAGTTCAACCAGTGGTATCCACGGAAATGCGTACGTTCCCTTTTTTTTTTCACTTGATGCGCCTCCTCTTCTTCCACTTCACTTGTATGTGCGAAAGCCAAACACTAACATGGACCTGCGATGTAGCGGCCAAGCAAACTATGCCCTCGCCAAAGCCGGCGTCGTTGGTCTAACCCGCACCATCGCCAAGGAATGGGGTCCCCAGTTTGGCGTCCGCAGCAACACGATTGCGTTTGGGTTTGTACAGACTCGCTTAACGGCTGCTAAGGAGGCTGGTGCGTTTATTACTACTCCAGATGGTACCAAGGTTGCGCTGGGTATTCCCGGACAGCAGCTCGGTGCGAAGAAGGGTGGTGAGGTTGCGACGTATCCCGATATCCCTCTGGGACGACCAGCGAGTCCGGAGGAGGCGGCGAGGAGTGTGTTGGCTGTTGCGAGCCCATTGTTTAGCTATGTCAATGGGGAAACGATTCGGGTTACTGGTGGAAGGAATATGTAAACTCATCCCTCGGTTATATATTCTTGTTCAAATGCCATGTTCAACATACATACATACATATATATATATATTATGAAGTCCAAGATTAGGTTTTGAATACAGAAAATAACCTTTATCAAGGGTTCGAAATCAAACATGTATTTTGCTTGACATCGAGGCATCGTATTTAATGACGAACAAGGCCGATGCGCTTGGGCCGAAATTATTCACACCAAAAGGGGGCCGTTTATCAACAGGAACCTCCACCGTGTATCTCCGGGTATATCTCAACAAACAGGAGAGCAACAGCCATCCAACTCCATGACAGAAACCAGGCCAACATGACAAAAACACAAAAGCAAGTGTATGCGATGCTTCATCCTCCGGGGTATTTTCTGTGTCACAAACAAAACTCCAATAAACACCGTACAGATGTCCAACAAAACCCAATTGATCCCCCCAAATGAGAAAAAAAGAGAAAGATGTATTAAAAAAGAATCCAAGATTCCGAGATTGGTCAACCCCAGTGGATCCAAAGCGGATTGAAATGTATCCTATGGATCCTTTGGGAGGCCAAACAGATCAAATCCAGGGAATCCAGGTGGTGTCCATGGACTTAGGGCCAGAAACGAGAATGTATGTCCAGAGGCATAAAAACGAAATCCAGGGTGGGAGATCCAGGGAATAATACAGTGGGTGGAATGGGTGACAATCAAAATGAATAATGTGCAAGAAAGGCGTATGTGGCCAAATATTGTCGACGTAAATCATAGTCCATGTTCGTTGGACGTGCTAGCAGACGGGAATAGGATAGGTGAATGGTTGTTGACAAACCACTAGGGGCTCCGTGGTCATGGTCTCCGTGACGAGGGGGGAGGCCACAAATGGTTCAGATAGATCACTGCATGCGATAGAGTCCGCCTGCGGGACATCATCCTTGCAGTGGACTTCGGGCTCTGGCCCTAGCGAAGAAACACTCTCCAAGTCTGGATAACCTTCAGTGTAAGAAGAAGTATCCGAGACTGCGGAGAAAGAGCCGGAATACTGAGACGAATCAGACGAACAGATGGAGGACTGTGCGTTCAGGTCCTCGACAAAGGCGGGCAACTGAGGGGGGTGGAGGTAGTTGACGAGTGGTCCAGTCGTAGAACCCCATGGGGTCACAGGGTTCAAAGTGAATCGCGGACAGTCCAAAATGAGTTGACGGAGCTCCGGAATGGTGATCCTCTTGGATGGGTCGACCTCAAAGATGCGGCTGAGGATACAGACCATCTCATCGGATAGAGGCAGGATAGACTTGAGGAAAAAAGGATCCTTGAGGTAAGCGCGGAAAGTGGAATCCTCCATCGAGGCGCGCTTCCACGGATTTCTGCCGCAGGTAAGGTTGACGAGGATTACGCCAAGACTCCAGACGTCGTTTGGTGCCGATTGATAGTAAGACATTGGGCGTGGGTTCGGCTGTTGACACTCTGCATCCACCAAAATATTAGCCTTGTTGATTGAAACATAAGAAGAAAAACAAAGTTACCTGGTGACATGTAGAATGTTGACCCGCAGCCAAAATCAGAAGTCAGATAGTCTGTTGTCGCGAGCCCAAAATCGGCTAATTTGACGGTCAATCCCTGGTCGGTGACCAGAATGTTCTCAGGTTTGAGATCACGGTGGTAAATCCCCAGCGTATGGCAGTAATGGACTGCATCCAGGATCTGGAGGAACACCCGCCTGGCCAAAGGATCGTTTCCAACAAAGTGGCCTTTGTCGGTGATGCTGGAGAACAAGTCCCCCTCGGGACAGAATTCAATGACCACGTAGGTGCAATCGACGGAGTCCATGATGCGAACCAGGGAAACCACGTTGGGGTGTTGACTGGCCATATGGTGTAGCTTGATTTCCCGTTGCTGAAACTTGAGCTGGCGGGGATCCAGCCCAGATTTGTTGAGAGCCTTGACTGCGTAAACGACATCGGTGTGGATGTCCACGGCTGTGTATACAACGCCGTAAGCACCGACTCCGAGAATGCTGGTGAGTTCCAGCCGGTTGGCAAGCAAAAGTCCTAGGCGTTCTTCCGGGGCATAGCAGCGAGGGAGTGGAGGGGAGGGGGGAGGGGTGGGAAGCATATGAGGGTACATGAAGGGAAGAGCAGCAGGGGCCAGCATGATCTTATATAAGAGCAGCAATCCTGGAATCCTTTTTAATCCTAAATGCGAGTTCCAATGGACGAGGATGATCCTGGGAGAATAGTATCTGGAAGAGCGCGACTGAGGACAGGAAGACCAAATCGGACCGTATATGGTATGCTCTTTAAGAAGCCATGGAAGGAGTGAAGTCGGTCAAGGCGGTTATCCTGGGAATATCCAACGGAATGAGGAAGGACTTTTAGATGTTGGAAAGAGCTACTTGTCAAGGGGCTCTTGTTGCACAGCCAGGTGATCCAGGAACTTGGCAGAGGATTGTTTGTCCGTTGGGGGCTGAACAAGTTGTTGGTGGTGGTAGTAATGGTTGTTGATGTTTTGTTGTTGACCGGCAAACCAGGAAACAAATATTAAGAGAAGAAAATATACAGAACTGCTGGATAATATACGCGAAGAGAAAGAAAAGTAAGAAACGTATGAACAGCGGAAGAGAGGACGTTGCTGGGGATGGAGGAGAGGAGGAGGGATGAGGATGGAGAGGAGGATAAGAGGAGCGGACGGGATAAAGGGACACGAGCTAAGTACGAGCGAAGACGGGGCACGTCGCAGTGGTAATAAAAATAACGGCTGGAGGCAAAGCATAAGAGATTATCTTAATCACAGCTCCAGCAGATCGTGGCCACCGCCTCCTGGAGCCCGCAGATGTTACAGGCGCTCTCTGCAGCGTACGGTCACAAGCCCGTAACTCGCCGCGGTGGCTTCAATTCGTGCCTGCCTCACCGACCATTGGCCGCCCCAGAGAGCCCAGGGAGGCGGTGTGCTGCCCAGTTTGGTGTGACGGCTCCACTCACACTACATCAGACCCGCCCCACTTGATTGGCAGAGCGCTGCCTCGCCTGTGCTGATTGGGAGGTGGGAACAGGGCTCCTCGTTTCCTTTTTTACCAGCCTCTGATGATTCATGACATTCTCCAGGCTTTCGTTGCTGGTTCCCAAGGTTCCAGTCTGAGATGGCGGAGATCTCTGTCAACCAGAGTCTGGAGGACTCTGATTCAAGTTGGTGGCACACCGTCTTTTGATGGCCGTTGGCAACAGAGTTTCTGCTGTGAGCGGGGTTGTTTTGCTCCAAGGTGAGATTTGCCATTGCCAGACTGCCAGACAGGGCCTTGAGCATGAGATTCGAAGCGCTGCCCGTGGCACTGCAGCCTGACTGCAGCGGCATTCACACCATTTCGCGCCCTGTCCAGTTTCTATCAAGCGGAGTATATATCGGCCAGCCTTGCCCTCCACTCCAGCCTCCCACTCATTGTATGTGACAAGCATTGATCGCAAACCGGACCATCACCAAGGCGAACAACACGCCTGGCGCAACAATCGCCACCTGGTCCATAGTCACCGTGCCCATCATGACTCTGCCTTTCTAACCCCCTCTGGTTGGAGGCGAATCCGTCTGGAACCAGCCAAAAGCGTGGATTGTGGATCCCTACTTAATCTGCTGAGATTAAGGTGTCGAACAGTGCGGCGGCCTGGCCTTTTCTTTGAAGTCGAAGCCATGGAACCTCCCGGTCCTGCCCAGATGCGGTCCAGCGTGGCCCACTGGATTCTCCCTCCTGGAGTCTTGGGGCTTCTGAGTCTCAGACCTGTGAGTCTGGCCGAAAACATCAAACTTTCCTGAAGACCACGTTACCATACGGTACGCTAGCTTCAACTCTGATCCATAGTGAGGCAAGCCCAGCGGCCCAATGGACTGCTTCCTTCGAGAAGCCGCGACGCATGTCGATTGGCTGTTTAGATGCCACGTTTGCTGTCTAGAACACAGCTGGGCGGGTGTGGGGGAGTCGCCAAGGCCCTCACTGGCCGCCCGCCCAGGTCAGTGCGTCCTTTTCTCCCTCTCCTTTCATCCATCCGTCAGATGAGATCATCAGTTGAGTCAAGCAAACATCCAGGTCCTTTTCTCATTGGCCACTGTCCTTCCTTTCCCATCCGGCCAGCTGACGAATAACACGCCGTGTCTATTGAGTCCACAATAATGAGATCTATATCAATGTCAGCCTTCTTTTTCGAGAGCTCCATGGGAAAGAAATGAGCATCTGCTTGACCATCAAGATTCCGAGGGAGAGATATTCTTCGCCCCATGGTTTCCACCACGAGTCAAGAGACTGCAGGTGCAGACACATACCCTCTCGTCCGCAACGTAGTACGACGAATAGCTTTTTGTAGCATTATATCTGGTGCCCTTTTGCCTCGAATAACGCATATCCCAACCCTAAAGAGTGGGTGGGCAACAACCTCATAGCCTCATGCACTTCTGAGAGGATGCTTGTTAACCATGATCGATATTCTTTGCCACCGCTGTCCATATTCAGTGCGCATCGTGCAACTCTCTATATATTATGATATCATTTACTTCATGTACATTATGTGCTTGCGCTGTGGTTACATCTTCGGGCGTAAGATGAAAGGATGCTTCAGCGCCTCAGCTGGTGTACATCGCTTCTCCGGGTTTAGACTCAAGCATCGGTCGAGGAGATCCACAAAATGACCCAGCTCCTTTGCTTCACTATCCGTCATTTTTTGGGGCCCCTTGCCCAAGAGCCTTGTCTTCAGATCCCGGGTCGGCTTTTTGAAATCTAGCACCCGAGTGGCAATCCGGCCAGTGATCCTGTCTTCTTCCTGGCTGTGAAAATTCATCATGTCGTCGAAGTGTAGGTGCGCCAATGAGCCTCGCCGTAGAAGCTTAGGCGGATATTTGCCACGACACTCCATGATCGACTTGAGCATCTGATTGTTGTTTCGCCCTGTGAACAAGATCTTGCCGGTATAGAGCTCAAATAGCGTACATCCAATTGACCACATGTCGATAGCGTAGTCGTAGGGAATCCCGAGAATGATTTCCGGCGCGCGGTAAAATCGACTGACCAGGTATGGTGTGATCTCATTATCTGAAGCTGGCGAGGCTGAACCCAAGTCGCATACTTTCAGGATGTTGCGTTGTTCGTTAACCAAAAGATTGTCAGGCTTGAGATCCGCATGGAGGATATTGCACTTGCGAAGCAGGCTGAGTCCAAGGAAAATTTGCTGAGCGTACGCTCGAATCGCCCGTAGATTCAACCCAACATCCCGACCGAATTTTTTCAGGACCTCTCGGAGATTCATACTGAGGTTCTCAAAGACCATGCACAAGTGTCCCTTGTGCTCAAAGCTCCGTTCAAATCTGATTACGTGTTTCTTGTCCTCGGGATCTGCCTCCAGAAGCTGTTCGAGAATGTTGATCTCTTTCAACCCTGCCTTTTTCATTGTGTCGTTTTGCCTGATGATCTTGATCGCCACGAGTTTGCCAGTCTTTGAGTCCGTCGCACGTACTACCGATGAAAACATACCCTTTCCCAGGTTCTGTTGGACATGGTATCGTGCATTGATCAACTCACCAAGCCGAACATTATAGTATCCTTCAGGATCGTCCCAGTTATCCATCATGCTAATATCGAGTTCTCGAGGTTGAGGTACGGCAGGCAAAGCAGATGCGTGAGTTGGCTGAACTGATTCATGGCTCTCTTCAGCGAACATGTCATCATCATCATCCGCAAACATATCATAAGGATCCTTGGCATTCGGTTCCGACAGTTGCGGGGCGTCTGGAAGAAGTACATCTTGCTTAATAGTTTGCGTTTCATCGTAGCTTGCGGCAGAAACCTCGTCAGGTGCGCTCTGCCGGCCGTGTCGTTCCCTTTCAGCTTTCATGTCAATAGTAGGGTCATAATCGGCAGCCGAGGGCTCATCTTTGTCACCACCGTCTGCAGGAGCTGTACCGTCAACCAGATCGGCGTCTTTGCCGATGTTAAATTCGGCGAACATGTTGCCGGGACTCTCATCCGGAGTGAGAGCAGCCGAGATTTGGGCATCTTTATAGAAGTCAGCACCCGGTATGAGTCGGCATGACAGGCCTGCCGGCTTACCTGAAGTCTCGTTGCTTGGGGTGACTGCCTGACTTGTTGGAGGAGTCGAGTCTCGATCACCGCCAAGATGCAGTGCTTGGATTCGCAAGGGCGTCGCCTGGCCCCTGTACTTGGCTTTTATAGCTTCGCGCCGTTTACGGCGAGCCTCAAGCTGGGCAGCCTCATCCAGAGGCTCAATCGATGACTGTTCAAAGCTTTCATTCGCCGAATCATTTTCGCTAATACAAAAGTTAGTGGGTTTTAATACTTGATTATGATGGATTCTGCGTACCGATATTTATCGCTGGAAACTAGAGCCGAGGGTGCTGCCTGAATCTTCTGAGTTTCAGCATCTTGTTTAGAAATATGAGCGAAAGCTGGGGTATTTCCCCGTTCGCTCACTGACTGTTGAATAGGGCCATTTTTGTTGTGTTGCGAGGCTACACTCCCTTCAACCCGGCCTCTTTCTGGGTCCAATTCGTCCCCCGAATACTGCTTGCGTCTTCGCACTTCGTGGTATGGGGATTGACTTTGCATTCGGGGTCGCTTGTCCTTACGACGGCCATAATCGTCGCCATATCGAAGATCTGCGTGCTGATTGTCTTCGCGGTCATAATCATAATAGGATCTGGATTGTCTTTGATGATGGCCGCGATCCGTATACCGTTCATCGTGTCGGTGGCCGGGGCGTCGTGGTGGCGTGTGCCGAGAACGTCTATCGCCATAATCATACTCATAATCGTACCCGTTGTCCCGTCGACGTTTATGCCCTCTATAGTCTCGGTAGGGAGAGCGGGATCGCGATGAAGATTTTGACCTGGTCCTCGATCTTCGAGGACGGGGTGACTTGCTTAACGACGCGGGAGACCTGGGCGCAGGTGAAATTCTAGCTCTGGTGGGACGGTCAACGCTGCTGCCATTAAGAGGAAAATGCGACGTAGTTGCCTTCATCTCCGAACCTGATTCGATGATTTCACCCTCAGAAGGGGTCGATGGAGACCTCGACTTGCGTGAAGCCATGATGTTTGAGCCAACTCGAGCAAGGACGACCGTTGGTCAAAGTAATCAGTTGGTCAAGAGACCCTGGAGTAGCTTCGAGCACAGAGAGAACAATTTTGGTTAGCAAGAGAAGTGCTCGTAAACCAGGCTTCTGGCATGTATTGAGAAGGTTCGAACCAACTTGAGGTAGAGACGGCGCGGACCTGCCTAGCTTATCACTACCGCAAGACCAGAGTGCAGTGCTCTTGGGAAGATAGATGGTTGAAGCTGGAGCCAAATCGAGGGCGAAGGAGGATACTTTGGAAGAACGCACTGTGATGGAGCTTGCTTGATGTTCTCGGACGTTGCGCCTTTTCAGTCACGGGAAAACATATTTCACGCGAGCGGCTAACCAAAGATGGAATTACTAGTCTCGCCCCCGCGGGTTTGATATGGCTTGCATTTTTTCCTCCCTCCCCCTCTTCATTGTCATTATCGAAAAGAAATCCAGCTTTATTCTCCTTATCAAGAACCACAGCATCTCTTATAATGGGTGGCCAAAGCAGAGAAGGTTAGTTTCACAATCCCCGGCTCTAGTGATGAATGCTGGTCACTGATCGCTTCCTTATCTTCAGGCGGCAAAGTCAAGCCCCTCAAGTCAGCCAAGAAGGAGAAGAAGGATCTCGACGAGGACGACCTTGCCTTCAAGGAGAAACAGCGAGCTGGTATGTGCTCACAGCGTTGTATACATATTTTATCGGTGGCTAACCCATTATTTCTGATCTACAGAGGCCAAAGCCAAGAAGGAACTTCAGGACAAGGCAAAGGGCAAGGGTCCGCTGAACACCGGTCAGCAGGGCATCAAGAAGTCAGGAAAGAAATGATTCCTCTTCTCCTTTAGAGCCAGTCCAGCCCTTTCTTTCTTACGAATCCAACGAGCCACGATCCACCATACCCGAGCTCGCATTGATTACTGCCATATGAGCGTATCCCGATGCTTGTTCCCGGAATTCGAACACAGAAGCGCTTCTTGCTCAAGTAGTATTGATCATCACATATGTCTATGAATTCAAGCCTCCCATCAAGTACAAACAGAAGGGTATCATTTGCGCACTATCAAAATATTAAATGTACACGAACATGACGAGACGAAAAAACGCTGGTAAAACATGATAGTAAGGGGTAGAGGCTGAAGAAAACACAAGAACGAGAAAACTTTAGTGAGAACTATCTCGACGAAGCGGCCAATGACACTTTTCAGCTAGTGACCCTTTTAACCCACAAGCTGGTGCTCTGGCCGTAGAAGTCTTCTTCCTCACGTTTCTTCCACGCGCGGAGCAGTTTCAGGCCAATTTCGTGTTCTTCTCTCTTGATTTCAGCCAGCTCGTTGTTGAGACTGGCAACCGTCTTCTTGACTTCCTCCCGAGCAGCCATGTCATAGGCAACAGAGCTAGGTTGAATGACTTGAGTTAATTCATGGATGATCGTGTTGATATTGGTTCTGCGGCGCAAGAGGTCGCTCCTTTTCGCTTCCAGCATCTCGATGCGGCCCTCGGCGGTCATTTCAGCGGGATTTGGAGGAAGTGCCTTGCTCGAGGGGACTTCGGACGGAGTTGGTTTCCGGGTAGGTCGCTTGCCAGGCGCGATAGCACTGGGAACTGGGCGTGCTCGAGACATGATTGATCGTGTGTATTCGGAAGATTGGGACGCTGTTTCGATGATGCTTGGCGGTGGACTTGGGCTTATACTATCCCTTGGACTAGGAGTCAGGCTTCCAACTTCGGTGGGATCATAAGTAGTCACACTGAAGCGGCTTGTAGGTGCGTTCACGTCATCCTCAGCCAGTCTTAAGTCAGCCAGTCCAACGTTCAGCTCAGGTCCGGAGCCGAGATCGACGCGTGGCGGGGCATTGCTGACAGCACTAGCGTTGTCTTCAGCCTCAGGTGCGTCATACGTATTTGGCTCCTGGTGGGTGTCCTCGCCAGCGGTGATGGTCGTTATTACTGTTGAAGGCGGGATTATTCCAGCAATAGGAGATGGAGTGTTCATCTCCCTGAGCCTATCGTTGCTTCGAGACAAATGTAGGCGGGATGATGATCTGTTTCTTGGCTTCTCCTGAATTGGAGTTATGATCGGGCCCCGACCACTGGGTCCCTTCCAGGGTTCGCGGGGAGCAGGCGGGACGTTTTCATTATTGCCCCTGTAAAACCTGTGGCCGTCTTCGGATGCTTTCCTCCTCGAAGCAAGTTGCTCCTTGCCCCAGCCGAGGATCTTCGAGCCATGGGATGACGGAGGTGCGGCCGACACGTGTGTCTCAAAAGAGACGCTGCTGGGATTAACCTGGCTAATTCTACCCCGGCCACTTGTAGTTGGTTCCCCGGAAAAGTCACTCCATCTGGTAACTTTAGGCAATGGCTCCGTCTGCTGTAGGCGCTCAGAATGCGAGTCGACTCGCTTTCTCAAAATTGGTATATGGCTTGCAAGTTTGCCCTCTACTTGTTTGCTGCCAAACGCGTCTGCGATTCGCGCCGGCTCATCTTCAATGGGTGAGACTCGAGAGCTGCTTCGGCTCCGAATAAGCGTTATCGGGGAGTCGGGAGGAGAGATGTCAACACTTTTCTTCCTTTGAGTGTGGGCATAAACCGGGTCTGCTGAGTTGTACTGCGGAGATAGACGGTAGTTGTCGCTAATCGAGCGCTGTCGGAGATGGTCAAAGACAGCAGTGTCTCTTGAATATACTGAGGAAGCCACCCGCGGGGTTGACACCGGCTGATGAGGGTTGATGTGCAGATCGGGAGGGCCACTACATTAATCCATCAGTATTAGTTTCGCACTTCTGCTGGGACATCCGATGAAGAACCGTACGAGGGCAGAGCAGGTAGCGCTTTTGTCGAGTGCTCTCGATTGTGGGCGGCTGGTTGAGCGGACGGCTGGAATACTTGAGTATCCGGTGGTGAAGAATCTTCACTAGCAGTTGGCTTGCGGTTCCGGTGAAAGGACACTTTCCCCCACATTTTGCTATTCCTATAACCGAGGATACAAAAAAAGTGAGCAGATGTTCCCTGAGTTGTTTTTGTAGGTACTCCTGACCTACGTTGGTTCCGTTGGAACAAATAACGAAAGTCAAAATTGAAACTTATCCTTCAGGAAAATGCGATCTCAACAGTCAACCCCTGAAGTCTGGCCTGCCGAATATGTAGTTTATGCAGTCGACATGCCTGCATGTCAATATAAAGAAAAAGAAACTGGCGAGCGGAGGTGATCAAAGCGTGATTGAACGAGCGTTTGGCACTGCCGAGTAATCAACGCCAATCTAATACGAAGAAGTAAACGAAAGTGAGTCGAAGCGCAGTAACGTCGCATGTAAGAAGCGATTAGGGAGCAAGCTGAAAGAAAGCGACAATGTCAGCGCGGCGCAGCCACAGCCCAAGTCGATGAAAGAAAGAGAATGAGAAAGTCAACAACAGAATCTCAGGGCGCAAGAGGCCGAGGCCAACACATCCAGGATATCAAAACGCAATCAAACGAAGAGGATCGTCGAGGAGTCAGGACGTTGACCCTGTTTCAGAGTATGCAGGTTCCGAGTCTTAACAATTTGAGAATTAGCTACACCCGGAAATTGTGGTTCCATCCATCTGAAACTCGGCGTTTATTAATAGCTTCAAGGGCCTCCGAGTCCCAATCGATGCGCATTTCTGTGAGAGCGTCTGCGGCGTGGACGGTGGAGGCGAGCCGCGAAACTACTACGCCTAGAGCCTCATACTTGGAGAAAAATTGTAATAAGCTACCGCTCCTTGCGGAATTATTCATGCCTTGTATAGGGGAAAGTCTGATTCGAAATCATGGATACGTAGTTCGAGTGCAGTGACCTCAGTTGGGTACGGGTGATTGGCAGACCCGATCGATAGCTGGCTCAGGCATCAGTATCACGTGCTATATTGTTTCCGCTCGAACATTCCAAATTCCGATCGGGCTCCGTCATAGATTACCGACGCTGTCAGACGCCGGACACCCTGGAAGCATACTATCCCGCGACATCCCCTCTCACTCATCTGTCTTTCGTCATTTAAGCATTGATCCAGCGCTCCTAGCTATCATGCCTTCCCCAGGTGAATTCATCCCGCTTAATTCTGTCTCAAGCTATAGCACGTGCTGACAATATCTACAGACGGAACAGCTCCGCCAGCGGAGGTGTCAGTAATCCGAATGAGCCAATCTAATGCCCGCAGAATGCTCTAACATACATCTTTTATTCATAGGATGTCGATTGCTTCTCCGATCAATTTGGTCCTCTTCTCAGTCTTCACACTCCTAGTGTACATGCAATTCCGTCCCAAAGCTGCCGCTACCCTCCCCAAGGCCCCTCCGCCTGTTGTTTTCCGTACATTCACCCCCAAGACGTTGCTCGAGTTCAACGGCGAAAACGACAAGCCTGTTTACCTTGCCGTTCGTGGGCGCGTCTTTGATGTCTCGCCAGGAAGAAACTTTTATGGACCGGTATTTGGCAGCACCCCGCGAAACATTCCACATTTATACCATAATACGAATTACACGCAGCTAACGCGACCGGCTTGCAGGGTGGCCCATATGAGAACTTTGCCGGTCGAGACGCTTCCCGAGGTCTAGCTTTCCAGAGCTTTGATCGAGAAATGCTGACAGAGGATTTGTCGGCTCCGTTGGATGATCTGAAGGACCTGAATGCGGAACAACTGGAGAACCTCCAAGGCTGGGAGGAGAGATTCTCGGAGAAATACCTTGTTGTTGGTAAGCTAGTCGCTGAGGGAGATCTTGAAGCGCCTAAGTCCTGAATTGCTCAACAAGGACGAGGGTATCTGGCTGTCAGTATTGTGACGAAGGCATCTTGTGCATCGCGAGCAGGCCAGGGAAACATCTTGGAATTCACTGGGTAAAGGGACTTCTCGTCAAATTGAAAGTGTGCCTTCGACATACTGGTTAAGTGGGCGGCTCTGATGCCAATTTGTGTTGGAAGACGAACTCTCATGATATACGAATCATTTACCAAGGACACACGTGTCTGGCTGTTTGAAGAGTCTAGGTGAGGGACCCTGAGGGGTTGGACTATCTCGGCATCTACTTCTTTGCTCCAATAGTTTCAATGGTTTATCTGGAAGTTTCTAGGTTACTTAGTTGGAATCACAATCTCATTTCGAAAAAGTACAGGTCATTGAGCAATGTTTCGTGTACACATAGTAGAGGACGTTAACTCATGCGCTTCCACCTTTACAACTCAGATCGGATCTCTTCGGCAGTCTCTCCAGCCTTGTGCTTGAGCTTCTCCGCAGTCTCCTGTCCCTGTGCTCTACCACTGGCCGCTCCAATCTTTAGCTGATCCATTACCCACTGCACGGCCCCACTAAACTTGGCGTAAAGCGCTCCCTGGGGAGTTGAGGTACCATATTTGAAGTAGTGGGCATTTCGTCGAGCAGCGGCGCGCAGCTCATTCAGCTGAGAACCCTGGTAAACTGGCACGCCGTAGGAATCGAGATACTGCTTCAGATCGGAGTGAGACCAGGTATCAAAGGTTGAGTCCTTGGCGCTTGCAGCAGCTTCCTTGATGTAGGAAATCGCAGACTCGAGCTGAGATCCACCGGCTTTCGTGGCCTTGTCGAAGGAGCTTTGTGCTTCTCTCACGAGTTCATCACGAGTGACTCCGGCACGGTTCGCGACCTTTGAGTTGATAGAAGATAGGTACTTCCTAGATTCGGATTAGGACTTATCAAATACAGGCCGGGGTTGGATATACTTCAAGTGTTCGACGTCCCAGGTGTCAAAGGTCCAGGCATTCCAGCCGGTAGCGGCCTTATGCTTGTTCAATCTCACCTGAGCAAGAAGCTCGTCCCGCTTTCCATTCTGAGGGACAGGAACGCCACGAGCATCAAGGAAAGCTTTCAGTCTTGAGTCAGACCAGGCTTCGATGGCAGTATCAAATGCTTCCTGGGCCTTGTAATGCGCGTTATCAGTGGCCTGAGCATATTCGTTACCAGCCCTGGATGTAGCAGCGCCGATATAGTCGGATGCGGTCGAGGAGGCAGAAGAGACTTGGTCAACAAGAGCAGCGCGGTGCTTGCGTGCCAAGGCTATGAGCTCGTTGCGCTTGGAACCTTGTGGGACGTGAATGCCATGCTCGTCCAAGAATTTCTTAAGATCGGAGTCTGACCAAGCGTTGAAGAGGGCTTCACTCAAGGTTTCTTGCGCTGCGTTGGCCGAGTGGACGACAGAAGCCGCAATGTTCTTCGCTTGTAAACTGGCCAGCCGGGTGTTACGACGGACAGCTGCGATCAGCCGATCCCGTGTAGTAGGCTGTGGAACAGGCCACCCGCGCTCATCAAGCCACGCTTTCAAATCAGACTCGCTCCACTGCTCGTACAGCCAGTTTCCGGGATAATGAGCGGCTTCGCCGAGCTTCTTTGCAATGGACTCGTAGTTTTCACGTGCTGCCTTGAGAAGAACGTCACGTCGGCGCGGCTGGGGAGCAGGGATGCCATGTCGGTCAAGGAAAGCCTTGAGCTGGGAGTCCGTCCATCTATTCTAAATTAGCAGGTTTCGATAATTGTCAAGTAGGAACCCTCACGTATCGAAAACCCATTCCTTGGTGCTTTCCCAGCGATCAGCAGCCTGGTCGGTGTATTGTCCAAGCGGCTTCTGTACCCTGACGTCCCAGTTTGACTTTACGGCGTCTTCGAGATTCTTGCGATCCGCCGGGGAAGGATATGGGATATCTGAGTTGCACGTCAGATAAATAAGGCTAATGGGGGAAGATGAAAGTAGTAGGAAGGGGAATAAGTACCATGATCGGAAAGCCAGCGCTCTAGCTCGGTCTCATGCCACTTGTTGTAGACTAGAAATATTAGATCACGAACATATATAGAGTCAACCCTCAAACTCACTAGCTTTGCTAAACCAGTTAGACGCCCCAACCGCATCGGCAGTCGCGAGAGCGCACACCAGCCAAGAGGCTAAGTGTAGCTTCATCGTGAAATGTTGTGTTGAGATACGTTGTTCGAAAGTGGTCCTTCTTAGTTGTGTGTCGTGGTAAGATTGTTGAAAATTAGACCAAGGATAATTAAGCATGTTCCAGAGACGACATTTTAAAAGTGAAAAGAGCGTCTTAAACCAGGGTCCTGGGGGTTTCTCAAGGATGACCAGCGAGTGACGTATTGGACGCACTTGCGGGTTCACAGCGTTTGGCGTCATAGATGGACGTGGCTTTACTGGTCCTGCCAAACATGGTGCAAGAACTTTGCCAGTGGTGTCATTGTTTCCGCTGGTTGGGCTGGACAAAGGTCAGCCATCGATCGCATGCCTAGCCACACTCGTGCCGACAACCTCTGAAGCTATCCAAGTACTCCGTATGTTGTCCTAGTCCTCTGGATCACTCGGGTCCAGTGACGCCATGGGATGTTGAATAAAGTTCTTAGCAAGCCAAAGAAGGCGGGCGGTACTACATGGCAGATATTAGTCTGGGGCGGTCTCGCCTATCAGAGCTATCTCTTTCAGGCAATGTGGAGACTCTGGTGCCCATGAGTCCCCGTCCCACCCCAGCTCTATCGCCAAACGAACTAGTAACTCTTATGATTACTCCTTATTATCTCATCTATCGCTTCTGGCAAGAATCTGGCTCTTCACCGGTGCCCTACGGACAAGCAAGAACTTTATTTCGAAAAAGCAAACGACAAGTGAAAAGTTTTCAGCTTGAGGGAGACGACGTTATGATAACCGCAGGCTGGTAACTGCTCAAACTCAGCTTGCTTTCTCCATGATAGCTTATATGGGGCATTTCAGCGAACACGTCTCATCGCGACTTTAATAGGTTGATTCTGAAAATGGGTTCCTTAAGTCCACAGTGTGAACATTTGGTCTCTCAAGGCCTAATGAACTTTGTCTTATCTATGTGCGTGTTGCCGCTGCCTCCCTCTGCATCGTCACTAACCAAAGTCAGCCTGATTGTGCTTGGAATCGTGTTTTCCTATTTGCCTCAGTTGATCCGTATCATCAGGCTCAAAAGCTCATTCGGAATCTCACCGTATTTCGTTCTGTTAGGAGCCACGTCCGGTACGTTTGCTTTGGCAAACGTGGTATCTCAACAGCAAAGCCTGCAAGATGTTGCATGCTGCAAGGATGTCAGCGGGCTGTCATGCCTTGCAGGGCTACTAGGCATCTTGCAGGTCGGAATGCAGTGGCTCAGCTTCTTTATGATGTACGTGTGATGTTCTGCGATCTGAGCATATGGGGCTGATTGTCTTCTTGCAGGCTTACTCTGTTCGTCCTGTTCTTCCCGCGAGGGACTTCTTCAGCCTTTCCGGAAACGTGCAAGGAAGAGCCTACCTACAGGACTGCTCTGGTTGTGGCCTGGACCTGTATTGCCCATGCTCTTATCATGCTGGTCGTTACACTCGCCGTGGGCTTCAGACAGCCATCTTCGTTGCAATCCTGGTCGAACTTTTGCGGTGTCACGGCAGCAATTCTCGCATCCATACAATACTTCCCTCAGATCTACACTACCCTTAGACTGCGCTGCGTAGGTAGTCTGAGCATACCAATGATGTGCATCCAGACCCCTGGAGCACTTGTTTGGGCGGGCAGTCTGGCCGCACGTCTAGGCCCCAAGGGCTGGAGCACTTGGGGCATTTTGATTGTCACGGCTTTCCTACAAGGCACGCTCCTCGTATTGTCAGTGTTCTTTGAATACCTTGGCCCCAACAAGGGCCACGATCACGTCTACGACAGTGCCAGCGTCGCAAATCGAACAGGAGCGGACAATGAAGGTCAGGACGAACGAGACGGCCCATATGAGGACACGCCTCTTCTTCAAGATAGCCGTTGATACGTGACATCGGACGCAGAATTGGTGGAAGTTCTATAGGCGACTGCCCGCATCTTGTGCGATGCATCAGCGCATTGGGACTTTTTTTCCTCTCGATAGAAGATATCTGTAAATAAGATGCGCCTAAAGTATAATCATTGGAGCTGAATCGTGGGTTTAGGTGTATTGGGAGAAGTATCAATCTTTTATCTCTAACGTCTAGATACCAGGCCGAAATTGGTAACCCTACAATATTTGTTCATCCAGGGATCGGACGTGGGCTGGAAGCCTCTGGTGGTGATCCCGCTTGCATCTTAGCATCTTTGGCGTAAGGAGTGAATCTAATTCGATTGTTGATCCCTTTAAATCATCATATTCATAAACTCTCTTGACTAGCCGCCTCCAACTTCTTGTCTAAACCTTCACAGGATGCGCGTTGGTATATCGTCTAAGCAGCGTTATAGATGAGGCGGAAGATGTCGTTGAAAACGAAGTAGCTTCCAGCACCGTCGGGCAGAAGCTGGAATGTCTGTGCGTAGTTCATGGGCTTTTGCTCCTCGTCAACCTAGAGTATGAGAGAAAAAGGCGAGAGTCAGTCAGTGCCATCGGATTTTTTCTTCTTCTCGACCAGACTTACCAGCAAAGCACCAGTGACAAGGACCAGGATACCACCCTGCTCGCTGGAGGGCTGGGCGTCCAGGGTCGAGACCTGATGCTGGACCTTTTGGAAAGGCAGTCCCTATTCTCCATCGTCAAGATATCTCCGCCAATATTGTGCCGTTAAGTTGGAGAGATGAAACTCGGCCAATGGCGCATGAGTAATTATTTATGAGATACTTACACCTAGCTTCTCCATGATCTGGCCGACACCTTGGACTGACGATGTCTCGAATGTGAGCATAGAGGTATCGCGCTGTTTGTTGAAATGGAAAGACAGGTTAGCTCTTCTCTCTCCATATGCTGTTAGACCTGAATTGTAAAGGGGTGGAACGCACGTAGAGACCCGCGAGGCCGCCGCGGTTGGCATCGAAGGTTTGGTAGTAGAAGTTGACAAATTGTTCTGTTCACAGATGATCGGGTAAGTACTCTGCCACTAGCTCCGTCACGTTCCACGCATCTGGTTGCCTTCGCAGGAGACCAGAAAGCTGCCGGGAGGGGGGGTGGGGAGGGGGGTTTCAGTCGCGTCGGCGATGAAGGAGGGAGTCACGTACGAGCGATATTCGCAAAGTCTAGATTGTCAGGCATAATTGTTAGCCAGTTATTCTTAGGAAGCAGATCGAATGATGCGATCGTGATTGCTGTTGTGCTGGAAGGGACTCATTTCTGATCGCAAAGAGGGGCAAACAAAACATTGAGGGGATGCGACAAGTGAGGAAAAACCAAGGCACTTACCGGCCATTTTGACGGATTGTATGTTTTTCGAGTTGAGTACTCAGATGACGAAAGCAGGAAGGGGGATGGTTTCTTGAGAGCAACAGAGATGGAAGCGAGAAGCAAGAGATCAAGTGTTGATTGCCCGAACAACAGCCTAAAGAGATGCGTGCAGGGAGACTGAGGATTTCCCGAGATATTGTGGGGCCCCTCTGAGTGTGGCCTTAAGGCATCAAACTCTAGAAGCCTCCATTGAAGTACAGTGTTCGGGATAATAGAATAAATACTCCGTAGTTATACCATCAGATATCGCTTAAGTTGTGCATTAGTCAATTCTGTACTCTATCGATCTGAGTCAGAGTCTGCAAACATATCCTCCGCTCGCGGCCGCGGCTTGCGAGCATGCACGGCTAGGGTCTCTGGTGGGTTCTCAGTCGGCGGCTCTTCAGATTTGTTTTCCTGTTCCAGTGTTTTGCCACTCTCTTCTTCATCTCCTTCCAATCCAGAGAATTCTAAATCGCTGTCTTCCATCGGCTCACCGTCGATATCGCTTATAGACACGCCATCCAGCTCCATATAACCTACATCCTGGTTGACGTCCATTGGTGTCGCTTTCGTTTCGGGGGGGCGGCTTGGATCAAATCGGGCAGCCGATGGGTCTTCATCCACAGCCTTCCAGCGGCTTTTGTTCTTAGAAAATGCAGCCGCAGCTGCCTGATCGGCCGCAGCCTTCTCCTTCTCCTCTCGCAACTCCTCCTCCGTAAGTGGCGGCTTTTCAAACACTTGAAAGAGATGCTCCTGGCTCGATTGAGGGAAGACACACCATCCCTCCCATAGGTGTAGGAGGGAGCCAACGCTGCGCTTCCATTTCTCCGCCCTCAGCCGGCCCCAGTTGAGCTCCTTTTCGAGTCGTCCGAGATGTTCGAATACTTGCTGCGCTTTTAAAGCTGACTCAAACAGCTGCCTGTACCGCCAGGCATGGCGCACTCCGCTAGTGGCGGATGAAGAGAGGATATCAGACACCAAGTATAGGCCAACTAGCTTTGCCGAGGACGTATCCAACTTTTCCTTTCCCCCCTCATCCGTTCGAGCCGCAATAGAATCATCGCCAGTCTGTTCTTTGCGGGCAAGTCCCTTTTCCAATTCACGGTCGGGGTTTGCCCCGGTGTAAGCGTAGGGCTCAAGGATGTTAGACACAATCATATCTACCACTTCATCGGCCCCTGCCCCTGCATGCTTGATGGCGAATGCAGTTACCCGTGCCACATCCCCCTTGCGTAACTTTGCATGCGTTGTCGGGAGCCTGGCAAGTAAATGAGCCAGTTTCGCCTTCTTCAATGGATTTAAATGGCCTAATCCTTCATTGCCAGCGCTGGTTGCGTCGGTTGAAGGCGCTCCTGCGTTGTGCCGCCGCTCATCCTCCCCATCAGACATGTCCTCGTCCGACGAATCATAGTCCTCGTCAGACACAATTTCGTCTAAACGAGTAGTATATTCGAATGCAAGGCTTGCTTCCGGCGGAGCCCAGTTTGCACCGCCTTCAAAGACAGGCGTGGAATTCGGTAGTCTCCCTCGTTGTGATCCTTTGGGACGTCCATTTGTGATTATATCCCAGAGCTTCCATCGATAGTAGACACCACCAGGGCTTCTTGCATCCCACAACCACGCCCACTTCTCCTCTCTTTGCACTTCCTGTCGAGTCATAAGAAGCGCCTCGAACTCTGGTCCAAAATTGAGTAGATTTTCCAAAGTCTTGTGTACCAACTTCAATTGTTTCAGGTCAGATGGTGCTTTCACTTCCACTAGTGTCGTAGGGCTGTTGCTGTTGTAGGCCGTCCCGTAAGAGCTCGGAGGAGCAAAACCACCTCGATGCAAGCCAGGGGGCGGAGCACGGTTTAGTCGGCCCCCAAGCTCCGGTACGATTGACCTTGCGCCAAATGGGAGAGGGCCTGTAGACGAGGGGCCGACTGGCAAAGTTGAACCTATCGCAGCGGAGGACAAATGCCTTGAAATAGACAAATAGTACCCCCACCCTAGGTACCGGCCCTGAAGAGCACTGACTGAGCTATCGATATCCGAGGCAGCGGACTCACTGGCGAGGGTCACAATGGCCGATACAGACTTTCTATCCGTGGCGGTTTGGCTTGACGGCCGTAGGAATTTGACATTGTCCACAGCAAGCACTTTGGGTATCAATGACTTGACCACGAATTGAGATGTCCCAGGCGGGAGAGAAGCAAGATATAATGTCGGTTTAGCCGCGGCCCTCTCAGCTTCTTTAGTATCGACTGCTCCCTGATCGTCATCATCTGTTGCGCGAAATGCGGATGCCGTGCTTGAGCCAATTGTAGAATCGTCAAACCCTAGCGTCCCTCGATTATGATCCCGGTTTCGATTAAACTGTGGAAGTCCGTCGTAGTTTCGTTTGCGAGACACCGAGGGGGGAGCTGGCCCTAGAGTCCCAGGACCGCTCACGCGCGGCCCAGAGCTCGTGAAATGCCGCTTCGCAGGGCCTCCTCCAAAGCCAATGTTCCTGTTCCCCGGTCTGTTCTGTGGTCCGTCAAAACCTGGGCGCTCTGCGGGCGGTGCATTGTCTTCAAATGACTTGACAAAGTCCTCGTAAACCGCGGCGGTCTCGGCGCGTTCGCGGGCGCGTTTGGCTTCGGCTTCGGCTTTCTGGCGTTCGAATAGCGACTTCTTGGGGGGTGCAGACAGTTTCGATGAGAGGTCTGGGAACGCTTTGGACTTCTCATCCGCCATTTCAGCAAGCCTGTAGGCGCAGTGAGCCGCTTGTCTGAGAAGCTCCAAATTGCTAATGAAGTAGGGTTGCTGCTTGGCTTGTTGAAAGCTGTCGAAGGCTGGTTGGCGGGGGCAGGTAATCTATTGGGGCCTCAGGCAGCAGTCGGAGATCATGTGCCCCAATACACCATTCATGGACAACCTCCTTGCCTTCAACCATTTTTGTATTGCTTGGAATTACAGAGTATCTCACAATAATAAAGACTCTAAGGCCCATGGCTTCTTCTCAGATACAGGCTCTACTCCGCTTTCTTTCCCAGGATGCTAAAGTACCCCTGGCGACAGCAATGGGCAAAGTCGCTGAGCTGATAAAGGCAGATCTCAGCACGTATGGATGACCGGACCTTCAACAAACTCATACCTGCTAGAGGCTAATACTGATACAGCCCGGAGAGTATATCCAAAGGAGGGCCACAACCATTACAAGATATATTTAAAGATGACAAGCTTGCCAAACAAGTACTAAACGCTTCGAAGAGGGCATCCAAAAAGCGCGCAGCCCCTGCAGAAGCCACTACCCCCGCCTCCCACAAGAGATCGAAAGCCTCGGCTCCAGTGGATACTGCCACCCCTTTCGCAATTGAACGCGCACTGGCTCTCCCGGTGTCAAATGCGACAGAAGAAGAGCTTTCCACTATTGTTCTTTCCACAAACAGAGCACCACTAGTACTTGCCTTTGCTGTTTGTGTTTTGAGGTACACAATGCCTGAGCAGCCGATTTCTAGCAGACTGAGTCTCGCCCAGGCTGTCGTCAGCGCCAATAGCCGCTCAAAGGCTTTCAGTTTGGGTCTCGAAATTGAGCAAGCCCTTGAGGAGGAAGCCTGGGGAGAAGGGCAGCCTACTGTCTCGGTTTTGGGGCGCACTATAAAGGTGCTAAAGAGGTGGGACTACAACCCTCGTGAGGGTCAGTCCGCACAAGACTTTCTCCCTGAAGAGGCCACAATCGATGGAATACTAGGGGGGCTTCCTCCAGATCACTCAGAACCTGCGCCACCGATTTGGGGGATTGATGTCCAAGCAACCAAGCGCGTACATGGTTCACAGACCAAAGAGAGGCAAGAAACATCATTGCCAATACATATGCCAGAATCTGCACGCTCCTATCTAGTCAAATCCTTCATAAACGCCTCCAGCGAAACCACGAAGCAATCAAAGCGATCGAAGAAAAGAGATCACATTGAGATTGAAGCAGAAAAGGAAGCATGCGTCGGTCATCTTCTGCGCGCCATTGATTTGGTGTGCCGGTCATGGGCTTCCATCTTGAGCAAAGACGATTTAGACCGACGCGCATGGGCTTGGTATGTACACGTTAGGCCTTCCATCAAAAATGGAGTTGAAGGTTGGGGAGAGAAAGGAGCTGTGAAGCTAGCACAGATTCTAGCCCTCAAGAGGCAATAAAACCCGGCAGCTTAGACTTGCAAAGGACTGCGTATGCACAAACTGCCCCTCTGATGCGCACATCGGCCACCGATTACGAAGACAACGACTGCTTCATCAGTGTTGGCTAGTTCTTCAAATGGACTACAGACATCAACCGGGTAAATTTCTCGCTAGATTCAGCACAAAACACGAGCAAGATGTTGAAAAATCCCCTCTATACCAGGGGCTTGCGAACCAGCTACACAAGTGTGCACGAAAGTAGGCCCCTGGCCTGCTCTACGCCGACCAACCAAGGCATGCGCTTTTTATTTGAGCTTAGGTTCAACCCGCTCCGGATGATATCTCTCTCGATCAGTGTTCCAGGCCAGAAAGGGTCCAACGGATGACAGGCTCCAGAATACTGGAGGACTCAACCGTTGAGTGCGACCTATGCTTGGGCGATTCCCTAGGTGAGATCCGCAGGTCTCGCCAACATTAACAGCGGCTTTGAGTTTGTGTTGCGATAAATCGAGTTTGAGCATTTGATAAAGGCCGGACTCTGCGGCTTGCTGAGGATATGCTTCCACACGATGGGGTGACTGCTCAAATCGCACCGTGTGCCTTGTGATTTTATGACGATGAGGATGGATTTCTGGCATGCGGAGAGGCTTTTTGGGTTCATCTGCCACGGTTCCAAGCAGGCTTGGAGCAGCAGGGAGAGACGGATATCTGCCCCATAATCAGCTTGCTTTGGCCTAACCACATTGCCCGCTGCGAACCTGTGTTGAAAGAAAGAAGGCTTCCCTTTGGGAGACATGGTTATTCATAGAGTTTGGATGCTTATTCACCATAATCACAGTTTGTTATTCTGGATAATAGACTTGGTTTCTAGCCTCTAAGATGCCAAGGACTAGCAAGAAGAAATCGGGCAGCTCGAGTGACAAAAGTCGACGAGTAACAGATTTCCGGGATCACTCTGATGATAGCGTGATAGGCTTTCTTAGACCGCTAAGGAAGCGACTTCCAGGTTATAACTCTTCAAGTAGCCGTTGAGCATGCCTACCGAGGATGCGTCGAAAGATAAGAGGGAGAGAGAGATCATCACCCTGAGGCGCAGCAATAGCAACAATTCATCACTTGTCCGCGGGTGACGGCGGGAAAATTGGGGGGGGCCTCCACTTGTAAGGGGAAGCAATAGAACCAGAAACACTGTCAGTTTTTGACCATACAGGCATATATTGAGATACGGAGGAGAAACGTCTGAAGAATGAAGTTGAAAGAAACGCCAGGATAATTATTGTTTTCACCACAGGGGTGGGTTGGCTGAGATCATGATCGTGGATGTGGAGGATTTCCTCAGCCAAGGCTGGAAATAGTCTAGGCCCGAATGGGAAGACTTCCTTCCTCAGGCCCTCAACCTCCCTCTGCTCAACCTCTCTTCTGTCTCCCATTCAACCTGCCCTTCATCCATCACTGCCCTTCAACCAACCCAGAATCCCAGAGCGGCTACCTCTTCGATATTTCGCTCCTATCTACTCATTCACTTCCTTCATTTCCTGCTTAGTCGCCTGGGCCCTCGTCCCCTTCGTTCTTTCGCCCTCCAGCCCCTCCGCGCCCGTTCCAATTCGCTCCTTCGCCTTCTATTCGCAGGCTAATCACCCGTCAAACTACGCCACGGACCGACTCTATCCTTTGACAAGATTGACCGAAGAGATACGAGAGCCCGTCGGGGCTGAGTAACGCCATGTCAGGGCGTCTATCATCCGATCAGTCTCGCTCCTTATCGCGGTCGTCTCAGTCTCGATCAGGTCTGGCTCACGACCCTGATTCAATGCGGCACCCATCCAGGCCTGGTCGATCTTCAAACCCCAATGTATTCTCGGACGAATACTCACTAGAGCCTTTGGACTCTGAACAATCGACCCTTACCCCCCGAAGCCTGTCTTTCTCGTCCAATGCCTCATCCCACACCCTTCGCTCCTCCCTCCCTCACCACCAGAAACAAACACCTGTGAACGAAGATGACCTACTAGAGAATCCATTTCGAGACGAGGCCCGAGTTTCTTTTGACGATGAATCCCCTCACCGATCCAGTCTACCCCAAAAGGGGTTTGAACTATCATACCGCAATTCCATCACGTCCAATTCCTCCGCTCCCTCGACAGCGCAACGCAGTCAAAGCACATCATCACGCTTCTCAATCCCACCTCGTGCCCTCAGTCCTTACACAGGTGCCACTGGACCAAGCCACCCATACGCGCTGTATCCGCAGCTCGGCGTCAGTCGCTCAGACAGCGTCGCTACTACATCAACCATCCGTCCTGTGGACGGTCCTCTAATTGAGTCAAGCGGCCCACAGCATCCGTACGCGATGTATTCTCAAAACGTTGTAGAGGAAGATTTGGAGGACTCCTCTATACCCCTCGGATTTCCGGGTCACGGCCAAGAATCATATCAACGACCACCTAACCGTGCCGCCGACGACGTAGGCGACCTAATCGGACCTGACGGCTATACTGAGCAGCTTCCACCTTATTCTCGTTATCCAGAAGGCACTTCACCCAAATTAGAAGCCTTAGTTGATGGACTACCGGATGCCGCCGTCATCTTGGACCAGCCCAACAGTAATAACGAACGAGACCTTGCTGCGTCGGAAACCTCTTCAAGGACGTTAGTGGCGGGTAGTCAGCCGGACAGTCGCGCAAATAGGCCACCAGATGAACCACCCGTGACGGGTGTGATGGCGTTTGAAGAAAAGTTGAAGAGACGGGGTAAGAAGCGCGTTTGCTGTGGCCTTCCGGTGTGGACTTTAGTCTTGATTTCTGTTGTCATGATTGTTGGAGGCAGCATTGGAGGTGCAATTGGCGGTATATTGGGTGCAAAGAAAGCCGCCGAGGCAAGTGCTGAAGACGACGAACCAACGACCACAACTATCACGGTCCCTCCTCGAACGGATGCAACTCCATTCTCTGGGACTCCGTACAATGTTCCGCCAATCCCAACAGGTCAGTGGACTATTCCGGCAGTGCCGAAAAACCAGTCCAAGTTCTGTATCCTCGATCAGGATCAAACCCCGACGTGGGGTTGTCTCAGCCAGAGGTCTATTCCGATTACTATCGAAGGCGACGGGAAAGAGAAGAAGATCGATTTTGGTAGCAACCAATTACCAAAGACTTTGACCTATGGCGCTCAGGCGCCTTTCTTCACTCATCCCACAATGGAACTGAGCCTCGCGATGGATTCGAGTGACCTCAGTCTTGGACCCGCTTTATCCTTTTTCACTTTTTTTGATAAACTGATCGTGGTACCGGAAGATACACTCTCGTCGTCTGATATTTCGAGCCGGAGTGTACCGGAAGAACAGATCACCAATCCCCATAGCAAGCGGGCGAGCGATGTGGGAGATCGGCCATGGTTTTGCTGGTGGAATAGTACTGTCATGGAGTTTTTCCTTTACATTAATCAGACAACAAAGGTCACGCGGTATGATACATCGAGTTCGCTAGTTGACTCAAGCTCAACCACCACCACCGACGACGATGATGACAACAAAGCTCTCACAACCGATTCGCTCTCCAAACGTGGTAATGACACACCAGACTATTATCCCCGCCGGATCAAGATGGAGGAAAAGCGAGATTATGCCCAAGCTCAAGCACCATATTGCCAACAGATGCAAGTGATGGATGACGGCTCGATCAAAGCGGTATCTCCCGCAACAATCGGAATAAGCGTGAATGAGCCAACACCAGCAACGACAGTTACGGGCACTGGAAGCGCCACTGAGACCTACACGGCAATGGCACAATACCAGAGCATATGCTACTGTGTTTCATTGACCGATTAGCTTCTTTTGGAGTAACTAGGTTACGGTATTGATGATTCCAACATGACAATATGGTGATATCGGCGTTATAAAGGTGGTTTATGGTGTGCTTCTACATAAGCGTGGCCTGCATTGTTTCTGAATGGCGTCTTGGGACTTTTGGTTCTTCGATTGAGGATGGCATATTTTCGTCTGTTCAACTACCCCATATGTTCTGATTATATTATCTTGATGATATCACTTGGTTACTCTCGTTTTGCGTGGCACTGATCAAGTACTATGGTTTTTGTGTTATCTGCTCTAGTTGCGTCGGGGCTCCCTTACTGCGTTTCTTTGAGTTGCAAACAGATACAGTCGTCGTCCGTCAAAGCTTCAAGAAAAGTCCGACACTCGACATAATACATCACCAAAGTTTCGCCACATTTTACTAGTACTACTCCGTAGTTGTACATACACTTAGATTCACACTATCGATTCGAGGTTATGTGTTTACGCTCAAATACCTCCATTGATTGACAGCTCATTCGAGGTTGAGCTTCGGTCGGGTCGCACCCAGCTCCAGTCGAAACGATGACGGAGGGCAACGTCATACTCTCGCCCTCAGTCCGAGTATAAGAGAGCTCCGTAGTACAGCATAATAATAAGCAGATACAATTCCACACAACATTATAGACCTTTGAATTATGACATCGGTCAATATGGCATCAATTATTCGCACCGGTCGCCTGATCAGACCCATCACTACCTCAGTCCGTATATCAATCAATCAAGGACAAGGACGACGGCTTTACGGCCAGAGCTCCTACGGCGATGGCGAAGTCAAGTCCGAAGATAGTCGGAACGAACCTACTCGAGACCTTGAGCATCCAGGTAACGTCTGCCTGGCACCCACCCAGGCAAGGGCGAGTTGTTTGGAGTACAGAGGACTAACCTACGTATACAGGAGCACCACCCCCCGACGTCGGACAAGGGTACGCCCAATCCAAGACTTCTCATCCCACGCCAAAGGCAGGGACCGGGGAAATAGAAGAAGATATTTCCACAAAGCCTTCCAACAAGGCTAATCCAACCATCACGGATGGCCGCCAGTCAGTCAATGTTGATGGCGACGGCAATACTAAGCCGGATGTGCCCGAGGACGTTAAGCAACACAATGAAGAAATTGACCGACGCCATGATAAACCATACAACCGCATTAAGGATGAAGGGAAGGTGGGAAAGGGTTTCTGGAAGCTGGATGGCGGGGGTGCTGGGGACTGATTCCCATGTCATATAAACGGAGTAGCAGTAGAGGGTACGCTGTTGCTGTAATTCAATCGCATATTGTCAGTTTGAGTCAATCAGATCTAGTTGCTCTTGGAAACGGTGTCAAGATGATGTCTTCGCAAGAATATTGTACGCCAGGATAATTGAGATGATTGATAGATCGTGATGTTTACCCTGAGTACTCCGTACTCCGGATCTATGGCCCGCGAAAATGCGATCGGGCCAGATTTAGTGTATGTGGGCTCACTGCGCGACCGCTTTCAAGATCCTGAGCACTGAGCAGCATCCCCGATTTAACGAGCTCTCAATCAACTCTCGTCCCACGATTCTAGCGTGCTCTTCTATTGCTTCAATCTCGCCTGAAGCTACCGGCACACATAAAAATGGCTCCCAAGGGCAATAAATACTCTGTCATCCTCCCAACCTACAATGAGCGGAAGAACCTCCCTATCATATGCTGGCTCCTAGAGCGGACCTTTCGAGAGAAGTGAGCACTCCTCCCTACAGAATCGAATCGGGACTAATCAAATTTCGCTCTCAGCAACCTAAACTGGGAAGTCATCATCGTCGACGATGGCTCCCCCGACGGAACCCTCGAAGTCGCCCAACAGCTCCAGAAAGTTTGGGGCGCCGACCACATTGTCCTCAAGCCCCGAGCTGGGAAACTCGGACTGGGAACCGCATACATCCACGGCCTGCAATTCGTCAGCGGCAACTACGTGATCATCATGGATGCTGATTTCAGCCACCACCCCAAGTTCATCCCCGAGATGATCCGCATTCAAAAGGAGACAGATGCCGATATTGTCACGGGCACGCGCTATGCCAGCCGCGACAACATCAAGGGAGGCGTGTACGGGTGGGATCTATTCCGGAAATTCACGTCGCGCACGGCGAACCTGATTGCGGACGTTATGCTCATGCCGGGCGTGAGTGACCTGACGGGGAGCTTCCGGTTGTACAAGAAAAGCGTGTTGGAGAAGGTGATTCACAGTACACAGAGTAAGGGGTACAGCTTCCAGATGGAGATGATGGTTCGCGCGAAGGCCATGGGATTCAAGGTTGCAGAGTGCCCGATTACATTTGTTGATCGGTTGTACGGAGAGAGCAAGCTGGGCGGCCATGAGATTGTCGAGTATCTCAAGGGTGTTTTGACTCTTTGGCTCAAGGTTTGACGTTTTCCAAATTGCCCTCAATTCTTTTTTTTCTCTTCCGACCTATATCTGTCTGTGTGATGACCACCGCATCTCTTTTCTTATGTGCTGTATACTATTAATGCTTCGAGCTCACTACATACGTCTCATACCTCATAATAAGTCCCTGTTGCTTCATAGGTTTCTATCGGCTATCTTAGGAGCTGCAGGCTCAAACTCGGTTCAGATAGTTGACGAGGCGCTCAATCAACCACGTCTGTCCCTCACCTCGAACATTATGACTTGCGCCAGGAATGACTCCACTGGCTTCATCATCCCACTTCTTCTCTCCAGCATTTGTGGCGCGTTTCCACCGTGCCAGCAATGCCTCCTTATCAACCCCTTCTGGCGCATACTCATCGCTCCCAGAGTACAGCGCCACCAGCGTTCCCTGTAGCAGCTTTCTCTCCGCGACCCGCCCAAACGTCTGGTCAAGGCGCTGATCCGTCAGATCCGTACTAAACAGATCATCTTCTGCTGGTTTTTCTGGACTTTCAGGGCTCGCAAGACTCCAAAACCTCCTGGCATTCACCGGTGTACCTGGAGGCAACCCAACCAACCCGGTCAGCTCAATTGGACAAATCGACCGAGCAGGCTTGCTGCGCGCAAACTCCACGAGTTTCTCATACGCCTCGCGTCCCTCCAAATTACCCTGTACAGATGGAAGCATTGCCTGACGATCCGAAACAGGCGCCTGCATGATTGCCCCGTCTACAACCGGCCTAAGAAGCCCTTGCACCCTGTCAACATCCGGGTTAAACGGGAGTGGATTCGGCGAATGCAGGTAATGCAAAACGTCCTGGCTTCCCGTGGAATGACCCATTATGACCACTTTGTTAGCGGTGCTAGAGCTAAAGCTTTGCTTCAGTTTACGGACGTAGTCGACGCATTGTCCGATTTCTTCGACATCCTGGTCAAGACTACCTATTCCCCAACCACCGTAGGAGGAGGAAAGGAGGAGGTGAAAGAGGGACCATTCCGTGGGCTCTACAGCCTTTGCAATCTCTTGGACATACGGCACGGTGTAGAGCCCGTCTGTGAGGCCGCCAATGAAGAGAATACTATGGGGTTTGGGAGCTGTGTTTGGCTGGCCAAACTCGAAGGCTGTTAAGCGGGGTGCCTGGAATTGTTAATACTTGGCTAGTGGCCAGTGATGGGAGGCCGGGGACTGCACGCACATAATGGTGTAGAGTTCCAGGATAAGAGGTGGTCATGCTGATATTCGAGATGATGCCTAGTAGGTTCAGGTTGTGCCTTGAAAGCTGAAGATTGGAATCTCTCAAGTCGGCGGGGTAGAATGAAGCAGTTGATAACTGTTCTAATTACGCCCCACTGTAGAACAACATCGTCGCCCGAAAACTCGGTTCGCGTTGGCATACAGTAAATAGCCCCGGTATATATCATCCAACTAGGTTGGGAATCTCAAAGGGTCTTCGTCAATTGCAGACGATTCATAAATCGAAGCTGGGTGAGAAAAAAGGTCAAGAATAAATACGTAGTTTCATTGGGAGATACGGTCACAGAGGGTAAAATTCACGCCAAGTCCAGCTAGTCCGAGATAGTGTAGTAGCTACTCCGTACTTCTTGAACCTTGAACCAGTCCATGCTTTCCTCCTGGGAATTCTTCTTCATTTTCTTTCCACCTCCTCTTCGGACCCAAATATCTCTTCATGCAGTGTTCTGTCACGGCTGATCTGGATATCTTTGATTGAATTATATGGCTTTACTTGCTTGAGCGATCAAAAGTAATGCGCTCTTCAACCGTCAACTGTTTACCGGCATGAGAAGCCCAAGGACTTTGACCCACACTTCCTTGCTGCTAAGGCTATAGCATGCCATCAGCTCGTAGATCTGGGCGCCTCTCCGGTGTCCGGAAATCCTACACGCTGGATCCTGGCGTTGATGAGGAATTGGAGTCAAATTTCGTCGATGAATCAAACAAACTCCCACGAAACAAGGGCAAACAGCCTGTCCATGACGAATCCTCCGATGAGGAATTCCAGGTAGGCCCCCCGGAAGAAGAGGAGGCGGAGGATGACCTTGAAGACGGCGATTCTCAAGATGAGGATGCCGGAGCTGGCGACGACGCTGGGGATGAGGATGCAACGAAAGGTAGTCGCCGCCAATCAAAAACGCCCAAAACACTGCAGTCAAAATCCGTCAAGAAGCGGCCACCTACTACCACCGGTGTCCTCACTGGTGAAGAGACCCATTCTCGAGGAGTTTGGAATCCATTTGAGCATGTTGGCAAATCCGTTCATCTGCAGGCGACGTTTGGCCTTGATGAAAGGGATATTCTAGCCGCCCTATATGCGCGAGATCGGTGGACTCGGGGATTCGATTCTACTTTTCCGGCTCGAATATCCCTAGATGAGGCACAGACTCTGCGAGATTACAAATACGGTTCGACGTTTGGTGTTGAGCCTGAAGACCTGGACAGGGAGAGTACCCGCGGCTGGGACTGGTACTACGGCGATGGTACTAGAGAACGGTTAAGAACGCGGCAGCAAATTGAACCGATTACCGAGATGGAGGCTCGTCAGTCCTTCATGCCGAGGCCCAAGGAGGGCAAGCATACGGTCTTAGTCGGGCCCGCAAACAAACAAATGGCTTTTACTCTCGATCAATATGATGTTATCAACCTGGGAGATGCATGGGGAGAGGAAAAAGATGGGCGGACTACTGACGCGGCAGGCTCCAAACAACCCAAGAAAAAGCGTCAAGGTTGGATCATCAATGTCGGCCAGCGCGTGCAGGCCGTTGCGTGGGCGCCTAACCAAAGCGGTCTCACTCAGTATTTGGCCGTAACCGCTCCGATTTCAAGTGAGCAAAAGGACGATTATCCAGATCCTCTGAAAGATTACGCAGCTCCAGCATTTCGGCCGTCAGCTCCTTATCCGTGTGCTCTACAGATCTGGGCTTTCAAAGCCGATAAAGGGGGCGGCATCACAAAATCTATCGATATGAGCTCCATACCCAAGTTACGGTTAGTTCTCGGTACCTGCTGGGGTGATTTGAGGCGAATTGCATGGTGCCCTATTCGCCGAGCGCCTCGGAACGAAGATGACGAAGACGTTGATAAAACCATTGGGCTCCTTGCTGGCGTATATGGCGATGGCTATGTCAGGGTCATTGATGTGAAAATCAGCAGAGACCCCAACAGGACTGGTTTCCGTGAGTTCTTCTTTTTTTTTGCACTTTTCTGATAACACCATGCTTACCCTTTGAAACAAGACCGAGTTGATGTCCCTCTGTTCGAAGCGAAACCTCCTTCAACAGTATGTACATGTGTGACCTGGCTGTCTTCCAGCGACATAGCTGTTGGCTGTGCCAATGGATTCGTCGCTGTTTGGAACATTGTACCGCCATCTGTACAACGTCAGACCGACCCAGCAAAAAGCCCATTACCTTATTTTTACCATCCAGTTCACTCGACCTATGTGCTAAACATCGCATCTGCCTACCCAACCTATCCCCATCTGGTGGCGACAACCTCTATGGATGGAGAGACACGATTGACTTCGCTGGCTGATCATGAGAAAGATGTGGTCGACGCCATGCGCATGAGGGTGGGATCACCCCATTTGACATATTCGCCCTGGCTTCAGTCCTTTATCTCTAGTGACGAAAATGACTTCGTACGTCTACTAACCATCCGACGTTTCTTTACCACAATGGCAGCCGCTCGGCTGCCGAGCACCGTCTCAGCCTTGGCGTCAAGCAGCTTCTGGCATCCAAGCGCGCTTATTGGTTGTACGGGAGGATCAGTGCTGGCGACGAATCCTCTACGAAGAGTACTCCATTCTAAGGAGAAGCAGTGGCAACAGACCTGGTTCTCACACACTTGGGCTCGAGGCGAGGATATAAGAGCCTCTGGGACTAGCCGGTTCTACGACGGGTTTCGTGCTGAGAGCATCAGTCTGTTGCGCAACATGATGGGCGACCGTAAGATGATCAACGGAACTATGGTTATCACCATCCACGAAGAGGAGACCCACGTTACAGCCTTGTCATGGAATCCGAATCAATCATGCGCGGGCTGGGCGAGTGCTGGGCTGGGATGCGGCCTCGTTCGAATTGAAGATCTGGCAATGTGACGTCTTTTAGGAACAAAGCCATATCTCGTCATTTCCCCTTCGGTGTGACGGTCAGGGGTTAGGAGTCAGAAGTCAGAAGAGGCCATGTCCATGATCGCTAGATAACTTACGTACGCTCTGCCTGCCCTGCATATGTGTTCAGCACCTCGCCGGCCATACCAAGAAACGTTCAATGATCCTGCATCTTACCGTGATATCCGAATAACTTCGGCTGCGAGCTTACACTAGAAAATCACATATGCATGCCCACCTAACATCAGACTCCATCGAACCAGCATAATATCTTCGATGTTTAGCTTGGCGCACTGTCCAGAGTATGCCTACGGAGTACACTTGGGGGAAGAATAGACTTGCATTATCAGGAATGCAAGCCTGCATGTGTTGGGATGATCGGGCTGCAGCGGTATTGCGCGTCCAGCAGAAAGAAGCTGGCAGAAGACTGAAACTAAGAATAGATATCGTGTCTTTTTTTTCCCTGCCTGATGAGTGGTCGTTGCCGCCACAATATCAGAAAAGACACAGCCACAGCAGGCCATCCACATTGCATATCCTTTGCTCAGAAATACAGATTGATAAATTGAGGAGAGAATGAAACCAAAAGGCTCAAAAACTGTATCCATAGATCTGCCTTCAATTACAACATAATCATGAAAGGATTGCGTAGATGCAAATGATCCCTGAAAAGACCGTGGCTGGTCATAGCGTTGTTTTGGCTCAGATTGTCCCAGCCTCCTGTATACTCGGCCGGCGCTGTCAGCCAGAACGTTATGGACGCGCCAGCTGCCATTATGCTTGAAAGTGATGGGCCTAAGCTGCAGATCATTATGCAAGACCTGCTCCACGATTTTATTTCCCTCTGGCTTTTCGGGCCCTTGTGACAGACTTGCTCTGGGTTCATAAACGGTCCTTCCTCTCGACTAGCCATCGACTCTCCTAACTATCATACCTCGTGAATCGTCTCTTCATAACTAGATCTATCTCTCTGGCTTTATCAGCTCTTATTCTTATTCTTGCTCACGACTCTTTTCTGCACTTATTACCTTTGCGCAACTCGCTTACATCCAACCGTCACCACTCAACAACATGCATACCTCGGCACTCGTCTGTTTCGCTATCGCTCTCACAGCTCACGCTATTCCTTTGACTCGGCCCATCTCGAACTCTACAGTTCAGCGCAGAAGCTCAGATTATGCTGTTGTCAACGTCGGAGGGGACCCAAGCCCCCCCCAGCCTCCAGTTCAAGAGACGGTTATTGAAACCGTAACTGCTCCAGGAGCACCTCAGCAAACGGTGACAGTGACTCAAACTTCATCTCTAACGTCTTCCTCGACGGCACTATGGGAAACGAGTGCATACGGCGGCAGCTCCTCGGTTATCCCAACTCCCACTCCAACCCCGTCTTCTATTGCAGTTCCTGCCCCTGGTCCCGAAGACGAGACTATCCCCCGCGGCTTCACTGCCATGGACAGACTCGCGCGTGCTCTCGGAAAGACTATTGACACCCGCCTCAAGGCTCGTGATATGAAGCCTACTGCTCAGCTTAGCCCTGGTTTGAACGGCACCGCACAGGCGCCTCATGCCCCTCGTGGTTTCCACACCACTGAATCGGGAAGCAAGATTCTCGAGAACAGGAGCCTGAATGGTACATCCGTAAAGGCTTAGAGAGTCACGCAGTTCGCATAGAGCCTTTGCTCGGTTTCTTCAATGTCTTAACATACTCTTCGGTCGATGAGTAACGGTTCATTACGAGTGAAAATTGATGGAATTAATGGCTGCCACGATTATGACATGGTTATTTTTCAGCTGTCCTTGGTCATGAACATCCACAGGCGTCCTTGGGTTTTTTTAATTGTTTAACGTGATTTTTATGGTGTTGATTAATTATTATAGACTGGAAATACTTTCATACTAGATTAGTGGAATGGGATTATTACTAAAAGTGCTACTAGTAAATATGGTATTGTTATAACAGTACTGTGACTGACCGTGACGTCTTTAGCCAGTTGAGCCAGCAATTAGTTACTCTTATCCAGCAGCTCCGACTCTGCACTCAGCCTCTCCAGCTCCTCCCGCTCCCCATTGATGGAAATTGAATCCTTTCGAACATTTCCTACCTCAGTGTTTCTTCCCTTTCCAATTCCGTCGTCGCTTCCCTCTACTCATTCTTAGCCAACCCAATTGTTTACCGCCTAGCACCGAGCCGCTGTTGCGACCACGACCACCTAGTTCTCCGCTTTTGACTCGGAATCCCCTCCAATACCGGACCAAATCAGATAGCCACCATGGCCACGTCGGTAGCACCCCCCGAAGACCAGAGCCGGCTCCTGGAGGAGGCATTGGGGGTGGTGCGCCAACAGTCGGCTATGATGCGAAAATGCCTCGAAACCCCGGGCAAACTCATGGATGCGCTTAAATGCGGGTGAGTTGAAGCTTCCAGGCAGCAATGGATATTGATGCGATTCGTATCACAACGAACAGTGGTTGTGGTGATGGTATTGACACACTGCGTCCTAGATCAACGTTGGTCTCCGAGCTCCGAACGCCAAGTTTAGGTCCCAAGCAATACTACGAACTTTACATGGCCGTCTTCGATGCCTTGCGACATCTCTCTGTGTACCTCAAAGAGAACCACCCCGTTAACCATCTCGCCGATCTCTACGAATTAGTTCAGTATGCAGGCAACATAATCCCGCGCCTCTACCTCATGATCACTGTCGGCACTGTCTACATGTCCGTAGAGGATGCGCCGGTCAAGGAAATCATGAAGGATATGATGGAGATGAGCCGAGGTGTACAGCATCCGACCCGTGGACTGTTTCTCAGATACTACCTTTCTGGCCAAGCGAGGGACTACCTGCCCTCTGGCACCGGGGACGGCCCCGAGGGGAACATTCAGGACTCGATCAATTTCATTCTAACCAATTTTGTCGAGATGAACAAGCTCTGGGTGAGGCTTCAGCATCAGGGTCCGTCACGGGAACGGGAGAAGCGCATGCAGGAGCGCCGGGAACTGGAGCTTCTAGTGGGAAGTAATGTTGTTCGCCTCAGTCAATTGGTGGACCTGGAGACGTATAAGTCTGGGATTCTGCAAGCGCTCTTAGAACAGGTCGTTCAGTGCCGGGATGTACTGGCACAGGAGTATCTTCTTGAAGGTATGGAGTCTGAAGTGAGCAATTTAAGAATCCTAAAATGCTGACTTGGCGTTACCAGTTATTACCAAAGTGTTTCCGGACGAGTTTCACCTTCATACCCTCGATCTATTGCTCTCCGCTATTTCCCGCCTCAATCCCCATGTGGACCTTAAGAAGATTGTTATAGGGCTGATGGACCGCTTGTCATCTTACGCAGCGCGCGAGGCAGAGACATCTACCGATCCAGATACCAAGAAACAGAGAGAAGAAGACGCAGTGACGAAGCTTCTTGAAAACCTCAAAGTCTCTGAAGAGGCGAAGGATAAGTCAAAGGAAGATGGGGAGACAACGACTGCTCAGGAGAATGGCATCGAAAAGACAACAAATGAGACGCCGGAGACGACCAAACCTGCCGAGGAAGAGCCTGCGGCGAATGGGGATGGCGAAGACGAGAAGCCCACTGCCCCTCAAGACGTCAAGCTCTATAACATCTTCTATGAACAAGTAGTCAACCTGATCAAGTCCCGTGGTTTACCAATACCAGACACTATGGCATTACTGGTTTCGCTGGTCAACCTTGCGCTCAACACCTACCCTGAGCATTTGGAATATGTCGACCAAGTACTTCAGTTTGCTACCAAGGAGACTGCCGAGTATACCGACCACGCAGATTTGCACGCAGCACCAACACAAGAGAACCTTCTTCACCTGCTCATCGCCCCGCTTCGCTCATATGTCTCGATTTTCACGGCTTTAGCTCTGCCCCACTACCTCCCACTCCTAACCTCTCAGTCCTATCCCACTCGACGCTCTGTTGCAGGGGAGATTGCCCGAAGTTTACTCAAGAATCATACCTTGATCACGTCGACAGAAAACCTAGACCGGGTACTACAAGCTTTGCGAGTCTTGATCAAAGAAGGAGCGCAGCAAGGTGGGGGTTATCCTGGGTTGCAAAACCAGCGACGAGGCGAAACAGACGAAGCGGTCGAAGAACAAGGTTGGCTGGCGAGGATAGTTCATCTCCTACAAGCCTCGGAGAATGACACCCAACTCAAGGTATGAACCTACTTGCTTCCCTTCGACCCACTCCCATTTCTCATCATTCCCAACTAATTTTGATCCAGCTGCTACAAGCCGTTCGAAAAGCCTACCTGGACGGCAATGAAAGGATTCGATACACCTTCCCCGCCATTGTCAGCTCTTCAATCCGTCTGGCTCGGAAGCTCAAATCTCGTGAGCATTACGATGACAACTGGCAAACACAATCATCAGCACTATATCGATTTATGCATCAATGCGTTAACAACTTATATCAGCGCGTAAACCCTGGTTGCGCGGATCTATCACTACGGTTGTTCATCATGTGCGGCGAGGTTGCCGATCAGACCGGATTCGAAGAGTTCAGCTACGAGTTCTTTGCTCAAGCCTTTACCATTTATGAAGATTCAATAAGTGACTCCCGAGCCCAGTTTCAAGCCGTCTGTATCATCGCCGGGGCCCTCCACGGCACCCGAGGCTTCTCCAAGGAGAATTACGATACTCTAATCACCAAGGCCGCCTTACACGGAAGCAAACTCCTCAAGAAACCTGATCAATGTCGTGCAGTCTATCTAGCTAGCCACTTATGGTGGGTGATTGAAAACCCTCACCGCGGCGAAGAGGACCCCAAGAATGTACGTCTTGCCTTGAAAAAAATCCTAGAAAACCCGTCAGATTCCTCTAACAATTACTTTACAGCTCTACCGAGACGGCAAACGCGTCCTCGAATGCCTCCAGCGTGCGCTTCGTGTAGCGGATGCCTGCATGGACACCGCTGTTTCCGTCGAGCTCTTCGTCGAAATACTCAATCGTTATGTGTACTATTTCGATCAGCAGAACGAGACCGTCACGACGAAGTACTTGAATGGCCTTATCGAACTCATCCACTCAAATCTCCAGACAGATCAAGATGAACCAAATCCCGCCCTTGAGAACCCAAGGAGGCATTTCCAGCGGACACTAGAGTATATTCGCTCCAGGGAGTTTGAGGGGGTTATCACGGATCCGAGATCCTAGTGCCAGAGTACCACCGCGCCTCGACTCCTCGCGCAAGGGTGGCGATGACCGTGATTTGACTTCGTTGCGTCTGTTTCTCTTGTCCTGTTGATTTCAAGCATGTCACGAAAGATTCGTGTCTTGTACGATTCCCTCCATGTCTCACACTATACTGCTATGCTACTTCTCTCCACTGCAAGCTTTGTCTGTTTTCTACGGGATCGGGCTATGATGTCCTTTGAATATATTGGCTGTATCATGAAGTCCAGCTTGATGGAATTATGACTTCCCTGTTACTCGTATTGTACTGTGTTGTACTGCCCATGTCGTTCGTTGTATTTCTATTCCATCCTCTTGATCTAGCCCGGAGGCAAGTAATATTACGACAAATACATTAGATGCAGGGGATCCTGGGAAGCCCAATCGATTAGTGGAGTCTGGAAATCAAAATTGCACCTCAGAGATCAATGTGCCTTCCTAAGTCAGATATATATGGTGATGAAGTCATGAAGGAAGGAGCAATCCAGTCCGGGGATGTCGCTAGGGAGGAGGGTGGGTCAACCTGACTCTATTTCTGACCTTTGAGCCGCCTCACTCAAATATCGATCACTCAACTCCGTACATGATCATCACAAATACCATACACGTCCTCCAGATTGAATGCTACATAAAACATTCTCCTTACTTATAGAGTCTCTTCAGAAGGGTTATAGATACTACCTAAATGCGGCAAAAGAGTATTGGAAGTGGAAAAAAAAGTTAATGATCACGCACGAGATAAAAATCGCGATGATGCATGCAATTCTTCGTTTGATTCGAAGCCCCGCCCCAGGGGGGTAAATCCATATACTCCATGGGGTAAAGAATCCAGATGGTTCTCTTGATGTAAAAAAACAATGAAATAGAGAATACACGACATGGCAATGTCCACGGATGAGTCAAAAACGTGAAAATGAAAGAGTAAGACACAAACAAGGTCATAAGGAAGAAAATAAGACGAAGCGATGAGCATTCGGGACATTCATACAATAGAATGGTGGTGGAGACGTTAGGAGGAGGGTAAAGAGAGGGAGATAAGGTGGTATGTCTGGTAAAGATGTAGGTGATGAGGATGACGCTGATGAGTGGAAAAGGTAGGACACGTTAATCATTGCAGAAAAATTCTCGTCCCAAGTGTAGACGATGGAAACATAAGATGAGAATCCCCAAGTCACCCGGGAACGCCTAAACTAGAAACCAGCGGGAGGAGAAAAAGATTGTCGGAGGACGGAGGATGGAGGTGTACCGATCCCACCAAACGCCGGAATGCTGTTGCTGATGAGAGGGCTCCCAATTTCGCCTGGAGCAATGCTGCCGCGTTTCCCAGAGGCCGCACTGTTGGTGTCCGGCTCAAATTTGACAAACTCGCCCTTTTCACTCTTTTGAATTGAAAACGAGCCACCGCCGTTTTGCGCGTTACCTTCTGTGTCACAGATATCGAGCATTTCCTTGAGAGGAATCGGCGCCTCATTTGATGGCTGAAGCTGTTCAACCTGGCGGAGAACCACGTTTACATCGTGATAACCATCCGCGTTTTTCGAAGGACTCATGGTGCTGAGTTGCTTGCATGCTTGAATAACTAGCAGCCGGATGGTAACAGGGCGAGACCCATGTGGTCGGGGATGAACAGTGGTGCCAAAGGCATTGTCTGGCCAGCCACTCCCTGGACAAAGTTAGTCGGGGCCGGTTTCGAGTTCTAGACCAGTTACTTACCAGGAAGCATTCCCCATGTGCGGTCACTGGGGAAGGTAGGAGTTCCAAAGGGCATCTGAGCGCCCCATGTATTGCCACCCACGGCGGGACCGACAGGGAAGTTGTTATGTTTGGCTGAAAGTGGAGTTGGAAACAGCGACGAGCCTGTAAAGCTGGCTCGTGCAGGCCCAGGTATCGCTGCTGCTCCTGTTGGACCGGGTAGAGACTGAGAGAGTTGAGATGACGTGAGTGGGATGTCCGTGTCGTCAAGCAGCGCACTGCTGCCCAATTGCGCGCTCAATTCGTCCATTTCTTTGCGGGAGTTGTGATCTTGCTGGGTGCTGGGTGGGCGTTTGATTGGGCTAGGGCGGGAAATGGGGAATGGCTGAGCATTTATGTCAAGCGGAGATCGTTCAAAGGAAGTGGATGGCTGCCTAGAGTGGCTGGATGGTAGTCCGCCTGGGGGCTGCGGTACAAAGGCACCAGGGAGGGGTGGTTGGGCATGGAAAGGAAGTCCCGGAGCTTCAAGGGGGAATCCTCGGCCGGGGGCCATGGGACGGGTTCCATTCATGCCTGGGTGCGCCGGAATCCCAGTGGGCGCCTGAAACCCTCGATGCTGGTTCAAGAAAGGACTCGAATGCGGTGGATACGTGGGCAATTCATGGCCCGCCAGGGGTCGAGGGACTATACCAGAAAGCCCCGGAGGGTTTGACGGGGACAGACCGGGAGGAGGCAGCCTGCCGAGGGGTGACATGGGGGTCGTGGGATAAGGGTGGTGTAGAAGAGGATGGTGGGCAGGGCCATGTTTTGGCAAAACAGATGATCCCAGAACGGATCTGGGAGACAACTGTGCTGCCTCCGTACTGGCTGCTTGAGATCGCGGCGAAGAAGAGTGAGATCCCTGCTGGGAGGAACCGCGCGGTCTTACGGGGGTTGATGTTTTTGGAACCACAGGCGTGGCGATTTGGGGATGCGGCGACTGCTGATGCAGGAATGTCCCTGGGGCAGGATGCAGGTTCGACGGGACCGAGCCCAGTTTGCCGTGCTTCTCCTGCTCTTCCAGCTCTCGCTCTCTTCTCGCATATTCCTCTCTCGCCTTGCGTTCTCGCTCTTGTTTTGCCCGCTGTTCCTTCAACTCGCGCTCCTCGCGCTCTTTTCGCCGCGCCTCCTCTTTCCGCTTCTTCTCCTGTTCCTTTTGCTCTCGCTGCCTTCGTTCAGCCTCTGCCTGTTTGTCTCTCTCTTCCCGTAATCGTTTCTGCCTCTCGGCTTCTCTTCGAGCGCGCTCTTCCTCCTGGGCTTTCCGTTCGGCTTCCCGTTTTTTCCGTTGTTCCTCCTTCTTCTTCCGCTGCTCCTCAAGCTTTCTTTCCTGTTCCGCTTTGGCCGCGGCTTCCTCCGCTGCCTTCTCAGCGTCCCGCCTAGCTTTCTCCTCATCCTTGGCCAGCTTCTGCATTTTCTTCTTGTCTTTCCGCTTTTGGGCCTCTCGAGCTTTCTTGGCGTTCCGTTGTTCATTCCTCGTTTCCTCCTCTGCGAGCTCCTCGATCAGCTTATTCTGACGTTGTTCAGCAACCTTTTCTCGATATGCTGTAAGGACCCTTTGCTCGAACATTCGAGCTGCGAATATTTGGAACATCCGTCGGCCCTCCTCCATGCGCTGTTCCTCTGTCATTGCATCCTGGCATTTGTCAGTATATAATAAAACCAATATAAATAGCCGAGCATACCATTTCATCTTCCTCATATTCCTCATCCTCTTGACTATCATAATCCTCGTCCTCCTCGTAGTCTTCGTCCTCATCGTCGAGCGGACCATGGTTATGGCCGCTGTGAAGAGATTGATGTGCTGCAGCTATGCCGTATTGTGTATCTTCCTCACGCTGCATGCGGCGCTCCGCTAATTGTTCCATCATGTCAATAAAGTGTTTCCCGTCATTTTTCAAGAGATCGTCTGCAACTGTAAGAATTCCATCTGAATGTAACGAAGCAAAGACAGATCGCGAAATCAGCCTGGGGTCCAGAAACAAGCACGAAACCAATACTCCAGGAGCCTTACCTTTGACAGTTAGACTATTCCCGAATGCGAAAAAATCCGCCTGAGCAGCACGCGTATCTTCATCCTCATACTCCTCATCGCTGTATGGCTCATCGTCCTCTTCATCTTCATCGTATTCCTCATCCAAGTCTTCGTCATCTTCAGGTAACTCATGGATACGGCCTCGTGAAGGATGGTATTGACCATGTGTGTGGGTGTGATGGCCGGGCGGGCGAAGCGGTGGTTGGTAAAGTCTCGGGGGTGGAACAATGGGCGGGCCTCGTTCGAATGTCCCTTGAGTGTTATTGGCGTACTGTTCAAGCTCTTCGTAGTAGGCATCATATAGGACCTCAAGCTCCTCCTCGATTGCGGTTCGTTTTCTGCCACATACGGTACAGCTGCACGAATGCTTCTGCTGCTCCTTCATCTTCTTCAGAACAGCGTCCTTCTCTACCTTGACCAGCTGCCGCCGCTCCTCCTCGCCTAACTCTAGCCAGAATGTCTTTATATTCTCTCTTTCTTCCTGCGTTGAAGTGTTCCATATGCTGCGCTCCTTGCTCGACTTAAAAGAGTCTCGGAAACCGGAGTGCGGGGGTGGAGGTGGGGGGAGTGCGTGCGACAATGAAACGGAGGGGGTCGATAAAGGAGTAGAGCTCGCTTGTGACCCATTACGGCCTTTCTTCCCTTTCTTCTTTTTCGATTTCCGGCTCCCTGTTTGTTGAATATCATTATGGTTATTTTCGGAAGGAGGGGGTTCCTGAATGTCGTCCGCGTGTCCATTGAGCAAATCCTCGCTTGTATTATCGACCCCCGAGTCGTGTTCGTGAGATATATGGCTGTCCGGTGCGATCGAACCCGAACCGTTGGCGTCGACAGTATCCGTGGGCGCATGTCCGTTCAATGCCTGCCGTTCGGCGGCCAGGCGAGCCGCCTTTTCCCTTCGCTTTTGCTTCTTCCGATTTACTGGAACGGCTGACGTGCTGTTGTAGTCGCTCACTACTGAGTCTTCCCGGCTTGTAGAACGTGTCGGGGCCGTCGCGGGCACATGACTGGACATGGCGGAATTGGGAGCTTAGTCTGGGCGTGGCCTGAGCAGGCAGAGAATCATAAGTTCGTTTCGCAAGGGATAAGCTTCCCTCTCGGGGATCTTGTGGTTCAACCACAAGAGCTGTCGGAGGAGGCGGAGCAAAAAGGTTAGAGACGGAGGGGTGTGTGAGAGAGCCTCCGCGTGAAGAAAGTGTCAAAAATCGAAAAGCTCACCAGCAAGTTCTCGAGGAAGCTGAGCCGGGGGACAGATAAAGGGAGGGATGTGCTAGTAAAGGACGAAGCCGACGTCCTTGAACTCGCGACTGAAAGAAAAGGCAAGCGGCTTTCAGTGGCTGGTGGGGAGCCAAGGTACAATGGGTGTTGAACAAATGGGGTGAAATGAGGGCGGAGAGAGAGGGGTGTGAATTGCCCGGGCGGCTCGACCGAACTGGCTAATGGGGGGACGCGAGAAGGAAGGGCATTAATTGAACCTCTGCAGAGCAGCGATCGAGGCGATGAGACTGATACCTATGGAAGGCTGGATCTTGACGCCAGAAGTTGGGCTCTGGCTGGCTCTGGATGGTTGCCCTGCCGCTGGCCGCAAAGGGATAGCCTGGATAGCCGCTATAAGCGAGCTCGTCTTTACATCAAGGTACTCTTCTTTCCTTATGCTGGATTACGTATCATTCTTCTGTTTCTTCTGCGGTCTGTATCGCGCAAGGAGGGCTGTATAGAAACAATAAATCGATTACTAGTACCAGCCGGGCCAGAGTACGCCTGTGTTAAGTTCATACTAGTAGGTACTACTCGTAGTTACTTGTAGTTAGAATGTCTTGAACAGATCGGTCAGGCAACCAGCGCTGTAAGACGATCAGCAACACTCCAGACAGCTATGCCATTCAAGTCTATCCACGACACCTCGCCGTGATTATTGCTTTTCCTCTCGGGTTCTCGAAGCAGAATTCATCCGCCCTAAATAGAAGCATCTCCTCCGTGACTGAGACAATTCTCTAGCTTGAGCGCTGAAAGTGGTTCGACAACACGAATCGTATTTTTAATAATAGTACAGGCTGAACTACACAGTCTATAAAAGTTAATCCTCGTCTCTTCGTCCAGCCCTTCCGTGGCTCCGTACTGTAACGTCTGGCCTCGTCGACCGCCTTCCAGAACGCCCCAAAAGAAAGCAAAGCAGAGCAATCAATCAATCAATCAATCTTCAGTCCGGCGGTTAGTTCCAACTGCTAAGGGGAGGGGACTTAACTCTCTTCAACTTCTCAGCTCGCTTTCTTTTCCCCTCTTCCATCCAGCCCGACAAGACCGCCCCAGGAAAAAACTCTTCTGGACTCAGCCCTCATCCCCCCTCCGAGCTCTGTTTCAGATATCCGAGTGCTGCGCATCTGAGGGCGTCTGCCCGTTTTGGTTTCTGCCTTTTATCTATCCAACCTTGTCGCCCCGTGCAAAATGGCCCAACAACAGAATGACAATGTGATGCGAAGGTAGTCCCCGACTTGTCTAGAGTCATTTGGTTTGCATGCCCTTTATTCTTGCTGACCTGTTCCGTATCAATGTAGAAAGTTGGTAATCATCGGTGATGGCGCTTGCGGGAAAACGAGTCTCTTGAGTGTCTTTACTCTAGGATACTTTCCTACAGTGAGTGAATAAAAACTGGTCCAACTTTGATGACCGTCTACTTACCTTTATCATTTATAGCATTATGTCCGTTCATGCAATCCCCATTCTCCGTCTACCAGCAACTAACCCGTGCGACAGGTCCCAACAGTCTTCGAGAGCTACGTGACAGATTGCAGAGTTGATGGCCGGTCGGTTCAATTAGCGCTGTGGGATACAGCCGGTCAAGAAGACTACGAGCGGCTGCGCCCACTCGCCTACTCGAAAGCACACGTTATCCTGATTGGATTTGCCGTTGACACCCCGGATTCGCTAGAGAACGTCAAGATCAAGGTTCGTCTCCTCGACTATGGTATTTATAGTCGATAATACTTACCATATCCGCGCTGTAGTGGATCGAGGAAGCGAATGAGCGATGCCCCGGCGTACCCATCATACTTGTCGGCCTGAAGAAAGATCTTCGCGAGAACCCCGGTGCGATCGAAGAAATGCGAAAGAAGTCTCTCCGATTTGTAACTCCTAGAGAAGGAAATGAGACTGCAACACAGATAAAGGCTCGCAAATACCTAGAGTGCTCATCTCTGACCGGAGAAGGCGTGGACGACGTCTTCGAGGCCGCGACCCGCGCTGCGCTTCTTACCTTCGACAAGCGGAAATCGTCATGTTGCATTGTGCTATGACGAAAAGTTAATCTAACCAGTTGTGACGCGCGATATACACCCACGACGTTTGTCATTGTTTCTCTTGAAGTATGTCGGCCTTGAACGCCTTGTCATCGAGCGGTAGTAGATTGGACTTGAAAATGGAGGACTCGTGGATAAATACTGGTTGGTTTGATATAGCTTGCATTTCTGGCGTTTGGTGAGCCTTTGTCGTTTGCGTTCTATTTGCCTTCTCGTGATGTTATTATGTTGCCAATTTTGCCTGCCACCGGCGCTCCTTTACTTGCGTGGCAACGATGTCTTTCCCGGATACCCATATCGAACCTTAACCCTTCCTTTTTGGTGGCTTTGCACGGGCACTCCGAGTTCCCTCCTTCAGTGGTCGTTTGTTTGTAACTTCAATTCTTGCATAGCTTTATCAAATCCGTTCAGAAACAATCCTAGTATACATAGACATATCCACAATTCAAACCGACCATCAATACAATACATCCCTTTCTACCCCAAGCTTGAATTACCTCTTCGGCTGCGGTCGCTTCCAGTCATGATTCCATCCCTCTCCTGGCCCTTCAGTCTGCAACCGCCCATACTCAATCGGAAACATATCCCTAAACACCCTCGTCTTGATCATACTCTTCCTGAACAATTTTCCACCATCCCCAGCTCCCGTCCGCAGCTCCTCACAGGCAGCGTTCATAGCCTGCCATTGTCGCTGGAGTTCGAGTTGCTTGGCGCGGCGGCGGTTGGCCTGGTAGAGTTGCCAGGCGCGGTGAATTGTCCAGTGACGGAGATAACGGCCTCGACTGAAGCGGAGGGGGCGCGGGGTCAGAGGGTGGTGGAGGAAATAGCGGATTAAAGCTAAGATATTTGTTAATATGGGTTTGACTGGCGGAGCCTGACGGAGGAAGAGGTAGAGACGCACTAATTCTCTTGTCAACATATGTGCGACCCTTCTGCTTGAGCAGAGGCGATGATGTTGAAAACGTCGCTTTGCTTTCTTGTCTTCCTGGTGTCAATGGCTTCGAGATCGTGGTCTGATTGAGAAGGGGGACCGCTGGGCGGAGGATGGTCTGCGAAGCGGGGATTTTGAAAACATTTGCCAAAGAGGCCAGCACGGGCGATAATGTGAGGGAGCGCATTATGTAACGCGATTTTGGCCGCCAATTGACCTGGTGGTTCGTGGAGGTGTTGAGGGAGATCCTCATGCCTTGAAATGAATCGAGTTTCGGGAGACTTTTTCGGAGAGAGTGCCCGGTAGGCGCGCGCTAATATAAGCGCGATATCTCACTAGTACTATGTAGGACTATCATTGGCATATCTTGGGGCTTTTCATTCGCAGCCGAATCAATTAAATGCAAGAGGGGGTATGTTCTTGGCTCGCTCACTTCAGAATGCAAAGCTTCAAATCCTTTTAATTGTACACACGCGGTTTAAATACAAATCAAGTGCTCTCCAGGCAAGGCTGGCTCCTTGATCACAGCCACCTATTCCATACCGTTATGTCCGTTATCTTGTTAGAATCGCCGAAGCGCCCAAAATGCATCATCACAAAGTCTCATAAAGACAATCAGAGCCTAGTGCTGATAATAAGAAAGTTATCTAGCCACTTGTTTTTTCGCCCGGTCATAATTGAGCACCTTGCGTCGCCGATGAGTCTGCGCCAACTTCCAGCGGCAATACAACACCAAAGCATCTTTGAAAAGCACAAAAACGCAGCCCCCAATCACACTCCGACCCCATCTTGTCTGAAGCAGACCGGGCCTCCCACGTTCAAGTACGGATACTGTCGTCCACGACTTTGGTAACACATACTTGAGAAGCCCGCCCATGGTCGCAGAAATAGCAGGAAAGGCAAGAGCTCCCAAAACAATGTCCGCAAGACTGCTTGTTTCATGGACGAGATTCACGTCTCGTTGCCCAAGTCCCAAAGCTTGGCCGTTGATACCGGCCCCTTGGTTTTGCTCTTGCTGTCCTTCCTCCTGTTGTTGTTGTTGCTGTCCATTTCCTTCGCCCAATCCCAGAATCTGTTGTGGTTCCACCTCATCATTATTCATACCAACTTGGAATTCCAGATCGAACTCCATAAGGATTTGTCCATTGTCCGCCGGGACTGGAACTGGCCCCGGATGCTCCGGCGGCGCATTGTCATCGAATTCATTGATATCTGCCTGGCGCGGTTGTACCTCGGCGATCCATCTCCGCTCCAGTTTGCCAAAAAGTCGGTCGTAAACAGCGCTGTAGAAACTCTTAATGTATGGCAAAGCTGCAAATGTTACAGCAGCGCTCGGAGGCCAAAGATCGATATCCGGCTCATGCCCAGGATTATGAGTTGCGAAAAACAGGACAGGAATCGCAGGGAGAAGGCCTTCTGCGTAACGTGTGCGCGAGAATATCAAAACCAGCGGAATAAGAGGCAACCCCAAATTGAGACCCGAGTTCCATGTACCGTCTGCAGCTTCTTCCAATATATTCTTGGCCTCGTCTGTTCCAAAGACAAAGTACATTGAATACACTCCATGAGCACAGCACCCGGCCCAGACAGTGCCCGCGAGCGTAAACACCATTCCAGGTAGCACTAGTCTGCCAGCTACCCGTTCAACCAACCTCACAACATCTACAATATAGCTCCGCGGTCGAGTCACAATAATCTCGGTCTTGCACTGCGGGCATACCATCTTCGCGTTGGGGCCATTGCGTTTCCGCGCTCGCGGGTTCTCGAGATCGGCAAGCCAATCGAGAAGGCAAGCCTCGTGGGCCGTCAAGGCGCAAGGACAGGGTGATCGCCATTCGGAATTAAGTGGTGTGTCCTCAGTCTCGTCGGTGTAGCAAATCCAGCATTTTCGCGGCTCCTCTGCGATGTCATTATTGTTTGACGGAGAGCTGATAGTATCCACGCTCTGAACTATCGATCTGCTGTCGGGCTTGCCACCTTCTTCCCCTACGGGTTTGTTCAAAACCACAGTTTCATCATCCTCTTTGGAGGACTCGTTTGTCGGGTTATGGCTATCATGGAGTTGGTTAGGCTGCGATGTTGATGCAGCGGGCGACAAGGTATCAGAGGACCGCGCTCTGGTAGACGGTGAGAAGCTTGGGAGTGAGGCCATGACTGATTCGAGGGAAGTATCCGGTGAGTTTCAATGATGTGAAGTACTGATTAGAGGTAGAAGAGCTGGAGCACCATCCTGTTCTGAGAATGATAGACGATCGGCCGCCTCATGTACCCGCGGCCGAGGGAAAAGTAATGACGGAAGGAGGCCGGTCGCAAGAGGCAAGCAGGTGAAGAGGGGAGGAAAACGTTCGGTTCGGCAGTAGTTCACCAACGACTGACCAAGTTGAACAATCAAACCCTTGTTATTACTGCCTGGCAATGGGCATTAGGTTAATCATGAAAATGAGTCAAGCCTCAATAATGGATCATCATTAGGTGCGAACAGCGGCTTCCAAGTTCCATCCACCATCCACTGCCAACACTCTACATCATACGTTCCGCAATCACGTGGGCTGCGGGGCGATTGGCGCCTTTTCAGTCAAGATGCTGGCTGAAATCTGGGGTCCGCGGCGCATTCCAAGTTTGGTGAAGTTTGAACACTTATCTAGCTGCTAAAGTCTCGCTCCAATCAAAGGTTTTGTGCCAAGCTATTATTAAATGTCCTTTCATTTCCAAAATGCAAATTGTTGCAGCAGATACATCGTACTACAACATCACAAACAACCAACACATTATATACAGGGCAGAACCGATGCTAACTTTTCGGCGGCCAGAGCGCAACTAACATGCAAATGAGGAATTTCAGGAATGAAAGGGAACAATAAATGCTCTGCGGGAGGTCCAATTGACCGGATCAGGCAAAATACCGTGTTTAACCTAAATCGGTCTCTCACGGTTGCTACTGCTACTGTAGCCACCTTTGACTGGTGCGGCTTTCGACCACATCGCTAGGCCCCGCTAGCGTCTGAGAGCCTGCCAGAACGCCGTGGATATCAACAAGAAGAATCGATGGCCATTTTTGGGGGGGAGGGGGGGAAGAAAAATCGTCATGGCGTTTGGTGGGATGAGCTGCAATTCAGCAGTTGGTATTGTCGGGGTTCCTCTTCTTCATCAAAGCTTTTCTTTCAATGTCCTTGGCTGTTGTAATGAAAGGGTTAGCATCAGCACCAAAACTGCAGGAACCTTAAGTAAAATCGACATACCTTGGTCAAAAACGAGGAACTCATGCAGACCACTACCACCGGGAACCATGGGTAGCACAGGCACCTTGCGATCGGTGAAGACCTCAAGTAAGGCGGGGCCGTCGCTCTCAATCAACCACTTCAACTTGGCTTCCACATCTGAAGGAGATGTACACCTGTCGGCAGCAACGCCCATGGCCTCCGCCAGACGAACAAAATCGGGGTTCTTCTGGTGAGTATGCGAAAAGCGATCCTCGTAAAAGAGGTTTTGCCACTGAGTCACCATACCTTGCTCTTCGTTGTTGAGAAGGAGGACCTTGATACCAATGTTGAACTGAGCGGCAGTTGTAAGTTCGGTAAGAGTCATGTTAAAGGAGGCATCGCCATCAATGTCAATGACCAGGCAGTCAGGACGGGCGACCTTGGCACCAATAGCAGCTGGAAGACCGTAACCCATAGTGCCCAGACCACCAGAGGTGATCATAGAGCGTGGCCGGCGCCAACGGAAGTGCTGGGCAGCCCACATCTGATGTTGCCCCACGCCAGTGGTAATGATAGTGCGATCCTTCATGTGAGCGGTGAGATCACTCAGCTTCTCAATCAAAGCCTGGGGCTTAATTGGGCCCTCTGGCGTCTGCTGCTCGTAAAGAGAAAGAGGGAATCGTGATTTCCAGTCATTGATCTGGGCAAACCACTCAGGTCGCTCTGGAACGGGTTCAACGAGAGGCAGGAGGTGGCGAATATTTTCGGCGCAGTCACCTTCGACAGCCTCGTTCGCCTGCACCACCTTGTTGATGTTCTTGGGCATGATTTCAAAGTGAACGATACCACCACGGTTTTCTGAAGCAGCCAGCTTAGCCTGAGGGGCGAATTTGGCGATGCTTCCAGTCACACGATCATCGAAACGAGCACCAATAGCAATAATCAGATCCGCTTCCTGCATTGCTAGGTTGGCATAGGCAGATCCGTGCATACCCAGCATGTGCAAGGCCTTGGGGTCTAACTCGTCGAATCCACCCAGACCCTGCAGGGTAGTGGTGACCGGAATACTAGCCTTATCGGCAAGTTCTTTCAGAAGCTTCGGACCCTCTGGCTGAGCGAGGATGCCCTGACCGACGTAAAGAACAGGCTTCTTGGCGACATTGACGAGGCGAGCCACACGGTTGATGGTGCTCTGAAGCTGGCGCTCACCCAATTCCTTGGCCGCCAAGGTTGCGGCGCTTGGGCGGGAGGGAAGGGTGCTGTGCATTGGGATGGGTTTACGGAGGATACCAGCCGTGATGTCTTTGGGAAGGTCGACAAGGACGGGTCCAGGACGGCCGCTGGTTGCGATTTCGAAAGCTTCCTGAATACGACGGGGTAGTTCGGCAACAGACTTGACCATGACATTCCACTTGGTGCAGGCTCTGGAGATACCAACCACGTCGGCTTCCTGGAAAGAATCGGTACCAATAGAAGTGGTCACGACCTGGCCACAGAAGACGACCATCGGCGTACCGTCGGAAAGAGCATCCTGCATTGGGGTAATGACATTAGTAGCACCAGGGCCAGATGTGACGAGGACGACACCAGGAAGTCCTGAAGCGCGGGCATAACCCTCCGCCATATGGCCGGCACCTTGTTCGTGTCGAGGCAGGATGAAATCAAAGTGCTTCGAGTTGTAGATCGCATCAAAGACAGGTAGGATGGCACCACCAGGGTAACCAACTGCCGAAGAGGAACTGTTAACAAAAGGTTTCTACCGGCCAAAGCCACAAGGGAAAGGGGGTTGGTTCATGACTCACAGACATGCTTCACACCCAGGCGTAGCATCATTTCGTGGAAAATCTCTCCACCACTGAGTCCGACAAACCTACTCATAGTAAAGGGATTAGTACGAATCAACCAGCACTAACATGGTATTGATGGTGCCATACGAGTCATCCAGCTCGGGGAGCTGTCGGTTTTGAAGAGGCGATACCTCATTGCGGGAGGGTTCTGAGTTGAAAGCAGGACTGGGTCTGGGTCTTGAAGTACTAGGAGTCACGATAAATGGTTAGCAAGACCACATTGAGCTCGAAATAACTCAAATGCTTGTATGAAATGACGCGTACTCACGTAGCGGTGGCTGTTGCTGTGCTCTGATCGCGCTTTTGAGACGAAAAGCGGTGGGGCGTCGAGACCGCAGCAGAAGAAGTGAAGGACCTTCTTCCAGAGGCCATATACCTCTGGTAGTGCAGAGCGCGCAGGGCACTTTTTGATGGTCTTAGAGGCATCATCGTTGCTGTGATGACTGCCAGGCCAAACAAGGGGAGGGAGAAAATGTGAAGCTCAGAGAAAATTGAGGTCGTTCAGAGGAAGTGAATTAGCAAAAGAAAGTCCTTAAGCCGGCGGAACCTAGAGGAATTCGAACTGGCAAACGGCCGATGGTCGGAGCAGTGGCGATGCGGGAACCAATTAAGTTTACTTAGGTAAGCTTGGAATTTGGTTAGCTTGGTAATTAGAAAATTACTAGTATGTTATACTACTAGGTAGCTACCTAGTTAAGTAGAAGTTAAAAAACCACCTCAGAATAAAACAAGTCGTAAATAAGCCAACTTCGTCTAGCACTGCAAACATAAAAACAGTTCCAGGGATTCACCATCCCTTTTTAATAAGATATCAGCCGTGCTAGGGCAGCTAGCCGGTGGTCATCATTGTTGTGTATGGGGCAGTAGTCATGGCTGCTATGCCGAAGGTGCATTCCTGGCGATAAAATTCACAAGAGTAACACTTGTTGGTGATTATTTTTATAGCACACCGCGTCTTTCTGCGTAAACATCCGTCACAACTAGGTCTAGCCTGAGGCTGGGCAGGAGCAGGCCAAGAACGTTCAGTACCAATAGGTGCAGGTGGTGAGGAGGAGTGGAGAGGCTGCCGTGGCAGCTGCTGCTGCCTCGGTTGTTGCTGGTGGTTCTGGGGTAGCGGACGGTCACTTGCAGAAGAAGCTTGCTGGAAACCGCCGTCGAGGATGACTGGGGTAGCAGACCGAGTACCCACTCTGGATGAGCCGCCAAAGAGCGCATGGTGCGCAGGTGTTCCGCGTCAAAAATCATACTGCACTCTCCAGGGAAATTGCAGCGGTATCTTTGATCAATTGTTCCGAGGCTCGATGCTTGTTCTAATGCCTTATGCTCTGTGATGGCATCCGAGTCCCTGCTAGGTGGTGCCAGTATTTCACCAGAGTGCGAGGACTGTGGAAGAGCACGGGCGATCGGTACAAATTCTCCTTGCGAGGTGCCTGGTCTTGGGCGGGGGACTGTTGGAAGGGCAGGGGCGGTATGTAAAGGCTCAGCTTGTAGCCTGACTATGATCCCTGGCCACAGTGGAAGATATCGAGTTTAGACGAGTGGACGAAAGAGGTAGAGGGTATACTTGTAGGAACCCTGGTGGTACATGAGAAGTCACAGTTGGCCGCGTCGCGGTTGAGCGCGTGTGTGTGTTCCTCCTAAAAGTGTGCTGGTGGAGTTCTTGTGGCTGGTTAGCAAGCAAGTCTCCAGGGAGGCTTCCCCAGCATCTCGCCAAAGAGGTACGTATCTCGCGGGAGTCTCCTCGTCCGTAGATCAGCAATAAAGAGCGAGATTTTGCAGCCTATGAACCCAAGATGAACCAGTTATATGCTAACAGAATCATCCCTGAGAACTCGGGGCAGCTAATCACGTCCAAGCTCGTCGACTGAAAGACGAGACTCTAAACGGAGGTTCTAATCGGAAGGCATGTGGACTCCCGAAAATAGAAGGAGTGTCCAAGAGCCCCGGGCGCATGCTCATGTTCGGGGTGAGGTTCTCTTTAGCATAAATCCTTCCAGTAGGACTATGCTTGTTTGAGTTTCGTCGAGTCTTCACTGGGCCAGGTTCACTGTCGAGGTCAACGTGATAGAAGCAAAGTTCACTGCATACACCAACACCCGAGACTCTGATATCGCCAGAGAAGGCCGTCGCATCTGCCCTCGATGCGCCGCCCGTAGAGTGATAATCTGATGCCATCGCGACTAATCCGTCGAGAGCTGCATTTGGAAAGGATGTGCTCTAAAAATAAAAAGAATGACAATCTTGGGTGCTGGAAAGTGGGCTTGCTAAAAGAAGGTTCTGTCGGATTGTCGGTCTCAAAAAGGGCTGTGGGTATGGCAACCGTCAGTGGCCCACCCCGCAAAAACAATTTGAAGCTGACCGCTCAGCTTGACCGCCTGCCTTGTGTATGGTGGTAGGCCGCTAAGCCTGCTTTGGCTTAAATCGAGATAGTAGATATATCACGTGCTCTAGTGGCCTGATGGTTAAGGCTCTGATCCCAGCGACACTCAATATTAGCATCGACATTAGCATCGACATTAGCATCGACATTAGCATCGACATTAGCATCGACATTAGCATCGACATTAGCATCGACATTAGCATCGACATTAGCATCGACATTAGCATCGACATTAGCATCGACATTAGCATTAAAAGGGATAATATTATTAAAATAAAGAATAATATTAGTAAGGGTAGGAAAATATAAGAAAACTTAACTAGTACCTAGCTACTTCCTTATTTAAATCTGCCGGCAGAATCCTGGCCAAAATTGTTTTGGCTGCGGGTTGCCATATGTGGGTCCACGGTTCGCTGGCTCGGGTACTAGGTACCTACCTAGGTAGTCTAGTCTCGCTTTGGAAAATCTTGGGGGGAAATGCACCACTATTGGTCGCGAGCTGTCGGTAGAGTCAAAGAGGATCTATAGACATGAAAGAGAGATTTAGGAACTTATACATCGCTACTACATCTCTAGGATCCAACCTGGACTTGATCGTTCCTAGATATCTCTTATCGTTATTACTGATCTCCTCTCCCCAGGCAAACGACTTCTTCTTTTTCTTTCCCTTACCGCCAGAAGTCTTTTGGGGAAACCCCCTCCTTCTTAGCTTAATCTCACCTCCTCTAACTTCGCTCTTTTACTTCTGCCCTCTCGACTCCTCATCTTTACTATTAAATCTTACGAACTATCCCTTCAAGTCATCTTTTGACACCAATCCCGAAGTCTGCCAGCATGGATTCAGCCACTCAGCAACAAATTAATGAATGAAGCTGCACTCAGCTTTATCATGACGTTGATAGTGTACTCAACCGATACACCGAGGACGATTTTCTCGCCAAAGGCGACGCCTTGACTAGTCAGACCTACTCGGCTCAACTCATCGGGAAGAAAATCTTGGCAAGATGTGGTAAATGCCTTGCCAACAATTCTGGACGTTACATCCCTGAAGGACTGGATCAAGACAAGGATATTCAAGCCCTTCTTTTTGCGCTATCTGCTCGAAGGGACCATTCCATTATCAAGTCTGAATAAGCAAGCAGGAAGTCTAGCGACCATCGTTGAATTGATCGAACAGGCTCGCAATAGCGGCGATGGCCGCTATCTTACACCATTCCCGGATACCTCGACATGGACAATGGACGATCATACGGCTCAATGCATGGCTCAGGTACTACAGACCAATTACGGTTCAAGTAAGGGCCTGTTCTATATACAGGCGGTAAATCAAGAGGAGATAGAGCACATTATATAGAAAATACTGCAGCGTAAAAGCCGACTGTGCCCCCTCACGACTACCAAAGCAAGGACGGGCATTCCTTGCCCTCACGCCCATCGGAGTGGGACCGAGTCGAGGCCAAGGTTCAAACAGTGGGCTAGCAAATCACCCAGGAGATTTCTTCTAGGCCTAAGGAAACTAACAATGAGACCCAAATCGCAGAGGAAGATCTAGAAAGTCGGGACGGGTTGCCGAGGGACAATTAGGAAGAGCACAGCATTGCGGCGGGTACCGGCCTGCAGTATGGGACGGATGTCCTCGAGGCCGGCGCTGCTGAGCCGAGAACGGGGGGCTGGAAGAACACAGAGGTACTCCCGTTGACCAGACGACACTTGCAGAGGCACTCACCGACGTTTGATGTTGAGGAGCCATTTTGGCAATATGAGATGATAACAAGCTTGCTAAGAAGCACAGGGACGGGACATTGTCCTGGATTCCCGACCACGTAGCCCCGTATCTCCAAGTGCCTGTTCTGTCCGGCGACGCTTTAATGCATAAGCTGTCGCAGATGCTCCTAGGAGATTGCGGTCTCAAGGAAGATTCCGACTACATCGAGGAAGCTGAGGAGGCCAAGTGGCATGCAGAGAGAGGGAAGACCTTGGAGAAAGTATTTGATTTGGTCGTCCAACACCATAATGACGCCTGGAAACACATCACCGCAGACATGTTGCCGTATATAAGAGACTACGTCTCTGAGGAATTTGACCTGTCAGCCGACTCGGAGGGTATGGACATCGATGAGCAAAGGGACTAGCGAAGGACACGATGTAGCGGAATCTGTTGAGAGAGGGTGAAGTTGAAAGATCGGTGGTATGTGCAGTTTCAAGGTTTTGGATGAAAGAGGATAACTAGATACGACATTGCATGTTGTATATAGCTCTTCGCTACGAATATACTCCACATCATCAAAGCTATTCGGAAAAGCCAAGAAGCCTTCCCAGATATGCATCGTCGTAAAGTACTCCAAAACAGAATCTCCAGTTAGGGCGCGAGGGGACAAGGCTCAGGGAAACTTGGACTGATTAATGTTACGGTAGATACGTCTTCAGTACTAACTAGCAAGGACAGTAATTTTGGTTGAGATCGGCCCCACCGGCCTAGGCCGACTTCGGACTTCTAAGAGCGTGACTCTTCCACCAGCTTAGCACCACATCCGGCATTGAAGCACTCCGTACCTAGGTTATTTCACGTGGCTGGGATCCTCCTGGGGGAGTCAGCATCTCTGGAGTACATCGTTGCGCAGACTAAGTAAGAACTTGGACTTCTTAATTCCCCAGATACGTTGTATCCACCAACCGCGTGGTCTGATCGCTCAATTGCGAGTCGCCAACCTATCACATATGGTTCAGAAAGAAAATCCCATCCCTTGTGTCTGGCCACCTCAACTCTGCATAATTTGAGAAATATGTGATGGGGAGCTTCAGAGACATTGGGCGAGTGATGACATTGTAATGGGTGTGTTTCAGCTACTACCCTTGAGTTCTTAAGAGGATCGATCTCAAGAACAAACAATCATAGGAAGTAGAAATTCGTGTGGTCAAGAGAGTCAGACTTGTACTATCCTGACCTTCTCGAGTAGGCAGTGCAGGCACTCCATAGTCGATGCCATCCGCTTGGCGATCGGCTAAATACCCCTCGGTCCCATCTCCGCTGACAAGCCTCCCGAGTACACGTGCAGATGCCCGTGGACGGTGTTGAAGGCCTCTTTCCGGGGTCAATTAGACCGAAGCGAGTGGGGAGAATAGCAATTCTAGTGGACTCGGGCCGTGAACAACAAGAGTCCTACTCGTTGTACGGAGTACTACCTTTGGAAGCCTAGGTCGAGCTGCTACGATAGCATACTCCGTTCGATAACAGGAACAGTCCCCGCAGTCAGGGTAATTTCTCAAATTAAACGCGGTAAATTTACCCTCATGCCCCTCTATGAAATCACAAGAAACCCCCTCCAGCTGGTTCTTCTTATTACCATTCATCTTTCTCATTCCTTTCTTCTCTGTATTATCTACAGTACCCAATTCATCCTGGGTGACTAGTCATTACATCTACTCTTGTACTAACTAGCCTGCTTGTAAACGCACGATTACCCCGCCATGGCAACCCCGCAGGAGCTTGTCCCCCAAACGGAATCCATCGCTGAGGTTTATGCCACCGACGACGTCTCTGCCACAACTGCCGCTCCTGAGCACTTGAAGCGCTTCAATGGCTTGGTGTCTCGGTTTCACAAAGTATACAACCATCGTCCTGATTTTGTTGCCCGCAGTCCCGGTCGCGTGAATATCGTCGGTGAGCACATCGACTACAACCTTTACGACGTCCTGCCGACCGCCGTGAGTGTCGACGTGATCATCGCCGTCAAGGTCGTTCCCTCCACTGGCTCAGAATCAACTGTGAAAATCTCCAATGTCTTGCCGGAAAAGTTCCCAACGCGAGAGTTTACCGTGCCCCAAGACTCGGACGTGGAAATCGATCCTACGAAGCATGAGTGGGTGAATTATTTCAAGGCTGGGCTGTTGGGCGCCCTGAAGTTCTTGCGCAAAAATAGCTCTTTCGCACCTGCCAGCATGGAGGTGCTGGTTGACGGCAACGTACCCCCTGGTGGAGGTATATCTAGCAGCGCTGCCTTTGTATGCTCCAGCGCCCTCGCCGTCATGAAGGCCAACAACCACGACGTGTCCAAGCAGGACTTGCTTGACCTAGCTGTCGTTTCTGAGCGTGCTGTTGGGGTATACTCTGGAGGGTAAGCCTCTCCATCCATTCATTATGATATTTATTGTGCTAAGTCATCCCATTCAATAGCATGGACCAGGCCGCATCCATCTTCTCCCGCCGCGGGTACCTCTTGTACACGCAATTCTTCCCCAACTTTGAAGTCCAACATGTCCCTATTCCAAAAGCTTCTGAAGAGATTACCTTCCTTATGGCCCAGAGCTTTGTCACGTCTAATAAAGCCGAGACCGCTCCCCGCCACTATAACCTGCGCGTTGCTGAATGCACCCTCGCCTCCGTCGTCCTAGCCCAAGCATTCGGTCTTAAGCTTCCCAAGGACAACAGCTCGCTCGGCTACAGCCTCCGCACCTTCCATAACGAACTCATGCGCAAGGAAGGCCGCCTTGCCGATCCCCTCGAGTATCAGATTGACTCCGTCATCCAGGCCACCCTGGATACCCTCACCCAGGAACATGGCTACTCGCGGGAAGATATTGCCAAGCTTCTCGGTATCTCAGTCTCGGACCTCGAAGCGACATACCTCTCCTCTTTCCCTGTACAAGCTGAGCGCTTCTTCCTGCGCCAGCGTGCCCTGCACTGCGCCAAGGAGGCGCGGAGGGTGCTAGACTTCAAGGCCTGCCTTGCGAAAGCATCCACACTGGATGATAAGCGCATTCACTATCTCGGACAGCTGCTTAACGAGTCCCAAGATTCTTGTCGTGACGTTTACGAGTGCTCGGCGCCTCAGGTTGACGAGATCTGCGCAATTGCACGCAAGGCAGGAACGCTGGGAAGTCGACTGACTGGAGCTGGATGGGGAGGGTGCACAGTTCACATGCTCCCGCAGTCGAGAGTTGGAGCCGTGACGAAGGCTCTGAAAGAGGACTACTATCTCAAGTATTTCCCCGATATTAGCGAGGAGAAGTTGGCTGAAGCGATGGTTATTTCCAAGCCTTCGAATGGGTCTTTCTTGTAAGTTGCTGTGACTGACCTGACATGGACGGGCAGGGCTGATACATGAACAGGATTACTGGAGCGGCTATTTCTCAAGTTGAGGTCTAAAAATGACCAGAGACGACGGGAAACCTAATAACTAGAAACATCTGCCCACGTTGTCATGTAGTCTGGAATGATATGTTATGATATAACACAACACAACCCCTCCCTCATCTTGACTGATATTGATTTGTGCAGTCGCATGCGAAGTTTTGTTCAAAGGACCGAGTCATACACGTAATATCCCTGCACGGATTTGGGACCTCAGAGCTAGCCGAGGGCCTCAACGCAGTGAGCCTAGTGAAAACTTTGGCTCAACTCGGGCGGCGCGAGCCCGCATTTTAGTGCGATATCGGTGCCGAACTTTCGCGGGAGTGCTTTGCCTGGCATCACGCAGATATCATTGCGGGCCGGGAAAGCTGATTGCGATGTCCAACCTTTTGACTTCAAGATTCGCCAAAGGCGCCAACGAGTGTGGTCTACGACCTCTTCTTCGCAGCTGCCTTACCGAAGAAATCGCTCATTTTCTTCATGCCGGTGGTGTTGACCTTCTTCAACTCTCTGACACCCCTCGACTCTCCAGCCTTCTTCTTTTTCTCTTCCTCCTCCTTTCGGCGTTTCTTCTCGGCGCGTGCCTCAGCAACATCATCATTCTCTGCGTTGCGCTTGCGGCTGAAGTCGCCAAAGGATCGGGAGGCGAGTGCTTCTGCGCGCAACTCTGCAAGGTGCTTGAGATGGTCGTTTAATGGTTCGAAGTCAACCGGGGTCTCCGGGCCAGATAAGATGGTATCAAGCTTGATACTGAGTTCTGGAGAGACGTATGTGGACTTCAGGAAAGAAAGAGCGGTGGAAAGTCTCTGAAGGCGGATTATAGATTCAGGGCAGGCCTGTTGGTCAGGGAGATCTTCCCCAGCTGGCGTTGGCGCTGAGTCGCTTACCGGTGTTGAAACAGACGTTGAGCTGGCGGTGGTAATGGTGGTAGTTGTAGATTGGGCGTCCCTGGCTTCTTTTGACTCCTCTTTTTCATCCTCTTCTGGCGATGGTAGGGATGCACTCGTGGTTATGTCTGTTCGAGTGACGGACATCAGGGGTGCAGCTAAAGCCTGCTTAACGTACCGCTCCTCCAAGCTGGTAGGAAGTCCCTGGGAAATCATCCGCTCTGCCTTTGCAAGCACATGTCGCAAGAGCTTCGCATCGCTAACCCGAAACAGCTTTTCATCGCCTGCTTCCACCGAGTCGCATACGCCATCTACCCTGCGCAATAGCGTCTCCCTAAAAGCTTCATGGCACAGGATATACCGTAGATGTTTGGGTAAATCATCGTGAGAATCGATGATGTCGTCCAATGGCTGGAATAGTCTCTTGCCCTCATTTGAAGATGGAGAAGAACGAAGCAGGGGTATCACGAAGAAGACGATGTCAATCGGGGTCGCGATGGCGAGTTCAGCTGCTTTGGAGATAGTTCCCTGTGCCTTCTTGCCGTCGCTTTGACTTGAGGTGTATAGGATACTCCGCGGGGATTGTGCAGCCGACGAAACAACCGTGAACTCGTAGAGCCCTAGTTTTGGGCAAAAGAAGTATCTAGTCAAGTCACCCGTTCGTGGGTTGGGTAAGGTAACAAATCTGGCGTCTGGACTGGCAGAAGAGGGCAGAATAAAGGCTTTGCTAGGTTTCGCAGTGGCTTTGGAAGGTTGCGGTTGCGGTTGCGGTTGTTCGCCGGAGACTGATTGCTCCAGCGGAGGAGCGGATCGCGTTCGCATTTTGAGGAATATAACAGACTGAAGCACTCAAAAGAGTTTCAATCTTACGTTCTTCCGTGGGCGTATAGTCCAAAAAAAGGGACGTTGGGTGAACAAGGGATGGAACCCGGATAGCCCTGGACGCGTTCGCATCGGCCCTTCTTTTCGTCGTGATCGTGACGCGCGCGTCTGCGGCAAGAATCTCCGCCAAGCATCTGTCACCACGAATCGATACGCCAACCCAACTTCCCAGACACAACAGGAGCATCGATGAATTCTGACGAAAACAAAGACCTTGTGCATCTAGTAATATACATTGGCTAGTCCCATCCATTACGGGACAAGGGGCAACAAGTCGCCCTTGCCTGTTCGTTTACGCGACGTGCCACACCGTCCTTTCCCCGCACCCTCACATCCTGGATATGGTGAAGGCGCCGTCAAGAAGCCGGATAAATACGAGGACGAGAATTGTGGTGCGACTCGACTTGTGGTGAAGACGCTTTGCATTCATTCCTTTATATGTCTGTGGAGAAGGGAATGTCATGACCAGCAGTGAGTGTGTTTTGAATCGCGCAAAAGGCGCAATTAACTCGGCTAACCAAGACAATCAATGTAGTGGTTGAGACCTCGTGGCCACCAAAATCTCCGCGGGAAGCCCTGCTCAGCTCACCCAGCGGCCGGCGAAGATATGAAGAGATGCAACGTCGGGCGAATCTGGTATCGCCCTTGAAACATTCGGCTACTACTCCTGACTTCAGAACCAAGGCAGCACAGCTGTTAAGTGACGGGCTGGACGAAGGCGGAGATGCCGAGGAGGACGATGATGAAGAGACATTGCAACTGAAGCTCGCTGCTATTGAGGCACGACTGAAGCTGAAGCAGCTCCAGAAGAACCGCGGAAAGGCAGGAACGCCAAATCCAGACAGGCATGATGGCGTCAATGCGTTGTGTCGGCCAGCGTCAGCGGTGAGCTTTTCGTCGCGTATTCAGGATCATCCTCCACGTAATCAGGCTTTGGGCGAAACATCCGATGATATACAAGTTCCTTTGTCACCTACGCGGCGCCTTGGCCCCCCAATGGAGCCTACATCTCCTGGGAGGTATAGGCTTGGTATAGACAAGGGCCTCAAAGGAAGCGACGTATCACTGAGACGTCCACCGAGCTCAAAGGGGCCGAGTGCACGGCCCACCAGTAGACTCGGAAGCCGGGATGGTACAGCATCTCACTTCGGAAACCTAGCAACACAATCACAGTCGTTTGATGAGACGCGCTCCAAAAGTTTCAGCGAGCGCATGGCCGAGGGTCGTGCTGTTGAAAAGTCCCGGCGGGAGAGAGAGGTACGGGTAGAGAGGATACACGCAAACCGAAGTTCCGCATTCCAATACGACAAGACTGAGATGGATGCGTACAAGGCAGCGGCCGCAGAGAGGAGACCCGTCTCTCCTTCCAAGCTGCAGACCAGGAGTGGGCGAGCCGATAGCTTCAGTCGGGACGACATCTTGAGGTCAGCTAACAACCTCAAGCCTTCGTTGAAGAGAAGCCAAACGACTCCAAGTATGCGGAGGACTGAAGGGGACGACTCCAAGACCTTCCTTCACAGACGCAGTCAGAAGTCGGAAACGGAATCATTCTCTTCCCAGCCCCCAAGCTCTCGACAAACCAGTTTTACCGATGAACCTACCGAGAGCGACGGATCATTGGAAAAGGCGCCTGATTCGTCGAAGTTTGAACCTTTCTCTTCTCTTCACCTCTCGAATCGTATTTTACCTCATTCTTTCTTGGGTCGAAATCTCGAGGGTAAAAAAGCCCTGCGAATACCAGATCTTCTTCGAATGATCAAAGGCCCGCCCTTTGAACTCCCAGACAGCATTGATGGAGACTACGTTGTGTTCGGCATTGTGGCCTCAAAGTCAGATCCCAAGCAAGTCAAAGAGTCAAAGAATGTCAGTACGAAAAAGGCCGATCCCTTCGATGACGGTCTGAATAATAGGAGTCAATACATGGTCATTACTCTTACGGACTTGAAATGGACTATTGACCTGTTTCTATTCGACACTGCTTTCCCCCGGTATTACAGGCTTTCTGAAGGAATTGTGGTTGCTATTTTGAACCCTATAATACTGCCGCCTCCCAAACACAAGCTGGATACGAATCAATTCAGTCTCTCGATTTCTTCTTCCGACGATAAGATTCTTGAAATCGGCTCTGCCCGAGACATCGGCTTCTGCAAAGCTGTGAGAAAGGACGGTAAGACTTGCCAGTCATGGGTGGACAGCCGTAAGACCGAGTTCTGCGACTTCCACGTTGACATTCAATTGCGTCGCACTCAAGCGGGTCGCATGGGCGTCAACAACGGAACCGGCATGTTTGGTCCTGGAGGTCGTTCAGGGTCGCGTACCGGCTTTTATGGTGGAGAGAAAAGATCCTTCCACAAAAAGGGAGAGGGATTACGAAGAGCCGATGGCGGCCAGTATGATCGTGAAACCCAATCACTGTACTATGTGGCACCCAGTGCCAAGTCCAAGAACCTCGGTGGCCTCTCTTTCCAGCATCTACACCCCGGGCAATCCGCAGCCAGCCTGATCGACGCAGACGATGACGATCCATTCATTGCTGCTGGAATGGTCGGTCGAGGTACACAGAGCAAAGAAGAACGATTCCGTCGCCGCATCGTTGAGCAACAACGTGAAAGGGAGATCGCCAATATCTTGACATCCTCTCGCGGCGGGGGAATTGCCGCAGATTATCTTAGAGCTCAAAACAACGAAAACATCCCCGCTGCTAAGAAGGCTCCAGCCCGGTCAGGAGCACAACGTAGGAGGACAAATTCTAGCGATCCGAAGCTCGCCACGTCGTCTGACATCAACGAGCCGCTTACGATGAGCTTCAAGCGAGCAGAAGCCGTGAGACTCAGTCCTAAGAAACGCGCACATGATGGAGACAGGCCACACGGAAGCGGCGTCAAAAAAACACGCTTTATCACGTCCAAAGGCATCAAAGAGGCTGGAAGAGATAGTCTTGGGGGCAATCCCGACGCCTGTAACGACTTCGACGACGATGACGAGCTTGAGATCGTCTAAGTCACCAACATCCATAGATTCGAATCCGCGAAAACAACACGGCCGTGGTTCCCCACGAAAGTCTCTATAGTCCGCCAATGAGATACCCTTCTATCGCAACACCTCCTTCTCCATACAAAAAGAAATAGAACCGTTGAATGCATCGGTCCACTCCATGCAACAAGACCACCTCCCGTCCACTCTTTATGCAATCCACGGAGGACGGAGAGAAACTCTACCTCACTCATTATATAAGTCTCAGTAACATGGATTAAGGGAGGGAAATGAGGAGGAAATTTTCGAATATGCTGTCACGAATGTCAACGACCTAAACCTCAACCTTCTCGGCTACTTATATTGCCGGGGTTTTTTTTTTTTCCTTCAAGTCGAGACTTTGCATTGGTGTTTGTTGGAGTATCATGATTGCTTGGGGTTTACTAAGTTGATATTGAAACTGGCGTCCGCTCTCGTTCTGATCTCGCTCTTTTCTCGTGACACTTCTAGCCGGCTTTGAAGTCCCTCCAGAAGGCATACATATAGCAGTGGACTGTTGTCGTAAAATTTTTATTTTCATTGATTGAATCGGGTCTAATTAATGACATGCCGTGGAAGGTACAATGACTCTTCCGGTAAACACCATGATTCCGTCGTAGTAATTCCCAGAGTATCCATCCATTCCCGAAATCCATATTCAATCTCGCTCAAATTTCAAACTGAGTAAAAGTAATGCTGGGTGAGGTTGCCGAATGCATTAAAGCCGTAAACTGAAGGAAGTATTGACATCCTCGAAAGATAAAAAAGAAGAGAGAAAGAGAAGACAAGTAAACGTCCGAAACTCCGGCAATGGTATCACAAAAAGAAAGGGCAGATAACTTTGCACAATAGCTCCTTCAAAGAACTTGAACAGAGATCCCATCACGACGAAGAGACAGTAGTCCTATTTCCACGGGTCCGTTTCGAGGCTGGGCCACCGGGGCTGCCAGCGGTTTCCGCGTCCCGCTTCTTAGCCTTGGAGCCGATGGCGGGAGGAGTCTGTTTCTTTCGCAGCCAGCCGTCGAAAGGACTGATGCGTTTCTTCTTGGCCTCCGATGCTGTGGGGGTTTGCCCATGTTCCAGGCCCTCCCGCTTAGCTCGTGATCGTAAGGAGCGTGCTGAACCACCAGGAGATGGAGGCGTTGCAACCGAAGTAGGGGGCGGGGTGACTGGTCGCTGTTGCGAGTGGATGTTCGCAGAATGTTGGACATCTGCTACCGTACCGGCCTCTTCCAGGATGTGATCCTCGATGTCGGTGGTCGCTTCTTCGTCCGCATCGTCGATTTGATTTTCATTGGTCAACCGATCATTTGCACTGGCAAAAAGCACACGAGGCTTGATGGAAGAGCGAGTTAGTGGCCGAGTGTTCTCCAGGAGCGACGAATCCATCAAGTCTGGGCGAGAAGCTAGCAAGCCAAGGTCGTCATTATTGTCCTCCATATCACTTCCAACATCATCACTGAACTTGCGGAACATTTTCTTGCCTCGGCTGGGAATTTGTTAGTTGCTGCGAAATGCGGGCAGGGAAGGTTTTACTTACAAGACATAGACCATGCCATCGTCGCGATTGAGAGCCTCGTCGACTTCCTTATCACGGCTTCTCGTCTTGCGCCTGCACGAGCGAGCACTTGTATTGGCAGATGGCTTGTTGTAGAATGGATTCGCTTCGCTCTCATCGACTTCAGGGATTCGATCGCGAGAGTCGGTGTATATTTGTATTGACTCGCCCTGAGAGGGGTCTTCGGTGAAACTATCCAGAGAGAAGCCTGTTTGCTTTCTCTTCTTCTTCTGGCCAGACAGGGGAGGAAAAAGCACTCTAGCGGTAGAGTCAACATTGTCGACAGGTTTTTTTCGTGGTGTTTTTGCTGGTGTGGGAAGCATCCCGTCTGTCATTGTAGATCTGAAGAGAGAAGACGTATTGGAGTGAGAAGATTTGGTAGCCTTGAATGGATCCTGAGTGTCCAGGGATTGTGTTGCAACACGGCCCCGGCCCGACACCTTCTTCCGGGGAGTACTGCTGTTGGGTGATCCAGGAGGTGAGAGGGTTTCTGATTCAGCGGTTCTGTGTTTGACGCTTCTCGAAGCGCCTCGTGCTTGAGAGATCGGGAATGAAGCTGGAGGGGTGGTGCGAGACTCAGCAGATGTTTGTTGGCTAGCCAGGCGGGCAGAATGACGCGTAGAGTACGGTTCGTATTGGTCATATCCAGTGCCATGTCGTGGGGTGGGAGGAATCCGTAGGAAAGACGGCGGTGGTGTCCTCGCCATGGTGCAGACCCAAGCAAATTGCGCGAATTTGATTCACCGCTGTCGTCACCACGTATGAGATGGAACCGAGGTCAGGAAAGTTGGGAAAAAAAGGGGAATTTATCAAGTGTTCGTCCTCGACACGTCGGATAGAGATCAAGGGAGGGCAGACGCGCGACTAGACCAAAGCCGACCGAAGAGCTTAACTTAAGACTGTATCCAATATGCTGCGAGGCGCGATCAAATATAGAAACGAAATACACCAACAGGCAGATGTACGGAGTATAGCGATGGGGACGTTGAAGGAACGATGGAAGGATGGAAGATGGAGAGAAGGGGAAGCAGAAACAAAGGGCGAGGAGTGTGAGGAGAAGTGGGTTGGTGAGGTTGGAATGCAAGTCTCCAGCCACACAATTCATCGTCGATTCCTCCGCCCAACGCTCGGCCTGGAATGCCCCACATCAGCAGATCAGTCGGTTTGCAGGAAATAATACTCCATACGGATGACTTCGTCTGAATTGACTAATACCGATACTACTTTGTTCTAACTCTCAAGCAACTTCCCCTCAATTTCTTCTTGTTGTTTATTACTTGGCCCTCGCGATAACGGCCAAATAGTCCCTTTACAGCGCCGCTGAGGAAATGGACCGCCTACAGCTCTCCGACGAAGACACTGAAGCCCTCTGGGATTCACCTTCGAAACACGAAACGAAGAGATTGAATCAGAGTTACATAAAGCAAGAGAGCTCGTCTCCTGTTCCCAGAGCCGACCATGAAGATGAAACTCTTTTCGACCAGCAGGAGGCCAGGGAGGCTGCGCTAAGGAGCGAACTGCAAAGCCTGCGCAACATTAACCAGGTTATTGAGAGTCTACTCGGTAGTCTCGATTGGGCAAAGGGAAATATGGAGGTAAGTGATTGCCCGACAAATCGGGTTACCATTGAGGGATCACGCCTAATTGACGCTACATTAGACTGTTTCACGGACCATAAACTCGGCCTCGACCCTACTCAACACCTGGACGCGTATTCTATCGCAAACGGAACATAACCAGCGCGTCATATTGAATCCCAATTGGCAAGGTGCTTCTCAGGATGCTGCCGACCTAGAAAACGAGGAATATCTCAGGCAAGAGGCTGCGGAGAGGCGAGAAAGAGAACTCCAGCAGCAAAGAGAAGCCGCTGCGCGCAAGGCCGAGGAGGACGAGAGGAGGAGGGCTCAATCAGCAGGTACCAGAGGTACGCGAGGGCTCACCAGGGGAAGAACCCGAGTTGGTATTGGACGGACACCGAGTGTTTCCTACACAGGGACCACTTCAAGTGGAACGAGGACGACATCTACCGTCACAGGAAGCAAGTCGTCGACCACAACCACACGGAGACCAGTCAGTGGCATTGCGCGGGGCCCAGGAGTGACACGTGGTCGAGGGAGGACATAGACTCACTCCTCTCTTCAAAAATGAAAAAATATGACAGTTATGTACAGTAAAGCGTCGCATGGTTTATCATCAAATTTCGACCGAAGAAGTAGATACCTGCCTCAGGCGCCAAGCCATCACCGCCCAGACGCCTACAGTAGTGAGCAGGCAACGGAGCGACACGTTCTCGCGATAAGCCCCCGTCGCCTCCAAAATGAACTTCGCTCCCTATCAGGATGAGTCGCCCGAGGTAGAGCGCGCGTTCTCGCCGTCTTTCGAGGCGAACCGCACCAAATCCCCGCCCGTCCGATCTCCTCACGGCTCTTCCCCAGTTCCAGGCTTCACCTCCGCCGACGGTCTTCCATCGCCGAACCAGTTCGCCGGCAATGGCCATATTAGCACAAGCGGACACGGTAATACTGGATATGGCAGAGGAGATTTGGAGGGTGGAAGATGGAATCTGGGGGCCTTTGAGACGAGTCTGCCTATTCGGATGGATGTTGAAGCTATGCTGGCATATCTACTTCTTCCCCCGGCTGGCGGAGTCTTTCTCCTCCTGTTAGAGCATAAGAGTGACTATGTTCGGTTCGTCAATCGTATTCCTAATTGAATCTGCTTATGGATCGCTAACCTTGTGCCGGAATGCAGGTTCCATGCGTGGCAGTCCAGCATGCTCTTCTCCGCCATGTTCGTAAGTCAAGCTCAGACCTTTGCTCTCCATGCCATCGTTCTCATGTGCCGCTAGGTACTCCACCTTATCTTCGTGTGGTCCAGCTTCTTCTCCTGGCTATTCTTCATCTGCGACATCGTAATGATCGGTTTTCTCAGCCAGCGGGCTTATCGTGATGGTAAGCAACGAAGGAGGAGACCAGGCGCTCGAAGCCACAGCTCACACACTTTCTTAGTTGATACTCTCGAACACTTCGAGGTCCCATTCTTCGGTCGGCTCGCAAACTCATTTGTCGACAACGAGTAATAACAACGATTCCCAAACATTGTCATATCTTATTTTCAGCTCGATAGCCATTGTACAGTGCTGGCTAGCGCATTGTTTCTCTGGAAGTTGAGTCATCCATGTGTTTCGTCTGTGCAGGGGTTTTCCAAAGCCTCTTTGTTCTCGCCGAGACTTCAGGCACCCTCTAGTGGATTAATGTCCTTTGTGTTCATTGCATATACCCTAACTATAATATTGGACATGTCCTTTGATGCCCATGGTCTTTATCTACCAATAACATTAGTTCTCCAGGATAATAATCACTCATTGATTGCTTGTGTTCTATAGAACTCACCCCTCTGTGAAACCAGGATCAAAGCTTGGTTTGTTCTTTCCCTCTAGGAGTGGCTAATATCTGGTAATATATTCTGGACGCATTCTGGCGACAGCAAGACAGTGAAGGCAAAAGAAACAGAACACAATGGTCATTAAATCAGAACCAAGTCCCTACTCGATTGCTACAGGCCACAAACACGAAACCATTTCCATTCCAGGCTTCATCTAGCCGTTTCTCACTCACGAAAAGAGGTCAGTTTTATCCTGCAGAAGACGTTTGCCTTCTCTCACCTCACCCTACTTTCGACAGTCTGACTCACTAGGTCTCTATCACAGCCGGCTCAAGGAGAGAGAAACGAAAATGTGTCACGTCCAGCGCGTGGTTAACAGCTGCGGCCACACCAACGACCACATCATCATGGCCTGCCGCTTCGCGAAGAGTGCCTCGCCGTCACCAGAGTCCGCCCCCGAAGCTCAGAGTAGCTTGGTGGACCAGAGCAGAGAAACACACAATACGTCCACTACTGCCGGAGGCCAAAGCCAAGGTCCTGCAAATATGATTCAGACGATTGGCTTTGATGCGCGCACCGAGCCCTACTGCATCCATGCGAGGATTAAAGACCTGAGCACATCGAAGGGATTCAAGTGTATGGTTAATGGATGTGGACGCGCGGACTGAAATACCTTGCGGGCCACTTTGTAACTACCTAGGTATGCTGAAGCGTTGTGGTCGGCCTAGTTAATGGGATTGGCCTGGAGCTAATACTCTGCCGAATCACTTAGTGTTGGTGGTTTAGAAGCTGTGAAGTCTGCACATCATGACTCGTCTTTCTCTGTCTCCACGGATAGCCTACAATAGCAGATGGAATCAATAATTGTCATTCTGAAAGCATTGTTGTAAATTCACACAAAGCAAAAAGCGGGTCAAAACCATGGACGGTCGAAAGACAAGGATGGAATTAAAGTCGGGGACGACAGACAGGCTCATCATGAAAAGGAAACAATTTGCCAGAGAATATAGGAAAAGGAGGAAATAGAAGACATAGGCATCAAGGTATCTACATCATGAACACGTAAAAAGAAAACATTCTCGTCGTAACTGGCCGTCCGTGTGCTAGATGTTCATGATCGAAAACGGAGATGGGTATAGTATAGTAGGGTTTAGATGATCTGGAGGTAGTTGCTTGGCACCAGGCCCGTTCTCAATCGAGTCGTGGTGACTTCGGCCTCCCACCAGCCATCATCTTGGAGCCGGATTACGGACAAGACATCGCCTTTGCTGAAACCGAGTTCTTCGGGAATGGCGGCAGTGTAGCTGTATAATGCGCGTGCTGTGACATCATTAACGGTGAGATCAAAGTTGTGAGGATGGGTTAGGGCTTACCGAAATGTAAGATAGGGCGACCATCTCGGCTGAATTGTCTTCCGGGGTCTGCGACGGCCATAGACCTGCTTCTAGACCGACTTCGCTGGCTTCCACCGTCGTAATAAGACATGGGTCTTCTACTCTCCCTCGGAGATCCGAACGCTTCACCACCACCATTGTACGCGTCAGAAGGTTGCGATAGCTGCAGCTCCATCCCACCAGCGCTTGAAGGTCGAGCCTGCTGACGAAATTGAGGTTGAGGTGACACGGCGCGCGGAATGGAGTTTTGAGCTGGCCGTTTGGTAAAATCTTTCGGTGATGCAGGGGGTGGAGCCGATGCTTGTGGTTGCCGAAATTGGGGTTGAGGAGAGACAGCCCGGGGTACAGATGCTTGTGGCTGACGGAACTGAGGCTGAGGGGAGACAGCGCGAGGTACTGATGCTTGTGGCTGACGGAACTGAGGCTGAGGGGAGACAGCCCGGGGTACTGATGCTTGTGGCTGACGGAACTGAGGCTGAGGGGAGACAGCCCGGGGTGCAGATGCCTGTGGCTGCCGGAATTGAGGCTGGGGAGAGACAGCGCGAGGTACAGAGCTCTGGGATGCTCGCTTCGAGAACTCGTTAGGAGACGGAGCCCTAGTTGCTGTGGTGGGAGAACCACGTTTCGCGAAATCGGTTGGAGACACGGCACGGGGAGGTGCAGCAGCACCCAATGAAGCTCGCTTCGTAAAGTCGTGAGGGGAGTACGGCCCGTCGCTAGGTCGTTGGGGTGGCGTAGAGACAGTTGGAGATTGGCTATAGCGGCTATTCAAGCTGTTTGATTGATAGGTGCTTGGGTTCGGGCTCGCAGCGCGGCTGTATTGACTCATGCGAGACTCGCCACGAGTGCTCACTTGAGGACTTGCGCTCCTCCTTGGAGGAGCAGGCGACTGGGCACGAGGGGCGTCTTGGGGTGTCGTCTTGGTGCGAGTGGACAGCGAGGGTGGGTTGACCCTGCCTCGGAGCATGTTGTGCGTCTGGCCGGTGTATTTCTGTGTCGTCTTTTGCATTTGTGCAGAAGTGAAGGCTGGCTGGGGGGCGTCGAGGCGCTTCACGGATGGGTCGTTATATGCAGGGGGTGGTGTGGACACAGAACTTGGGTTGTTGTAAGTCGATGGGGGAGCCGAGGGAACTGGCGTAGCAATGCCATGATACCTGTCGGCAGAGACCCGAGTCGCCGAGTGTTTTCCAGCGCCTTTCAAGTCCGCCAGAGCTTGTGCGATTGGGTCGAGCTCTTCTTGTCCATCCTTTGCAGGTTGTACTCCATTTTTGACTTTGTCCTTATCTGGGGAAGCCACGTCAAACACGTTGTTTCCGACATTCAACTGGAAGTTAGCCCTCGGGTCAACCGGCTCAGGGCTTGCTGAGCGTTGCATTTCCTCCCCCACCTTGGGGATAACCATCTGCTGCGGCTTCTGGGGCCTCTGAGGGCTTGGTGCTTTTATTGAGCTGGTCTGCTTTGAAGGAGAATCCCATGTCCGCCGGGTGGGTAGTTGGGAAGACCCCGAGTTACGATCTTTATCGTGTCGGCTCTTGCGCCGAAATGGGCTGTTGCTGAAGAATTTCTTCTTTTGGACTTGCGTTTCGCCAACCATCCCAGGTAGTGGGACTGCATTCGTTGGCTTAGTCGGGGATTGCCTAGCGCTGGTGGGTTCATGGCTAGATATCGAAGTCGAGTTGGAGACTTCGCTCTGGGAATCACGGCTGGATGGCCGGTAGCCGCTAGCTGTTCCCGAGCTGCGTTCAGAAGGAGGACCGGTTCGGCAAAACATCGTCATGCCATCCGTTGGATACTCGTTGTGAGGCACGGTCGCAATCTCACCATGCTGATTGGGATCGTAGTTTGGTGGAAGCTGAGCATTCCCCCTGCGCGTATCTAACGGAGACGGCTGTTGCTGTATTGGCGACTGATTTGCATGCTGAAGTGGATGTTGCGCTGATGTTTGCAACGATGGTAGAGCTGGTTTCTGTGGAGTAACTGTAGCTTCCTGGCTTGATGGTGTTGGAGGCTCGTTTTGAGCCGAACTTGCTGGTGCGGGCTGGGTATCGTGGTGAGACTCGTAAGTCGATGGCTGTGGTGAAGAGCTGCGGAATGCAGGGTTTATAGTGCGCTGGAACTGAGCTACCGAATAACCTTCTTCTTCGGATATCTCTGAGCTTGTATCATTAATATCTCCCCGAGAGAAGTTGATAAATCTGGGCGCATCAGGGATCTCCTGCCCTGTTCCCCTCTCCTTGATGAAGTAAACAATGTCTTTCTCCACTTCACAGTTCTCCAGTGAGAGACGAATCCTCTCACAGGACTAGGCGAGATCAGTCAACCACTCAAATTCAAAAGTGTTTGCATGCTTACAGCATCATCGCTAACGCAGACTGTTGACGCGATATTGGCGTATGTCCAGAGACTGCTCTTGGTAAAGTCTATCCTCTCTTCTTCGAGGTCTTGAAATTTCTAGATAGCCAGTTAATGTTGCTTCTCCAATGGAATAGAAACGCCGACGGGTAAACATACGTCGCAAGCAGATTTCCACTCCTTGTTCCAGCGACCAGTGGTTTCCGTCAGCACTTTGACAGCGGCATCATAGTCACTGCTACTAGACGCAAGTTGAATCTGGGTCTTCTCGAGCTTCGCCTTATTCTTACGCTCCTCTTGGCCCATGACCATGTGGCCCTGTGCAAGATAGCCCTTTATCCTCAGGCAGTCCTGTTCGTAGCGATCCCTAGTCTATCGGTACCATTAGTAAAGCTGGAATGCCCAATATAATCAGAATTCCGCTCACCTTATTCACTGTCTGGGTTTGTTGCATCTTCGTCTTGTGTATACGCTCGATGCCTGTTTGTATAATCTTTCTTCTCTCCTTGTTACCACCTGCAAAAGCAACCAATGGCTCCTCCAATTCTCTTTTTATTTGTCCGGCGATCGCGGCGTGGGCTTTCGCAATGGCCTCTGTCTCTCCTCTGACCGTATCAAAAGACCCTCGGAGTGACCCCATCTCACTCGACCCGAGAGGCTTGCGGCATAGCGTTAGCAACTTTCGTGCATACTCATCCTCGATAGCAGCGCGGACTAGTTGGATTTTAGAACCAAGGTCAATAACGTGCAACAGACGCGGCGGAACGAACTATTATAAAAGGTTTTCAGTTCATCGCAGGACACTTTAGCCGCGTGCATGCGCTCCAGCATAGGTCCAACACCTGCATCATCTTTGCCCCAGAAGTTGTTGGCGACTGTGGTGACGGTTGAGTTAGCTGGTCATCTCCCTGCAAGCAAGCCCTGGGTGCCTTACAGGATAACGCAACCGTAGGACCGTCGGCAACTGTGCCTGGCATTTCGTTTATAGCGTGTTAACTTTGATGAGCTTTGGCCAGCCTTTGCTCATTTGGTTATTGTGAGATAGGTTTGTTCCGCTCCCACGATTGTATAGAAAAGCAGGCGTTAACAACAGAAGCTGAGATGAACCGAAGCAAAAAGAGCAACCTCCAGCTGCAGAGAGGACAGACGGGAAAAAGCAGAGTAGATTGTATTCTCAACAGAAAAGAGCAGAGCAGCGCGATGCAGCTGGTCCTTGTGGAGTTGATCGCTCTGTGGAGTGTGAACTGGGTCAAGGTGGTTAATTATTTACGGCCCGCGTCTCTCGGGGCAACCGCCCAGTCAGCAAGTCATGCAAGCCTGGGGCGACTCATCAACCATACCATAGGACAACAAATCATGCCCAATTCAAGTGATCGCAGCTGTCTTGCTCCTCTGCATATCTAGCTTGGCCATTATCTGTGTTGCTGGCGTATCAGCCTCATGCAGAGTTATCTATCTTCTGGGTTTCCGTCACAAGGCTCTTCTACGGCTGAATGGAGCGAGGTTATTAGCGAGGCTCGCTATCTACACACCCTAGGAGAAGATCACCGGTACTGCATGGTATAATCTAAGGCGGAAATCAAGTTGATATCTGCCTCCATGTTCGAACTCGTGGTTTTTCTTGGATAGCGATAATTATATATGTCGCTATATGGGCTACGTATTCCAAGACAATACTCGAGGACGCCACAATTACAACATCCACAGTTATAGACGTGTACATGCTCTACGGAAGCATCAAGTGGCCCAATACTTCTGCTTTTATCGCGCGAAAGAAATACCTTCCGACAAGACCATCCCTCCCTGGGATGCAGTTCGAGATAACAAAAGCGGGACTCGAGTTATGCTGACTCATCACTGGCCTTAACTAGTTAACTTAGTTAAGTTAGTTTACTACATGACTAGCAGTTCGTTACTTCTCCAGCGCCGTCACGTGCATTTATGCAGACGAGCACCTGCAATAATTCCATCTGCTGCGAGTTGTATAAGTACACAAATGAGGGAATGATTGATGGGGCATTGTTAAGCAAAGCCAGAACCAGATGGGTTTAGTATTGAAAGATTTACGATACAGCCAGTACCAGTTTACAAAGCTATACTCTTCAGAAGGCCGCGAGCTGCGACACTTTAGGCCTACTAGTAGGAATCGTTCCTCAGGCTGCCAGACATCTCCACCGCCTGAGGCTCGCTTTCTCTGCCCGTCATTCAGACTTCCGAACTTCTCTCTGCCACAGACCAACACAACCTCCCATTGCCATCGCCATCTCCCCTCACGACCACAGCGTCGCTTCTACCCAAGAATCTCCTGACAGGCAATTCTTCTTGGGGCCATACTCTCGACTACTTTTATCGCACATAAAATTTCACTTTCCAACTCAGATCAAATGATCGCGTCTCCTAGATGACCTTCCCTCCCCCTCCCCCTTCCTCCCAATCGTCGATTGCTCCAGGCACCGATAAGTCTTCTTTGACCCGGCCTACACGGTCACAGCAGTCTCCCTGGGGCCCGCCCGTGTCGCAATCCAGTGTTCGTCGGGGGTTGACACCGCTTGCGACCAACCTTTCTTCGGCCTCCAACCCCTCTGTTTCTGCCCGCGGGCTACCTCAGTCAAGTAGCCCTGGCCCCGGGGCATCGACCTCGTCTCCCCTTACCTCATCATTCTCCGCCGTCCTGAGCTCCTCGAGGGGCTTTCCACTTGGTCGGAGCGCTCCTTCACCAGCGTCCACACCAGGGCCCTTTGCTTCCTACCAACCTGGCTCGCAGCAACACCAGCAGCCGCCCGGTCAATCTCTTTCCTCTCCTAAAGTCAGAGCTCATACCCCATCTTCAGGGTCACATCTGGCTTCCGCAGCGGGCTCCGTCGCGGGTGGTGGAGGTTCCGGGGGAGGTGGAGGCGGGACCGGTTCTTCCAGAGGCGCTACCTTCTCTCCGCTCTTGTCCGGCACAACCGTGAACTCGCCAACGGGATTTCCCTCCGACAAGCCGGGCTCTGCAGCGGCTCACGCAAGCCAGTCCTCGCTGGCAAAGATATCCATAGCTCAGGTTTTCCTTTTATTGGATTCCATTACAGAGAAAGAAGGCCGTGAGAAGTGGGAAACTAAAGCTGCTCAAATCCATAAAGTATGTTATTCTAACCCTATATGTATATCTGGCATGAGACTAACAATCTGCTAGCTTGTTGAGTCAAACGGCATGGAGGTCTTCTCCAAATATTTCCGACGCCTGCTCACGGGCAATGCCCCTCAGATTTTCCCTGGTCTCAATAAATCCGTGGAAAATGCAGGAAACTACCCACTTCTCGTTCAGGAGATGCAAAAGGTGTCTCAGGATATAGAGCAAGCGCAGAAAATAGCGGAGACTGTTGATGGTTCTGAGGGCGATATCTTTCGTGACTTCGACCTCTCCACCTTTTTGGATCATTTCAAGCTCGATCCGATAGTCAAAGTTGCGTTGGCTCTAACATTCAAGACTGCTAATAAGTCAGATTTACGTGCCAAAGGTAAGTCACTAAATTGGACAGTATAGCATTCGGAGCCACTTGCTGACCGAGTTTGTATAGCCGATGCTATCCTTGCGAACTCGATAACCCCCTTCCTCCAAAGCCTAGCAAACCCGTCGGACATATCCAAAGAATTCAGCAATGGATTTATTGGTATCACGATCGAGCGCTTTATCCTTTACCCGCCTCGCAATTTCAGTGACGATGTGAAAGCCAAACTGGTGTACGCCGCGAACCTGCGTTACCAGAAACTGGCGATAGATATGCCTTTTGAGGTCGCATCCGCCTTGCAGATGTTCAATTTCGTCAACCCCAAGTATACGCTTGTCCGCCAACTTCACTCCAAGGGTCCAAGAGCAACCTCAAGCTCTGATACTGTGAATGAGACTGTTACTGCTGCCGGACTTGACTGTTGGAGCGAGGAACACATTGCCGCTGCGCTTCTCTTTTTGGTCCTCTCCCAGTACTGGCGGGATTTCTCACTGGAGACATATCTCGCCACTGTGCGATCACACTATGGCGAGAAGCAAATCAACTGGTCCCTCATCCTTCGAAACTTTGACCGCGAAGGTTTAAGGTTGGACCCTCGACAGTTTGCCAAGCTCTATGCTGTTCTTTTGACAGTGGCCGCAGAGGATTCAACCTTAGACGTCCAGAAACTCTGGGGCGGTGACTGGGAACACCGGGACACTCAAATGTCATTCCTGACAGCCTTCATCACCTCGCGGACAGACGTTTCGCAGGTACCTAACCTCCGCGCGACGTTTTCCCCCGAGTTCTTCTCTGATGGCCCTGAAACCGTTCGTTCACAAGGCGAGCGGGCCGTAAAATCACCTCTTCGGTCCTTGGACGCCATGAAGGCGATATTCGATTTGGCTTTGTTTTCGCAGGCAGCATGGTCAGCTCATGAAAGCCAATTGGTCATAAAAGCGGTAGTCCAGTACGATTTACCTGTCTTCTTATGCTCAGCATTGGCTTTACCCCAGCCATGGACCAGCGTTCAACAGAGTTTCATTCTCCGAACCCTTGTTGTGTTTATCCTGAAACAGGAGGATGGATATCAGCTCGCTCTTCACGGCGCCTGGCGTCAGGATCAGCAGTGGGTAGCGGAGCAGTTGTTCACCATGTTCACCCAAGACCCCACCTCGACTGCGGCTATCTATGAACATGCGGTTGAATATCACTGGTTGGACTACCTTCTTGGATATACGAATGGTCTTGCCATGGATCTTGCTTGCTACGCTCATCGAAAAGGCCAATTTGATCTAGAGCAGTGGGTGCAGAATGCAGCTCAAAAAGGACCCATGGACATGGGTAGCCTTTTGTCCAAATTCCTCAGAATCAAGGCAGAAGACGAGCTCCATGTTCAAAGGAGGGAACAAAGTGCACCTCAGATGGTCAGCCTGTCAGTCAAAACGGTCTTTACACTCCTATCGGTCCTGGAAGAATACGTCGGAGACCGTGAAAACCTCACACCGGTCCAGCGCGTTTGTATCCAAACATATCCTAGGTTGATTAACTACGGTGAAGGATTCGATGATATAATCGATGCAAATGGCGAAACTGGAAACTCCTTGCCTGAGCCAGTTGACAAGAAAATGCAGGAGCTCTTTGGCAAAATGTACCACGAGGAGCTGTCCTTGAGAGAGATCATCGAGCTTATGAGGCGGTACAAATCCTCTCGTGAGCCATCCGAGCAAGATCTATTTGCGTGCATGGTTCACGGGCTTATTGATGAGTATCACTGCTACCATGAATACCCATTGGAGGCTCTGACCAAGACCGCTGTAATGTTTGGTGGCATCATCAATTTCCGGCTCGTTGACGGTATCACTCTGAAAGTGGGCCTGGGCATGATTTTGGAAGCGGTTCGTGAGCATGACGTTCATGATCCTATGTACAAATTTGGAGTTGAAGCTATTGAGCAGCTGATCAATCGCCTTCCTGAGTGGGCTGGTTTTTGCCATCTCTTGTTGCAAATCCCCAGTTTACAGGGTACGCCCATCTTCCAAAAAGCAGAGGAGGTTCTGCGTGAGCAGGGAAGCCAAGTTCGCGATGATAGTGGCCGACAAGATAGTACCGCTGGTGGTTCTATCACGAACGGAAATGTCGATGAGTTCGCTGCCCCCGATAACTCGAATCGTAAATTCGTCTCTATTCACGTTGACCCTCCCCTCCGACCAGACCTCTATCAAGAACCGAATGAGGAAGTGCAGGATAAGATCCTGTTTGTGCTGAACAATGTCTCTGAACAAAACATCGATGAAAAATTGCGCGACCTAACCGATGTTCTTCAAGATCCACATCATCAATGGTTCGCTTCGTATCTGGTGGAAGAGCGTGCTAAACTGCAACCCAATTTTCAACAATTATATCTCGATCTCCTGGACCGCATCAACGACAGGATATTATGGGCCGAGGTCTTGAGGGAGACGTACGCGAGCCTGTCCAAATTGCTCAATTCCGAAGGAACACTAGGCTCATCTACTGAGAGGAGTCATCTCAAGAATCTGGGCTCCTGGCTTGGGTCTTTGACCATCGCAAAGGACAAGCCTATCAAACACAAGAACATCTACTTCAAGGGACTCCTCTTAGAAGGATATGATAGTCAGCGCCTGGCAATCGTTATCCCATTTACCTGCAAAGTACTGGTGCAGGCCACAAGGTCTACCGTCTTCAAGCCGCCGAACCCATGGCTAATGGACATAATTGCCTTGCTTATGGAGCTCTACATGTATGCTGAGCTGAAACTGAACCTTAAGTTTGAGATTGAGGTTCTGTGCAAGGACCTTGACCTCGACCACAAGACAATCGAGCCTTCTGTTATTATTCGTGACCGTTCAGCAAACATTGAAGATGCATTGTCGACGGCGAATATCCCTGAAGGACTCGAGGCTTTTGAAGATATGTCCCTCGCCACAATAAGCCAGGGCATGCGTAACGAGAGACTTTCTCCCGCTGCGATTATGTCTACGCTTCCCAGCCTAGACAAGATTCTTGTTCTCCCGTCATCTGCAAGCAGCATGATTGATCCTAACATTTTGCGACAAATTGTGCACACCGCTGTGGAACGCGCCATTACGGAGATCATTACTCCTGTTGTTGAACGGTCTGTGACAATTGCCTCGATTTCTACTGTCCAGTTGGTCTCAAAGGACTATGCCATGGAGCCTGATGAGGAGCGATTCCGACATGCTGCTGGCACAGTTGTCAGGCAACTTGCTGGTAGTCTGGCGCTAGTAACTTGCAAGGAGCCATTGAAAGTCAGCATGACCAATTATATCCGAATGATACAACAAGATTATTCTGAGCAGCCAATGCCGGAAGGCCTCATTTTGATGTGCGTCAACGATAACCTTGACGCCGCTTGCGGCATAGTTGAGAAGGCGGCGGAGGAGAAGTCACTCCCTGAGATCGAAAAGGTCATTGAACAACAGTTGGAAGCTCGCAGACGCCATCGGGCGGCTCGTCCAACAGAACCGTTCATTGATCCGTCCATGACTCGTTGGGGACTATTCATTCCTGAGCCCTATCGCCAAACTCCAGGTGGTCTGAACAAGGAGCAGTTGGCGATTTATGAGGAATTTGCACGGCAGACTCGCGGGCCAACCGCAACCCATATCCAGAACGCCTCTACAGATTCTGGTCGGCAACTTCCGGATGTTCTCCAGGAGCCGTACCCACCGATTCCGAACCTCTCAACCCCCGCAGAGCAGCCAGCAGTTCCTCACAGGACACCACAGCCGCAGCAGGATTCTCGCTTGCAACAGTCCAGCTTGGTGGGAACTTCGACTCAGCTTAACGGTCTCGTTGAATCTCAGAACCCGCGTGACAGAGTGGAAAGCATCGTCTCCGACCTTCAGCAGGCGGCTCGAAATGCTCCCGAGGAACATGTCAAAGATCTTGGTCGTGAGAGTGCCGTCCTTCAAGAGTACAACCAAGCACTACGTGCCATTGTTGCCTCGCCCAATGGTGAAGAAGTGGCCCGATTGACAGCACTCAAGGCATGCACCAGCCTCTACTCACAAACACAGAGCACCCTAGAGATTGAGGTTCTTGTGCATTTGTTGGCCAAGTTATGCGATATGTCGTCCATTGTTGCTCGCTATACCTGGGCTGTCTTATCGGAAGTGGATGATGACCACATGTTCAATGTTCCTGTCACCGTCGCTTTGATAGATGCCGGGCTTTTGGATATTCGCCGCATCGACATGATCTTGACAAGGCTTATCCTCCAGAAGAATGCTGCCGCTCTGGACGTCCTTGCCAACCTGATGGACCGCGTCCTCTTTAACGAGGAGCCATCTGCATTACGATCCGATTTCTCTGGCAGTCTTGAGGCCATGAGCCAATGGCTTGCCGTGGACTCGAGCCTTACCCCCGCCAACAACATAATCAGAAAACTGCGAGAATCCGGTATTCCTGAAATCGTCAACCAGCTCCTTAGTGACAAAGCTCGTACCAAACGTGATCAGATGGAGTATATATTCAGTGAATGGATTGGAATCTACAAGGCACCCGGGGCTGTGGAGCGCACGTATCACTCTTTCCTGAATGATTTACACCAGAGGCAGATTTTGAGCAGCCAAGAAGATTCGGCCCTCTTCTTCCGTCTCAGCATCGACATCTCTGTTGCGATGTTCGAACACGAGTCACAGAACCCCAGTGGCAGTTTGGACGAAGCATTCCTCTACATTGATGCTCTCGCCAAATTGGCCGTCTTGCTCGTCAAGTTCCAGGAGGAGGAGGGCGCCGGCACTGTGAAGACCAGTAAAGCCGCTTACTTGAACTCAATTCTATCTGTCCTCGTGCTTGTTTTGAACCATCATCAGGTGATGAGGGGAGAGGCTTTCAACCAGCGCGTGTTTTTCAGGCTGTTCTCAAGCATTCTCTGTGAATACTCGCTGTATGACCTACAGTCCGAAGAACAGCACCAGGAAATGATGTTCACACTGGCCAATAAGCTTCTGTCCCTACAGCCCAAATACTGCCCTGCATTCGTCTATGGATGGGTTTCGTTGGTCTCCCACAGATTCTTCATGTCCGGCATGCTCACCATGTCGAATCGAGCAGGCTGGGCCCCTTATTGTGATATCATGCAAGTTCTGCTGTCTTACATTGGCGAGCAGTTGAAGCCGGGAAACATCTCTTACGTTGCCAAGGAACTATACAAGGGCGTGCTTCGTATCTTGTTGATTCTTCATCACGATTTCCCTGAATTTGTTGCCGAAAATCATTTCCAATTCTGCAACGTCATCCCAGCACACTGTGCGCAGCTCCGCAATCTGGTGTTGAGCGCCTACCCGTCTTCGTTCCACAAACTCCCTGATCCATTCCGGGAAGGTCTCAAAGTCGAGCGCCTAGAAGAGATGCGGGAGGCACCTAGGATTGCAGGAGATACGGCTCTTCCGCTTCAGCGTGCAAACATCAAGCATCTTATTGATAATGCTGTCCAGGGCAACAATGTGTCGGACTCAACTATCCAGCAAATATGTGAAGCCATCTATTCTCCGGAAAGCCAGGAGACTGGCCTCCTCTACTCGCCGATAAATGTCAATGTTGTTCTATTGAACGCTATGGCACTCTATATAGGGCAAGGAGCGGTTACTGCCAACGCGTCCAAAGGCAATACACGCGCGGCTTTTGAGACCTCTACCCACTCGGCATTGTTGGAGAAACTTGCGAAGAATTTGCGCCCAGAAGCACGTTACTATCTTTTAAGCGCAATGGCGAACCAACTGCGCTACCCTAACAGCCATACCTACTTCTTTAGCTTCGCGATCTTGCGCCTGTTCGGCACGGATTACTCTGAGCAGGATGAGTCCGATATCCGCCAGCAGATCATCCGCGTGCTTTTAGAGCGACTCATTGTTCACCGCCCCCATCCCTGGGGACTTATCATTACCCTCCAGGAGTTGCTTCAGAATGGAAGCTATGCCTTCTTCCATCTTCCCTTCATTCAGGCTGCGCCTGAGGTGAGTTCCCAAAACGTCCGTTGCAACAGATCATAGCAAATGCTAATTTGTCAACCCTTTAGATTGGCCGTCTATTCGATGCGCTCCTGCAACACATTCAACAACAAAGCCCCAGGGCAATCTCTTAAGCGAAAGCGATAGTTTGATTCGCGAGCTTTTTTTCTTAATTGAATACTTGATCACGACACAACCGACGTACTGCATTTGAAAGGATAACTTGGCCTTTTTCTCTCAGGCGCCGTTCATGACCCAAAGTGCTAAAATATAGAGCCTGACAGTGGGGTATATGATATGAGACCTCGCTGCTCGCTCTGCCTTTTTTTTTTTTAAGTTTGTTCTGTATTTACCATCATTTCTCGGCTGGGGTACTGGGAAGGTCACGCATACTGGGACATGCAGCATGTTCAAGGCTTATATCTCTGTTCCCGTGGTTTATTTTCTATCTTCCCTTCTTTTGGTGTCTTACCATTGCCACTGCCTTTTGTGGTGGCCTGTAACGATAAGCTATAAAGCATGGTCCTAATGATTTCTGAATTGCATTATAATGGGATTGGGGGCTTTTGTGAGTGGGAATTGACTTGACAATAGAACTAGCAAAGCCTGCGCAGATTATACGATATCCACAGTAGACAGTGTTTACACTTAGTTTGGCGGAGGATAGTGTGGCTTGTCGGGTTTGCTATCTAGTGACGTATGGGCTGTTTTTGCTCCCGTTGGCCGGCCCTCGTCGTTTGCGGTTTGCTTCTCTCCCCCAACCACCACCACCAGCTTGAGTCCTGGCTTCGCAGGGCCCTCTGGCGGAACCATGGACCGCGGCAAATCATACGCTGAGGAGTTGGATTATGAAGAAGACCACTCTTCTTTCATCTCCAGAATAATGGTGACTGTTCCCGCAACTGTCATCGACAGAAGCTCAGACTGACGGCCAGACTAGAGCGCGCTACTGACACCGTTAAGCGCTGTTGTTTCGAAGAATGCCGTAACCGCATACCTAGGCACCTTTCTTTTCTTCGTTACTGCCATATGCATGATATTTGTGTCGGTTTTCGCATACGGGCTCTTCTATTACAATGTGATTCCCCATGTCGGGCTCGAGCGCATCGTACACTTGCAGTTTGGGTAAGTTCTCCCTTCCAATCGTATTGAGGGAAGATCTGCTTGACTAAATTGCATATCCAAAGAAGTGAGGCGCATCCGTGGGGAATTGCTACGCTAGATTCAAGCTTGGTCTCGTTCCAGCCGTACGATGTGCACGTAGAACTGGAGCTCCCGCAAACACCGTCGAACCTAGCTGCCGGAAACTTCATGCTGGATCTCTCGCTATTATCTCAGCCTTCAACCTCCGCAAGCACAGGGGAGAATTCATCTCCCCAGACCATCTCTCACTCTCGCCGTCCCGCGATTTTGTCCTATGCTTCGCCCTTAATCGACATCTCAAGGAAGGTCACATTTATGCCTTTGTATATCTTGGGCTGGCAGCGCGAAGCGGAGCGGCTCGTCGTACGAATGATGGAACGGGTTGAGTTCACTCGTGGCGCGCTTAATATCCCAGGAAGTGCGCGCCTGGAGCTTCATAGCCAAGTCGAGATGCAGGTCTATGCAGCAAAGGTGATATTTCGGGCACATCTCACTGGGCTACGGTATAGTCCCCGCAAGATTTGCTGTTGTTACTCGCAGCTAACAATGGTGGCAGGTGGATTATGTATCGATGGAGAATCACATCATTCTTCGTTTTCACTTCTATGTTTTGGGCGGTCTCTATGTTCTCGTTTTCTCTCTCTTGGATTATCCTGCCGTGCTTCTTTGCGTCCTCGCGCACTAAGAAGCAGAAGGGAGAGGTCAAGGCGGAGGATGAGCGCGAGGGTCCACGTACGATCAAACAAGAGCCAGTTGAGCAGCTCGGTTTCCAAGAGGCTGAGCCTAGTGCCGAACCCTCCATTCGCGAGTCAAATATTAAGCAAGAGGCCGACACCGAAGAAGAGGATGAAGCAGATTCTGATGAACTGCTACATGATCCAGGGCTTCTGCATAGTTCAGGAACTTCTGGCTCAGGGACGGGGATAGAGAATGATGAAGCGGCGGGTCTTCAGCAACGGCGTGGCCATTTATTTGAAAGCTAGATCACTAATGTTAACATAATAAATAACGTGGAACTTCATCTGCTATATACCATGGAATGAAATTGTTGCTCATTCTAGGCCCAGATGGTGTCTTCGCCTAGACCAGTTTGGTACCCGACAAGAACGATCCGGCGACTATCGATAACAGGCGGGGAAATTCCATCGCTGCCGTCTTTCTTTTCCCAACGCTTCCCTCTCAATTATCCTTCATCGCGAGATTCGAGCTCCAATGCATATCCTGGTGAGCTTGACTATTCTAAGGGCCCCAACTGTTCCTAACTTACAGCCCCGCCTCTCATGACAGGTGGTCAACGACGACGGTCCCCCGTCCAACCAGTCGTCCCCTTATGTCCATTCGTTTGTTCATACACTACAATCCGCAGGACACACTGTTTCAGTAGTCCTTCCTCACCAACAGCGATCATGGATTGGTAAGGCTCATCTTATTGGTGCCGCCGTCCAGCCAACCTATTTCCGCCCTGGAACCCTGCACAAAGACGATGGCACGACGCACGACTATCCCCGCGGTAGCAGTGCCGGAGACGATGACGCCCCCGACGGCGATGAATGGATTCTCATCAACTCCACCCCCGCTAGCTGCGTACAGATAGGTCTATACCATTACTTCCAGGACCGCGGGCCCGTTGACCTCGTGGTATCCGGACCAAACTATGGGCGCAACACCACGGCACTGTTTGCGCTTTCAAGCGGCACCATTGGTGGGGCAATGGAGGGTGCGGCGTGCGGAAAACGCTCAATTGCACTCTCATACGCTTTTAGCTCCCGTAACCACGATCCTGTCATCATCGCGGAGGCGTCTCGGCATTCGGTGCGGGTCATTGAGTACCTTGCGAAGAATTGGGACAAGGGAGTTGATCTATACACCGTTAATGTGCCTCTAGAGCCAGGTGTCAGTGAGAGCAAGGTCATGTACACGGATATGCTTGATAATCGGTGGTCGTCAGGGAGTTGTTTTGACGCGGTTGACGCTGAGGTGCCAGTGCAACATCCGGACCAGAGGGAGCAGACCCTGCGTGATCAGGAAGAGAAGTTGGAGGCTGATCCTAGTGCTGAGGTCAATGCGGGGTCCGGAAAGAGGTCGCGCATCAAGCACAAGCATTTCATATGGGCGCCAAAATTCACCGATGTCTATCGGAGTGTTGAAGAGAGCGCTCCTGGAAATGATGGCTGGACTGTCAAGGAGGGAATGACTAGGTATGTCAAAGCGATAAATCATAAAACGGTTCATGTGCTATTTTCTAACTTGCATAGCGTCACGCCTCTAAAAGCCAATTTCATGCATACGCCCGGCATCAAGGGAGAGATCAAGCTGTGAGTGGAATCTAGAGAGGTGGTTCCTATACACGACTATTAGAACATATACCTTGCGCTTTTACCGTACCTACCAAGCTAGCGTTGCGTTGCGTTCTAATACCCACCCCCCCTCCATTTTTGTTCTTTTCGTGGTCTGATAGTTTTATATTGCGTAGATCAGATGATGAGCCAGCACTCTACTCCATAGTGGACTGCGACGATTCTTATGTCCAAGAACTAGTCGAGCAATCACTACAATCTCGCCTTGGTAGCCGTTACCGCACAATACACTCCATGTCAGACCTTCCTTCTCCGTCCGCCCCCGTGTTCCAGTATCGCGAGTACGAACGCCTGGATTTCGAGCACGCCATGATGAACCCTACTTCGTCTCTAACAAACGCTTATATCATCCGCAAGGCACTTATACGCAAACATTACCTCTCCAACACCGTCTCCAATTGGGTAACAAAGCATCCAGAGAGTGTACTCTCCAAACATGTCAAGGTCTCTGTGGACTTTGAGCTCGACTACGCGGAGTTCCTCGACGATGCGCTCCTCGAAGCCTATGAGCTTCGCGAGAGCCTGGAGAACAATGAATCAAAATCCGACTCAGAGAAGGAATGGTGGATTCTCAAACCTGGCATGAGCGATCGCGGGCAAGGGATTCGATTGTTCAAGAGCGAGGACCAACTCCGTGAGATATTCGAGGAATGGGAGGTTGACACATCGGATGAGGAGGACAACGAAGATGGGGTCGATGATGGAAATGGAGATGAAACCGCAGACAAGGCCGGTGCAAGTGGTGTAATAACCTCGCAACTCCGCCACTTCATCGCGCAACCCTACATCGACCCCCCACTGCTCCTTCCCTCTTCGAACAACCGCAAATTCCATATTCGGACGTACGTCCTCGCAACAGGAGCACTCAAAGTTTACGTCTTCAAGGAAATGCTCGCTCTCTTCGCATCAAAGCCGTACATTCCGCCTTCATCCGAATCGGACACAGACGGAATCAACGACCTGACTCGCCATCTAACAAATACTTGCTTCCAAGACGGGAGTCTACCGGAGAACGAGACTGTCCGGCGCTTCTGGGATTTAGAAGCCCAAGTGTCCAATCTCAATACTGACTGGAAGGAGTCGGTCTATGTCCAGGTCTGTCAGGTTACAGGGGAACTGTTCACCGCGGCCGCGCGCGGCATGATGGTCCATTTCCAAACGCTTCCGAATGCGCTTGAGATCTTTGGAATTGATTTCTTGGTTGATGCCGAGGGGACGGCGTGGTTGCTGGAGGTGAATGCCTATCCGGATTTTGGACAAACGGGAAGTGGTCTTCGGGACATTGTTGTCGGGGGTTTGTTTGATAATGTGGTTAATGTTGGTGTGAAGAGCTTCTTTGGACTTCAGGGTGATGAGAAAGACAGGGAGAATGAAGGTAATGGGTTGAGATTGGTCGCCGAGCTCGACCTAGGGAGAGCCTAGCTTGCGGTGTTCGACTTTAGGAAAAGGGCGTTGTGTGGTAATGTGTTTTAGATATAGAAGGTTGGCTGGATTGTTAGGCTAAAAGTTAACTCTATAGATCAATGGCTTTGATGTTCATCTTGCATCTTGTTTTTCCGATCTCCCCATAAAAATCAACCAAACCTTTGCTTTGCCAAGGTCTTCAACCACCCAATAGTCTCCTCTTCCTTTTCTTTGTATCGTTTTACTCTCTCTTCCCGCTCCGCCGTTCGCGCTCTTAATATTTCTTCCCTTCGAATCTCCCTTTCATTCTTCTTCCGCTGCTCCCTCTCCCGGGCAGACTTGATAGCCTCAAGGTCATTCTCCCCAGAACCCATAAGTTCATCGTCCGGAGCAGCCTCCGGCGAACCACCGCGTCGAGATTCAGCAAAAGCCTTATTAGCCGCGGCGGCTTCGCGGCGCTTTTCTACCTTTCGTTCGTGTGTTCCCGGTTCAGCACGGGGTGCGACCTCTTCTTCCAGGTGGCGGAGTTCTGCCTTGTGGGTGCGGATTTCTGCCCGACGCTGCCGACGGGCGTCGTGGCGTTCGGCGAGGGAGTCTTCTATAGCGGATTCTGCACGATGGTTAGTATGACATCAACAAACTTGAATGGTGAGTAAGATAGATTGTACCTTTTCGCAAATCTAGATCTTGCATAGTTGGTATCGTCGGGCCTGCAGCAGGTCCATAGTGAGGCATCGGGCCATACTCGTCATCACCATCCTCCTCGACACCAGTATTGTACTCATCACCATGCGTCTGAGATCGTTCTGTTCCAGCCTCATGAACTGGCCTCTGATAGTTGGGCGAATCCCTCGGTCCGACAGACGCAGCACTCTTTTGCGCCTTCTCCAATGTACTAGGGTCATACCAACCCTCCGCCAATTCTCCACGGTTCCTAATATGTCAGCCCCAATCCCTCAACTATGCCTTGCAGACTTAGAGGGAATTGCGTAAAAAGTATATGGAGCTTACCATTTCCCAGTAAAGCTCTTCCACCGCCCTTTTACCTCGTCTTCGCTCAGATCCTCTAGTAAAAGACCCTTTTGTATATCAAGGTACATTGCGAACATGGGCTCAAATGCGCGCAGGTCGCGTTTTCCGAGCTGGCGCGCATTGAAGGGGAGGATTATCGGGGCGGAGGGTTCGCATTCTCTCGCTGATTTGGAGGGTCGGTCATGGGTACGGCGATGGGAGTGCGAATGGGAATGTCGATGTCTTTGGTGGCGATCGTGATCATCGTCATCGCGATGGCGGTGTTTGCTCTGTCGCGAAGATCCGATAGGTGATCGAGAGCGGGAGCGGGCGGCGCTGTTTGGGGTCGCTGCTATCCCATTGGGAGAAGTATGGGATCGCATGGTCGTCCTTGTAGATTCGTACTCTTATATCCTTGCCGTTGACTCTTTTGGTACAGTTTTTCTGGATTCGGGATCGGGGTTGAAAGTGAAGAGAAGCCCGGAAGCCAGATACGGCGCCAAGAATCCGCATTGCGAATCACATGCTTTTGAATTTTATTGAGAGCCTCCGGATGTTTCGCTATCCGGCAATACGATAGAGGCAATATTGATATACACTGTGCTGTATGGTACCTTGCATTGTTGAGTTCACTCCGCCAGAATTATAATGAATACTATATACACTGAAAAAGTATACAACGACATACCTATAGCTCTACTCGAATGCATTCAAAGTCGCCAAAGAGGGAGCATTAACTGGCCGCCGCAGACTGGTCTGCGGTAGAAGTGGAATTGTCACCTGTCGAGGCCGAAGTAGAAGGGTTTACCGGCTTTGATCGGTTTGCAGCGGCCAGCTGCCAGGCCGGAATAGACGGGGACTTGCTGAATCGCGATAGAGGGTTGGTAGGATTGGCGCTCGAAGCCTGGGCTGTCTGCGAAGTAGCTGGAGTCTCGGGTTGGGGTGCGGTGGGCGTGGCTCCGTTGGTGGTAGGGGTGGCTGCGGTCTGAGTGGATTCCGGAGCGCTGGGGAGAGTTGTCGTATCAGCGGCCTTTACTGTGACTGGAGCGCTAGAGGCGGCAGCAGCACCAAGCCTATTGCCCAAAAGAGTCTTCAAGCTCTTTAATTCAGTTCCCAGCTCCCGCAGGCGATTCTCGTTGCCCTCCCGAGCGCCCTGAAGGGCTCTAGGGATGGCGTCTTTCAATGCGTTGACTTCATCATTGATGCGACGGGTCTCATCATCTCGCCGTCTCGAAGCGGTTTTTAGATCAGCGATCAGTGTTTCTACATCTCGCAATGTAGCGTCTAGCTTCTCAGTGCGCGTCTCCTCGGCCGTTTTAAGCGCTGAAGTGTCTGCAGAAAGCTGCTCTATCAGGGCAAAAGCCCGGGAAAACTGCTCATCGATATTTTGTTTGTCTTGCTCCAGCTGTGGCGGGGTCGGGGGCGCAATTAACGGTGTAATATATCGCTTATCGTCGTTAGAGAGTTGTGCGCTCCAAGACAGAAGGATACATACCTTAGCCACAAAATACAGTCCATAACTAACACCTCCCATGACCGTAGCCATTATAAACCAATCACGCCAGTCCCGCTTAGGGGGCCTAATAATCTTGAGGTTAGCTTCACTGGCTCGTCCGCACTTTACATGCTCTGAGGGCAAGTCAAACTCACTCTGGCGGAGATTGCCACTGGGCATATGGGGGATAGCCATACCCCGACGGAGGTGGAGGAGGGGGTCGATAGACAGCTTGTTGTGGTGCAGACTGGTAGGTCGACGGGCTCGACGTTGTGGATGATACCACCGCTGAGGGATCCTCTCCTGTACGGGCGAGAGCAACATCTATCTCCTCTTTGGTCAGGTTCTTGGACTGCAAGAACGATATCCTCTTTTCAATCGGAGCCGAAGCCACAGAGGGATCCTGGAGGACTGTGCCAAGAAGAAGGAGTGTTAATAGCCAGAAATGTATCAGTAAAGAAAAATTGGAAGACGCACATGTCACCTAAAAGCCATCCATGAAGTCAGCTCCGCAATCGACAACTCGAGGTAAAGGGCGCAAGACTTACAGCAGAGGAGATCAACTCCTCGCGAACCATGATGGCGTTTCCTGCGGCAGAGGTGAATACAAGCAGGCAGAATGTAGATTCGGCAAAGAAATGAGGGAAAAGGAGAAGTAACGGCGAGGGATTTGGGAGAAGACAGTGAGAGGCCGACGCATCGGCACCGAAAGCGACGAACCTCGGGATGTCCGCCGTAAAATATGGAGTAGTAATACGATTACGCTGATTATTACGGATTACGGACTTCCCCAGACTCGGAGTCTCGTGATCCGTCACCTGTCGGTATCTCGGTAGAAAGGTAATTCCGCAGCGCCCTCACCGCCTGCCAAAAGTTGTCGCGCTGCGGCGGGCGCTGTTGTTTACATCGGGCATTGGTCGATTATTTACCACCGCAACCACTCTTTGCTTGCGCTTCGCCTTTTGGCTTCTCATCATTTTTTGGGCCTCATGTTATCCTTGGACGATCGCTGTTATCGAAGTTGTTTTATTGGGTGCTTATCCTACTCGTCTAGCGACATCTGTCTCGCTGTGATCAGCTGCGGTCGCAGCTTCCTTATCCACCATGTCGCAAGACACAGGATTGTTCAGTATCAAACGTCCCCGCGAGGCAAGCCCAAAGTCCCCCAATTACTTTTTGAAGTCATTATACTAATAATTCCATCGGTTTAGACGCTGGGCAGTGTGCAGAATTACTCTTCCCTCCCCCAACCCTCATACGCCCTAAAACGCACCAGTTCAATCGGCGCATTCCAAAATCCCCCGTTTACTTCTCAGCAATCCCGCTCAATGTCTTTACTAAACTCTGTTGGCCGGCCGCAGCAGCCCAATTTTCAACGCTCGTCCTCAGGAGGGTTTGGGGTCGATCCCGGACTCTCATCCGTCCGGCGCTCCGTCTCCAGCAATGTCTTTCACGGGGCTAGCGCTGGGCGCCCAAGCTTCGCTCCAGGATCGATGTCCTCCAACCCAGCGTCTCAAAGCCTGCAGAGAAGGAGTAGTGTCTTCTCGCGGCCTTCCACCGGTGGTGCCATGGGTCATCAATCATTCTTCACACAAGTCCCTTCGGCCGCCGGTGTGCCCAGAGACCCACGACCCCTCCGGGATAGGTCCTTCCAGGCACGTATTGCACAGGAGCTTCTGGAATATCTCACGCACAACAATTTTGAGTTAGAAATGAAGCATTCTCTTGGTCAAAACACTCTCAGATCGCCGACTCAGAAGGACTTCAACTTCATCTTTCAGTGGCTATACCACCGGATTGACCCTGGGTATCGGTTCCAAAAGGCCATGGATGCGGAGGTACCGCCGATTCTTAAGCAATTACGCTACCCTTACGAAAAGGGTATCACCAAATCGCAAATAGCCGCCGTCGGAGGTCAGAACTGGCCTACGTTCCTAGGGATGCTTCATTGGCTGATGGAGCTGGCGCAAATGATGGATAGATATGTATTGGGAGAGTACGATGAGGCCTGCGCAGAGATGGGAGTGGACGTCTCAGGCGACCGCATCATCTTTCGCTTCCTGACAGGTGCCTACCATGACTGGCTACAAGGCGGCGAAGACGAGGACGACGAAACTGCCGGGCAAAGATTGGTCCCGCATATTGAACTCATGGCTCAAGAATTTGAAAGGGGCAACGAGAAGTACGTCCAAGAGATGCAAGTATTGGAAGCAGAGAACCGTGCCCTTCGCGATCAAATTGAGGAGTTGGAGAAAAATGCACCCGATATGGCCAAGCTTGATAAGCAGTTCAAGATTCTGGAGGACGACAAGAGAAAGTTTGAGGACTATATTCAGAATGTGCAAGGCAAAATCGAAAAGTACGAAAGCCGCATCAATTTCCTGGAGGAAGAGATCAAGAAGACGGAGTTGGAGCTACAAGCTGCTGAAGAAGAACGGGCTGGCCTTCAGGCCAGTGTTGACCAGCAAGGCCTCACAATTCAAGATATTGACCGTATGAACACCGAGCGAGACCGGCTTCAGAAAAGTCTTGATGACACAGTAATACGCCTTGAAGAAACCCATGCACGGGTGATGGCTAAGGAGGCCGAAGCGAGCAGAAAACTCGAAGACCTAGAGGAGCTCGTCAAGGCCTACAATACGCTAGGATACCAGACCAGCCTCATCCCTCCCACCGCTGTGAATGCCAACGGACAAGATTTTGAGCTCAGTCTTAACGTGAATGAACGCAGTTTCTCAGCGTCCCAGATTGGGGGCATTCCCAGCAGGATCTCACCGGAAGCGGATAGGCTCCTCGCCGAGCCGTTCACAGGATATCATCCAGCACACCTGTTGAGCCTAGACCTGCGGGGTATGGTTCGCAGCAATCTACAAGCACTTCGCAAGGATATAAACGAACGCAGGAAGCGTGGGATCGATGACGACCTAGAGCGACGTAACCTGCTAGATAATATTAAGGAGGCCATGGATGAGAAGCGAGGCGAGGTCGAGGCTCTGGAACATAAGCGACGCACCGCAGAGGAAGAATTTGAACGGCTCAAAGAGGTTACTACAACCCAGAAACTTGCCTCGGATGCACAGATTGAGAAGATGGAAAAAGAACTGGCCAAAATGCGAGCGACAATGAGCGAAAGTGTCCAACTGATGGAACAACGAGAAATGAACACAAATATCGAGTATGAACAACTCACACTTCGAGCTAATGCTCTTCGAGAAGAACTGCACACCAACGTGGAAAGCATGCTAAACGACGTTATCCGATTTAAGGTTCATGTTCAGAAGGGCCTGGAGGACTACGAGAACTTTGTTGTGGATGAAGTGGAACAGGAGCTAGGGGGTGATATGCAAACGACTGACGACGCGCATCTTTCCGCGGAAGAGCTCTGATGCTGAAGAGGAAACTACAGCCTTTCCCTCATGCGATTTTATGCATTGACGGAGTTTTGAACGCCGTTTAGGGTAGCACCAAGTGGCGAAGAGTCATTTGACTCAAACACAAGCGAATCCCGGAGCGTTTTCCCCTTTACAGACTTTATTAGGCGGCCTATCAGGGTCCTACTAGGTATGCCTGAAAGGTGCCATAATTCTCATACCCACCGAAAACTCAGTTCTTCTCGCTGTTGGCGACCTTCGCGGGTCGGGGTATTGGCATGTTGGTTCTCGTTTGGCGCTATGCTACTGTTTTGAAAGCGGACATTTTTATCTGGTGGTGTTTCTGAGCCTTTTCTTGCCTTGTCTACTTATGAATACTTGCATGGACATATGAGTACTGTTATGTTGTTTTGGACAGTTTGATACCATTATGATTGGGTTTGTGATGCTATATGATATCGTCCGAATTGATGTTTCTTAAATCAAATTATCAAGTAGGGGCTTGTCCACATGCTTAGCTTACCTAGCAAAGACGCTGATGCCAGTGAACATCTTCTTTGACTTGTCCATCGTTATTTACTCCGTCTTACCCCTCTCATCGGTCTTTTTCGCCTTGTCCACTGGAGTAGCATCGGTATAAGAAGTGCTATGGATGCAGTCGTAGCTCATAGGGCCAGTTGGATTGCCGACTTACTCGAGTGAAATATACGCAGCCTTTGCCATACAACTTCTTCAGCCATGAAAGCCTCTACTCTCGTCGGTGTTTTCGCAGCGCTATGCCTGGATAGTGCTGTTGCCCAAACAACGATTGTCAGTAGTTAGATTTTCAAGGGCCCGCTGTGCCTCTGCTAACATGCTTAGACCATGCCCACTATGGTCCTTCCTACTGGGCTGCCAACTGGGCTGCCAACTGGTATCTTTACCGGGCTGCCATCTATGTCTACGTGGCTGAGGCCTGGTATTGTTCTACCCACTAATGGGCTCCCGATTTCTCTTTCCAATCCCAGCTGGCCCACCGCGTATATCCCAACCACTCTCACTAATAATGCTTCCACTGCCCCTCCTGTCCAGACTTCGCCTACGGGACCGGCTGGTGACAGTACAACAGCCGTTTCGGGAGCATTTGTGCGTATCCATGCACGCCAAATGATGCCCTTCGATGGATAGATAAAACGATCTGTATAAGACTCTGATGAGGTGGATTTTGGCTGGCCTTGATTATTTTCACAGTACACCCTTTGGTGTACAATGTTCTTTGAATTCGGCAGTAGATAGGTACAGTGCCTACTCGTCAGATTAAGCAGTATCCAACATACTATTCAACACCTTTCAATGTGCCTGAGGCACTTATCTACTTAGGTACATGGGCAGAATTATTGGTCAATGCTTTGCTGACTCATCAAATCTTATCCAACATTTTCTGAAGGTCCATCAGAAACGCCTCACGAAAAATTGACCGCATTCGATTCTAGTCTCAGCTACACGTGGCTCGTTTTTGCCTTTGAGGTTAGATAGTTGGAATCTCCGCAAGCTTCTCGGGGATGCAGTGCCCAGTCAATCATTAGATATGCGCAACAGAGCTTCATTCCGACGGCCTCCTCGAGATTTGGTTCACTTTCCGCTCGCCTCGTCCCCTTGAACCCCGAACCTCCGTCGTGTCATGAAAGGGTCCCTTAGTCCAGCGCATTTGCTGTATCTTCACCGCAGTTGCTTTAAAGGTCCTTTGCTCGCCACCGCCCATCCCTCGCGTTTCAGCTTTTCGCGGATACAGCCATGTCGGCAGCTACGTTGGAGCCATCCGTTTTCCGCTCGCCCCAAGCCTCTGGATATCGACCTTGATATTCTGGAAGAATATTTCCGGCTGGGCTCTGGGCGATGCCCCGAAATACCTCCTTGGGAAAGGAAGAGTCCTCGGTCGTGGATATCTTTACTGGACGAATACCTGCCGCCATCATTACAAAATGGCGTTGCGGGTACGACGAGTCATTCGCATACGGAACACCCTTCGGATACGGCCCAGAAGTCATTTGTGCGGGCTATGGAGCTGGCGTACTTCTTATTTCATGCCAGAGCAAACCTGAATTTGGACCTTCTAACTCACTTGGGGTTCAGATCCAACGACTGGGCGGCGGTATACACTTTACTCGGCAGATTATTGGACACGGCGGAGGCACTCAAGGAGATTTCCCTGCTTCCTGCGCGTGGTTTTGTCGATGAATTGGCCTCAAATTCTGGCGTTTCACTTGACCAGCTCACCAGCCAGCACATCTCGTTTATTCCCCGGCCCAGAGCATCAAGCACAAAGTCCGCTTCTGTTGCCCGATTAACCAGTCTTGATGCACTCACAAGGGCACCTTTTGCCCAGTATCACCGCAAAAGACTGATGGCCGAGGTATGGAAAAGCTTGGGATCAATAGTCTTAGCCGCCGCAGATGCCTCTCCTAATGACTCCAAGCTGGCCATGTCATATGTATACCGAATCCTTGCGCGGCTTCACCATTCCGGTGCTGTCTCCGAGCGGGTATACAAGTACACCGACCCGGATAAACATCAAGCTACGCCTCGGCCGCCAGGAATGCATCTGCTGTCCGTTCAGATCTTGGACATCCTTTCAAATGAAGCATGGATAATGCATCAGGCTGAGGTCGCGGCGAAAGCGGCTGCCGCTGGACAGGACTCTCCTTTTCTCTCGCTCAAGCCAAATCTCAAAGAGCTTGGGCATGAGATTTGGTTAGAATTTATCCTCTGGTGCTGCGTGGAGGATGGGCATATTGAAGAAGGAATATGGCTTGTTGAGCAGATGACTACGCGGAGGGGTGAGATCGCTTGGAAATTCAAAGACTGGAAAGCTCTCCTTCAGGACCCAGAGTCATTACACAGGATGAAGATTGATCAAGAGGTTACATGGCACCATGATCCTGGGTCAGCGCATGTCGCTCCCTGGCGGCGGAAGCGCGCTGAAACCCCTCCTGTTTTCCATGGACTCGGAAGGCGAGTTATCAGCATGGAGATTGTCTCGGCGTTGTTAGATAATATCTCCAACGTGATCTATCTGGGGTTGGGCTCAAGGGGTCTGCGCGCTAGTTCGTTCATCCGCCATGTCAGTCGTCTACAGTCCACCATAACTCCAATATGGCGGGAATCAAATCTGCTTCCGACAACCAAAGAGATCAACTGGTTAACCGTGCGTGTGATGGAGTCTGGAGGATTGGATCCCAAGGCGGACCCCCAGATGTTTGATGATTTTCTCAGAGTAACCCCTTGTCTTGTTCCGCCTTGGAGCAGTGACATGTGTCCGGTGGATGAGGAGTCGCTCGCTCAACTTCACCCGTCACATCTCTATGATGACACGTCCGCCTTTACCGGTTTGATCGAATACAACCTGAGGTATTATTGCTCTCAACGACTGCTTGGGGGTGCCTCGAACATGTTCACCATGCTGCAGGAGGTCATCGACGCCAGCAAAATTAGGCGCATTGATGAATTCTTCTCGGCTTCGATGGAACCCTCCGACGAAAATGTACTCTCCGAATTCCAAGATGACCAACCTCCTCTACGATTCTTCGAGTCATCAATCCCGCACATCTCAAATGTGACACTGGCTGAGCTACTTGACCTCATCACAATCTGCCGGGCTTTTAGTTTTGGGGAATGGTTATTATTCTCGGACGATATTGACGGGCCCACAGTGCCCGCTACTGCTTACGGAGACCAAGCCCTAGCACCCTCAATATTGCGTTTTGCGGCGGCTACGAAGAACCACTCCCTCGGCGAATCGGTCATCACGTCACTTCAATCGCCTCTGTCCCTGAACACCTTGCGTGCGCTTTGCAATTACCGCATCGCGATGCATCAGTGGGATCTGGTCATCACCTTGCTCAGGTATATGCGCGATTACCGACTCATGTCCTGGGCTCATAGCAACATCGCCGCTCTCGGTGCGGAGATCATCCGCCTCGAGAAGCTCCCCAAGAAGAAGAATCCAGGTGCCGAAACAGATCTATCTCAAGCAAAGGAAATCCTACTCCGCATCTTGACTGGCGAGTTCCACGAAAATCCCCACACCAAACGCAAACCTAATTACCAGCATCGTGTCCTTCTCGCCTTCACACTCCTATTCTCCCGTATCTCCTCGCCTTCCCTTCGCGAGATCGCTGGACACGTTTACGATGACCGCCTCGTCCCCAAATCGAACCACATGTACATTCCTCCCGCGCCTTTCCATGTCCTTTTGTCCGCTGTTGTCGAGACTCAAGGTAGTTCTGCCGGCCAGAATCTCTATAAACGCTTCTGTGTCAACCTTGACCCACCAACTCTCCGCCGTATCCGAGAAGGCGGCGTATCACACCTATACCAAAGTCCCGAGCGAAACCGCGACAAGGGCGACCCGCACTATGATTTTCAATATCATAGTCATCTTCGCAAGAAGATTGTGCTTCCGAATCCTAATACTGTAAGGATTATTGCTCGGGAAGCTGTCAGGGAGTATGAACAGGCCTGTGCTGCCGAGAACCAAGCCATCGGTACCGCGCTTCTGAATGAAAAGGAGACGGCTATGGAGACCACGACATATCACACAGTTCCCGCGCCACAAACTGACAACCACGACCTTCCGAATCCGCTTTCCTCGTCGGTTCCGGGATCTGATACAGCGACAGGCCCCGCCGCCAGAAAAGCTCAAGTAGAAGCCATATTGTTCTCTTGCATAAAACGCTTCGGGTCCATGGGCATGAGCGACCGCGAAATAACCCGTGAAGTAGGCGGCCTGGTGTACTGGAAATATCAACAGGCTGAGCGCGAGCGAAACAAGGACACTCCGGATGTCAAGAAGAGAGAAAGGAGGATAAGGCGAAGGATTGAGGACGTCGCCCTTCCCGTTTCTGGTAGAACTCAGGATCCGAGCTCAGCGTCTTGAGCTTGCGGCATCTCGTTCCCCGGCCTTCTTGGGACTATTCTGTACGTCGCTATTTTCTTGGGCACGGGGAGGAACCTGGGTTGTTATATACAGCAATTTCCTATACACCCTTTGCATGTGGATGATGGCGTTATGGACAGGGCATGTAAAACATTTGTTCTATAGTCATAGATTTTAATCTTGTATATATATTTGAAGCTAAAATACCCCATGCGGTCTCAACAGGGCAGGTGCGAACGAATAAGATAGGAAGGCGCGATGGATGCAACATAGTCAAGGATAGGATCAGGAAAGAAGACAAGAGCGCTGAGCAGCAGGCATCACATCTTCCCCAGGGTAGTGTATTCTGTTCCGGTCAAGGGCCCTGCTAGTGGTTTAAAGAGTACAGGTATGAGATGCTTCTTTCTTGATAAGCAATATGTATGTCCGTCTATCCCTTATTAGATATTGATGAGCATACTACGAAGAAGGGCCATAGTTCCCATAGGTTTAGACATCATCGTCGACAAGGTGGCCATTAATTATTTGCTCAAGCAGATAAAGCTACCTCGATCATAACAGCGTAAAATAAGATACCAACTAGTTAGATCGACGTGCCCGTCCGAATATTGCCTGAGATATACGGGTCGACTCACTCCATCAAATAACAAACAGGTCCCCCAAATATCTAGATATGGTATAGTACGATACAGACCTCGCTTGCCAGCCTACCCATAGAAACACCCCCTTGGAAAAGAGAAAATGAAGCCCAGAAACTAAGAGGATAAGAGAAATAAGGAGGAAGAGACGGCCGTTAACAGTTTAATACTCGCCATTCCACGGCTCCTCGTCGTTGGACGCGGGGAAGAATGATCTGATGAATTCACCAGTGATTGGGTCATAAGGAAAATACATGTCGCTCGAAGGTCCGGTGGAGGTGTCCAGAGGGAAGAAGAACGGGCTTCCAGTTTGTGGGGGCTCCAGAGATGCAGCACCAGTTGAAACAGGCAGGTGCATGGATGGGGATTGCAGATGTTGAAGGGCAGTAAAATCTTGAGAAGGTGGTTGCTGTTCTTGCTGGCTCTCTGCGCCGCCGGAAGGTGAAAAGTGGACGATGGGCGTAGTGGATGGAGGTGGGGGATTTGTTGCTGCGGAGGTCGGAGGGATGAAGTTGGGATTGACTTGTAGAAAGTGAGGACGCCGGGTGCTGTCGTCTAGATCTAGTTGATAGTCTACCGCAGGTATATCGCTCACGTCCAAGTTCAGACCAGTGGCGAGCCGGCGAAGGTTTCCATCACACAGTTCCCAAGCGCGGCGGGAAGCGAGGCTATATTTCGACATAGCGTGTATCCAACGAATGGCCTTTTTAGCTGCCTCAAGGAAAGTCTTCTCTTCGTCGGGCATATGAACGCTGCCGAAGGAAAGTTCAAGAAGAAGGACGGTGGTAGCTTGCATGAGATAGTGCAATACACACCACCAGGGACAGAGCTGATAAATTCTGGAAGCATCGGGTACATCGGGAAGAAGGCCAATCAGTTGCTGTGCCGACTCTAAGACGGTCAGCGCCAGCTCGTGGCTAAAGGTCTTTTTCTGAAATGGCATGCTGGAGCGTCGAACGTCGCGGCGACACAAGCAAGGCCGACCCAATGTGATGCGTGCGCTATGAAAACCGAACGCTAGGCAAAGCCTCGCACGGAGCAAATCTGGGCTCTGCTCATCTCTATTTCTCCAGTCGTATATGTCGGGGAGGTTCGAATGCCAACGCTCGACCCGCGCGCGAAGCTCTCCGATGCGATTCTCTATTTGGGCCCAAGGAGTCATGATGCAATCCAGAGAATACACACGGTTTACAATCTCCTGTGTGATAACAGCGAGGTCAACGTAATAGAGAAAGAATAGAGAACAGTTATGGGGAAGACCCTTTAGTTGGGTGGATCCAGGAATCTTTGCCAAACCGTGCAGATCAGGGGCGTCGTCTTGTGGGTTCAGAGGCATCTGCCGTACAAAGGAGCTCGCCAGGGCGGATTCCACGCGCTCTTGACGGAGTTCTAGATTGCCGAGCAATTGAACCACCTCTGGGTCTTGAAAGCGTTCCTCGCCCACGGGGAGTGGCATTGGTGTCGTGCAAATACCATCCGAAATGCCCGTCATTCGCCCGGTCATGATCCCAAGCAAATGTTCAAAGGTATAAAGACACCACCATACCCTATACCGAGCCTCCTTTGACACATCGGGAGTGAGCTCGCTGGTGTTTCTCAGGTTGAGGCCAAGGGATATACCGGACCGAAGGGCTAGTGATGCGATTCTCCAAGAACTATTTGAACATTAGACATCAAGGACATATGATTGTGCGTGCATGGCTTACCGGTTGATTTGATCGGTCGACAGTAAATAAAAAGCCATGAGAGCTTCAACCTGTACCTGCTGGAGATCCGGGTGAGTGAAGAGTGTATCGCTATTCATACTGAGAGCCCGAGCGCGAGCAAGGTACACAAGATGATCACGCTCATCTCCACGCCAGGGGGCGTGCATAAGGTGAGCATGATAGGAGGCGATGGCAAATATTAGGTTAAGGATGGCCAACCACTTATCTCCCGGTCGCGCCGAATTATCGAAGAAATTCCTATACTGCGCAGAAAAGAGCGTCCGGCCGAGAATAGGAAAGACAGGGTGGATCGTATCCAGGTAATCCTCGAAAAGTTTGTCTGCGACATTTCGAGGCGGCATCCAATACAGGTGCACAGGTCCAGGGGGTGATATATCCACGTCATCCAAATGGTAGTTCACGGAGTGTATCGAGAATTCATGATCCGGTCTATGCTCAGAGGCCCCTGATAATTTGCGTGCGCGGTGTTCGGCCTCCCTTCGCAGTCGCTGTAGCCAGGTGACTTCTGAGTTCTTCCCCATATAACCCGTCGCTCGGGAGCTCGGACTGCGATTTAGATCTTCATCCACACGGTCGATGGCGTCCAATGATCCAATGGATGACGGGAGGCTTTCGAGCTCATTCTCTGGCTCCTCATCCGCTGCAGAAGCCGCCGCCGAGTTTGCGGACTGTTGATCACTAAACATGCCATCTCCGGAATCCGAGTACTAGTTTCCAATCAGCAAACTGGGCCCGCTTCGGGTGAAAGAAGTAGTCATCGTGCACCTTGTCGAGGATATTCTTAATCCGTTCCGAGGTCCTGCCGTCGACAAGGTAGCTTAATTCCCGCAGCAGGCTCTCATAGTCCTCCGACTTGGCCGATAGCTTAGCAAGTTCTCTATCAAAAGCAATAGTTAATGATCAAGTCGGTAGGCTGCGGGGTTAACGTCAAGACAGACCCTTTCGTCCGCTCGCGCCATGAGACCGGGTAGCGGCATCCAACCCTGAGTTCCGCACACTGTCTGCAGATTGGAGTATCGCCACTGCATTTCGTTTTCCGGAGTCTGCAGGTTTCGCATGCCAAGGGCACACGGCGACTATAGCGAGGGGCAGTACCCGTCCGTTGGCGGGGTATCGCGACTTTGTGATTGCTTGACATTGGCTTCCTGCCGGTTATTGTGGCGTTGCGCGATGAAGGAGGCGGTCCCCTTGGTATTTGCAGTGTCGAGCCATGTTGGACAGGAGGGTTGGAAACCGGAATGGTATTGTGTTGATTCTCAGGCTGTGGTTGTAGGAAGCTGTTATTACCTTGTCCGTCCGAGCCGCCGGCCTGCGGATGACCTAAAGGCATTTCCATTGGTTTCGCGCCACTTTGGCGCGCTCGCTTTCGCAGGTCCGAGTGCTAGGAAAGCCAGGCGAAACAGTTGTAATCGATGTATAATGTGAGAGTCTCAAACCGCATCACTAAGAGACATGCATCGCGGGAAGAGCTTAAAATCGCGCGTCAAGGATTTTGAGGGTAGAACAGAGGTCCAGGGTATCAAGAGCGCAAAGAAAGCACACTGGAATGTTCTCGCCACTTGAGAAGAGAAAATCAGCTATGCAAGCACTCTGTACGTTTGCGAGGGCATGAGAGGAAGAAGGTTGCCACGAATAGAAGCGACGAGTCGATCTCCATGTGTGCATTACGTCAGCACGTTATTCTGCCTCAGGCGCCAATCATGCACCTCCATCCAGTAGATTTGACAAGTAAATAGTACTCTTGAAGTCTAGGTACACTATCGTACAGTCGGTATACAAGAGGGGCGATCATATTGCATGATCCAATATTTCCGTCGTTTTATTGAGGTTTCGTCCAGCTTTTGCCCCCGAATAACTAGCAACACTGCTTTTCTCCGCGCCAAAACTGCAAAGACCCACGAGTAACCGACCAAGCAGATGTATCATAATCAAAACAGGGCTATTGGGAATCAAGCGAGAGAGGACAAGAAAGGGTGGGGAACTGTATATATGTACAGATGTGAAACTGGGCTCCCACCACCAAATTGTAGATACGCATAGCGTCAAAAAAACGAAATTAGACAAATAGGGCGACAGGGCATTAAATCAAATAAATCGGATGCTGATAGGGCGCAAAAAACAGGACCAGAAGCGGCAGAAAACAACGGTCATGAGTGGAGATGGCCAGAGATGGGACCTGCGGCAAGGGGCGAATGCAACGCAGATGGCTAAATCGCGTCGAACATTTCATCCAGTTCATCAACATCAACACTCTCGGGACTCTGCAGCTCCCGCCACGAATCGAGAGCTATCCCAGACGAATAGTTAGGAATGATCATAGTCTTCACGGCTACCTTGTCGTCTTCATCGATATCTGACATGTGCATGTCCAAATCGGGAGCATCGTTCAGCATGTCGATTGACCTCTTAAGCGTTGATATACGCGCGAGGCTCGGATCTTCTGGAAGGGCGATGCGTGGAGCATTTCCGAGAGAACCGGGTTCGTTTTCCATGTCCAAGCTATCATCCGAAGCCGCACTCGTGCCAGACGAGACGGATGAAGCGACAGATGTAAGTGATGGGGAGGGAGAAGTGCCAAAAAGTGCGGCAACAGTCGCCACGTCAAGCGCGCGTTGTTGCGGTTGGTCTAGAAAGGTTTGGCCGTGTGGGCCCTCTGGCGAGAAGTAATCGTCATGAGATTCGGACATTTGCTCATCACCGAAGCTTGACAGGGGGCTATCATCGACCGGTGTGCCTGAGTTGTTCATATTGATATCGTCCATCCCTTGCAGAGCTTTTGTGAGAGCAGAGAATCCACCCTTGGCTTGTGCGAGTTGGCTGGCTTTCTGCTCGGAGGCCCGCTCGCGAACAGCGCTAGCCGTCTGCGTAAACTCCCTCTCGTCACCCTCCAGCGGTGGAGAAGCGGCACGGTGAGAATGAACTAATCGCGTACGGCGATGGTCGGGAAAATCTGGACTATGCCTTGCGGTGCCGGACTCGCCACATCCATTCAGATCGATGCCATCTTCCTCGAAGTCAGGTGACGACAAATCAACCTCAGGGCTAGGGGAGCGTTGTCGCGCAGCAGCCTCTTCCTCGTCGTCCAAGCTGGAGACGCTAGGCGTCATGGCCTTTCCCTCGATACCAGGGATTAGCACATCATCGGAGTTCTCTGGGATAGACTGGCGAGGATAGGTGGTGAGGTAGTAATAGACCTTGCGAGGATGTATGGGGATCAGCTCCTTCGCCAAAGGGCATGGCGCAAGAGCTGTCCACGGACGCTTCATATACGCGGCCAGGCGAGAGGAGAGTAGCGCGGCGGGATTCGCGGAGCTGTAGCGCAGAACGTAGTTAGCACCGTTGGCTCGTACAGGTCCATGAAGAGGCTAGACTTACTTTGTAACACTCTCATTAAAATTGATAAGAACCGCAGCAAGCTCTTTCACGAGGTGCGGCCGATTGCCGGTCTTCTCCAACTGTTCGATCACCCCGACGACAATATCATCGTTAATGCCCTCGATGTCAATCTTGGGTGCGACACCACCATCCGTAGGCGATAAAGGTGGCGTTTGGTCCAAATTCCCACGTCGGTTGATCAGTCGCGCCGTAACTGACTGTTGTACGGCATTGATACCATGTTCCGACGGCTCTGGCGACGTTAACGCGGAGTCATGCGACCTCTTGACCTTTTTGGAAGGAGGTAGATTATCGTCGGTCGCGTGCGGTTTCAGGGTAGAAGGCGAACGGCGAGACGAATTTGGTAATTGTATGCCTAGCAACGGAAGAGACAAGGACTTGCGACGAGTGTTGTATGGCATGATGTGGTTAGGAAGCAGAGAGAGTGAGAGGTGCGGATGGCAGAAGCGCGGCCGGAGAAATAATAATAGGAGGAGGGATATAGTAGTAAATCAAACAGGCAGAAGTACAAGCAAACCAAACAAAACACAGGCAATAATAGTCTAAAAGGAGAGAGTAGAGACGAAGTCAAACAAGAACAGATAATGTATAGTAAATAATAATAAAAGGGATAATGGTTTTGATACTAATAACACACAGTTTTGAGAGGAGAAAGACGAAGAGGAAGACGGAGGGAGAAACAGGGGAGAGGATGGGAGGTGGATGGATGGGTGGATGGGGATGGGAAGGGGGCAAGTCTGGAAAGGGAGATGATGGAGAGAGTGACGAAGGACAGCCAACGGTGAGGTAACTAATCAGCGCAGAGTAAGCATTCAGGACGAGTTCTCCCATGAATAATGAATGAGACAAGTAAGAGAAATGTTGAATTGACCATCTCGGAATCTTCCCTCGACACCCTCCTCTTTCTTTTACCTGTCTACCTTTTTTTTTCCCTTTTTTTCGATCCCTCATTTTCTAGTCTCCTGAAAGAGGCGGAAGTTTTAGAGTGGCGATTATTGGTCCGACTCGCGATGGGGGTGGTTTAGTGGGCTCCGAGTCGAGAATGCCGGGAAAATGACCAGGAAAAAACTTACCCAGAAATTCGGAAGGAGTCCCTGTTGCGCTGCCCCTCCTTCGCTTTTTCCCATCTCGAGTCTACACCCAGATTAGTAGTCCTTGTAATCTATCTATCGAGCACGCCGCTGGTTGAACTTGTTCTTGAGACCTTCAGCACTAGCACGGAGTGCGTATCATACCTAATGACGGCACTATACCTCGAACATACTGGTCATTCCTATTTTGACCGAAAGGCAAAAAGTACGGTGGAGCCAGCCATGTGTCTTCTATGACGACCCGCCCAGCAAGGCAAGGCTATAATTGGCCAGACCGATCCATGATCAACTGAGGTTCTGCATGGCTTCGATGATGGAGAAACAAAGAAGCGAATCGGGAAGCTACTGCTGCCGCTACGCTTGGTTGCTGCGCAGAAATTTTCTGATAGAGAAACAAACAACGCGACCTTTCGAAGGGTGTCGAGAGTAGGCCTCGGCATGGTTCAAAGGATACCTCCCCTTGAGGCAGCTCTCACCGACACCTGGACAGCCCGTGGCCTTGAACACCTTCGTGATGGAGGAGCAACGGCTTTTTTGGTCACTAAAGTACATTGCTACCTTGAGCTCCTGACGAGAAAAGCGCCCATCGAGATGGTCATACTACATAGTACTCGCGTTGGAGGCGACGAGTAAACCCTGGACAGCGACGCTCACAGACTTACGGACACCGGAGTACATCTAGTCCGCGACCTGTATGTAATATGATCCTGAGCACTGAGAGATCGAGGTCGTTTTGACTCTGGAATCCGCTGTCCACCGCTCATCATTATTGCAAATAAAAACGAGAAGGCGACCTCAGGAGGAGAGAATGGGATCAAAAACGAGGCTAAGCCAGGCTAAAACCCAGCCCAGGTGGGGCACACTGCTAGCGTCACCGTTTGTTGTGCGACAGCCACGCTTGGATCTTCATCTTCGCAACCTCAGCGACTGGAATGCGACGGTATCCAATCGGATGGCTCAAGCGATCCAGTCTTTGCTTTTCGCGAGGTTCAAGGCTCAGCTGTACTGCTGGAGTTGTAGATATATCTCGAGGTGACAAAGAACATGGCCCGTCCTCCAGTCCTGGTACGATGCGGCCGTGCGACCTTGCGTGAGACGTGTCGCCCTGCTTCCAGCAGCAGCAAGGGATCGATCAGCATGATAAGATCTCCCCCTAAAGACATACTTTGCGGTCATCAAACATTCCAAGGAAACTACCCCTGTCTCGTTGCCCAGTGATAGCATGTTTGGTTTGACCCTACAAATCATGCACAGAAGCAATTACTCTGTCGCTTGCTGCTTGGTTCATGCAATAATATTATGCAACATTCATGACTCTCAAGAAACAGTCGATGATAGACATCATTACTTCATCATGACTGAGGGGGTTCTCCATACCCCGCACCCTGACTTCATGTCCTCGAATACGGGCAAAGGAAGATTGCGATATGCATTTGTCTTCACCTCTTAAATTCTAGCAGAGAAATTCCTTCGAACGCCAATCCCAAGCTGGATGATATCACCCGGGTATAGTACAGCAAAGACAACAGAATACTCGGCTTTCCCCTTCTAGGAGCGCCTTGGCCTAAGTACATACCTCCACGTCGTTCCAAAATGCCATCGTTGCTCCTCGACGATCTCCAACCCGCTATCTCGAACAATCTGCCCGATGTCCCGGTTCCACCAACATCCATGCCGGTCGGCATGCGCAGGAGCCAGGTTATCCAGGACTCGATTTAGCCAGTCGTAATGTGACCTTCCGTGCTCTAACAGCAATATACGACCCTGCTGTGGTTCCGTGAGCGCCCCCAAGTGCCGGAGTGTCCCCGCAGGGTCTGGCATCGAGCACAGTCCCATCGTTTGCACAATGGTGTCGTAATAGTATGCCACTTTCTCCTGCCCCCTGTTGTGCGATGGAGATGGGACCTCCCTCGCATCCTGCGCCCGAAACTCTACCCATTTGAACCCAGGATGGAGCTTTCCAAACTTCTCCTGTGCAATCTCCACCATCTCTGGGCTGAGATCAACAAATGTGACACTGCGACAACCACGCGCTCCCAGGCTGTAGTACTCGAGGTTGCGGCCGGTCCCGCAGCTAACCTCCAGTACGTGGCCTCGCGCCTGTTGGACGAGGTCGCGACGCTTCTTACCAATTCGCATTAGCTTTTCCGAGAGCTCAACGTCTGCGTCAAAAGTTCGCGCTGTGTGATTGTACCGATCTGATACATCCTCTGGGACGTTCATCAACTGTGCCTGGGCTACTTCACGGCGGTAAGAGGTGTACAAGTAGCCACAGTAGGTACCTATCGTGAGGACACTGACGCCCAACATTGTCATTATTCGGGGAGACATGCGGGTTTGAGACTCTGAGCTGAGATTCAGGAGATGCGGATTGGCTCGTTTTGGGAGCGGTACACTGCTGGTGTCTATTAACTTCTATCTCTTCCAAGGCTCCTTGGGTAGCTGGTCAGGCTTAAGAGCTTACCCTGCGCGGTGCGGTGCAGGACTGGGTTGCGTTTTGTTCAGTATCCTTGGGACTCCAGGCGCAGGCCCTTTGGCTGCCTTTAGGGCAGAGCGCCCTATTCTAGGTGCGCTCATCGCCAAAGTGTTCTCTTCGAAAGTCAAATCTAGACGTGGCCGTGTCTAGGTGTAAACCCGGGCAAAATGTGAAGAAGCTTTGAAGGGAAAGTTTGAGGCTCCGGCCCGGTATCGGAATAGTAGACAAGATCGGCTTATCGCCGGTCAACTGTCACCCAAGTTTTGGGGTATCGGGGAAATCAACCAATCTTTAGGAGAGCCATTTTCGCACAGATAGGCCTTCTCCGCACTCTTCAATTAAGAAGGGCGCAGGGCCGCCTTTTGAGAGGATCAGGTCATTTTTCGCCTGAAGACACCGGTCGCAATCTACTCATGGCACCTCTTCCAGCCCACATCTTGATTGTCGGAGGAGGGGTGTTCGGATGTGAGTTGTAGATTCCAGCGAGGGATTACAATTTCATTACCCTGAGCTTGACTCTTCGTGAATGGGTGAGCCTAGCTGACAATGTCTACTAGTATCTACGGCCCTATCCCTATCCAGACGCCATCCCAACAGCCAAGTCACACTCCTCGAAGCATCACCCACAATCCCCAACCCGCACGGCTCGTCCGTCGACAGCTCGCGCATTATCCGAGCAGACTACTCTCATTCTACATACGCGAAGCTAGCAACAGAAGCAACGGATCTCTGGCGCCGCACCGAATGGGGCCGTGATGGCCGGTACACTCAGAACGGCCTTCTACTTGTCTACCCCGATGGAGATTCGACTGCCAAGGACTACACTACAAAAAGCTACCACAACGTCAAGGAGCTCGGCGAGGATGCCCAATTCCTCCCCACAAAAGCGGATGTTCTCCGGGCTGCGCCAGCATACGGCGAGACTCTCAATGTAGCAGGGGGTTACGTCAACTGGAGCTCTGGCTGGGCAGACGCAGAAGCGGGTGTGCGCTTTGCAAAACAAAGGCTCGACGAGCAAGGCAAAGTGTGCTTCCTTACCGGCCAAGTTACCCGTCTTCTTTTCTCCGAGAAGGACAACCAAACTGTGACCGGCGTCGCTCTAGCAAACAACACCACAGTCAACGCCGACCTGGTGATCCTAGCCACAGGTGCCTGGACAGGCGCGCTGGTCGATCTCCGGGGCCGCGCAGTCTCAACGGGGCAAGCAATCGCCTACATGCGCATTTCAGACGAGGAGCAGCGCCAGCTAGAGAGTATGCCGACAATTCTCAACTTTGCGACGGGGATATTCATCATCCCGCCGCGGAAAAATGTCCTCAAGATCGCTCGCCACGCATACGGCTACCATAATCCCAAGGTTGTACCCGTGCCAGGTTCGGCCACGGGCGAGACAATGAACATCAGCCTTCCGGAGCAGGGTGTTCCCATCCCGCTCGAGGGAGAGACCGCGTTCCGCACAGCGCTCGGTCAACTCCTTCCTACCTTTGCCGACCGGCCTTTCATCAATACCAGGATCTGCTGGTACACTGACACGTAGGTTTCTTCCCTCTCCACCAGTATAGTACTTGTCCCCAGCCCTCGACCAATAACATCTGGAAAATAGACCCAAAGGAGACTTCATCGTAACCGCCCACCCCTCGTACCCTCACCTCTTCCTTGCAACGGGTGGCAGCGGCCACGCATACAAGTTCTTCCCCGTCATCGGCGACAAGGTTGTCGATGCCCTCGAGGGCACCTTAGCACCCGAGCTCCGTGATTTATGGGCATGGCCTGAGGCCGTGGACGAGAACAAATTCAAGGGCACGGAGGACGGGAGTCGCTCGGGAGCGAAGGGCTTGTTGCTCCTGGAGGAGTTAGCGAAGGGGAGGAAAGCGGAAAGGAAAGGCGTTCTGTAGAGGTGGAGGTGAGGGTTTGAGATGGAAGGCTGGTTGTGTAGGAGTATGCTGCAGAAGGATAGTATTGGAAATATCTCACCCCCATATTTATATATTAGAAGTGTATAAAGATCAACCACCTTACGCTGTAGCGACAATGTCATCAACAGCATCCACGATGTGGAGAAAATATCGATACCAGCAACACTACAAGATCAAGCCCCCCAAGAGGTCGAGACAATCAACAAGCTAGAGATACACAAAGTCTTTCACATTCACTCATTTTATTCTCTGCATAAGACAAGCTAATGTGCCGTCGGATCAAGGCAAAGCCATCACCAGCGCATTCAACGCAAGGACCATCTAGAACAAAGTCCAGCGCCCCCCCGAATACCAATACCAACTTGAAAAGCCAGGTAAAGACAACTCTGCATGTAAGATGCAGTGCGCAGGACCGCCTCTGCCGATAGGCGTATCGGCGCGAAAGATAAACGAAATAATTAGAAGGAGGCAATCAGTCGACCAGCGCACAGTACCGCCCCCTTAACACTCTGCGGTGTGCGACTATCTAAATTTGTAAAGCACGTTGAAGTTCGCGAAAGAAACAAAGCCGAATCGCTAAAACGCCGTACTGATGCTTGCATAAAACTCGTGATGCAGTTCGAAAGAGACTATGGCCAATTAGGGTTGAAGCCCAGTCGCTCAGGAGTCGAGAAAACTTTTTGATAATACAAGGGGTTTGAACGGAGAAAACCATGAGCGGCTGAGATGAGTCCCAGGCTCCGGTGGATAGCGAACTCCTCAGACCTTACGGAAATCTGTGCGACAAAATCAGTAAATGCACATGACATATGTATGATGTCAGGATACTATACCAGAGAGCACAGGGTAGATAAGCTCGAAAGCCTGATAGATCTCTTCGCGGACCTTGGCACCGGTCAAGACAATCTTGCCGCTGACGAAGATCAGAAGGACAATCTTAGGCTTCATCATACGATAGATGAGACCAGGAAACAGCTCGGGCTCATAAGAGCTGAAGTTGTGATGGCGACTCGCGAGGCCCTCCAGACGGATGGGGAACTTGATGTCGCATGAGCCCACAATGTTTTGAATCTTGAAGTCCGTGAACTTCGCATTGAAACCCAGCTTCTGGATGATACGGGCGTATTTCCTTGAGGCTAGCTTGGAATCATCTTCTGATTTGGCACCGGTAACAACCATCTTGCCCGAGGCAAAGATCAAGGCTGTCGTTTTAGGCTCCCGGATACGCATAATAACGGCCGCGAAACGCTAAATAATAAGAAGCAGTTCAGCCACACTATACCCTGATGCGATTGACTCAGGGAGGTGTGGGAAGTAATACCTTGGGGTTGTACTCCGCGTTTCTGGCGTGGAGTGCGATGGTCTTGAGATCCAGACGACAATCAAGGTTGACCGTGGCGACAATGTTTCTTTGAAAGTAATCATTGTTCAGTACTCTGGTGGACCAGAAGAATGACAGTAGAGTATACTCACTGCAAAGTAGGCACGATACCGCTCCCTGGAGCATTCGCACCAGGGGTCGCAGCCGGAGTAGCGGGTGTCACCCCGTTGCCATTCGTGGCATTTCCTCCTTGCTGTTGGCCATTCATATTCCCATTCGGGCCCTGAGCGCCCATAGCCATAGCATCTTTATCAGACGGCGGTGTCAGGTCAGCGGCGCCGCCGGGAAATGATAGCGACGAGGGAGAAGTGAAGGCACGAGCCTGCTGCGCATTCGCAGGGTGGGTCGTGAGAGAGTCCATTGCGACGTGAGGTCACTCAAACTGTAGACCAGCCGAAACTGAAAAGTTGTATCTGGCAGACTGTCATTAGTTAGTACGAGGCACAACGGTGGGCTTTGTTGACAGCAAGCATGTGTGGGGAGACAAGGGTATCAACAAACCTTGGTGTGGGAGATGGACAACTGAATGTATCCCCTACAGTGAGATGCCTTCAAGTGGATGCTGTTTCGCGGAGCGCAAAAACAAGCAAACGTCAACGACGACACGGATAAAAGGGTCCGATCAGAAGGTCGCGATGGTGATGAGGCAGAAAGACCACAGTGAAGTGTTTTCTATTCGACTGAAAGGACAGATGATATCGCAACCTGACGAGGCAAGCAGGTGGGCGATGAAGATGAAGAGAGTGGACAAGTGGAAGGAGTGCACTTTTTGGGATGTAACAAGAGATCGATTTTTTTTTTCTTGCTTTTCAGTTTCCTGTTCTGGAATGGGGAGGTTCTATCTTGTGTTCTTGAAGAGAGCGGCGAAGATGCGGTGCCTGAGGCTGCAAACTTCCTGTTTCAGTGACCTAGGCTGAAACCGTCAGGGAAAGGAGGAAAAACAAACGTTTTTCCTAGTATTGGCGCCCGACAAACGTCTTTCCCGAATATTTTACACGCAGAGCGAGAATCCGAAAACCTGAAATAGGTCTGGTGTGGAGAGAGAGAGAGAGAGAGAGAGAGAGGGGAGGGAGGTGGTGAGCGAAGTGAGGACTGTATGGCGTTCCGGGCGATGCCAAGACCAGAATAAAAAATTCCAAGAGAGTCGAAAAGTGGGAGGTTGGCCCTTTATATAGGCTGACATTAGAGCGCCTGCAAAGGCTAGGGGGGCGGCCCAGACACGGCGGCAAAAGCAGGCTCTCGCCCATGGATCGCGCTGCTTTGGTGTCTACGCTAGTGCTCCACTAGCGCTCTTGGATGACCAAAATCCAGCAAGCGCCATCCAAGTGAGAGCTCTTATTGGATGTGTCGCCCTTGCTTTCCATCGCCTTTTCGGAGTCTCATTTATTCCCCGCCATGGTTGCAGTCTTGGTGTTCATCCAATTACGACGCGCTGTCTCCAAAGCGACGCGCACCTGCTTACCGCTCCGGAAAGCCGCCTCTCTCTTGCAGGTGTTCTTCCAGCTTTGCTCCTTTGAAGAAGTGTGCTGGATTTTTGAGCCGTTCAACTCGAACTTGCAGGCCAACAAAAACGAGTATATTTGCGTGCTTTTGCATCTTTATCAACTTGAAACTGGGAGATGAAAGACACCGAATCGCCTGGAGGAGGCTCCTTATCAAGCTCCAAGCCTCGTACCCTGTCCTCTTGTTTGCCATACGACGCTGATTGGGCGCTTGTTATCCTGCCTCTGCGCCTCTGCTTCCAGTGATCCAGTGGCGTCTGTTGCCTTCCCCCAAATCGCAAGATTTCAGGTTGTTAGCCTTTGTGATCCACCAAGTTGATCGCTCGAACGACATAGGTCATATTCAGGTCATCAAACGCGATCGTCGAGCCCCCAGCCCGGGGCTTCCTCGTTTCTTGGTCGTTATTCCTTCACATGCCACCGTGGCCTTTACTCCGATACACATTAGGTAGTATATCCGGCGACAACCTTGGAAAGGTATCCTGCATACCGCCCTCGGTTTTATTTGTCTCGACATTCTTGCTCCCTCGGAAGGGCCAAAACACATAGTCTCAAGAGAGTCAGGACAACTTCGAAGATGCGGTGTTAGTGCCTGGGCCATCGTTGTTCTTACTACTTGCAAGGCAGCATTAAGCCGCACAAGGCTTCCGTGGTGCAATCTGAATATATAGTCCCCCTAAGCATACAAAGTACATACGTAACCTGGATTTCCCCGGTCGCCGACAGCTTGACATGGATTGAACTTGAATTCGAGGCTCATGGAAGAAAGCCTCATGCTAGCCGCCGGTACCCGGAGCGACCTCGAGATTCAGTCAGGCTATGCGACGCTAATATATCCAGAGGACGTAAGGAACTTCAACACGTTGCTTTTGCGGTTGAACGATCCTCGGTAAACCGAACAGCAGTCTGATTTCGATTTCCCAAGTGCACTCAATGTCCAGCGCGGCGCATAGCCTATCGGCCCTATGATAGCCGGCAATCCTGGCGGAAGAGTAGAAGGGGCGGAACAGCCAGCACTGAGCGGTTAATCATCGCTTTTCTCATTGGCTCAGCCAATCGTAACCTCGGCTACGAACGGGCTAAGGCATCTTTTTCCTGGCGAAGGGCGTCTCTTCAATCTGGAGTTAACCTTGAAGAGACGACATCATCTTTCGTCTTCGATTCTACAGCTTGAGCTAAACCTCGCCCTCAACACCCTACTTCAACCTTCGATCACTGCCGGCAATGCCCTATCATTGTTTGTAGAGACTTGCGACGCCTCTGGATTAAAATTTTCCCTCCCTTCCTCCCGCTCCCCGCCAACGCTGCGTCATGGCTTCGAGAGGAGTCGTTCTGCGGCTTCTGAGGCACGACACACGCGCTGGCGCCTCCCTGCTCTCAAAGGCTTCCGCGACGCTGCGCGCTGCTTCGCAAAGTTCAATTGCGACAGCCGGCAAACGAGCCAGTATCCGTTGCTCGGCATTCCCTTCACCGAGCCAAACTCGCGCATTTTCGCAGTCTATCGCAAGGAAGCTCACCGATGAGCACGGCCATTTCGACCCTCGACAGGTGGAGAGAGAATCAGACGAGGTGGATGTTTGCATTGTGGGTGGCGGTAAGCGACTTGCTTCCCCTGGTACGACCTGCGCATTGTAGCAAGGAACTGACCATGGCCTTCTAATCCAGGCCCCGCGGGCCTCAGCGCTGCTATTCGATTGAAGCAATTAGCCAATGAAGCCGGGAATGAAGAGTTTCGTGTCATTGTATTGGAAAAGGCTGGCGAGCTGGGTGCACATGTTCTATCGGGAAATGTCCTAGAACCTTCTGCTATGAATGAGTTATTTCCAGACTGGCTATCGGAGGATAACCCATCACGATTCGATCGTGCGACACCAGCAAAGGCCGACAAGATGCGGTTTCTCACTCAAAACTCGGCTATCCCGATTCCTTCACCGCCGCAGATGAACAACCATGGTAATTATATCATCAGTCTAAATGAGCTGACGAAATGGCTCGGTGAGCGGGCCGAGGAACTTGGAGTTGAGGTCTACCCCGGATTTGCTGCTAGCGAAATCGTTTACAAGTCCGACGGTTCGGTATTGGGTGTGGCAACCAACGATCTTGGTGTTGGTCGGGATGGCAAAGCAAAGGAAACTTTTGAGCGAGGAATGGAGTTTCACGCCCGTGTCACTCTTCTCGGAGAAGGATGTCACGGCAGCCTGACCAAGCAAGTTTCGAAGAAATTCGACCTTCGGCGCGACAGCCAACCGCAAACATACGGTCTCGGAGTCAAGGAGGTATGGGAAATTCAACCAGAAAAATTTCGGCCGGGCGAAATCACCCACTCAATGGGGTACCCGCTACCAAAGGATACATATGGCGGAGCTTGGATGTACCATTTCGGCGAGAACATGGTCAGCATTGGTTTGGTCGTCGGCCTCGATTATCCGAACCCATGGCTCTCCCCGTACGGAGAGTTCCAAAAGCTCAAGCACCACCCGCTGTTTCGTGAGGTATTGGAAGGCGGGAAGTGTATCTCATATGGTGCCCGTGCCTTGAACGAAGGCGGTTTTCAGTCCATTCCCAAGTGTGCTTTCCCTGGTGGCGCACTGATTGGCGACAGCGCCGGTTTCCTCAACGTTCCCAAGATCAAAGGTACACATACGGCAATGAGATCGGCAATGTTGGCTGCAGAATCCACATTTGCTGCGCTGCAGAATGATACTGGAGGCACCGTTTTCCTGTTTGACTATGAAGAATCTCTCCGCAAGTCCTCGATCTGGAAGGAACTGTACGAAGTGCGAAACATGCGGCCTTCTTTCTCAACTCCTCTTGGTATCTATGGAGGAATCCTGTATTCCGGTCTAGAAGCCTATATTCTTCGTGGCCGCACCCCGTGGACCCTCAAGCACCACGGTACAGACGCAGCAGCCACCAAGCCAGCATCGGAGTGCGCAAAAATCGAATACCCAAAGCCCGATGGCAAGATTAGCTTCGACATACTGACGAGCGTTAGCCGAACGGGCACGAACCACGAGGAGGATCAGCCAGTGCACTTGCAGGTAGAGGACTGGGACAAGCATACCGATATAGCCTGGCCCAAGTATCAAGGAGTTGAGAACCGATTTTGCCCTGCTGGAGTGTATGAATACGTGGAGGACTCAACCAAGGAGCACGGTGTTCGCTTTCAGATCAACGCACAAAAGTAGGTTTACCCCCTTCCCTTGTAAACTGGGGCAGTATGCTCATTTCTCTCTCCCCAGCTGTATCCATTGCAAGACATGTGACATCAAGGTACCAACCCAGGACATCAACTGGCAAACTCCCCAGGGTGGCGAAGGACCGAAGTATTTTATGACATAACCGGGCGGCACTGCTCAGGATAGTCGGATGCCTACTCCTTACACAGTGCGCACTGCATTTTGATTCAAAAGCCACCATTCGATTTGGGATTGGGAATGTATACTCCGGAGTAACTGTAGATATCAACTTGGAACCAAATTACGTGATTTGTTTGCGGCTGCTTGAGACGCACAACGCTGCTTCCTGTTAGTGGGGATATACAAACCACCTTCATTACCTTGTTTTCTCTTGAAGAGAGCGGTTGTTGAGCGGACAATCTGAAGGATGGGTGACAAAAGTTCTCCCTCTGGATTCTAGAAAAGAAATGGCTGGTTCCCGTGGGAGGCGGAACCACAAACCACGGCTCACCATTATTGATCATCTAAATTCTATAACATGACAATAATGCAGCAAATGATTCTATGCATTAAGAAAAGCTGTAATAATCAAAGGTCAACTTCATCCCCAAGTGGACAATTCTGCTGCAGAAGATCAGGCGGGGCCACGTGGATCCCTCACCTCAAAGTGAGGCGAAACAGGCTGCTCTTTGATTTGCAGCCTTTCCTTCTCTTGGCTCGTTCAACTGCGCCAGCGCCAGCGCCAGTCCAATCCTCACCTCTTGACACTCCTCTTCCTTTCTCTGCTCTCTCTCTGCTCTCTCTCTGCCCTCTCTCTCTCTCTCTCTCACTGTCTTCTCTCTGCTTCTCTTCCTCGTCACCTTCATCGACAAATCCATCGGCCGTCGCCTATCGCTTTCTCCTTTCCATCACATTCACCGTCATTTATCCTGTGGACGCCAGCCAGTCGTGGATTTCGACCTTTATAAACAGGCCCATTGTTTTGGATCACGCGCTGGAGCTCAGGAGCAGTCCGCTCCTTATACAGACGGTGGCCACATTGTTCGTATACAGACGCAATTCATCTCCAAGCCTGGTCCTCACTCCGCCTGCTGTCTCCATTGTTGATCCGGACCTTCCCTTGGACTGTAGCGCTTTGTTGGACCGTCATCCTCTAGAGTCGCGCTCTGGTGTTAGCCGCTGAAGTATTAACCATGACCGAAGTCTCCTCGACCCGACTATATCTCGGGAATCTTCCTCGCAATGGTATGCTGGCATCCATCAATCCTCCCCCTTCAAAGGCCTTTTTTTACCCCTTCTACCCACTTGGATCTTGTTCCCTTGAGTCCCAGCTTTGCCTCGCAACTCAGGATATTCCAACGGATCTTTGAGTCCCGTTTGACCAAGATACACCCCGAAATCTGGCGCTATCGCCAATACCACTGATCAACTGTGTTTCATACGGGACTTATCATCCGGACCTCCGTTTCCTTTCTTCCGTGTATTTTCCCTTCTGAAATATCCCAGATACATGGAAGTATCTTCTGGCATGGCGCTTTCTGTTCCCAGGACCGTTTCTTTCATAGTCCTATACAGCTAACAAGTTGCGCGGCGCCTTGACTGGCGCCATTACCTTCCTTCAGTGACCAAACAGGATATCGAAGAACATTTTAGCACTCATGGCACGGGAAAGATTACAGAGATCAAGCTCATGAATGGCTTCGGATTCATTGAATATGAGGATGCGATGGATGCGAGAGATATTGTCCCTGGTATGACTTTGTTGACCTTCGTGTGGAACCAGCCAACTTGCTAATTCGGCCAACAGCGTTTCGTATGTGAAAAGTTTGCTTGGATTTGAGGTCCTCCTGTTGACTATAACCAGATGGTAGCGACTTCAAAGGCGAGCGGCTCACTGTGCAGTTTGCCAGAGGCCCACGCCGTAAGGAAAACTTTCCGGCTCCAACGGACCGCCCTAATGTCCCGCGTCCTCGCCGAACAATCTTCCGTATGTTGATTTCCGGACTCCCGGAAACAAGCTGGCAGGTTAGCAGTCCTTTCAAAAGCCCCTACCTTCCAGGATTCCGCGGATACCACAACAATCAGCCGCTCGATGCTCAATAATTGCTTGGTTCAATACACAACCGTCTCGTTCTGCCTGGATTTCCATGTCTGCCCTCAATGGTGACTTGTTTTTTTACCCCCTGGTCTGCCGACTTTTGACATAAATGGTCCAATATCAACGACTTCATTCCAGGCGCAATCCGGACTCCGGATGGCCCAATTATGGACCGAGTCATTGGCCGACTGGATATATTTCTTCCAGGAACAGCGTCTGCCCGCGGATTTGTCAACCGTGATTTCATGTTACCATTACTGAAAGATGGCCATTATCGTACCTGGGCAGGAACTTACGTCTTGGACTTATAGGATCTCAAAGACTTCGCCCGCCAGTCTGGACTCGATGTTGTTTATTCGGAGACAGGCCGCGAACCTGGAAGAGGGTGGGTTACGCTCCAATCTTTTCTGATATTCCTACACCCAGTTGACAAGGTTCAAGCTTTGTTGAATTCGAAACTGCAAACGACCTGAAAACGGCTGTAGAGAAATTGGACGGCCGCGAATTCAAAGGCTCTCGAGTGACCTGTGTTCCAGATGTAAGGACCATCTTCTACTTGAGGGACAAAAGTGTGATCCTCATTACGTTACCCTGTTTAGATCCAGCCTTATGAAGACCGTTCCTACCGTGACCCTTATCGGTCCCGGTCTCCCCGCCGCGGCTACCCTCCTGTGGATGAATACGACAGAAGGTACTCTGTTCCTCGTGGTTACAGTCCCCGTGGCCATTTCCGTGAACGATCCCCTTTACCAATGCGGAGGGAATATTACGGCGACGGTTATGGGCGCCGCACTCCGCCACGCCCTAGGATCGAAGATTATCCGCCCCCTCGTCGTCCTTATGATGATCCGTATGGCCCACCTCCACCACGTTATGACGACCCGTACGCCCCCCCAAGGCCTTATGGAAGACCGCGATCCCCGCCGCGGGGTGAATATGCTGCTTACGAGCGCCCTCGCTACTGGTAGTACACTATGCACAGCTTGTTCGCTTTCTTCCTTGTATTGCTTGCATGGTGGATACCCCCTATGTTAAATGAACTTTCCTGTCTTTTGCCTCGCTCTCTTTGCTCTTTGCCAGCTCACGAAACGACTTGTTTGATTTGTAGCCCGAATTTCTTCCTTTGCGATCTGGAGACCGGGTTGTGGAAATATTAACGCGCAACAAAATTCACCTGCATAGTTGACAGGGTAATGATATCTAATCACGCTTGTCACAAACGAAGCCAGTACATTGGCGCGTGCGCAGTCATCCTGGATAGCCCTGGTGATTGATGGTCCAACAGCTTTCGACGAGAATTCTATGGTTTGAATGGGAAAATATACTGCAAGCACCTTCCAATGCTGTCATGTAGGGCGCTCTAATACTACTAAGTATACTCGCTACAAAGTAGTAACGGTATTCCTGAAGTATGCGACGTCATTTCGGCGTGTCCACTGTGAACCAACAATTCCCGCCTGGCACCCCGCGCTAAGCAAGCCCCGCCCTTCTCGCAACTGAGCTCCAGCCAGCTTTTTTTTTCCCCTTGTCTTCACAATGACTAGCAGGCAACTAGCGCCTCCATTGCTGACTGAATAGAAGCTCCTTTGGGCTCATGCTTGCACGCCTCACTCAGTCGTCTTGTCTCGGGGTTCGTGATATTAGTTGAAGTTCGTGCTGTCTAAAGGGCTTGGCCAACACATTGGTTTCAATTCTTCATCTCCAGTCGCCATGGCCGAGCAACGAGTCAATGTCCACATCCCCTCCCGGCCTGCCGTGCTGGACAGCGTCCGTCTGCGCAATATCCAACTCCCGCTCCCCGCAGCACCAGACCCATGGCACCGAACCGGTAAACCACAGCCCTGCACAGCTTCGTTGTCGCTGTCCTACTCTTCCGCCGTGGCAGCCGCAGATGCCGACGATGTCTCCCTCTCTCTCGACTACGGAAAGCTCTATCGCCGGCTGGAGGAGGACGTCCGCCACATGGGCAAGCCCACTGAGCCAACGCCCGTCCACCACATGATAAGCATGGATGGAAGCCGCCGCGAGGAAATGCTGGGTGCAGACGTCGGTCAGGATGTGCGCCTCACCGCGGGAATCGTGGCAAATTGTGGCCTCGGACTCCTAGATGAGACAGCTGCGGGCATTCGAAGGATGGCCCATGTGCAGCAAAATCGGCGCCGGAGCAGTGCCTCTGCCTCTGAGGCACGGGCTGCGATCCTGAACAACTCCACTTCGGCACCTGTATCTTCCGGGACTCCCATTGATGACGTTTTTGGACAGTGCGAGGTTTGGCTGCATCTACCTAAGGCTCTACTGCGTGCGGAGAGTGGACTTCATTACCGCAGTGTTACAGTGTGGGGTTATAGACAAGGAACGGCTGGTGGGGATGCCACTAGTTCCAGCCGGTGCCCTGTGGTTCTAGAGGAGGAATTCCGCATTGAGGGTATTCGGTGCTACTGTATCTTGGGTGTAAACTCCCATGAAAGGGTTGAGAAACAGGCCGTTATCATCTCATTGGAGTTCAAAGGTCCTGGACAATTAGCTTGGGGGTCGACTGTCGTGGACACTTATCAGGCAATGACAAGGGCCGTTGCAGAGGTCAGTTCATTCTATCTATGGGAACAGCTTACAGCTAACCTAATATACTGCAGCGCGTGGAAGAGACTTCGTTCCAAACCGTTGAGGCGCTCGCGACGTTTGTAGCTCGAATTGCGACGGTTGACTTTGCGAACGAGCGAGTAAAGGTAAGGGTTGAAAAGCCGAGTGCGCTAGCATTTGTTGAACGCTCCGGCGTAGAAGTGACTCGGTCTCAGGCGTTCTTTGAGAGATCAGCCTGAAATGCTCATGAGAAGAGTAATGATAATACCTAGGACTATAAGATCACATGACGTCAACACATCCAATGACCAAGGCACGTGAAGCCTTTTTACCAGTTTCAGACTAGTTTTCGCGTAGAATCGGCTCACCATTAATTGGCCGCTTTATGGTTTTTCTGTGGTTGTCCTTTTGAATGTCTTTCCTTCCAACACTCACCCCTGCGTCCAACCTCTTGTACGGGATTTTCTCATCTCCGCAACTCATTACTGTCTCGAATATTGGGATATACCTTTATTACTATCTCTTTTTCTCGCTATCCGTGCCTCTATGTGCCTGTCTGCGCCCAAGTTGTCATCATCTGATTTCGTTCTTCCCGCTGGCTCCCACTCTTTCATCTCACCTTCAGACCTAACTGCTACCTCGCCTTTCACCCTGGCCGCCTCATCGTTTCCTGAAACTGCAACCTCATTTCCATATTCTCAGCTATCTGAGACCTCCGTTAGCGACGTGCTTTGGGTAGGGGTCCGTCGTCCGTCCTGAAGAAGGGCGGACGATAATTTAGGCGCTGCTTTGTCCGCTCAGTGGGCTCTCTTCAGCTGGGAGGAAATTGGGGTCTTCACAATACTTTGTTTGAAGAAAGTGCAGCTGGCAGCCTACCGTTGAATGTAGGATGGTACCATGATCTCTTGCATTAGTTGTTTTGTGATTTGGTTGATCTGGACGCTAACTTTATTGTGCTTGGGGTAGGTATTTAGAGCTTGGCCTTTCAGGTGCCTCGTTCCATCTATGAGTTGGCGGATGTAACCTTTCTTTGACTCACGAATTGCGTTTCCTACAGCGCACTAGCGAAACTCGCGCGGTTGATTGCTTACCGTTAGAATCACGCTGGATAATTGTTCAGTGGAGTTAAGCCTTCAGTCGACGGTTCGTTCAAGAAATAGTCGCGAAAATGTCGCCAGCAACAACTCAGGATGATCTGTCCGTGGGCGATGTTTTCAGCCCCCAGGCTGACATGGGGCCCGCCGGACTGGAGGATGACTTTCACGCTCGTCAAGAAACCGGTTTCCGCATGAGTGCCCGCAGTCCGGACCGCAAACCCGGTCCCACGACCGACCTTAAGGAACGCAGTCCCTTTCCCGCCGCGAAACTGGATGTGAACCCGCTCCCGGGAAAAGGCAACCGGCGCAAGAAGAAGAACAAGAAGCAGGCTCAGACGGAAGCAGCTCCAGCTCTCTCTACCGTTCATGGATTCAACCCCAGAGGCTCTGGTGATTCCGACTCCGACTTCTCAACAACGAGTTCTCGTGCACCTAGCTCGCAGCCGCGACCTCTCGCTGGTAGTAATGGTAACAGTCCTATGCTACACGCGGCTTCTGGAGGCGGTATCAGCGCTCTCCGGCTCCAGCTTGATTCTATGAATCTGTCTGGCAACTCTCCGCGCCGCAAAGCTACTGACAACTTTTGCTCCGCGACACCGAGCAATGCCAGCGTTTATTCCGACAGTGACGAGACAGAGATTCTGACCAGTTACGAAGTGCCCCTGGAACACGACTTTGTCAGCGCCGATGCTGCTGCAGATGAAAAGGAACAGGAAGAGCGATCCCAAATTCCACTAAACGGCCCCGACGTTCGCAACCAGCTTTGCCGGAAGATGACTACTGACGACTTCGAGCCCCTGCTCTGCTTGGGTAAAGGGTCTTTTGGAACCGTGCTACTGGTCCGCCACGCCCTCACAGGAAAACTCTACGCTCAAAAGCAGTTCAAGAAGGCGTCGATTACAGTCCATAAGAAGCTCGTTGAACAAACCAAGACCGAGCGTATGATCCTTGAGAGTGTGAACCGCCACCCCTTCGTCGTCAAGCTCTTCTACGCCTTCCAGGACCACGAAAAGCTCTATCTAATCCTCGAATACGCACAAGGAGGCGAGCTTTTTACTCATCTCGCAATGGAAAGGATGTTTGACGAAGACTCTGCGGCCTTTTACATGGCTGAGATGGTCCTCGCCCTGGAACACCTGCACCAGAACGTCGGTGTAGTCTACCGTGATCTGAAGCCTGAGAACTGTCTCCTTGACCATGAAGGCCACCTCCTTCTAACTGACTTCGGCCTCAGCAAAATTTCTGTCGATGATGACGACCGCTGCAACTCCTCTCTCGGCACCATCGAATATATGGCCCCCGAGGTTGTTCAGGGCAAACCTTACGGCAAGGCATGCGACTGGTGGTCTCTTGGTGCACTGGGTTACGATCTTCTTACTGGCTCCCCACCATTCAAGGCGAACAACCATACCAAGCTACAGGAAAAGATTGTCAAGCAGAAGCTCGTCCTCCCATACTATCTGGGACCAGACGCAAAGGACCTACTTACCCGTCTTCTGCGCAAGGAACCGTCCAAGCGTCTAGGCTACCACATGCCCAAGGACCTACAGACGATCAAATCGCACCGTTTCTTCCGCAAAATCGACTGGCGCGCCCTGGAACGCCGGGCTTTGGCACCGCCCATCATCCCTGTTGTCACTGATCCAGCTCTTGCAGAGAACTTCTCGGTAGACTTCACTCAGCTCCCTCTGAGTCCGGTGGAAGGTCCTGCGGCGGGGTTCTTTAATGAGCATTATACCCCCCAGCATCAACACAGCGGGTCGCATGCGGGCATGTCTGCAGGCCACGAGGGACTAGATAGTGACCCATTTGGCGGTTTCAGCTTCGTTGCTCCGAGTAGCCTTCTGGACCACGGCAGCGGGACTAATGTGCTGACTGCGGGGTATTGACTACAAGGCTTCAACTCTAGCAGTTTGCCTCAGCGCATGCCAGACACACCCTTCCCATTGAATTCTTCTTATCTTGGAATCCTCGTTTATTGCGTCTGGCTCCTCGTGCTTAAGCTGGGTAACCCATCTAGACTATCTCTAGTCATGTGCACGCGCAGCATTGATAGTTATTCTTTTTGGCCTAAATGGAATTGGTTATCTCTTTCCAGTCCCGAACATTTAGACTTCATCCTCGCGCTGGCCTGATTCAATAGCAAAAGATGACCAAAGCAGGGTATATACATGAAACCAGCCGGTAGATGAGTACTCGTAAGATATAGATGGGCCTGCGGCAAAACAAACAACAAATGCCACGATAATGCTATGCGCCGCCTCTCCCTCTATAACAGATAACATATGCAGGGCCAAGACAAACACAAAACCCTTGTGAACGGAAGATACAACTAGACTGAACCATTCGACTCTTCCTACTCCTTCTATTTCATAAGCATGATGATACTGGGTATTTTAGTGTAAAAGCATGTACCAGCAGATACGGAAGTCGGTTTGATATGATCCAGTTGGGGGGTTGCACGCTGCCTTATCCCAGGGTACGGTAGCGGGTGTAGAAAACGGAAAGAGCTACCCGGGAGCCGGGTGTATCGCTCTTTCCTTATTTGTGGTGATTAAAGGTGGTAGAAATGGTCGTCACAGAGTCAATAACAGCTAGTTAGGGGTGAACTATAATTCACCTTCCTCGCTACCGCCTCCTTCATCATCAGGCTCTGGTTCCGGAGGCGGTGGTGGCGGAGGCTGATTATGCTCTGGTGGGGGTGGTGGGTGATCATTTCTTGTAGCTGACGAAAATGAGGAGTTTCGTCTGCCATGAGCGTGCTCGTCTTCGCGATACCGACTGTCCGGGATACGTTTATTGTGTTTTGGAGGTGAAGCCGAGTTTTGCTGGACTATTTGGTCGATGCGTTGTTGGATTGGGTCGACGTTTTTATCGCTATTCCTGCGAGGTGGGAATGTGGTTCTCGGAGTAGGTGGTAACGGATGTTGATAGCGATGGGGTTGATGTTGGTGAGAATGCGCATGGTTGCCGTTTTGAGGGCGGTCGTGGGCCAATGATGGTGGTGGTGAGGCTGATGGAGGCGCTGGAACTCCGCCATGCGGTAATGTAGAAGAAGAGGTGAACGACGTTGCGGCAGAGCGAGTTTTCTCTGCGTCGGAACCTACTCGTGGGCGTTTTGGGGACCGTGTCCCGTTTTGTGAGGCTTCATCAACTTGTGAGGATGATGCGTGTTGCGTATTGTGGCGTTCTTGAGATTCACCGTCAGGCTCCCGTGATCGTTTCCTGGATGGCGCGTCTGGTGCTTCGAGCGAGGTGCCGGAGTTTGGGATCCTGGTCTTCTCAACGCCTTCGTCCCAGAGGAATGGAGTGGTCGGGTAGTACTGGCTATGTTTGTTTGCTGCGTTGTTTTCGTATAACTCCGCCATTCTAGTGCATGCACGACGCACCTCGGACAAGTCGACGTCGATTTGTTCCCACCAAGATTGGCCAGAGCTGTTATCTTCAAAAGCAATGTCACAATGGCGTGCGGCGGCGTAGAGAGCGGCGGCAGCAATAACGCGGGCGGAGAATTGAAGGCACAGGACGGTAAACATCGAGTCATTGATAAAAGCCCAGGCGGCGTTGCGGAGATTCTTGTCTTCATTGACCCGGAAATAGCAGAGGAAATCGTAAAGTACTCGGTACGGCTGCTCAAGCTGTAGATCAAAACATAGCGCTTCGAGCAAAAGATCCTCGTGGTGAAGAATAGTATCGCGCCACTTCCAAAACTCCTTTGACTGCTCATCCACAACGAGATTAGGTTGTTTCTGTGCGACTCGACAGCACGCTACCACTAGTTCCCTCATTCGCCGAACATTCTCCTCCACTTTTGTAGCCAGGAACAATGAGGTAGCGGCGATTGGGTAAGGATGCATCCCTGGTCGTTGCGGTAAATCGACCATACTATATCGCATGAAGAAACGGTGGAAGTAAACCGCGGCGGTCGCGAGCGTAAGCTGTGGCAACTTCAACATGATACCCACCTGGGTGATAAAAGAAACTCCTTTGCTCCGGCTGACATTCTCTTGCTCCATCTTCATACCGTCAAGTTGCGACGGAGCGCGCGTAAGCTCTTCATTGGTGAAGAGCCATTGTGCCTGAGCCGCGAGAAGGACCGGATTCGACGGAGCTGGAGCAGGTTTCTGGCGGGGTGCGGAAGCTGCCATCGAGGGTGGTATGGAATCTCAGTAGGAAAAGAGTCCTAAAGCTTGAAGGCGAGTGACAGGCTAGACAAATGAGGCGAGATCAAGAAGGTTCAGGTTGGGGCAGGTCGATATCGGCGAGAATCGTCCAGTCGCCTTGTCACTCTCGTCCTTTCTAATCCTCTTGAGAATGGAGTTTAAATGAATGACAAGAATATTGAGATCTTGTAGGGGTTTGTGGAAGGGCTCAACAACGGAGCAAGCGGCCCTTCATCGCATCGTGATAGAACAATCGTCTAGTGAGCTCGGTCTTGACGAGAGCAACACCCAGGGTTAATTACACGTAGGACGTGTGTGTATAATATGTGAGAGCGCCACACAGGAAAGAGAATACTTCTATGCTGATTGCAACTTCTGCTTCTTTCGACTGTAATAGCTCTTCTTTGGACTGCTGGAGTGAGTTGAAGATCCGCGGCAGCAGAAATGCGGACCAGCAACCCGGATGCTGAGGTTCTTCCGCTCCGGCTAGCCACTGATGCACTTGCTTTACGATCTATAAAAGGGGGATTTCAACAGTGCTAGTAGTAGAAAGTAACCAGTACTACATCAATAGATTTCAAGATTAAATGTGGTATCTCTTGCTTCAAAACACCAGGGCGCCAGCAACTCCCAGTGTGTATAGTGACAACATAGTAAAAGGCATATAGCCCTCATAAGCTTGAAGATGTGCCTGAGCAGAAGCACAACATCAATAGATATCAGCACAGGCGGTGCTTATTATTCTTCCTCACTAACTTCGCTTTCATCATCACTCTGAATATACTGATGAGTCTGCACCTGTGGCTGCATTTGTTGGTTTCGGGCTTCCTCTTCAAATGCAGCTTCCATTTCTGCGGCCAGCAAGTCATCCTCATCCTCAGCGTCCTCTTCACCTTGGTACATTTGGTCCTCATTTGTATGGAATCCGGCAGTCGGTCCCGATCTTTGTGCCGCTGGAACCGGAGATGGAAGCCGCAGAGCCTCAACGTCTTCGTCCCCGTTATCCTCATCGTCATTAGTCGCCGGCGTATTGTTCGATGAGAAATGAGCAGGGTTTACTTTGAAGGGGCGAGTTGGAGGCGGAGAACCCATGTCAATGATAAGGTCACCATCGATGATAATATTAGACCCAGGCGATGGGGCGTTTCTTTGCGATGACACTGCGCCAGTTCCGGCGTCGGAAGGCGAGGATTTGGACTCAAAAACAATCTCTTCGGGCTCTTGCCGCTCTACGCGAGGCTTGATATCCCTGGCCTTATTTTCGTTCCTTTCAGGGAGTCTGAGAGGGGATTTTGGTGTCGGGTTCCGAGGTACCGCAATATTGTGCCGTGCGATTTCGGCTGTGGCTTTCTTCTGGCGCAGAGGATTGGTCTGCGTCTTTGGACGTGGTCGAGGGCTCAAAGCTGGCTTCGCCGCCGCTATGAGAGGGGTACTCGTCTTGCTGGTAGTAGAATACGGCTCTGGAGTTGCATTTCCAGCAGCTAGCTTATCGTCATCTTGATTGTTCTTGCCCTTTGGAAGGAAATGGCGGAAGTCGTATGGGTTATCATCTTCGGCCGGCCCATTGTCGTTTCCGCTCGTATTATCGGTTCCGCGATCATCCCCTAAGCCATGCTCATCCTCTTGTAAAGTCCTGAGTTGGGGATATTGCGCAATCACCTGTTTCTGTGTTTTGGCGGGAGCTGAGCGGAGATTGAAGTTGATCTGGGTAGAAACCGGTTCTAACACAAAGGCCTTTCTGTTCGGATCAAAGACAAGTACCAGGTTGTGTTCGTGTGAGTCTGAGACGCTCTGTGTTGGGTCAACGCTGCCTTGGTACGAGTAGGTCAGGACGTTCTGCTCCGCGTTCGGAGCTTTATCGGTAATCGTCAGATTGAAATGGTCTCGAGAGTGTGGGGATTTGGTGATCACGGATCGTTGTTGTGAGGATGTTGACTTGGTCTTGTAATTATATTGAATGTTAACCAGCTGTGAGAGGGATTTGTCCGTCTTTCCGGCCAGCCGATCTCCAAGGATGATAGGGTACTCGGCTGGCTTGGTGGGATCGATCATCCCCGAGAGTGCGGAGGCCGCCATTGGAGGTATAGGTCCAGAGGAGCAGCAATTATATAAATGTATAGACCAAGAAGTAGATGGAAGAACAAAGATGATCAGATATATATGCTGGCACCGTCGACCTATGGATTTGAAAAGAATCGCTCGTGCATCGCTTGTGAGATAAGAGGAATGGAGTTAATTAGAGCAAGGACGAAGGTCGCACAAGAGGCGGGTCGGACAAAAAGGCAACGTAAAGGGAAAAGTTATGGCAAGAGAAACAAAGAGATTGAGCACGACACAGATGGAAATAGATCATACATAAAGGTCAAAGGTCAAAGGGCAGAGGGTGAATGAAGTTGAGCGGAGAAGCTGAGCATGGGACTCGAGCTGGAAGGCGAGACAAGGAAGAGTGATGGTTGGTGGTCATTCATGCCGTATTTTACCAACATTACAATACAAGATCTATTCAGCTTTGTACCTAGGTTCTACCTAGTAGGTGATCAGGTTAGCGCAGCTCCGCAATATGCGGTCGACCGATGTATGCGACGTATCCATGACTACATACGGATACTATCTCCAGTTTTACGGAGTACTAGCATTGTTGTTACCTCATTGTTATTAACTTCTAAGTAGGGATTCTGGAAGCTGAGACCTGACTATTGAACCTTGATTAACCGGTATAGGTCCATGCAACAAGCATTTTGACGTACACACACACAAACACACAATGCGTTTCAAGGGTCCCGTCCTTTATGATATTCTAGTTCTGGACAGCTCAGGGATTCAGCCTCAACGGCAGTTGATGGAATCAAGGGCCTACAACGTTGTATAGCTCCTACGCTGCAGCTGGAGAGGTTGGCTGCAGGGTCCCCTTTGAGGACCCTGTAGGGCTTGTTGGGTTAGTCCCTGTGAGTTGTTCAAGGCGACCAGCCAGAGCTCGGTGTTTTCGCATGACCTCCTCCCATTCATAAACTAGGCCTGTCTCTTCGTCGTCTGTGTCGACGAGTTCGCTTAGCACCATGCTAAAGTCACCTCCTAGGCGTCCTAAGCTAGCAGCGCAGTACAGCACCTGGGTCAAAAGACTTTCACGGGCAGTCTTGTCCTGGAGATTAGGCAAATACGTGCGCAATGTGTCCGTCAATAGTTCAACCAAATGTGTAGGAAAGGTTGCCAAAGCCGGTGGAAGGCATTGAAATGGATCATGCGTACGGTCCGCCTGCGAGGTTTGCGCCGTCCTTATTCGCGCGTCGATTCCCCTTATCTCCGTAACACCGCTCTCAGACTCGGACTGGTCTGGTGTGAAGATGTTCTTATACAGAGATACAATAGCAAAGCTCTGCTCGCGGAATATCTCGATATACCGCTTCAGATACTTTTCTGTTTGGTGGCCGTCAGCCCAAGAGCCATTTCCACTCTTCTGATCTGGACTTTGCACCCTGCGCTGTAGTTCCTGATCTGCAAGTTCCTTGAGGGGATCTAATGCTTCCAGTGTAGAGATGAGGTTCGCCAGACGACAGATGAGAAATAATGCATCGAGTGCTCCTCCTCCGCCCGCATTTGTTCCCCCATCGCCGTGGAGGGTATCAAGTTCTGGCGAAACGCGTCGGAGCCAGCCGACAGTTCGCATGGCTGCTGCAAGCCGGAGATTCTGCCCGCGTAGAGCGCCGATGAGATTTGATGTCATCTCTCTCATCGCTTCCTCGGCTTGTGTGGCCACATCCTTTACCAGAGACGAATCTGGGTACAGCGTTTGTAGCCTCTTGATGTGAGCGTACAGATCCAGCGCGGCTGAATATGTCGTGGAGAACGAGGCTCCCGTGTTTCCCGAATTGGCCGCTGCAGATGAGACGGCAGTCGCAAGTAAAGTGGGCAATTCTAGAATATCAGATATGCGGTCGACGTTGCGCGACAGCCCTAGCACCTTCTTCCGCTGCTCGAGCGTGGCATTCTCTGCGGCTCTGCTGTATTTCAGTGAGAATTGAACCGCCTCCTCGTCGAGCTTTGGTATGGCATTGCGTAGGTCTTGTGTTTGACTAGTCAACTTGGCAATGGACGAATGAAGGTTGGACAGATTGTCTGCAGTCGTTATGAAAGCTTTGTGGGATCTATTAGAGAGCGCTTGGAGAGAAAGCAGCGTGGAGTGTGCGGATTGTGAAAGTGACTGGCGCTCTGTGGTCTGAAGCGCTTGAAGGGATAGCGTGGGTAATCGGTTGAGATATCGAATCGTGGTCGCTTCTTGAGACAGACGCGCATCAGAATCTAGAAAATGCGGGCTCAGGAGCTCGTATAAGTGGTCTGCCATGTTGAAGAGTGAATCCTAGAGCCATTGCGGTGGTAACCAGAGCCTCGAACGTGGGCGAAGCATGAAGCTGGCGGTGCGGTGGCCGAAGCGGCAACAGGCGCAGCCTTCGGAGGATCGATTTGATGTCACTGTCAAAGAGGGCAAATTCGCCATCCGCTACTCAGCCATCAAAGCCCAGAACTCGCTTTCCTTCCTTGAAATTCTTATTCTTTCCGTTGTTGGGCTTTGTCGTGCTCGCTAAGTGCTCTCTAAGCAACTTCAAAAGTATATTTACTGAAACATCCCAACTTTCTGCGACACGTACCATAACCTCATCGACCCATACCCGCTCTATGCGATATCTACAATGGGCAAACCACGGGTGAGTTTTATTCTCACAGGTTGGCTAGAGAACTGGTACTCTAACTACTCATAGATGATTATTTTAATCCGCCATGCTCAATCCGAGGGAAACAAAAACCGCGAAATCCACCAAACAATCCCCGACCACAGGGTGAAGCTCACACCTGATGGCCACCGTCAGGCCCTAGAAGCAGGTATCAGATTACGTGGACTCCTCCGACCAGACGACACGATCCATTTCTTCACATCACCCTATCGCCGAACCCGGGAGACAACCGAAGGTATACTCCAGTCCCTCACCGCCGATACACCTTCGCCCTCGCCCTTTCCAAGACACACCATCAAGGTTTATGAGGAGCCACGGTTGCGAGAGCAGGATTTTGGCAACTTCCAACCATGCTCTGCAGAGATGGAGCGCATGTGGCTTGAGAGGGCGGATTATGGGCACTTTTTCTATCGGATCCCAAACGGTGAATCTGCTGCCGACGCATATGACCGAGTTAGTGGGTTCAACGAGTCGCTGTGGCGGTCGTTTGGGGAACAGGACTTTGCCAGCGTCTGTGTTCTTGTCACACATGGTCTCATGACGCGGGTCTTCCTTATGAAATGGTACCACTGGAGCGTGGAGTACTTCGAGGATCTCCGCAACGTCAATCACTGCGAGTTCGTCATCATGAAGCTCAACGAGGACAATGGCAAGTACACACTTCAAAACCAACTTCGCACATGGTCCGAGTTGAAGAAGGAAAAGGAGCTCGAACATCACCGGGAGCGGACCGCTAGAGGTCTTGGGCCACCTCACCCAACACCTTCCGAGGCGCCTGTTCCGATTCGGCGCAAATGGGGTGGTTGTCCTGATGGATGTAACCATGGAGTCCATAAGAAAAGCTCACGGTCATCCCGAGCACATGGCGGAGACCAACCCCGAAACGAACCGGATGCCCAGCACACACAGGCTCAAACGGACCAGGGAACGACCGCCCCTCCGGAAGAGAAAAACACAGTGAACAAGGGACAGACACTTAGGGCACCAGAACCAGCACTCGGCGATCATTCAAACGACGAAGTACCGTTGAAGTCGCTCCCACCAAACCCCCAATATCCCAAGGCCTGTCCGCCTAATTTCGACTCCGAACAAGCCACCCAATCAGACGCCACCCGTGATACCTATTCCTCACCAGAAAAGCCAACAAAACCGAACCCTAGACGTCCGGATCTAGCCCATTTCCATCGCGACAGCGAAGACCACCTCCTTCATCCACCACGCCTGAACTACGGGCTGATTCACCTCGTCGGTCGAGACGGAGGGGGCACCCTAAGCGGCGCGAATAGCGTTGCCGCGTCAGAAGACGAGCATGAGCATCACCACCATAATTATAATGATTGTCACCATCAGCACGAACAGCACGAACAGAAGCGTAGCGAAAACACGAGGGCTGGCATCAAGCGCCATAAGCCGCGTCCATCGCAAGATCTGGATAACGACGGTGATGACGAGGGTAGCGGGAGGCAGACTCCCAAGGTCCGTCGCACCCGTCATCGTCATGATAGAGACGAAGAGAAAGACGACCTTGAACAAGCACGTAAAGAAGACCAGAGTATTAGAGGGAGCGTTTACTGAATGTTCCTCAGCGACCGCTCTTATGGGCCCGCAAGATGTCTAGATGACATACGATAGATGCATACAATAGATACCCTTCAATAAAACTTTTGTTGATGAGTACATGTTTCACAAATCTAGACATGTACACCGCATACCGCTATAAGGAGGAGAATGAACTTGATGTAGTAAGTAGAGTGGAATCCATGGGGCCGCAGAGTGAGGCTCAGGCTTCCCATCTTTATTCAGGCGATGTGTTTAACTTACATTTCAACCCGTAGAGGGGATTGAAGACATAGAAAGGAAAGAGAACAGGTGATCGCTACCACCGTGAAGAAGTGAAAAGAAATTACAGAAACAGGGGGAATATGGAAAACAGCCGGGAATAAGGGGAGTATCACTTTTTTTGTGGATGTCCGGGACATAAGCCAATATGGCAAACATGCATCAAAAGGGTCATTGAAATAAGGGGAGGAAAGACAAATTCGTGAAAAGGAAGAAAGAGCTCCGATCTTAGCGAAGGCTTAAAGCGGGAGCAGATCCTGACCAGGAGGGCCAGAAGGAGAATAATCAAAGCAGCGAGCCGGGGCAGACAATGCGGCAATGCGAAACGCAGAACGAACGAAGACATTGCAACGCCGGGTAAATGGGGAATGGGTGTTTATGATGAGGAGGTGAATCAATCTATAATCTGCCAGTGAAATGCCCAAATCCAGAGATATGAAGGGAGGCGAAATGGATCAATATGGGAAGCAAAGATGGGCGCGGCAAAGAAACAGGGGCATTAACAGTGCTAGGAACGAAAGAGATTCATAATTGTCGTGACTTCTCATCTCCAATGACCAAGAGAAGCCCGCAGGATCTCGGTGCTTTTTTTTTGACTCGACGAGATCTCTCGATTGAGTAAACGAAATCGTATCAAATCGTATAGAAGGGAAAAAGGTGTCATATCGTAAATGCATAAACGAGCTCAGAACTGAAGAGGTGGCAGTCGTTCCAAGGTCGTCGCTTGACACTTTTTTTTCTGGGTTTTGATTTTTCGTTCGGGCGGGCCAAGACACAGATATCCAGGGTACTTTTTCAACATATAACCGAGACCGAAGGGGAAACCGGGCTGTCATCGCAAATGAACTAAAATGAGATATGCGGTATCATCGAAAGGTATCAAAAAAGGTAAAAAGAAGAGGAATCTAGGAGGAACATGACGATGCGCGACAGCAGAGAGACGTATGTGACGTGGACCTGATTAGCCAGCGACGATTGGCTGCATTGAACTGACAAGGTTGGCACACATGTAGTGCTCCATGTGTTTTGCGCAGTAAATACAGCCACACGAAGACCCATGTCCCGCGGTCCATCCACCATGCGGGTATGGAAATCCGTAAGACGGAGTGTGATGGTAGGAAGGGGGCTGTGATCGGGATGGTGGCATGTATTGCTGCTGTGGGGCCATCCAGGTACTCGAGTAAGGAGGCGGAGGGTTCGCATAAGCCCACGAGTAATAGTCTGGAGTTGTCGGTCCACTGTGAGGAGCGGAAGGTGGCGAGTACTCCGAAGCTGCTGGGTTGAGCCAGGAGTTCTCATACTGAGTACTCCGCTGGTACTGCGGAGGAATCGGACCTTCGGGAGAGAGCAGAGGCTTTGAGACCCGGTTGCTGCTGCGCGTAACATTGGTGTCGATGGGAGCAAGGGAGTGGCGAGGCTCATGGGTCTTTATGGAAGACTTGTTCCGCCATTTCTCCCAGTGGGACAGCCAGGAAGCAAACCCATCCTGCTGGTCGTGAATGCGCTCGTGGATCTTCCAGTCAAATGCAAAGAGCCAGTCGAGCTCCATGGAGTTCAACTCACTGACGGGGATGTTGCTGACCTCAGCCCAGGATTTGTTCTGGAAGGTGTTGTCGTCCAGGAACTTGCTTCCCAGGAGCAGAGCCACCGTGAGCATGCGATAGACTTGGCCACTACCAGTAGTATACACCTTGGCAGAAGAAAGCATGCGCATCCGGCACGAAAGGTAATACAGTCCCAAAAGGATAGTGGAACTCGGCAGACGGGTCGACGAGAGAATCTGAAAGACGTACTTCCGGAACTGGGGAGGGACAGACGATCCTGGGTAGACGCTTCGCGCGAAGTCAATATCTGATAGGTTGATCTTGGTGATGTACAAATCATACATTCCCTGGGCCATCTCAGCCACGAAGTCGGACATCTGATCCATCTCATAGTCCAGGTAAGCGGCGACGCCTCCGGTTGTTTTCTCCTCCTTGCGGGGCTGTTCTGGCTGCGTGGTAACTTCCTGTCGGCGGTACTGTGAAGGAACGGCGTGATCCATCGGGGGCAATTGAATGTTATTGCGGATCGGGGGCAGTACGTTCGCGGTGGGTAGGGGGCCGAACATAGGTTGACTCATGGCAGCCATGTCTCTCCCAGTGCGCATCGAGTGAACGGGAGGCTGAGGGTTCATCGGGGGCTTAGCGTAGCATGACGACTGAGAGTATTGCTCGATGAATTCGCAGCCGCTTTGGGAATAACGAGGAGGAAAGGCGGCCGAATGGCCGAGGACGTAGAAGGGAGGTTCATTCTCCATCCTGCCGCCGCTGGTAACATGAGGCGGAGTGAGAGGGAAGGCCGGGAGGCCGGAGTTGTAGAAAGATGGCATAGTGAAGAGAAGAGGTGAGAACCAGTTCAGGGACGGGCGGTAGACGGTATCAGTCTATGTAGACCAACGCACCAAAGAGTCAGCAAGTGGAACTGGGCAGCGAATTCGACCAACAGTGGAAATGAAATGCAAGATACGAACCGTCCACACGTCCGCCAAACCCTGAGCCTGGGGGAGGAAGAGCGTTGCTCAACGAGCCGCGGCTCTGATTTTTGCGCAGTTGATGTCTTTTAGTTGAAAAACATGAGTGGATAAATCAACAACACGTAATTTTTGGGAACACAGGTTGGAGAAAAAAACACAAAGGGAGCGAAAAAGAGCGGTCGCAACTGGCGTTTTCCGGGGATTGTTCCTTCTCTGCAGTGATTCTGGTGTGGTAGGCGTGCTTTATTCCGTTATGTTTTGACGGTCGGGCCAGCAAAACGGAGGCGAGCCTTTTGTCGGGGGAAGACACGAGAATCGGGATTGATTTGCTAGAGCAATTTCAAGGCGGACAGAGAGGATCGTGGACGCAGCAGGGAACGGGCGAGGAGGAGTTGAATTCTGGCTTCCTGGCACGAAAGGGGGAAACAAGAATCTCTCGCGTCTTGAATTGGCGGGCGGACGTCCACACTAACAACGACACTTAGTGAAAAGCTCGTTGCGAGAGAAGTCGAAGTGAAGGCAAGAGCAAATAGAGCAAACAGGCGAATGGCGAAGAGGAGAGGGACTTTCACAAGGGGAGAGAGGATGGAGAAGGAGAAGAGGAGGGGGATGGAAAGGGAAGAAGAAAGAGAGTTGAGTGACAGACAAGCCAGAGGGTGCTGGAGTCTGAGTCTGGTGGTGTTGAGTGGAGGCTGACCAGCGACTAGAGTGCCGTAACGTTCCCGACACCGTCCACTGTCATCCTCGAAGCCTGCCAAACTAACAAATTTTATTTTTATCGCCGGCCACCGGAAACAAAATTAATTACGAAATCGGGGTTTCTCTGATTTTCTTCTGTTTTTCGTCTGGTTTCCTTCTGCTCCGAGACCCAAAGCAATACTGCAGAACGGACTCTTGGTCACCCATCAACACACCATCATCACAAGATGAAGTCATTTTGATGGATGGAGGAAACCTCCGAGTGTTTTCTTAATAACACGCTCAGCAGAGAAGAAATTTCTGCAGACCAAACTTGTTGGGAGATCCTTCTCGACGGCCAGAACACATTCAACCGTGGTTACGAATGGGGCTTCCACTTGGGCTCCGTACCATATCTAGCGGCCGGCTAGAAGCGCGAAGATCAGACTTCGAACAAAATTCGAGGGCAGCACGAGGAACCCAAGGGAACGACAGATTGCAAGAAGTCCCCGTTGACCGCAGGCCACCGGGCAGGGTGGCTTAATTCAGAGACTAACGTTAGGGGTCGACTCCAGTCCCCAGTCTTCAATCCAGTTGGGTTAGTCGCCTGTAGTCAAGTCCCAAGTCGGTCACCCGCTGTTCTCCATCGCCCCTGGACGCCCGACGCTCGACCATTAAAAGGAGAGGGCCTACTCTGAAATTATGAATGTTTTAATAATACGGCTCGAAGAAACATCATAAATAATCAAAAGGAATACAGTTATCACCACGGTCATGACTCATCCCCAACGCGGAGGGAATGAAATGAATACAGTCTTGTCGTGCCATTATTCGGTGTTGTTCGCTGGCAATAGAAATTATAGAATCATAAGAAAGAAGGGGGAGGTCCCCCGGCAGCAGGTGAGCACCACTGGAGGACTGATATAAGTTGGCTGAAATACGGATAGTTAATACCTTTGAATGACCGAGACAATTATAATGCACCCAATAAGAGCCAAAACAATGGAACGTGCACCCCGTGCAAAGTTCAACCCTCAAACTTCGACGAGAACGAGGAGCCAGACTGTTCCAGGACAGGTAAAGATACGTCAGAGAACTATTATTAATCTTTTGAAGACATTTGATTTGAAGTCGTCGTGGCGATTATTTGTGAACGTCGGCGGCAAACATCATGGATATGAAATGCAGTGTAGTACTCAAGTCAGGTTCCCAAACTTTTGTGAGATCAAGGCGTCGCAGCCATGACACCATTCGAAAATGAGCTGCAGTGCCATCATGGGGTGGCAAACAGCCTCATTCCCAGCATAGCCATCGCTGTGGACTCGCGGACTTGCAGAGGGACTTAACGAACTTGAAGAAGTCTCAAAACTCTCACTCAGGCTTCCAAGTTCCAAGTTCCAAGTTCCAATTTCATTCATCTGACTCACAGATGCAGGTTGCTGCATCCAATCACACTATCGTTCACATGAACAATAATTGATGCCTTTCCCTGGGAGTTTTGTTTCCAGTGGCTTTCGGCCGTCGAGTACGAGTCGAGGTTGCCTGGCAGGTACCATTATTCATAGCTACCGTGTCTCCTGGCTGGCCAGTCGTGGATGTGCTTGAATAATCTCACCAGCGCTTATCACGAAACATTGCAGAAACTGAGCCGGTCTCTTAAATTCGAATTGGTAGTATCAAATCTACCAATAATAACTGTTACCCGTGGTGTTCGAAAATGCCGCTTTTCCCAGCCCCTCCCCAAATCCGATCCCCCACCTCACCTGCAGGCTTTCTTTTCCCTCGCGGTTCAGGTGTCTTAGCCGGCGATGAGGGGTGAAAGGCTGAAATCTGATAAATCATGGAATCTTTCGGTAGATATCGGGACCCTCATCTTGGTGTTTCTGGCCATGCAACCACGTGGTGGTAAGGAGGAAGATGAATTTAATACTTCCAGCCCTCAATACCTACTTGTATTATATAGGGTCGTCAACCCAGAATATAAACACGCCGCATGTGGTTGAGAGTTTTCTGACCTGCAATTCAATCTGCCTACAAGCCATATACAGGAAATCAGATCAAATAAGATGTAAGATGTGACCATGATAGAATGCAGTGTCTTTTGTCTATGCAACGAACTCCAGTTTTTCCTTGTCCTCCGGAAACATCCCCGGAGGCTGGGGCCTTTATCCCGCCTTCTTTTGGGGTCATAACTACATGATCTTGCGTCCCTAACAAACAAGAGTGGATATCATAAACGTCAAATGACGGGTTAACACAAAAAAGAGAGAGAAGAGGGGCGAGAGTCAGGGAGTCGCCAAATCAGTACTCCTCACTCGCCTTTCACACAGCCAATGCCTCCCAGTTTAGAAATCATATAAACGTAAAGTCGTGATCGTAGTCCCAGTAAGCCTGGCTTACTTGAACATCATGCAAATGCACACACACCAATAGCAAACTGTAGACTGTGAAGGTCTATACTATTCGCCCCTTAACCCCTTAATCAAGTTCCTCAGTGCATCAAGAATAACTGCCTCATCCGGCGGTTCGCCACCAGGGAACGAGCTCGCTGTGGCATTACCGAGGGCCCTTGCCCTTGCGCTCTTGAGAACATTCTTAATGTAGTCTTTATCATCGTAGTCCTCCAACAGCACAGCCTCGAAATCGTCGATTGCCTTGCCAGCGCGCTCGTTGAAAGAAGCCTCATCGGAAGAGGTGTCCACTGGCATTGCCCCATTATCTTGAGCAGCCATGTGGTAAGGCCGTTGCTGGTGCTGATGCTGCGGGGGATGACCGGGATGAAAGCTCTGGGATTGGTGATTATTCGGCGGGTGAGACTGCGGAGGAGGATGAGGTTGAGAATTCGGAGGGTGGTAAGGCGGTTGATGTTGTCGCGGCGGCGGCGGTTGCATGTGCTGTTGTTGCTGCTGCTGTGCTTGTGCCTGCTGGGACTGCTGATACTGAAGGAGTTGTGGAGGGGGGTCGGAGGCGTACGGTGAGGTATATGTAGTTGGCGCTGTCTGTGCGAACGCGGGAGGGAGACTGTTTCTGATGGTGTTGGGGAGGGGGAAGGGTGAGGACGCGGTCGGTTGAGCTGGAGGGGGATAAGGAGTCGGGTGTTGAGGAGCAGGGGTAGGAGTGGGAGCTGGAGCTGGAGCTGGAGCTGGGGCGGGGGCGGGTGTGGTTGTTGTGGGAGGATACGGAGTCGATGGCATTGACGAGAACTGAAAATGTGAATTGGCGATACCCGGCTGATTGTTGGGTTGATTCGCGTACGTATTCGTTGGCGGAGGCATGTACTGAGGAGTGACAGACGGCGCGGTCTGTGGAGGCTGTGACGGCGCAGGAGGCGGCGGTGATGGCCGCCTCTTTTTCTCTTTTTCAACTGACGCTCCTGGCCGCAGTTGCCATGACCATCCTTTGCCATCGCGTTCGGCATGCATGAACAGATGACTGTTGCCGTTGAGATTGTGCCGGACACTAGAAGTCCAGCCTTCTGTTTCACACTTGAAGCGAAAGTACGGATACTTGAGTTTCAGGGCGCGATAAATCTGCTTCAGTGTCATTGGCGTGGTTGCCTCGGTCAGCGCATCAAATATAAGAACCGCATAGTTGTACGGCGGCTTCGCCAAGTCTTCAGGGGCATATGCAGACTCTGGAGGGTAATTGGGGGAAGGTGAACGAGAGGGTTTGCGTTTCTTGACAGGCGGAGGTTTGACATATTCTTGTGGTTGATGTTCCGGTGGAAATTGTCCGCCCTCCAACGAAGGCAAGGGAATGTCCATGGATGTCCCATCCGGCTTCTTCCTCTTGGTATATTTTCTCTTTTCTGGCTTCGAGTTTGGCGATTCGTCCTCGGCGGGCTGGCTAGGGACTGCAGTGCCCCCAGGAATTGTTGCCGTCGTGGTTGTCTTTCCTGCCTTGGACTTGTTCTGTTGCGGAGGAGGCGTAACGCCTCCGTTCGCCTCGCGCCTGGCTGCGAGCTTTTGTTCCCGTGCCAACTCGGCTCGCTCGCGTTTAGACATGATCCCATCCTTGGGCGGCCTCCCCGGACCGCGTCGACGCGCTGGCGGCTGCTGACCATCTCCAGATCCCTCAACGGATTGTGCCACTCGGGAGGTATCCGCGTCTTTTGTTTTGAAGACAATCTTTGTCGGGTTTGAGCCATCCTTGATCTTATCTGCTTCTTCTTGTTCGTTCTCAGCTGCAGCTACAGACTGGGAATTTTCATGCTCTGGAGCAAACGGCTCTTCCTCAATATCGGCACCAGTTTCGCCGATTGGCACATCCGGAAGCAGGAACCGAATCCGGACACCCCCAATCTGTATATAGTCACCGCTGTGAAGCGGTCGTATTTGGCCCGGGGAAAGCCAATCTGCACCGATGAAAGCGCCGTTTCTTCCCAGTACTTCCATTTCGAAAAAGTTCTTCTCAAAATTGTATGCGATTTTGACATGTTTTCTCGAGATTCCTCGATGACCGGCAACGCTGCCATCGGTCGTCGCTGGAGGGTGGATTGGAATTGTCGGACATGAGTCTGGTGATGGGAGTAGTGCTAGAGCGTCGACTGGCCTCGCATCACCGTTATTCTCCTGTAAAGATTGCAAAGCAAGCGCATTGTAGTCAGTCTTTGACTGGAGCTGGGCGGGTGTAGCATGTTTAGTCTCCGCATGAGAAGAATTGGATGAGCGCCGACTGATACGGGACTGCATGTGCAAGGGTACATCGGGATCAAAGCCCATGATTCCACCCCGGTCACTGACCACACTTCCGATCATCCCACTACCTTCCGGTTTTACTCGAACGGGTGTATGTGACGCATTGCCTCCACTCGAACTCTTCGCTCGGGATGTTCGCATCGCCTGTCGGGCCTGAAATTCGCGTTGATGCGCCGCTCTAGCCGCTCGCACATCTCGTCCGAGGATGAAAGAATATGTATTGCAGTAGAAGTGACCGTCGTCAAACTCCAACTTCGCAAAGGCCTGAATCCGGGGTTCAGAGCCAGCCACCGAACCGTTCCCATCATGATGAAAAGTGCCCTCGGTGTACCCTAGAGCCGATAGATCCGCACTTTGCGAAAGGTACGTAGCAGTCAACATGTCGTTGGGATGAAATGCTTGTAATGAAGTATCGGGAGCTGCTGTGAAGTCCAGGGGCGGAAAGAGGTCGGAATGGTCTGTATTCGATTTGGCAAAGAGCAAGGGGTCAGTTAATCCCTCCATAGGGTCAGCGGATTTTGTGATGGCTTCATCAAGTCCTGCTGTTGTGAACGGGAGCCCAGCGTGCTGTATTGAAAAGTCCTGAAAAGGCTCCGACGGTTGAGTTTGACCTCCGACGCTTGGTTCCGCCCCCGGCGGAACTTCATCCCCTGGCTGTGTTGCTTCCCAATGCTCGCTCGTTCCATCGCCAGACTGTTTTCTGGGCCCATTATTTTGCCCGTCCGGGATCCCGAGACCCTCTAATGATTGATTCGAGTCGAGGCCTGGGGCTTGCTGGCCGCCAAGAAGTTGAGCTAACAGGGCGCTGGCGGCGGACTGGCGGCGGAAATCGGACTGGGAGTCTTGATTGCTGCAGATCGCAAGGGACGGCTGATCCTCAGCCTCGGACTTGATGGTCGCCATGCCGGATAGGGGGGGGAGACCATTGGGAGAGGAGTTGTTGTCGGGGGCAGAATCGTGCAGACTGTGGATTGCGGAGTCGCTGGGCGGGGAATGGGACGGAAGATGGTCGTTCTCTGGCGATTGTTGAGAGCGGGAATAGTCGTAGAGAGACGACATGCTCGGACCAGCCTCTGATGGACGATGGCCCACCGCTGGCGCTGTCATGGTCTGCGACGACGACATGACCGGGGGAGGGCGGCTGGGGTTGCTGGTTGGCCTGTGAAAGAATCTCGAGCGGACGGCCTCTGAGGAGGAGAAAGAATGAAAGCGGTGAAGGGGAAACTGAGACTGCTAATCTGCCGGACAAATGAAAAATCCGGAGCTGGAATTTTCTGCCGTATTTACACTGATTGTTACCGTATTTTTCTCCACTCCGAGTCCTCGACTCCTCCGGCGTTGGAGTCGGAATCTGGTCCACCAACCTCAACAATATCTACATCTACGTGCTACGATATACTACTTGTCTACATCTTGGAGGCAGAAAGCCCTTGCAGTCACCATGCCGAAGCCTAAATCATTCAAAAAAGACGCATCACGCCAATCTAGTACACATCAAACACAACAATCCTCAACACCCAACTGGCCCCCTCTCCGCCCTCTAATCCCCTCTTCCGATCTCCTCCTCGAACCCCTCCTGCCCGACCAAATCTACTTAATTCGCAACTTCCTCACTGCATCCCTCTGCAAAACATACGTTTCATTCCTCTCTTCACTCCCGTTGATCACAACTCCCGGGAAGCCCAAAAAGGGCGAGGCCGTCCGCGTCAACGACAGATTTCAAATCCAGGATGCCACATTCGCAGAGACACTCTGGCGAGAAACGGCCTTGAAGGAGCTTGTAACTAAATCCCTTGCTGAAGATGAGCAGCCGCTGCTATTGAGAGAGACTTGGGGCGGCGAACCATTGGGATTGAATGCAAATATTCGCGTTTATCGATATTCGCCGGGGCAGTTCTTTGCTCAGCATTGTGAGTTATCCCCCTCCCCACCCTTCTGTTCCCCTCTATATTCCGATCATAGACAGGAAAGTGAAGTATGTCAAAGATCCTACGTAGCTAGCTGGCTAATAGCCGACGGCGTAGACGACGATTCCAATACCCTTTCCTTCTCATCCCCTTCAACTCCTTCTCCCCAACCAGCTCGTACGTCGTGGACGCTGCTTATATATTTGTCTACCTGCTCCGGCGGAGAAACCATTTTCTATCCGGAGCCTACCCGGGCAAACCGCAACCCTGAGCCAATCTCGGTAGCACCGGAGATGGGAATGGCGCTGCTACATCGACATGGAGATCAATGTCTGCTGCATGAAGGGAGCGAGGTTACCTATGGGGAGAAATGGGTGCTGAGGAGCGACCTTGTTGTTGCACGATGACTTGATTTTCTAAGCACTATTGAATGATGCGGCTATGCCAAATGAAATATCTTATGCTACAACTAAAGCCCCTAGAAGGCTACAAACATATACACGAGAAGCCGTTCAACTTGGGGCGGGCGTTGAACATTACAAGCCTATCTCGCGAGTTCAGCCCGCAGTAGCACCAAACCATTGTCTACTATCATGGCCTGCGGGGGTGGAATCCCACTCAAATGCAACCTGCGGCGAGATGTCTCCACGAGGGCTGAAAATAGAGCCCTACAGGAAACAAGATGAGGATCGGGTCATGCTGCCAAACCAACAATGAGAACCAACAATAGTCGCCGATGGTAACTGAGTGTTTTCTAATCTTTCGCATTGAAATCGACAGGCTCTCTTTAGTTATTTGACCCTTTAAATTATGGTTACGGCAAAAATAACACATAAACAAACGGTCTGGAAGACAAGGCATTTTGATAGCAGCCTATCACGTGGATGGCTTCTCTTCATATTCCGCCCTTCTCATGATCTCTTCCACGGGCCCAAGAAGACGTTTGAAACCGTCACGGCCGAGCCTGGCGACCTTGACTTCAGTTCGAGCAACGATGCTGGCTGCCCGGGGCTTTTCGTCCAACAAAGCAAGCTCACCAAAGAAATCACCCCGTTTGTAATTCTTGACTGGCCCTTCTAGGCCATTCTTGAAAGCTTCCGCTTCACCAGACTCCAAAAGGTAGAAAGCATCGCCAGGGTCACCTTCTGAAATGATCGTGGACCCAGCAGAATACTTAATTGTATCGAGTGCGTCAGCGATCTTTGCACGCTCATAAGGTTTGAGACTCGAAAGAAGAGGAACCTCTTCCAAGAAAGCCTCGTACATGCGTCGCCTTTGGAATGCCGAGTCCATGAGAATGCGCCTAAAGGTAATTCGGTCCAAAGCCCAAAGGGTGCTTCTGTTGTCCGCCGACGCAATAGTCGCCGCACGGGGTGCATTGTACATCAAAGCCAGCTCACCAAACGAGCCTCCGGGACCAATCGTGCTGACCTTGTTTCCCATTCCATCCGGACCCGGCTGTACGGAGCCGGATGGGTTGATATAAACATCAAAGTGACCTTCCTCGACAATGTAGAAATAATCGCCGGCATCGCCTTGCGAGATCACCTTGATACCCTTTGCTGGTATCGGCTTTTCAACCAAAGCGTCCAGCACTGTCTTGAATTGTTCGTCATCCAAGTGCGAAAAGAGGAAGTTGTTACTGACGGCTGTCTTCAAGCGGCTGAGCTGCTCTTCGGTCTTCGCATGGTGGGGCGGTGTCCAGCTGTCTGAGCCTGCTGAAGTAGGATTCAAAGATTCGGCAGACACAGAAGTTCGACGACCAAGTGCGTAGTTATTGGGGAATCCATGATTTGCGCCGCCTGTCGGGCGCAAGTCCTCGGGAGGTGCGGAGGATTCGTCGTGGCCTTCCTGTCCTCCTTGGAAACCACCGCCGAACGGATCGCGCCCAAATCTTATTCCTTCTCCTGACTCTCCAGCTCGACCACTCTCAAGTGGGTTGTTCCCGCCCGACGAAGCGTTTGCGGCGGACTTGTTGGTTCGAAAAGTTGGGTCGGTTGGTGACGTCACCTCATACTCTTCGTCTTCGGAGATCTTGTGAAATGCTGATGATTTGTCGTCCTTGGTGGACAGTTTGAGAAAGGGGTTGGTACCCGGGAACGAGCTGTTCGCCATACTGGGTTTAATGATGTATTCGACCACGGCGAAGCGGGGAAGCTAGGAAGTTGAGGTGTGAGGGACGCGGCGAGACAAAGAAAGCTAACGCAGGTTAGAGGCAATGGGCTTGACAATGATAACGGAGAAGGCAATCAAGAAAGAAGAAGTACAGAAGGGAGGGAGAAAAGGTTTCGGAAAGGTGATATGGATGTGGGAGGAGGAAAGGGAAGAACGAGGATATGTATGCACGAGAGCAGATCCGCTCAGGAAGTGGGAGGGGCAGCGGGTAGGGAAACCGACAAAGTTAAGAGAAAGCTCAGGGAGGGAGATTGAATTCTGGCTGTGCTGGGTGGGTAATGGCGATATCTGAAGGCTCATTGGAGAATCATAAGACACATCAAACCAGAGTTTGAAGCTCTTGAATGGAGCTCAAGACCCAGAGGAAGCACAGAGGCGACATTCCCATCAAGAAGTGCCCAGCCGGTGGTTCCAAGAGGAGCGAGAAAAAGAAAAATAGGACGAGATGGCTGCGTCAAAGAAAGTTCTAAGGTTCTTTCTTCCTACCTACTTTATAATTTCTTTTCCTTTTTTTTTAGTAATCTTGCTTCTTTTTGCTTTTCCTCCTTTTCTGTGTCGCTTCTATTATTCCTTGAATGTCAACGTTTCGGGACAACAAGGCGGAATATGGTCAGAACCAACCTAGCACCTCTGCACTTGAGCTCTTTGTTATATATGGTAAGAGCTAGTCTTTGCTTGCCTCGGGTCGCGTGGGGGAATTCCCTTAGAGGAAGCAGTGTGGACGTGATACTTTCCTGGCGTGGAGCTAGGACAGATGATGGGGATAACTGTCGGTTCAGGGAGGGGTGGATCAGCTGAAATGTGAGGCACGAGAAAGAGAGACATCCAGCAAGAGCAGATGATCCAGCTGGAATAAATTGCTAATGAAGTGTATGAGTGGCAGACTTGCAGAGGGGAAGCAGAAAAGGCGGGGGAGGACTGAAGCTTCAGGTCTGCAGCTTCGAATAGATACTACAAGGAAACTTTTGCAGCCAGCTTTCAATCCACTTTATACTACTGCGGGTAATAGATTTATTAACAGTAGTCTGAGCTCGTCTAGTAGTGCCCTCCCCTGACTTGAGAAGAGTCATGTTGTTATGAAAAGGGGAAGGGGGAGATTTCCTCGCTGAAGGTGATCGGATCGACGTCACTACTGGTCTTCTCCCCCGCTCCCACTCTGGAGTGCTCAATAATAGCTCCTGAGTCCTGGCACGTCGGTTCAGCAATAGCCGAGCAAAGGAGATTATTGAAGATGGCCTGCGAACGCGGCGCCGCCATGTCTCTAATTGTTTGTCCGAGTCAGAAGCCCAAAAAGACAGTTGAACCATGTTAATCCGTAAAGGATGCAGTTGGAGAGCTGAAGAGTAGGGGTGTGTGGAAGCTTCGATGGGAGTTAAGAATCATCTTCCAGGTTTCTTCTAGAAGCACAGGATTGCTGTCACGGCCAAGGGTTGCGCCACCGACAGACCTCCTCTGATTTCATTCCCAAGGACCGGACTTTATTTCATGCTTTGGGGTCGACTGCAATCATCGCTGACGTTTTCATTCGATGCTAATCCATGGACCGGGGGCGGCGGTAGACACAAAAAGCAGCATCTACTTTTTAGTCATTATTACTGTTGCTTGTAGATAGGCCCAGTGCCAGGAAAGCAGTCGGTGAGTTCAGTAGGGCGGAGGAAGTGTCCAGACCATCTTGAAAGATATCCAGATTATCCCACCGCTACTTTGTGGCATACAACATTTCCCCCATTTCCAGGCAGAAAGTTCCCGATCCGCGTAGTAACTGCATTAGCCTCGTGCTCTTATCAACGGGGGAAACGTCTTGAGAAGAACGATTGCTTGTCTAAAGCCCTTTTTTTTTTTTTTTTTTTTCCTTGACGACGAAAGACGCGGTTCCTCCTGCCAAATCCTCCGTGCCGAGCGACTCGGACTCTGTGCACACCCGCCACCCCGCTTTGGGCCAAAGAGCTCCTGCAGCTCTGGATGACTACGGAGTACTGTTAATCTTCCCGAGGTCGCAATCCCAACCTCCTCGAGTCGCTCACTTTTATCAGCGCTGGCCCGTCTCTATTCTTCCGGTCGCATTCTCTCTTAGCTTTTGCAGTTCGTCCGCACACGCCATCTTCATATATACAGGATGGGCAGCTACACATTTCGATGGTACGTGATTCGTTGTCCATAAGGTTGGCACCGCGCAATTTAACCTTGGCCTGTTCCATTCCTCGACCTTACTATTCTTTCTCCCTTCGGTGTCCGCTGACGCGCATTTCTGGTGAACCCAGGCCGTACAACGCGAACGAGGTGTTTGTCACCGGAACTTTCGATGACTGGGGTAAAACCATCAAGCTCGATCGGAATGGGGACGTCTTTGAGAAGGATGTCCACTTTCCGGTAGAAAGCGACAAAGTCCATTTCAAGGTATGTCATGGACATTTGGCTTGTCACAGCCTCGCACATGACCTTCAACTGCTCTCTGAACCTGCTTTCTCGAGCATTCTGCCTGCCCGCCAGCCACTCGGCACGCCTCCTCCAGATAAGCACAACGCAATGAAGATTGTGGCGATGACGCCGAGTCTCGGCTTGATACCGTTGACGTCATGGCACCTTGCGCAGTCGTTCCACCCCACATCATTACAAAACTATAAGACCCCCTCGTGAGATCGCTATCGTATCACTGACGTGTATACTCTCGCCCTTAGTTTGTCGTTGACGGCATTTGGACGACCGATAATCAATTACCTGAAGAAGACGACGGGAGTAGCAACGTCAACAACGTCCTCTATCCCGATCAGATCCGAAAAGATTCAATTGCAGCTTTACAAAACGGAACAGACATGGCTACGCTCTCTGGTGTAGCTCCTCACTCCACAACCGCCGCTCTCGCTGGTGACGTTCCCAGGGAGTCTAGCAGGACAGCAGCTCCCGGGTCTACGACCGCAGGGCTGGACAAGGATGTTCCCCTAGAGCAGAGGGCTGCTATTCCTGGGGGATTTCCTGCGGAGTCTCCGTACAGTGAATACTCTGTGAACCCAATACCCGCCTCTAGCGGCATCGGCAATCCGATCCATCTGAAACCCGGGGAGAAGGTTCCGGACCCTAGCACATTCAACTCAAATACTGTGCAATCCACCGCGCGAACAGATAAAGCCGCATACGACCAGCCTCCCAGCTCTACACAGCAGGATGGTGGTGCGTTCTCCGTTCCACCAGTGTTGAACACCACGATTCCCGAGTCCAGCCTACCAATGGGAGATGCAGCGAATCCTACATCTACCGACCCCGGTGTTACGATTCAATCTGCCGCGCCCGCATCAACCACCACCGGGTTGGCTGCTAGTGTTCCACTAGAGTCGCAGAAGAAGCAAGCCAGCAGCACCGCACCTGCGAACGATGTCCCTAAAGTTGTGAAAGACTCACTATCGAAGGCACATCAAGACCCCGAAGCGGCGGCAAACGAGGAGGCTTTAGAGGAAAAGAAGGCAGTTGAGCATGAACTCCAGCAAAAGATTCATGTTGATAACTCCCATGGCACGCCAGCGCCTTCTGACACTGCTGCTTTCATTGAAACTGCCCCAAAGCCCACTGTTGCGGATCCGGGATCAGCACAGTTATCACCACGAACGACCACGCCTACGGGGCCTTCTGGGGCCGGCGCCGCAAAGACCGAGGAGCCTAAGAAGGAGGCCACAAGGGAGAGCAAGACTCCTTCCAGCAACAACAACAACATTGCACAGATTCCTTCAGCTGGTTCGCCTGGAAAGGAAGAGAAGAAAAAGAAGCGATCAAGCATCTTTGCCAAATTGAAGGAGAAGTTCAAATGAGCGACGTTTGAGCGGATGATGTCTTATGATACCAGTTGCTGATTCGTCTGGATACCTTGTTATGCGCGTTCATACTTGATTATTGTCTTTGGATTATGAGGATACGCTAAGTTGGTAGTGGAAGTAATTGATGAGTATAATAATACTTTATATTATTGGGCATCCTGCCTATATTGGTATCGCATTGCTCACTTGCCCGTTCAACTTGACTGGATATGCCAGGACACTTGAATCATTAGTCAGTCATACAAACCTGTCAGGTAGTACTAGTAGATTAGAGGAACTTACTCTTTTCCCTTCTTTGTAAAACAACACCCGCAGAATATCGACGCAGGGTAGCACACAACAGCCGCAACGACTGTGACGACGAATCCTACTCATGCCATGAGTTCTAGAGGTCGGCAAGAATGGAATATCTCCTCAGACTAAACGTACCGAGCGTAGGGCCCACCACTTTGCACCGACAGGGATTCTGGTCCGTCCCACACTGGAAACAGACGGGGAAGAAGAAGGGGACGTCACACATCGCGGATACTAGGTTTGAGTATTGACTAAGAGTGTGTCTTTTTGAACTTAGAGTATATCAGATAAAGAGATTATCATAGCTGTACTATCTCGAGTCTGGGGCTTTGGCACTAGGTAGATCATCTGGGGTTAATATTCGTTTCGTTAATCCCTTGTAGCACATCATGATGACGGCAATGATGGATGGCCGCTGTGGGAAATGTGTTTAGGTTTCTGTATAAGCACCTGGATGTCGTTTCTGTAGGTTAAGCTCTGTGTATCTCAGGATTCCTCAAATAGTAGCTTGGATGTTTTCAACCGTGTATGGATATATTACTGGCTTCTATAAAACTCTGCCACTGTGGCAAGCAGATGATATCTAGGTACCTCCAGTACTCGCATATGCAGCTGAATCAGAATCACTTACTAAGTACACCTCAGCTATAATTAAGTCGCGCAACCCTTTCCCATCAAATTAGATTCTAGATTACTAGCCACAGGTGACAGAGCGACGTATCAGCTCATCGAAGACCAGGCACCAGAATTCTTTGTCCGCCCGCGCCCCAGCCGAAGCCACAATTCGGATCTTCTCTTCTGCATCCACAATTTCTTTTATTCTTCTTCCCATATTTATTATCGGCAATTTGTTGTCTTCAAACAGAGGATAAATAGAACGTGGTTCCTCTCCTGAACTTGATGTATACGCTACAACGTTTCGAGTGAGAACTCCGAGTTGTGTTAGATCATTGGTATGTAAAAGGATCGACGTCACCCGCAGTTGCTCAGCTCAGCCCTATCGAGATGATTAGGCGCCCAGTCTTTCTTCACGAACCCCTCTTGTCTCACTCTCATCACGAAGCAACAACGGACCAAACTAATCGTGATTCTTGGGTTTAGTACACAAAATCACACCAAGCACATCAAGAATTATACATTAAACGAACAAAATGCCGAACCGCCTCATCCCCCTCGTGATCCTGATCGTCGTGGTCATTGTCATCGCCGTGGTGGGCTTCATCGCCTACAGCATCATTCAAGAAGTCTCGAACAAAACAAAGACCAAGATGGAGAAGCGCAATGTCATGTTTACAAAGGATGGGATGAAAGTTGGTGTGAGGGAGGTCAAGGAGGAAGAATATGTCGATCGGAGCCAGAGGTATACTTGGGATCTACCATGCTGTCCATTCCGATATGAGAAATGATTGGTGACTGACATATGAGGCAGTATCTTGGTGAACATGTGGAACCACACCTCGTTCCCCGCGTATAAGAGTCGACTTTGGGACATGACGGGTTCTGCTTCCGGGTCTGCGAGTGGGAATGGAGAGGGACGGGTTGAGCAGAGGAAGGGGTGAGTGATACCTCCATTTCTATAGTTATCTCTTGGCTCGCGATATGGAGACTTATGGTGGGCAGGAACTCTCATTGACTATCGGGCCATTGGAAGAACAAGCGAAGAAAGACTTGGCTTACAGTTGACGGGCTGTTGAGAGAGCCTTAGCTTAAAACATGCATATACGTTTTCAGCTGCTTACATAGCAGTAACAATGCGATGAGTCTATGAATACATTGGTTTCAAGTTACAAGCTATCTGGGTTTGCATGATATCTGCCCGGAGCTCCGAGTGTGCTCCTTCATGTACCGTGCCAGGAGCTTTGCAACTCGGATGCAATTCTTTCTTGACATTCGTCCAGATTTAGTATTGGAAAGACCATTTGTAGCTTGAGAGCAACTGGTCAGCCGCCTTACTGACCCATCTGGACAGGAGCTCCGCGAATCTTGGAACTAAAACAAGTATAGAACTGCTTATGGGCTAAGTTGAGTTGTATGAAACATCGTGCCTGAGCACAGGTAAACAAGACATCCGCCGATGTGATATCTGAGCTCTGCCCGTCGGTGTAAGTACAGCAATGATGTCTCTCGGTCATTTTTCTGGAAGAGTAGGACATCATCATGGATGACTCAAAGTAAAACCGGCGGCGACACACCGACACAGATTAAGCTCCAGAAACGCACTTGCAGCGACTGGTCAAGCTGCACACTGCGATAACTGTCATGTCTGACATAACAGTGGATCGAGAGCAGTCCTAGATTCCCCGGTTCTGCGATTGAACCCTTTAAACGTCACATACCTATGGGTTAGGTGGCACTGGAAGAGCGCTTTCTTTAGCGAAAAGGAGAATCCTAACTGTGGAATCATCCTTGCTCGGGAGATTGTCTACGTGGGCCTTGAAATTATCATATTCCTCCACAAGTTATGCTGTTTCGAATCATTCAATCGGCGCATTCGAGACTGGTCTTCTCCGAGTTACCTCGACAAGGTCGGCTGCAAGGATCCGCAATTTTGTTCTTCTCCGTACGCAGGTGGAGCTTTTCTAGCCAAGGAGGTCAAGCTTTCCAGGTCCTCCACAACTCCACGGGCCAGTGAGCAGCGAATCAGCCCTCCACGTGCCAAGAGCTGCCCCTCATGACCGCGAGATCGCCCAGCACGTTGCTGGTCAACCCCTCTCAATAGGCCCTTGCTGCACCGCGCCCTTGATAAGCCGGCTGCCTCCTAGAAGAAATGCTCCGACCACGAGGAGCTTTTCACGGTTGTCCTTCGCTTATTCTGGAAGCGGGTTCACTCTTTTGAAATCCACGCCGTCTGGTAGGTGGGTTGCGACCTGATAAATAGAGCTTGTTTTTGAAGATGGAATGCGGAAGGTATTTAGAACCTTTGATGGCGTCGCTTTCCAGGATCTGATCGAGAACCCTTCACTTCATGTTTCTGTCACTGCTCAGCTTGACCGAGTCCGCCGAGATGTCTTTCTCTTCCCTCAAAGGTCTCCTGTCGCCGACTGCGGAGTACGATGTCGAAAAGGACTCGAGAGATATGTCGTTAAACGACGGTGACACTACAACGTGCGAAGCTAAGCCAAGTCGTGAAGGGAAGGCAACAAAGCTCATCGACGGACGAGTAATCTCAGACGCCATTATCGGTCTTTCAGATGGCATGACCGTTCCCTTTGCCCTCACGGCCGGACTTTCTGCACTAGGAGACACAAAAGTCGTCGTGTTTGGTGGTTTTGCCGAGCTCATAGCAGGCGCCATATCCATGGGCCTAGGCGGCTACTTGGGTGCAAAGAGCGAAGAGTAGCTCCTTCCCAACTCAAAATAACGTGATATATGGACTAACAACAACCAGGGAATCCTACCATGCAACCCTCAAAGAAACTGAGAAACAAACAATCACCGATCAGGCCTCGGTGACTGAGACCATCCATGACATCTTCACCCCCTACGACCTGCCCCCTGCACTCGTCACAGAACTCACTCACCACCTTTCCTCCTCGCCCAATCTCCCTTCCTTCCTCATGAACTTCCACCACTCGCTCCCCGAGCCGTCCGGCTCCCGAGCTCTGACATGCGCCCTGACTATTGCACTGGGGTACTTTATCGGCGGCTTTGTCCCGCTCCTCCCATACTTCTTCGTCGGAGAGAACGATGCATTCCTTGCATTGAAGTGGTCAATCGCTACAATGGCAGTTGCGTTGTTTATTTTCGGATACGGAAAGACATGCTTTGTGAGCGGGTGGAAGAGTAGTAGGAATATAAGAAAGGGGGTTGTTGGAGGCTTGCAGATGGTTCTTATAGGAGGGGTCGCAGCTGGAAGTGCAATGGGGCTGGTGAAAGGGTTCCAGGCGTTGGCAGATTCTTCCTGAGCCAGTGGATTATGGAATAGATAGGAGGTATATATATCGTGATACTCATTCGGTCGGCGTTATTGTTGTATTCTCTGGAGTTTGGAGTGAAAATCGCATATGCATCTATGTTAGGTAATCTACTAGGCACCTCTCAACTGATAACAAGAGTCCTCGTCATCAAATCTACACGCCTGCTCTTCTCAATCCAACACCAATAAACTAACCTGAATAGACAAGCGGAGACACATTAACTCTCGAGTATTCAAGCCTCGAAACAATGTAAGATACACCAAGCCCCTTTCTTAATACAATCCCATACCAGGAACGAGTACGAGAAGGCAGCCGAGTTCCACCAGCATATACAATGCCAAGAACAATCAAGATCCGCAGTCCCATCCTTGACATGAACCGGCGTCGGCGACGAGGAGAGGCTCATCAAACTTCCATTGTGCTCTAGTTGCACATAGGGGGCATTCAGGGCTATGGGCGGGCGGGGCGGAGTATACGGTCGAGCCTATGAGTTTGCATGCTTTCGGTCTTGCGTGGGCAGTTGGTATGGAGATGATTGGGGATTTGTTGTTGCCTATGCCGGAAATTATGTTCAAGTCAAGACGTCAAGGAGTCCAGTCACTTGTGGGCGTCGAATATCCACGGAGATGGAGAGTCTACTGAGTCCGAGGAGTACTAGTCTTAGCAAGGGATGGGGCCACTGCACTGCCACTCCTGGCAGGCCGCATCGCCTCATTTACTTCCGTAAGGGGGTGACGTAGGGACTTTTAACATTTCGTAAGGAGTATACGGTAGCGTACCTTCCTGTTGGTAAGATGAATGTTGTTCGCGTTCAAAGATCTAATCGGTTGCGGCCGTTGGCTTCATTTCCCGGAAGTTTCAACCGCCAGGGGTCAAGCATACCGGCCTTGCTTGGATTCCCATGTTTTAAGTTGGACGTTCGAAGCATATTCAAAATGTGGGGGCGTGCAGATGTCAGCCTTGTTTTGGCGCCGATGAGGAATGCGATTAGATCATCAAGTATGGACGAAGTATGTATTTTACAGAGGAAGGCGATTGCGAGGAAGTTCTGATGTTGGAGCACTGATATGTTCGAATGTAGGCGAGTTTGTCATTGCCCTGCTCAAGTGATTTGTCGCATTGAACCTCAAACTAGGTATCAAGAGGCGTGCCGCAACTCAATTGGCTATTGTAATAGTTGCTAACCAGTTAACGAGTACCTGCTGCGACTAATGCTTCTATGCAGGCCTTCTCCAGTTCGAGGCGGCAGGCGACATCCAGAATCAGTGGATAATCTACTGTAGAGATGCCAGCAGGGCTGAAAGCTCCACAATCTTGGGGTTACTCAGTCATGATGTATGTGATCAAATCACTTTACGTACGCAAGGAATCAACAGCGCCATTCTGGGGAGGGTGAGCTGAGACTGAATCATGCTGAAATCAAAGCGTCGAGATCAACTTTATGGCATTATTGAAGAGAGATGACACAAGCCTCACTCATTGCTGAGCCCTTGGCGGGGCTGTGCACCTATTATATAGCGCAATTGCAGTTGCGAACTTGCGAATAATCAATGTAGGGAGGGGCTGAGATAACCGGGTTCGTACTACTGCCTAAGATTGCTCTTTACCATTTCGGTGCGGTGCACTGATGATGTGTATGCCCGAAATCTCACTGCATCGACTGCGTGGCCAAACGGAACCCAGAGCAAAGTAATAAATAAATAATGCTGAGCAATTCGAGGCTTCTAACAACAGTGTATTACTCAGAGGAGGACCAGAGTAAGATACATACAAACTCTTCGCGTGCTAGTAATTTTGCGATGCCAGGAGGCTGTGAAAACGAAGCTTGGACAACTTTCTCCCATCCTTTTAATCAATCCTGAAACCGAAGTAAATTGCGCGCTGTTGTGCCGGCAACTGACGCGAAAACGAGTCAGAAACCCGCGATATCATGTGCAGTGTGGTCAGCTGCTTCGTGATTCTGAGTTTCGTATGATAAGCCCAACTTTCAGCGAGTCCTCGTGTCCGCCAGTAGCCGACTGGGGTGGTGTGTTATACAACTATCTAACTGATCGGATGCATAAGTGATCTTCTTCGTCCAAGCGGCTTGCCGTGATCTTCAGACCTCAGCCCAGACTGAGAGCCTGAAGCGCGTACTGTATGGTATCGATTACGATACCATACTCAAGTATCAATAGTCTCGTGGCCCGACCAGGACCTTCGCTCCTCATTGCTCAAAGCATCAAAGGGCATGATGCAGTATTGCCCTTTTCAGTGCAACTACTGATATCCGATATCTCCATGTGACGGTTTAGAGTTGGGATGAATGCTCGGAGTTTAAAGGAGCTCGGACCTTTGGTGGTGAGATAGGTTGTTTGCTTCGGTTCTCCTGGCCGAGCGACTCTGATGTAAGTCCACGGTTCTCCATATTTGGTACTACTTCTCTTGTACCCTAGGTACAACCTGAACTCTAGAAAGTAATCCATGAGAGATGTTGGGCCAAGGTCGAAAAATGAGATGGCTGGGTAAGACCTCCGTTTGATCAAGGTTGTCTCATCAACAAAGCGACGATAGCTTCATCCTCTTCAGGCGTCAAGCTGAGAGCAAGATCTCCTTCGGAGAGCAGTGCTTCAGGGACCGCGGCTCTTGGCGGGAGGAACTCGGCCTTGTCTCTTTGGCCCGTTTGCTGCTGACTGTACCGCCGATGTGGAATAAGCGAAATTGGTTTTGGAGATCCGTGGCTTCCAGTTGGCTACCCATGGAAATGAAGAGGGTTTTTCTTATTCGTATCCTTTGGCTTTGATCAGTCTTCAGATCATCCTGTGGAGAGCATCACATTTCATGCAACTCGGCGCTTGTGACCTCCGGCGCTTCCGCTGCATCCGCGAGATGATGATTGAGCATGAGAGTATAGGTAGACCGAGATAACGCTACCTGCAGGGACTCCCTGTTGAGACTTCCGGGCCTTGGCGTGTTCAGAGTGCAATACCAGTACGGAATAGTAGTAGTCAAAGAGAACGCCAGGTGGAGGCATGGACTCGATCGTCTGGTTGAGAAAGGAATTTTTTTACTTTCTTTCAGGAACCCTCGGAACGCCCGAGCTCCGGCGCCGAGGTCAGAATCAAGAGCGCTAGTTCTAATATGGGAGTCAGTGTTTTCCATATGAAGACTAGCGGTTACAGTGGAAACAGGATCGAGACCAGTAATACCAATACAGTCGTACCCGTACCCGTCGCAGTCCGTGGCTCCCGTCGCTTCTTCACCTGGCGCTTCTGCTCAGCTCCTGCAAAATCCTCATCTTTCTTCTCGTCGACCTTTTTCTTTTCTTCTCCTCACTGTGCTCTTCTTCCTTGCCCTCCGCCAGCACTCTTTCTTCGGCCTCATCTCCGGCTCCGTGGCCACCTGCGCCCCTCGCGACCTCCTCGTTCCAGGCTTCTGTTGCAGCTGCTCGCCCTTGCTCTCCACCTTGCGTCAGAGAATCCCCTGCAACGTGACGGCTTCAAGACATCCTCGTTTGGCCGCTGGAGACCGGAGCTCACGCTTCCTTTAGCCCTCTTCGAATCCGTCTTAAGGTTTCGCCTCCTGGGCGCCTGTTGGGTTGAGTTTGCGAGCAATCGAATTGTTTGCATCGCGGCATCATCGACTTTTGACGCCGAGACCCCTTTTCCGCCGTCTCCACGTTGGACTTCAAATTCAGTCCGTTCACCTACTTCCCTCCGTACTTGTCGATTCTTCGCACCTTTGAAACAAAGAAACACACAACGAAGTAGCTGCTCTGGAGGATACGTCTGAGTTTTCCGCCCCGCGAGGCTTGCCGCAAAGATGAATAGCACACTTCCTACGTGGAAGGACCGCACGCAAAACCAGTTTGGGAAGCTTCAGATCCAGGTCCCATGGCGGTCCATCCAACTGCTCGTTCCGCATCGCATGCGGCGGAAAATCAGATCAAAATTGCGCAGTAGAGTTTCTCCTACTTCGTCGATATCCTCTCTCCAGACATCGTTATCGCCCGCAGATACACTCCGATCGTTACAAAGCCACCGCTGGACTGTCTACGACTTCCAGTATTTGCTCCTCTTGATTGTCGGCATCTTCTCCCTAACTATCATCGAATCGCCCGGACCGCTAGCCAAGACCGCCATCTTTACTGCGCTTTTGATCTCTCTCCTCCTACCTATGACCCGCCAGTTCTTCCTCCCCTTTCTGCCAATCGCTGGGTGGCTGCTCTTTTTCTACGCTTGCCAGTACGCTCACTCCAAATTTTGCATGATCCGCCAAGTGTTTTTTACTGACAGACTCGCAGGTTCATTCCAAGTGACTGGCGCCCTGCGATTTGGGTCCGTGTACTGCCGGCATTGGAGAATATTCTTTATGGCGCCAATATCAGCAATATCCTGTCTGCTCACCAGAATGTTGTGCTCGACCTTCTGGCTTGGCTTCCTTACGGAATTTGCCATTACGGTGCTCCTTTTGTCGTCTCGTTGGTCATGTTCATTTTCGGTCCACCCGGTATCGTTCCCCTTTTCGCACGGACATTCGGCTACATCAGTATGGCGGCCGTTGCCATTCAGCTGTTCTTCCCCTGCTCCCCTCCGTGGTATGAGAATCGCTATGGGTTGGCTCCGGCGGACTATTCGATCCATGGTGACCCTGCAGGCCTCGCTCGCATCGATAAACTATTTGGCGTCGACCTGTACACATCCGGTTTTCATCAATCGCCCGTTGTGTTCGGCGCCTTCCCATCGTTGCATGCTGCTGATTCAACCCTGGCCGCCCTTTTCATGAGCCATGTCTTTCCGCGCTTGAAGCCCGTCTTCGTCACTTACACCCTGTGGATGTGGTGGGCAACCATGTACCTCTCGCACCACTACGCAGTCGACTTGGTCGCTGGTGGTCTTCTAGCTGCTATAACCTTCTACTTTGCCAAGACTCGCTTCCTCCCACGCGTCCAACTCGACAAGACTTTCCGTTGGGATTACGACTACGTGGAGTTCGGCGAGTCTGCACTTGAGTATGGCTATGGCCTAGCTAGCTACGATGGAGACTTCAACCTGGACAGCGACGAATGGACTGTCGGATCTTCATCCTCTGTCTCTTCAGGGTCCCTAAGCCCTGTCGACGACCATTACTCGTGGGAGACCGAGGCGCTTACTTCTCCTCAACCTGACATCGAGTCGGGCAGGCATGCGCTCAGCCCGTGAACCTCCAGCTTAACAACCTCTGCATATAGCGACCCACTTCTCTTCACTGCATTTATTTATGAAACGGCGTTAAAATCTTTCACGACATTCTGGCTTCATCGCATCGAGCAGATTTCGACACCTACATTTTTATAATACCTTGTTCTGGCAGTATCCCGGCCTCATCCAGTCCAACCTTAATGTCCTCGGTTTGGACTTGCCGGGATACTGCCTCCTCTTCCGCCACGTTATTCTTCACTGTATATGGATTGCATTGCGAATCCGGGTTGGGCTCGACCATGGCGTGGGTTATTGCCCACTGCGAGTTCCCATTGCTCCGGCATAATACTAATACTGAAGCGCTTAATGGGACCTAGTAGGACTAGACAACAACTTCGGTGTTTAGTCCTCTTCGATCTTCTGATGCCCCCGTTGGAGACATTCGCTCGTACAAATCGCGTCCACGACCTAGGACACACCACTTCGATTCTCACCCTTTGCCATTCGCTATTACTTTTCACCTAGTCGAACTCCGCCTTATTCTTCGTTTCGACTATGACAAATACTATTTTTACATTCGTGTCAATCGCTAACAGTCTTGGCGCTCGGGAATGGAAGCATTTATATGGGGATAAAAGGGAACGGGGCGCCTTTTTGTTGCACTTCACTCGCTGTGCATAGATGGCTTTTCTATAAGTGCATCACGACCTTTGCATCGGTATATAGAAAGGGTTTGGGGGATGGACCTTTCTTCCTCGCGAGGTTATTCAATCGCTCATCCAAACACGGACGAATTACCCGGGGGTTTGTCACAAAACATGAGGCTTCGCTTTCTAGCATCTATCGGATAGGGTGCACAGTCTGTTGGTGGAAATCGGTATATCGCTCGAGCACGAACACAGGAGTTTCACTGAAAGGTGTATGCGCCTGCCTTTATACCGGAGAGGCTGACGACGACTTTGAAGCTATGCTACTGGATTCGACACTCTCATCACATGGAACCTTAATACACACGCTTCCTCACTTCCTAAAATACCACCACCCTTCCTTGGATAGTGTGTGATGAGATGAGTTATCCATCGCATTATTATTAGTTCTAATCCGGTAGTGTTATGATTTATGAAGGAAACTTGTATATTATTTGATCACTTTGTCTATATGTCCTGCTTTGCTGTAATAAAAGACTAGTTCAGAGCACGCTTTCTCAGCCGAACCTAACGATTGGAAGCCATTAAGCTGACATTGCCTCCCAATCAACCGTCTCGAAGTTGAGTACTGTATGAGAGAAACTCGCCTAACGGTGTGGGGATAGTTCAACGGACCGCTGAAACTTGTGCGTCTACTGTATTGATAGCTTGATGTATACATTGTGTAATTGATACTCTTCAATCTTCATACACCTTGACCCGCTCAGCGTATTCCTTGATTCTTGAGACAAACGTATCCTCAATCTCATCACCTCGCCCCCCAGCTACTCGAAGAATCAGTTCATTCAGAGAGGACCGCCCTAGAATATCGACGTGGTCGCCTTTTCCATACTTGTTAGCATAAGGATAATTAGTTGATGGAAAGGGTAGGACCCAACGTACCTGTATTCGGACCACCTCTAGGTGAGAACCGATCGGGCTCATGCGGCATCTCAAAGACCTTGATCTTGATCCTGGACGGGTTATACCGCTTGATGTGCCAGCCCTTGGCGCACATGTACCCCGTGCTGAGGAGGTTAACGGTGCCGTCTCCCTCACCCATGATGACACCGCGGTCGGTGCCGTTATCGCTGGATACGGTTGTGTCGATGCTGACGTTGAGTTTGACGAGGGGGTCGCGTTCCTCCTGGTAGAAGTAGCTTCTCTCCGTGGGCTTGCCCACGCCGTAGAAGCAATATAGCTTCATGTCTGGTGCGCGGGGCAGGCGCGCTTCTAGCGGGTTGAGCCATGTCCGCGGGTCGTTTTCGTTGGCTTCGACATCGGCGGTTGTATGGGCGACGCCGTGTGAGTAGCTGCTCAAGATGAGATCGCGGTACCAGGGCTCGCTTTGGTTGAGGAGGTACTGCAGGCTTTCTGGCACGGTTAGGTTCTTCTGCGTCAGGCTTGAGTTGCTCTCGCGGAAGTTGAGCAGGTTGCCATATGTCGTTTGTTGGCCCGGTTGGTCGTCTGGTGCCCAGGTTGAATTCCCCCAGACTTCCTCTCCACCCTTGGGGAGCATGCTAGAAATTCCTGGCATCGCCCTGAATATCTCCGCGCGCTCCTCCCTGGACAGGAACTTTTCGAGCCCATACACAGCGAACGCATTCAGCTGTGCTGTATCTCGCATTTCGCCGGAAAGCACGGCCGTGAGACCCTTGACGGCACCGAGCATGCATCCGCTGATGTTGATCCATGAGGCAATATGTCGATTGACCCAGTCAGGCCCGCCACCGCCATATGCCGGATTCTCAACCCACTTGAAGAAGAAAAGAACCACCTGTGACCCCATACTATGGGAAGCTAGAGTCACCTTCTCACCACGCACGAGAACAGCCGTCTCAATATAAGACTTGAGTCGGCTAAAGTACTGGTCACGGGTTTCCAGGTTCAAGTACGATAACCGCCAATCATAGGCTGCCGTAAATGCATTGGTCGGGTCGTATCCAATCGTCGCGAGGTTTTCCAGAATCTTGTTCCAAATCCAGTAACCTGTGATGAAGAAGTCCGTAGCGTCGAACCCTTGGGCAGCACGCAGCTTGATTCCCGGCGGATCCAATCCAGTGTCCTTATCCAGCATAATATGGTTCTTCCATTCTGCTTTGTCAAGCACCAGTGCGCGCATCATGCTCCAACTGCCCCAAAGCCGGCGACGGAAGTACATCCGCGACGAAGGACCAGTGCCCCAGCTTTCTAGACCTGTAGATATGACACCGGGAATCATAACGATGGGATGCTTCGCCTCGACTCCTTGCGATTGAAGATGTAAGCCGACAGAGAATGCGTCATAACTAACGGCTTCGCGCTCATGTTGCTGTCATTTATAAATTATTACCATCATCCCTAGGGTTGCTGAACAAGTCCACAAACCGAAAATTCTCTCGCATCCCGCATTATGCTCTGTGGAATAGCATCCATCAAAGATTCCAGATTTAGATCCATTAAGGATTCCAGGCTAATCACATCTTGCTGCTGGGCGAAGAACACAGCGAAGAAGATCCCGAAGATCCCGCCCAGCAGGAAGATGAGGCCATTGCGCCGTTTGCTCTTGGGCTTTGTGATAAATGACTGTTTCCTAGAAGGCTCTGGCTTCACAGCTCCTGGGGGGGTTGCACTTTTGGGCGGCAAGTCCGCAAGAGTGGTGGTTTGACCATCGTCGGGGTGGTCGTTCTCTTTGGCGTTACGGCGACGGTGCATAAGGATGGGGATGTCGCAGCGATCGCTGCAGTGGTCGACTCCGGCTCACGAAACAGGTCGCTTAAGAGCAATGGAAAAAGCAAGCAAGAAATGTAGGACTAAGCGATAAAAAAAGACTCGAGAAGAACAACGAGGAGCAATCACGAAGATAAGTTTAAAGACACAATCACATGTGAGCCAGCCCGCGGCGGAGCTTGAAGAATCAAGTTTCGGAGCTCCTCAAGCTCTCTTTTTCTTTTCTCAACTTCCAGCGTTCAACTCCACACACTCTTTGGGCCTCTTCCCATTTTTGCCCTGAAGATCCCTTTGAGGCTCTACCCATGCGCCTACCATGGCCGAGAACAACTCCTCATCCCTCGACTACGCTCGCTACACCCCCGCCCACGAGGACCGCTACGTCCACTCCATGCGCCAGCTGATCTCCAAAGACCTCTCGGAACCCTACAGCATCTATGTCTACCGCTACTTCCTCTACCAATGGGGGGACCTCTGCTTCATGGCTTTCGACAGCCACTCCCAAATCCCGGGCCCGGACTCTGCGCCCCCTATGGTCGGTGTCGTTGTCTCCAAGCTCGAGCCGCATCGCGGTGGTCCGTTGCGCGGGTACATTGCCATGCTGGCTGTGAGCGAGGAATACCGGGGGAAAGGGATTGCAACAAAGCTGGTTCGAATGGCAATTGATGCGATGGTGGAGCGAGGTGCTGATGAGGTATGTTTTCCCCTACTGTACATACCTTGACTTGCAGAAAGAGAACGCTCGCTGATCGATGGCTGGGTCTGTCCTACTAGATTGCCCTCGAAACAGAAATCACGAACACGGCCGCTATAAAGCTCTACGAGCGGTTAGGATTTCTGCGGAGTAAACGGCTACATCGATATTATCTGAATGGGAACTCAGCATACCGACTCGTGCTCTATTTGAGTGAGGGCGTGGGTTCTATCAGATCTCTAGACCCGTACGGTCCTCCACCTGAACATATTCCTGCCGCCCATTCTCATCCTCATCCTCCGCCCCCACTTCCGGTGCTACATGAGAATGGCGGATGAGTGCGTTGTTCCAATGCGTTACGACTTTTTATGATTATGACCGGGTCAAAGATAGAGGTATCCTCTTCCTTCTTTGTGTTTTATATTCCAATAGACGAATTCTATGGCTATCGATGGTTATGTACAGGGCCGGTAAGCCGTGACCCAATAGAGGCGTAATATACATTTGATAAATACAATAGGGTGCTGATTGTATCCGCGTAGATAATGCGTCCAAACTTTCAGCAAGGACGGTGAAAAGGCAGGATGTTGGTTGAGCACCTAGCTATGAACCATACCCTACCAGTTTCACACTGACCTGAATAGCGTTTTGCATCAGCCAGTTCCTCGTACGAGGAACGTCCTTCCACTGTGCGTCCAGCTCAGCCGCCGCCTCCAGCATGTTCGCCAACGGAACTGTCGGGCGATACCAAGGGCCGACATCGATATCGTGCTTGAGGATTGCGCGGGCTGCGCGACGCTGCCTCATGCGTTCATCCCCCTGGGGCATGGAATTGCCCATCAGGTACGCGATGGGGTTATCGTGAAATTCGATAGGGATGTCTTTGAGAAGAGATTGCTTTAGGGGGAACCCGGGAGATTGAATATCAATGCCGACAATGACTTTGCCAACGCTGGTTTGCCAGACCTTTTCTTGCTCTGTGAGGCCCTCTTTGCCTACTGCTTGCGTCAAGAAAAAAGCCAGTTCCCGTTTCATGTTGTTCGTGGCCTTCCCATCCATGCATGCATATCTCCATAGGACTCTGCAAATATTGTAATGTCGGTTCTTCAAGGCATTGAGAAAAAGCGCGTCGTAAGTCTTCTTGTCCAGTTTGTTCTTGCTCCTTTCAAGGCATTCCAGCGCATAATACATAGCAGTGAAGGTGTCATGTGGGAAAAGTGCGATCAATGGGCTGAGTATCGAGGGAGTCAGCGGGAGTCCGTTCATCTTGCAGAGCCTGAAAAGCTGTTGCATGGCCGATACATTCTTTAACCTGAACGTAACGTGAAACATATCTTTAATTAGACGCTCTGGAAAATAAGAGCACCCAAAAGCCTTGATTGTCTTTTTGAAGAACGCGTTGACACTTTTGCCCTCTATTAGATGTTGTGCAAAGACATCTTGCATGGTGAGTTTCAGTGCTCGCCGCATAGCGGCTGGTTCCTGCAGCCAACCTTTCTCTTCCATGAGTTTGACCATTTTTGTTCGAGATGCCGGTCGGATGAGAAACTCAGCGTAGGCGAGCAATGTATCAGGGCTTGCCGGAATGCGCAAGCGCAACATCTTCCGCATAGTCTCGAGGAAGAGAGGAACGTTCTGAGCCCTCGCGGCTGACTCGAATATCAGGTTGAAAGTCTCAATTGTTAGAACGCGCTCGTTAGTAGTAAGTATGAACAACCTCCGCGCATATTCCAGATATCCCTGTTCAAGCAGGAATGACATTGATTTATTCAACGCTGCTGTGGAGATGAAGCGCCGATTTTTCCCCTTAGAGAATAATTCAAGTAGCTTTATAGCCACACTCTGTGAGTGAGACTGCTCATTAGACCCAGGATGAGAGTTCGTAAGCCCGTCAACATGCTCCACAAACTCCCTGACAGTCAATATATTCTTCCAGTTATCGTTGATCAGATCCAGGGATGCCGGCGTCTGTGAAATAGAACTGTTAGTCCAGACACCCCGGACACGCGGCGCGGGAAGGTTATCGCGTTCCAGCGCTCGGAGTGAAGGAAATATAGGCACAACTGGCTTCTGAACATCAAGCAACGCATCACCATTTTCTTGGAGTTTCTGGGTCTGCTTAATTCTGTTCTCAACAAGCCCTGTAACCCACTCTGAGCCTGTGAGAAGAACCTTTCGGCTGTGTCCCACGCTTTCAGCGGGAGGCAAGACGTGTACTTTGCAGCCATTATGCAACCGCACATACCAAATATTCTCCGATGCTGCAGATGTCCATGAGGGTCCACAAATGACAGCAATCGTCTCCTCGGGAACCAACATTTGCCTCCTGTACGGTTCGTGTTTTGAAGGGGATGTGGCCTTCTTGGACCTAAACTGGGCCCGTCTCCCTGCAGACAAGATCATCGCTTTCATCTGTCTGTAGATTGACTCACGTCCACCGACCGCGACTTTTTTCATCCAGTAATCTCGCCTGCCCTTTCGTCTGACATCTCGAGGGGATAATCCGAAGCGAGGACGATCTGGTGACGTTGGCTCTTCAGATATGTCTCGCTGATATTGTGGCAATGTTGCCAGTCCCAAAGCAGCGGGCCCGGGCTGTTCAATCAGCGGATCAGTCAAGAATTCATCCTCCGTATTTAGCCCGGCGAACGCGTCGAAGTTCCCGCTCTTTCCGACTAGCCCGGCGGAACTGGCGTCCTTCACTGTGCTTTCCGAAGGGGGGTCGGTGGCAGTAGCGGACTTTTCCGTCTGGGTGTCAAGATTCGGTAGCATAGGTACAGAGCTTGTTGACAGCCATCTTTGTCGCGATGGCGCAGCCAAAGACTGGCGGCGGTGCTGGAGAAGATTCGTCTTTAGGCGCGACGGAAGTGTTCCGGTGTGGTGGTTAGATATGCTCCTTTTAGAGGTTCTGGAATTCAATAACCTTCGACGCTGTTGGGAGACGAATGTGAACCACCGAGGGTAGAGAAAGAGGAGAGGCTCGTCGGCGACAGAGACATGGCCAGCCGCAAAGTGGTCCCCGAATCCTGCGGAGAGGCCGCATCGTTTGATGTGCTGTCCGCCGCGCGAAAGCATAGGTGCAAGAATTCTATGACATTGAAATCACGAAGAACTCATATAGAGGCGTATGACCGTAAGTGTAGGGAAAAATGAGCGGCGTATGTTTCGAGAAAGAAGACAGCGTTTTTCGAAGAGGGCACTGTGCCGGTAGGCGGTCAGGAGCTCCGGGGAGCTCCAGTACTACCCTACTATTTATGATTCATTATATTCGCAACTAAAAATCCCCAAATCGCTTCTTTCTTTAGAGTCCTCAAATAAACAAGAAGCAAATTGATTGGTATCGAGGGCAAATCAAAACACACTGGGAGCAAAAAACAAAACCATGTTCAATAAATATGAACGTCATGCCCAATTTCTGCCTTGGGTGGAATTCCCTTGATCTCCCCTCCATTGTCCATCTGTTCAAAAGAGTATCTTCCGGATACTCGAGATAGAAGGCTGTCCCTTCTGTCTCCCGGCGTAAGATCCGCCGTATCTGAGACTGAAATCCGTTCGCGGGATATGGATGTTTCTTGGAGCACTCCAGGGCCGAGGAGGTGATGCCGAGCCGTCCCAGCCGCCTTCGAAAGATATTCCTGCTTGCGTTTAAGGTCCTCAATCTCCTTCTTGTCTCCTTCAGCTTGCTGGTGCTCTTTTTGGTGCAGTTCTTGGATGCTGTTCTGAAGGTATGTGAGAAGTTGCCACCGAGAGGCTTGGTAAACTAATCTGGCCATGATTTCGGGGATCTAGACAGAATTAGCAACTCCTCAAAGAACGTAGGTAAACAGATTGCGCGCATACCGCCTCATCTAGGTAGTAAAGCTCGTCCCCCCCATCCTTGACAAACTTCTTGACAGCATCAAGCTTCTCTCGATCCACAATTGCGGCTTTCAGCGCATACATCAGATTCGGAATATTCCTAATCTCCTCCAAAAATACCTCCGCTTCAATCCCCGCAGAGGCCCGGCCCAAGTTCACAGACGTTGCCCTAGACGCACGCTCTGAAGTAGAAGCTCTTTTTGGCTTCACAGCAGAGTGGATTGTAAAGTAATCCGCGTTCAACATATGCGCCATTTCCAGCCCCGTGCGGCTTCGTCTATTCCGCTCAGATGCGCGTTTGACACGCAGCCGGACCCATCGACGGCGACGTACAAACGAGTGGAAGAAAGGATGAGTCCCGTGCCATGATGATGACGTGAACGAGAACGCATATTGCCAGCCCTGCTCGTCGACATCACCAGACATATCCACGTACCAAGTCCTCCACGCCCATTCCCAGCTAGGATCAGGGACTTGAGCATTTGTTATGTTGACGATGCTCCGTTTACCATCCCCGTTTATCCAGGGGCCCGGGTCGAGGTTCAAGAGAGATCGATCTGAATAAAGGGGAATACCGAAGAAGAACCACCCTCGCTGATTCTCGTAGAGAATATCTAGCTCATTCCCAGGCTTGAGCCCACAGATCTTGTGCTGATTCTTAGACGAATGTGTCGTTCTGGTGCTGGCGCCGGCGCCGGCGCCAGCGAAGTCGTGCTGTTGTACTGGTCCTGCAAGTTGCTCAGAGGTTTGCGAATCGAACTGGTAGCCATTGTCGTTGCTACTTTCCTGGACAGTGCTGACATTGGTCAGGGTGTTTCCATTTGTATCGGTTCGCACCAGCTCCCTCTCGTCCGATGACAGTTGTTCACCTTCAGTTGCACTATCATCCGCAACCCCTAGCCGATCCGGCTGCCATTTTGCATATTTGCGTCTTGTTCGCTCCGCTCGAATTGACGGACGACTCCATAATCTTGAGCCTGCACTAGTTGTCGTAGTCGTCCTGGTGAAGGGTGCATTGTCTGCGGGGCGCTCGGCAGGCGCTGTGTTGTCAATGAGCTGGATATCCATCGCACGTCGCTCGCATCACCAGCAACGTTCCTATTAAGAGCAGCAGATCATAGTTTCTTCACCAAGCCTGAATGCTTAGCAGAGATAAATAGATATATATGGGAATAACAAAGGCCGATGCAAAGTTCAGCCCCATCGAAAAGGAGAAGTGGAACGCAACGACCTTGCAAGATCTCCTGGTTCAACAAGAAGAACTGATCGATCGAGGAATGACGTTGTTGGTGGGGCTGATCCGCACGCATTTATTCCTGAGGCATCTATGTTTTACACCATCCTTGGAGCTGACAGCCTCAGGCGCCAAGGCTGCAATTCCTCTCCGGGGCACGACGCGTTCACAACTGACCCAAAGGATATCCTCCCAGTACCGAGTCAATCACAGCACACGCCTTGACCATGGACTCCTCACACTACCGTAAAATTGATCTCCAGTCTTCTGCAGACTTCACCTATCTCCACGGCAACGCCGTCGCGCTGTCGCGCCAGAAACTCGACTTGCATCTCCCTCCTTCGGCGAACCCAGATGACGGGCCCGACCCTATGCGCGAACGGGTTCGCGAGTTGGTCGATGATGTATGTTCCAGGGACTCACTCACCAAGCCAAAAATTTTGCATGTTCAACTAGTCTCTAACAATTTGGTAGTTCATAAACCGCACCTTCTCCTCCGCCTCCGCCTCCATCGCCATCAACGGTCTCGATTCTTCATCTCCAGAGTTCCCTTTCCCCCAGGGGCTTACAGGCCCGGCGGAAACCGTTGAATATGAGCCATACGATGCGAAATTAGCGGCGCGGGTTTCCTCGTTGTACGCGCAACTGGAGTCGCTCACCACGACGGTGGCTCAATTGAGACGAGATGCGCCAGGGAAAGCAGCCAGCCAATATGCTGAACAATTAAATAAGGCGATCGAGGAGGACGACAAGGATCTTGACGAAGAAGAGGAGGTGGGGGAGGAGGAAGATGAAGGGGATCAGGACAAGAATTATGATGTTGAGATGCCCGACGCAACTCAGCCTCAACCAGTAGACGCTGCTAGTACGACGGCTCAAAGGAGGCGGCGGAAGCCTTCCAAAAACTCGTCAGTGTGGAACCTGGATATCCCGCTAGGCACAGAACACGAAGCTGAGCGGTGGCATAATGGGGAAATCGCAGAGGTTTACGAAGATGCGTTGCGGACTATACTTCGACTTCAAGGCGAGGCTGCGGCTGGGGAGAGTGGGGAAACCCAGTCCGACGGATTCGATGGAAATGCACTGGCATCTACAGTTGGTAAAGCTGAGCGGGCGAGTCGAGCTGTCGAGTTTGTAGAGAAAGTTTGAGGCGCCGTTTGGCATCGGTTCTGAGTGCGATGGTATACAGCTTTGTTTATGATGAATGATTCCCCCTCAGCGGAAATCGCTGTCTCTTTCCTTCATGTGCTCATGAATTTGTTATGAAATCGACTTGAGATTGCTGTTGAACATGCGCCAAAAATGGCAAATCCGTGATAGCAGCTCAATGATCTAGACGCGCCTCGACTCTGTACAACCTCACTCACAATCTCCATCTATAAACAACAGCTTTGCGCCGCTCGGCACCATGTTTGACACCTAACCACAATGAAAAAAAAAGATTAACAGAAGAACAAAAAGAGGGCGACACAGGGTGCAAGAAAATTAGCTTCCGCAAGTATGACCTAGCAGGTAGAGCAGTTTGATCTTGCTCAACCGAGTCAATCTATAACGAAAGAAAGAAAAGGTGAAAGTGTGTGAAGGAAGCTTCAGCTTTTACCAGATTGTACCAAAATAACAGGAAAGAGATAGAGGAAAAGATAGTGGTAAGAGATAATAGGAAAAAAAAGAAACAGATATAGTGAACAGATAGTTTAGGCAACGTTCTTAACTCTATGCAACGGGTTGAGAAGCATCTTGCGTTTCGGTTTTCTGTTCAATGCCCGCCTCCTCGTTTTGAATGGCGTTCTTGTCTTCCTTGGGGGCAGCCCACTTGGGCGGCTTGGCCCACTCTGCTTCCTGCCACGGGCCCGCATCACTGTACTCGCAACCTCCCTCACACTGACAGGAGCCACCGAATTCCTTGGGAAGGTTCTCTGCTGGAACCTGCTTCAGGAGCTCGGATTGGTAGCCAGATCCGAGAACATGGATCTTTTCGACAGTGACAGGGTCAAGGAAGCCCTTGACAACACTGAACACAGTGCTGAATCCCCAAGGAGCATTGATCAGGTACAGCTTTCCAAGTCGTTCGGGGTAGTAGTTCTGAGAGATGGCGGATGCTCGGCTGAGATAGCCGTAAACGGACGGCATGCTCGTGATTCCAACACCCTTCAAATCCATGATACTGCAGCAAGTTTCAAGTAGTTTTCCGGCCTTTCGTGAGCAAGCGGGCAACCTAGGGTCGGCGCATTTCTCATACTCCGTGACGAGGTTCTTCAGCATACGCTCGTCGGTGGTGATCTTGGACATAGCGGTGAGGTCAATGCGGCCATACTTCTCGATGTACACGGGGCGACCGTCCTAACCAGGTTCATCATTGTTAGCAAAGCTTTGGTGACGGACAGGGGGTAAGGGGAAAGTCCAAACACACCTTGTCCGTCTTGTGATAGTACTGAGGATAATAGTTGAAGATTGCTGGCTTTTCAGGGTACTCGAAAGTGGCGGCCAGGTCATCAGTACCGAATTCCTTCCTCCACTTTTCGCTTGCGATGAACCTACATTTACGGAACATAGAGGTCAGCCGGCATTGCACTGAGAGTCGCAAGTTGAACAAACGTTGGGAATGAGGATCATACATTGCCTTAGTAGCCGCAACATCAAATTTACGGGCTCTTAGAAAACGCAGCAGAGTCAGAGTGTCCAGCCGCTCGACGTAACCCTCCTGTTCCAGCTCGCTGCGGAGCTGATCTACTTTGGCGTCTTGCTCCGGACTGGTATGGCCAGGGTGGCCAGGCTGAGCCTCGGGGGCAGTAGTGGGATAGTCATAGTCATCGTATTTCGACGCGGGCTTCTCAGCAGGTGCCGCCATTGTTCTAGCAGGTGGGTGTGTTTAAGAATTGAAGGATGGTGGTTTTGGGGGAACTGATAATTGTGGCCGGATCGCTGGCTGGGAGATAAGCAGACGGAGAGTGGAGAGGGGCGAGTCGTCAAGAAGTAAAGACAAGAGGCGTGGGACAGTAGCCACAAAAGGTAGTCGGTCTCTTAAAGAGTCGAGATACTCAGGCCAGAGGCTGCAAAGAGGAGAGAAGGCAGTGCAAAGAGAAAGACAGGGAAAGGAGTTCTGGTTTGGACGGAAACAGTAGCGGAAGTTTGACTAGTCAACTTCAGGAGGGGCTCGAGGCGGTCAACTCCAATGATAGATTATCCACTCTGGAGTTTGGACCGTGAAGACCTTGAAATATTCGTAATGTTGTTCAGGTCTCAGAGTAATGGTTTCAGAGCAGTATTTACGGTCCACAAGCTGAGCGAAATGTTGTTGTATGGATTTTGTTCCAAAAGCAATATGGTCAATTCGCTGCCAAACGTCATCTTTTCCGATTTTCCCTGCAGCCCGTCACCTGTGACGTCGGCGCGTTGACACTGCTTGATCGAAGTAGATTCGCCGAAGTTAAGACCCAAAAGCTGGTGAAGTTTTCCATTCCAATGGTCAGAAGGGATCTCGATTCGTGGGAATCTAATCATGCTAGGGGTCCGCCAGAGATTCGCTGTGGCAAAAGCTTCATCATTAAAGGCAGCGAGGCAGAAACGCTAAGTTCGGCACATATAAAAATACATATAATCAAGTAGACAAACAAGTAGACACGGTAGCCGACTATAACAAACGAAGGGTTCGAAATGAGGAAGAGAAAAAAAGTGATTAGATGCAGAAAGGACGCAAAGTCATCAAAGTAAAAGACATGCAGAATCATTCAACGGGGTATAACATATTCAAAGACAAAACAAACATGAAGCATGAGCACTTTCCAAAACTTAAGAGTATACACTCTTTCTCTCGACCAGCGAGAACAAAGGTAGCTCGCACTAAATGTGAGCTAAAAGTGAGCTACAGCTGGAGCAAATTTCCGCCTCCAAGCTCGAAACCTCCAAAGGGCCAATTAAATCAGAAATCGATCATGGAATGCCTTTCGGGTGTTGTTCGTCCCTTCCAAGGGAGCTGGCGATGCCCGTCCCGCGTACGAGGGAGCAGGATATGCAATTGCGAAAGGTACCATGACAATGAAGTCTCGTCTGCGTGAAGACAGCGCTGTGGGCGCAGATAGGGTACATCAGGGCGCAGAGAGAACCTCGCGTTGGAGAACTCAGAATCATATCCAAGAACCGTGCGAGTCACCAGGTGTTTGCGTATGTCGCGACTGGGAATATCTGGGTAAGGCAAGGTTCTCACCATCCCTTTTTGCGCGCGAAGCGCTTGTTCAGGAGCGTAAGCACTTTGGAGACATTGAACTGAACATATTCCAGATCCAGGTCTTCCAAGTTGTCTTTCTGCATCTCAAGTAAATCGTCAAGCTTGAGATCTAACTCTAGGAGACCTCGGGCACGACCTATGCGCAAATAATTAGACAGAACTAGGGGAATTGAACACTGGTGAATCGCTGCACTCACCTTTGTAATGTAAGCTTATAACGAAAGTCCCGGGTAGTGGGCTCTTGAACATAAAGTAAATGTTCGCACGTCTGTTCTCCGGCACATTGCTTTTGCGAATCACCCCCTCTTTCTCAAGCTGCTGATGGGTGAATTTGTACGGTCCCAGCTCCTGGTGCTTCTGCTGTTTTCTAGACTTTCCTTCGGACTGGCTGCGGACATTGTGAAGGTATGATTTGTACGTCTCCAGCTGACCAACCAGATACGCGTTATGATCACGGATGGTTGAGTAGACCTCCTCCAGCTGCTTGGTTTCTTCCAGGACTTTCTCCTTGAGAGATCCCAAGTGTACGAGCTCCTGCTCGACTTCGTCGCGGAGAAGGCTGAACTCGTCTGAGCGATCAATCACCCCCATCTCCTGCAGTTGGCTTAGCAGTTCCATGGTCCGAATGCCCTTGCGAACCATGACGGCGTCATTCTTGAGGGTAGCTGCAGCTTCAGCGATACGATCCAGGCGAAGAGGACGGCGAGCAACTGATGAATTGAGAGGGAGGGAACGTAGGATCTGAACAAATGTAGATTTGGCTTCCATGAAGAAAACCTCCTCCTGAGTGATATCTAGGGCGGACGTCAAGTCATCTAGGGCGGTCTCCCATCGGCTGAAAAGCGGGACGGTGATGGTCCGGTTCTCCTTGCGCGGTACTTGGGAAGGGGCCGGTCCTAATTCCTGTAGTATCTCCTGAAGGTGAGAGTGTTGATCCTGAGCTAGTGCCGCGTTATGCTTTTCCAGTAGCGCATGAGTGGCGTACACTTCGTTGAGGGTGATTTGCAATTCGAGGTCTCGTTTCGATAGCGCAACATAGTTGTCCATTTCCAGACTCTCGTAAAAGTCTTGCACTTCACACAGATCGAGCATGAACTTGTTGACGCGTTCCTTATTCTGTTGGATGAACGGTTGCAATTTGGCCATGTATGGTTCCTTTGCGTAGGATGGCTTGTTGGCCAGATTCTGAATCATCTTGGCAATCAGGGTTAACGTGCGACGGGGTTTTTCTGTGGGAGTTGCGTCGATCAACATGTATGAACGTGGAGTGACAATTGCCGGGTTGATGAAACGTAGGAAGAAGAAGCCACCGATCAAGGTACAGATGGTTTGATCATGAGCGTCAGGGTATTTGCGACGAGACAAACTCCGGATTTGTTTACAAATCCAGCGAATCCCATAAGGTGCATCATTCACAGAGTTAATGATCGTTGTTATGAAGGAGTTAGCGATATCTGTGAGCTTCTTAAGACGTGGCGCGATGATAGCCTGTACTCGTTCGTTTTCTGCAGCAACTTCGGCTGTGACAGAGCGGAGGAGGTTATCTGGCAGTGATCCTGTTTCCTCTTCAATCTCTTTCACCATCGCCTCATAGACCTTCAATGGGTTGATCTCGAGATCGACATCACGTAACTCGATCAACGCATTGATTTGGTCCGCTAAAACCTGCTTCAGATAGCTCTGGCCAGGACCACGCCGGGTATATGTGGTCATCATGCGAGAAACGGGGGTGTTTTGTCTCAGGAGCGAAGAATATTCTGGTGTGTTATCGAATTGGTATGTCAAGACGGACTGGAACATCGTAAGGAGGAGGTGCTCCTCACGGCTCTCGTACTGGTTTCCGTAGATTGTGAACATGACGGTTTGAAGTAAAGAATCAATCTCGGACATTGATACTAGTCGACACAGATGCGCTATGTGGCGCGGTTCGGACTGGAGAAGGAAGAGGAAGTTGCCATATTTTTGCGTCTTTTCGTCGTTTGGGAAGAAACCTTCTTGCGGATCGACAGTGTCATCAAGGCGGTTCGCAACCTCGTTTTGCTAACGGATCGTCAGTAAAGGGGAGGCAAGCAATGCGATCAAAAGATAATCTTACCTCCTCCAGAGCCATACGGTTCTGAATCAGTAGAGCTATTCGTGAGTCGAGATATCGTACATCCTTCTCCAGGACGAAATTCTTCTTTGATTGCGATGAGATTTTCGCCTTCAGTTCTCGGAGATATTTTTGAGCTGGAATCAATTGATCAATGTGTGCACATTTGAACAGGGGCGGTACACACGACTAACCTTTCGCGAGGTCATCTGAGATTTCCAGGTCTCTGTCCTTGGCGGACATTGACAGGTAGAGTGCTGTAACAGACAACCGCTTCGACTGGCGAAGGGAGCGAGTATCGTGGGATGACATTGTGTTTTGGCGAGTGACAGGTTGAAACGAAGAAGACGAGGAAGTGGAAGCTCTTGACGCGGGTTGCAACATCGTCGCAACCGACATTTTGTGAGATAACGGCTTTCGAAGTGTGGGCGAGCACACAAGCGAATAATCAGACCCCGGTATGATCTAACACAAGGCAATCCGACACCAGGAGCACACTTTCAGAGAACCGCGTTGTGAAATATTTCGAGACGGGTGTTTTGGTGAGGATCAGGGAAACGTCATCGAGGATTGGACACGAGCTGTGTGTGGATGATCGGGGGGCAAGTGAGTGTACCCCTTATCAGACGCGTGAAGAGAATTGTCCAGGTTTCAAGAGTAGCGCTTGGAATTGGGTAGGGTAAATGGTTAACACTCAGCTGCAAGATGCTAGTTAGTTAACTTTCGAGAACAAAGGAGGAAGGAAGGATCGGGTAGAAGGCGATAGGAATAGCCTTGGGAAATGGTATCGGGTACTTTAAGGCAGCAAATTGGAATACTCACGGATGGCAACGGAAGAAAACAGAGAGAACCAAAAGAGAAACACGCTTGACACTGGAAAGGTGAGATAGGGGATGTGGGAGAGGGTGCGCAAGTTTCAGAGTGAGAGGAGGGTCGGGATTGGACGAGATTAATGGAGGAAGTCGGTCAAGTCGCAGATCAGACAAGACGGAGACAGGGGAAGCTGGAACCTGAAAAAGGAGAGATAAGATGCTGGTAGGTATATCAGGGAGTATTAATGGTAATTGCGACTTGGGAAGTGAAACACAGTACTTGTAAGAGTCCACGGGAGGGTATAACGAATATATGAGAAAGAAAATTAAGAGAGAAGATCGCCAGGATATCAAGAGGCTTTGCAAGTTGTAGTGGGTGGTTCCCCAGATAGGGAGGGGAGGCTGGTTTTTTAGGGAAGAAAAGAGGGGAGAAACGCGAGTCAATTGAATTGGTTGGTGATTTAGTTAAGGTGGAGATGGTTTCCGTCACTTGCAGACACCTCAAATGCAAAATCAAAAAAAAGGTACAAAAAAAAGAACTTAATACTTGCTAGGTTCGGGCTCAGCTCCTGCAATGGCGCTGGAATTCATGACTCTCGCCATGAGATCTTTCTTTCAGATGAAGCTTCGAATATGCATCAACTTCTTGAGTCCTCAGGGTACATAGGTATGCTGCTCTGAGTTCAGGAGTTGATCTGGGACTAATTCCACTCCACCTCCACAGCACACCATGGACCCAGCGCAGGCTATCACCTGTACCTGAATCCCATTCCGCTCGAACCATGTTTCCTGCTCTGTTCCTGCTCCTATTATTTTTGTCGAGTTCGTTGAAAAGACATAACATTGTCACCAGGACCTCCCTCGAGCACACCTCCTCTCATTGAGCGACAGCTGGTCAAGATTCAACGGTGTTGGATACTACCTCCAAGGCATAGGTACTTTGAAGCTTGCAGGAGCGGGTAGAGCAAGCAATTGGCCCGTCTACGGCTCGCTGGTCTTGATCTCTCTGAGTCTTTCAAGGCTGTACTACCCAACCTTTGCCAGATGCTCCAGGGCGTCCATGTTAAGATTCATAAGCGCCCCCAGAACTCGACCAAGTCTCTTTTCATCTGCGGCAGGTGCTGATGCAGGATGCAAGGAATTTCCCACATCCGCCGCAGCCACCAGCTGCACGGACAAAAAAACGCCCAACGCTTTGCGGACTTGCAGACTTAATTCAGGAATTGGCCCTGTCCACTTTGTGCCTTCGTAGTGTCCGCAATTCGAGTCACTCTTCCCCATCCATGAGATGCTTACTCTTAGCGTCGGTTACCCCTGGCGGCGGAAGGCGCATGATCAGGCATTATTTCCCAATCCGGTCGCCCTTTGGAAACCGAAATGTTTGGTCGGCCAAAGCCATGTTCCTATTCAATTCCAGTTCTTTGTCCCATGGGTCCATGGGAGGTGCAAAGAGTGTCTCGCTAGGGGCTATCAAACCAACAATGTTTAGGTTGACAGTCAATATTAGCCCTGGCCCAGAAGGTAGCATTGTATGAGCCTATGAGGATCATGATTCACAGCAAAGAGTCGTACAAAGCCTCGACCTCACGGACCATATGACTCGATCGCCGTCTGTGCTTTTTAAGTTTCGGTCGTGTCTGTCGGTATCCGGCATTCTTCTGCCATCTGCTCGGACTGCTCTTGCTATTTGGCATTCTTTGGCTATCAGGCTGCTGCCCGTGCAATCATTCCGTCCTTCCGACTCACTTCCGCAGCACGACGACACCCTAGTCAAGTGGAGTGCCAGTTCCTGGCTGCCAAGGACAATCCCCGCCATGTGCCTGTCCTGCTAAGAATTCTAAATTTTCCGCCTGATCACAGTCCGACAGTCCGACTGGTACCTGCGTTGACCCGCAGAGCGCGGCATCTATCCACTCCGTACCTAGGTACCTTTACCCGGCCGCTCAAACTGGATTCTTGTGTGGTGCAGTTTCTTATCATCCCCCAAATCTCAGCATGCCTCAGTCTCATGGGAGACTTGGATGATGACTATGGCATGAGTTACATCATCTTCCTGAACCATTGAACCATGAAATAACGATGTTTCAGACGTCAAGCAGACATGCCATGCGCCCTGATCCATTCTGGTGTGGAACTGTACGACTGCGACCACAGAATCTTAAATTAATCGTCCAAGGCTTGGATAGCCAGTTTTGATCAATTCCAGGGGCTACTACTCCGACTCCCGCAGAGCTCCAGGGCTACCTCAGGATCCCTGAGTTTCACGCGGTGAACCGTGACTTGAAAAGTGGGCGCTTCGGTCTCTCTTAACCTCGCAGCCTCGCGGGAGGAACACTGGACTACCTAAGATCGACACCCGCAAATTAATCACGATTGGATGGGGGTTTCTTGATTTGCGTTGAACCATGGATGAGGTCCTGCAAAATGAAGATTAACCGCTGTTTACCCACCACGACGAGACACTTTGGAGCAGGCCAACGTCCTAACAGTCTCACAGACGCTGCCTTACATTGCTTGCAAAGTTCAGAGTTCCGTGCACGATTCATCAATAGTGAGGTACAACAGCGGTTCCTGTCCCTATCAGGGGCTTCCAGGCCGGAGCTTAATCTCCTCACCGTTCATCTTCTCCGCAACCCCGCCATTGCTTCTGAAATCGATAGAACACCCCCAGGATCGGGTAATACGAGGTCAGGCGGAGAGAAGACTTTGCACAGAGCAGTTCCTCCCACTGTGGTGTGTCCCACGCCTCTCGATCTCTGGTTCTCTGGACTGAGTAGGGTATAATTGCTTTTGATATGACGTCGTTTATTGAAGTTAACTTTTAAAGGCTGGCCATTCTCCTGCGAACGAGAGAGTTGCACTGGGATCGCGGTAGTTGTTCTTCTTCCATCCCACTGACGTGAAGCTGCAAGGAGAGACAGCGACGAACCACTGCATATGCCGTATATCGGGATATCCGCTGCTGTTGAACAAGTCTTGGCTGCGGCGTCCGGTGTCGTGGGCCGTATGAGGCTGAGGTAAGAAAAAAAAAGCCGAGGATGAACTGTGTGCTAAGACGCTAACAAACCCGCTTTCCAACAACGATTTTGATACGTTGGCAGCACCTTCTTCTTTTCTTCTTCTCTGCACTGTAGGTATCAAAGGCAATTCAATATGGCTGCCCCAAAAGGTTACCTACTTTTCTACAATATCGTCAGTGCGCTGCTCTGGCTCCGCATTCTCCTCACCGTCATCACATTGTACTGGGATCCCCAGATATACACCAGCATAGAACCATGGACCAGATGGACACAGACGCTAGCTGTGCTTGAAGTCCTGCACGCCGCAACAGGCAAGTATCTCCAGACTCGAGAGTCTCAGCCAACTAGCTAACTTTTGTACACATAGGCATCACACGATCTCCAATCTTCACCACCTTTACTCAGATTTTCGCGCGCAGCGTGCAAGTCTGGGCTATCAACTATGGCTTCCCAGAAGTGACGGCATCTTCAGCCGCTTACCCGGCCATGCTCTTCGCATGGTCCACCGCTGATGTCACCCGATACCTCTATTTTTCAGTGCTACTAGCAGGGAATCCAGTACCCCGGGCTCTAAAGTGGCTGAGGTGTGTGTTTTCAATCACTTACCACCTATTCAATCTATCACGAGTTGACCCTTTGAACCCCAGATATTCGCTCTTCCTTGTACTCTACCCAATTGGGATCGGTAGCGAATGGTGGCTGATGTACCGCGCAACTACCGTAACCACTAACCTTCTCATTTGGGGAATCTTGTATTTCTTCCTCGGCTTATACGCTCCGGGTGAGTCTCTTACTGCACATATGATACCTAATGCCATGTCTAATGAGATAGGTTCCGTCATGATGTATTCATATATGGTTAGGCAGCGGCGGAAGACGCTCTCAAAATAAATCGCATCTAGGACGCTTACGCTGTACACGTCTTCATTCTCAGATAGCAGCATTCGGCGCGGTGAGAAGCCTGGAGCAAGTTTCAGTTAATACAAGGCACATCCTGCGTTAGTGCGAACAGCAGGGTAATCGCCAACAATCAAACAGCGCCCTCATTAGCCGTGAAACAAAATATAGCGGCGACTCCGCAACGATCAAAGCTGAGACTGAAGGCTTTTCGAACCATCAACCAGGTAGGTGGACCTCGGATTTTTGCTGAGCTTCTTTATGAAAGAAATGGTCAGGTATTCCTAAGAAGATCAAATAGAGCAGAATTTCGTCTATTAGCGGATAATATGATATGCGGAGAAATCCTCTAATGCCAGGCGCTTCACGTAAATGCAAAATGAATCGTACACGGTCGTAGCAATAATATACAGATATACAACGGCGGGAAGCCTGTCCTCTTTCAGTGAGGCCTGGGAGTAGTACAGCCTGGCGGCTTGAGCCGTGTGGTGTAGCTTCACGGGCTAAGACTCGGTCATGTCATGTCCGCCGATTATACTCAGCGTCTGTCTCGGGTGTGGACTTTCGCGCTTCCTCAAGCATGGTGTCGATCCCTCGTTCTTTGAGTGTTTTCTGCAGTCGGACTCATATTAGCTTCTGTTTCAAACAGGACTTCGCGTGCGCAACGTAGAGCGGCGACGAATCATACAGTCAGACAGGACTTGTACTTTGCGAAAAGGTCTTCACATTCGTTCGAGGTGGTGTTGCCGCGCAGGTATTCTGTTCAGATTGATTGTTAAATCCTTGTGCCTGTACAGTGACAGGGAAAGTAAAGCGTACTCTCGCTGTACCACTTTAAAAAGCAGGTGTCGTATTTTCTAGAGACAAGTTTGTTAGCTTCGATTCGTGAGATCGTGGATTTTGGTGCGTACTCTTTGATATCATTACACTCGGGAGCTATTGAGGCTGCCATGATGAATATATGACGGATCGAAGTTCGAAAGGGAAAAATAAACGTGCATCGGAAGGTTCAAATAGGCTGAATATGACAGCGGAAGCATTCAAGAGGCGGAATCGCCGAGGAGCAGCCGCTGATCATTGCCCGACTAGAGGCGGTCAGGTCTTTGTGCCAGAGAAATGTCTCCACCTCCACCTGCCTTTTTTTTTCCTTGGATGAAATTCACCCTTCAAGCTTCTGTTGCGACCAGGGTTCCAGCTGACCTCGGAGCTGCCAAATGGATTCTGCCGCTGATTTTCCACCGTTCCAGGAACGGCTGACTTCGTCGCTTGTACAAGTTACTCGCACCATCGGCCAGCTCCCTGTGAACGATCTCAACTTCCACCGGTCCTCCAATGCAGAGGTGTCGGAGGCATTGGATGAACAGAGCGGTCGGTTACTGTCTTTGACTTCGTCGATTCTCAAGGCTGCCACTGCCGGGACCGATATCTCTGCGCCGAGTCTCTCAGATGAGGATTCAATTGAGGACAATTGGCGCGGAATTGTGGATGTCATCGATGCGCTGTTGGAGAAGGCAGATGCTTGTCTAGATGAGTTTACGGGCGTCATCAAGAAGCTGAGTCCGTCGCAGGAGGCTAAGGATGGAGACAATAAACAGACTTCGAGAAAAACCCAAAACTTCCCGACCATCTACGATTACGGCCCGTCAAAAATCCCGAAGCCCCAATTAGAGTTCGAGCGCCAGGTGGACAACACAGATACATCGCCCTTCAAGCCGCTCTTGAAGACAAAGCCGCATGCTATAGAGCCATTGAACCAGTCGCTGACACCCCCGGCTGATTCGCAGCTGGGCTATCGCAACCCATACGAGACGGAGATTCGCGCCGCCAAGTATCCCGACTCTGCCTATGTTGTCTCGCCTCCTATAGACTACCTACCATTCAAGTCGACGACCGCAACATTCGTGGATACTTTGGATGGCGTGAAGGATATGCTTGCTGAGCTGAAGTCTGCTAGGGAGATTGCGATCGATCTCGAGCACCACGATGTGCATTCGTATCATGGTCTCGTGTCGCTGATGCAGATCAGCACACGAGAAAAGGATTGGGTGGTGGACACGCTCAAGCCGTGGAGAGAAGAGCTGCAGATTCTCAATGAGGTTTTTGCAGACCCTAAAATTCTCAAACTCTTTCACGGTTCGAGCATGGATATCATCTGGCTGCAGCGCGATCTTGGCCTCTACGTTGTGGGCATTTTCGATACATACCATGCCGCCTGCGTGCTGAACTACCAAAGGCGGAGTTTGAAGTTCTTGTTGCAGAAGTTTGTCAATTTTGAGGCGGATAAAAAGTATCAAATGGCCGATTGGCGGATTCGACCCCTCCCCTCCGGCATGTTTGATTATGCTCGCTCCGACACCCACTACCTTCTCTATATCTACGATAACATTCGAAACGAACTCGTTGAAAACTCTACACCGGAAGAAAACCTCGTCAACTACGTCCAAGAAAGGTCCAAGGCCGAGGCCTTGCAAAGGTACGAGCGTCCCGTTTACGACGCGACCACAGGACAAGGTGCTGGTGGATGGTACGACTTGATGGCGCGCAATCCTGCTGTCTTTAGCAAGGAACAATTTGCCGTCTTCAGGGCAGTACATCAGTGGCGCGACGAGGTTGCTCGTGAGGAAGATGAGGGCGTCCAGTGCGTCTTTCCGAAACACATCCTGTTCCGGGTATCTCAGGTCATGCCACTGGATCTAGGGACGTTGTTTAAAACGCTTTCTCCTATGACGCCGATTACCAAAGAGCGCGCTCCGGATTTGTTGGACATCATCAAGAGTGCCAAGATTGAGGGTGCCACAGGGCCGGAGTGGCGCGACATATACGTGAAGCCAACCAAGGCTACACAACAGGGACCAGATCTTCTGACGCCTCCCACAACATCACGGGATGCTTCTTTCCCTACGGCTTCCCGCTGCGATGTATCACAATTTTGGGGTGGTGTGTTAGACCTTCAGACGCCTCCTTTGAGTCTCCCTGATTACGCCTTTATCGCCTCCGCCGAAGCACTCCGCCTCTCCCTGCCACTTCCGCCGTTGCCCAGAACAGTCTCCGAAGTTCGCGAAAAAGTAGTCGCGCAGCAACCACCAAAGTCGGCGCCTACACTGACGCCGAAGAGGGAAGACGAGGAGAAGAACAAGGTCTTTACCGTCAAGGAGCTCGGTGGCCCACGCAAGCGCAAGGCCGTGGATCACCCAGTAGCAGCAGAAGATGAGCCTTCCGCATCGTCAGACGAGTTTGACCTGGATCAACTTCCACTTGAAGTAAACTCACTGCCTACGAAAAAGCAGCGCCGAAAAGAAAAGAAAGAAAAGAGAAAAAGAGAAAAACAGGCTCAGAACCAGCCTCCGGAGGATACAACACCCTTTGATTACGACAATGCCGATTCCGTCCTTAACGCCAACCCCCAGCCTACATCCGGCCTTCCTTCTAAGCGACCGTATGACCCGTATATCAAGGCTACTCAGGCACCTTCTGGTGTACGGAAGGAGAAACGTGAGATAGCTGGAAAGAGCCATACGTTCAGGTAACGCAGAGCTTACTCATCCTTGGTCGAAACTGTATAAATGGTGGTGGCTCACGTGGAGACGGTTTAGTTGCACAAAAATGTCCTGAATACATAGCGATACCCGGATCATAATCTTGACATTCAAAAATTTGACTGGAACTTGTTCTTCATAAATCTACTAATCTGTTTTGCCCCGCAATTATGCAGGGCGTCGAACCTTGGAACCCTTGGACGTTTCGCCACAGGTCATTATGACCTGGCTCTGTGGCGTAGTGGCCAGCGATGATGAACTGAGTGCAGTCCAGCGTCGTCTTGAGCATCTATCAAATCCTCATCTCAATTGACAAACATCTGTATTGCCATTAAAAGGCCAGTCGCTGTACAAACACAATTCCCAACACTCTTGGACAAGCTCACATTGCTAACATACACCCAAATATATAGTAGACACCTACCCGCGCAACCGAACAAATAGGATGGATGACTCGAAGCCGCCATTCTCCCAGCCAGCAGATCCTCAAGAGCAGCCCTCGTCCCATCGCAAGAAATCCAACTCCAGATCGAAATCGAAAGACAAACCTAGCCATGAAAATCCTCGCGGGTCCAAATACAGGCCGCGCGCCGTTCCATATACAGACGAGCAGATTCAAGCAATTGAGAATGGTGATACAGGGGAAGACGAGGTCTTGAATCATGAGAATATGTCAGTAAGGTTCGGGCCGAATATGTAAAGAAAGGGCAGAGGCCTGCTCTGTTCATCAAGTTTTGAATAGGCTCTCTTTCTTTTTCATCTCAGAAAAGGGCGCGCCTTTTTGAGTTTGATTATCTTACTTTCGCTATAGTCTGGCACTGCATAGGATTGAATGGGAAAATATGGTTGTTATTAAAAGACTATAGACTGTCATCACCTCATTCATGCTGCCCTAGTCGGCACGGGCAAGTCTAGTCATCGGTGCCCTCTTCGTCTCAACTCACCCTGGCTAAAACCAAAGCCGGAGACCCTGAGGAGCCCATTCGATCCCGACCCAATACTCGAGCTTGAGCTACTGCTCCCACTGCTCGTTTTTCTCGGCTGTGTTAACTCAGACCATACCTGTGATAACGAGGGCCGAACATCAGGAAGCATGCTATACTGCATGCTGTAAAGGTTGCGGCGGTGAATCGGAGGCACGAAGCGACCCGTGAAAAGACAAAAGATAACTCGGGGGGAGAGGTAGTGTTTCCGGAGGCGATGGGCCAGTTGGAAGTATTGGTCAAACATGGCTCGTAAGGTGAGGGGGATGGACTAGTGGTGCGTCAGTATGCATATTAAGAGCTCAGGCTAGGGAAAGAAAGTTCATACTTCGAGGTGTATGTAGTGGACAATAGGGTCCAAGGCATTTGTCGACGAACTCTCATGTTCCTGGCGAAGCTCGAAGCGTATTCCGCCTACACATTGATTGTGAGAAGGGGATTCTCGAGACAAAGGTAGAGTAGGGAAGGAACGACTGACCTGGTAATCTTCGGGAGTCCTTGACCCGCAACATCAAGGCGAAAAGTGGGAAATGGTTTAAGAAGGCCAGCCATGTATCAAGCCCAGCCTTGAGCGTGATTATCAACATCCGTGCCGAGGTAAAGGCCAAGTAGAACACAATAACTGTTGGCAAGAGGAAGAAGAGGACTGTGAAGAGAATAGTCCCAAGAAGGAGTTGGTCTAGGTCGTAATCGCACGAGTCGATACGGTTGCGAAGGACATTTCGCTTTTTACCACGGAAAAGGTGAAAAAGGGAGATGATGATGGTGAGCTGCCAGTTGAAAATGCGGGCGGATGCAATATAGAATGAGTATATGTGCACTGTGAGTATAGATACGAGATCGGAGAATAGGGCTATGGGCATGCTGGCCCCAGCGAAGCTCGCGCATCCGATAACGTAAATGATATGAGGAAGGTAGGGTTGCAGGTTTGCAATACACGCTGAACATGTTAGCCGACGTTTTGAATGGAGGAAAACGAATGTCATACCTGCCCAGTTCTCGATAACCCACAAGAAAAGATCACCTAGGAATGCCGCAAGCTCGTTATTCAACTTCAACCCAGCGGGCCAATCCATCAGCCAAGAAATTGTTTGCGACAGGCCTTCGACAGTCCAGCCGCTGAGGACCAGGTTGATCTGGTATGCTACCCAGTTGGCATTATCAATGATGTAGGATCCCAAGGCTATTCCGATGATCACATCATTGGCGACAAGCCACAGGCTATTGTAGAACCGAATGTAGTGTGCGTGGTATGTCGTCACGCTCTCCCAGTCGTCCTTCCGCTGGCGCAGTTTGACATACTGTGTAGGCCAATAACAGAACTGTTGGAGTCGGATATCCACCTGCTGCGCGGTAGCAGATATATCCTTCAATGCCGCCGCGTCTGGCCGCGCACGCCATTCTAGAATTTGCAGGACGAGGTCTGCGACGGCACGATGGAACACCAAACCGATCACAAACACTCGAGTAACAACAGGCCAGATCCACTGCCAAAAAAGGTACGACACACCGAGAACGAATAAGTCCCATATAGTCGTTGCCGATTCGACCACACGCTCCGATACACTCATACTCCTCTTGACACGGATACCGATCAGACTGCTGTTCTTCTCAATCAGCTTTCCCATTTCGTATGCGCAATTTATCTGGTTGATGATGAAAGGAAGGGCGAGCTCTTTGTGCGACGGAATATGCTTGACGACGGTATGAAGCCTCAGCTTGTCCACCAATTTCTGCACTCGAGCCTTTTCCACTCCCTCCCCTACACTGGTCTTATCGAAGCCCGCATCTGGTTTATCTGCAGCTAGCACCTTGTCCTCCAACGCCAGGGAAATAGGGTTCAGTGACATATACTCCATTCTTGTCGGATCTGGACGGTGGAACATGATAACCTGGATCGAAATGTTCGCCTCCGGCGGGCAATGGATACGCGGTACTTTGCATGCGGAGTTGGTTGTAACGAACAGATGCGACGAATTGAAAACAGTCGGTGATTCTCGTGAGTTCGTAGAGCCTAGCACATGCATCGATGACCGCCCACAGAGTCCGAAAATGCGCGGAACAGGGTGAGGGCTATTTCGGAAGAGGATCCCCGCGCGGAGGGCATTGTCAACATTTCGAGGCTGTACAAGCCACAGCGAGTAACAATTAGCATTGAGCACCTCCAGTACCCTAAAGGGATTCTCTCACCTCCACATCCTCCAATACGGCCAACACAAACAGATCTAGCTCCGAGTTGCGCCAACCCACAATCACTCCCGGTGCGGACGACCGGGGTAGGTCGTGTGGCCAAAATACCCTTAGCAATCCATCACTCATCTGCATGTTGTCATCCTCCACCCAAAAACTAAAAAGAGCCGCGGCGGCGCAGTTGTTCCCGAGCGGAGACGCCTAGTTTGACGGGACGCGGATGCTAACAAGTAGAGAGTCAGTCGATGTGATTGATTCGCTCCGCTTCCGCGAGTCGGAACACGCGAAATCGAACACTCATACCTGAAGGCACTCTTTCTGCGCGAGATGATTGATTGGTATAACGAGGAGGAAGAAGAAGACGGAGAGAAACAGGAATCCTTTTGCGGTTCTGGTCTACGGCGCATACGAGTGACAAGGTCAGCGGAGCTCAGTGGGGAAGTGGCTCAATAGTAACACAGGCGAAGAGACGCACCACAACGCCGTGATCCCAAGCAAATATAGCAAGCTCATACAGCCGGGTAACAAGATCCCACCTCGCGGTGATGTAACCCGCAACGAAGATGCCGAGTGTGAGGACGGAAAAGGGGTGCATGAATCAAGCTGTTGGCGGAGATTGACCAGCTTCAATTGGATCGGGGGAACATAGCGGAGAAGGAGCAGAGGCGCTGACTGAATTTCGATTTGAGAGTTAAGCGCCGGTCAATGCAGAGGAAAATGAGCAGCGCTTCGAATGTTTAAAGAGGTTGGAGGGCGAAGCCGAGAAGTGTTTGTATGACCAGCGATTTTCATATTTACTCCGGAAGCGTCTGGAGTCTGGACCGCATCCCCACGTGATTCTTATACTCTACAGGAGAATTGTAGGGGCACTAGGTCTTTTGATATGCGCTCAGTGGGTATTTTCATAATTCTGTAGTATTTTCGCCTATCTATCCGAATTTCGCATGATAACGTGGCTCGCCGAATCCCAGCCCGAACGCCATTAATCGCCATTAGATTTAGAACCGAAACAAGTAATCAGCGCAAACAAAAAAAAAAGCCCGGAATCTATGATTTACAACGCTTTGATTCCTTGGAACACCCGGTTCGCTTGTAGCTTCGGATCAGCTTTCACCAAGTCCCGCATGATCTGCCGCTTCTCCTCTGCAGTCAAGTTCTTCTCGGGATCCTCAATAGCGGCTTTCCATTTAAGCAGCATCGCCTTGAGCAAGGCGCTACCTTCTTCGACTTCCTCCTGTGAGTACTTATCGATTGCTGTAGACGAGGGCTTATCAGAAGATTCTGCGGTTGTGAAGTCCTCCAATTCTTCAGCCTTTTGCCGTGCCATGTTCACTACTTTCTCTGGGAAGCGAACGAGTTCGGCGACGTGGATACCAAACGACTGGTCGCAGATTCCTGGTTCCACGCGATAAAGGAGCGTGACCTTTTGCTGGGACTTGCTCTTAGACTTCTCCTCTTCCGTAGATATACCATCTCCGATGAAGGCGACGACGTGCAGGTTCTTCACAGACTTGGGATACCTATCCGCAAGAGACGTCAACTCGTGGAAGTGAGTCGCGAAAAGCCCAAAGCAGCGAATCTCGGTAACAATATGCTCAGAAATGGCCCAAGCAAGACCGAACCCGTCGTAAGTACTTGTACCGCGACCCAGCTCGTCAATAATGATAAGGGATTCCGACGTTGCGCACTTGAGGATATTGGAAGTTTCCAGCATCTCGGCCATAAAGGTCGAGACACCCTTGAGTTGTGAATCACTGGCTCCAACCCGGGCAAGTATGCAGTCAAATATAGTAAGCTCGGCCTCAGTACAAGGCACGAAGCAACCAGTCTGAGCCATAAGGGCGATGACCCCAATCATGCGGATGTAGGTCGATTTGCCGCCCATGTTGGGACCGGTGATGATTAAGAATGACGACTCATCGCGGATCAGTGAAACGTCATTAGTAATGAAGGAGATATCATCTTGCATCTCCATGCATGGGTGGCGCGCTTCCTTCAGTACGGTGTTGCCTGTGCCTCGGGGATGGATCTTGGGTCTAGTGTACCCTGTAGGTGCGTGAACAGATGCGTGGGCAAAGCTCACAATAACGTCGAGATGGGCAAGTACGCCAGCCAACTGTTCCAAGACTGGAGAGTAAGAGGCAGCAACGTTGACAACCTCAGAGACTAAGCCTGTTTGCGTGCGATTGTAGTTGGATGAAAGCTGATCGTGCTCGCGACGGAGAGACTGCATCGTCGACGTTGTGAAGTAGACTCCATTCTTCTGTGTGGAACACTCTTGATAGCCCTTCTTGTTGCGAATGCAACCCGCTTCGTTGCGAGTCAGCCGGAAGCACCAGCCGTGCCTATTACTGTTCTCAAGGAAAAGCTTCTTATCTCTCTCCTGGTCCAGGTCACGAGCTACAGTGCGATACTCCAGATCCATGTCACTCCGGACTTTGTCTAGCTTCTTGCGGATGATTCGTAAACTGTCGTCAAATTCGGGCTTGATGATGAATTCATGGTTCTCGAGTGCGTCCAGATCCACCGTCGTCTCAACCATCTCCTCGAGCTTCGCTAAACTGTTTGAGTGATTTCGTATCTTGGTCGTATACTCGCTGTCAAGCGGAGTCTGGTATTTCTCATCCATGACATTCTCCAGCGAGTTCACGAATCCAGGCAAGCGGATTGCGACTTGATACACACGCACCACATCTTCCAGGTTTGCCTGTTTTCTCTGAAAGCGTTTCGCCAATCGATAAAGATCCGGAATAGACCGCAGATGCTCTTCCTGCATGGTCTGCCTTAACTCTGTGTCCGTAACAAATGCCTCAACAAGTTGCTGGCGTTTCTCAATCTCCCCAAGGTCCATCAACGGCTGCTTCAGCCACTGCGCCAGAAGCCGACTTCCAACAGGGGTCTTGCAATGATTCAATAGCCCGAATAAACTCATTGATTTCGATCCGTCCCGCGGACCAGGCATGAGATTCAGCGCCCTCAACGCCGCCGCGTCAAGCTTCATAAAGTTTGCCAGATCATGCTGATAGAGCTGATACTGTCCGAAATTGGTGGGGTCCGACATGACTCCCAGGTACCGAATGAGCGCCGAAGCGGCACCCATAGCGAGCTTCAGCTCCGTCTGAGGCAAAGTCCCTGCAGAGCGCTCATCTCGCAGCAGTCTGGTCAAATCCTGCTCGATATCCCTGATGCCAAAATCCGCAACAGGCCGCTCAGAGATTGCAATCCCGCAAGTATCAGCAATAGTACGGATCTTTGCCAGCTCTAGATCCTTTTTGTTCAGATCTGTCGTCACGAGACATTCTTTGACACCAAGTTGGATGACCAAGCTCTCAAAGTTCGAATACACGTCATTATCCAAGAACTCGCTGACACCCAATTCTCGCACACTGGCATCCGCAAAACAGACACCGATGTTTCTGGCCTCTCCAGCCTTGGCGCTGATCTTCACAGCTAGAATAATTGGCGCTCCCGACTCCATCCCCGCGAGGCCACCCACACTTCCCAATTCATCCTCCACTTCTTGCAAATTGCCGGGACTAGCCTGCTTGACCTTCTTATATCCCTTACCTGCGCCGAGAGAAATCCATATTTCAATTCGCTTGTTAAGCCTGAACAAGGCTTCGCGTAGGAAGTTCCTGAATACCGTCACCGTCAATTGGACTTTGGGAAGGCCGCCCGTTTCGCTCCGTCCTAAGTATCGGAGGACTGAGGTTGTTTTGAAAACGGTTCTGGCGATGAATTCGGCCTCCGCGCCGTACGCAGCATAGTACTCGCCGTGATCGAAGATCCGTATTGTGTCGTTGTCATGTTCGAGAGTTCGATAGAAACGAATGAGGGCGGCATCGTCGTCACCCTGCCACGAAATCATTGGTGAGAAAACGAAAAATGTCAAGTTCTGCTGTTGTCAGGGCTTACCTTGGCATCCGAACGAAAAGACATGATGACCGGGTCCCTTCTGTGTCAGAAAGGGATGACTCGGTCGCCAACTTGCGTTATGGTCAAAGTTGTCAGATACCTACTTTACTTTGCTGCTCCAGCACCTGGTCAATAATTCCTTGGCGTGCGCGAGACGCGACTGCGACACGTGACTCCGCATTGAACGCGTCCGACAGTAAATGGTTTTTGACCAATCACACGCTACAATATTCGGAGGACAAACTGGTTGAAATTTACTCCAGTAGTATCAATTCAATCGATCATTAAGTTATATTTGAGTAAAAAATGCAGTCTACTACCACTAGGTATATCAAGATGCAGCGCTAATGCTAGTCCATACACATGTGTGCAGGCTTCAGCCAAAACTCCGGGAATGCGCCACTGAGGTATCAACCAAAAAAGAAGATCCAAGCCATAAACAAATGAACGAAAACATGTATAGACCAAAATATTAGCTGACGAGCATTGGCACCTCCCAAGCAGCTCTCAGTTGCGTCATCTTCGTTCCAATATCCTTCAACTGTACATCTCCACATGATCTCAAAACAACCGACTTGAGTTGGTTGATGACAACAACTTTTACCCAGTGGCCGGCAACATCCTCCCGAGACAAGATTTCCAGGCAAGCCTCCACCTCTTTGTCCGAGATCGGGTTGCGAGTAGAGTCTTGCACATTTCGCACAATCGTGTCCAGGCAGAACGGTGTTCGCTGCGCTGCCATCCTTGCCATGGGTCCGCTTCCCACATATCCAGCTGGCCGGAGAAGTGCCAGCACACCCGCAACCTCCTCGACTCGCTCAGCTGCAGCATGTCGAAGCAGAGCCTCCTTAGATGGAGGTGGGGGCAATTTCGCCTGGCGCAGCTCCTTATTCTTGATTCGCTCAAGAAGTCCCTGTCGGCGGGTTGTGGTTGCATCACGAGTTTTTTGGGGCGCAGTTGAGGTTTCGTCGCTTGTTGCTTCTGTCCGAAGCGCCTCCATCTTCATCTTGATCACACCTCCTTTCAAGTCCTGCAGCCGCTGCTGTCCCTTGCGAAATGTCGTAAACGGAGTCAATGACTCCTGAATCGGAGCTAAGCCCAGTGTTGCCATGAAATCGACCTGACTTTCATCTCCCTCCGCCGAATCCCATAACAAATCAACAGCCTGCTCAAATCGTGTTTGCAGGCCAGCCTCTTCAACTGGCTCCGCTCGTCCAGCGACCTTTTCCAAGCAAACACGACCCAGTCCGTGGTTCACAAGTCGAAATATTCCACCTGTAACAGACTCGCCTCCTTTCTCCCAGACCCAGAGTAGCCGCTGCAAGTCCTTCACAACGACCTTTCTCTTTTTCCATATCTGCTCCACACTGGGAAGGAAGTCTCTTAAATCCGCTGGAGCAACAACCCCACGATGCGCAGCGTGTATAGTGAAAGCTTTAAGAAACGCCGAATGCAGCCGAACCAATTCCTCCACACAAGCCGGGCGTGAGGTAACCGTGTTTATGGGCGAGTCACAAGGTGGACACGGTGTCGCTGCAGCCTTCCCCAGTGCCCGCTTCGACGGTGTTGATGGAACAGTTTGCTCGTCGTTTGACGCCCTCGTCTGCCGCGCAGAAGGCGATGAAGAAGATGCATAATGGCCACTCCTCGGTGTCGAAACGGAGAGCGTACTGAACTTCAGAGATTTGGAAGGTGTCAACGTCGGATCTGCGTCGGTCTTTGCTGCAAGCCCCTGTGTTCGACTACCACCTTCCTGGACATTCTCGAGCTCATGAAGTTTTCGCTTCTTGGAAGGCGAAACCGGTATACAGGCCGCTGGCGTAGGAGCAAGGTCCTTCTTGCCATCTTGTAGGGACTTGAGAGTGCCAAGGCCTGGCTTGATCGCTCTTGCGAAATTCTGAATGCCGGTTTGGCCAGCGCGAGGCAGGCTCGATAGTCTGGTGGAGGTCCGAGGCATCGCGACTTCCCCTTTTTTTAACAATTCAAAATCAATACAAAATTATGAGTGAAGCATTAAACATGAACGTAAAGGGACAAAAGGACGCCAGCAATGGATGTTTGGGTGGAAGACAGGGCGGCTAAAATTGGGGGTCTCCTTTTTCTCTTGGGGCTTTTTTCGAGGAGAAACGCGTCGCGACGCGTTTGGCGTCAGCTGTCTCGATTGGGTTATATTACACTGTTCCCACCATATTACTATTCGGACCATGAGCGAATATAATCGGAACGAGAGCGGAGATGGGAAGTAGAATATAAGATTAAGGATCGGAAGATAACATGGTTCGGCTCCTGGATTTTAACTTAATTCTAGGTATACAATTCATCGTTCCATCACTACGGTGATCCAAGTATCGATTGTTGGGGCCCTGATAGCCCTGGAATGCAGCATGCCACAAAGGATAATTACTGCCATTTCTCATTCAACATCAACCAAGTTAGGCTGACTACCGAAAGAAAGAGTAGTCGGCAGCAGATCCTGACTCTGTTTTGAGTCTGTGACAAGCCAGCCGTCAATCAAACAACCCATACTCCGTGTCCAGCAAGAAAGAAATAAAGAAATAAACGAGGCTCAGGATAGATCATTTCTTTCCTCCAAACCATCCAGAAACTGTACTCTTTGCCTCGGACGCCTTCTCTTCCACCTCGCTCCGCACCTTCGACGCCTGCTCCTTTCCTGCCTGGCTCACCTCATCCAACTTTCTCTGGGCCTGTGCGGTGAGGTCATCGTTCCGTGTGCGGGGGTTGTTGGCCTATAACACCCTTCATTAGCAGGTCGTTCCCTGTGGAATACATTCTCCCAGCCAGATTTTATTATGAGGGGTGAAGTGAGCCGTACCGCCTCGTCGATGTTCAGGTTTGTTTCCAATCCAGCGGTCTGGCCAGCTCTCTCGCCTTCGCCGGGTCCGGGAGCTTTAGCACGGGCCTTGTTGACATCGTCTAAAGGGATTCAAGGTTAGACGAGGGACTTGAGCGACCAAGGTACAACGGTGAAGCCTTACATTTCATCTCCTCCTTGGCAGCCTTGGGGTTTCCTCCAGCCCTGTAGAGGTAGTAGGCGCCTGCGCCGACGGCACCCAGTCCGATGTAGAGACCAGTACGGCTTTTCGCGGGAGTGGCCATGTTGATGTTGGTTTAGCTGTCGTGATGTAATTGAGGTTGTCTTAGTGTTTGGTAGTGAATATGACAATTTCTTGTCCTATCGTTGGTAGTTCGGTAGTTAGGTGTTGCCGGTTTTCGAATTGAACTGTGGGGAGTCAACGTAGGCAACTAATCTCATTATGTTTCAACCCGGCGATGACACTTGTTCGATCGAGCTTAAATAGTGACGAGGGGAAGGAACGGTGATGCTTTTAGAGGCTTGTGAATCGCGGCGTGACGTCACCTGACGGTCATCTACTGCCATGAAAGTAGTTCACCCATCGGGACTCCCAGCTTCTCGAAGTAGGTGAGATCATCGTGGAGAAACGGCGATAATTCGGTCATGAAAGTGAGAGTCCTCGGGCGGGTTGAGGCTGCGAGGCCGATGAACCCGAGGCTACTAGGGGTAGGATATCAGTGAGTTTCTCATACACATTAATGACAGTGAATGTACTAAATCTGTGCATAGCATCGGGATACGAATATCATTCTATTGACGAGCGCTGGGTCACTAACCGTGAGGTATCTAGACCAGATGACAACTCGAGTGAGTGCGTCGGATGAAGAAGTTTTGGTTCAGGGTAGGACATCAAGTTATATCTCACAATGGTCACCCCAGGTTGTCTTCACCCTTGATGAAACAACTCGTCCCCAGGTCACGGCAAATGCAGCTATCCTGCTGATGGTGCACAACATATCTATGACACACGCGCATGTCTACTATCTCGAAATCCAGAGGCATATCTGCGCCGGATCAGTTTCCCCAGGAAATGCAAGGTCAGTCATGGCTATACAAATTGTGCATATCGCGCAGGGTTCCTTTGCGCATCTGTAGCCCATATCATGGGTGTTTCGTGCAATGAACTCCTGTCAATAATCGAACCGCTTAGGGTCGCGGGTCAATATCAATATGACCTTCATAGATAGTTTCGGCCACGTACCTGCCGCGATCGTTGTGGCACTCCACCTCTCTCCCGGTTGCTGGTTGAAGACAGGCACCGGTGCAGAAAATATTTTGGGAACTGGTGACAACCACAATGCAACAAGTACCGTGATAGTTGGACATTTTGCACTGGTGCTTGAACCTTTTCGTGGCAACAGTACTAGACTTGAACCACCTGTTTGATGATGGCTATAACGTTGTTAATACTTCCAGGCACGCTAATCAACTACCCCATGTCAACATGTGTCTGCAGAAATGCGTAATCGCCATTTTACGATGCCGCTGACTTGGATATACAACTTAAACCTCTCCACTTCACCCTCCTCTCCAAATCAGGGTGAATTGGACTAGAAAAAAAAATTCCGATACGGGGAATCGAACCCCGAGCTGCCGTGTGAGAGACGGCGATGTTAACCATTACACCATATCGGATTAGTTGCTGGGTAGCGTTAGACAAAAGACATCTATATTCAAAGTCAATGAGTATATATATATATATATATATATATATATATTTTTTTTAATCTTTCCCTCAACCTTTTAGAGTAGGGGTTTGGCAACGTCGGGCTCTGTGTTTGAAAGTTTTCCATGGAATTATTTGTTCTATGAAATCAGCCAGTTCTGTGGGTGGTCGACAGCCGGGTCTTCATCGGCGCGTCATGTTTAGCGTATACCTGGTACATGCGGTTTAGATACCAATGAGCTTCTCCAGAGTCCAGCGCCTTTTGCCCTATATTTTCGGCCCTTGGATATGCTCAGTAAAGCTTGAACGTTGGATGTTATTTTAATTAGTGCCCTTCCCCACTGTGTGTGAGGAACCCTGATAGCCTTGTGGTGGGGTACCCCCGGACGCCCTTATCGGCCTCTCTGCCATAATATATACATTTGCGGCCATGAAGTTCAAATACAACCCACGACCAACACAGCGCCAAGCAAAGGAAATGGATACTCAAAGTAGGAATCGAGGGGCACATGCCCACTGCAAACCGACTTGATATATCGTGACTCGGGAGAACTGGCGGAATGCTGAAATTTCCAAGCTCGTCGAGATCCAAGTATATGCTGACTAAACCACGATAGTCCACCAGCCAAGATCCATGCAGGTGGTTTTAAAACGTTCACCACCAGCAATCGAAACGCAGCCAGTCAAGCAACACCTCACAGTCAGCACCACGCACATTTGGCGGTCGATGATGATCGCGACTTCTGCTCTGCATAAACTGGACCTGTCACATGGAATTCCCTACCAGCAGCTGAATTGAGTTTCGTCTTCGCGGCGGCCGGCTAGGCCTAGCAACCCCTGCTGTCTGCGCTCAGTCGCTAGAGGAATCAGTTACCATTCCATACGTACACAATATTCCCAACTCATCAAGGCCTGCTCTTGAAAATTCTCGACTACCTCAAAACCAAGCCACAAAATCCGGTTCCGAGGCCTAGACTCGACCTTCAACGCAAAGCCAGGGAACCATGGCAGGCGAACCATCGTATATTGATTATGAGGCCTTCCTAGACCCGGACTTCTCCCCAGCCTCATTTGCCAATTCGCTGGTGGTGGCCACCAACAATGCAACAGACACACCGCTGGACCTGTCAACCCCGCTTTCACGGGTATTGTTCGACCTCCAAGAGATCGACACCCACATCCATACGCTGACAACCAAATCAGCACTCCCCCTGCTAACGCACACGCGGGATCAAACCGATGCCGCAAGCAAAATTCTCAATCAAGCAGACGAGCAGATCGCTTCCGTATCGCAGGGGTACGAGCGCCTGGAGCGTGAAGTCCTGCGCAAATGGAAGGCAGCCGAAGAGGCTAGGGTCGCCACGGAAAACTCCCTGGCTACCGTGCGCCTCGCACGAGCCGTTGCACGCTGTATCGCCCTAGGCCGGCAGCTTGAGGGCCAAATGGCGGAGGTCTCTGGCCGGAGTGGCGTTTCTGGGAACGCCGACGGGGCGCTCGCCCCAAGCTCTGCTACAGGGCGGGATGACTCGCGTGCCCTCGAGCGCGCTGCATCAACGATCGTGAGCCTGCGCCGGCTGCTTTCCGATACGGGCGTGGGCGAGGAGGGCTTTGGTCTGGACCGGGTCAAAGTGATCAGGGCCCTGAAATCCGAGCTTCTGATGCCGGCGGAGAATCTCGTCAGGGCTAGAGCGCAGCAAGCTATCAACCGGTTTTCGCTCTCGACTACACCTGCAAGCGGCGCCCCGTCTGCACAGCCAAGCTACAAGCAAGCACGCGATGCGCGAGCCCGCTTAGTATCAGGCGTCAACGTTCTGTATCTCCTCTCCCCTCTGCCGGCGAAGAGCGCACGAGCCCAGCAGGAGGGAACAGACTTTCAACCGGAGCTCCTCCTCTCCACATTACAGGGCTACGTCCAGAACACCACCGTAGCCTCGCTCAACAACCTCTCCCGCGCGCTGACCATGCTCCCAACTCTCGAGCGCACCCTCCCCGACGTATCCGCACGCTGCCAGGACCTCTTTGCCTTGGAAGCTATCCTCAACGCAGTTCGTCCCCCATCACACCCATCTTTACCACAGCCATCAGAACCAAAATTAAACATTCTCCAACACCTCCACGCCGCTCTGGATACATCCTCCCTCCCTTCGTACTTCTGGCGCTCTCTCGCCTCGTCTCTATCCGGGCGCGTCCAGGAGATCATTCACCGCGGCGGAGTGTCGGCGCGGACACTACGCTCAAACCGCGACAGACTCAAGACCGATATCCGAGACTGCGTGCTGCGCGGCTCGCAGTTGCCACCGTCCGCGGTGGGAATGGAGAAGCGGTCTGCTACTGAGAGTCAGGGGAACTGGGAGCGCGAAGCAGCGGTCATGGTTAGCTCTGTGGTTGGTGTGGTCGAGCGGTAGCTGCATTCTTATGTATATTGTGCTTGATCCACATAGACTACGCCGGTGTGACCAATGAACGTGGTACTATACATATTTATGGTATTCGCCGATAAAGCTCATACACGATAACAGAAACCAATCAAAGCTGCCCTACGAGCCTCATCCAGGCAACCTCCAGCTCTTTTGATCGGCTGTCCATTACGCCAAAAGAGGGGGAAAGAATAAAAAGGGACACGGCTATCTTCGGCTCGCTCCCAATGCCCCTCTCCTCGTAAGCGTCGCCACATCTGACTGACTTGGAGGCGAGCATTGGAGATCTGTCCTCCGTATGCAATAAGATTATTCATATTGCTGATGATATGCATGGATTGCGCATGCGCTGTGCATGAATTCGCACATGGGTATACGTAGTGCCTACCTTGGTGGTGATGCCATTGGTTGCGCTTGAACTTATTCACCGCTATGCTAGGCCTTAATATTTGCTATCTTGTGCAAAATGGATGTTCGTTGGATTTCCCAATACTAGTAGGATTAATAGGACGCTGCCCCGTACAAAGTGCGACTGGCGAAGTAGACACAAGGCCGCCGGTAGATAGATGCGAACCTTATCGCTGCACAAGGCGGGGTTTATCAAGACGGGTACTTGAGCTGACAGTACTAAAATAGTGGAGTAGTTAGCAGCTATGGGTGCTAGTACCTGGCGGGTGAATGGCCAGCGGATCTTGTATCTCGAATAGACTTCGTGCCTTGAAATTATTCATCAACCGGTGCCAGCTGACCTTTAACGAGATAGTCGGGTAACTCTTCTTTGTCCTTTTTTTATATCAAGGTAGCGATACGTTTGCCGAGTGGTTGGTCGATTGCTGGTACGATTGATCCCTGCCAACTCTGAAACCAAGGCTGGGCGGCGATCCAGACCACCAAACGAAAGGAGGGGCATAAGCAGTCGTGCGGCGGTGCCGTTTCCTGGTGGCTCTTGATTTTCAGGATTTCAAGGCATCGCTCGTCGAATAGAGATTGTTCTTGCCCCTCTTTTGGTCTTTCCTCAGCCCCTGGATAGGCTATCGCCACAATACGTCTGTTTCTAAATGGTGGCATGATTGGTTCCTGTTAGTTCTCGTGAGCATCAGTCATGTGCGGGATGATTAGATGATTAAACATCCAATCACAATATGGCGGTAAGAAAGTGGTTGTGGCAAGACTTCGAGAATCTGTTCAGGAAAGCAGGTGGTTGGAGTAGCTGAGTTGCAACTAATAATGATGGGGTCAGATATTGGCGTGCGAGCTCGTGTCATGTTCAACTTCTCATTCCTCACCAGAGCCTCGTCTGGACCCCTGGAGTCTGGACTCGAATTCTTGCAACCATTGTTCAATAAAGTTCAACTCCACCATTCTCTCCACAACTGACAGCTTGCTGAAATCACCGTCCTGTAACTTGGGAGTATCTACCGATATTTGCGAAGAAGAACTCCGTTGTGCGGACGCAAGTCGCAACTTGACTTCGAGGAACCAGCGGGTAGCCTTGTGGAGGTCCTGTCAGGTTGAGCCAATTGAGCCCACCCTGGGAGCAGATCATGAGGTCGATATTGCGTGTCGAGCGGGGGATGAGCGCAGAATGATATCCAGGAACAAGAAATCGCAGGAAGAGTGACGCAGCTCTCCCTTTGATTGCGGAGAGAAAGCTCTCCCAGGCTAGGTACGAGTCGGAGTCTTCGCCGCTCCTCAAGGACGAAAGACTGAGGGAGGGTACCAAAGCACAGCGAACCTTACTGAAACCTAAGCAAGTGCAGAGGTACTCTTTGTTAGGGAGGAGCACACCATCTCCTCGGCATCTGGTGTCAAGTACCACCTATCTTGGTAGAGTGTCGGATCGGCATTGATACTTTTCGGAGTAGGCCTCATATGGCTTTTTGGGATAATCTTGACTTTGAACAAGCGCGGACTGGGGCAATTGCTAAGTAAAAGAGGACCAAGTGAGAGCTGATCAAAGAGTGGTTCTTCTGGTGGGTATTTGCCAGCGACCCACGTTTTTGCGGATGTGGTAAAAGCACGGAGTATGGAATCTAAGTCCATGAATGGCTTTCTGACGGCATGGATATGTTATCACCTGCAGGAACAAGCTTTGCTAGGGTTGAGCCATCAGAACCGGAAGGACACTGGCTGTAGGATAGACCTCTTGAAATTCGAAATGCAAGAAGCGAGTGAAGCGTGGATGCCTGGATGGAGTACATCGTACGATCTCGATGTAAGGTACTACTGCATGTACCGCGTGGCATGCGCTCAGATACTGTTTGAGATCTGGACAGAGAGAACGGGGAATTTCAGCACCTATCGGGGAGCCAGAGAACGCCCCCAGGAGTCAGGGCTCAGCGACACGCGTACCGGCTCCGTAATCCTGGCAGCTTGACTCGCTCCAAGAATCCATGTTGAACTCACATCGAGTTCTTGGAGTTTCCGACCGGGTCTTGCGCTGATGCGACATCCACGTTGGGGCTTGAAGGAGTGGCCCGCATCGCCGAAAAAGTGATAACGTCACCACAACGTTCAGCATCTCGTCGCCGCGAGTCTCGAGGAGAGTTTATCTTTTTGATTTTTTATTTTTACCTTTTTCTTTTCTTTTTTTTTTTTTTTTGGATTCGCGCCGGAAGTGGCATCAAGACAAATCAACGACATCATCAAGAGCAACATGGTTCCTGAATGGATACCCAAAGAACCCCAACCGTGCGTGGGATGCTGTCTCCGAAAACCCAAAGGTGCCTGGTGTCTTCCAGCGCTCGGAAGGGATGTCCGGAGGATGAGTCCAGGACTTCAGCTGGAACCTTGGAGTCCGGTTCGAGTTTAGAAGCGAGACAGAACGCTGGTCGAGACTCACGGATCCCAAGTTCGGGGGCAAACATTCCAGCATGTCTCTGCTCGGACCTAGGCGCTGGGTTCCTGATACAGTTTCAGACCGGCGCTTGTAAAAGTAATTTGAGTGGGATTATCCCTGGCAGAAAAGAGTTGATACCGGTGAACAGGGGTCTAGTTTAGGTAGCTCTGGCAGCTAAAAAACTCTGGATAGCGCCGTTGCACATTTCAAGAATCCTCAAGAATTCTTTCTTTTGGGGGTCGAACCCGGTCCCGAGTGCTCTCCCAAGTCCCAACTTATACCTGGGCAACCGCCCGAGCAGCGCACGTCTGTTTGAGGGTCCAGCGAGCTCCACAACGATCGAGAGTCGATGATTCGTGTCCGCCGGGCCGGACCAAGTCGTCAGTACCTGGGGCTAGCCAAAGTCTTACCTATCAGAAGCCAGCGCTGCAAGTTCGCCGCTGAAACTCTACCAGAAAGATGATGCGGATCATCATGACCTGGCGGAGGGGAGGGGACAGATGATTTCAGTTTGACCTGATGCTGCAGGAGTCTATCAGGAGTTAAAGCTGTCTCTGCTGTCTCTTCCTCGCCCGTATCCATGGATCGCTCAGGTTCCGCTCACCTCCCCCCTCCTCTCAGTCCTGACTCTTGCCCCTCGCCTGCGACTCTACCACTCCTCCGTAAGGCCTGAGTTTCTGATAAGCCTCCTCCCCTCTTCCCCTTCTGGTCTCTCGTCATCACCATCCTCTGGATCCATCCTTCTTTGCTTCCTCCATCCTCCTTCCCGCTGTTTCACTGGCTGGGTCCGGAAAGTTGCCGTCATAAACTATCATTCTCCTCCTTACTGCGGACTTAGTTCTTTTCTTACTCCTCACCCCCCTGTCTGGCCTGGCCTGATTTCATTCCTCTTTCTTTCCTCTTCTCACGATCGATACGATACTTCTTGCCTATTATTCTTGCAGCCCTGCTCGGCTCCTTTCGGCTTCTTTTTACCACTTTCTGAGTCTTGTGTCTTGTCACTCTTCTGCGCGTGGGCCGCTATTATTAGACCTGCGTTTTGGACTGGTCACTGATCTGATTTTATTATTGTGACTCTATTGGCATCCTCGTCTGCCCCCTTCCTTCGTCCCCGGCGATCGATAAATCCCAGGGACCCTGATCGAGGCCCAATATTCGATCTCTCGACTCTATAATTACCATTCTTGTTGCCCAGTATTGGATTTAGTTTGGGGCTTGGCCGGGTTAGTGACTGTCATACCCACAACGAGGACTCGACGCACCCACTATCGATCCCGCATTCTTGATCGAGTCCAGCAAAACTTCTCCGACACATCTGTTTTCCTCCCACTTTTCGCTGCCTCATCCAGAAATCCATGCGTCCTTCTCCTTTCCGTCGTTAGGTCCGAGGATATTTGGGAAGCTCCTTCTCTCAGCGTTCGACCTGTGAGAGAAGCGTCCTCGGTACTAATGGGCGCCTGTTGTCCATTAACAGCCAACGTACGTACCCTTGCATCGCTTTTCTTTCTCCGACGTTCATCTAGTTCGTCATCCCGAGTCTTGTCCAATACCCTTCACACTTCATCTCATCCCTTCGCTTGCATTTATCTGGAAAACAACGGGTCCTCTTTCCGTTCTTGTACGTGTATCAGATTGGGAATTAGAAGAATAGGACAACAGCTAAAACTGGCCTTCCTTCTCTCGCCCATCCTCCATCCCTTGATCAGTTGTCGCCACTTCGCACTCTGTTATGGTCCACTTACTTACATGGCTTGCGCTTTTTGTCTAGTAGTCAGCATTATCCGTGCAAACCCGTTACACTTTCGCCTCAAAACGCCCCCGAGCTCGCTCTTATAACAAACATACTCGGGATACTGACGAAGGATATTTCCGATAGATTCCACCAAAAATCGGGGGAGGCGTCTATGAGCATTCAATAGCAACATGTCATCGTTCTTACCAGTTAACAATGTCTCTTCGCCAGCGGACCGTGTTATGGAAGGTTCGGGTGCAACTTCCGCTACGCCCCGCCCTCACCTGAACCACACCTCCGCGACACCGGGCGCCGAGACTTCAACCGAGATAAAGGACGAGCGATTCTCACGGAGAACAACTATCTCAGACGGATCCCGAGCGAGTACCCATTCGATGTCGGATGAGACTATACAAGCCGAATCAGATGGCGACCGCGATGGCTCGGACCATGATACAGACCACAAAGAACATGCGCCGCCTTCGAAAAAGAAGAAAGGGCAACGATTTTATTGTACCGAATTTCCGCCGTGCAATCTGAGCTTCACGCGCAGTGAGCATTTGGCCCGACATATCCGAAAACATACCGGGGAGCGTCCTTTCCAGTGCCATTGCTCAAGGCGTTTCTCTAGACTCGACAACTTGCGGCAACATGCTCAGACCGTGCACGTGAACGAAGAAATTCCAGGGGATTCGCTAGCAGCCACCGGCACTCGCTTCCAACGTCAAATACGGACCGATCGTGTGCGCCCCCAAGGGCGGGCAAGAGCGGGCACAGGAGGCAGCCAAGGTACTCATAGCAGGGGACATAGCAGGAATCTCTCGACTTCAAGCATTACGTCAACCGCCTCAACATTCAGCCAGCCGGCCGAACTGCGTCGGCGCCCGGCCCCGCAGTTGATGATGGCCACCGACGGAGGCGCGAGGACGAGATTGACCCTCGATCCCATGGTCGACACTCCCACCACACCCCCCGGACAAGTGCGAGGACTCCCAGGCGCCCCCGGCAGTTCCCCTTATACACCGTCTCGTATGTTCCCTGGGAGTAACGCTTCGCCCATGCCTGCATCACACCCATCAAACTTTTGGGATGGAAAGACTGCAGCTCGTCGCTTATCCGTTCCCTCGGGCGTCAACCCATTCGCGCCACACCATTACCCTGCGCCTTACCCTTCTTCCACGTACGCAGGACCAGAAGTATATGCCAGTCCTATTAATACCCATAACCCATTGTCCAGAGATGATGGAGGCTACCACCCAACGGAAGCCGAACTGCGAAGAAGGACATGGCACCCTTCAACATGGGCGAATACTCCTCGCGCAGAATACGGTAGTATTGGCAACGCGCAAACTCCCGAAACTTTCCCACCGGCTTCAGGAGGTAACGAATCGGCGGGCCAGCCACCTCGTCTACCAGGCATTGAAAGTTTCGATAAAGTTGTTGCGCAGCGACCTCTGACACCACCAATCCGGAGACCAAGTCCGATGCAGGTCGACGCACAGTCCAGACCACTGGGCCCTGGCTATAATTTCAGCGGAGGCTTCAACTATGCACCACCATCAACTCGACCAGCTCCGCCCATCTCTGGCCCTGGCCATCGACGAGGACATGTGTCGTGGGATTTATCGTTGCATACAAATTTGACCGGCCTGCAGATCAGAGATAAACCGGTTCCTCAGCGGGATGCATCTCATTGGGGTCAACAAACAATCTCCGAGATTCATAACGTCGGATCACGCCCGTCATCCTCATATCAGCAGCAGCTCCAGGAGTTTCGTGGCCCAAACAGCCACACATCCTCTACCTACAGCACCGCAACTTCGGGCTCGCTTGCCACACGGACAAGCCCGGAAGACTCAAGCAGCAGTGAGGGGGTAAATACTCCTTCAACTGCATCTCTTGAGTACCATCCTGCAATTGTGCACAACAATGGCTATGTCGAGCCTCACCATCCTTCATTTCCTTCTGACTCATCACAAACAGTACGCTCCCGTTATACCGGAGGACTAGCTTAGATAGATCACTGATCTGGATTACAGGCTTGTCCTCCGCTACCACCACAGCACGATGCCTACCATGCAAAATCTGACTCGCGGCCCGATTTCAGCCATCCTTCCAGAGACCCTGGAATGGGTAGACTCGAAGCGCTAGTCGCAGTCGCCACGAGCGAAAACAAGAATTCTGCCAACATCATGGTTTAGATTATTCTGACAGCGTAGGCCTGGAAAGGCCAACAGCATCGCTTTCCTCAGAACCCGAAAAATCTGCTGGCATCCGGGCCAGTGGTCTCGTCCCCGATGTGGCATCTCTTGTCCTCTATGGGTGCGTTGTTTCCCTGGCTCCGGTTATAAGTGTTTTTCTAGACTCCAAGCCCCCTCGTTACTTCACTATACACCACCTGGCTGCCGATTGCTGAGTTTTTGACGACCGTGATGATTGATGAATGATGCATACTTGATGGGGTTTCGCGGGATTTCTGTTCAACCGACTCTATTCCAACTTCGGTTTATTTTGCTTCTTGTCTCAGCCATGGTCCTTTTCTGGCCGTTGCATGTTTCGGCGTTTGTCTTCTTGGGTCCTATGGTTAGCGTCTGAAGATACCCCGTCCTCAATCTCAGATTCTGTCACGAGGTTCTGGACAGGTTTCCTATCGGTGGTAGCGTGTTTGTTATTATTGTTCTGTTGTCTGCGATTCCTCCTTTGAATAGCTTCAGTCTTTGCCTTTGCTCAGCAAACCTGGAGCACGGCTATAAACTCTTGTAGTAAATCCAGGTTTTCAGGGCAAGAGATACAAATCCTCGAGTACAGAGTGATCCACGCAAACCACGTAATGAGTATTTCCAATGTGTCTTGTGTAGTCATTCCGAGTCACTTTTGACTAACCATAGAACCCTAACCTGCCTAGCCTACTGCAGAACCCTTCCATTACTCTCCTCAACAATCAGATCAAACTCCGGTTGAAACTCTGTGTAGAAGTTATGCTGAAAGTTTTGAGGAACTCATTAGTTGTACTGTAGGCCACATCCGAAAGTCAAAAAGTCTCGGACAGAAGGATAGGGAATAAGAAGAACTACGCACTGGGTTCTGCGCCGCGTCAGCTGTATACTGCGCAACGTTGGCAGGGATAATCTTCTTCGCGATTCCATTTGCCGCCGCCGCTTCGGCCATCAGCTGCGAGTGACAGGCGTGGTCAAGGCTTGCAAAGAGCCAGGCTGCCTCGTCGACTGTCTGGCCGACTGTGAGGAGTCTTCGTGGTGGTCAATTAGGGTATGATGAATTGGGGCAGGCCCGTAGTACTCAGAGGACATACCCATGATTTTGAAGGATACAGGCAATGTTATCCTTTCCTAGTGCCCGAGCAATCTGGCGTCCTTCATCCACCGCCAGGGCAACGCCGCCGTGGTCCTCGTAGACACTTAATTTTCCGTAGAAGTTGCAGGCGTCTACTCAACTCCTGTATCAGCCCAACATATCCCATTCCCACGCAACCCACAAGAAGAAGGAGGGAGTGCTTACCCTGCGAAAGCATCTCAACTGGCTTCCCAAAAACACTCCACGTCTTACCATAGACGCCATGCGTATGCGCCGCGGCCATTACATCAGGACGAGCCTTGTGGATCTCGGAATGGATCATGAACCCAGCCTCGTTGATGGGCAGTTGCGCGCCGCCTTCCGTCACGTACCCGTCTGCGTCGACCAGGACGAGATCAGAGGCGTTCATGGCGCTGAAGTGTTTCGCGAAGGGGTTCATCCAGAAGTGGTCCTTCAACACGGGGTCTATTAAGATATCAGCATTGACCCGTGAGAAACAGCAGTAGCTCTTGCAATGAGCTGCAAACGAAAGAAACGGAGATGCACACACCTCGGACAGAAATGTGCCCCGAGATCCCCTCATTGAACCCCTCCTTCCCGAAATACCGGAACGCAGCAGCCATGTGCTCCTTGATCCATTGGCGTTCGGCATACGGGTCAGAGAAGGTCGGGATACCTCGTAGCTTGAGCTTTCCGGCGCGGTCACCGCGAGCAACGGCTTGGAAAACCTTGTCTTCTGCTGCGGGGAGGATGTTGGGGTTGTTGGAGACGGAGGAGGGTGCCTCGGGAGTAGTGACGACCACTTTTTGTTGGCCGGCTTCGGTCACTGTGGCTGTCGTGGACATCTTGGATAATCTTTATGGACAGTCTGTTCGAGATGGAATAATAAGATAGTGGTAGGAGAGTTCCAGTTGAAGTCGAAGATGGATGGATGCCCTTGGGTATTTATCATGGGGAATTGGGGTTATCTATCAACCCCACTTGGAGATACGCAGTTGTCACTGGTGAAGGCGCGGGCTTGTCCGGAGAAGGCGCATGTTCTTCGAAGGCGCTGGAGATGTAGGACTTTATTGGTTATTCGCGATTGTCATGAGTGACCATTGGCGCATACCCTAATGGCCCGTTATCTCCTCCAAAGACATTCATTCGCCCACGTCCACACCGAGGATGGCGTGTTGGAATGGTCGGCAGTCGGTAAGAAAACAAAACGGACGAGGACGATGTCCACTACAAGAACGCCATATCTCAGATACAAATGCCCATGCCAGTTAGAGTATACATTGGATAGAAAGGAAAAGGCGAATGAAAAGTCCCGCCACAGATTGCCAGTATCGGAAGGAAGAATCGTCATAATTTAACAGGAAAGAAAAAGAATATAGGAAAGAAAAAGATCGTGGAGACAAATAGAGACTCGCTATACAGCTTCATCTCCCCTCATATTTACCATCTCATACTCGCCGCGTCCTCGACTTGAAGACCCACCGGCCTGCGATGAGGCTCCATTCGTGCCCTGCGCCGCACTGCCAATACCCCCGAAGCTAATAGGTTGAAGCTCTCGATACCGACAGGCCCAGATGCCGAGGAAGGTCATAAGGGCAGCGCTGGCGCACTGCAGCCCCCACCAGAGCAGATTCGACGGGATAGAACGGGTATATAAAGAAGTCGTGATAAGGTGGAGGAAATGTATAGTAAGAGCAAAGTCGGGGACGAGTTTAGAGCGCGAAACGAGGAGGACTAGAAATACAACACTATATCAATGTTTTGTTAGCTGCGGTCCCTTGTGCGGCTTGAAGGTCGAGAGGGAGCGGAAAACACACCATAGAAGACTGTTCAACATCCAAACCAAACCAAGCATCCACCCAATCGTTGTATCTCCTCTTAATGCATTCCAGCTGAGGACCAGGTCCAACGAAAAGGCCGTGCCGTAGACAAGGGTTGTGAATAGTATCAGGGCCGTCGCGGTTACATAATAGGCAACCTGGAGAAGGAGGATTTGCCGGATGATTCTCAACGGTGGGAGATCTGTCCGCGCCCCCGCTGGAGGAGCTCGTCGGCGCGGGGGCATGAACTGTGAAATACACCAGTGACGAACTGGGTGTTTGACGACTTGTTTCGGCCCAGGATAATCGGGAAGTTTCAGGCGGATTTGTGGCGGACGGGTGAGCACATTCGCACCGGCAATGAGACAATCGCTTTTGGCTCGGGTAGAATGGCCTCAGATTATGCCCTTTGCATAAGGGTGGTTGAGCACTACGCACGGAGTGCTGTTGGTGGAAGGAAGCTGCGATGGAGAGAAGCGGCTTAGCGCCACATGACCGGAAGTCATGCGGATTGCGGTGCGGAGCATTGAGCTCCAACCTTGAGAAACTTCCTCACCACAAATTCAACCTCAACCACCATTCCCAATCAAATTGTCAGTCTTCGCGGCATAATGGGCTGGTTCTCTTGGTCTTCGAACTCCAATCAAGCCTCCGATGGCGGCCGTATAGCTCCCGACCGAACCTCGCGGCAGAAGTGCTGGGAAGCCCGCGATACCTTTTTCTCGTGCCTGGACAACAACGACATCATAGATTCCGTGAAGGGAGACAAGGAAGCTCGGAAGAAGTGCGGAAAGGAGATTGCAGAGTTTGAAGCGTCTTGCGCAACTGCATGGGTAAGCTGGAATTGCCATGAATTCTTCGGATGCGATCGACCCAGCTAACTCCTCACTGAATTAGGTCAAGTACTTTAAGGAGAAACGTGTGATGGAGTACAACCGGGACAAGACGATTGAGCGAATCAAGAAAGAAGACGCGGCTACGGTGCAAGACCTCAAGTCGCAGGGCTGGACGGCAAGATGAGGTCTCCAAGGAAGAGAATGGAAGAACTACTGGGGATGGCGGGTTGATGAGCCGGAGGCTCTTGTACTAGTACTATATTACGCTTAATGACTCTCGCACTTCTTTACCCATGTTGGAGATCTTGTATTAATATTACTGCGGCTGAACAGAGGGAGGTCGCGCTCCTTTTAACTGGCGACAATACAACAAGATATACATGAAGTGAAAAACGCAAGACGGCGGACGCCCATAAGTATGTCCCAACACATCAAAAATAATAAAATCGAGAGATATCTTTGCGCTAAGCCCGCACACCAAACGAAATTCAACGCACAAAAGGTCCGGAAAAAAAAGTCACCCTTTTGATGTTTCGAAGAGCAATGAATGACCAACGCCTGACTCCCTGGAGTGCAAATTCCCACCAGAAATTGTTGCAAAGTGAAACGGATACAAGAAAAATCGTAATTCAGGGCTTCCATTTCCCTAGTTGGCTCATGATGTTCTGCACATGTGGGGGGAGTGCAGCATGGCTCTGCGGCTGAAGGCCCCCGAGGCCTTTCGCCAAGAGTGAAAGTAGATTGGGGTCAGATATGGCTGCGCCAGTTGGTCCTTGTTGCGGAAAAGGTTGGGATTGCTGGTGAAGTGATTGCTGCGCTGCATTAGGTGGAATAGGTTGTCGAGTAGCAGCACTCAAAAGACTCGCAAGATCCGGAGTCGGTAGAGGATTTGCGGGTGCAGGAAAAGATGGCTGTGCGGTCGGGATTGCAGGTTGTCGCGGTTGCTGAAGTGCAGCTATGAGTGACTGCAAAGCGGGCCCGTCGAGAGTCGAGATAGCATTTGCGAGATTGGGTTGAGCTGCTAGTGGAGGTTGTACAGCAGGGGGCATTTGCACAGAGGGTATCGGAGGAACTCCATAAGTAGAGGGGGCGAAAGGAACGCCGGGGGCGTTCCGCTGCAGCGCTTGCGCCTGGAAGACAATCTCCGCGGCAATGCTAGGCTCAAGATCTGGGTACTCTACAACTGGAGCGTTAGTAAGGTATTTCTCCTATGAAGAAAGAAGAGGATTTGAACTCACCGCTTGAGCGAACATTGTCCTTGCCAGCACTTCGGTCGAATACCTGTAGTGGAAGCTTCCTAGAGAATTGACTAGGCCGCGAAAGTCTCACAACGGCAAGCACTCCTTCAGATACCTGGCGTTTGACTGCAGCATCGAGAGGAATCCGTGGTCCTAGCGCGAGTACATCAACCCGCAGACCTCGATTTCGGAAGCTGCTCTCTACGTGATACACAAAGTTGCTGCCATATTGATTTAGCAAGGTCACGCTTGGGATCTCATGTAAGACTCACCGATCCAGCTCCTCCAAGACAAGTATCTGAACGTCTGGCACATCTCTCCCGACCCTCCTGGGAACAGGTAGGTCCGCATCATCATCATATGACGAGCGGCCACGAGGACTTGGACTTCGGTACCTTCTCTCTCGTCCATATGGCGAACGTGAGCGTCGCACCCCTCGCCGGTCAAACCGCTCTGGAGTCCGATCTCGTGACCGATACCCTTCCCGTGGGCGATAGCTGCGGGGAGACGGTGACCGTGGAGAGGGGCGATAATCATCTCGCCTACGGTGGGTAGGTTCATCCCGAAAGTCGCTGAAAGGCAGCCTTCCTGGTTCGTGCGATCTGTCAAACCGTTCCCCAGAAGCTCTTGCGGAACGATTGTTTGGGGCTCCGCCTCGACTATAATCTGGTGATCTCGAGCGACGAGGGGGCGGGGCGCGTGGTGCTTCCGATGGTGGCGGTGCTGGTCTGGTATTTCGCTGCGGTTTGGAGATCTCAAGATCTATCAGAAAGTGTCAGCGTTATTCTTATATTCTTATAGTCAGTGATGCCATAGCACTTACGGACTTTGCGTCCCCTCACGACGGCTCCTTGTTCGCCTTCGAGGGCTCGTTTACAGGACGACGCCTCCAAAAACTGGATAAAACCGTAGGCTTGCTTGATTGATATCTGTGCCAGCTTCCCGTAGCTGTGAAAGATATGAAATAGATCTCGTTTGGTTACTCTTTCCGTGGGTAGATTGCCTGTATTGAATGCACATATGTTAACAATGTGACGTAATATAAGAAAATGCCTAGTGATACTGACCGACAAACAATCTCGACCCATAGGGGAAGCGGTCCCATAGACCTTCGGTGACATATACCCTCTCATCACGCAGAAATTCGTCGTATTTCTTCTGAACATCTGGACCCCAAGGCGTGTCTTCATCGGAGCGAGCTGGTTGCCTGTCAACAGGGCCATTCTTTTGGGTTGCCGGCGACGCATCTTGAGTCTCCACGGCAACTGATGAAGGCTGTTGGAAGCTAGCAATTGGAGGAGGAGGGAGGGCACTAGAACCTAAAGATGTCCCAGGCGCGACAGCTGGTGATAACGCAGTGGGCCCAAGGGTAGACTGGTAATTACTCTGCTGAGACGCGTAGGGGTTGGAGGAGCTAGGGGAGGTCTGGGTAGGAAGTTGATGATAGGAGCGAATATCATCACTGGGATTGTAGTTGGGGTGGATGGAGGGCTTCGCCTGCGGGGGAGGGCGCGGAGGTAGACCAAGGGAAAACTGAGACGCTTCACCAGCGGCAGCTTGAGGGGAGGTAGGAGGGTCGCCAGCGGATATGGTGTTTCCAGGCACCGGAAGGGCAGACGCAGCTGTAGAAGACGGGAGATTATCAAGGAGATTCTGAAAGTCAACGCCATTCCCGGCACTGCTGTCTTCATGTTTGTGTTCTGCGTCTAGTCGACCATGTAGCGCTGCTTGGGTTTGCAAGTTTGTGATCGGGTGATCTACCTCGTTCGCGAAGGAAGCGTCGCGAGGAGCATGGGAAGAAGATGGAGGGGCACCGGGGAGAGGATGGGCTGGGAGGAAGCTAGGATCTGATGGAAATGCGGTTAGAGAAGAGTCTGCCGTGGCTTCTCCGGTTTCTGAGAGCTGGGACTTTGGGGGAGGGGATGGGCTGCGCGCAGTAGAAGCAGCAGACAGAGCGAGATTATCCACGCTCCTTGACGCGGAATTGATTGAAAGAGGGCCAGAATGGAAGCTACCTTGTTGATGTAGATGGAGTGGCCGTTGTTCCTGACCATCCTGTACAGGACCTGGATTTCCCCTCACTTCACCCCCCGTTGTGTAATGCCCATTCTGGGGTACATGGTAGGCATTTTCGTAAACAGACTCGGCTTTCTGGTAAGTCGAGGTATCGTTGAACACAGGGTCCATCTGATTCTGCAGCACTGGGATATTGGCAGGCTCCGCGACGTGTACTGGGCGGGGGCTCTCGGGAGTCAAGGTCTTGCCACGGAAGTGAAAAGCCTCATCTGGGGAGTCTGGCGTCATGTAGACCAAGGGGTGAGAATAAATTCATCTACAAGCGACCTCGAGGCTTCAGGGACGACCGGCGGCGAGGGAGTTGCCAGAATGAGCGCAGAGCTCAAGTGGGGCAACCCTGAGAAAAAAAATGATCGTGACCGGAATGCTGGAACACCAGAGGATGGGTAAAATGGACGGCAGGGAGCAGAAGCCTGAAGGGCGAGGTGAGTCTATGGTGGGGGGAGACAATATGAAGAGAAGATAGTAGCGCGCTGATAAGGTAAGGAAGCGAGGACCGGAGGGGGCAGGGGAGGGAGGGACGAGGTGTAGAAAGATCTAGTAGCTGGGGCCGGGAAAATTGGCCTAGGACTCGGAGAGGTTGACGAGGGCTTATTTCATCGGCAGTCAGCGAGGGAGAACAAGCACCGAGAGTAACAATGTGTAATAAGAACAGCCAGAGTGTATACTCTGGAAGAATTATTACTGAGGGCCTGTGGAGCGAGAGCTGAAGTCTAAAGGCGGATAAAGGCCCAGCTAGTGAGCTTATGGAAGAGCCATGGAAGACGAAAAGAAGCTCGGGGCCAGCTTTCTCGGGGAACTCGCGGTGTCAGTTGTGAAGGCTTTTAAGCTCGACGAGGGAGGAGGAAGAGAAAAAGACAGAGTTTGCTTGCACTGGCTGGTGAGGTGATATCAGTGGGTCAAGGCGCGCCTGGATTCCTTGACCCGCGCGCTCCAATCATAAATCCCGCTTGTTCTTGGGTGCAGAAGCTGAGGTCGAGTCCAGGCCCTTTGAAACGGCTTTATTTCCGTCCATGTGACCAGCACCAACAGTATCAGATCCAGAAAACAAACAACTTCCTCAGTCTTTCTGTCTCTCGAGCTTGGGCCCTTTCGGCGCCAGTTCTTGCGGTGAACCCGTCTTCATTCGCCATTTCTTGCAGACTTTTGATGAATCTCCCTCGATGGAGCGCTCGTGTCATGCTCCGTGCGATTCCTCCGTTCCTCCGGCACAGTACCACTTGCCCGTCTTTCTGGAGATCCTTCGCATCTCGGCGAGCAGACTTGTCAAGCGACGACGAGTTGGCCGCAGCGAGGGAATGGCTTACCAAGTTCAACTCCACCGCAATACCCCGTCACGTTGGCGAAATTTCCTTTAGCCGTTCTGGAGGCCCCGGAGGCCAGAACGTGAACAAGTCTGTCCCCACACGCAATCAGACTCGCGCTGGCTTTCTTGCGCACTGGTGCTAATGCGTGGTTATTGGGTTTCCTCGAATAGGGTCAATTCGAAAGCGACATTGAAAGTACCCCTTGATACTTTGTTGCCTCTCGTCCCCCGAATTTTACATTCCCCGCTTCAAACATCACGGTATTATGCAGCTCGGACACACAGTTTGGTCATACAGTCGGAAGAGTTCCGGAAGCAGGCCGCTAACGTGGACGCATGCTTTGAGAAACTCCACCAGCTGCTCAGGGTGACCGCGAAAGACCTGATCCCTGGTGAGACCTCTGTGGAGCAGAGAGAACGCGTGCATAAACTGTACCTACACTAGTGCTACGTTTTGAGGGAATGGTCGGCTGATGATTTTGTAGGAAAAAAGCAGCAAATGAGGCTAGAATCAAAGCTAAAAAGTTGCACAGCAGCAAGAAGAGTAGTCGACGAAGTGGGAGAGACGACTAAGATTATCTTCACCAAATCTATATAATTACGAGATTGACATTGTTCCTCTTCCCGAGGAGCACTCTTCATATAGAATCTTCGTGACGCCTCTCGGTGCTTGCGCACAGTCGCCTACGCCTCTTGAAGAACCTGCTCCGCTTTTTGGAGTGTGACGGAAATGGCTTTCTGGAGGGACGGATCCAGACCCTTGGTCTTCTTGACTGAACTGAGCCAGTTGACGACCTCTTTCGCTACATGAGGATTCTGGCGATGTTCCTGCAGCCGTGAGAGTGCCGTTCCAAGGGCTCGGGGGAAGTTTGCTGAAGTGGCCTGGATTCCGGCTGTAGGAAGTTTGATGTAGCAAATCAACGCATGATGGCTGGCGGATTTGGCTTTTTGCAATACGTCGACAATATGTGACAGGATGTTCTGCAAGCATGGCACATCTTCGAACTCAAAGACCATGTCGAAGAACTCGTGGCCGAACCGCGCGTCGTAGTCGAAGTTTTTGATGGCTGAATCGAATATGGCGAGTGGAATTGCGCCGCTTAGAGCGGGAGTGGAATTCAGGGTTTGTAGCGCTGCTTGATTACCGTCACCATCCTCGGTTCCACTGGGGTTGATATCTTCCTCAGTAATCTTCGGCATCGCGATCATGTCCGCGTCGAGATCATCCGCCGGGGCTTCCGGCTCAGGAACCCCAATCGTTTTGTCGAGTCCGAGAATGCGTTGTCGGGCCACTAGTTTGGTTATGTAGATGAGTTCCAACTTGGCGTACTGTATCCATAGACTCCTTGAGCTTTTGCAAAACCTCAATCCCCGTTGCATGTAAGTCCTGGCCTGGGTCATATCCGCATGGTCCTCAATGGAATACTGCGCGGCATATATCCACAAGTCCGCGTTGGTTGGATGAAGTCGTAGAGCATCCATTAAGATTGTGCTGAGTTTCTTGTAGGCCTTCTGTCGTCGGGCATATTCGATGTACTGGATCCACAGACCGATATCACCATGGAATTTCCGACTTGCGCGATCCAGAACGAAGAATATCCGGCGCTGTCCGCTGAAGCCTGTTGATTTGATGCCTAACCGCTTCACTCTTTTGCGTCGCAGGCTGTCGAGGTTCATCTCGTACTCTGCATATCGAACGAAGTCGGACGGTTGGGCGCCACGCGCATTGATCTTGTGCTCAAAGTCGGATCGCTTCTTGACTATTGAAGTGATTTCATCCTGCGTAAGGCAGTTGTGTTAGCTTCTGAGCGGCATCAGAATGAGCGCTTCCTGGAACATTGGTTACCTTGCTGAAGATTTTTTTTTTTTCGTACTCCTTGAGCTCAGGAACGGACTTTTCCAGAAAGAACCGGGCCTTATCAGCAGTCGCAGACATGGCTAAAACCAAGACGGCTAACTAATGTTATAATGTCGAAAACAGATGGTCATGCCAGTAAGGTTCGCGAAAACGGCGGTTGGAAAAAGTCATCGATATTCCGCATCTAGGCAACTTTTTGGGTGCCTTAAGTTCAAGGCTCCAGCCCAGGACTGTGGGTGGTGCTTCCCGATCGGCACTAGCGTCCAGGCCTCCGCTGGTTGCCGACGCCGACGCTCAATTCGATGGGTCGACAAGAATACTTGAGTTCACGTTCACGCTGGCCTCAGGGGTTCTCTTCAACTTTGCTTTCTGTCCTCTGCATTTTCCCTTCCTCTCTTTTCCTTTTTTTTTTACCAGATTCATTTCTTTCATTCTTGACTCTCTCTAATTATTCTTCTGTGTTTTATTTCGCGGTCCAGCGAGACACGAGTCTCACCCTGCGCGACAATGGCGCCGAGGTTTAAAGATGGGGACGCTGTTGCGACGGTGAGTCTCCTTGTTTGACTACAGAATTGACTCGCGTTTTCTGAGACTTGACAGGTAAACGGGAAATGGGTCTCGTGGACTCACACTGCTGTCGCCTATACTGCCTTTCTCAGCGCCCTGGTTGTTGGTGTGAGTTTGCACTTTCGAAAGATCGTGCAAAACGAACACTACGGTTACCCCGACGAATGGTTTCCCTCCGTTTCGGCAACAATTGGTGATCGGTACCCGGAACGCTCTTTCTTCCAGGTTTTCATCGCTATCACGTCAGGCCCTCGATTCGCTCTGGTCTTCCTTTGGTATCTTTTGACTGCCCGCCCTAATTCGACCCTTCCCAAGTTCGTTGCCGGTGTTGGATTGTTTCGGACATTTACCTGCGGAGGTTGGACATACGTGACATCGACCGACGACCATGATTGGCACGATATCTTCATGATCTCCTACTTGGTTGCAACATTGCCTTGGACCCTTGGTTGTCTAGCTCTGAGCCCTAACAACCGTCGCGCTGTCAAATATCGAAAAATACTTGCCAGCCTCTTCTTCGGCACATTGGTGCCGTTGATCTACTACTTTATCCAGCATAAAGTGCACAAGGTTCCTGGAGGTAAGAGAAACATCTTTATGGGTCCCTCCGATGTTGATGCTAACCATGTGCCCTTCCCATCAGCCTACACGAGATACGCCTTCTTCGAATGGTCTCTGATCCTGTTTGACGTTGGATTCGATGCTGTCACAGCACTTGATTTCGAAGCCTTCGAGATTGTTGTGAGGGATGTTAAAGGAATCAGTCGAGGGTATGTACAGTGGCTTCCAAAGTAATGCAGAGTCAGAGAAATGTATAGTCGCCAAAGTTCGGTCATTGGTATTTGAAAGGCATGATCTAAGATGAATTTATTTCAGGCAGTTGAAAACTACAGCGGACTCCGTCCTCGAAAACGAGTGTGTACATTCCACCCTTTTGAGAGATGATCCCTTGAAATTAACTCGTAGGCAGGAAGGGGAAGCCTGTCGGGAATACCTTTGGGCAAGGATTCTTCTGGAGTGAAGTTTTCGACGCTGCAGCAGATGCGTACAATGGGGTATATACCATTTAAGCCCTCTCTTATTAACTATGTACTAACAATGCGTAGTTTGTCTACTGGACCAACTGGACTGCCCTTCCTGTGCTTGTTTGGTACTTTCCCCTCTGGCACATGGGCATCTCTGGATATGAGGTCGTTATTCTCAGTTATCTTTCGCCCGTTCTCCTTGCAATCCCCGCTTTCAGGTCTTTGGCTATCAACAATCCTCGTCTCTTCCATTTCTTGTCTTTGTCTGGATTCCTCGCCTACAAAGTGCAAGACCCCGCCAACCGACTTTTCATCAGCACATTCTCCGTCTCCTGCAGTTGTATCACCTTCGTTGCTACCCTGTACGCAGACAGGGCGCAAAGTGCAAGACTAGAGTCCCGGATTTTCGCCTGGGGTATTGGTTTGATCATGTCTAGCGTTGCCAAGCTTGCCGGTAAGACCAATAACCCCGTCTGGCCTATTATGCATGCGAGCAATGGCGGCTGGAATAAGATTGGACTGCTCCTTGCTGTTCTAGCGGGTGTTCGCTCATTCAGGCGCACTACAAGTAGTGGTGGCGACTACTTCCCGTCTGCTGGCAAAAAGGGATCGTCTCTGCTTGCTGGTCTGGGAGTCGGTAGTATGATCTTCGCGATGCATTTTCTCCTTTCAGATTCCAGTACTATGATCTCCTGGGTTTGGGAAGGCTACCCAGTTCGCGGCCCCATTGCTGTTCCTCACGGCGCGCTCACAATCTTTGTGATGGGTGCTGGGCTTGTGTTTGGCTTATTCTATCCTAATGTTGCTGGAAGCTGGACCGCTTTTGGACTCGGCTCAATGGGTGCAGCATTTCTCACGGGCTCTAGCCACTGGAGCGGATTCTATGGCGCCCTTATCATTGCTTTCTACGTTCTGGCAGTCACCCCGGTTCTGATCTCTTCTGCCGTTCGCCATTCCCCTGCTCCGACCTTCGGCCTGGGCTTCTTTGTGTATATCTTTCTTCTCCTTTTCCATGTCTGGGTTGTTGCTTACGCGTTTGTTCCCGGCGGGCCGCTCGTCAGGGAACATACTGATTGGATCATGGTCATCACTATGCTGTGCATTGGCGCAGGTGTGTTTTCTGCGTCTGTTTCGAAGCCAAGCAACCCAAAGAACAAACCTATTAGCCCGAACGGAAGGAGAGCCCGCTCATACTACGTCTATGTGCTCGTTGCTCTGCAACTGCTATCTGTGTCCATCGCCTACCTCCGTTTTCCAACAAATGATTACACGCCATACCACAAAGAAGACAAGGCTGTAACCGCTGGAATTTGGACTGTACATTTCGGTCTCGACAATGATATGTGGGCTTCCGAGCGCCGCATGCGTGATGTCATCCAGGAGCTGGAGCTGGATGTTATCGGTCTCCTCGAGTCGGACAACCAGCGCATCATCATGGGTAATCGCGATGTCACCCAGTTCTTGGCGGAAGATTTAGGCATGTACGCAGACTTCGGACCAGGCCCTAACAAACATACCTGGGGTGCCGCTCTGCTCTCCAAGTTCCCAATCGTTAACTCCACTCACCATCTCCTGCCTTCCCCGGTTGGTGAACTCGCTCCTGCCATCCATGCCACTTTGGACATGTATGGAGAGATGGTTGATGTTGTTGTCTTCCACTCTGGACAGGAGGAAGACCCCGAGGACCGTCGCCTCCAAACGGAGTACTTGTCAAAGCTGATGGGCTCTTCTCCCCGCCCACTGATCTTGCTGAGTTACCTCGTGACTAAGCCTCTTGAAGGAAACTACAACACCTACGTCAGTGACTTAAGCGGAATGAAGGACATTGACCGGACAGACTGGGATCGCTGGTGCGAGTACATCCTTTACAAGAAGCTCAAGCGAACCGGCTACGCACGAGTCAGCCGTGACTCTATTACCGACACAGAGATTCAGGTACGTTTCTTAAATAATTTCAACCATACTGCAAGTAGAAGGATGCGTGCTAACTCTTAGTCTTATAGGTTGGTAAGTTTGTGATTGGAGAGCCCGAACCTGAGAGCGAAATGATGATTCCGGAGGAAATGGTGCCTCAAGGACTTCGATTCCCTGCGCTCTTCCGTGGCCAAGGAGTGCGAGGCCACCGCTATCATGTGTTCAACGAGCCCAGATACTGGCAGTGACCCACCTGACGAAACCTCCGCCCGCTGTCCGCTGGTGTCTAGGTAAATAAACCCGCTTTGTCTTCATACATGTTGTTAGAACAAACACATGCGAGGCGGACACAAGAAATCGTATCCGGCTATACCTATTGTTTTTTGGATATGATTATATCGCTGTGTCGACTCGCCTTACCCCTGTATATATTAACAATAATTGCCTTGAAGCCTGCCATGCACTTGATCAAACAATGACGATTCTTCATCATCATCCCGACCTGAGGAATGTGGGAAGTGGGTGCATTGACTGACAAACACGGAGAATATTTCCCAGTCGTTGCTCCTTGGCCAAGTCTACGTACGCGAAACGCCCCAGGAATGCGGCCATCAGTCTAGGTGGTTTATGTGTTGCCGCCATCACGAGCAAACCCCTGTAGAGTAGGATGTGGCCCAACTTCTTTTGTTATTACTTTTGTCACAAGAGCTGAGATCCTTGCTGTTGTCTCAGTAAAGTTCTGACGCTCATCATAATCTATTTTGAGCCAGCAATCAGCATCTCTTACTCGATCGCTTGTCAATCAGAAGCCCCAGTCCTGGTGAGTTCCTGGCGCCTTATGGTATCTACAAAGTTTCAGAGGATCATACTAATTATGGATACTCGTTTAGTTCCTTTGAGCAGAGGCCTATTTCTGGAGGTCAAAGTAATCGTCACCGTGCACTTACAAAAGAGCCTCTTTGTCCTCGAAAGTGGTTCATTGAGCTGCTTATTTTCCCACCATTTCCCGACTCGATTTCCAACAAAGAAGGTGCTGATCCATGGTCACAACCAATTCAAGTCTTCTTGCTGACAGTTTATAGAACGCACGTTTCACTACAAGACATCGGAACACTCCTGTTGCCAGCCCAGATACACAAACTTTCTCACCCCTCAAGAACTCTCTCAGAACGAGAGATGTAAGTCTCCACACTTCCAAATGCAAAGCGCGAGATTAGCTTATTCAAGCAGCAGCCTATTTCGAAGAAACATACAACAATATGCCGGAAGTTAAGAAGACAAACCGGCCTCACCTGGATGTCAAGAAAGATGACCCAGCAAAAGCTGAAGAACTAGTGTGGCCCTTTGCAGAAACGCCGAAAGTTCCCAGAGGGAAATGGAAACCGTACAAATATTTCGGCCCAGAGAGAACTTTCAGAGAGCCTAGAAGTTTCAGAGGCGGAGGAGCGCCGCTTCACGTCGTCGGAAAAGAGTTAGGACTGCCAGGGCTGGGCCAGGATAGTCGGCAAGATACAGCTACACCAAAGCGAACCGAGAGGTTAACGCCGTCACCCGTGTGCATGCCTATGATTTATCTTGGAGATGCCTCGCCTGCTCCGCGGTGGCTGATCAGACCTGCTGACCCGGAGAACAAGCACGACTCGTCCCGCGAGTCTTCTGTCTCAAGCGGCTCTCGGCTTCCGCCTCTGGGAAAGCTGCGCTGGGAGTTCGATCCTGGTATGCGCTCCGAGCACGGGCTTGATGAGGATTGGTTACGCGACTATGCGTACCGGTATCTTCTGAACTCACTTTGTGATCCGATTGTTCGGGATGAAATGAGGGACTTGATCTGGAATGGACCGCATGCGCCGGCTGTTGCACACGTTGAGGACCCGTTACCGGTTCCTCCTCCTCCACCGCACTTCAACGACAAGAAGCCCTTAGACTATGTGTCTCTTCGCCGGCCGATATCTGCTTCAGCGCCTGATGATTACTATTTTACGTATCCCGGATATGAGCGCCCGCGGCTCGCAGCCAGAGTACGAACAAAAGGTATGTACATGTCACTCCTCACAGATTTGAGGACCCTAGTACCACATACATTGTATTCATGCTGACTGTTTCCCCAGCCGATGTCAAGACAAACGCAGAGGGTGCATATAGCAACGCCGATCCATTTTCCACTGATGGTGACGATTCAAGTGATTGGGAACCTGCCAGCAACCAAACCCGCTCTCACACCGATTCTGAGCTCGCTTCCAATTTCTATGCCTCTACCCGCAAGTCAAGCGCCAGCACCATCGCCATTTCCAGCACGCGTACTCGCACCGACACCGGCCGCAGCTGGTACTCTGGCGTCAGTGCTAGTACACGTACCCGCACGAGCACTGGCACTAGTTCGCGCTCCAGCATCAGCGCCAGCTCCAAGGAATTTTTCAAGCACGCGGACAGCGAAGCATCAGACTCAACGGGGTATAACCCCTCAAGCGACGACGACGACCAACATATCAGTTCAGGTCAGTACAAGTGGGTTTGGATCTTACTCACGGTCCTCATTCTCAGCATGTTTCTCTGCTTGTTTCTCTACGCGTTTGGGATTCTGCGATGATGTAATTAGAACAATATGGCTACAAGCCCCTTTCCCTCCTTGCAAAAATCCAGTGAATAGCCCTGGCAGGCTGGCACTACTGGCCCCTGAAGATCTTAGCAGCACGGAAGGGTGGATCCTTGGCCCTGCAGACACATTCCTCACGCAACCCCTGGCATACCACATTCTTCACTTGCAGACAAAACTTGGATAAATTTTCTTTTGCTGATTACGCCATTATAGACTCATCGAAAGCGCCCAGCATCGTGACTTCCTCAGAGGATGAACTGACCATTACGAAGCCGCCAAAGCGAGACAGCAGTAGGTCATCCCGATCCTTTTACTATGGCAAATCCAAGGCAAGGTCAATGCGCTAACTGTTGCTGCTCTTGCGGCTTACTAGGACGTCCGAATAAGACTATTGAAAGGGCGTACGTGTATGTCCCAACGTTAGAGGAACTCTCCAGTGAAGCTCTCCCTCCGCGGAAGCAACGAAGAGACACTCGAACCCAAACCCATGACAGGCTTACTTCTGACGCCTTTTCTGGTGAAGAGGATATACCACTGCCTAAACTTCCTAAAGTGGTGGGGAAGACACCGAAGAAGAAGAAGAAGAAGAAGAAGAAGAAGAAGAAGAAGAAGACGGCAGCAAAACGTCGGTGATTGTTATTCGCATTGCTAGATTGGTCGTTACATATATGTTTCCCGTAGATGTCCTTACCTACTCCTTGTCCGCTTGCTCAAGTTACAACGATTAAGCTTCCGATATCGCACCTCCCCCACACTTATCATGAGCTCATAGTTCACGGTCCCCTCTCTCCGGAGGATTGTCGGTGATACTGGGACGATCATACAAAGTTTCCCCGTGAAGTGGGGCAAGTAGTCGCAGATCACTCACTATAAAGCAGTGCCAGCCAGACATAATGCGTTTTCCAGGGTAATCAAAGACAAAAGCCCAAACTGTCCACATTCATATCACAATGCCCCGCAAAGACATCCTCCGCAGTGCCCTCCTGGGGACACTCGCATCCCAGTCCCTAGCAGAACCATATCATGAACCGTACCGTCCCCAATTCCACTTCTCCCCAGGCCGGGGTTGGATGAATGATCCCAATGGCCTCTTGTACGTTAATGGAACCTACCACATGTTCTACCAGTACAACCCAGCCGGAACTACATGGGGCAATATATCATGGGGCCATGCGACGAGCGAGGACGTGACGCACTGGGAGCATCAGCCTGTTGCGCTGCTTGCCAGGGGCTTCCCGGATAATGTCACGGAGATGTTTTTCTCAGGCAGTGCGGTTGCTGATGAGAGGAACACGAGTGGGTTTGGTCGAGGTGGGGATGGGGATGGGGATACGGCGCCGTTGGTTGCGATTTATACGTCTTATGTGAGTTGTGTCAGGTGTGGTAGAGGCACTAAGGGTTCCTTGCATGGAGCTGACCGAAAGTAGTATCCTATCAGCCAAACACTCCCAAGTGGGAAAAAAGTCCGTGAAAACCAGCAGAGCCAATCTATCGCCTACAGTCTAGATCAGGGACAAACATGGACGACCTACGATGAAGCGAATCCTGTTATCCTGGAACCGCCCACTGCATATGGAGACCAGTACCAGGAGTTCCGCGACCCGAACGTCTTTTGGCATGAGCCAACAGGCAAGTGGGTTCTTGTCGTGTCCCTTGCAAAGGTGCACAAACTCCTCGTTTACACTTCCGATGATCTCAAGAACTGGTCTGTTGCAAGTGAGTTCGGCCCCTACAATGCCGTCGGAGGTGTATGGGAGTGCCCCAGCTTTTTTCCGCTCCCTGTGGATGGAGACGAGTCGAATGTCAAATGGGTCGCCATCATTGGGCTCAACCCCGGTGGACCTCCTGGCACTGTAGGTTCGGGAAACCAGTATATACTTGGCGATTTCAATGGGACAGTCTTCACACCTGACCAGGGCAGCATCCACACGGACGGAGAAGCAAATTGGCTCGACTTTGGTCCGGACTTTTACGCTGCGCTTGTGTATAACGGACTGCCAGAGTACCAGCGAACCGTGATTGCTTGGATGAATAACTGGCAGTACGCGACAGAGGTACCGACAAGTACCTGGCGCAGTGCAATGGCTATTCCTCGCCGTATCTCTCTTAAGACGATCAACGGCAAGATGCGGGTCGTGCAGGAGCCTGAGGAGAACTGGAACTCCATCACCAGCAAGCTGCAGACCGCCTACTTTGCCTCTCTCCCAGAAGGCGTACACAATCTAGGATCCCTTGGAAAGTCTCTGGCTATCAACCTCACTTTCTCTGATAGGAATGATGCCAATTCGTCAGCAGCCTCCGAATTTGGCATTGCCTTCCTCGGGACGCAGAACTTCACCCAGCAAACTCGGGTTGGGTATAGCTTTGCCACGAAACAAGTTTTCCTCGACCGGAGGACATCAGGAAACTCCTCCTTTGACGGTACTTTCGCGAGTATCTATCATGCTCCACTTTTGCCGTCGGAGGAAGACAAGGTGACACTCCGCATATTTGTTGACTGGTCTAGTGTTGAGGTGTTTGGGGGTCAGGGAGAAACTACCTTGACTTCTCAGATCTTTCCGCGTGAGGATGCTACCTATGCTCGACTATTTTCGAGCGGAGGCTTGACGGAAAATATTGATCTGAGCGTTAGTGAGATAAATTCCGTATGGAGACGATGAAGGAAGAGACGACCAGTGGTTGTCGGAGGGATATATGCACGAGTAGCGCCTTAGAAATATGGCATCAATTTGCATAGTTTGCACCTGCTTTGTCTACAATCCTTTCTCAACCGGTATCAAACATCGCCCTGTTGAACTTGCCTTCCAGTGTGGACTTGATTCCTTGAACATTTGACGTCTTGAATTGCTTTCTTCTGCTTTGCCAATCGAAACTGACCGCCTCGCTTTCCCTCCCGGGGTCGTTCCTCGAGCTCCTGATGTTCAAAAGAGCGTTTAGCAACTCGGCATCCTTATCAGAATATTTTCCCTTGTAACTATGCTCTGGTCTTTCCTTACATAGATTTCGTCACTTCTCGGCTCGAGGGATTCTGGTTGGCTGAATATTCAATATATGCATGGTCTACAGGAACCTTGTGACAATAGCAACGCTGCATTGAGTGAGATTACAGCTCCAGCGTAGCGCCTGCGAGCGTCGTCTTGATTGTTTTCAAGGTCTGCATCATTTACGGATCACTATGTTTGCATCCCTCGGGTTATTCAAGGACATCCCATGTCCGCAGGGCCAGGAGTGCTCTCTGTTAGGCTGCATATTTTCTCATCGCAACCTTACATCAATCTCCAGCGACTTCAGTACCGCCGACACTCAGACTCCGGAAATGGAAGAGTCGTCTGAGCCGGCTCCGAAGAGAGTCAAACTTGAGGCAGCCCCTGAAAAGGAGGATCCGCCGAAGAAGGCCTCAGCTCATGATCTCAGCGGCCGCAGTTCTGTTTTGAGGAGCACCCCCACCAAGAGACCTGAGGCTACAGGTACAAGAGCTGGAGACTCGCGGTCAGTCTCTCGGCAGGAACTCGCCAACCCGAAGACTACGCCTGTCAAGCGTGCGGCATCCACTGCTGAAAGTTCAGGGTCCAGTTTACCTCCTAGACAAGCTCCCAAAGAATCGCTAAACCCACGCATGCTCCCGAAGGCGCCGGCAACATACAATGCGCGAACGGCTATCCTGAAAAAGCTACACTCAACGCTTTGCTCTCTGAATGATAAGCTCGCTAAAGATAAAACGAACAAAGATAAATCACTAATCCTGACACCCGACGAGCTCATCACGATGGCCCTGGACGAGGAAGAAAAGGTGGCAAAAGAGAATCCGACAATATACTCCAACATCGTCAAGCTTCGGATTGTAAAGTTATCCAAATTGAACCAAGAGGACTGGGCGAAAGAGCTCAAAGATTATCTCAACAAGAAATATTTCAGATTCGAGGCCCCCCAAGCCCCCAAAGCGCCGCAGGCATTCACGACTGGGCTAAGTGTTGAAGAAGAACTTGCAATTGCAAGAAAACTGGTGACGCCGTTACAAGGATTGGAGAAATATGGTTATGTGACGAAAGCACCCACTGCAGAAGAAGTGGAAGCGGCAAGGAAAGGTGTTTTGGGTGCCGGAGGCTGGGAGAAGTGTGATCGGTGCGGTGGCCGATTCCAAGTCTTCCCTGGCCGTCGCGAGGATGGTTCGCTGACCACCGGAGGGCCATGTACTCACCACCCTGGAAAGCACTTTTATCCCCCGAAGAAGAAAACCGATCATGTTACTGGGGCGAGAGAGGCATACTTCACTTGCTGCAATGAGACGCTGGGAACCTCTCCAGGATGCACCAAGGGTGAGAATCATGTCTTCAAAGTCTCGGAGACGAAGAGACTGGCCTCCATTCTTCAATTTGAAGAGACACCGGAAAACCCAAACAAAGGCCGCACATCTCCAGTTTGCTTTGACTGCGAGATGGGATACACGACTTTGGGCTTGGAGCTTATTAGAATGACCGCAGTCAGCTGGCCTGAAGGCGAGAAGATCCTGGACGTACTGGTTCGACCGATAGGGGAGGTCCTAGACCTAAACTCTCGCTTTTCCGGCGTCTTCCCAGAACATTATGCGACAGCTCTTCCGTACGGCACGCCGACAGCCAAGGAGAACTCTACGCAGTCGGACGAGGCAGGCACAGAGCCCCCGCACTTACAGGTCGTCGAATCTCCTGCAGCAGCACGCGCACTGCTCTTCGAGCTTCTACAGCCAACAACACCTTTGATAGGGCATGCGATAGACAATGACCTCAACGCCTGCCGAATAATCCACCCAACGGTCATCGACACGGCTATTCTATATCCACATCCAGCTGGCGGGTTCCCATACCGCATGAGCCTTAGGACTTTATCCAAGAAGCATCTCGACCGGGATATCCAGACAGGAGGCAATCGCGGACACGATTCGAAAGAGGATGCAATCGCTACCGGCGACTTGGTTAGAGCTAAGGCTGCAGAATTATGGAAGACGCTCAAGCCAAAAGGGTGGACAATCGCAGACGGCACGCTGTTACCGCCTCCAGGCCAGGAAGACGCTGTTGCATTCCCGCAGCTGAAGCTCGGACAGGGAGCGGGGCAGAAGAGGAGTAGCTCTACAAAAGGAACAATAGTGCCAGGTCGCGGCTGACAATCTACAACGATGCGCTTAGCGGTCTTCTACGAACGTGCAAGCAAGGTATTTGGATGTAGATAACTCCTTTCATTCATCTCTACCAGTCGTAACGTCATGAGTAGTCGAAGAATCGATACCAACAGGTTGATGGCACACCGGGTATATTAGAGAGCGCCACCTTATCGGGCTGGTCAATCCCTCTCAGAGGGATGCCACCAACACAGTCAATACTCTCACGGAGCATATCCAACCCAGAACTGGATACGCGGTGCCAGCTTACAGCTCCCATTCTATAACGTTTTTTGTGGAAACCGGCCCGTCATATTCCAGCTCTTTTCTCTACTCGAGTCGAGCGAGAAATTTACTCCTCATCCTCATCAGCCTCCTCAGCGGCGACGTTGTAGAAGCGGAGCTCGTAAACGCCCTTGGAGGTGGAGACGACGCGAAGCCAGTCACGGAGCTGCTGCTTCTTGAGGTACTTCTTGGTCCTGCAGGGAATTAGACATTGCTCAATCGACAAGGTGAATATTGTGCCACGTACAGGTACTTGAGGTAGCGACCAGAGAAGGGAATATGAGCGACAACCTCGACCTTGCCATCGCCAACCTGGGAGATGACGACCTTGTCACCGAGGTTACCGACGCGGCCCTCGACCTTGATGCGGTCGTGGAGGAACTTCTCGAAGGCGGAGACATCGAAGATCTTGTCGTTGGCGGGCTGAGAAGCATTGATGATGAACTGCAGACACGGAATATTAGCGATTGCAAGCGGAGCGACCGAGAGTTGCAAGCTTTTACTCACCTTCTGAGTGACCTTCTGGGCCTTGCGGGCACGGACCTACTCAACCGGAAAGATTCGATTAGCCTACTGTTCCATTTGTCGGGCCCCAGATTGAGCCGTGATGCGTCGTCGTCCTTGCTTGCCAGATTCTCGTCTCTGCTCAGCCATGGGCATTTCGGCCGCTGGCTGGCGAGGACGGAGAACGAGTGCGAAGAGCGAGCGCATCACGAACACATAGGGGGAACAGCAAAGCAGTTCAAGAATGGAAACATACAGCGGGAGCCATTGTGACTGAGGAGAGGGGTATGAAGAGATGAAGAGGGGAGAAGTCGTTGGTCGCAAAGAGGTGAGTATCCTGCGCCTGTGTGAGGAGGAGAAAAAGTTCGAGCCGACACCGAATCTCCAGCCGTGGTGGAGTGCGACAGCTATTCCACTTTTGGATGCACATTAGGGCTTCATTTGCGAAAGGGCAGAGAGGCATCAGCTGACATTTCCAGTCTCCTGAAAATTCTAGCCAATAAGGCAGGCTGAAAATCGACACTAACGACCTCGCTAAGCACGGATCCCGTCCGCTCAATATAAATACACCTCTTCCCCCGCACCCTTTAGAGTTTTTTTCTTTTCTTTTCCAGCTCTCTTTGCCTTTTGGCTTAGATCAAGTGTAGTATCTGTTCTTTTCAGTTTAATCTCTGAAAGTGTTCTAAGGAACACAACATTGATTAATCTTATTTTTGGTCTTCGTGGCAGGGCCTCTGTGCTTGCGCATGCCTCGCCACACAGTGTCATCGGGCTTACACTACCTCCGATTGACGCGAAACAACTTTTTTTTTCATCAATTTGGCCGGCTTGTCCGACTGCTTGGAGAAGAAATTGGTTGTTTTGACTTGCAATCATTCTTTGGGACTGGCATGTAGCTTTGAAGAGGAGTTTAGCTCTCCAGTCGTTGAAACTGGTGCTCGAGAGTCGGAATTTGGAACCGTCCTGGTGGCTTGTTCGTCGGGTACGGCGGTCTGTTACTTGCATGGCGGCCAAGTAGTATCAAACCTCTTCTCTTTGGTGTTTCGAGGTCGTAGCTTTCCATGGCTGTCATTGGTCTTTTCGTCGTCCCCATAGCAGCTGCTATGTCTCTTAAATGCTACCTAGGTATTCATGTGGTCTAGACCATTAGCCTTGCCTTGACGGCCCTTTGGCCATCAATGATTAGACATTCCAACCGGATCGATCACAATCGGCTGCCATTGCCTTGCGAAAGCAATAACACCGTCATTCTAGCAGATCTGCTGAAAACAAGTCCATTCCATATCATCCCAGCGTTGAACTATCCTTCGCGTCTTTCTGATCTCGATCTCGATGTCGATTCTTCAATCCTGCAGTAAGGATGACGTGAATCGCTTTAGGATTGGACAACCACAACTTGCATCGATGGGGAACCACAAATTCAAAATAGTATGATCCTCAACCATGTGTACCCTGAAGTAACTCGTTATTTGCCTCTTGTATTGCTCAATTGGACTTCCTGACGTGTATCACCTCTTCCTTGTCAGGGTCTTTCCACCATCCACCAAACAATGAACGTACCTCGAAAGCATCCATTTTGACGTCACGAACCCACAATGACAGAGGTATGATGATAGCTCATCACCGCCCTCACCATGATCTCACTTCTTCAGCATCATTACTTAACTGAATCATGGGTCCTCTGTCGAACCTATAAGTACTGAGCAAAAGACTGGCTCACACTAACCATCAACAAGCACAAACTTCATTCTACCACACTCAGAACAAAGGACTCCTTGTCAATCTATCACTCATATCAACCATCACAATGGCCCACAACGAGAACCCCGGAAACTTCGCCAACCGCCCCCACGAGGAGGTCCAGAATATCGCCCGCAAGGGAGGCCAGTCCAGCCACAGCGGTGGCTTTGCCAGCATGGACCCTGATAAGCAGGTAGGCTCGCTCTTTCTCTTTCACCGTCCGTGTCGATACTAATGTGATACAGCGCGATATCGCATCCCAGGGTGGCCAGGCCTCTAGCGGCAGCTTCCAGCCCGGCGATCCCCGCGCCAGAGAGGCCGGCCGCAAGGGTGGAAAGGCTACTGGAAACACTGAGCCTGAGGAATAGGAGAGTCTCAATGATATTATGAGGCAATGACGCGCAATATGGGATGCGCTTATGTACTTTTATTATGATGCCTTACGTTTATGCTATGTATATGACTGCAGTGCACTGTCTGGAATGAACAACTCTCGGTACCATATCCTTTTATACGTTGTAAGGTTTAGGAAAGTAGTGGCTTAAATACTCGAACATTCAAGGAAACTCAATTCCTGCTAGCAAGTATGCTTATTTCATACACTGTCGATCGGTCGATCAACGCCGGTACAGCCTTGGAGAGACTCACAGAAAGATATTGTTCAAAGCATAGAGCAAATAGGTTAGGCGACGTACATAAAGAACAGGCTATCTTAATAAGCCTTGACTGTACGACTGATTCAGGCTGTACTAATGAATGGTGCATACTCTGAGAAGACCGTGCAAAGTCAAAACCATTTCTAGACTTCCGCAAGCAGACAAAGATCTGTTTTGCCGGACGTTGCCAGCATCTAGACCAGCTCCGGACAGCTATAGCCGGGATCAATCCCATCCAGTAACGTTGATACACGCAAGCATGACTTCAAGAGTATCTCAGTATCTCACTATCCCCAGTCTTCGATAGTGGGACCCTTGGGTCTCCTGCTCGGCTGATGGACCCAAGCATCTGTGATTGTGGTTGTTACTGCCACTTGCAGCACCATGAAGTTGACCTGCGGTGAACTACTAGATACTGTGCTATAGTACGAGTAAAGTTGAAGATTGGATGATATATATGATATATATAATCAAATTAACAATAGTAATGTACAGTAGAGACATGTCTCATACAGCTCATAGCAGCATAACACATAGGGCATCATTTAATCCTGGAACTCGTCCTCATCCTCGCCCTCCTGATACTTGTCCCCAGTCTGTGGCTTTGCATGACGCAAACGATTGCCGCCGAGGACATTGGATTGATCGATGGCCTCGTCTTCATCCTGGGCTGGTTAGGGTTAGTCTTTGCTCTTTTGACGCTTAGCAATAGAGTGATGTGATAAACGCACCAAGCTGGCGATCCGAGTTGGAAAAAGGAGGCTGCATGGGGTCCTCAATACCGGCTTCATCCCTCTGGACTTGGATATGGCCTTTTAGCTCAGAGCGAGTCTCGTGGGCATAGGTGTTGTCGGAGAAGGTGCCGGAGACTGGGGAAGCGTCGTTGGCGGCCTCATACTGGTCTTCGGCGGCTCTTTCGTAGGGGTTGGACATTTTGAAGGATGTAAACGTAGTGATACGTCTCAAATTGAGTGTTAGATGGTTGCGTAATGAACCCTTGTCGAGCTGTAGATGGCCTCGAATTTATACCTACATATATCTATATAGGCTCCGTTTCTGGTAGAGATCGTCGGTAGCTCCCGAGCTAGGTCTATCTAGGACTAAGGTCTTGCCTGGGGTTGTTATCGTAGATCTGACGTCACGCAACAGCAGGGGTGAAACGACAAGTTCGAGTGCGTCCAGTTGACATTGGATGGAAGAAACTTCAAGCCAATAAGATGGACAGGGTAAGTGTTGCGTTATCATCATGGCATCAACGGAAAATTGCCCAGAAGGGAAGCGGCTGTTTTTCTTCTTGTTGAGCAGTCGATGATCGGGGCCAGCTCGATGCGGCTCGATCGCGGTTGTCATTGACCGATCTAAACATTGCGATTTGAATGTCGGAGACATGGAAACTCCAGTAGACCAGATGAGCTGTTTCTTGGGAAGAGTAGAAGCTTATTGGATGCCACTGTTGTAAAGACATGGGTCGTTCTCAGGGCAGTAGCTATTCCGGAGGGGTGCTACAAATAGCTGTTGCTTACGGTACAGCTGTCAGGTGCCAACAGTCCTTAATTTCAAACAGCTGCCTAAAACCTACAAGTTTATTACTTATGTTGCATTCTGAAAGGTCATCTGCCGCGCCTTGGAAGTGGGAGCTGCCCAGCCGTGCGTCGGAGATGACGCAAGAGGGACGTCCAAGCACTAGGGCTCTTAAATACCCCGAGATCTCCTGGTAAGCATTCTGTTACCTGTATGAACATTGAGCGCCTCGAGACAGAAGGCAAAGGGTTACTTCTTGCGAATGTTTCGGCCCAGAAGCAGATGGTCAGTGAATCAAGATGATGTCGCCTCGTTTTGGAGCAACGCTGTTGCGCACAAGTGTTATTCGACCGCCGATCGTCCGCGCAACCAGGGGAATCACCAGCCCGGCTCATGTCAAAGAGAAGCTACCCACGGATGGCGGCAGAAACCGTGAGCGGTTTCGAGAGTTCTCGCTGGCTGGTAAGGTGTTTGCCGTGACCGGCGGAGCCCGGGGGTTGGGGCTGTCAATGGCTGAGGCCTTGGTCGAGGCCGGAGGTGAAGGTATGGTATCCTTTTTTTTTCCCAAGCGGATAGCTCAAGCTAACATGGCCAGTCTATTGTCTCGATAGACTCCCCGAGCCAGACGACGAGTTCCACGCCGCCAAAGCCCGCGCGAATCCAGACTTTGGAGGCTCTATCCACTACCGCCAAGTGGACGTCACCGACGACGCAAACACCGAAGCCACCATGGCTGAGATTGCAAGCAACAAGAACAGATTAGACGGCTTGATCGCCGCAGCGGGCGTCAACCACGTTGCGAGTGCAGTCGATCACTCCCCAGCCGCCGTCGACAACGTGATTCATATCAACTACACGGGTGTCTTCCGAAGCGCCGTCTCAGCAGCAAAAGAGATGATGAAGAGAGACTGCCAGGGATCAATTCTGCTCGTGGCTAGTATGAGTGGCATAATCGCCAACAAGGGCATGACATCAGCCATCTATAACTCATCCAAGGCGGCGGTGATCCAGCTCACTAGGAGTCTGGCTATGGAGTGGTCCGAGGTTGACCCTAAGACGAAGAAGGGAGGGATCCGAGTCAACTGTCTCTGCCCAGGCCACATTGAGACGCCCATGGTACAAATGATTGTGGAGAAGGATCCGGCGACCAGGGAGCTTTGGGAATCAGAAAATATGATGAAGCGGCTGGCGCGGCCGGAGGAGTTTCGCGGAGTGACACTGCTGCTAATGAGCGATGCCAGCAGCTTCATGACTGGAAGCACGGTTGTTGTTGACGGGGGGCATACCGCTTGGTGATTTTCTTCTATTCTACTACCCCAGTGATAGACAGACATAGCGATCACTCGATAATTTGACATATTTCTTACCATGAGCCGGCGAGCAACAATCACGCTATATGCATTGCGTGATTCATGAGTCTCGGGCTTCGGGTAGCATCCCCGACCGGCATTGATTACATCCAGAATGAAGCTACTGCCCCCGAGGATGTTGGGGTAAATGAGGGTCTAAGTTCGGGGCAAGCATCCGAACCCCGGATTTAGCCCTATTCTGGGGAGGCGGGGTTCTTCACCCCCAGCGTACGGAGTGTGTACGGCTCGCGAGTATAAATAGACCCATCTGTTGCTTTGCACTGACGATCCCTGAAGTGACAGGCTCCTCTGTAACCACACACGATGTGGTTTCTCACAACCCTCCTTTCCCTGTCAATCGTGGGTTCTGCTACCCCAACCACGCAAGGACATATCAAGTCTCCTAAGGCTCACGTCAAAAACGGAACGTATGAAGGCATATATTCCGCGGAATATCACCAAGACTTCTTCCTGGGCGTTCCATTTGCGCAGCCCCCCGTCGACAACCTCAGGTTTAGATTACCCCAGTCTCTGAACTCTACATGGAAGGGCTCTAAAACCGCAAAGGACTATTCTCTTCTCTGCGTCGGATATGGCGTAAGCCCGCCACCGTCTAGCAGAGACTTAGACTAACCCTTACGCTAGCTCGACCAAACGTTCTACGAGCAGTCAGAGGACTGCTTATACCTCAATGTTGTCCGCCCCGCCGGCTACGAGCACGAGCAGCTTCCTGTAGGGTTCTGGATTCACGGCGGAGGATTTAGCAATGGCGGCGGCGGCGACCAACGGTACAATCTCTCTTTCATTGTGGAACAGTCAGTCAAGATAGGAAAGCCCATCATTGGCGTCTCGATCAATTACCGTCTGAGTTTATGGGGGTTCCTCTACTCTAACGAAGTCGTCGGGGAGGGAATCACCAATCTTGGCCTTAGAGACCAGCGTATTGCTCTGCAATGGGTGCAGGAGAACATTGCTGCCTTTGGTGGAGATCCAGAGAAGGTCACCATCTGGGGCGAGTCTGCAGGCGCTGCCTCTGTTGGCTTCCAGGCAAGTCAATCTCAAGGAACTTTGTGAGATATGAGACTAACCAGTGCTATCATAGCTTACTGCTTACGGTGGTCGCGACGACAAGCTTTTTCGCGCGGCGATACTACAGTCCGGTAATCCAATCTACTATGGCTCGGAGAACGGCACGCAACGCTCCCAGGCCGGTTTTGAGGCAATTGTCTCTGCAGCTGGATGTTACGATTCCTGGGATCGAATTCAATGTCTTCGCGAAGTCCCATTTCTGGTCCTGAATGCCACGATGAACGGGTCAGTGGAAACTGGCAGCTTCGGACCGACGATTGACGGTGATTTTGTGCGGACGTACCGCAGCAAGCAACTCAAAAGAGGCCAATTTGTCAAAGTGCCGATTATCACTGGTGCAAACAGCGATGAAGGCGCTTCCATGGGTCCCATGGGCATTAATACTACCGAAGACTTCCGAGCGACACTATCCAGCTTTTTACCTCTCTCCTTCCAAGATGCTATCTTGAAAGCATACCCAGATGACCTTTCCGTTAACGTGGTTGCCAGCCTGGGCGACCAACGCCCTGCCCCGCCGTACGGTGCCCAGTTCCGCCGAAGTGCATCCTTCTGGGGGGATTACTACTTCATTGCGTCGAGAAGGGAGACAGCTAAGACGTGGGCTTCTCACGGTCTCCCTGCATATGCTTATAGGTTTAATGCCATTCCTGCCGGCGTTCCTCCGGAGGTTGGAGCCGGCCATTACAAGGAGATTGGCTTTATGTTCAACAACCTCAAAGGGGTCGGGTATAGACCGGATATTAGGCCGTTCGAAGACAAGGGCAAGAGCTACATTGACCTTGCAGAACTGATGAGCTCTTCCTGGGTCAGCTTTATTTATGACTTGGATCCAAACGGCTACAAGGGAAGAGACAGCAAGGTTCCTAAATGGCCGAAGTATAGAATGGATAACCCGGAGGACTTTGTCTTTGATGCTAATATTACTAGCTATGTGCAGTCTGATACTTATCGGAGTGAGGGTATTGCACTGATTAACGACAATGCTCTTGGGGTTTTGCATAGATAGTGAGATGGTTTTTACCTGTGACAGAAATTAGATCCTATACTTCGGAGGCTTTATAGTGCCCGGGAAAACCCCAAGGGCGAAATGAGCTTGGCGCCGTCATCACAGGGTCTAACTACTCTGCCCCCGCGTCTCATTTCGCGCTGGCTCTTTATTGGTAAGCTTATGGAACAGAAGTTATAGACCTTCATTATAATCAGAGTGCGCGCTTCTGTGTTGAGATGTCCTTTTTGAAGACGTTCTTCTGAACTGTAGGGCGCCTGGCCAGCGGCCGATGGCTTATTTGAGCCCCACATTCCCGCGGCTGTTCTCTTATTTTTTTTTCTGCACATTCCTAAATCTCAACTTCACAGCATCAACTATCGAGGACGGCTCCCTCGTAGATGTACATCAGTGACATCATGGTACGTCCAACATGAGTCTGACGCGAGTCTCCTGACGGCCAAGGTGATCCTGGCGGCCATCTCAACTTAGCAGTTCGACCTCCGGAGTGCTCAATGTGGAGAGATGCGGTGGTGGGGCGAAAGATGGAGCTGAAATTGGTAGGATGAGCCGCGCTCAAGATTTGAACAGGAACCGGACTCTCGTCGATGGGACTTCGCCTCGCTTGCGACTTCGGCAGTGCTCTATGGGTGCGAACTGCCAGGGTGGACTCGTTGTTGCCCCTCAGTCTCACTCCTCCCCCTCTCTGGTCTCCCACTTGAATTCCTCCCTGCCTCCCCTCTTGCTTTCATCCCGCATTGTTGTCTCTGGTAAGTTTAGCCACTGCACCGTACTGTCGAAGGCACTCTTTGACATTGTCTCCATCAAGTCTTCTGAATATTCACCATGTCTCTCCACCGCAACCCCCCTTTCCGCGTTGAGCATCTCGGCTCTCTCCTCCGTACCGATGAGCTTCTCAAGGTCAAGACCGCCTTTGAGAAGGGAGAGGCTACCCAGGCCGACCTCGAGGCCGTCGAGAAGAAGGACATCAAGGAGGTGGTCGAGCTCCAGAAGCAGCTGGGCTACCCAGCTCTCTCCGACGGAGAGTACTGCAGACACAGTAAGCTGTTCCAGGGGATAGAAGTAAAAAAAGCACAACCCCACCTTTGTGCTACGTCTCCGGCGATTATTATATGTCCGCTAACTGAGAACCTTGTGGACAGTGTTCTGGGGCTCGTTCTTCCCCGGCCTCGAGGGATTCGAGGAAGTCTCAGACCCCGACCCAGAGGTGTTCCGCCCCTACGCCCCCGATGTTGCTGCCTTCCTTGAGGCCGGCCACAAGCCCGGGGAGAGTGTCTTCTGCACCGGAAAGATCAAGCACGTCGGCAGCACCTACGTTGACCAGTTCAAGTACCTCGCTAGCCTCGTTGCCCCCGAGGAGGTCAAGAACCTGAAGCTCACCCTCGCCGCTCCCAACTGGTACCACCTGCGTTACCGCGAGGGTTACGCTTACCCCAAGGACGTCTACAGCAACGTTGACGAGTACTTTGCCGACATTGCCAAGGCGTACCAGGACGAGCTGAAGATTCTGTACGATGCCGGCTGCCGTAACGTGCAGTTCGATGACCCCAACCTTGCCTGTACGTCTTGAACCTATCCGTTTTTGCTCAAGAAACCTGCTAACAACAACCGTCACAGACTTCTGCTCCGACAAGATGCTCCAGGGCTGGAAGGAGGACTCCCTCAACACCCTCACCGCCGACGAGACCTTCGAGAAATACATCAAGCTCTACAACGACTGCCTCGCCACTCGCCCCTCAGACTTCCACATCGGCGTCCACCTCTGCCGCGGCAACTTCGTCGGCAGCCGCCACTTCTCCGAGGGCGGCTACGACCGCATCGCGACTAAGCTCTTTAAAGAGCTCGACGTCGACACCTACTACCTGGAGTACGACACCCCCCGCGCCGGCGGCTTCGAGCCCCTCAAGGAGCTCCCTCCTCATAAGAACGTCATCCTGGGTATCGTGACCTCCAAGTTCCCCGAACTTGAGGACAAGGAGGAGATGAAGAAGCGTGTCTACGATGCGGCCAAGTTCATTGCTGAGGGTAACGGTGTTAGCGTCGAGCAGGCGCTCAACCAGGTTGGTGTGAGCCCGCAGTGCGGATTCGCTTCTCACCGTGAGGGTAACGCGATTGACCGCAACGGTATGATTGCCAAGCTGAAGCTTGTCCGTGACATTGCCAACGACATCTGGCCTGGGCAGCAGTAATGCAGTAATTGTAGCCTAAATATATTGAAGACATGATATGTGATGATATAGCTGTACATAGATTCAACTTACCCGATGCGCTTGCGAGTTCAACATAGCACGAGGATACGATTATGATTTAAGAAAAAGTGATACATTACCAGAAACTGAGACGATATTATGATAATTAGGTAGCTGTACAAGTGCAGGGATTAGGCAAGATATATGTTGTACGTATATGCTGGTCAATTTCCATCTATTGCATGCTTTCCTTCTACGAGACACGAAAACAAGCCAACGACACAACAAGGAAATCACGTAAAGGATTAAAACGGGGTATTGGACGAAACCCAAGGAACAGTGGGATATCATAAGAAAGTGAGTAAAGGGGGGAATGGTAGAAAGATAAAATCGCAAATGCAGGACAAATGAAAAGAATCGAATCCAAAGGCTGCGTCTTCTGTCATCAAAACGGACATTCAACAAACAAATGGGATGGTATGATTTGGAGCGGCAAGGCAAGGCGGTGTTGTTATACATGAGGGCTGTGTAACCCAGACTGGAGGAAATCGTAGATCATTTCGGGGGTGATTGCGAGGTCTTGACGTTGTTTGAAAGCCAAGCCTACATGCTGTTAGATGGGAAATGTCGGATTCGAGAGCGAGACTTACCAGTCCTTCGAAAATACCAGTGCCATCCGTAGCAACGCTAGGCGCAACATACCATGTCTTATCCTTGATCTTGTGGAGTTGGAGAGCGCTCGTGATCTCATCCGGGCTCAAATCTGCAAAGGTTAGCGAGGGCAGCGTTCCTAGAAAGGAGAGTAACATACGTCCAGGAACGTCCTGCTTGTTTGCAAACACAAGCAAAAGGGCGTCTTTCATTTCGCGATCGTTGATGATCTTGTGTAGTTCGGAGCGAGCCTCCTCCAACCGAGTGGTGTCGCTCGAGTCCACGACGAAGATCAGTCCTTGCGTGCCTATGAAGTGTATACGTATCAGCCCTCGCCATATCAGCTCTGGATCGGTAGTCGTACCGGAATAGTAGTGTCTCCAGAGGGGACGGATCTTGTCCTGACCGCCCACGTCCCATACGTTGAACTTCACGTTCTTATACGTAACACTCTCGACGTTGAACCCGACGGTAGGAATTGTGGTGACATCTTGGTTGGTGAGTTTCAATTTGTAGAGGATTGCTGAACGACTGTTGGTTAGTGTTCCCATGGCCCAAAGCAAAAGCAAACGCACTCGTCTTTCCAGCAGCATCGAGACCCAGCATGAGAATCCGCATCTCCTTCGTTCCGAAGATCTTGCCCATGATCTTTGACACTGAGCCGCCCATTTTGACTAATATCACGCGATCGCGATGATGGGGAAACTAGAGGGTGGGAGATGTGAACTCGCGAGTCCCGTCCGGACTGTAGTCTGCAGAGGCGTAGCAACGAGGGGTTAACGGTCGTAAAGTAAGGAAAAGATGTGAGATTGATGTCAGGTAAGGAGCCTTTTGCACTCGAGTCAGTGAACGTGGCCCTTATCATAGCACGGGCGCGAGCACATGGGCTGGGATAAACTCACCTTGGCTTGAGGCACAGAGAGAGAGATATGGTTGATGTTCGGAGATGGCAGCGGGAGGGAAAGCGAGAATTAGCGACGAAAGGGTCAATTGAACGATATCGAATAAATTCGGGGATCCAGCAATGCTCCGATCCACACGTTCAGCTGCCTCGTTGAAAGTTGACTGTTTGCTCGACTCCGTAAAAGGGGCTGGCGATGCTGAGTCAGCACCCCCACGATTGCAGAGCCAAGACGTTTGATTGTTTCATCTCCGCAACATCGTCTGTCGTCTGTTTCATCTTGTTTCTCATGCTTCGAGGTGTCAACAGAGCTTATTCCGGAGTCAGACAGAGTCGCGATGCTCTACTTCCTCCACTGGAGCTTACTAGTAGTATGGGCTGGTCAGCCTTGTCATCGTTTCATCCCTTTAACCCACCTTCCTGTGCAAGATTATTGATGCTACACCGACTATCAGCACGTCAAGTTCTGCAGTCGAGAACTTGAATCAATCAAACAATCATCCATGACACCATCTGCATAAATGCTTATTCCCGGCAAGCTCCGTTGTACGCATCCGTATTTGCACACTGGTGTCGTACCAGCATTGCTTCAGCCCTACGTCATGGCAGTTCATGGTGAGGTCACACTCAATACTTCCACCGGTTCCGAGATGTGTACTGAGTCCCAAACCTACACCCTTTTCCACTAATCAATATTCAAAAAAAAAAACCACCTTCAAACTATACACATATACTGCCTTTATCTACTAGAATTCCTACAGAATGACTGACGACGAGATTCCTCCCAATCGGCGCCGAGTCTCACTGCAGCAACAGCGACGGCTTTCGACCCAATTCTCACCTGATTCTTGGGGCGCACCAACGTCCGGTGTATGCAGCTCTGCTCACTTCATATATCTCGAAGATCGAAGATCTGACTGTGATAGACAATTTATGCCGGTGTATCGGCTCTCTTCGAGAAGGACGAAGTCATATTTGCCGTGGCGATCCGCGATTGCACATATCTCGTCGACTTTGCTCAGGAAGCGCTCCCATTGATTCAAGATGGCCCATTGGATTCCTATCTTGGGGACTACGTAATGAATCACTTGAATAAGTGGCGCCGGGAACATGTGGAGAAAGTTGTTGGGATGGCAATCCCGCAGCAGCTAGCTGATGCCTCTCCCACGCTTTGCTCTCGCCTTTGGCTAGATCTCGACATTATCCCACTGGTTTTATCAGAAGAAAGTAAACTTGGTTTGGGTGGAGAGGAGCTGCGATATGAGTTCCAAAAATCCATGGACTGGGAAGTGAGGACGTTGGATGAACAGGCGGAATCCATGGCTCGCAAATGTGTTCGGTATATATCACTCTCCCAAGTTGTACTCAGAGACTAACTGCAGGTATAGACTGTTTGGACCGGAAGGCATACCATTGTTGCAAGTGGGAATGTCCGGCTTGGTACAGGTCGACACGGGGTTCCATGTGCAATTGACCAATAAGGGGAACTACGAAAAGACAGTTACGCCTAACATGTGGAAGGCTATCGAGTACTATGCCGACGACCTCAAGAAGAGGAAAATCAAATTCGCCTTCTTCAGCGCTACCCCACGGGGTGGGGGTGTTGCCCTCATGAGGCACGCTATGGTGAGGTTTTCTCACGCTCTAGGGACGGACATGAAGTGGTAAGTACTGCTGAATATCATATTGTCATAAGATTTCTAAGTCAAGTATAGGTATGTACCTAAGCCACGGCCGGGTGTCTTTCGTGTCACCAAAACCAACCATAATATCCTCCAGGGCGTCTCTCACCCAGAGGAGCGTTTGACAGAGGAGAAATGGGAGTTAGTCACGAACTGGATACATGAAAACTCCAACAGATATTGGCTACGTTCTGGCGGCCCTCTCACACATCCGAAGGATGGAGGCGCGGATGTGGTTGTTATCGACGATCCCCAAATGCCTGCACTGATCCCGCTGGCGAAACAGATAGCTCCAGACAGGCCAGTGGTCTTCCGTAGCCATATACAAATCCGCAGTGACTTGGTGGCTCAAGAAGGTAGCCCGCAAGCGGAATGCTGGGGTAGGATGTGGGAGATGATCAAGGATGCAGATCTTTTCATAAGCCATCCGGTAAGGTCGTTCGTGCCTCATAATGTTCCCAAAGATATGGTGGGTTATATGCCTGCTTCCACAGATTGGCTGGACGGGCTCAACAAGAACATGAAAGACTGGGATAATGCCTACTATGGGCGTTTTTTTAATTCTCTGGTCAGAAACACGGGAATGCCAGTTATTGATTACCCGGCAGGTGAGATTATCAACCGAAGGTATCTTTTAATTAGTGGCGCTAACGGCAATTAGACGAGTATATTGTTCAGATTGCACGTTTTGATCCTTCCAAAGGCATACCCGATGTTGTGGAGGCATACGAAAAGTTTCACAAACGCATGCTGGCCTCCGTACCGGATAGGTGCCCGCCCAAGCTTCTAATCTGCGGACACGGATCCGTTGACGACCCGGATGGCTCCATCATCTACAACGCAGTAGTGACGCACATCGAGAGCTTCATTCCACACCTGGCGGACAAGATCTGTATCGTCCGACTTGGCCCGTCCGATCAGGTGCTGAACGCGATCCTGTCCAAGGCCAAGGTGGCCCTGCAGCTTTCGACCCGGGAAGGATTCGAGGTCAAGGTCTCCGAAGCCATTCATAAGGGCAGGCCAGTTATTGCGACGAGGGCGGGTGGCATCCCGCTACAGGTCATTGACAAAGGAAACGGATTCCTGGTCGATGTAGGGGATACTGACGCGGTTGCCCAACACCTCTTCGATCTCTGTACAGACGATGAACTGTGGCAGCGGATGCACGAATTTGCCTTGGACCACGTGTGCGACGAGGTGAGCACGGTGGGTAACTCGCTCAACTGGCTGTACCTTGCCTCAACGTTGTCTAAGGGCGAAAAGATCAAGCCGAACGAGCGCTGGATCAATGACATGGCGCGTGATGCTTCAGGAATCCCCTATGAGGAAGGCGAGGACCGTCTGAAGCGAGCGATTGAGGTGCACAAAATGGGTTAAAATAGTCGTTTAAGAATCGTACATAGTTTGCACACCTGGGTCTGTATCTCCATTACCGTAGACAGCCAGTTCCATATGATAAACGCAGGGGGTATAGTAAAGAACCATGGTAACTCCAAAGCAAACGCCTCGGCTAGAAACGGGGAAGAAGAATCACCTAACCATGCGATATCTTTCTCTCGCCATTCCACCTTCAGCCCCCTCAACCCCATACCCCTCCCCAACCTCTCCAACAATCCTTGCCGGCGCCCCACCAACAACACACCAGCTCGGAACCACCATCCCCGCAGGGACAACAGCCCCATCAAGCACGTATGCAAACTCTTTCAAAATGGCCATCGACCCAATCACCGCGTCTTTCCCAATATGAACATGATTCCCAACACTCGCCGCCTCAACTACACTCCGTTCCCCGACAAAAACATGGTCACCAATCTTCAGCGGAAAATAGCTGTGTATCCCCCTGTGCAGACGAGATGGCGGGCGCAGAATCGCAGACCGCGAAATATAGCTGTACCGCCCGATTGTAATTGCGATTTGATTCCCTGCGGCGCCGGCAGCTGCTTTAGGATCTGATTTCGAGTCCGGAGTGGAGGCTGAGGAGGAGGTGCGGAAGAGGTCGCCGCGGATGACGGCGTCGGCTTGGATGATGGATTTACCGCCGAGAATGATGTGCTGTGTTCCGTGAATCTGGGACCGACGCGAGATTTTGTTTCCTGTGTCCTGTTCTTGTTCTTAGCTTTGGCATTTGACCCCGAGGTTGCGCTGTGGTGTTTGTTTATGGACACTGTCGGCTGTTGGGTGAGGGACGTACGGTCTCAATGTATTCGCCTTTGGCTGCTTTTGGAGGCATAGTGTCAGGAGAATGATTGGCTTGCTCTAAGTTCAGGAGGGCCACAGTTTCAGTATACTATTGGGTTGAGCATCAGGGCAAGAAAGTAACGAGTTGGATTTAAGCTCAAGGCGGTACGTGATGACAACTCTCAAGCTTGGCTTCCATAGCGAAAATAGTCTTGGCAAAGCGGAGCTAGTAACATGCAGCCCAGCCTCTGCGGCTCCCAAGTTGATATCGGAAGAGAGGCATTGCTGCCTACAAAAGATAAGTATCAAGTTGCTGCGAATAACAAACATATCTTTCGCGATATGGAGAAAGCGAGCCCAGAATCAATAATTGAATCTTCTGACGGTAATCATTATCTTATCTCTCGCTGGGTAACTCGTACCCCAACTCCAAGTGCGCTCGCCACCTGGCCCACATGACTCCAACTGCAGCCGACCGCTACTCCAACTTTAACCCGCATCTTCCCCTCTTCCTATCCGACCTTATTTTCTCCAATTGACGGGCCCGTGAAAATGACCGATGACGGACTACATCCGAACAAGCGACGCAGAGTAGGCCGGAATGGCGAGGGCAATGCGCGTCGGATCTGTCCCCACTGCGGGCGTGCGTTTAAGCGGACTGAACACCTGGAGCGCCACAAACGGACCCGTAAGTCTTGTACTACTGGCATACTACTGCAGGTTACGTTGTATACAGGATACCTTAGATGACTAATGGATGTTCACATTAGACACCAAGGAGAAGCCCTTCTCGTGCCATTGTGGCTCTTCCTTTTCGAGGCGAGATCTCCTCACGCGACATCAGCGGGTGGCTCAACATGAGGAGACCGATTCCGACGTTAGATCTGGAGGCCTGTCACGAGTGGTAGAGCATGGTGGTGCTGCTGATGAAGCAGTATCTACTGTAACTGCACCTAGACTCGGGGATGATGCTCGAATTTTCATGAGGTCTCAGCCATGGACGCAGCTTCCTATCCCAGCAGTCGTGGGAGATCAAAGTCAGCAGCTTGGCTTCATGGACACAAGGCAGTATGCCCCTGATATTCTACATACGCCTATGATTGACAGTGGTAATTTCCCAATGCCCATGGCTTGATGTTAGGGTCTAACTGTTCAAGGGATTGACTTCGATATACACTTCCGAGAATTCACTAGCTTCCTTGATGGTGTTGGTTTGCCTACTGGATTGAGTCCCCTATTTGACTCTGACAGGCATGCCGAAGCATTTGGAACCAGACCACACGAGGGAGGTAATGAGACCACTTCACTCAGACCAATGGCAGCAACAAGAGCCGGGACGCCATTCAGCTCATGGTTGCCTTCCGCCCCAAGCATGAACAGGATGTCAAACTACGCGTCTGACACCGATAGTAAGTTACCCCTCTTATCAGAGATGTACAACGTTTGCTCACAGCCACTAGACCCTCGTGCTGTCGACCCCGAGGCCCAACTCTTCAAAGTAACTGAAGATCAACATTCCAGGCTCAAATCCGCACTTAATAAACATTCTCACCTACTAGACCCTGCTTTCTTTCTCCCCTCGCGGCACGCCCTCACTCGTTACATAACATCGTTCTTCGGCGGCTTCCATTCCCACATGCCTTTTATTCATGTGCCCACATGGCATATCCAGGAACACTCAATTGAGTTAGTACTCGGAATGGCTGCCCTTGGCGCGCAGTACTGTTTTGAGAGGAAAGTATCTGAGCAGCTGTTTTTCGCCGGGAAAGCAGTGATAACAGAGCGGCTTGGAAAGCGTGCTGAAATTTACAGGCTGTCCACAAGGACTAGTTCATCAACAATCAACTCAGTTTTACAAAACAGTGATCGAGACAGCGATAATCAACATGCATCGTCAATTGACTCTGTAAGAGCGTTAATTATGCTGATGGGGTTTGCGACATGGGAGCCTAAAGCCTCGACAGTGCAGGAATCATTCGCACTGCAAGATCTGCTTATACATGTCGTGAGGGATGTTGGCCTTGACGACGTGAATTGGCTTACGCCAATAGTCGAGCAGAGTGATGACGCCTCTTTAGGACAGAGTTGGCGAGCATGGATCGAGCAGGAGGCCAGCCGGCGATCCAGGTTGATTGCCTTCTCAATTCTTCACACCCACAGCATTGCATACAATGTCTATCCTACCCTTCGCAGCAACGAGGTCAACCTCAGGCTACCATGTTCAACCAAGGAGTGGAAAGCCCCGACTGCGGCTCTCTGGCGTGCTGCGACGAAAGAAATTCAGAAGTCACAGCTTTACTTCAAGGATGCCCTATCCCTGCTCTTGAAGAATAGGAACGAAGGTGCCCCGCTGGATCCAATTCCAACGCCGCTGGGAAACTACGTACTCCTACACGGTCTGCTCCAACGTATTCACATCGTCAGAGATCTGAGCCTACCGGTCATGAACAACACAGCAGCCTTACCAAGAGAAGAAGTGGAGAAGCTCGAGTAAGACCCATCAATTCTCTCTTTATTGAAACATAATGCTAACATTACAGACGTGGCCTCCGCGCCTGGACCACAGGCTGGCAACAGGCCCCCGAGTCCACGCTCGACCCCAACAACGAGAACGGTCCCATCCCGTTCACATCAAGTTCCCTCCTAGCTCTTGCATATGTCCGCATTTACCTGCATTTAGGGCCATACCGAGCGCTTGAGACGCGGGACCCCGTTCGCATCGCCCACGCCATTGCATCTAGTCCTGACATAGAGCGCAGTGACGGCACAATTGCCGCGCTGCTGTATGCAACTCATATGCTGGGCATTCCTGTTCGGTTGGGTGTCGAGCGTGTGGCACGGAGTCAGGCCTTCTTTTGGAGCGTGAGACATTCATTGTCGAGCCTAGAATGCGGGGTGCTCCTTAGCAAATGGCTGGCCAAGCTTGCGGTTACGATAGGTGACAGTCCGCTGAGCGGTAGGTTTTTGCCTCATACCACTAACATACAACATCTGACGTCCGGCAGATAGCGAAGATAAGATTCTGTCCTGGGTGCGCCGAATTGTCGAAGAGGCGTACTCGGTCATTGATTTTGATGAAGGGGAGTCCCAGTCACCCAATCTCATCAACTTCCGTGATCCGAGAGATCTCTCCATCGCTGTGTTGAAGATTTGGGCTCATTTTTTCAAGAGTAATACGCAGTGGCCGTTCATAAACATCATTGGGCAGAGTTTGACCGTGTATTGTGGAATCTTGCTTCAGAACAGGCACGGCAGCGCGCAACAATACTAATGCTTTACTTTAATCAAGGTATCTGATCTTGATACCCTAGCCCGGGTCGGTTTCTGACACACCATGATTATTCTCTGGAGTTTAGAATTGGAAAGTGGATCCGTGGAGCAAAGTTAGTACTCCAATTCATTGGGGTACAGTTGGGGCATTACACTCTGTTGGAGTATCCAGCCGATAATAAGTGGGTACGGAGTACTATTGTCCGTTTTATCAGACGCTGCTGATATTGACTGGGGTTGTAGGCGGTTGGTATCACTCGCTTAGAGAATATTCTAAACCCCGGACCCCAACTGATAGACTTGGACCCGCAAGATAAGGCCTGTAAGGCTCGGGGTAGGTCCACGAGCTGCCCTCGGCGTTGAGACGAAATATAAGAAGCAAACAGGCCCCTCTCTCAGAATAAGTGGCAAATACCTTTCTCCAATTCGATTGACTTATCGCCTTTATCCACATCCACTTATCCAAGCTCGAGACTGCAAAGCTCAAGCCCTTATGGAGGCTTCCTTGGCTCAACCGCGCCTTCCAGGGACGGTGAAATTGATCGACGCCCAAGGCCTGCTCAACGTCAAACATGGCCACGGCTCACAAGAAATTATCCTTGTTCCGCAACCTACCGACGACCCCGATGACCCTCTTCGCTGGAGCAAGCCGCGTAAGATGACCAGTATCATTAGCGCTATGGCATGGTGCTTTTTCATCGGCACTATCATCTCCGGATTATCGCCCGCCTACATCCTCATTGAAAAAGATACGGGAATATCCATTGCAGACCTGAGCACTGGTAACGGCATTCTTTATCTCTTCATGGGCTGGGGCACGATGATTACGCAGAGTCTTGCGCTCAAATACGGCCGCCGCCTTGTTCTTGTGGGATGCATCATCTTGGTGACTGCCGTCACGGTTTGGACGGCCTATGTGCAGTCAAGGGGAGAATTTTTCGTGAATCGCATCTTACTGGGCATCTTTGCTTCGCCGCAGGAAACACTCATTGAGATGATTATCGGAGATATGTTTTTCACACATGATAGGGGGTTTTATATGGGTGCTTATAGCTGGTCTCTCTTTTCCGGGGCTCTTCTATCGCCCGTGGCCTCGGGGTATGTCGCCCAATATCTTGGTTGGCAATGGATTCAGTATATTCTGGCCATTATCGGGGCAGCGGTCACTGTTTTAACGTTTTTCTTCTTCGAGGAGACCATGTTCTTCCGCGATCACCTCTTAGCCAGCACTGAGACCCTCGATGGTATTTCTAAATCCCTTGAAGGTACAACAGCGGACGACGTGGAGAAGACCGGCGAGACGAAAAGTTCTCCTACCCTTCAGCAGTCAACCACTCCATCATTCCGTGAGGCTCCGTCGTCCGATGCGCCCAGGAGCACCAGACCCTACATCCAAAAGCTCAAGCTCTGGGGCTATCAGCATCCCCTACAGCCAAACCCATACAAAGTCTTCTTTCTCCCAATCAAGCTTCTCTTTGCCTTTCCTGCAATGTTCTTCAGCGGCCTTCTAGTTGGCGGGACCCTTGCGTGGTATAACGCAATGAGCGGATCCATGGCCCTGATTCTCGGCGAGGCACCCTACAATTTCAGCACCAACACCATTGGGCTCACCTACCTTGCCTGTTTTGTTGGCGTCACAATCGGCTGCTGCATTTCTGGCTGGATGTCTGACGTCGTCGCAGTTCAGCTAGCTAGCCGCAATGGAGGAATCATGGAGCCGGAACAACGGCTCTGGATTTGCCTGGTCGCGCTAGTCGTCCATCCGGCTGGCTGCCTTCTATATGGCGTCGGGGCATCGTATGGGATTCATTGGGGTGGGATCGTTGTTGGGCTGGGCTTGATTGCCATGACGTTTCCACTGGGGGCATGCCTTGCATATACATATGTTCTCGACAGCTATAGGGAGATGGCAGGGGAGGGCCTCGTGTCTGTGATTCTCATCCGGAACATGATGGGTAAGTCAACTGGGTTCCAATCCATCTCATAGCGCAAGACAATTAACAAATTGAGCAGGCTTCGCATTCGGATACGCGGTCGTGCCCATGATCAACGCCCTGACTGTCCGGTATGCCTTTGTCCTGATTGCTTTACTAGGGGAACTGGTCTGGCTCACCGGTATGGCAATGATCTATTTCGGGAAACCCCTAAGGCGAAATACTGCGCAAAAATACTGGAATCTTGTTGAAAAGACGAATGCAAAGGCGCACTGAATCAGCATGTTGGCTATTACTAAATCTGGCCTATCTATATATATAAAGACTATTTATAACTTGATGTGTGTCTATATCCATGCTCTGCTTCCACCCTAGCCAGATAGCGACCTCGACCTTCAAAACAGCTCTTCGGAGACTCGAGGCCCACGGACTACCCAAGTAGCAGGTCAGATTCCTGTCGTCATTCACGAACATCAAGGACTAGCCTAGGTGCACGAGGCTAAGTACACAATCTGAAACAATGTTGGCTAATTGCATTAGAAAGACCCCGATACTATTTGCCGCAGTACAACCAGCGAGATAAGATAGATAGTTACTGGTATCATTTCTCCACGCTGAGAGACAGCCCCATTCGAGATTTGGGGTAGTTACTCCAATTGGCCCACTCTTTGTGGGCCAGAGGCGCCTCGCCCATATCACCGGGTCTTGAGATGATTGGAATCCGTTTAAGCTATTTGATTATTGGCTATGGAGATGACACATGTTGTCGGCTGACTGTCGGAAACCCGAAGCTGAACCGGCTGATATATATACATGACTCGGAGAGTTTCCGGTCCCATTACCAACCACATCCCTTGGGTAGACAATCACTCTCAGCACCAGTTGAGGAGCAATCCCTCCAACCCAACACTGACACACGGCCACAACATTCAAACCACAGAACACAAATCACATCATGGCTTCCAATACGGCAGAGATCAAGCCTCCCTCACAGATGAAAGCAGCATACATCGCTGAAGTACGCCCATCCAACGACCCATGTTAACAAAAAAAAAGAGAAGAAAAAGCTAACCCATCACAGTACCACAAACCCTACGCCCTCGGCACGCGCCCCCTCCCCAGTCTTCGCCCAACCGACATTCTCGTGCGCGTGCACGCCGCCGGCTTCTGCCACTCAGACCTACAAGTGCAGCGCGGCGAATTCCGCAACCCCGCGCCTCTCGGCCTCATCCCCTCGCACGAGATCGCCGGTATCGTCGCGGAGCTAGGCGCTGAATATACCGGCCCCTTCAAGAGAGGCGACAAGGTCGGTGTGCTGAATTTCATGCACGCATGCGGTAGCTGTGTCGGGTGTAGACTTCGAGCTCGAACAGGTGCAGCGGCAGACCCGCGCTTCTGCGACGTCCGCGAGACAGCGGGGTTCCGGCATGATGGCGGCTTCGCGGAGTATGTGGCTGCGGACCCGGAGACGACGGTGCGGATCCCTGAGTCAGTTTCCTTTGACCAGGCTGCGCCGCTGATGTGTGCTGGTGCTACGGTTTGGGGTTCGCTTCAGGAAGCGACGAGGGGGATTGATCGGGGCGAGAACGTGGCTATAATTGGAGTAGGCGGGTTGGGCCATCTCGCTCTACAGTTTGCCAAAGCATTGGGCTTTCGGACGATTGCGATTGAACCCCGTGCAGCGGGACGACGACTGGCAACGGAGATGGCCAATGCGGCGCTACGACCTGATCTGGTGGTTGACTCGTCCGATGCGGAATCAGCGAGCATCGCCATTTACAACTTTACAAACGGCGAGGGCGTCGCGGCGGCGGTTGTCTGCACGGCTTCTATCGAAGCAAACCGGTGGGCATTGACTCTACTGCGCGTGGGAGGGGTGCTGGGTCTTTTGGGGCTACCACAGGAGCCGTGGAAGTTTGATGCTGCGCCGATTGTGTTTCGCGAGCTGGTGATCCGGGGCAGTTATGTTTGTGGGAGGGAAGCGGCGGAGAGGATGATGGAAACTGTTGAGAAGGAGGGGGTGAGGTCGCAGCTTACGGTCGTGCCGTTTGAGAGGATTCCGGAGATTATCGACTTGTATCGTGATCCGGAGTTTAGGGGAAGGCTGGTTGTGAGGGTTCGTGAGGATGATGGGAATTAGACAGCTTTTGCCGTTGCCTCGGAGTACAGAAACCCTTAACTTGGTGGATTTAAGCATGAACTACTGTACGTAATGATATTGACATGATATAGGAGAAGCTGGATCAGAAGGACAGTAGGAAAGCTAGTTCTAGAGGTACCTATTCTATATCTTGCTAGTCTTCATCTCAGAACAAGGGATCTTCCTCCAGTCAAAGTGACTTTCCCACGCATGTCCAACGCGCAGTATCTTCTCCTCCTGCCACAAGCCCCCGACAATCTGCATCCCAACAGGCAGCATAACCCGCTCATCGTCCTTGGCCGGGGCAAATCCAACGGGGATAGTCATCGCCGGATGGCCCGTTACGTTAAAGACGGCGGTATTGACGGTCATCCCCATGCTAGGCTGGAGTGACTCTATTGGCAGACCCCGTTTCCCATGCCTGGGTGCCACGACAGGAGTGGTGGGCATTACCACCACATCGTACTTCTCAAACAATGACTGATATTTGTCGCTCACTTGACGTCCAATATTCAATGCCCTTCCGTAGATGTTGGGGAAATGAGACATTAGATAGAGCCCGTTTATCAAAACGTTCTTTGTGGAAGGAAATGCGCGCTGGAAGCCTTCGTCTGTCCAGGGTAGTCTGCCCTGCTCGGCCTCTGTCATGCATAGTCCGCGTCGTCCGGTATTGTGACCGAGCAGTGTCTGTGTGCCGGCGATGCGCGAAAGGATGGTCCAGAGTGCTGGTCCGTGGACGTGGTCTGGCAGTGAGACTTCTTCAACGGTTGCGCCGAGACTTGATAGGTTCCTGGCGGCATTGGAAACAAGTGTCTTGACGCGGGCATCTACTAGAATATGTTCGAATCCTTCCTTGAGTATCCCGACCCGGAAGCCATCGAGCCGCCCGGGGCCCTGTTGGAGCGCTGCTGCAAATCTCGTCGACCCTGGAGCCGGGCTTGCTAGTGAGCGGTCGTCTATGCCATCATACCCGCTGATAACATCCAAACATGCAGCGGCTTCAAGTGTCGTTCGAGCAAGTGGGCCAGCGTGGTCAACCAGGGCATCTCCACTCGATATCCCTGTGAAGGGGACTCGCCCATGCGTCGGCTTAACGCCAACACCTACAGCTTCTTAGTTTCATTCCACCAGGGAAAGAGGATAACGACTTACAACCACATAGAGCCGCAGGAACTCGGATACTTCCTCCCTGATCACCTCCAATAGTGATATCCACCAACCCACCCGCAACCAACGCCGCTCCACCAGATGTGCTCCCCCCGGCTGAATACCCCACCGCATGCGGATTCTCAACTACCCCCTGCGCACTTGTATACGAAGAAGTCGAATGACAATAGCTTTCACACGTTGACGTTCCCACAATACTTGCGCCAGCATCAAGCACCCGTGTCACGACCGTCGCATCGGTTATTGGTGTCCACGCCGGCGTTGCGTCGCTCCCGAGTAACTGCGGCACACCAGCTACAGCAATGACATCCTTGAGACTAACCGACTTCCCAGCCAGGGGCCCGCCGTTGGGATTTCCCCGGATCAGAAATTTGTGAGCCCATGCTTGGCCAAATGCCTGTTCTTCCTCGCTGCACCGACGCACGTTCTCGCGCGGGTATCTGGTCTGGTCGGATTTGGGTTGGTAATCGGGGAGGGCAAGGACATTCTCGGCGCAGTCGTGTAGGGCAGCGAGGAGGGTGTGGAAGTCGCGAGACTCGGAGGGTGAGATGGTGAGGCCAAGAGGCGCGAGGAGAGCCTCGGCATCTCCGGGCTTGACGGGGTTGGTCCTGGTAGTGGTTAACACATGGACTCGGCGATCAATCTTAGATCTACTTACTCCGAGATGCTTGAGAAGAAGACCGACATGGTGAGGATGAATGCTGGGCAATGTCACACCAGGAGACTCGACGATAGCTTGAGTTAAATTATCCTGTGCAGGAATTCTTTTCGCCCACCGGCATTACCAGCCCACCTTTTTGGAGCAAACAATTCCAATCACCTCGCCGGCGGGTTCAACAGATGGTCACTCCAACTTGGAAGACCCCAACTTACCCCGATGACTCCAACTTCAGGGACCCACCACGGAGCTTGATCATCGATTCCTGGGCCGGCGCCGGAGATGGCGAAAATTAGACATCATTATGCTTGAGTAATAAATAATACCAATACTTTCTCGTCTGCGGATACATAGCTGCGACCCCAGTGACAACCCCGGCTTGAACCACACTCCACCATTTCACCACTCTTCCGTACAATAACCTGCACATTCACCTTTCCCACTTCCGACCACACCTCCTCACAGAAATATTATACAATGGCCCCAAAGCGAGTCCTCATTTCCTTCGGCGTCGACGTCGATGCCGTATCAGGGTGGCTCGGCTCATATGGCGGCGAAGACTCCGTAAACGACATTAGTCGGGGTACGTCGCACTTTCTCAAGGCATACATCGCTACCTCTGCTAATACACGCATCTAGGCCTCTGGGCAGGAACAGTCGGAGTCCGGCGCCTTCTAAAGCTCTTTAGCAAATACGACATGAAGACAACGTGGTTCGTCCCAGGCCACTCGCTTGAGACATTCCCAGAGGAGATGGCCGCTGTCCGCGACGCAGGCCATGAGATCGGACTGCATGGATACTCGCATGAGAACCCGACGGATATGACCATTGAGCAGCAGCGGGATGTGCTCGATAAGACGTATCGCATGCTCACGGAGTTTGTGGGGAAGCCGCCGAGGGGGAGTGTGGCGCCCTGGTATGCTCGAATAAACCTTTTTGTCTTGGAATTCTCGATTCTGAGACCGATCAAGAGTAGCCATCCCTAACGTATGATTAGGTGGGAAACAAGCCAAGCAGGCCTCGAGCTCCTCCTCTCCTACGGCATCGAATACGACCATAGCATGAGCCACGAGGACTGCCAGGCCTACTACCTCCGCACAGGCGACACCTGGACAAACATCGACTACAGCCAGAAAGCCGAGACATGGATGAAGCCATTGGTGCGCGGCACGCAAACGGGGCTGGTTGAAATCCCATCAAACTGGTACCTTGACGACCTGCCGCCCATGATGTTCATCAAGAAGGCGCCGAATAGTCATGGGTTCGTCAATCCACGTGATGTCGAGGATATCTGGCGGGACCATTTTGATTACTTCTATCGGGAGTATGACGAGTTTGTGTTCCCAATTACGCTTCATCCTGATGTTTCGGGGAGGCCGCATGTGCTTTTGATGCTTGAGCGGTATGCAACCCCTTTCTTATTTCTGTTCTCTTTCACTGGTGGGTTAGGTACTGATTTGAGCAGATTGATTGAGCATTTCAAGAAACATGATGGGGTTGAATTTGTGACTATGGCGCAGGTGTGCGACGAGTTTAAGCAGAAGAACCCGTCGCCGCCGAATGCGCTGATGCCGGCTCCTGTTGGTGCTATGTTGAAGGACTAGGAGTGTCGGAGGAAGCTACCAATCTCGATATTCACCCGAGAGAAGGGGTAAGTCTTGAGGAGATTAAGCCTAAACAGTACATGGCATTTGCTACCTATTACGCAGTCATATAACAAGCAAATTGATATCTTGAAGGAACATATTACCATATCACACATTACACAGTCACCGATACAGGATCAAGAAGTAACCTGCTTCTTGGGGGTAGGGACTTGTCCGTCAAAATGGATGCGGAATGCTAAAACTGAGTTAGTGGAGCCCTGTTTTCAAACAAAGAGAGAATACATACTCGTCGGGAAAGGAGAATAGGCGCCGTGGTCCTCACGCAGATACACGGTGTAACCAGCAGGGCGGGTGACCTTCTTCAGAACACCCTGAGCACCAGGGGCCGGACGGAGGTTGTCCAGGCGGGCGACTGCGCGCACCATGGCAGTGACTGCAGTAAGGGTCGCTTCCTTACCGAGACCAATCTGAGAGCCAATACCGTAGTTAAGGTAGGACTCGTCTGGTCGGTCGAGGCGCACCTCATCAGGGTCAGGGAAGACCGAGGGGTCACGGTTGGCTTGTGTCTAAAGTGGCATGTTAGTGCAGTTCAGGATCAACGTGCCTAGCTCAGACGTACCGAGCCAATAAAGACCTCATCGCCAGGCTTAATGTTGATGTCGTTGCCGTTCTCCTTCACGTAGAGGTCGGTCTCCGCCTTGCGGAAGGCTCCGCTGCCGGCGTTTAGGCGGATAGCCTCAAGAGCGTAGCGGGTCAACTTCGCATCGGATTCGGGTGTGTCCTGCTTGGCGAGAAGGTTGATCTCGGGCAGATGTTGTTTGCCCTCGTTGATATAGTAGTCAATGACCCGGGTGAACTAAGATTATCAGCACGGTGTTTGTATTACGGTACCTGTTGGGCGACTTACCATCTGTGCCTGGCCGTGAACAAGTTCCACTGCCGTTGGCAGGATCTCACCCCATGTGATGTCGGAAACACTGAGGCCGCTCTCCACCAGACGCTTAATGAGCTGATCGCCGAGCTCCTGAAGAGCGTTGTGGTCATCACGGAAGTTGTCAATAACTCTAGAAAGGAAGCCGGGGGAGCTTATGGACTTGACATGGCTCTCAACAGAGCTGCCCAGCAGCTGCGAGACAGCGTTTGCAGCATGGCGAAGAGGGAACGACTTGCTCGAGTCCACATCGAAGAAGATGGCAGTATAGATGACCGCCAGAGCCATGAAGATCTCGTAGTCGCTCAAGACACCCTTCGAGTTCTCCTTTGTCTTCAAAGGGAGGGAGAGAAGCTTTGAAGCAAAGCGTGCGGGGACCAGGTTGCCAACGCTATAAAGGTTAGTCTTGAGGAACTATTTCAATGGGTCGTACTTACTCTTTGACGATATCAACCTGCTTGCGCCCTGCAAGGTTGGTAGACTTCTCGGCAAGCAGCTCCAGGGTCGTGTTCTCATAGAACTCCTTGATGTTCTTCTTCCACTGATCATTGCCCAGAGCGTTGCTCCAGAAATCCTCACCACCCTTACCAGAGCGGAGAGGGGTGCAGTCGCCCCAAACAACGCGGAAGTCTTTCTGCTGGTCAAGGACGAGCTTGACATTGGCATAGGAGGTCAAGTTGATCTGGGGAGGCGTGAACTGCGGGCGGTCCCATGAGTAGTGAGACTCTCTACCGAGGTCCTTCATGATGACTTTGTTTTCACTGGGGATGGTCATCGGGTAGTGAGCGTAGATAGAGTCGGGCTTGAACCAGTTCGGGAAGGCGCGAGTGGCGAGCTTGTAAAACACACATCCCTGGTTGATGTTGAGATCGTAGCGGACCTCGTTATAACCCCAATTGGTCAAGTTCCTTGGGTTGTAATCGATCTATTCCAATTAGATTCAACCTCAAAACCTGGTGTTAGAAGGCTTACAGTGTAGTGCCGGTCACCACGCACGAGCGCGACGGCGTCAGAAAGGACAGCACGGGAAATCGTGTAGGTAGGAGCAATACCGACACCAGGTACCATAGGCTCCTTGGCCTCCTCTGAGACAATACCAGGGTAGAGCTCCACATAGTCGGGGTGACCGTACAAGCTTTTCAGGGCTTCGGCAACCTCCGGGTCGGAGTTGATTTCCTCGAAGGTATCGTATCCCTTGAGCCCAAAGAACTTTCGGAACTCATTGAGAGAGCCGACGTTCCACTTGCGCCCCTGCTCAATTCCAAGGACTTCAACCGCCTTGAGAACCTTGGGCACATTCCGTGCACCAAATGAACCTGGGTTAATCGTCAGCGTGTGCTTAGGTCAATCTATCGTATAAACATACCGGCAACGTCTTCAATGGCAAGAGTCAAGATGTTGATCAGCTCCTCGTCCTTGAATGTACCATCTTCCTGACGTTGAAGCCCAGCAAAGGTTCGCTTGGAGGGATCCTTAGGAAGGCTGGCACCGTATTTGCCCAGACCCATCAGAAGCTCTTGGGTGGAAATCTCCTCGCCAGGCTTGCCAATCAGCTCTTCGTAGACCTTCTCGGTCCATTTCTCATCATTCGCACTGATAGCAGAGTGCCAGCGGTAAGCCTGGTCATGTTAGTTACCTTGCGGAGATCACGGAGCATAAGACCTACAAGGTTGAACTCGACAGAGCACTGGTTTCCGAGACCAGCAGGGGTGGTTCCGCTTTCCATCTGGGCTCTGGGATCCTGTTTATAGTCAGTGGCATGGAACTAGGTTATGCAACTGGATGAGGCTCACCAAGCACCAGGTGCTGTTCACTCGGTTCAAGTTGACGATTGTGCGGAGGTAATCGTACAGAGTGATATTGATGAACAGACCGCAGGTGACGCTATAAATGTTAGTATCATTCCGCTAAATAGCCTCCGCAGCGGTACTTACAGTCGGCCAGTTTGGAAAAGATCCTCGTCATATTTGGCCCAAGCTTTCTGTGCCTGTTCTTCCGGGAGATTGGGGTTAGGCTTGGTGAAGCGGCCGTTCTCATTAATGGCCGCGAGCTCTTCAACGACATAGTTGTGGAATCTACAAATTAGCCGCCATGCACCGAATCAGATACTGGTGAGACAAACCTGTTCAGCATGACCAGAAGAACACAACAAGCCGCGGGGAACGCCTGCAGTCGCGGCTCGGAAAACGCATCAGGCTTGAGCTTTCCATCTTTGTGCGTACGGACGAGGTCCTGCTCTTCCTTCACGTCACCATACAGAATGGCAAGGTCAAGGTACGCAGAGGTCTTGTTCTTCGTGTCGTCTCTGTAGTCGGTCTGGAAGATATCTTCATAGTCCAAGTCAGATCTTCGTGCACAAGGCCGGAGTGGGCGTATGTACTCACCGTGAATAATAAGAGACGCCCAGTCGAAGAAGAGACTAGACACTTTGTTTGGGTGCGGGGTGAACTTCTGTCGAGCAAAAAGGGTATCGAAGACCAAGCCAGCATCAGGAAGCCCGCCAGGCTGAACGGTCAGAGGGGCAATGGACCGCGAATAGGCCGTGTTGGCGGCCCCGAGCCACGGAAGGGTAGGGTTGTTGTTCGAACCGTCTGCGGAACGGTAGGCATAGTCACTTCCCATGTACGAGAGTGGAGGGTGCGGTAATGAACCCCATAGTTCGTCCAGGAATATGTTTGTCAAGTCGACGCGCATCTTCGAGTTTGAGGGAAGACTGCTAACGATCTGCGAGTCGGTGAGCCACCATGCGCACCACCAATCACCAAAGCCAAATAGTCCACTTACCTGAATAATCCGCTCCATGATCATGGTCTTGTCGTCCGTGAGCTCTCCATTGATCTTAGTCTTGATGACATCTTTTAGCGAAGAAAAGTCCTTGAAACCAAGAGATCTCAGATCGTTGAACAAGCTGGACGGGTGCTCTTTCTCGAGATATGCAGCCTCTCCTCCCTGGTGGGGAATTGGGCGCGAAGAAGCGTGAAGCACTTGGGCATACTTCTCGAAAACGGCGGGAGTATCTTCGTTGTCGCCGCCATGGCCGCTATCTGAAGATGACCTGCGCGGAGCAGGAGGCTTCGATTGGCGCTTGGTACTGGTGCTGGTCGCAGTGGTGCCGTTCGCATTCGAGCTATTGGGCTTCGACTCGCGATCGGCCTTCTCAGTCTTGTCGGCCTTGTCGGCCTTGCTCTTCTTGAAGTTCGTAGAAAATCTTCGTAACATGGACATGGTGGGCGTTTGGAGGGATAAAAAACAGGAAAAACAGAGAGGGATAAACTGAGCAAGAGGGGAGAGCGGCTGTTTAAAATGACGAAGCGGAGAAGGAAAAAGAAATTAACTATAAAATCAAAGCTAGAGGAGCGATCAAATCGGAAGGGTCCCCACGTGTACGACCAAAAGCTCGAAGTAACGCCTCCAATCGATTACACAGCGCGGCTGGGGAGGGCTCTCCTTGCCAAACTGCAATCGAGGACCGTCACGATATAAGAGCTCGAGGAGCGAAAGAGGAAAAGAAGTAAACTGCGGCTGCTACAGGGAAAGTGGCACTGCATGTATGTATCCTTGGTTGCAGGCCCGACCTTTTGATGAATACAACGTATGCTTCGGATTAGGTGGATGCTGATTAGGTGTGATGCTGTGGCGGTAATTGATCTGTTCACACCGTCTTCTTCGGCTCCATGTTTGCTGAGCGTCTTGGGCTCTTGGAAGATGAAGAGCGGGGAACGTGAGGAAAGGGGTCACCATTTAGAGAAGGAATTTGTTTTGAGCTCCGATTTCACGAGCTAGGAAACTGGAGCTCTGAGTTCCAGTGGTCCTCGGAGAATATCAGGCGTAGTTTGCTTTGTGATAGGACAAATTAAGAAGGATGGGGATGTTCGCAACTTTGCAGTCCAAAGATCACGAACAATAAGAATGACCAAAGCGCGATGGAGAGAAAAGCTAAAACGGGTTATTGAAGCAATGGTCCGAGGTGCATCCACTCGGCTTCAGAAACCCCAGCTGATCTTGGGTCAGTGTGGACAGTGTGTTCCGCCAGCCAGCCACAGGAGCTCAGGGAAGCTCGAAAATCGTGAATCCATGCATCCTCCATTTGGCATTTGAAGCGTTGTGGAGCGAGAGAGGTAACGCCAAGGAGGTCCGCACTGCCTTGACTGGCAGGCGATTCGCGTGCAGAAAATCTTCAAACCGAGACTGAGGTTAGGATATGGAAGCCAATCCTGCCAGATGGAGTCGCTCCCCACTTTGATCCTGGCCCAAGCTTTGGCACGAACCCCATAGCCCCTTTTTCTTGAGGAAGAATCACCATGCCTCTGGGAAGCCGGGACACATTCCTACCAGTTAGAGAGATCCAACTCTTCTGGACCTCTGAACCGGTTCGTTCCATGGTGCTGGCGACAGATGACTCGAGAAAAGAAGATCCAAGGGGGGCAAAGAAAGGTGTTGTGCTGAAGCGCCTGGGAGGGATTGGCGACCTGCCGCAGCTGAACCCTGGGAGACAGGCATCGGATTGGAGGAAATGCACTGCAGATTGCAGAAGGAAAAGTACCAAGCCAGCCAGAACACTCCACTGTGACGGTGCTGCAAGAGATCCAAAGTGGAGCTTCACGAGATTCGTCCACATGTACCCACGCGTTGAGACCAGATCATCCTCATTTTACGTACTCCATACTCTGTGCGGTTGTGCTGAGGCGAAATTGTTGATGAACTCGCTGATCAGCACGCAAGCGGCATTTGGCCACAGACAGCGGAAGGGTTCGTCAGCGATCGTCCCAGACGAAAGATGGTCGGCTCCGTCAGGATCTCGAAGGAATGCAGACGTCGGAAAAAGGCAAACCACGAGATTTGCGATTGGCCAGAGTTCTTGGCTCTGGCGGCAAGGAGGAGCAGTTTGACTCGGTCATCCATTCGCGTTCGCAAGTCAGAGAAGCCCGTTTGAGACTCCCAGTCCTGTCAATAACGATGTTTATCGTTTGTTCGCAGGGTCTAATCATGCCGGTATTACTATGATAAACAAGACGCTCTTGCGCTGGCCACGGGCGAGAGCGAAGCGCTGGAAAACAAAGGGCACGATCCGAATGTCTGTCTTGTTGGATCCGTCAGTTCGATCCATGGGTTAATGATCATCGGCTCCTTCCGAGTCCATCGTGCCGTCACGGTCGCGCTAAGACTTGTTTCCACCACGCTAGGTTCCCCTGATAATGAACTAGTCAACTTAGTTGAGTGCACCGGTACCAAACAGAACGAGATCTCAGCGCGGAGACAAGAGGGAATCCTGCGGTTCCCCATAGGCCCAGCAGCAATCTGGAAGCGAACCATTTCGCTTCGGTCATACGAAATTTCACTCCGAATATCGACGATAAACGAGACAGAAGAAAATATATCCACGCATTTTCTTGAGCACTGCGCACCGCCTCCTTGCATTCTCTACAATTCAGGTTCTTGTTGGTCCTCTAAATCCTTTGTTTCGCCGAATTTTGGCCGATGGAACCTGGCAAAATTGCCGGCAGGGCGGCATGCTGTTCTGACTCAGAGTCAAGTTCCCTCTCAAATCTTGAGACTTGAATACGACTGATATGGATTCTCCATGGGACCGGCCCACTTGGAAGTTGGATAAGACAAGAACTTCGAAGGGGCATTGTGTCCGTCCATGATTTTCTTCCATGATTTTCGCAGGTATAAGGTGGAGGTCCGAGATACGATGGCCCGCGCGACTGCCACCCCTGTCGCGAACCATGGTAGGAGTCAGGACTGCTCCACTCGAAGTACAGCGAAGATCTCTCAGGCTGCTTCAGAAAATACTCTGTAGAGGTTGGATTGCCAATGGTCATGAGTGACTCCTCCACCTTTACATGATTCCAATGCAGATAATGACATTTAGTCTCAAACCATCTACGCACGGAAGTAACCTTCAGATGCCTGCATGGCATCACAGATTCACAAATTCATGGAACCCAAATTGGGAAGCTTGGTACATGCTGTTCAAAAAGCTCTTCCGGGATTCCGACAGTGCATCAATCGGCGCTAACATAGTCATCTAGCGCATGGCCGCTCTTCCCGCAGCTGACTCCTGACAACTGAGTAGGACAAAAGAAAAAAGCCTGGCGCTGGGCGGCGCGAAATGATGCAAGAAAATTCCAAAATAATATTTTGCTTTTTTTTATCCCCGCTTCGTCGCGTCGTCGCAGGCTAGGCCGCTAGGGATCTCCTGAGGAATGCGTGGGCTCCTTTGGCCAACCACCAGATCTCCCTCGACCTGAGGAGATCCGTGGAGGAGCATCTCGTCCACTCAATTCCTGTCGAACAGTCGGAGTCAAGGCTGGCAGGGCTGCAGGAACTCCGACTTGCAAGCTAGGAAGAGCCGACATCACCCTGCGCAGTTTCCAAGGTGTGCTTGGGACCGAAGAGTTTGCCAGTGACAAGTGTGAGGGGCGCCTTCGTGCATGTGCTCCGTACCCGCTTCAGCAGTCCTAACTATCCATATACAAGTAGTCAGCAGCCCCCAAGACAAACTTACATATCTTGGCTCCTTGCTTCTTGACTCCATCTGTCAAATTTCTTGGATCACCTCCCGATCTTCGCCGCAGCGGAAAGTTGACCAGTTCCGAGTCTGGGGTACCTCTCGAGGATTATGGACGTCGCACCGTTTGGGCCTGCCCGGCCGACAAAGCAGTTTGTGCTATGCTTTGATGGTACGGGAAACAAGTTCGCCGGCGATGAATCCGATAGCAACGTTCTGAAAATCTTTCGAGTGAGTTTCGTCCAAAAGATCTAGAGAAAGACAAGATTAACGCCCTCGATCAAAGATGCTCGATCGCAGCCAACCTCATCAGTTTCATTACTACCAACCAGGCATTGGAACATACGTTACGACCAATACCCTCTCCCATACCAGCCGCTTCCAACGCATCCGGTCTGCGTATCAAAAAGCCAAGGATTCCGCGGTCGGATCCTCCTTTGATGAGCATGTCATGGGTGGATACAAGTTTCTCATGCGATTCTATAACCCTGGTGATGAGATTTACTTCATCGGATTCAGTCGAGGGGCATACATCGCCCGCTTTCTGGCAGAAATGCTTGATTTCATCGGGTTGCTCGAGGCTGGAAACGAGGAGCTGACTCGTTTCGCGTGGAAGACTTTCGCAAAGTGGCAGCAGCGTGGGGGCGACAGCGATGAAGACAAGGAAGAGAAGAAGAAGCTCTTCCGTTACATGAAAGCGTTCCGCGAAACATTCAGTCGACCCATCACAAGGATCAAATTCATGGGCTTATTCGACACGGTGAACAGTGTCCCGAGGTTCGAATCGGCTTGGATGCAGCGCAGCAAGTTCCCATATACAGCTCGAAGCTCTGCCAAAGTTATCCGACACGCCGTCGGTATCGACGAACGCCGAGCAAAATTCCGACAAGATCTCATTTCCGAGATCAAGCCTTGGTCGAAGAAAAAGCAGTCCCACCATCCTTGGGCGCATCAGCATTTGCATCGTCTCCACAGTCACCACAGTCACCATTCGAAAGAAAAACAGCAGGATAATGTGCCGGAGATCGTCCTAAACGATGACCAAGATGTCGATGCCCAAGACAACGAAGCCGACGATGCCGGTCATCACGATCGGGACGACAAATCGTCTGTCTACCGAGGCTCGCATGTCTCTCGGTCTCGCGAAAGCATCCACTCAGGAAACAGGTATCGCGCAACGTCCCCCATGTCGCCGAACAGAAGGAAACCCAGCCTTGCCGTTCCTATCGCTACCGGATCAACGGAGGACCTGAACTCAATACGAAGCGGTAACTCTGGAATATCGCTTCGGGTGCCCGCCGGGCCTCAGATTGTAGAGGACGATGATGACGATGATGGGCAAGATATTCAAGAGGTCTGGTTTCCGGGTGGACATGCCGACATTGGCGGAGGATGGACACTCGGCAAAGGTGAGAGCTGGCCATTAAGCCATGCGCCGTTGGTTTGGATGGTCCAGGAAGCCCAGCGTGCAGGGCTCGAGTTTGATCCCGCGAAGCTCAAGCAATTCGAGTGCATGGAGGAGTTTGAGGGCGAATACAGTCCTATTCGAGAGAACATCAGATGGCAGAAGAGCTGGTGCCAAGATCCAGCACACGAGCATGAACACCAGAATGGAGTGAAGGACAAGGAGAAGGAGGTGCATCGAGGGGCAAATGGTGCGAATGCCGAACAGAAACAGCCCTCGAGTTCTAGTCAGCGATTCCGGGCGGCCCTGTACGCCTCGAGTACCGAGGGTCTTTTGCACGACTGCCTTTCCTTTGGCAATGGCTTGCCTCCTATGTCTGTGATCACATGGAGATTGATGGAGTACCTGCCTTTTCGCCGTATGGACCTACAGGAGAACGGATCGTGGAAACCGATCCGATGGCCGCTGCCCTGCGGAGAAGTACGAGACATCCCGAATGAAGCACATATTCACGTCTCTGCAATTCGACGTATGAAGAAGGATCCAAATTACCGTCCTGGGAATCTTATCCTTGGGGGAGGGGGCCGTGGAGTTCGCCGTGCCCCAGAGGAGGCCGGAACGGGCAAATGGGTGATCAAGGCCCATGAAGGAGATCCAGTCCGGGAGATATATGTGCGGGAGAGCGTCTCCCAAATGTGTAAGGATGAGCATAATTAGGTTGGATATCTTGCTTTTCTTCTTTGTGTTCCCATATACCTTCTGTTAGCGATGTTGGGGCTACATATTATTATAATAGTGCAGGTGCGCCCCTGGTGGTTTGCAACAGACACCGCCCTAGGTACCGATTTAATCGGGAATTTGTTCGTGTGCGTCTTTGAGTAGAGGGAAGAGTGCAGGTAGGATCTTGTAGAGTTAGAACCCTGGCTGCGATGTTCTGTGGCCTCGGACTTTATCGTCCAGGTAAGCCGACGTAGCGCGGCTGGTTCATGCCAGTCATCATGCTGGCAGGACTAGCTTGCTGCACGTTTGTTTTTCTCTCCTTTTTGGGTGCTTTTTTTTGCCCCTTCAAAGTTGGGCTCTGATTGATGAGTGGCTCCGTTGTTTGATCAACAAAATCCCCTGGATGGCAATGTTGAAGGGGCGAAGTGTTTCAAAGGCGGAGATTTGGGGAGTTGAGGCAGTTAGGAGGTTTGCACGGGTCGGCGTCGGCTTCTTTTTCTCTGCCTTTCGCTGCCAATCTCGCTCGGACTTGACCACCTCCTCAGCTTCCCCCTTTCTCTCTCCCTCACGCCTTCCGCCGCCCCTCCGCCTCTGAACGGAAATCTCTCGGCTCGCTGGGCTAGGGACTGAACGGAACTGCGATATCTCAGGGGGAAAAGGATTCCTGCCTCGTTGTGTTGGGCCGCGACCTGTGGATTGGGACTTAACTATTACTGCCTTGGGGTCGGCTCGAATTTGTTTCAGGGAGAACTTTTTTCGCCTTTCTTCACCCGCGATGCGGCCCGGTTGAGCGAGCCTCAAGCTTCTCTTGACGGATAGAGAAAAAGAGCAAAAGACAGCTTGTGTGACCATGGAAGCGTCTCGCACGCGCCCCGAGGGCATCATGCTTCCCCCTAGTCCCATGGATTCGGTCGAGTCACTTGCCTCCAGCAGGTCCAGTTCCTCTGGGTCCCCCGCGCCCGACGACACTGGCAAGCCAGAGCGCTCGAGAAACGTCATGATAACCTTGTCGCTTACCCCCGACCCGCCTGCTTCGTCTCCGAGTCGCCAACCCTTTACACGCTCGCATTTCCGTTCGCGATCGCTTGCCGATGACCCCGGCGTACCCGTCATGATCCGCGCCCACTCCTCCCCCGGGCTCGACTCGCGGGGAAGATATATCTTCGTCAACGGTCGCGGTGCGCCTGGGAACATGACGGATAATACTCCCAAGCGCTATCTCCCTCTGCAAATCCCAACCGCAGACTCTTTCGAGCCGAGGATGCCACATCGGAAGAACATCTCGGAGACCATATCAGAACATGCAGAGCTGGATACATCAGGGTCAGCGACCTCGCAATCTGACCCCTACCAGTCCTCTTCGCCAGTCCTTTCGTATAGTACACCGCGCATCGGTCGTCGTCGGCCGTCGTCGCCGCTACATTTCCCGACTGGCCCTAACCAGGTCGCCAGTAGCCCTTCGTCGGCGCATTCGTCACCTTCAATACTCAGTTCTCGGTACAACGAAGCCTTTCCAAGCTACTCGACTTCATCCGCCTCCTCCATGCCGTCGACCCCCACGAGCCTCCGATCGCGCAGTCCCAGTATATCTTCGCTTGAGACCATTCCGGACATTCCCGACGCCGAAGCCGCAGCCATCGAAGCTGATCGCGTGTCCGCGCTGAAAGCTGCAGCCGACAGGGCAGACGAAGCGGATGACGCGAGCTACACGAACAGACGACGCGGTGGAACAGATCTGTCCGGACCCTCCAGCTCGCTTGCCAACATGCGTACGGGAGCAGGAGGGTACCTCACCCGCTCCGACAAGCGGAAACGGTGGAGTGTCTGCGGAGCCGAACGTCGGCAGGATCTAGATCTTGAAACAATATGGGAGGATTAGGCTGGCCACTCGATACTCGATCTATTACCATTGACTCCCAAGTGCGCTGTATCATATCATCGCAGAATTAGGGCAGTCGGCAAATCGCCTGCGCCCATCTGCCTAAATACCTTTGGTGGTGGCCATGTGTGTTTACATTTTCACATACACATTCACTGTCTAGGAGAGAGAATCACGCAGGCTCGTCGAGTCTCTCGAAATTTCCTTCGTCTAGTCGACCTCAAATCATTCCTGGAGTTCAGTCATGTCGAGTCGGCGCAGTCAGCCTTGTTTTCTTCGTTTCTGTTTCGGGACATTGCTCGTCTTTTATCTGTTCAATTGTCTTTTGTGATTCCCCCACTGTCCTTGGTCCTTGTTTCCGGGGCGCATTGTCATTGGGAATATGGGTCGGCTGGTTGATGATTTCCCGATTCCCTTTGCGCAGTATCCAATTGTATTTTACCTGTCCTCTAAATACTATGAAGGCTTCTGTTACTTATGCAGTTGTACAATGATATCATATCGAAACAGTGCTCTGTGCGTATATACCTAAGTCTCGGAGATAACTTTGTAACCGCTGTATTCAAAATATGTCGATACCACCAAGTACGAGTACCTCACTCACTCCCACCCGCACTCCCACCACTCACACTGGCACTGGGCAACGAATCATCCCTCTCAACCCCCATCCCCACCCTCCCCAGACTATAAAGCGCACAAACCTGCCCGGCAGCCCTTTCCCCGCTCCAAAACGCACCCGTCGTCGTGCCCAACGCCACAAACGGCGCCGTGTGCTCTCCCGCAAACCAAACCCCGCGATCGAGCCCCATCCCGGCCCGGAGCACCTCAATGTCGCGATCCCCTTCTTCAAGCCCAACCTGGAAGTTGCAGTAGCTCCCATTTCCGGCGTAGGGGTCTGCTTGCCAGGTTGTTGCGGTGAAGGCGAGCGGTTGGCAGTCTGGGGAGGAGGCGCAGTAGGCGTGGAGGCGGGAGTAGAAGGGTTCGAGGATGGATTTGAGGAGGGAGTGGGAGGCTGACTGGTAAGAGGCGGAGGATGGGTCTTCTTGGGCTTGGGGAAGGGAGGTGAGTTGGTCGACAATATGGGTTGCGCAGGGCCCGTAGGTGTAGAAGAGCAGTGTTGGATGGGCGGTGTTACCGGGGAGCGCGGCCATGGAGAGGCATTCCTGGTTCCAGAGGATGTGCTCGGGGTGCGTAGTGTAGGTTGGGTCGAGGAATTGGGCAAAGGTCAGGCCATGGGTTGTGGTTGCCTTCCCGGCCTCTGGTGTGTCCGCGGAGACGGGAATGGTGACGAGATTCGCATTGTCGGAGTGCCACCATGCGCGAGGGAAAGTGACGTAGATCTTCTCGAGGCGGCCGTAGGAGATGCTGTCGATGGCGCGGGAAAGGCGTGGGGGGAGCTCCGGGGTGAAGGCAGATTTGTTGCGCTTGAGCCAGCCCAGGGGGCAGGTGACGACGACTTCGTCGAAGGTCTGGCTTTCGCCGGATTTTGTTGTCAGGGTGATTTTACGGCTGGTATTTGTGCCCTGGATGATTTGTTTGGATTCGATCTTGACGATGGGTTGGTTGTAGCGGATATCCGCGTGCTCAAGAGCGGTTTTGGAGACATGCTTCAGAATCTCTTTATATGTCGAGGCGACAAAGTAGTTGTCTAGTAAAGGAGTTAGCGAATTGAACGAACCGAAGAAGGAGAAGAAAACCCACTCCCATCTATGCATTCCTCCAGACAAAAGAACTTCAGGCTCTGCCGTTCTATCGGATCTCCAACATATGCACCCCAAAGCCTGCAGGACTCGATGCACAGCTTCTTCTCCTCTGTGCTGAAATCCGTCTCCTCAATGCGCTCACGGATGAAATCCAGCAGACTCTTATCTGCTGGAATGCTATCTTTATAACTGTTACTATACTTGAACGCCTCTTCAATAGTCGACCACAGAAACTCCGAGATCTTCGTGGTAAGCTGCTCATCGAGCAGCTCCCCAGCAGGCGAGAATATAGCCTGGGCTCCCTCGAAATCCTCGAGAGCCGTCCCAGTCGCTTCCGCGATGTTGACAAACGGGTTCGTTCCAGTACCATGGATCCAGTTTGGACCCCTTTCCAACGATCAATCTCGTGATGAAAAGCAAGGAATGGGAAGCAGAGCATACATATCAACCAGGTGGTCGCCAGCCATGCTTTGATGGACCTGTCGCGGGGGTTAAGTCAGTTTGACGATTCGAACTCGCCTAGGGCTGACTTTCATACCCTCCCTCCGACTCTATCACGCGCCTCGAAAATCGTCACCTGTGCGCCATTCTGGATTAAGATATCGGCGCAGCGTAGACCTGCAAAACCAGCACCGATGACGGCAACGTGGGGGCGTCTGGCCATGATTGCGACCGGACGTAAAGTATCAAGGTGGACCGAGCTTGATCTCTCGTGTCAGCACTCGGAACAGCCACTGCAGCTTTTTGGCGGGCGTTTCGGACGAAGCTATTCGGAGAACTCAAGAGTTCCGTTTGATCTGCTCTAAGTGTAAGCAAAAAGCACGCTTATTGGGCAGGCGGGGATTCGGCTCGCTCTGCAAGAGCAAAAGCAAATATGAGCGAGGCCAGCCAAGATGCAGAGTAAGAAAGCTTACCCACGGAGAATCAAAAGTGGTTGTCCAGGAACGCAACACTTATTTTACAGAGGGCAGCAGAGAGAGCAAAAGGTTAGAGCTGAGACGTTTGGGTCTGATGGAGGCTTCCGGAGAAAATCGTTCCCCCGCCTTCTCAGCTGCACGTGCTGTCCCTCGTTCTGCTCATTGAGCTGGCGCTTGGCCGCCAATTCGACAGGGGGCTTATCAATGATCCGATGAGAATAGATTGTTAGGACTAAGTTGCACAGAGCCGAAAGAAGTTGGCAATGCGAGGCGACTAGTGGACAGAGTGTGGGCCAATTTCTCATTCGCCACCCATCTATATCCTCTATCCAAAAAAATATACAAGTCTTGACTATTGATCCCTGTGTGCTGATAAAATAGAAGGCAGACTTAGAAAATCTTTGCCATGATCTTGTCCTTTACCGTCACCGGGGCTGCCTCACGTTCGTGCCGGTAATGCTCTGTCAAAGTTTCGAAAAATTCCAGATCCGACACTAAGTCAACATCCTTGCTCTTATGGAACGGTGTGCGCTTGAAAATCTTCCAACCAATGCCGATAACACTGGCGAGAGCGATCTGATATATATTGTCAGCGCCGAGGTAACCGCTCAAGAATATCAACTTACAATGCCATAGTTGAAGATGAAAGTCGATACTTTCCAGTTGCCTTTCACGAAAACAGAGTATCCTTGAACCCTGCAAGCATTATCTTAGTCAGTAGACCCTAGAGGACAATGCGGCTGACGTACCAAAGAAATAGGAAAGCCCAGAAAAAAGCCCAGTAGCCTGCAAATGGTTGAACTTTCGAGACTGATGGAAGAAAGGTCTTCTTGTCGATACCTTGGGCTTTTAGGGCTGCGTTGAACCGGATCCACGTGAAGGACATCACAGACCAGTTGCTGATCAAGTTAGCCAACTCGAAGCACACGTGGAGGCTTATATAGGGACATACAACATAGTAGCCGCGGTGCAGAAGCTATAGAGGAATAGTGTCAGCAAAGAGCATACCAGGAAGATTATCGAGCAACTAACTTCAGAATCCAATCCAGAACTTGGGCACTACTGGAGCCGAGTGCGAGATAAGCTAGACAGGAGAGTGTCATGACAACAATGACAGCCATGTACGGCACACCCCTGCGTCCAGCATGAGCATTAGTCAGTAACTCTTATCGTTGGATGTACTCACTTCTTGTTCAGTTTTCGAAGAAACGCTGGTGCCCGGCCGTCGAGCGCAAGAGCGTGCAGACTTCGAGAAGCATTGAATGTATAAGCATTGCCAGCGGAGACAATCGTGGTAATCAGGGCCGCATTGACGATAGAAGGCAGAACTGGAATCTGAAGACGTTCCATCGCGATGACGCTGTGTAGGGTTAGCTGCTTTTCAAGGACGTGGTACGCACGTTACATACTATGGGGATGCACCGGCGTAGGTGTCGGAGCCGTTAGTAAGACTGTTGCAGGTCAGTCACATAGTAAGTGCATACAAGGGTTGAGCTTGTGCTCACGTTGAGTCGTCGGATGGGACCAGGATCTATATACACAATTTGTCAGTGTGCATCTGAGCAAGAATAGGCATCACACTTACCCCCACACAGAGACAACCACCGATAAAGAAGACAATGAGACGAGTCATGATCGTGTTAAAGGCTCGTGGTACTGTTCGTCGGGGATCTCTAGACTCTCCAGCGATCACTATAAAGAGGTTAGTACAGGCTCCTTAAAAAATAGAATATACCAACTTGAGATATACTCTGGCCCTCCCATGCAGAACCCTGCAACGTTGACGGCATTGACGAATGACATGAGGCGTTCAGAATGACTCGCTCCTGACCAAACTCCAGGTTCTTTCCAGTACCGGAAACCGAACCGACTGCAGGTACACGTTAGAGCACACTCTGCTAATTGAGACATAAAGGCGGGACTCACTCATTCATTGGGTTTCCACCGAGCATAGCCACGATTGTGAATATAATCAGACCCATAGCTAGGAGGACCTTGCCCAGAGCAAGCCAAACTGGGATGGTTAGATGAAAGAGTTGAGCCACAGATAACTAGATAACCTACACTCGGCTTCTCCAAACAGATCCGCTCGGTAAACATTGATGGCCAGATAAAGGACTAGCGAGACTGAAAAGAGCGTCAAAATCCGTTCATAATGATCTTCAGACGGAACCATACTTGAGATGAGAATGGCAGGTGACTGGTTATAGCCCCAGTATTCGACTAGTGTGTTGATTACAGTGGCCTCAAAGATGACATAGGAGGTTTGCGCGAACTGTAGAGTACTTATTAGCCAGAACGTGGATATTGGTCTTGCTTTACTCACAAAGTGATTCCAGCCGACTGCCACACCAAGGGCAGGGTCAACCATGCGTCCAGCCAGACGGATAAAAGACCCATCGAGTGGTAGCAGGGTGACAATCTCGGTCTCTAGGATACAGTCAAAATATGCGCAGTACAACAGATACGCAGGGAGGCTTACGACATTGTGCAATGCAAAAGACAACCGTGGCCCAGAAAATGAAAGCCAGGAGTAGGCAAAGAGGTCCGGACATTACCCCAGATCCAATGGCCACGAAGAGAGCACTAGGACAAGAATGTAATCAGACCTATTCAGGGGGGGTTGTGAGTCTAGACTGACGCTCCAATTGATCCGGCGATGGCAGTAAGCTGGATCTGCCGCGGGTTCAATCGACGATGGTTGACAGCTTCCATTATGGCGGCACTCAGATCAGTCCCGTTTGACTTGGAAGGGGCTTCGGTGCTCCAGGAGCCCTACACCGAACCATGAAGTGGTTAGCTACCGGGCAACTCATAGAAGGATAACAGGGGGCCACATACCGAAGCCACCTGCCCAATCTCCACCGAGTCTGTTCTCGACATTGGGTTCTCTTTCTTTGACGGCATTTGAGGGTCACTGCTTGACATTGTGGGATTCTCCGTTGTAGACTGCTGATAGAAAGTGGAAGGGTAAACCGGCATGTGCGTGTGGTTATATAGCAAAGCTGCGTTGGTATCGCTTAGCTTCATAGACCAGCGAGTGAGATACGAGGTAAAGTAAGATAATCATCCAGCGCGGGGGACACGCTAGGAGTAATCGTTCAAATCCTATTCCAGACCGGGTATTTCAACCGGGAGTGCTGAGAGTGTGTTGGAGTAATCTGAGGGGCCGTGCTGGAGGCATTGATAGGGGGGTGAGTGTAGAAGGATTCCAAGATTCCTTCTCAGGTCCCACATGGGTGACGGGGACGACCTGCAGTTTACAAACACCGGGCCGGTTAGACAACAGCTGGTACTGTCAGGTGAGGGGGTGTTGTTGTCTTAAAGTTATATGCTCGCTGTTTCTCCTCTTCAGTCATCTCGAGTCAGCAGCATCAAGTTACCTCCACCATGGCCCCCTCACTCGTCACAATCGATGCTTCGGAGCCTCTAGACAAGGTCTTCGAGATCATTGCCAGAGATGGCGGAGTCATTGTTTCCAACTTTCTCTCTCCCGAGCTCTTGAAAGAATGCATGGACTCCAGTGAGTGCTCGCGCAGAACCATTGAGTCTCTGCAAACCCCCTAACCGATCTCTTGCTAGTCGAGCCTTTCTTCAAAGGTCGCAAAACCTACGACTCCAAGGCGACACACGACGAACTCGGTCCTGACTTTTTCCCGGAGGGCTCGCAGCGCGTCTACGTACTTAGCCCTTGTCCCCAGAACACTGCACTGCTTAACAGATTCTTCAGGCCCTTTTGTCCAAGATCCCAGACCAGATTGTCAAGATCATGCGCCTCCCCGTGTGGCAAGGTATTATGGGAGAGTTTCTCAAGTATGACAGACGGGCTCTTCTGCTGGCTTGTCCGAGTGCTAAGTCGCATCCAGTGACGAATTCGCATCCTACACGGGGGAGCGGCTGGTGCCCCAGAAGAGCGGGTACATGCTGGCATCAACCGCGGCCCTTCGTCTTGTTCCCGGAGCCAAACCGCAGCCACTACACAGAGTAAGCCCAGGTTATTTCGCATCCCGAAAACAGTCACTGAAACCAGCGTGTACAGGACCAGATTGCCTACCAAATCCGACCCGACCCCAACAACCCCCTCTTCACACCCATGGTTGGCTGCCTGATTGCAGGATCCAAGTGCACATACAAGAATGGCGTACGTGGACACCCTAGTACCCCTCTCTTATCAGAGCGTGTGACCACTGACGTCCGTGTATGCAGGCAACTGCAGTGATTCCTGGTAGCCACTTGTGGAGCCCAGACCGCATGCCCAAGCTCGAGGAGTGCACATATGCGGAGATGGAGCCGGGCTCTGCTCTCTTCACTCTTGGCTGTAAGTCTGCCTCAGTCGTCAGGGCCTGACCATTGAACGTTGGCTCATACTTGCAGCAACCTACCACGCCGCTGGCGAGAACAAATGCGAAAAGACCGACCCTCTAGCCCTGCGCACACTTTTCGCTGTCTTCGGGTAGGATAAAGCAAACGCCATCCCTTGGACTAGTCGTTGGAGATGAGCAACTAACCCTCGCACAGCCAGCGTGACTACTTCCGCCAAGATCAGGACGAGGTCCTCTCCACGCCCATTGAGATCGCTCGGCGTCTGCCAGACGATATCCTGAAGCTAGCCGGTTACTGTAAGTTATCATTTCGGTCCCGCATACTCCAGTCTCCGGGCATGGCGGGCGCTAACTGGGTTTCCCCATTCAGACAAGGCTGTTGGAGGCGTTGGATACGTAGAAGACCACCAGAGCCCCGTTGAGTACCTGCACAGCGATGAATTTGGAGCCGGCAAGTTTAGCGCTGCGCACCTAGCTGTTTAGTACCAAATCTATAATTATATTAGAGTTTCACGTCTATCACTAAAAGAACTTGAATACCTACGGCAATGAGCTCGAATGATGGTTTTCCAACTTTAAACCCGGTTCCGTATGAAGTTAGGGTTTCGGGGCCTCGGGGGCTACCCCTAGACCCCGAAATTCTGACTCGTACTCGTGGTCGTTACTCCAAGTTTCGTCGCCAGGTCGAAACGCAGCTTTCTGGGGTTATTGGAGAACTCCTCACTCAGCCGGTAGTTGATTCGACGATTCGCGTGTCACTTGCGTGCGCCGAGGTGTGTTATCAGGCATGGCCCCACCTCTGAGGGCGTGGGCAGAGGATCACTATCAAGATGGCTATCTCCGGGGAGGACTCCGAACCGGCAAAGTGCGTGCAAGTCAGATAAACTTTCTCTTGGACCTTCCTTCACTCTTTCAAGGCTGGACCTTCCTCCCCATAAGTCGCACTCAACGTTGCCTACAGCTACAACCGGAAGAGAGGAAAGGATACCTAAGGCGAGGACCGGGCCGCTGTCTGACCTCGATCGTGGCAAACATGAGTGAGATAACAGTCTAGAATTTCGACTTGAGATTCGGCTCAACGTCCGCATTGCCACTGATGGCATGGGTGTCTTTTCTTATGCCACTTTTGGTCCGTAATTTGTGACATGTCAACTGAGGAGGGGCTCACGATGTGCACCTTAGTAAGCGGGTCGCTGGATCAAGGGATAGACAAGCTTTTCCAATGGCACCAGGTTCACATCACTCCTTCACATTAATTACTATCACAGGTGTCTCGAGACAAGATTTCGTTATCCATAAAGAATCCGCTGGAGTCCAAGACGGTGGTATCTACTCAACAGCCAACCTCGATGGACAAAATAGCACAATCATGACAAAGAGCGTCGCTCAACAAATCGTACAGGCCGTCACCGCTTGCTGGCTTGCAGCTTCGAAGCAGGAGGAACAAATGAAAGGGAAAATCAACAAAAGAAATCGATATGGTTGCATGGCAACAGGGGTATTGTGGTAGCATCACCTCCATGCACCTTGACTGAGAGATAACAGTCCCTGGATACAGTCCATGTCTTCTTCCTGGCTTGCGGTATTCTCACCAGCAATAAATGCTGCAGAGACGTCATTGCCCAGACCTGGCATGGACTTGGTTGACCCGCCGCTTGTTTTCCGATTAGTTTGTGACAACCGCGAGCGGCTTGCGGCGGCCAGGTTTTTGTTGTACGGTTTGCTGCTGTTTGGATCCTTGAGAATGGGTCTCTGGGATTGATGATGCGAGACTGTCCTTCGGCGAGCGTGAGTGACCCTGGTCCCTGGGATCCAGTTCTCCTTGTCGGAATCACCACCGTCCAAGTCGACATCCCCACCGTCTTTGGTGTTCTTTAGCTTGGATGAGGCCGGTTTGTCGCCAAGGGCCTTCCTGCCAGACTCCAATCGACCGAGTGAAGAAACTGTTCGAGATAGTTTGCGTCTCTTCTCCCGCATTGCTTGTCTAATTGGTGTGGCCTGATGGTCCGAGGTAGTGGGTGTAAGAAGTGAGGTGTGTCGTGCAGACAAGCTCCTGGTCAAGGAACGTTGCCCACTTGATCGTAAGCTTCCTGACGCAGCGTTCGGCGTGCTCTGAGAACTGAGCGGCGTCGAAAGCGCGCTCCTCGCGTCCGTATCGAAGAAAGACTCCCAGTTGCGGGAGTCGAGTGACCTTCCAAAGCTTCTTTCCTTTTCAAGCGAGCCATGAGGCGTGCCCAAGACAACAGCACTGTTGCTTCGTTGAAGGGTAGAGACCCTCGGCTTGCGAGCGGAGAACATGGAGATCCGGTTCTTCGACGGCGACGGTTCACCGTTAGCTCGGATTACTGCTTTACCATCTGCAGACATGGAGATTCGAAGAGCATTCCGACCTTGTGGTGGGGACGGAGTTAGCTCGCCTTCCTTTCGTACCATGGCTTCTCCATCGAAGGACAGTGATATCCTTAAAGACGGCGGCGATCTTACGGAGGTGAGAACATCCGGTGTTGTTGAGTTTGTTATCATCATTTGACCGCCAGGAAGATCTGATTCAGAGCGTTTTCTTTTGGCGGAGGTTTGAAGCCGCTCGTTGTTTGACACCTCTTCGATCCTCTGCAACGCGTCCAACTCAACGGAATCACCATTTGGAGGCTGCTGGCTGGAGCCAGGGAACTCGGACGAGGCAACACTGGTTTGTGAACTCGGCTCAAGCGCATCTGGCTCATCCTTGTCCTGCACGTCCGATACAAACGAATCGCCCTCGGGCAGCATTGCTGGCTGTTGGCCGTGGTCGAGACTACTGTCGTTATCCTGTTCCAGCCCGCTGGAGGATTCTTGATCTGCATATGGAGTGTCGTCGCTGCTGTTTGGCTTTATTTCGTCGGACAGAGGAGCGATAAATTCGTGGGGCTGCAGAGGCTTCGACTTTCGACGGTCATTCTGGCGACGATTTTGGAACCAGATCTATGTTTGCCGAGCGACATTAGAACGAATTCTAAGCAATTGCTACCAGGCAACATACCTGGACCTCCTTTTCACCCAACGACACGCGACTGACAATACTTGCTCGTGCAGCTTTATCTGGTTTTGGGTTACGCTGATATTCTGATTCGAGGATCGCGTGGTCTTCGGGACTACACACGCGTCAATCGAGTCAGTGAGGTTCGATTAATTGCAAGAAGCTTCCCGGATCAAGACTGGAGGCTGAATGAGCTTCCTCAGGCATACCTAGTTCGACGACGCTTCTGGCGTGCAAGCAACTTGTTGTCGACGCGTGGAGGAAGATTCTGAGTCAATGTCTTCTGAGAGTGTACGAGGAAGGCATAGCTGGAGGCTGCTGCTGTAGAATCGGATGTCTGGGTCGACGGCGGAGACGACGAGAATGCCGCTGCAGCGGGCTCGAGATCAGACATGGTGAGTGGTATGTTAAGACGGTAGCATGAGGGTCGAAGAAATAGAGCGAGGTAAGAGTTAAAGAGAAAAGTAAGGAATAGAGTAAATCAGCACCATAGTGTGGCAGAATCCAAAGGGAAGGCAACTAGAGCTTGGTGTGAAAATGGTCTTGAGAAGATTGAGCTCGTGCGTGAAAAAGACGCCTTCATCCCATCGCGTCGCGGTTGATGTGGACGCGGCGTGCGGCGTGTGGTGACGGGAACAGCAGACACTAAAAATCCGGTCCCTCTTCGGGGGTTCCCGAGCTCTTGCTTTCCTCCCCACATCTCCTTTGATAACTTTTGTCTTCAACCAGGTTTCAAGGTAAAAAGAAGCTTAAGGTTGATGATTCTCTGTTCCCATTATCCCATGGATCCTCTATTGACAGTCTGCAGCCACGTGAGGTGGTTAGCTTGACTCTCAACAACCCCACGTGCTCATTTATCGTCGAAACATTCTTAAGAGATACAGCAATTTTCCTAGGAAAGCAACTCTGCAAGTGACAAAATGCTCGCCCCAGCCGCTACCGCTTCTACTCCGGTCGAGTCCCGCTGCGACGCCAGCAAATGTTCACGAAACTGCAGATCCAGTCCTCCTGCCATGTGTATAGAATGGCTCGCATCGTTACCCCCACCTTTCTCTCCCCAGCAAAGTGTTGGTCCTACCGTCTCATCTTCCATCTTCCCGTCTTGCTTCCGGCTTTTGGCCACACACGCTTCGTCTCATAGAGGGTTTCCCACATGAGGGACTTGAATAAGCCCCCATCAGCGTTTTTTTCCATCAGCGCGCCCGCTCTTCCACACAAAGTTGCGTCCACCGTACTCGAACCGTCGCGGGGACCAGTCTTTGCGCTCCGCCTCACCGTCGGGGATCTCAACCACGAGCCGGCCCGCGGGCGCTGTGTTCATTATCAGACGAAAGGCACCTCCTTCATCTTCCGGATTCTTATGCCTATGCCACCCATCTGAGGAAGGAACTCGCCTGCGCGACGCAGGATTGCTTCTACAATGGGCACATCCTGGCTCCATACAGCCTGGACGGCATAGAGCGTGTGCTTGTTGGTAGAATCCTTGACGAGCCACCAGTGCGAGCGTACACCGAGCTCGAGAAGCTCTGATGAATGAGAGAGACGGTAGGTCACTGTCTCTGCCGCTGACAGAAGCGTTGGCGCAAAGAAAGGGATTTTAGTGGAATCTGTGGCATTGAGGAAAGGTTTCAGATGCGATGGCGGCTCCGTGGTAGCGGAGTCCTCTTGCTTCTTGTACTCGTGAAGCGCCTTTTGAAGCTACAGTGGGCAGGTAAGCAGTATAATACTAATACCAATAAGCAAACATACCTGAGACAGTGTCCAAGGGCTGTTATCTTCGTCCTCCCTCTGTAACTCCTGGCTGACGTCAAGGGCAGTGGGCGGCAAGATAATTCCGTCAAAGCTGCCTTTGCTCTTGAGACTCTCCAAATAGCTCAGTCTTTCGCGGTGCAGGCCAACCTGCCGTTCGAACATCTTGCGATTAATCTTGCGCACACTCGAAGACTTTTTGAATTTCTCCGCAGCCATGCTGAGGACTTCGATAGCCTTTTTGTGCGAGTCGATTGCCTTTTCATATTCCCCCTGTCTTTCAAGGAGAAAAGGGTTTATGGAAAGTTTATATATATCATTTCTGAGGTTTTCTGGTAAGACCATTTTGAAGAGCAAAGAAGATTTGATTACACTGAAAGATCAAGTCGAATGGGTGTCTCACTTTATCAGTCCTTGATGGCATCTATTTCCTTTGATATATAGATATCCCCACCATGTCTCAAAGTCCGATCGTTTAAAACTCCCGCCGAGTCTCAAAACCGCCTTACTGGGCAACATCAAGGCGAGGCGTTCTCCTCTAATCATCTAATGTTACAACGGCATCCACACTTGAACGCCATGTTGGCAGAACGTGCAGGTTCAAAGCCACTGGCAGGGTCATGCTGATTGTTCTGGTCTGCCGAGGGGCTGGGGCCGCTGGACAATGGCTTGGCTTTGCCAGTTTGGAAACAGAATCTTGGCGATTTCGAACAGTGGCTTGCCGCACGAGTCATTCGAGGGATCGTTGGAACGATGATTGTGGGAAGGTGGAACTTGATCACTCGGACCTTTCCAACTTTGAGCACATGTGGTTGATGCTGTTGCTGGTAATGCTTTTGTGCTATTCGAGTTATGGGCGGTAGTACTACTTGAGGAAGTACAATATCTTTATGCTTCCACCACAACTTTAGTGTGCACCAGACACCAAGTCAGCCCATTAGTAGGCCCAACGCCTAGGTTACCGTTGATTCAAGATTGGCCCTGTCATAGTACCCCCTGTTCGCGGTGATGTGCAAAAGGCGGCGGCTTCCGATGATACCCGCAGTAGAAGAATTGGGAGTGACGCGTGAGGACACGAGCTCACGTGATCAAGCCAGTCTTGGGGCTTCAATCTCAGAGCCTAGGACTCTTGTTGATTCATGTGGCTAGGGATATTCCACGGATCATAATCCATGTGTACAAAGGCGCGCTCAACAGTTGGCACGCTCTCAAGCATATACTGCAGACTCTCGCCGAGGTCATGGCTATCCCGTAGACTCGTCTTGTCACCTAGTACGATGTCCACCTCGACGTTGAGCAGATCCCCGGCATAGTATGCCCTTAGATTCTGAATTTTCAGAATTGACTTGGAAAACCGCATGGTCATGTATAGGAGAATGCTTAGGTCCATCGGGGAAGCAGCGGCGCCAGTAAGATGGCGGATATGCTCACTTGCAGTCCTACCCCAGTTCCAGATGATATAGACGGAAAGAACCAGACCACCGAGAGGATCGAGAAACCAGGTGTTCGTCAATCCGCCGACTGAAGACCCTGTCAACTATCTGCTTTCAGACTTGACACCAGTGTAGACTTACCGAGTGGGAAGACGATACTGAACGAATTGAAGACTACGTCCGTCATAGCATCCTGTGCCAAAGCTTGGACACTAGAGTTGTTGATTAGTCGACACCAGAGCCAGCATATAAGCTTGACTATTACGGTGCTCCCCATAATTATTGCGGAAGGCATGGAAAGATTCACGACGGAGTGGTCCGAAGACACCAATTGGCCCATAGATGTGATGGCCACTTGAAAGAAGGACGTCACCATAACTACCGCAAAGACCAGGACACTGAGAGGTTCCAATCGGCGTCTGCTGATAGGATACTCGTAACGGTCTTGCCTCCTGATGAGAGCAGTAGTAATCCAGACAATGGTAGTGCTCAAGAAATCCAGAGCCCCATCCACTAGACTGGCCAGAACTGAAACAGAATTTGTCATTAGCAGAGCAGCAATCTTTGCCGCCAGCAAGATAACATTGGCGACAAAATTGACATATATCGCAATGGTCACAATGCGAGCTCCGCTATCAACGCAGTCATGACCCTTCGGCATAATCTCGGACAGGGGGGATTCCGTTTCATCTTCTGTCGTGGGTAGCAGCAGCGAGCTTTCACTTGGGATTCGATAGAGGTTTCGAGGTGTCCGCTTGATCTTCCGTGGTGACGGACAGTCTGCAGGCCCATCAGTGGTACCATAAAAGCTTCTCTCGTAGGTGTTCTCAGCTGTTCCTTTCACAGAGGCTCCCAATGTGCCCGTTTCATTATGCTGATAGTCCACAAACAAACGATGGGGTAGTGACGAGTCCAAAAGCCGGTCAATATAGACGTATTGCGAGATGAGGTCGTTGTTCCGCTCATAAAGTTGGCGCCTGATGACATTAGATGGGTTGTTTAGTTATGGACCGAGAGGAGCGCATACACTGCTGTTGGCAATCCTTTCAATGCGTTTGGATGATGATAGTACTGCTGCCTGGGGCAATGATCGTCAGCACGGTTTGTTTCAGTACCATCAGAGATCAAGTTGCCATGATGCCAACAGTTTAGAAAGAGATACCAGTTGTAAGATGGTTTACCTTCTCCGATCAAATCCTTCGCTCGGGCCAGTGCGGGCCGCTCAAATCTATCCCGGAAAGAGCCAGTCTCGTCACGCTCGGTGTCGAGGAACCCGTCCGACTTTTGGGTGGAAAACGACCGGCGTCGTATCAGCGATGGAAGGTATTGACCTCGGGTGGACAGGATTTCACCCTGAGGGTCCAAGCTTGGTCTTCTGGGCCGAATCGGAGAATCAATGTCCGATGGCGAGGAAGGGTCGGAGAACTGAGGCATGGTCCTCGAACGACGCCATCAGGGAAGCTGACCAATGATGACCCGACCAAGCCAAATGTAAAGAATGAAGCTTCGGGATGGCGACTCGAAAGGATGGGATGGTTGGATGATGTTGGAGCGGTCCAGATCTAGCTTAGCGTGGAAGCGGCGTCACATGTCATTCCAATAGATCCCCACTGAGCTGTCTTCTGGTCTTCAACTCCTGCACTTTGCTTATGTTGTCGGGTCGACACCGTCGAGGCAAGATCGCATAAATTCAAGCTGCTCGGCCAGGAATCCTGATTTCTTCGCTGAGCGCAGCAATTGGTTGTTCTTTTCCGAGGCCAAGAGTCGCGGGGGAAAATGGCCCGAGGAAGACAGGGCCGTGTCTCATCAGGCATGGTCCAGGTTTACTGTTGCACCCCACCGGAGCTGCCATAGTCATACTCACACGGTGCCCAGATGGCACTTTGCTTTCGTGATCATCGAAATAGCGAGCAGCTGAGCCTTTGGTCTCTTTATGACGGCTGGCATTCACCCCTTGGCTCTGGAATCCGGTTCATCATTCGGAGGCGGGGTCAACGCTGGGAGATGGCCACCACAGCAAACATAGCGACATATCAACTTCTGGATCGAAGCAAGACGGAAAAACTCGTCCTTGGTGGCAAGATTCGGTGCATTGAGCCTAAATTCGTTCAATTGTGGTCAATCACACTGTGAGCAGGAAGCAACCTAATTTAGCTTTAATTTCTTTACACACTTACACCCAACCAGGGCCAGTAGTGGTTGGCCGTTGCAAGGAATGAAGAAAGGGACCTCCCCGGATTTTGTCTCGGCCGCCCCGCTATTTCCCCTTCGCCAACCGGTCAGCAATGCACATCAAGCAACCCAGCATGATTAATTTGAAGGTCAATGCTAGTTGCTCGTCGCCGTATATAGACCGAGTGGTCTGCCCATTCTCTTTCTCCACCCTCCCCTTCGTAACAACCGTTTCCTCTTCGTCCGCTGAACCCTGATCACCTGGTGTTTCTGGGGATAATTGCTTCAAGATGGGCCGATTATACACTTTCAACCTCGCCCTGTTCGCGGCAACAGGGTCATTCCTGTTCGGTTATGACAGCGGTGTCATGACCGATGTTATTGCGTCCCCGAACTTCCTGGCTTATTTTGACACCGAAAAAACATCTGCCATCATAGGTGCCATCAACAGCACATTTTCTGGAGGAGGTATGGTTTGTCCTCCACCTATTATTTGAGTTTAACGTTAACACTCGCAGCTGCCATTGGTGCCCTCCAGGGAGGTTTGACCATGGATCGATTCGGCCGAAAGTTTACCATTCAAATGGGTGCTTTTATCTGCTTGATCGGTGCTATCCTACAGGCTGCCGCGAACAATCTAGCTATGATTCTCGTTGGTCGTATTTTCGCGGGATGGGCTGTTGGTTTGATGTCCATGTCTGTTCCTGTATATCAATCCGAATGTGCGCACCCCCGGAATCGTGGTATGATCATTGGTCTTGCCCAGCAAATGATTGGAGTTGGTTTCATTGTTAGCACGTAAGTTGGGGTCATTGCACGATCATCTTACATGTGACTAACTCAGAACAGATGGATTGGCTACGGCTCTTTACACGCCCCTGACAGCAGCGAGTTCCAATGGCGGTTCCCCCTGGCGTTCCAAGTTGTTCCCGCGCTATTGCTGTTGGTTGGATTGTTTTTCCTCCCAGAATCCCCGCGTCACCTTGTCGAGAAGGGCAAGTACGATGAGGGAATGAAGGTCCTGCGCAAACTTCATTTCGATGGCTCCAATGATGACTGGATCCAACAAGAATTCACCGAAATCAGGACCACAATTGAAGCAGAGAAAACCGTCACCGAATCCGGATGGCTCATCATGTTCAAGGTTCCTCAGTACCGAACACGCTTGCTGTATGTTCAAATTCTATCAAGGCTACTGTCACCACTGCTAACAAGGCTATAGACACGGCGTTGCTGTCCAAGTACTGACTCAAATGACTGGAATCAACGTCATTAACTACTATCAGAACATCATGTACGAAAACTTGGGTATTACAGGCAAAACCAGCATTCTCGTCACTGGTATCTACAACTGCCTTGGACCTCTCGCCAATCTCGTTTTCATCCTGTTTATTCTCGACAGAGTTGGGCGCCGCAAGCCGATGTTGTTCGGTGCCATCGGCATCACCATTGCTCTGTTCTGCGAGGCTGCCCTGAACTCCCAGAACGAGGATGGTCACCGACGAGGTTATAGCATTGGCGGTGTCTTTTTCATTTTCTGCGTCACCATTATATTCTCCTGGTCATTTGGGCCCTGCAGTTGGTATGTCGCTCTGTGTTGTTTGTCTTTTTTTCCAAGTCAATGGCCAGAGCTAATGAAGATATAGGGTTTATATGGCGGAAGTCATGCCCATGCAGATTCGTGGCCGCGGGAACGCCTTTGCCACAGGAGTGGGCAACTGGGCAGTCAGCACCCTTTGGGCTCAAGTATCACCCATCGCGCTGGGCAAGATTGGATGGAAGTTCTACTTCATATTTGCTGGGTGGAGTGAGTATTCCTAGAAAGGCAATTTGTCAGTTCAGATGCTAACGCTTATATAGACATTGTCGTTGCACTGCCATTGGTCTACTTTTTCTTCGTGGAAACCAAGCAAAAGTCTCTAGAAGAGATCGATGTTCTCTTCGGAGGGCGCGCCCTTGGTACGTTGCCGGAGGACATTACAACCAAGGATGGTGAGGTTGTGGTGAGCAGCGAGCACCAAGACAAGAGCCAGGTTTAACAGCAGCTTTAAACAAGGGATGAAGACTAGATTACTGTCTTGAGCACGAATACTACAACACTCTGATATACAACTTCGTGGAGTTGTTCATCCAAATTCGCTCTCATTGGTCAGCAGAGTAAACAGTAGATTCATTATTCCATGGATACCTGCCGCGCCTTTCTGCTGCACCCAACCGCCTTCGTCGTATGGGTGCGCCACACATTCTTCATAGTCACACATTCTTCGTAGCTTTCATTATTAGAAGTAATTCAACCACCATAACAACTAACTATTAATAAAAAAAAAAGTCTTCTCCTGCCTCTCTACTACGTCTCTCATTTTCAATTGCCTCCTGAATTCGAGCCTCCGAGCGCTGCGTGGGCAGATATCCATAGACTTCCTTAAACTGCTTTACCAGCTTCTTCTTCTCCTTTGCACTATTTTTATCCTTCCTGACCTTAATCAATTGAATAGCGTCGCGAGTCTTTATAATCCCAGTTATACTAAGAGGTTTAACCTGAAAACGAAGAATATGTGACTATGAAGAATACGGGGCGCACCCATGCAATAAAGGCGGTTGGGTGCAGCAAAAAGGCACGGACTTCAAGGTTTCTGCCAAGTTTTAAGCTCAACCCTCTCCTCACTTGATTCTTGGGCGGCTGGTTTGTGTTTTCGCGTGGGACCCACGTTCAACACCCAAAGCATGGATCAAGGTCAATCCCTCTCGTTTCCGTATCGCTAGAATAATAGGTAGAAACCAGTTCCTGTGGCATATCCAAATCGGTCTGCTACCTGAGCCCGGAGTATCAGACCGGCCGGATGATCATTGATCATCTGTGCATTCAGCTCCTGGTCGGATTCGCGATTGGATTGGGCTTGGCGTGGCGTGGCGAGGATCCTTCAGTGTTGAGCTGGGGCCTCTGATCATCAGTGTTTCTATGAGACTTTTGTCGGTGATAGTGGAGTTTGTGCAAGGATCTCTTCTTTGCGATCAGGGCTTGGAGTCCAGACTACAGGGACAGTGTGGACATGAGCTACGTAGCTACGCACGGAGTACGGAGTACATATGTATGTGGGGAGGATCAGAAGATCAGCGCAGCGCGCCCGCGTGGGTACACCAGACATACGGAGTACAGTTCAACATGGGTAGAAAGAGAGGAGGCGATGCCATTCACATGATTTGATGCGGGAAGACAACAGCGGCCATCCTCCACGACTCTTGGAGGGAATTCGCATATCCGTTCGATGCTCACGAGATCCCAAGCTCGAGATCGACGGCTGCTTCAACCACAGAGGCAGTGTTGCCCCTCACACGCCATCGCCAATACTTGCCGCAATCGCCGCTGAAAGCCCCTAACTCGTGGGTATACATCAAAACTAAAGTTACACGGACTGAACTTTGTTCCCTGGCCCTTCCCACGGTTCCTCCTTCGGCTTTGTCCCTTTGCCTCTTCCCGACTTCCCTCCTTTAAAGCCGACTGACTTCAATCCATCCCCTCTTGACCCCGGTTTCCCCCTCGGAGATGCGATAAAAGGGCTGCGATAGCCTGTCCTACGTCACTAACGGGCCTGGCCTAGAGTGGCCATCTGCTGATAGCTCCGGGTGTGGGTATGGCCTGATTTACGCCTAAGAACAAAACTGTGGTCGCAGTTGGCCGCCGGGCGAACCCGCAAGAGTGTCAGAAGGCAAGCACTGCGAATACAGATACATAAACGCGAGCCGGCCTGGGTTTGCGCGATCGCAACCGAGCTGCGAAGGCCAGCTCAACTGGTGATTTTTTGATCCAACCCCGCGCACCGAGAAATGGCATTGGAGGATCACGACGAGAATAAAGTTACTAGTCATATGAGCATTGTCCTTGGTGTTGGGCTTGCTATTATCGGTTTTATCATCATGTGTTTGATGTGAGTTGGCTGTAAGGTGTGTTGGTTGTGACAAACTGACATACGGGGGACTATAGCTTCACCGTCTTCATCAACCGCCGCGAGCGGGCTTCGACGAAGAAGAGCAAAAAGAAGGATTATAGCGATAAGTTGCGCAAACTCGACGCCGTATTACCCACTCGAACCCTCGAAGAATGGTGGGCTAAAGCCCACGGCCCTCCTCTACCCTCCGACTGCGCAGACAATCAGTTTATATGGTAACGGCTATTTGCACACCCTCTATTGCGCCCAGGCTGATCCCCAATCTGCAGTGTTGTCTGCCTCGACCCTGTCCTCCGTTCACAAGAAATCAGAGACTTGAAATGTCTCCACGTTTTCCACCGCGAATGCCTCGAGAGATGGTACCTTCAAGACCATTTCAATTGTCCCCTCTGCCACAGAGCGTACTATATCCAAGAAACGCGCCCGACCAATGATTTTGTATGGATGGTATGACATGACTGATAGATTTTGGATTTGGCGATGATATCCCTTCCCTTTTTCCTTCTTTATGCTTCCCAGTTTTGTGAGCCTAGCAGGGTGTTCTTGGCGTTCGACTCTGGGGATAGCTGCAGGTTTTTTTCTCAGGTCGCTTTGGGGGCTTGATCACAGCCAGGTATTAATGACTTATGACACCTGCCATCGTCCTAGAATTCCGATAATGCTCTCAATATGGAAATCCATCATTCGATGGAAACTCGAATGGGTCGAACTCCCAGTTATCAGGGCTGTACCAGTTCAGCAAGCTGTACAGTCCGTCGTTGTCGCCTCCCAAATAGTCTCTCTGGATAGGCTGTGGGTCTAGAATCTGGTCGAGAATATCGGAAAGCTTCTTTTCGACGGCCTTGCACGTGCGGTAGTTACCCTGTCCAGGGCGAGCTACCCAGGACAGACACGACACAAAGATACTCAGATTGCGGATTACTTCGGCGCGTGGAAGCATCACTGGATGCGGCCCAGGTTCTTGAGTCTGACGGAGCAGCTCGAATGCCAGAATGCTTGCACTTGGAAGTCCGTAGTAGAGTACCTGCGGTTGCGTTATTATCTTGGCTCAATGGGGAGTCGGCACGGAACGTACAACCCAGGACTGATGCCTGCTTATATCGACGCGCGGGTCGCGGTCGTTGGTTACCTCGAGGATGATAGATAAAACTTCTCGAGATGTACTGAATAGTGCTTCATGGCCGGTATTTGTACGTTTGACAACCATCCTCTGTACCAAAAAGAGGGTGTAGAGATAATCAAGGTAGATGTGGCGTCTCGCAAAGGTGATGGACATGGAATCATCTTCAGTGCTGACGTACTTATCATAACGTAGATGGGTCGGACAAGCATCCCACATATCTCGTGCGGTTTCAATCACCTTGCTAAAAGGGGGTCAGCCATCTCGGGTTGACCAGGCACGGTGGGCATTTCACTCACTTGTATTTCTGTAAGATATCCGTCTCATCAAACGTTCCCAAGGCTATCTCAAGAGCCTGTTCACGAAGTACCGCTAGTAGGAAGCGGAGACGCTTCATGCTCACTCGAAGATCATTTCCTTGGGGATTCCATCCCGCCGCGTCCAGCTTAGAGATAGCTTGGTTCAGGCGCTCGCCACCAGCGATGAGATCCTCATCGCTTAGGTCCAGAGGAGGTGAGAGTGAGCAGTATCGGTAGTTGATGAATGGCGGTCTTCCCACAAATGTGGACAAACACTTGTCGGCATAGAATGCGGAAGCGAAACAAACCATCCTCCATTGATGAAGAAAAGGGGGACAATCCTGAGCACGAGTACTTTCTTGGTGAAGGCCGGCTGCATAAATAGTTGCTGTTAGGCCACCAAGCCTGCGCCAGGCCAGATAGCCTGATTGACTGTCAGCTGCGTCTTCTTAAGAGTAAGGATAACTCACTTGTGTCTCCATAATATTGGGTCCTCAGGAGCATGTCATTATACTGATAGAATCCGAGAAGCTCGTTTACTGAGGTCGAGGTATCACAGAACCCAAGGCAGATACTGCTCGCTTCGATCACTTGAGCCTGGAGCAGGTCTCTAGCCTGAGCATCAGGAGCTACTCTGATAAGACCAGGGTCGCTCTCTGAAGAGGACAACAAGGCAATCCCAGATGTAGCTAGAATAATACCCACAGCCTCCCATCGCAAGTTTTCGCCCGTGAACGACGCACAGTACTCCTCAACGGTCATGGAACTATGCGCCGTCAAAGGATGAGCTGAGCTCCGAAAGATCTGGTACGCTAGATTCTGAAGCTGGGATTCAAAGTTCAGGCCCGGGTCAAGGCTGTCCAGTACCCGTCGAAGAGATTGCAAAATAGCTTCCATGATGATATTCGAGACAGCGGCCATCAAGTGCCCAGCATAAAATTGTCGGATTAAGCTATCGCATATCGTGCTTTGATGAAGAAACTTCAACACTTCCAAGGCAGACTGAAGGCGAAAACGATCTAAAGGCTTCGCCAAAGCTCCGCTATTGGCGGCATTGTCTTCTTCGAATGAGATGTCCGTGCGATGCTCGCTAAAAACAGCCGAAAAGCTTGTTGACCCTAGATAGCCTGGAGTGACTGATGGCGGTTGCGAAGTGACGCGAAGCCCAGGAAATTCCGCTGCAGAGACAGATGACGGGCTGGAGCTAATATAGGTCAGTCAAAGCACAGTCATGGTGCCACAATAGACGAAGATGAACTTACTTCGAAGATTCTGTTCTTGGCCTTTTGACTGGACGGGTCTGACTTGCGGTGGCCTGCTTCGTCATGGGCGCAGGATGATAAAAGCACCCCTGAGTGCGATTCTTGGCAGTGCATCTACCGCAGACTGGCCTTGCATGATCGCACTTGAGTTTCGATTTGCGACACGGCTCGCAGGATTGTAGCAGCCCGTTGCGGCGGACTGCAGGAATCGACTCTGTCATGAGGGGGTAGATACGGGCTGCGCTCTGTCCAAGCCGCAGCGGCCCATGTTCGTGTCTATACGGGGAGCTGGGTTGGCTGGGGTATTCGGACAAGAGCTGGGTTGACAAGTGTATTTCGAGTTGTGAATCTGTGACTTCGTGATCCAGAACCGGACCGAATTCGGCAGGCACGACCGATGATTGCGAAATCGGCCTAACCCAATAAGGATAACGCTACGGAGGTGCCAGGTGGACTGGAACGGCATTAACCAAGTGAATTGTCATGTCAACGTAGCTCGTATATGAATATCCACATACAAATACGACTCCTTCTCAACTATCAAGGGTCTCAAAAACAGCAAGCTAACCACAGTCCAACCAGACGCCGGAGACCGAGACCAAACCGCAAAACCACCAAGCCAGACCAAGGAATCAGAAGGTATAATAACGACAGCGAAGACTATGCAAGATTATCTCTCAGCCGACGGGCAATAGCGCGGCAAAAGCGAGCAACATGTCAAGCAGCGATAAAAAAAAGTAATGTGAGAATGTTATCGTATCCAGGGCCCAAAAGTGCTCAGGAGCTTCGTGGATTCCAGATCATTTACCCCTTCACTCGCGTAGGACTTCCAGTGCTACCGATGCGGCCACTGGGCTTTCGGATACCCTTCGAGTCGCTTCGACTCTCAGTAGTGACTCGGCGAGAGCTAGACCGAACTTTGGTCACTGAGACGACCCCGCTCCCAGACTTGCTGCTGACTGGTGTTTTAGGCGCACTGGTTGTAGCACTACCCCAGTTTTCTCTGTCTTCATGAATGTCGTCGTTGAGTGTGTAACTGGCAGTGAGGGTCGCCGAGTAGCTAACTGATCGTTGGCCGGGAGATGCCACTGGTGATCTCGATGAGCGCTTGGCAAGCATGCGCAACTGAGCCTCCTCTTCGCTCTCACTGCTCTCGGTGCTGAGCCTGTGACTCTTGTGCTCGCTAGCTTTAGCATCCTTGTCAATCACGATACTGCCAGAGGTCGTACGCGAGTAAGGATGATGACGCGAGTCTTTCCGGTGGGACTTTCGAGGCTGCCCCGGAGTGGGCGCTGGCAGATTCTCGTCGTTATAGACTGCAGTTCCTTCATTGCGGTCAATCTCTCCGAGTGCAGCGCGCTTCGACTGGTTATTGTTCGGCGGTGTCGTAACGGCCCCGTTGGCTGTCCGATGCTTGACAGATGATCGGCCTGGAGTGACCGGGCTCGGCTGCATTTGAGCAAGCTTCTCCTTCATTGAATCCTCGAACCACCACTCGCGGAAGGAGCCCTGGTTAAGGTGAAGCCAGTGTTGTTGCGGGCCGACTACCATTCCTGGGCGCATGAATCGCATGAACGCAATGACCTCATTTGCCGTGAATCCGTATCGGTAGATCAAATAGGCACCGATCAAACAGCCTGTGCGACCCAGACCAGCCTTGCAGTGGACAGCAATAGCTTTGTGCTTTACCGTGATCATTTCGTGTGCCATTTTGATGAATTTCTTGACCAGTGGTAGCGGAGGGCAAGTGCCGTCCTCGAAGATCATGTCGATATGGGATATTCCCATGGCGGTAAAATAGGATGGCGAGTATAGTTCGGAGTTAAGACGTACAACGAGCCCCACATTGCGAGAGGCAAAATGTGCCAGGACATTCTTGAAAGGAAGAGGTAGTCGAGAAGAAAAGACTTCCGAGATGGTTGAAGGAAGCGCGGCATACTCCGGTGTGTCGCGAGGAATTGGCGCAACTGGCTGGTGCTGAGGAGAGGCGAAAGCGAGGAACTGAGGGCTAATCCAGTTGAAGTCTCCCATGTCAACACGTTCGAACTTTTCGTACCTAAGAGTATAGTTAGTACCAGTCAATCACTTGGGAGAGTAATTCTCTTACTCTTCGAGGCTGAAGTCTCTCAATCCGCACAACCCTTGCTCCTTGGCTCTCCAGACACCATACACAACGTCCTGGATGTTCAAAATGAAGTCGGCCTGGCTGTATCCAGCATCGCGGAATGGCATGTATGGTGGGTCTGCTTGGGCAATAGGAGCTAGTGCTAGGTGAGGTGGCCAAGATTGAATCAGAACCATATAACAGGCGACCAAGCATGCCGCATTTGCTCGGCTTCGAGCGTCGGTTCTCGAATAGAAAACAACTGCCCGGTCATTGTTCGCAGGATCACCTAGTAGATCATGGAAATGAACCGCAAACCGGTACAAATGGCCGATATGAAGTGGGCCAAAGTCTGCATGGAAGGAATTGTAGAGAAGGGTATCATCGACTGTGAAATACACGGGGCTTCGCTTTTTGCTGCTCGGAGTAGGGGGATTGGCTCGGCGCTTGCTAGGAGACTTTGGCTGCTCAGCGGGGTAGGGAAACGGGGTTTTCGCATCGGGAGGGTGGTCGTAGGAAGCCAGGTAGAGTCGATCTGCATCGTTTTAAGGTCAGTCTTCATGTGCCTAGCCATTGACCTCACAGGTCCTCTGACAAAGCTCGAGGAATAGCCCATGATAGCGCTAGATGCAGTATACTGACCTTGAATATACTCAATAACCTGGCCATAGCCAGCGCCTGATCCGGTCATTGTTGTTGCGGGAATTTGATCACCCAAACAATGGCGCAAAACAATAACAACGGCGGGGCGAAACGTGAGGAGTTAACTGAGGAACCAGCGGCTCTTGAGATGATGTTCTTATAGCGCGGGAGAAGAGCGATGCTTCTCTCAACGTTCAGGGGCAGATAATGGCAGTGCAAGCTAAGCGGTCATGGTCTGGTGGCTTTCTTCCCAGCGAGACAATTGTTGGATCAAGTTCGCAACAGATGTTGAGGATAGGTTAAGGATGGACGCGACAATGCTCGGAGAGTGGGATGATACAGAATAGGTCAGAGAGGGGCGAGTTGGTAAGTGTTTATAGAGAGAGGAAGAGAGTGAAGCTGGAGCAGGAAAAAGATGGCCGCACCAGAAGAGAAGAGGTCCTCAAGACCGACGAGACCGTTTGGGGAGGCACCAAAAAGGCACCCAGCACGCTGACTGGCTGCTGTTATGTTGTGGTGATCCCAGAGGGGCTTAGTGCCCGCGGTTGACAGGACAACAATGCATGCCTGAGGCAGTCACAACTTGTCATAACAAACGTCACCTGATCTTCCGAGCAAACGAGACAAACTCTATTTTCACTTGGACCGGCTCTGCACCAATAGGAGAGCATCTTCTCGGGAGCTCGCATTACCCCAACTTACCCCTCACCCAGACGTCGCTTCAAAGTTCAAACACTCGCCGTGTTTTCAATTCCGCGATGGAATTCTGATTCATGAATCTATTGAGATAGCGATTAGCTCGGTAGAATGCGCTCCTTGATCCTTCCGGTTGGCATCAGCCTCCTCTCCTGCGCCGCATCCTACACGATTCCCTCTTCCCCGCAGCAGATTCTGGGCACGACCAACTCGAAGACAGCCAAAGAAATATGCCCTTTGCCCTCGAAAGTACTCCTCGGTGACGAAAAACTTCTCTCATCTCTTCGTTACCTTCAAGATGAAAAGATACTTCACCGTCAGGTTACCAGACTTTCTAAGGCTGTTCAAATTCCGACCACAATCACGGATTCCATGAAGGACCCTTACGACGAATCGTTCGCCTCGTTTGTCGACTTTCATAAGCTTCTCGCCGAGTTGTTTCCTCTCATGTATGCCTTACTTCTGTCTGCACAAGAGGGTGATAAATGTAACCTGTGATTAATCTAGCCACTCCAAAGCCGAGATTGAACGCATCAACCGCCTCGGCCTGATCATCACACTCAATGCTCCCCATGCAAAAAAAGACCAAAATAAAAAGCCGCTCCTCTTTACCGCGCATCAAGACACTGTTCCCATTAGTGATGCCTCAGACTGGACTCACCCTCCCTTTTCGGGTCATTTCGATGGCGAATTTCTTTGGGGCAGAGGCAGCAGCGACTGCAAGAATGGATTGATTGGCCTTCTCTCCGTCGTTGAAGACCTCTTAGAGCAGGACTGGACTCCTTCCCGACCCGTAGTCCTAGCATTTGGATTTGATGAAGAAGCCCAGGGGTCCCTTGGTGCCCGGAGCTTTGCGCCTATCTTGGAGGACAGATACGGCAAGGATGGGTTCGAGTTTATCCTCGACGAGGGCGGCATGGGCCTCTCAACTCTCGGGTCATACTCATCCCACTCCGTCTTCAAGGAGGAGGATAATGTAATATATGCCCTTCCAGACATTAGCGAAAAGGGAGCCATCGACCTTCTCCTCACCCTATCCGTTCCCGGCGGCCACAGCTCGATCCCACCAAAGCACACTGGGATCGGAATCATGTCCGAGATTATATACAGCCTCGAAAACACCGAGCTGGACCTATTCACCCCTAGCTTAGGGCTCGAGCATCCCTCTCGACGAAAGCTTGAATGCCAGGTTCGTCATTCCCCACAGTACGTCGAAGACTGGCTTTCCTCGGCACTGGACTCGAACGACCATGCCGCAGCCGCCGAAGCGATTGCCGAATCTCGTGGGCCAGAGATACGCTTCACGCTCCAGACATCGCAGGCGGCAGATATCTTCCACGGAGGCGTAAAGAGCAACGCCCTCCCCGAGAAGATCCAAGCGCTGGTCAACTACCGCGTAGGGCTACATCAGACACCGGAGATGGTGCAGGAACGCGCGGAGCGAATCATCGCACCGATCGTAGAGAAACACAATCTGTCCTGGTCGAAATTCTCAGACAGCATCGATGATCCAGTCGACATTGATGCGAGCACAAGTGGCCATCTCGCGCTCTCAAAGCCGAACACTCCCCTCAACCCTGCCCCTGTGAGTCCCACCGATATCGAGACCAACCCGGTTTGGGCACGGTTTGCGGGCGTCACCCGCTCCGTTTTCGAATCCGTCCCGAGTCTAGAAGGCAAAACGGTCGTTGTGAGTGGGGATATCATGACTGGGAACACTGATACCAGGTTCTATTGGAATCTCTCACGCAACATCTATCGCTGGAGTCCTGCGCGTGAGGGACGTGCACTGAACATCCACACTGTGGACGAGAGAATCGGCATTGATGCCCATCTAGAGGGGATGATGCTCTACTATGGTGAGTCTTTCCCGCTTCTTTTCCAACGATCTTGAAGCCTAAGTGTTATTACAGATCTCATTCGGGCGTTTGATCAATGGGACGGTGCCGTAGATGAGGTTATCGAGCGCAACGATATATAAATAGATAGCGGCTTCAACCATAAAGTGACGTATAGTTACCTACCCCCTCTTTCACCTCGGCGTAGAGCTGCCTCAAAAGGAGCAAGTCTATATATCCTATCTATTTTAGCAGCATTGGTCCGATTGAGAAGGGCGATAGGTCATTTGCACTTGCACTGCACTAGGAAATAGCATAAATCGGGAAGGTAAGGCCTGCATTGTACTTGCCTCATGGGAAGCTCTGTAGCTTAGGAAGGTACGATGGGGCGTCGTCGTCCAAGCCTGGAAGGAGCGACCGGGGTCGTGGATCGTGCCTGCCGCATGTGTGACAAACTCGCGGAACGAAGGAACGAGATGCCTGTCCGAGAAGGTGCGACTAGGTCTTCGCACTTCTCTTCTGAAGCTACATGAAAGCACTAAGAATAGCAGGAGCGACCTGGGCCGTACTTGCCCTGTGAAAGTTAACACAGATTTGGAAGGAGCGATTCGACGTTCATTCAAACCTAGAAGGAGCGACTTGCAACATGGATCGCACTTGCCTCCTATGAGGCAAAACTATAAAAGGAAGGAGGGAGAGCCCAGCTTTTCGGGGAAGGAAGGGGCGACTCGGCCTTCGTACTTTCCTTCTGCAGCTGTACGATAGTAGAAGGTGGCAGGAGCGACCTAGGTCGTACTTGCCTCGTGAAAAATAACATAGATTAGATGGCACGATGGATATATACTACAGCTTTAGACAGGAAAAAAGCAAGCCGCATCAGTGGATCGCGCAGCCTCGCGCCTGTAGAAGAAACCCTCTCTGCGGTGGGTAGGTGTCCTGTTCCCCGTCTTCTCTAGTAGCTCTCGAACACGTTATATACGCTAGCAACATGATAATCGACTCAATCACACCTTAAGATACAATATGTAGCGCGTGTACATTCCGTCAATCTCTAGGGCGAGAACTTTCTATCAGACGGACCTACATATAAATTTCAGCCTGCGGTAAGCAGCAACAAGGCGAAAGCCCCTCCCATGACAGGTCGGGCGATAAACGTTATTTGCGGGTAGCTGGTGTCATCAGTTGTGTGTCCCAAGAGAATCTAGAAGCTGAACTCACTCTCCCGTTACAGTGTCGTAGAGATCAGTAAGTGCGCGATTTGTCGGTGTCTGGTTGATCCACTCAGCAAGTAGCTTGATGAACATGTCCCTAGTACTCGTTGAGGCAACTGCTGCCGTGAATAGTTCCCAGTCACCTAGGTACAGTTAGCTATAGCCTCTGGGTCAGTGAGGAGAAGTGCATACCCTTGGTGTATTGATGCCGGGTATCCAATGGCACCCCAAATGTCTGTTGAACGGTTGGGTAGAAGTCGCTTTGCATGTCGTACACAGATTGCGGGACTAGATTGAGACCCAACTCACGATCAGAGTACAGATTGTACAAGAGGCCTATAAACCATCAACGCTAGGAACATCTAGCCTCTGGGGGGTACTCAGACCATGAGAGTCGTCTGACCCATACGACAATGTTGTATGCGGTTGGGCAGCGCTATGCGCAATTCCCAGGCTTTGCCACCTGTCGATGTAGTCATGGGCGTACGCAGTGAGGTTGCGTGCATCTTCAGAATGGCCGGTCAGCTCAGCAATAACCGACATGGCCTCGATTCCAATGATTCCCTTTAGCGCAAGATTCGTCTGGTTTCTAGAGCGTTGTCAGTACAGCATTTACATCAGTAGGCAGCACGCACGCTAGTGGCCCCGCGAAATCGTCTGTTGATATCTGGTTTGCCGGATAAAGGGCGTCATCTATCAAGTAATTCGTCCATGATCTCAGCTTATCGTAGTGCTGCTCGAGATACTCTGTGTCGTGGGCTTTCTGGGCATATGCCAGAGCCATAATCACCATATTGCCGCACTCTTCTAGCGGCATTGGCTCATCATTACCATCAGGGTGTCCCGTCGCATTCGGGTAGTGAGAGCCAATGTCGTGCATGGCGTATGAGTTGGGGTAGTGCCCTGATTCTTGAATCTCGAAATGAGGCCGTAGGAGAAGTTTGAGTAGTTCTGGATTCGTGTACAGAAAGACAGGGTGAGCGGGGAAAATGACGTCCACAGTGTTCATGTTCCCATTCGAAGAAATCTCCTTCATAAATATGTAGGGACTTTCTATGGTCCCAGTGAGTTGAGTTGCGGCGAAGGCTTGACGGGTACTAAGGGAGGTAATAGTCAGGTAGTCCTGCCCAGCAGCAGCAAGCGAATCTTGAGCGATACGATCATCCAGCGCCGAAGAGAGCGCGTTTGAGTCACGGTAGTCATGGTGGAAGAAATCGAGCTAGATAATCAGTATCAGCAAAGGGACAAAATGCATGAAGTAATATGGAGGAGAGGGCTTACAGCCTCTAATGCGGAGCTAAAGTAACTTGTCCACAAAGACGGTACGGGAGTAAGCGTATCGGAACGACCAGTGTACTGGACTGCTTCAGACTGTGCTAAGCCTATGGAAAATAGGACGCTGGTAGTTGATTGGATGAACCCAAGGTCATGGGCAAAGCCGAACACAGGCCACTCGTTGGAGATGGCCCTATAGTTGGCGTCATTGGTGTTGCTGAGCCTCCCAGAGCTTGCAAAAGCCTGGCGAACACTGATGCCTGCGCCAGCCTGGTAAGTGAGGCTAGTGCCGTTATTGGTTGCCCAATACCAGTCGCCCCATTCTGCCTGATCTCTGCTCTCCGAAAAAAGAAGTGGTGTTTGGCGATGGATCTTGTGATAGGCAACGCCATTGCTGGTTACACCATGATCCCACTGTGCAATCGCAGATCGATCGCCAGACGCCCATTCTAGATTGATCAATCAAACGAACATTTAGACCCAAGATAAATAAGCTCACCTGCCGATATATCGGTATATACCTGTACTTGATGCGGTTCTCCGTCGAGAGAAGTGATGCTCACATCAAGATATGAGAACACAAGTGACTGTCGTCGCAAGTCATTTGGTGTGATTGGTGAGAGAAAGGTTATCTTCAGCTCTACCATATCACCCACATGCATGGTGAATATGCTTTTTGTTGACGTGTACTCATATGCGGTCTGGTTCACGGTGGTCGAGCCCGGGAGCCCCATCCACGTATAGACTTGACCATCCACTCGCACTAAGCCAGCCCAGCCGGTTACTTGCCCTCTGTTCTAATGATCAGCTTAGTCAAGACAGGAACGCATTTTGGCTACTTACTCCCAAAACGTTGGCCACTCCCCTGCCAGGTACCCTCCATTACCGCCATTGCTACCTGCAGGTAGCCAAGTGCTCAAGTAAGGGGACTTTACTGCTAAGGGTAAAGCCGGAGGCCGGGCTGGTGAAAATGTCGATTGAGCCTCTGCAAGAGAGGCCAACCAAAGGCACAGCAAGCCTAGTGGAAGAAAATACATGATGATCTGAGAGTTGATGCTCAGTCGCAAAGCAACATTCTTATGTAGAAGATGATGTTGACAGAAACCCGAATCTAAAAAAAAAAAAAAAAAGGAAAAAGGAAGAAGAAGAGAAGCGATTCCCAGGAATGTCGAACAGAATGCCGGAAACGATGGGACAGTGAGTGGATCTTGCATTCCAGGCAGATGAAGGAATCTTTATATGGTTCTAGGGAGCCGAGAACAGGCGGCAGGTATGTGACAGCACCATCTAGACTCTCGAGGGACTCGAGAAAGGGTGTCCGCACATGAGCGCAGGAGAGGTTTCCCGAATGTCGTCTGACCTGGCATTGTGCCTGCAGCAGCTATATGGACAAGGGCAGTCGATTAGGAACCAATTGCTCGAGTACTGGCAGGGGTCCGAAAACACGGCTGTGGAGAAAAGTCCGAATTTACCACCCTGGAGTGGTGCTCGACAAGTATTCCTTTCCCCTGTCGACCGCCACTCTGCAGGGTGATTTGATATTGGACGGAGGAAACCTGCTCCTAAGCCTATAGCAAGCTACCCCTGAGCAGACCCAGACGAGCATCGAATCGGACGGCGAAGCGAAAGTAACTGTCGTAAAGCATGCTGTCAGAAAAATGATTGCTTATCTGGTCAAAACTGGCGAAGGAGAAACATAGGGAAGAATAGCAAGCAGGCCAAGAGGAAAGAGGGTGTGCACATTGCAATGAGGATTGAACGAGCAGCGACATCAGAATGGACAAGCGTATAGGCTCTCCCACCAGGGCTCGCCTTTTCCCCCATCAATGCCCCCCTAGCCGCTGTCCCCCATGAGCGCCTGAGTTCCTCTTTTTTAGCCAAGAGCAAAAACAAATCCTTGATTCTACTCCAGTGACACGACGTGGTGACAAAATCATGTGGGAATAGACGATGAAGGAGGAGGAGCCAAAACCGTCCAAGTCTAGACAAGTAGGCAGTGTGACTTTCATCCAATCTCACCACTTGATCCCTCTTGATAAGCATGACCCCGAACTTAGGATGTCTGTAATGGTGCAGTTGCAAATCCGTGCAGGAACCAAGCCCAGCCAAGCTTCCACAACACAACCACTATTGAGGCCGCGAAATCTTGTCGTTCCTTCGGCTTATATCATCCAGCGAGCTGACAGGTAAAATCAAGACTACATGCAGTAGTAGCGTTACAGCCTGTTCAAAGATATGATTAGTACCAAATCATGTCGAATTTCGCCGCCGTCAAGCGGAAGACCTGGCTTGTGGCGGACGAAGGATCTCAATACCACCCGGTCCAGTTCGTAATTGCCAGTGAGCGTCTGCTTCTCCCACGCAGGTACGGGGAAATTGGGCAATAAGGCGTCTGGGCCTAAGCCTCCGAGCAGTTGGATTAGATGCTGTGTTGCCGACGGAGCGGGCTAGGGGCATGCTTACATCTTACCGGCGACAACGAACGAGTTTGGAGCAAAAAGGCCACTCTATGCCTGAGCTGCGCAAAGAATAATATGGAGCATCGCCGGAGACTTTGTTATCTGGTCAGCTGGCGCTGTTAGTATCTTCACGTGGTACAACACTGCACACGGATCATTTCATGGCTCGTGCACATGTCAGTTGACAGCGAGATCGAGGCCCTAGGGTGACAATCCCTTGCATCAGTGCTCAAGTAAATTAACGCTCTGTTTTATATGTAGTATCGTAAATGTTCCCCGACAAATTTCCGCCCGGTCTTGGTTTGGGATCACATCATAGTCTCAGCGCACGGAAATGATCGAATGTCCTTCATATATAAACATAAACATGTTACCCGTCCCTGGGGACGAGTAAATACTCTTCCCAAACACCAAACACCAATCCGAGAAGACTCAACCTCGGCCTCTCCCGGCAAGAGTTTTTGAACTCTGGGCCAATTGTATGCAGAATTCGCCCCACTCGCTGCCCCCAGTCGTCGGTAAGATTTCCTCCGCAATCGCCTCCTCCAGTCGCGCCCCGTAACGCCGGCGGTACTCCGACTTCACATTCTCCAAATGGCGAGGCTCCCAGTGAAGACGAACGAGACGAGAGATCAGCAGCTCAGATCTCTCTTTTCCAGAGCGAGATTCGTGCAAGGCCTGGTGTAAAAGCAGTGCGTCTCGCATTGGTCTGTTAATCGCTCCATTGAGGATATGTGCGAGTGTTTCACCCTGTTAACATAGTGGTTAGCACTGATTATTAACGAGTATACGAGCAAGATATGTACCACAAGGTTCTGAGACTTTTGAATCATCTCGCGAGCAAAGTTTCGCTGGTAAATTTTCTCGTACGCACGTAGCACTTCACGTAGGTGAGAGTCGCTCCGGCGGACGATAATATAGATCATGGCAGTCTCGCCACCATTGCGCGAGACGAGAGCAGCATGAAGGGCCTGTACGTCACGGTGAACCAAATCAGGGTCGATAGGGTCGCGTTCGCTTTGCCGACTCTCCTCCAGGGTAAGTAAGACGGCCGTTCGAAACTTGTCCGCCTTTAGTTCGGCCTTCATACACTTTTCGAGGCTGTTGGTATAGCGAGAGTCCTTGAATGACTCCTTGATTTCGCGCATCTCGCCATTGCTGCGCCCGAAGAGGGATTCGATGAGAAGTTCACGTCTAGACGACCCAGACTGATAGTAGCAGTTTGCCCAAAAGGCTTCGGATTCCCAGCGCCCAAGCGCTGTTGCATAGCAGACCTTTCCGAGTGAGCCATTCCCTAGCTTGACCCGGATATGCTTGGCTAGGTTGACGCCCTTTCCGCTGATCTTTACGTGATTCTTGTATTCCTTCCGAAGATCCAACATTTCATCACTTGTCAAATGGGGTAGTATTTGGGTCAAAACCTTGGTATCGATATTCCGCGTGTGAGAAAGAGCATCTCGCAGCGCCAAAGCGTCTTCCGTAGCGTCATAAAATGACACTTTACGGCGGCTACTATGAGGTGATATTAGGACGAGAGAGTCTGGCTCCCTAGAATCCCTGGAATCATGGCGCTCATGTCGGACGCGGCTGCTGCCGCGCTTGGATCGGTCGCTTTTGGGTTCCTTAAGACCCCCTTCGTCTTTCGATTTCTTGGATTTCCGTCTCCTCCGCCTTTCGCTATCTGTGCTATTGTCCAGCGGCTCAAGGTCAGAGATATCATCATCTCTAGGGGCTATAAGGATTGGCGAGGGCATGGGAGATATGCTTTGATATGTCCCCTTGTACGGCTCCAACATCGGGCTGAGAGGTGGTCGGCCATCGGGATCGGAACCTCCTCCAACGGTTAGACTGTTGCCTGTAGAAATGCTGAGACTGGTTGGGCGACCACTGGGCCGGGTTCCGGGTGCCACCTCGACGTACTGCGGTCCCCTATCAGGGCCACTCGTGGTTGTAGGAGGATACTGGGGAGTTGCCGAGTACCGGACCCCGCCATACTGGGCTTGTTCGACTTTAGAACCATATGCAGTAGCGGCTGCAGGCTTGGCGGAATATTTGACATTTGGGTCAACCTGTGCATACTGGAAGGCCGGTGGGTTAGCATAGAGATTCGGGTCTCCGGACGGGCCGCGCTGGTGACTCGCAGCATTGGCTGGTGTGGTATACGGAGCTGCAGATGTTGTAGTCTGCGTATTCCATTGAGGGTACTGATTCTGTTGAGTGCTCGGGCTCATATACCGCACATTAGACTGGCCTGCCGGAGCGGTTGGGAAGGCCCCAGGCATAGACTGATCTCCAGGCTGAGATGTTGGTGGAACAAATCCCGGTTTCTCACAATCCGGCACCGCTGCCCACGTTGATTGAGAAGGGGGAGGGCCGGAGAAAGCAGAATTGGTCTGCGGGGCATATCTGGACTGGCCGCTCACTGCTTCCGCGCTGCTTCTAGGGTTTGCGCCTGGACCAAGTGCTCCGGTCATGAGTGGTTTCTGGGATGGTGGTGCCGAGGCATTGGTGCTGCCCTTGTATCCGTAGTACCCACGTTCTATGCCTCCGGGAACGTCCCCGTAGACTAGATGGTCATCTTCTGAATCCGAATCCGAGTAGATATCCTCATCCGAATATGCATCCAGTTGCGCCGATCTCCGTTGGGGCGTCTGAGAATAACGTTGACTGCTTTGCTTCGTCGCGCCTCTGTCTTCGCCAGAATCGGAATGATAGTAGCGATCGCGATCGCGATCGGACCGAGAACGCGGATATGAATCTCTTGCCTCGTGCTCTGAGTCCGAGTCATAACGGGAACTCTTTCGATAGCCACGAAGAGGGCTGGCGCCGCGGCTTCTTGACCTGGTCCGCGTTTTATCGTCCGCGGGGTCGGCGACTAGATATTTGCTTTTGCTCGAGGACTCGAGTCGAGGGTCGCGAGACGTGGAACGTTCACGGGTACGGCCGCTCGGAGACTTGGAACGGCCGCGCGACCGTGGGTCATTGACTTGGAGAGACATGGAAAGGCTGAAGCGAGAGCCAGCCAAAGGTACTGATTACCGGGAGGATTGTAGCAGTGCGACCGAAGCTTCCCCACACAGTAAAATAGGGCCGAGACAGGGAGAGGCTACACCTGTCCTACAGTAGCGGGGTAATTGAGGCAGACGCAAACCGATTCCAATGTGCGCGGGCGCAGCAGGTCCGACGATGAAGAGGGGAGAGGGAAGTATCAAAAAGGAAAATCGAAGCTCCAGCGAAAGCAGGAGAAAAAGGAATGGAGGAGGCAGGAGAAAGAGGGGAAGAGAGTTGGATCGCGGTGTCGCGCGGCTGAAAAACGCCTTCCCTTTCACGAGTTCAGCTGAGGCACACTCCCAAACTCTGAGACCCCTCTCCCTATCCCTGCACCATTCGTTCTTCTTCAAAGAACCCTGTCTGAGACTCTCTGTGACTACATTGATTTGAAATGTTTGCCACTGTTCTTGAGTCGTCAGCCATTTGGAGCCGCATTCGAAGCTTACAACCTGCACACTCGCTGCAAGTGAGCAGTGAGCACAGACTCCACACTCCTCTTTCTTGTGTCGCGCGAGCCAGTCATCGGGGGGCCAAAAGGCTGATCCTGGTCAGCGTTACCGCGAAGGAGCAGCCCTTCAGCTGAATGGACCGGCCACGCTCGTATCCAGTTCCGGCTTTCGCGAGCCCACAGTTGTCGCCAGTCTCCTATTTGTTGAGAAAGCATTGGCCGACCTGTGTCTATCGGGTTTGGAGATTCTCTAAAGGTTCCAAGCTTGCAGCTTGCAAGGTTCCAAGACCTCTCAAGGAGGTTTAGTTATGATTGCAGGTATGGGGTTTAATTGGCAGCGTAACCGTGGGAAAAATCGATATTGGTAGTAAGAAGACAAAAAAAAGAACAGTGGACAAGGATACCCAAGGTAAACTTGTATGCTTGTTTGGCTTGGCACTGAGATACACAGATAGAGAGGCGCATACCGGTCAAGGGCACCGGGAAGTTGCAGCAACATTCTTGATGAACGGAAAGTGGTATAATGAACATAAAACAGCAGGGTCGGACCGGACTGTACAGAAAGCTGAAAGGAAAGGGGTGATCTCGAAAATGGTAGAAAAAATCGGGCCAGAACATGAAAATCCAATGACTTCGTAGATTCAGGAAACCAAGCATGCCTGCCTCCAATTTTGCCTTTATGGGTAGCACATCAATAGGGACGTCAAGTAATGTTACTCGAACGGTGTAGAAATCCTGACTGGGCGCCTAGCATTCGACATCGAAGATTCGAAGGCGATATGAGCAAGGCACCACTGGTCAGACGGTGGAGAAGCAGTAAGGAAACTGAAGACGAGAAGGAGGGGGGTAGTCGAAGGCAAGGAAAAGGGTGTCAAGTGTAGGTTTTATAAAAAGTGCCGAATAGCTGGTCTCTGGATTATCACCGAGTACGATGTCCAAAATCTGGGCCTGTTCGGCCGCTGTATGCCCGTTGCTTTGTCGATGCCACAGCATCATGTCGGTTCAAGCGGCTAGTCCGCCACCGTTCGTACCAAATCACACGACTGGCTTCACGCAATTCAGATCTCCAGTCGCTAAATACCGAGTCTTTGAGTTTTAGAAAATCGCAGTGCTCCGCATTGTAAGGGTCAGCAAAGCCCCAGGGGAACTTGCGTCCGACTGGCCCGTTTTCGCTCTCGAGCGAGTATCGGTCTGGAGACAAGATCGAGAACGGAAGGGGAGGGACACCGGCCTGGGACGCGGCAGATTGGCGGGTACTTTCGCTGCGCTGCGAAGGAGACCTCTTTGGTTTGTTTGACGGGCTTCCGGGCTCACCAGACTCTTCCTGGTCTTCTGTAGCGGGGTCATCTTCAGCTTTGGGAGTCTCGGCTTCATCTTCATCGCTCTCTTCGGAGGTGTAATCTTCCTGATCTTCGAGAGTGAGGATTTCGAGGGGATCAATGTTGGCTTTCTTCAGACTAGCCCACACAGCTTTCCTGAGGTATGCCATATGCGCAGTGGTAATTGTGTCTGCTTTGCTGATCACGGGAACAACAGTGGTCTTTCCGATAACAGTACGTAGGACCTGGATATCGAGGTTCTCATCGAGGACGCCCAAGATTCGGGAGTCAGACGGCCTTGCGGTTCCTTGGGCAGCTCGTTCTGCAGCAGCGATGTTCTCATCCAGGCGCGAGGGGTCGAGAATCAAGAATGTACAGTGAATATGAGTGTCACGGGCTCCTGGAGAGCGGACAACCTTCATCTCCTCGTTCAAAGTCTCCTCGAATTTGCTTTCTAAGAAACCGGTAACGCCGCGGAGCTGAATGTCGACAACATTCTTCTCCAGCCCCTGGGAGTCCCACAAGGTCAGACCAACACGTTCTCCGTCGATCTCAGTTTCGAGGTAGTGAGAAGTATATCCCTCGTTAGCAGGGTTCTGACGATCGTATTCAACTTCGTCAGGAGAGCGCGAGGGATGTTTATGCGGGGGCAGAGCTAAGGACTTTCGAAGGAAATTGAGGAATGAAGTCTTTCCCGAGTTTCGCGCACCAATTACCAAGACACTGCATAAGTGTTAGTATGCCAAGAAAATATCACGTTGCGAGTTAAACTTACTTGTACGGAGTGGGATCCTTGCGCCGGCGCAGTCTGCGCGGGTTGTTGACAGTACTGACATAGCTGCTTGCATAGCTATAACGACCCCGATGTGTCATGCTCTCGGTGCGAGCGTACGGATCAGTGTAGTCAGGCGGCACAGGTGTACTCATCGCGCTACGGGACTGAGTCGGAAGGGTGGGCGAAAGAGGGTTCGCAAGTTCAGAAACCCGATCATGGTGTTCCTCGCCTCCAAAGGTCTCGATGACTGGCGGGGGCGCAAAATCCGGAAGACGTGGAGGTTGCTTCGGCCCTCCCTCGCGTTGGCGGCGGAGCTCTTCCTCCATCTGAGCCTTCGACATCTTTTTGTTTCGAGATTTTTTGTCGCCGATTGGCTCCGTGGACTTGGAACGACGAAGGAATCCCAGAGACGAGGAAGTTCTGCGTTGATCCTTTACTTGTGAGTGACCGTTCTCCGTCGGGACAGGAGGTGGATCAGTAGGAGGTTGGCCCCGGCTCGGAGTCCGGGGTCTCGTTGTTGTCGTTGCCATATCGAGAGACTCGACTATCTGTAACACGAAACGTTTCTCTGCTCGGTCTGGGTGGGGTCCCTGTGAATGAGTGATGTCTCAGATATAGATTCTTCGCAATTAAAGGTATATTTAGTTACAACCAGTCGCAAGAAGCCACAAATACTTACAGGCTCTGTCTTGGAAGCAGAAATCAGGAGTTGCCTGATGATCACCGAGTTTCTTCTTTGAATCCAATGCAGCACTGCAAATGTTGCAATTGAGTCTGCCGAGGGTTGCGATTGTCGATAATAGTTTCTGGAAAATCAAGGACTGCCGGAGGATTTGATGAAATACACCTCGAGATTCTATCCCAAGGAGACAAAGGGTAATTGAAATTGGCACTCCACGAGTCCAGCAAGCGTCTGCCGAAATTGCTCCTGTGTCCCTAGCAGAAGATGACAAGCGCAAAAGGACGTTAAAGACGAGATGGGGAGAGATCGCAATTCAGGTGGCGGAACTTGCGCTCTTTTTCTCCCTGAACTCCGAGCTATAATTGCAGGGGCAGAGAAAGGAAATTGCCTGCTCACAGCGTCCGGCCGATGCGGAGCATATAAGTGAGAAACCAACACAACAGGAAGGGAAAGAAAAGAAGGGACGGAGAGAAAGGAGGGGAAAGAATTATTGGGAAAGAGAAATAAAATGAAACGAAAGGATGACGGGCGCTGGACAAACAGAATGAAGATCGGCCAGTGAGAGGCCAGGCGATGCTTTCTTTCGACCTTGAACTACTCGTGCTGCGAGGAAAGCACGAGGAGCTGCCCGATCGCCTACAAAACCGTTGACGAGATGCGCCCTTCTGCCGGTGAGAGTCTACGCGGCCAATCTCCCATCTTTATTTCCTTTTGCCTTTCTTCGCCTTTCCCTCGGATGTTCCTGGACCAGCAGAACAGAGCTTCGCAACTTGGAGCTTCTGAGCTGACCAGATTCAGGGGCAAACGTCAAGCCCGAACAGGCTAAGGGGGCTCGACTCTCCAAGACTCCCCCACTCACAGATCTCAAAACGTTTTAGCCGGGCTTGGCTTTAAATTGGGCTGGTTCTTGGGTTCGCGTTTCAAGTCGTTCGCTGGAGGGGCTGCCCGTTTCGCAAATCCCAGACCCCAGCCTATCCTTGAGCTGGGGACAATCTTTACCTCAAATGAGACATCGGTCGCTGATTCAAGTGGTGATTGCTTCTGTCCTCTCGGAGACGGAGTTCAGCGGTGGTCAAAGCTGCATCAAAGGCACATGGCAGTGACTGCTTTGTGTTGACTCTGGAGGAAATGAGCCCGGCGATCTGGCTCTCCATATGTCAACGTTCGTGCAGCGATTCGGCAGCCTCCAGAGGACGTAGCCCGGTTCTGATTTCCGATAAAGCCTCAAGGCTTTCAGCCTTCTTGCTCGACTCTCTGCCTCCGCCAAAGCGACCGGCACACTGACAGTACTCGATTCTGGCAGTAGCCGCAGTACTACCCTGTACAACCGTGAAATCCAAGTCAAGCATCTTGCGTTACGCTGGTTGCCATTTTTGTTCGATCTGGTTGTGGTCTTGTTCCAGACTCGGGTCAACTCACAGTGTTCACACGTGGGATCCTTTCCCCACGCCAACCCCTTACTCATCCAGAGTATTCCTTTCTTTACCACAGCCAACAGGTTATATATCATCTATCTTTGTCGTTTTGAATCCCTCCGAAAGACCCTGTCCATCTACTTCCGGGTTCCTCGAGACAGGCCATCCTCTTCTTGACTTGAACAACAAAGATTGGGATGGTAATTACGGAGTACCAGCTACCGCGTATAATTGCTGTGCGACAGTCAGATATCCACATCGTCAAAACACTGAAAATTGGCCGACTGATTGGCTGTACTGATCGAATCCAAATAGCCCAGTCCAATGGGTTCGTCTCCCAATAATAACGCTAAAACATGAGAGTTTTATCCGGCTTCCCTGGTATTAGGTCAATTACCATCCGCGAACGGTGAACCCCCTGATTCAGCGATTGTCAATAATAATTCTCTCACAAATCACAGAACCTCTCTTGCAGAGATTCATCTTGACAATTCTTATCTCCGAGTCCATGATGAAGGAATCTGACTTCTAGGCAAGCAAATCGCTCAATACACATACATTAATCAACGGGAGATGCACCCTACCATCTCGCACAGTACAACCTTGCACTCCCAAACTCGACATACATATCACGCAGATGACGCCTGAACCTCGGGCGATTCGACACTCCAAATCCGGAATGGTAGGACAATGCATGGATCACTCGGGCACACGTCCTCTCGATCGAGGTTTTTGAATCTCGGCCCAGTAGGCCCTCCTACATACATCGCTTGTCCGAACAATTCTGGCCCGCCTTGAAGCGCGTCGTCACCCCACCGCCCGTTGAAATCTAGCCAGTTGACTGGATAGCTGGGGTCATAGGGCTCGAATGTCTGCGTGTCTGATGCATAGCTATATGCATATGCGCCGAGGATGGGATCCCATATGGTACCCTTCCCTGTCTGGTCAACAAGGAACCCTATTGGGAGGTTCACCCCAGGAATTGTGTGATCGTGCCCCCTGCAGTGAGGTTAGCCCGACCGCTTGGCATGAACCTAGGATATATGGCCTTACCCGGGGATCGAATAAACCGCATGGGTGCCGTTTGCGGAGTAAGCGATAGGCCTGTTTCCTCGCTTTTCTGTCGCGCGATAGGTAAAAGCCTGTCCTCGAGAGTGCTGACTGTACCAGACCGCCTCTGGCGCTCCGTTTTGGAAACGGATCATATTATGCTCCCTGCGACAAATCAGCGACAGATGTCGAACGAGAAGATTGAGCTCAGATCTCACCAGTCGCCAACATGGTTACCAAATTCCATCCCCAGGACGGTATTTCCTTGGTTATACCTGACAGCTCTTAGCCCAACGGCCCTTGAGGAAGGGAGAAGTCGGATATGTGTGACAAGCTCACGAGTAAAAGTAAAAGTAAAACGCATCGACTTGTCCGCCTCCGCGATCATGCACTACAATAACCGACGAGATATCATCCGACTGCCCGTTTGCGTCGATATTTGCGCCATTGAACCAGGAAGGCTGTGGGTTCGCGTCAATGCCCTCCTGTGAGCTCAGGTACACGCTTTCATTAGCCAGCGCATTTAGCTTGTCCAGGTTATCGAGCGTGAGTGGTGATGGGGCACCTGGAACCGGTTGGTAATTGGCCTCTGCCACGACATGCTCAAGATGCTCAGCGATGCCGGATGGCTTGTATGGATCTTCGCTGTGAATCCATACCAGAGGCGCTAGACACAGTCAGGCCGTCGCTTCACCTCGATTATTTAAGGCTTGAACTTACCATAATCTAGCACGTAGCTCGGAATAGAAGTTGCAGCCAGCCCGCTGGTGGCGGCATCTGCAGAACGAGCGTACATCGCCATGGACACTGAGTCGACGAGCAAAGTGAGGTTTTCAAGTTCCAATTTCAACCTCCCGGACTACAGCCTACCCCATCCCGGTTATATAAACCTGGAGATCAAAACACCAGGGGCCTCCAGCAGCGACTCTAGAGTTACATTCGGGTTGCAGAACGCTTCTCAGCTGCCGGTGATCACCTTTCAAATGTCAGCCCAGATGCAAACTTTCAACCTTAAACCACCACTCATACCATCCTGTGGGTTGACCGAATGGCGCTTGTTCTGTGGGGATTGGCAGCCAACGAAAGCGTTTGTTGCCCACTCGTGGCTCGTGGGCGTGGATTTCACCAGAGCTTGAATTGTGTTCCTTAAGAGCTTATTGGCTCCTGTAAGGTGACTGTCGTCGAGTCAATAAGCATGATTTACGTCCAGCCAATAGATATGTTCACTACAAAGTTGCTTATTCTTCAAGGTGAGTCCCGTGATGGAATCAACTGCCCAGATGGAGGGGTTGCTATTCACGAAGTCATCTGAGCGAATCATTCACTATTTGCGTAGCCGGATTATCCCCACTATGCCTCGAGACTCGAGTACCTATAACCTGCCGTGGTATTCATGATCAATGATTCTCCCGCTCCCGTTCAGGTTACTCCCCCGCATTCCTCCTCTCCGCCTCGGCCTCCTCGCGCTTCTCTCTCTCCTTCATTAATTTGAAGACCCTCAAATCCAATGGAATCCGCTCTCCGAGCCATGTTGCCCGCTGGGTATGATTCCTCTCTTCCTCTCCCGCCCCCTCAGCCGTATTGGGATGAATCAGCGCACTCAGAGGTCCTCGGTTTATGACGAGCCACGGTACGAAGGCCCCGAACTGTGCTGGGGTGAAGAGATTCACCTCGAACATGGCGACGGGATGCGGACCCACGGGCCTGTCGAAAAAAGTATATATCCGGAGTTCAGGGACTGCAGATGAATTAGTATTTGAGTTTGTGAGTACTTGGGATCTTCGGCGACAGTGGCTTCTGGAAACAGTACATTCTCGTCTGATTCGCTCCCACAACGCCCTTGCAAACGTTCCTTGGTCTGGGTTATTCTGCAAGCAGAGTCAGTACTGGACCATGTTCATGAAATCCACAGAGTTGACGTACCTGGAAGTGATAAATATGTATATCGAACCCACCCCGTCGACCCTTGGACAGCGGGTCCGGAAACTCCTCGTATGCTTTACTAAGAATCCCATGCTGGGGGTTCTTCAATGATTTTCCATCGTCATTTCTCTCCCTATCGTCAATGACCTTCAAGTTAGATGTCTGCGATACTGCTAACGAGGGGTAGTCTCCACCATCCACTAATCGGATGACACCATCACTGGGTTGGGGATCTTACTCTGAAAGGGGTTCCAGGTTTTCGTAGCCCTCCAACGGGGAGGGATAAGTGTATGAAAACTGGTCTGTCATCCCGAGGGAGTATGGGCACTGGTTGACGAGGTTGTAGGGTGGAAATGAGGTCCTGCCATAGATCTAATTAGATATAGCGAAGGATTTGTATACCGGAAAGTGGGCCGGTAGTTGAGCGTTCCGCGGGATGACAAAAGTGCGGAATTTGAGCACGAGGTGCGATTTGTCAGAAGAACTTTGATGCAGTAAAATATACATGAATGAAGCTGGCTAATATGAGATGATGCGAGGCGTTACTACATTTCATAGACATCGTCCTCCTCTGGTTCCATGTGTAAAGTACTAGTATGTAAACTTCATCCGCGGCGTTTCACAGAACCTCGCTCAGTGCACTGTTCACCATGAGGCTTTGACATCGACATGCCCGTCCTCGTCTATGTATTTCCCGCGATCCCATTCGCGCCCTTCGCTCTTCGTGGACCATTTGACGCTGTTTATCCTCCCTTCATCAGTACCTGCTGCTGTGGAGGCGTTGCTTTTCCAATGGTCGATGATGTCTGTGTTGAAGCCGGCTTCCCGTAGCCTTTCTTCGCCATTCTGCTTCCACCGAGCTCGGTCACGTAATGCTTCTAGTGCAAGTTCCCAATCATCATCCCCAGTCATGAGACCCGCCACTGGTCGACGGGTTGGTTTATTGCCGGGTTGTAAATCGTCGTCCTCCGGTTGCACATCAAGCGTCGGATCGTAGTTGGGAGCGAAATGAGCGTCGATGTTGCTGACGTTGGGTTTGTATGCGCCACGTCCGCGAGAACGAATGGGTGCTTCCTCCTTTGGTAGAGGGCCGACAAGATCCTCCAATGGATCCGAATCATCGCCCGGCGCCTCAGTCCGACTGTTCGGTACCGGTGACAGACTGTTTTTCACCTGTGCAGATCTCCTTCCTTTGCGCCTCTCACTCGATTCCGGCGACCGGGAGCGTCGACTGGAGCGATGTCGGTGAGAGCGGTCGCGGTCGGGATTTCGATATTTCGAATCCCGCCCATGTGGAGAGCGACTCCGTGACCGTGTGTAAGACCGGTGCCTGTGACTTTTTCGGGATCGTCTGTCTCGGTCACCATCCCGTTCGCGGGTTTCATGTCTCCGCCTAGATGAACGTGCTTGGTCCCTATCCGAAGATATTGACCGGCTCCGCCGTCTCTCCCGGTGAGACCGGTGTCTATGTCGATCATCTTGTCTCGTATCTCGCTGTGAATCCCGGTCGTCAGATCCGTGGGTATGGTGCCGATGGCGCTCACTAGTAGGAGCCTGCGCTCGGAGCTGTCGCATGCGCTCCCTAGCTTCCCGTTCTTCCTTCCTTTTCAGCGCTGTGTTGTGATTGTCTGTCTCCTTGATTATGTGACGAAGGAATCGCGTATTCGGTTTCGGCGCGGAGCCTGTAGGCCTGTGGCGAAAGATTATTAGCTTCAGGCATGTTGTCTTTGGGGCAATCTTTGCACCTCCTAGTCATATAAGCCTGCGTACCGAGAGAAGGGTACTTTAGAGAGCTATTCCGAGCCTCATCTGCCAGTACTTGCGCGACGTAGTCATCGTTGGCTGGGTCGCCTATTGCCTTTCCTAGTCCTGGAGGCATGATCAAGAACAGAGGCCGAGCAGGATCGGGATACGGGAGGAGACGATGTCCAATCTGTGACCTTTTACTACATCACCCCGGATGCAAGGTGGGAACTGTAGCAGGTAGATAATTAAAGAACAAAGCGAGAGTTTGTGGAGAACATTAAAGTTTGGACTCTGGAGACTTTTTTGGTGACGGAGCCACTCACCGCCCGGCTTTGTTTACTTGCATATTCTGTCGCCAGGTGGAGTTGACTGTCAATTTCCCCAGCTGCAGTGCAAGAGTTTCATTTCAATACTCAATCCTATCTTCAAGTCAAAGGACAAGATTTACATATCGGCCATTATGGAGGAAGAGATCATCGGAATTGATGCCACACAAACGCGCCAACTACTTCAACAGCTGGACCAAGAACAAGGAGAACTCAAGTCTCAACTTTCCATCGTCCGAATCAGCGAACCGATTTTCTCTCCAGACGCAGACTCCTCGGACCCCTCACCGTCGAAGCGCAATTCAGACGTGTCTGCTCTTGAAAATCCAACGCCAGCATCGCTCGAAGCAGACTTGACACACTACAAGGTGCAAACCCCGCTGGCCATGGCAAATATTCCATGGATCTGACGCCGCTTTCTAGGAACTATTTTCGAAACTGCGCTTTTCTTACGTTGAACAAGTAACTAAGGAGAAATTCTTACGTGCTATCGTTGGCGATCCGCCACTCGTTGTCGGCCACAATGAGAACGTGGAGTTGGAGACGCAGCTTGCCGAGATAAAGGCCGAACTCAAGGCGCGTAAAGAGGAGGTACGGCTGATGATAGAGGAGATGGAGAAGACCGGCAGAGACCTTGCGGCGCGTGAGTTCGACTCTAGTTGTTCAAGGTGTGCAGATGGTCGCTAATGGGCTCCACCTCCTAGGATATAAGAACATTCAGCTGCAGACGACACAACTCGCAACCCTTCCCGAATCCATCGAGAACCTCGAGTCTACTATTGGCGCATTACGGGCGACACAGATCGCCAATTCGGACAAATCATCATCGCAAAATCTGCCTCTCCCAGCGACCCTGTCCCTCCTAGCTGAACGCGAGGCCGAACTCGCGGCGCTTAACCGGCAAATCGCTGCTGCCCAGAATACCCTGCCTCGCAAGACGAGAGAGGCCGAGGCCGTGGAGCGGGAATTAAGTATACTCGAACGGCGAAAGTCCGAGGCTATAGTGCAAGCCAGGGAGGCTCAAAGGAAGAAGCAGGAGGGAGAAAGTGACGGACTCGAAGAAGCAGGGAGGTGGTATAGGAGCGCGGAAGAAGCCCTCCAGAAGCTAGTGGGAGTGGAAGGATAGCCAGCGGACCTTGATAGCATGACTGACGAACTTATGGGCGGCGTTCCGGTATTTGATCTGGGTGTACAGAGTATAGATACGTTTACGAATTCTGCTGGATGATGATCTAACGGGAAATCGGGTTTCGAAACTGAGCCGTAGGCTACCTATGGTATAGTAATTTTTTAAGTAAATTCATCCATTTGCAAGGTCGTACGACATTATACGCGATGCGTTGACATCGAAGCCCCGTGGATAAAATTTCCATAACGAAACCCGTCCATACTCCTATTTTTAATAATCTACTCCTCTTCCTCCTCACCCTCATCACCAGCACCGCCAGCAGCAGCAGCAGCCTTCTTGCGCTGGACACGGCCGGGACGGCCACCACCGAAGGGAGAGGTGAGAGCGAAGTCGATGTGCTTCTGGGAGTCGAGGCGGACCAAGTAGGAGGGGACGTTGACGATCTGCTTGCCGACACTGTACGAACTGTCAGTACTCACAGATCGAGAAGAGTCCAGGGAAGGATTGCATACCGGATGTGGCGCTGCTTGATCAGGACACGGGCGTGATGGATAGACTTGGCAAGGCCAAGCTTGTAGACGCAGGTCTGGAGACGGCGCTCAAGGAAATCCTCGACACGGAGGGCCAGGACGTAATCGAGCTTCATGCGGGACTCATCGAGCACACCAATGCGGACCAGACGGCGAATCAAAGCGTTACCTTCGAACAGACGCTTGGGGTCCTTCTCGTCGAGGGTGAGCAGCTCACTAACAGTCGTGTCGGATTAGTCCATGTTCCAGCCCTTTCTCTAGAAATCAACTTCAATGGGCGCATACCGAGCAGCACGACGGATCTTGGACAGAGTAAGCTGGACACGCCACACCTCACGCTTGTTGCGCAGGCCGTACTCGCCGACAATCTTCAGTTCCGAGTCACTAGAAAGACCGCATTAGGGACCAGAACACACGACATAAACAGAAGCACGCTTCTGATCAGTGGCCGGAGAGTACTAACAGACGAGCCGACTCGAAAGCTGCGCAAATGTTAGTCCATAAATCCGATTATCGATTTCTTTTTTCTCAACGAGGACAACTTACGACGACGAGGGACCTTGTAGGTCTTGGAGTAGACGCGACTGCATTGGAAAACCGACAATTAGACTCATTCGCACATGAACTGACTGTCAATTGCTGTATACTCACGGGACGGGGGCCATGGCTGCTGTATGGGGGCTGTCGCAAAGGTTGTCGGATACTCAGCTGAACGATTTCACCAAGTTCGACAAGAGGAGAAGGACTTTTGAAGATAGCCGAGCCAGTGGCCCGCCAAGGCGCGCTAGTACTAAGAGCGGAATAGCGGATAGGGCTAGGGCTCAGAGCGGAGAGCGGCCGCACTGAGGATCCGAACGGGCGAAAAGTCGATACCAGCGGCAGATCGAGACGACTTCCTTTCGTTGTCGACAATTTCAACTCCAACACCAGCAAATCCGTCAAAATGGGTCACTCCCACGGTCTCCGATCCGGCACCCGGGTATGTTGTCGATAATGGCGATAGAAGATGCATTTCGTACGGTCGCTGACAATGATTTCAGTATGCCTTCTCTCGCAACTTCCGCCAGAAGGGTGCGATTCACCTGTCGACCTACCTGAAGACCTACCGGTACGCCAATTTCCTCCGCGAGCGTCGAAACGCATGATATTTGGGGCAGGAAAAAGCTGATGATAATTATAGGGTTGGTGATATCGTGGATATCAAGGTCAACGGTGCCGTCCAGAAGGGGTCAGTCAACATTCTTACATTCCGAAAGCCATCTGCAACCGCGACGAGTCCGGGATGGATGGATCACAATTGGAGCCTCATTTGCTGAGAAATTGAAATAGTATGCCCTACAAGGTCTACAACGGTAAGACCGGCGTCGTCTACAACGTCACCAAGTCCTCCGTCGGTGTTCTCCTCTACAAGGTCGTCGGCAACCGCTACCTCGAGAAGCGCATCAACGTCCGCATCGAGCACGTCAAGCACTCCCGCTCCCGTGAGGACTTCATCAAGCGTGTCAAGGAGAACGCCCAGAAGAAGCGCCAGGCTAAGGAGCAGGGCATCCACCTGCACCTGAAGCGCCAGCCCGCCCAGCCCCGCGAGGGTCACGTCGTCGAAGGTGCCGCTCCCGAGACCATCACTCCTCTTCCTTACGACACCCAAATCTAGACGAAACGGAATGGCCGAAGCGGGTTGTTTGGTGTTTTCTGGGTTTACACATCCAAGTGTGGAGTTTGCATTTGTGACGAGAAAAAATTTGAAGGGTTCTCGAAACTGGCACATCTCTATCCTGTGCATAGATTCCCCCTAAATGAAAAAGATATTCAAAAATGTTCTCGTTTGCTCGATATGTGTGGTTTGCTTGGAATTTCAGGAGGTTGTTTTTTGCCGGTCTTGCTTCAGCTCGACTACAGAGCCGTCGGGTGTGATGACCAGAGCCTCTTCGCCGGGCCGGCTGCGCTCCGACCTCGGTATCTTTGAGAGGGCTTGGGTATCAGTCGTTGTGGCATCGCACGGATACGAGATCCAAGAGGCCGCAGGCGTACATATGCGGCAAAGCGGTCGCCCTGACAGTGCTGGTCTTATCGTAAAAGAGCTTCACCCCTGAAAACCCAAGCTATCTGCTCCGCCTCGCAAGACTCCATCCTGTACTACTTACCCTCTCCAATCCGTAGGACTTTCCAATTCCGTACAATCAATCGGCTCCATATCCCCCAGCAATGCAGAGGAACGGTGGCGGAGGCTTAGTCGGGCGAAAGGTATCTCTTACCTCTGGCCGACATTGGGCAGGAATGATGAAAGAAAGAGAAACAGTTCAGAGATTCGGAGGTATCTATCATTTTTTTTTTTTTCTTTCCTCATTGCGCACAAAGTTTGGTAGTCCGATCTGCGACCCTTCTCCACCCCCGACGGAGATAGCACACGAACAACAGTTCAATTCGTGGGGGTACGGGCCGTTCACCCAACGTCAGGGCAACTGGCGCAACTCAGCTTCCTATACATTGCTCTTCCTTGCGTTCCGGATATTTCCGGGAATTGGTCTGCGAGTGTCTCCGAGACTGTCTTTGCTCGTGGCGGTGCAATTCTCCGAATCAACAAACCACAAGTGTGACATCACTAGCCAAGCATGAAGAGCCTCAAATCTCCCTCGCAAACACGACCAACACCTACATGTTTTTCATCGACATAATGCCAACTCACAAACTCAACCCGTTACATTGTCCCCAGCCTTGTTTCCTTCAAGGTTGCCCGAGGCAGATTCCTTCGAGGTTAGTGCGACGCCCTGTTGTAAATAATGGGGCAAGGAGCCTCGTCCAAATCGAACAAACGGCGCGGAATGCAGTTCCTCGACTCGAGCAGCGGTGAACAGTTCATAACGAGGTGACTCGCGGAGAACGCCGACTAGTATGGGAAGGAAGAGATTGAGGAAGAGAAAGTCTCGGCCCTTGTAGAGTTGAGGATCTTCATTGCTTCAATTGTTTCCCAACCCATTTGAAAACCCAAGACTTGATACCTATCAAAACTGAGGTGAGGCTGGCATGAAAGGTGAGTTCTGGACTCCCTCCTGTAAGGTCAATCACACTCACTGCGCCATGCTTAGCTCGATCTGCCTTTCCTTCTTCCTACACTGGATCTCATTGGCTTGACTCGAAGTTGGTCAAATGCATCTTGGATGATATATGGTACCACAACCAATTTAGTGGCGTCGTCTCGTCGTGGTACCTTGAGCAGTTTCCACTTTCTTCCTGGTACTTTGATTATGTCGCGTTTCTTTTCCGATTGAAGCGGGGAAGCGGATTCCCCGCGCTCGAATGACGTATGGTAGGGGTTTGTCGCTCCAACGCTTGCCAACGAACATTCAGCGGGGGTAGCAAGAATGGTGGGGGTGGAGGGGCCCGAGAAGGGTCGACAGCAAGTAAAGCTTCAAGGGCCACCAAGTGATTATTGCTAAGTAAATACCTGTATTAAACTTCAGGATTGAGGTCAGTCTGTATCTCGGCAGTCATTACTGCTGATCGTGACTTGTTCCTTTCGTTTACCGAAGGACAAATTGGGCTTATTGGGGTCCGTATCGAAAGAAAGATATTATCAGGTACCTTCGCGAACAACTCCCATTCTCAAGTCGTTGATGGCGATGCCTAACGACCCAGGTCAGAAAAGATTTGTCACCGCGCCGGGCAAGAGCCTCGCGTTAGGCTCCACAAACCACGGCCAGTAAACACAAGTTGGAGGATGATGATGAGAGGAAAGTAACTGGGAGGGAATATGCACATTCGGATATGAGAGGTGGCTCGTGTCGCTGACTCTGGAAAGGCATATTGCAGCCAGCCGGTGGAACTATGGAATAATACCCTACTCGCCTCACTGAATGTTCCTAGCTCTTGACTAAAGTAGCTGGATGTATATTTCTCCTGCTGCGCTTTCAAATTGCTCATTATTCCAGGGGCTCTGCTCTAGTGGTTGGGTGAGGGCAAAAAAGGCTGTGAGCTCTTCACCCTCATGTATCATCAGTGGATGGCCTCCAGACGTATTTTGCACTGCCACCAGACTGCAGTCGTTGGTTTGTTTTACTAGGTACTTTAGGGATAAGGTCTCAATAAATCACCATCCCATTTCCCCCTTCGCCTTTGCCCTCTCCCTTTCCCTCGTGTCCCCTTTGCCCTTGTCCATTACTCATTTTAATTTGCTTGGTGCATCATACATACACTTGGTTCCTTCACTTCACGCTTGCAAAGGGCTGATAGAATTCGCGTGTAAATATACTTCAATATATATAGTGGCTCACCGCGAGGCCACCTCTCAGCCGGATTTTCTCATTCTAATCACCACTTCTCCAGCGATTCTTCTCAACAACGCAACCCTTATTCAGCACAGCCTCGCGCGATAGGCAGACTTTTCTATTTTATCCAAAGCCTCCAACGCCTGGCCCCTCCCTCGACCGTCAACCACTGTCTTCATCACTTGCCGTCTAGTGAGGCCTTGAATAGGGTAGCCAGCTCTGCCCTCTCGCCGACTCGCCCATCATGGATTTCCCGTTTCCCCCGGGGTCAGCTCAAAGGAATGCTAATGACGAAATTTTTCCTTTGGCTTCGGAGATCGATGACGGCGCTGGGATATGGAGCCCATGGCCATATCTCAACGGCGACCCTCAGCAACAGCAGCGACCTCTGCCATACCAACACCCAGGGCAGTTTCCGCGGCCCCAACACTTCTCCGAATTTCTCTCGGTAGGCCCGGGGATGAGCAGCTTGCGTGTCGTAAGTTCTCATTAACATGCCACCGTGATTTTATAAACTGACGCTCATCCAAGCCTTCGGCAATGACCCGAGAGAACTCCCATATGTCGACAATGAGTGCCGTCAGTGGACTAGCGTCTCTTGACAGTCAGAGTCCATACCACCAGCCCGAGATCCAGGGGCAAGCCCGATCGGATATTCCACACAGCTCGCTTCCTTTCAATACCAGTTTTGGTGCCAGTATCCCGTCCCAAAATCTGCGGGCTCGACTGAATAAAATCCTCGAGGATACCTCCCCTTTCCATGATACCATCCTGGTTTCTAGCGGGTTAGATCAGCAGCTGCTTCGACTGTTCGATGAAGGGGCGTCCATACTTCGGAAACTGACCCAACCTGATGTGGGACAGGAGTCAGCTCTGAAAAGACAAGACTCCCAGACAAAGAAGCACCGATGTATTGTTTGTGGTTCCACGCAGACGTACAAAAGCAGGGGCACGGTTAAAAGGCACCTCCTGGTGCACTTTCCGGAAATCGAATTCCACTGTGGATTTTGCCCTAAACCAGCCGCACCGGAGGCATGGCAGTATAGGAGGGACAAGTTCTATGGCCATATGGCGAATAAACACGGGAAGCGAATCTCTAACGCCGACGCTTATATCCAGACACAGCGGGTGCCAAGCGAATGCCCCTTGTCAACATGTAGGGCGGCCATAGCTTCATGGGAAGAGTTCTGGAAGCACTTTTGTCAGCATTGTGAGATACCCGAAGAGGAGGAGGATCAAGCCCAAGGCCGCGGTGGTGGAGGGCACGGCAACGGAGACCGAAACAACGGACGCGGTGGTCACCAGTTCCAACCGTCGCCGAATAACGGTGACTTTGGGAGTTCATTCGGCAACATCCAGCCTGATTATCATGGCGGCAACGGTGGTAGTGGAAACGGAGGTATGGGCTGTGGAGACGGATCTCACTGGGGATATGCCTGCAATACCGCTGACAGCTCGAGTACACCCGCCGACGTCCTGAACTCCCCCCAATCTCCCGAACCCGAGGGCTCCTCTGTACCAGCTTTGACCTCTCGTCCCAGACCTCTGAGCATTCGAAAAGGGCAGGAGAGACCTCATATGAGCATTGATACTGCTCCTGAAACTGCACGACCGACAGAAGCTTCCAAAAAGCTCGGGAACATATCGCCTAGAGCTGAGCTGGACCAAGATCGTGACGACTCGCCAGTAAAAGAAACCGACGATGGAGAATGTGTCTGCGGATCTTGCAAGCATACCATTTCTGGGTGTTCCAGATGTGCTCAGTTCGTTGCGGCTCCGATCAAATGTCATCAGTGCGCAGACAGAAGTTGCGAAAAAGCACACACTGGCAGTAATGCCGCTGGTATTTGTCTGTCGGGTATGCCTGGCTGCAGCTTTCCTTGGGATATCACTCGGCAGGACGGGGGCAAGAACCTCATGACGTTCAGCAATGCGGAGTTCACGAAAGCTCGCAAAGTGGTATCCAAATGCTCAGCCTCTTTGACTGACGACATCGAGTACACCGAGATCAGTGAAATGGTGTTTTCTCTCCAGATCCACGGCTCGAACATCAAACGAGGTACCGGAACTAGCGAGGAGGATCCGGCTTCCCTTCAGGAAGTAGAGTCACCAACCGATACAGACTTCCCACCTGGACTCTATTTCGAGAGATATCTATACACCACACAATCCCAAGGGTCCTTTCTCCAATATGTCCACGAGACTCTGATTTTCCCAGAGCCTCACAGGTTCATTGTTTCCTCGTTTCAAGGTGTGTACAGTTTTCAATACTCTTTGCCTGGTCATCCTATTTGGAACATAGGCTGACCTGCAGTCACAGAAATAGTGTATCAGGAAGCCTCTATGGGATCGGGTAAGCAGCTGGAGATCCCAGGGGAGCAGCTATTTTACCTTGCTCGCGAGAAAGACCATGAATCTTCAGAGGCAAACCTCCAGATGGCCCGTCAGTCTTCGCCGAAGCGACGAGCGCATTTGAGGGTGCGCGTCCGGGTGATTGCAGGTGTACTCGCCCTTCGCGCCGCGGTCTCAAAATCACCTCCTGTGGCTGGCAATATTGAGGCGGGGGATGGATGGGAGCTTGGGATTCCCCTGCGGGCTTTACTCCCAACTCGCGATAAGATGATGATGGGAGTGACTTATGTGGTGTATTTCCTGTCATTCTGCCTAGGACTCACTGATCCACACATCTACCTGAGTACTTGGGCAGACAGCGACTGGGATGGATTGATGTTGACCTGAAGGGCGTTATACGGATACCTGTGCATTGGAAGTGTTCCTGATGGCGTTTGTGTCTTTTGTTTTTTGTTGCGTTCTGATGACATGTGATGAAAGAGTTTCGGATACCTTATGTATTGATAGAAGAATGATGCCAGCGGCGATACGAGTTTGCGAAGAAATGTCAACATTGGATCCCCAGACTTGACCCAAGCGGAGATAGGACTTAAGACCACAAAGCCGAGGCGAAATGGATGACATAAGGCGCAACGATAACTATCGATAAGCGTCTCGCATCCAGAGGGACGCGGGCCAATCGAGGCAGACCGCGCTCTCTTCACATATGTTGGTTTCTGCTGTCCTATAATCCTCCGATCCATCGTTTGTACCCCTCACACGTTCGGCTGACCATGAGTTCCCCCCCGTCCGCTCCTTCTGGCGGTGACCGACGGAACGATTCGCACCAGCAAGGCTCGGGGAGTACATGGCACCCGGCAAGAGCATGGCTTGAGGAAGAAGAGGAGCAGGACGATGATGATGACATGGACTTTGAACCTGAATCCGAAGTCTCCGAAGATAGATTTGATGAGGAAGAATATCCTGACCCCGGAGACGAGGAACCCGGCGGTCCTTTTGGTATGAACAACCGCATTTTCTCGAAGTCTACTCTCTTAGTTCCTTTGTATTGACTTTTTGTGCCCTGAGACTCTGAATTACATCTAGGCAACATACATATTGAATTCTCGATGGACGAAAACGACCCGAACGGTGGAGACAACCCAGGGGGTAGGCCTACTCGAAGTAAACGGCGCATTCCCCGAGGATCCCCTTGTGACCTGTATTGCTGACATCGAGCAGTTTCTACAGCACAGCTATTGAATATACTCGCTTCCGGTGGCTTGCGGCAAATATTCAGTTATAATGGATTCACTCCGGGTGCTCCCGGTGCTCGATTTCTCGACGAGGACGATTATGACGAAGACGAACCGGTATATGGATATCTTGGAAGCGGGCGAGTTCCAAGACGACGGTCCGGTCCTCCTCAATACCCAAAGGTGCCGAGCGATGAGGGTATGAAGTTGATGAGGTCTGGGATATTTGGCTCGGATCCCAGCTACAACGATGAACGGATGAAACGCAAGAAATCGCTTGCAGAAAAGATAATGTGGCGAGAGTTAGGCCTCGATGGCCTGCGCAGCAATAAAACTCGGTCGGTAGCACAGGTGAGTGCTGGTCAACAGTTCTCAAGGATACTCCCATCCTCAACTGCTGTATGTATAGGACCTCATTCCCGGTACAACGGCCGATAAAATTATACACTACGACGCAAAATGTTACTCTGGACAATTCTCCGATGACGGCAACTTCTTCTTCTCGTGCGCTCAAGACTTCAAAGTGCGAATGTACGACACTTCAAACCCGTTTGAGTGGAAATACTACAAGACGGTTGACTACCCTTTCGGCTCGTGGACAATTACCGACGCAACTCTGAGTCCAGATAATAAGTTTCTGGCATATAGCTCGCTTCGCAATCTTGTGTGTCTAGCATCGACAGACCCAGCGGATTCGTCGGATCCAACTGTGCTGGACCTAGCTTCTACGCCTGAAGGTAGAGTAGGGCGTGATTTTTTCGGACGATCAGGGTTCCCAGTAAGTTTGAACTATGCCCGCTTTTTGAGTGTCTTCTGAGCTTTTGAATTGCAGGTTTGGTCTGTCCGATTCTCGGGGGATGGGCGTGAGATTGTTGCCGGTACTGGAGACCACTCCGTGATTGTGTACGATCTCGAAACGAGGCAGTCCGTCCTTCGAATACGGAACCACGAAGATGACGTGAATGCAGTCTGCTTTGGCGACAAATCTTCACCTCACATTCTCTACTCTGGATCCGATGACAGCACTGTTCGCGTTTGGGACAGGAGATCAATGGCCGACAGGCGGGAAGCTGGTGTATTTGTGGGCCACACCGAAGGGCTAACATATGTCGACAGCAAGGGTGACGGTCGATATGTCCTGTCCAACAGCAAGGACCAGACCATGAAGCTGTGGGACTTGCGGAAAATGATGTCCACTGCCAAGTTTGACACGCTCGATGCAACCAGCTATGGCACCGGATTCGATTATAGGTTTGACCCATTCCCAGGAGAGTACTACTATCCGCATCCACACGACTGTTCCGTCGTCACGTTCCGAGGCCACAGGGTTCTCAGGACCTTGATTAGATGCCACTTTTCTCCGCCCGGCAGCACAGACTCTCGATATGTGTACAGTGGCAGTGAGGACGGAAAAATATATGTGTATAATATTGATGCGACTTTGGCGGGAACGATCGATGTTCAGAAAGCGACGAATCACTCACGGCCCCATAAACGTCACGGCGCCAGACTTGGTGACAACCAGTGGAAGACTTGTGTACGTGATGCGAGCTGGCATCCCAATGCCCCGGTCCTGGCTGGTAAGTTGTGCCTGGTCTATTCTGTGAGAAGCTGTCTGACTTTCCAAGCCACATCATGGAATGGTTGGGGCTATTCAACAGGCACATGCACGTTGCATGCTTGGAACAACAACTCCTCGCGCGATGAAGGCGATAACCCGTACATAGGAGATAGCTTTGACCCGCAGCTGAAACCGGTTCCGGAGCTGATGAGGCAAGCTGAACGCGAACAGAATTGGGAGAACGAGATGGCCTGGGATGAATGGGAGGCAGGTCTTTGAGAATTGAGATCCAACCATGATCCAATCATGCATATATAGACGCGTACATACGGGGAGTCAATAAAACCACAGCAGATAGACTCGACCCAAATTTGTGATTGCTCGATATCAATAGCAGTACTCCGTAGACAATAAATATGGGCCTTTGACCTGGGAACTAAGGTAGTATATCCCAAATAGGAATGAGCGGCGTGGGAGGGCTCGGAATGTTGTTCTGCCGATCCGGGGGTTTCAGGTGCTTGACTGAAGGCTTGAAGCTGCCTCTGGTCGGAGCTCATCGTCCCTTCTCGCGCCGCGCTCCACCCGATAGTCTACTCAAGGACACGCCTTGCAAGAGTTATTCATTCTCAAAATCTCGCTCTCGAATTCTTCTCACTCACTTCTCAGACGCTTTCCCCAACCCGAGCACAGGTGGTCATCGATCAGGGGATACCATCTGTGTGGAATTACACCAGCGCTGAGGTGTTTTAGTAACTCACCCGTCAGGCGGTTTAGTTTCCTGTGTCTGTCTTTTCATTTCATCGCATGTGCTCTCACTGAAGAGCTTTCGTCAGGCCTGTTCCTGGACTCTCCGTGGTACCCGACGAGCTGGTCATTCGCTCGGTGGACTTACCCTGCTCATCTTCCATATTGATCGCATTGCTCATCCCATTCTACCTGTATCTGGACTCCGCAAACAAAGGAGAGAAGATCCGGCACTCTGTCTCTCAGGTCTATCCCATCTTCGGACTACTGGTTCAGTCTTTGTTCTCTGTTGAAGCTGTGTAGGCTTCGGATTGTACGTATTTTCGTGTCAGTTCTTTGTCTTCGCCGTCTGATGTTATTGCCCCCCTTGCGCTTGCACACTCCGAAAGTCCCTGGTGTTACTACTTTATATCCGCGCTTAGCCACCATTTCTATGCCCTTTGTGTTCATCTAATGGATGTCATACGCCTTGCTAATTGATGGCCTACACTTGCAGACATGTACTTGCATTGATTCCCCGAAAACTGAAGCTACAGAGAAGAGAAGAAGAAAAAAAAAAAAAAAAAAACAAGAACTGTATATTGATCACAAAAATCAAGCAATCATTTCTTGTCTTGAGACCTCGAACTTTACATAAACAGGATGGCTACTGAGGATGATAACTTCGATATTGACATCTACGGGGATGGTAGTGGCTATAACGCCAATGATCAAGGGGACTACAAACAGGATGATGACATGAAGCAGGAAGACACAGACCTCATCCTAGACGCTCCGGATAACACTCAAAACAACGGAAGCACCTCCACGCATAGCGGCACAATCAAAGAGCAAACCCCAACCGCGACGAATGGTGACAGTGCAATTCACACAGATACATCGAACCAGCATCAAATGCAAAAGGACACCCCTCCCCAGCAGGGAGTTAAACGAAAGGAATTCGACGAGCGTCCGGTCGATCCCGACGCCTCCCCCGCCCTGCTCGTCTCGGAGCTGCACTGGTGGACCACCGATGATGACATTCGAGGCTGGGTTCGCGATGCTGGCTGTGAGGACGAGTTGAAGGACGTAACATTTAGCGAACACAAGGTGAACGGAAAGAGCAAAGGGTAAGTCAGAAATCTTTTGTACAATAAACACTGTACTAACACTACTTTGCTACGACCAACAGGCAAGCATTCCTAGAGTTTACCTCGCTCCCCGCCGCGTCGGCGACTAAACACCAAATCGATTCATTGTCCACTACTGGGCAAAGCGGACGGAAATACACGGCCGTCTACGCAAATCCTCAGCCGAACCCGTTCCGTACTCTGCCAAAAGATAACCCTATGCGAAAGGATAACAACCGCTCCATGACCGGAGGCTACAACTCGCCAGCCCCAAACACAAACTTTGGCATGAACAACATGGGCGGCGGAGGCTTTCGCGGAGGCAGAGGAGGATACAACAACCGTGGTGGTATGCAAAACATGCCCGGCTTCAACCGCAACTTCCAAAACCCCATGGGCGGATTTCAAAACCCCATGGTCGGTGGCGGATTTCAGGGGAACCAAATGGGAATGCAGAATTATGGTTTCGGCGGTCGGGGAGGCATGATGGGCGGCAACATGCGAGGTGGCCCGGGTGGAATGCGTGGTCGCGGAGGCGGCATGGGCAACGCACCTAATATGATGGGAATGCCTAACATGGGTCCTATGGGCGGCATGGGAATGAATCCAATGTCTGGAGGCATGAATCCGATGATGGGTGGAATGGGAGGTAATATGGGTATGCAAGGTAAGTGTTCCATCTCAACTTCCTACTTGACCTTATATATCATGGGATCTGACAGTGGACTAGGTGGCTTCCAAGGACCTAACCAAGGCTTCAACACAGGCTTCTTCCCTCAGAACCAAGGCGTCGGTGACGGATCATGGAATCCCCATGGCACCAAACGCAGCCGACAGGAGTAAACAAAGCATTCTTTCAATTCTCTGTCAGCTTTTTTGATTTCCAAATCATTTTCACTCTGTACATTTTCTTGTTGCTTACATTTACAGGTGTGTTTGGGCGGCATCGAGACATTTCCATACTGGTTTCTCTTGTATCACGTTTTTACTTCTTGTCCTCCGGCCTACTGAACCTTTTCTCTTCATCTTCTCATAACTAGTTTGGGTCTGTCTCATTGTATCATTTGTCACTGTCAAGGATTTATTCGGGGAATTCGGCATCTCTTTCTGCATGGGTTGTTTTTTCTCTTCAGGCTTTGCTCCAGGTGTATTAAATGAATCAAAACATTTTCTTGTCTGCTTTCACATGCTGTTCTATGTTTTTCATCTTTGATCTTCTTTCGCGAGGACCGGGTTGAGCTTGCCTGCAGCAGACTACATGTCTACTAGGAATAGAGTTGGTCAAGTCAAACTAAACTTCCAGCGCCGAGAATCGAGCAGGAATCAGTACCCGACCTTCGCCATGACCTCAAATTCCTTCTCTCAGACATGTACGCCAGTTCTAGGTCCATCTTACATATACCTTTCGACAGCAATCGCGACAAAAATGGAGCCAGTACTGCCTTATAATCGTCACCGCCGGTGCACAGTTCCCGAGCTCCACGACCCTTTCAGCTCCCCCGGATCTGCCTCTGCCAAGGACAAGCCTGCGCACTGGTATAGGGCACAGCTTATCCACTACGGCGTGCACCCAACGGACAACAAGGGGACAGCTATGATGAGGTTGCTGGATGCGGTTCGTCTGGGTGAGCTCGAGGTCCCTGACCACCTGGTAAAGCTTGAGGAGAATTTGAAGAGAAAGTGGCAGAAGAATTTTCGAACGATGCAGAAATCTCCAGAGAGAGGGTCTACGACGAAGACTACCACGAGGAATATTGACTGGAAGAGAACAACAATTGATCAAATAGCTCCGGAACAAAAGGCGGAACAGAGCCAGGATCTCAAGGCTATGACGATTGGCTCTGATTTTGTTGTTCCGGCGTTGTCGTTCTCAGATAATAAGGGCTATTACACGGGGACAAAACGCGAACCCCCAGTCAGAGCCATATGAGACGAAGGAAGGGATGGAAGGAGGTACCAAGCCCACCAATGCGAGCAGCACGGGTCCAAGCAAGAAGCAAGACCATTTGCGAGCCGGCTATGAAGAAATGCGAGTAAGTCAAAAACGAAGCAAAACAGCACGTTATTTGCTGACAACTCGGTAGCAAACATGTCGAAGACCGGCAGTGTCACTGGGCCTGCTGAACGGGAGATATAAGATCAATGTCCCTGGCCTGAATTGCGATTCTAGGATGAGCCTTTGCTTGGATGGTACCAGCATTTGGGGCGAGTTCCAACTCGGTGACATGGAAGGAGTCTTCTTTATGCCTGAGCGGCCCTGGAATATCACACGCTCTAGCAATGGCAGATGCCCTTTCGGACGGCGTGGTGTTGAGCGACAAGTTGACCGCGGGTATTATGCACCCAAGTGTATGGGCGAGATGATTTCTAGGAGACGGCAATGTCGACGGCACATTCTACTGGGTTATCACCGACGACGATTGCGGGGACGGCGAGCTCTTTGACTGCGGCTATTCGGGCCATCGCACTTGAGGAAAGAATGAAACACGGCCTCATCGTAGTGCGTGTAGTTTGAGGGAGGAATTTATGCAGCTTGGAGGAGATTACAGTTGAGAAATACTATCGATGGCTTTTTATAGCAGCTGTCACGTGCCGCCTACCCAGTACTCCAACGGCGTCATTTTTCCCTTTTGATTCCAATAGTAGTTGATTTACCAACTTTCCCAACGATAGGCTGTTCGAGATTCTCTTGCTCTCCAAGACACTCTGTTCACTGCGTGGAGCTGCTTTGACTACTCTGCAGCCGCCCGTCTCTGCGCTACTCAATCAACGCCTGTAGCAGGCCAAAGCGACTTCCCCGCGATATCCACCACCTCCCGAGCTCCGTACCTGTTCGACGCCAACGTCGCTCAAGATGCAGGCCGTACCCGAGTCACGACAGCAAACCTTTGAGGAGATCTACGGGCCTCCGGAGAACTTTCTCGAAATTGAAGTAAGAACCATTCTCCTACAGCTCCGCTACCCCACGTGGGCATGTGGCCCCCGGCTGCCACCGTTTCCCCTTGCATCCTCTCTCCAGAAATCCAGATCAAGAGCGCAGTAATGATGTTAAATGTGATATTGTCTACAGGTTCGAAACCCCCAAACCCACGGCACATCACGGAACATGTATACGTCCTACGAGATCGTCTGCCGCACAAACATCCCCGCATTCAAGCTGAAGCACTCCGTGGTGCGCCGCCGTTACTCCGACTTTGAGTATTTCCGCGATATCCTCGAGCGCGAGAGCACAAGGGTCACAATCCCTCCGCTTCCCGGGAAGGTCTTTACAAACCGATTCAGCGATGATGTGATTGAGCACCGTCGCGAGGGGCTGCAGCGGTTCCTGCAGATTGTTGCGGGCCATCCGCTTTTGCAGACGGGGAGCAAGGTGCTTGCTAGCTTTATACAAGGTACGGGCTGACATCACTGAGCGTGTTTCTTGGTTTTTTCTCCCTGAAATTTGGGATGAGTAGGAGAGGCTGACAAACGTGGCGTAGATCCTAACTGGGATCGCAATGCTTGGTAGTTTTGTGAGTTACCAGACTCATGTTATATTTCTCATCATGGCTTTCTTATCAGTTGTTACAACAGCGTTGTCTTTGTTTAATTTCATACCATTGAGGTGGTCACGGCGGTATCTGATCCTATCTACGCGATCATCAAGTTATCTTGCTTTCTGCCATTGGCGTATTTCAGCTACCTCGCGTTTCTTTAGCTAATTTCCCACACTGCCAATTGCTGTGTTAGCTCAGCCAAATTTCAGACAAGTTATCTGGATACCCAGTACTCCGTACTGTTCGCACCCCCACAAATGACAACATCAGAGAAATCGACGAGTCTCAACTCGAATCATAGGCAAAACTCCCATTAAAAGTGATCAACGAATGCAACATGCAACAGCAACCAAAGAAGATGGCCCTGCGCCGTCATGAATGTTTACCCTTTGCGGCCCGTGGATGGCCCGCAAGAGCGTAGGGCAACCAACCAATACAGTATACATCACATCGTCAGATTCGTCACGGGTCTCAGGTCTTCGTAACCCGTGTCTCAGACTGAAAATTGTGATTAGGATCCGAGAATGTTGGTGACAGATGTGCCGACCATTTGACGGTCGAGTCAAGCTGTTCCGCGTGCGGTTGCCGCCGGGCCCCAGGATTGTTTACCCAAAAGGGAAAGGAGCCTCGAAAAAGGGATTCGACGCAGTAAAGGCTAATTCCTCGCTTGGCCACAACCCAAATCCATCTGTGCAAAGACTTCTGCGCATTATTGGGAAATCGGGGAGGATAAGAGAGGGCAGTGTTGACTGTGCTCTCGATGAGTGGACACTCTGGGGTCTGGATTATCTGCACGACGAGCTCCATTCCCGATGCAGAACCCAACTCATCGATCATCAGAGGGAAACAGCCCCCAAACTGCAGAGTCTTGGCTTCATCTGGGATCTTAGGGACTGGCTCGCATTGCCAAGACCGCCACCAGAGTCAGGCGTCCTGGATACAAAAGAGCATAGGGTCTGCCTTGGTGATGAAGGGGTCGGATTCCCTTGAGAAATTTCATCAGTTTAGGCCGGCTGTGCTATCGTTGGAACTTATCATTTGTAAGCTTTAGGCAAGATTGTTGACGTCTCTTGACGCAGACAAGGTGCTGATCGACGGGTGGGTTGCCTGTTAAGCGCTCCGGGGTCGAGGGCTATATTTGTTCTGGCGGTTTTCTGCTGGGGGTACTATATGAGACCAGCGAGACAAAAGAAAGTAACGAGTGCAGCAAGCCACAGGAGGACCTGCAGCCCGGTTATTTATTCTCAATTCCCACACGATCAAACTCGGCCCTTACGAATCTTTTATCAGTCAAGGTTTCCAGTATTCCGAGTTAACTGCCAGGAGCTTGCGAGCACTCTCCGAAAAATGGTATATCCAGGCGGCCCGAGCAGGGGCTGCTATACATGTCGTGCTCGCAAAGTCAAGGTCCGCCATAACATCTACTTTCAATCTGTAGCTACCGTTGACCAAGTCCCTTTTGTCAGTGTGATGAAATGAAGCCCTTCTGCAAGCGATGCATCAAGGGCAACCGGACATGCGGTGGATATCGTGTCCTCCCACCCAGCACAACAGCCAACAAGCGTTCATCAGAATCCCCAAAAAGGGCAGCACGTCCTTCGATGCATGAGAAGCAGAAGGATCTTGTAACAAGAAGGCTAGCGAGTTTTTCAGAGTCCCCCACCAAAATATTGAACCAGAGCCAGTGCCAGAACCAGAACGATGCCGATGCTAGCTTGTATGCCGCCTTTTACTCGCAGATTATTCGTCTTCCACAGGTACAGAGCTTGCATGGCGGTTTCTTAACGACCGTTCCAACAATTCTTGCCGAGTTGAAGCAGCCGTCCATGTCACCGTTTCCACTAGCATTTACGGCGCTGTTGTTGACGTTTGTCTTGGAGAAAAGAGACGCCAGAGGCCGATGCGCTGCAACAGAAGCCATGGGTTGCTATGGCAGAGCGCTCCAGCTGACCCGGCAGCTGGTGGAAGATCTAGATGCAGAGAGAGCGACCGAAGTCATCATGGCCATCTTTGTCCTCGGAATGTACGAGGTTGGTTCGTCTGCCCTCGATCTCGAAGCCAAAATCGTTGATTTTTTTTTTTTTTGGATGCAGGACTTTACATGTGAAGACCATACCAAGTTTACATCAAATTTTCATCTTGACGGCGCAATGGCTTTTGTTAGGACACAGCATTGCAAGAACTTTGTCGACGGGACAAGTAGGAAGATATACAGCGCGCTTGTGGCCAGAACTGTACGTCTGTGTAAACGCGCCAAACAAACAAGGGGAGTAACTGACCTAATCCACAAAGCTCTTCAACTGCTTTGACGATATGAAAGGCAATAATATGCCGTTCATCTTCACGATAAACGAACTCCATGCACTCCGCGCCGCCCTGTCAGAGGAGAATGACGCCGATGTTCTGATCCTCTACACCTGCACACTTCTCATCATCCATATACAGCTCGGCCAAATCGAGAATGAGGCATGGTCGCCCTTTTCCTACGATGAAATAGTTGCTGCCACTGCGGCAAAAGCCAACGCAATCCTCCAAACCATAGCATCCATCGAGCATCAAATATCGGAATGGCCCAACCTCCTCCCTCCAGAAGGGAAATACTTTACCATCCAGCTTCCGCTGGAAGATACCGTTGACGGCTTGAGCACAGACGCGCATATCTATCCAACATCCTCTGCGGCGAATGATTGGTCGCGATACCGCACGCTTCGGATCCTGATTCATAGTCTGCGCCTCCGTGCATTCCGACTGCTGGCTAATTCACTTTACACTTATGATCATGCAGAGTGTGGGTATCGAGCCGCGCAACTGGCAAGCCTGGCTAGTGATATGACCACCGCACATGGCGAAATTCGGATGCTCACATATGATATTTGCGCATCAATGTCGTACCATATCGGATATAGAACTAGAGCTGGGGCGGAGCAGTGTTATCCGAGTGAGGCATTTCCCAATGATAAGTATGCGCGCCTCATGTCAGCGTGTCAGGTTGCGTGGCCGCTGTACGTTTCGGGAATCGTGGAGGGAGTTGATGTTGCGCAGAGGCTCTGGGTTTCGCGGCAACTGGACCTTATCAATAGCGAAATGGGAATCGGAAAGGCCGCGGTCCTGGCAGAGTTGGTCAGGAGAGCTGCTGCTTTTGAAGTTCAGGATATGACGTGTAGTCTTATCTAATACCATTAATTCACAATATAGACAGATTTTACTGCCTTGGCCATGGAATATAGCCTTTCAGCTTGCGAGTCGCAGCATGGTCAGGGAATGTCATCCCAGATCAGCGGCGGGAGGTCTACATTGACAGGGATTGTAGAGTTGTCATCCAGAGGAAAAGAGAAGCCGGCCGATGGGACATATGCCGAGCTCTCTCGGGTAGCTAGGGGGAATACTAGCGATGGCATAGCCGCATCCAATGTCCCCAGCCCATTCGGTCCATTGGGCTTGCCGAGATTTCTAGTCCGTTTATATTCTGAAAGACGCTGTTCGCCCTCGGGCGAACCATTCTTTCCATCCTTTATGGAATAATCTTTAGCCATCTGGGCTAGAAGTGTTCCACCGCTAACAGAGCCTCCATCGCGATATGCATGAGGAAACTTGGTCCTGAACCGATCTCGCAGATCGGTCGCCCGTCGATGGCCGAGGTTCAACCGTTTGTCTTGCTGAATAAGGGTCCACTGGAACCCATGAACGGCATACCCTTTGAGTAATGCTTCATCCTCAGCCGCCGTGAAAGGGCGCCGGACACGGCGCCTACATTTCACAGGCTGTTCAGGTATTCCTGACGTGGATTCTGATGGATTGAAAAGTGTTGGTTTACAATTTTCGGGCAGATTATGCTCTCCGCTGCTTCGGCTGGTCTCGATCGAAGAGAAACTGGCCATAGACCCACTTGGCGTAAGATCTGGAGTTCCCGTAAGTAGTAGCGGGGCTCCAGAGTCGGCGGAATGTTGTTGGGACTTGGAAAAAAGCTTCCCGGATGTGTCGCTCTCGGCTTTGGAGATTGCTTTGGCGAGAGCATCGCGCAGGTGCGATAGAGCTTCTTCGGGATCCGACGCCCTTGTCAAAGGTTAGAAACAACAAATCACCTACAAGATGGACAGCGCTGGCTTACCTATACGCCCATGGACAGCAGACGCGAAACCTGTATCAGTCAGTACTAAGTCTATAGTTGGTCAAGACGATATACCGTACCTGTCTTTCAAATTTGACGCACTGCGCTTGTTGAAATTCAACTCTGGCTGCGCCAGTATTTCTTTCCAATTCCCAATACCACACTTTACCACGCCCCTGAGCAAAGATATAGTCTCTTCATCGGTCCACTTCCGAAGATTCTTTCGTGAGCGACCTCTCGTCTTTGGCGAGATTGGCTCATGAGCTCCCTCTGACTCCTTTTCAAGAGTTCCAGAGCCGAATGCAGACTCGGACTTTTCGTTGGCGGTGTCGAGGCTAAAATTGGGCTTCTCAGCGATGGGAGAGTCCAGAATATCTGCGATTCTTCCTTCCACTCTTTCCACTGATTGAGTATCCGGAACAGAACCAGCAGCTAGAGGCGCTGGTTCAACAACAGTACTATCGCGAGACGGCTTCGTTAAAAGTTGCGTAATCGATCCAGGTTCAATAGGCGGAAGCAAAGCAGCGTTAGGCGGAGGTTCATTCAACCCATTAAGGATAGCAAACGGTCCGAAAGGTGGAGGACGTTGTTCCTTTTGAGCTTGTGGGAATGGTAGTTGCAAATGCTCTCCAAACGTATCCGACTGTATATCAACCCGCCGCCGTTTCCGAGAATGAACGCCGTCATCGTCAAATGAGGAATAGGGGAACCGCTCAAGCGCACGCAGGTTGACAAAAGCCGGCAATATAGGTCGTGGGGGAGGAGGTTCCGAAAGCGAATCAGAGAAATAGTCGTTCTTCTTCAGTCGAGAGGCGTTGTGGCCTTCCAAGACTGGACCACTAGGTTCATGATTGCGGGGAGGAGGGACTCCCGCTTTCGACAGGGCATTTGACTCCCGAGACCCACTGGCGTTCGGTTCGAGGGTTGACGGGGTCCTGAGGCTTCGGGAGGGTACCGGCTCACGGAGAGGAGCGATACGGAGGTGAGGGAGCTCCCGGATCAGAGATTCATCAAAACTCCGCGCATAGATGCCTTTGGGATCCATGGCCTGAGATCACACCATCAGAGCACGGAGGAAGCACGGATCATGACAAACAGCAGGCACTGTAAGGAGTCTGTGAGACAACAAGCCCAGTCATATTGCATAGATTATCTGGTTACTTGCTCAAGTCTTCCTTGACTCGAGCGAGAATAGAGAGGAGGAACGTCTGAAGGAACATAACTTGAGAGAAAGCTGCTCACGTGAGCGTCGCTGAGTCAGCACGTATAAAAGTGCACAATTTATCCATAATATTTCTACATCTATTTTAAACAACAGCCATATACTCGTAAAGAGGATCTGACGAGCTCAGGGGTAAGAGACGGAAATTTTGCTGTCAGATAATAATAGCAATTTCACCCAACCTCCTCGTTAGACAGGCACAATAATGCCTACCACAATCTTCCCAACATGGCCACACATCCTCTTCGCCGTCATCGAACCTCTCACTTTGTACGTACCCAGCGGCGGCCAGCCCAACCCCTCTCTATCCAGCATCTATCAGGCAACAGCAGTGCTTCTGATTAACTAACAGCACATTAGGATCGGCGGCTGGCTTTGCCCAGTTCTGGACCTCCAAAGGTTCATCACCGATCAAATTCCAACGGCATCCACATCCACCAAAGCGGAGGATGTGCACATCCACCCAACTTCCTTCGCTCTAGCCTATCAACTGGCGAACCTGTACGGCCTCCTAGCTATTCTCGGCACTGGGGTGGTGCACGCCACGTCCGAGCCCAAGGTGTTGCTCAATTACCTGATCGCCCTGGCTGTCGCTGATGTAGGCCATATATATGTCACCTACCTGGCCATCGGGTGGGACGTGTTTATCGATGTCAAAGGCTGGAATATCCTTACCTGGGGAAACATTGGTGTTACCGGGTTTTTGTTTGTCAATCGCTTGTTGTACTTCGCTGGTGCCTTTGGCTATGCGCAAAGTGGTGCTGACGAGGAGGAGAGCAAGAAGAGGGTTTGAGGGCACCAATTGTTCTTCGTGAGCGCCTGGTATACAGGTAAGTGAGAGGCATCCTATATCCAAAATTCTAGCGCATCTAAGTGTACATACTGTTGACATGAAGTTCCCGAAGTTTAGGAAAACGTTCCCCGTTTTTAAAAGAGAGATATGCCCAAAAGATTCCCACGCCCTCACCCAGGCAGGATCACCCACGCCCGATTATATATGAGCCAGAAAATTACCACGTTGTGCACAGCCGCCTGACTCGTATCCATTTCGCATTCTCATAATACCTCGTTGCCAGTGTACGCCCCCTCGTCGTGTCCCTGCTAGACGCGCTGAGGCAAAACGGCTTTCAGTTGCTGAAACAGTATCTGTAGTACTACCGCATCGCCGCTTTTTCGGTACTCGCTCAGATGGGGGATTAGAAAAGGAATTCCAGGGACTGAGTTGAATTGCTGGCGGTATGCGGCATAGTTCTGGGCGGGGTCAATGAGGTACTGAAATTCGGGATCAAACACTGGGTTCGTAGCCAAGGCAGTGGTTCCGTTGTCTGTGCGCACGATTGCTGACTCCGAGATGCTGTATCTGTGTAGCCCGCTCAGAATGGCTGTCAACGAGTGATAATTTCGAAGAGCCAAAAGGGACTGCGACCGTTAGCCCTCTCAAAGCTTGATATGTTGGGACATGTACACCGACCTGAAGACTCTCTTGAATGTATTCTATCATCTTTGGAAGCGCCTTACAGCACTCCCAAACCTCAATGCTCAACTTCTCCCAACGCATGGACAATCGATGAGCCAGATCTTCATCAAACGACCCCTGATCAATCAGCCCAGCAAACTCTCGTTCGTCGGTAGTAGTCAAGGTGCGGGCAAAATCCGAGGGCGAAGTCGAGTTTAGGATGTCTTCAAGGAAGAAAAAGACAATACTAAAAGGTTGAGACCATTTCATCTCTCTGGAGTGCAAATACGTCCGCTCGAACCTGATTCCAAGTACACAAAGCACCCTTAGAATCGAGGTCAGATCTTGCGGGAGATCTCTGAAGAGGCGCTGGATCGGGGCCGCAATGAAGCCAAAGCCCGGTGTTGTATTGCCTATATCAACTTGAATTCCTGCACCCTGTAGCGCGTACGCCACGGCTCGGTGAGCAAAAGGGCTTTTACTCCGTAGGTGCTGCATTTGGTGAGCAAAGGTCAACCGTTACTATCGGAGTAGGCTTACCTCTTCAACCTCCAAGTACTTCATACGTTCTTCAGGGAACGCGTTGAAATGATCCAACAAATGGGCATAGAAGACCGTGTGCTGTTGCAGAAACCATTCTACACGCAAGGCAGGATACCCCAGAGCATACCGCACCAGCTCTTCGAACGAAATCCGAGCAAATTGAAGATGACTTTCGGTGTCGATAGCATTTGCAAGAGCTAAAGAATCCAGGTTGCTGTCGTTCCTAGCTGGAAGCCAGCTCCACGCGATCAAAGGAGAAGTGACGGCTCTACATCGATAGAGAATCTCCTCCACTTTCTGCACGTGTGGTAGGGGGACGAGGTGAGGCCCTTCCTGGGGCAGGGCGAGTGAAAGAAGAAATTTTTCGACTGTGGCTTCGCTCCGGCTTTGAAGGGCCATGCGTGGGAGCTGCTCGTCGGGGAAAAGCGCATAGCGGATGACTTTCCTGATCTCTTCAATGTCGAAACCCCAGAGCATTGGGGGAGCTTCATCTTCCCACCATCGATACTGGACGTTGAACTGGGGCCGCTCATCACTCGATCGAAACGGGGACGTATAGCTAGGCTGGCCGAAATAGTACAGTGTGGTACCGGTTGAGCCCCCGGCAAGAAGATGGGACGAGAACTGGGCCATCATAGCCGGAAAATGCGTAATGACTTCCTACTCCAGTTGCAGTCGTATAATCTCAGCACTCCATCAGAGATGATATCATGATGGTGAAAAGGAAACGAAGCACAATAATAGAAAAAAGAGAAATGGAAAGCCACCAGGTTAGAAGAGACGCCAATACCTTTGTTTTCGACTTTCGTGCCCGTTTCTGTACGACCGAAGGGCTGCTATCAAGTTCGAGAATCCCGGAACCATGCGCCTAGTAGAGCCGGAGCATTGCTCGACCGCCGGATGCGTGCCAGAGACACAAGGATGTCGAGGGAGGCCGCTTGGGCAGAAGGCGAGATACCTACTCTCCCGCGCCTGGCAGCGATGGAACAAAAGAAAGCAACTTGGAGGGCCAATAAGGTACAGCGAAATGAGCCACCGAAGTTAGGTGGAAGGAGAAATTGAGGCCTCTCTGATATCTGAGACCGAGAGGGGCTTTGAAAGCAGAAACCATGGAGGAGTAGGAGTGCAGGATGAAATTGGAGACCGAGGCAGGTTTCTATACTCGGCGGAGTCAAGAAAGAAAGGGGAACGACAGCCTACAGAAGACCAGTTCGAAAGCTCTGCATGGTTATTCGTCAATCTGCTCTTTTGAGTGACTCGCTTTCCCAATTTCTATCTAATTTTGACAATCATGGATCCTTACACCTCACGTCTTCGCCACGCTCGAACATGGATCCCAGCTGGTCAACGAGTCAACGACCCGTGACAAGTCTGACGACCATCATTCCCGGTTCCATCCTGGGCACTGACCGGCGCTGAGCGCCGAAGGAGAATATTGTGGCCAGTGGCGCTTGTCTTCGCTAGATGATCTGGCCCAAGCTGCTGGGTCCTGACTCCGAGAGCCAGGTAGCCCAAGCCAGATACCAAGTTAGCGGACGGAGATTACCTTCGAGGCGGAAACTGAAATGAAAAAAACGAACTAGAAGTAAAATGGTAAAACAACATGGCTCATCAATCATCGAGGCATCATTGCTTTCACGCTAGGGTTGTAATAAAATAAGAATCCACCCTGGAAATCCAAGTGGAACGTGACTGGCAGCCAATCAACCATATATCCGATGAGAGTCGACGTAAAGCGTCGCAGCGTGGCCTTGAGATAAACCCCTAAGGAACCGTTAGAAAAAGGTCTTTCTTTGGCCCATGTACAATGCGAGGCGAGGGAGCACTGATACTGGAATTCCCCACACGGGCAGCAAAAAGCAAAAAAAAAGAGCCCACCCTCGCTCCCCTATCGATTTCCAGGGAGAAGCGGTTGCGATGTATGCGACCACCACCAATCGAGCTGTACGTTAGTATGCTCGTCGAATCGAGCCTTGAGACCGATGTTCACCGATGGTTTGTCCATTTGGCAATAAGACTGGCTGCCGAGAGGAGCAACAAGACTGCCCCAACTGCAACCGTTGACTTTGTCTTGGTGACATAGCAAAGGAGGAGCGGTCAGGAGCAACACCTGTGGCATTCCCGGCTGAGATAAATGGCTCAGCAGTGAGCACCAGCCATAGGAAATTCAGGGCTAAGATCCCAGAAGATTCCACTGAGTTTCTGATCAACGCCTCATCGAGTCATCGGTTCCTTGTGGACACCACTTTTGTGGCGCTACTCTAGCGGTGTGCCAGCCTTGTTGTAGGAGGTCGATCGATTGATACGACTTGACGTGCCAAAAGACGGAGCAGTACGTCGTACATGGATTCTTGTTGAATGCTGGATCTCGCTTCCCGTCAATCGGGAGTAGGAGGAGGGGACGGTGAAGTTTGAGTATCGCAATGCCGTTTCATTACGGCGAGGGTATTATCGACCAAGACACTAGTAAGCTGTGATCTTATTAATAATAGCATGTAGTGACGAGGGGTAGAAGTGAGATGTGATAGTGCTGGATGATGATCCATCCAGCCTGGAAGCCAAGCCACAGGGCCCGAAAGGATGGAAATAATAATAACAATAATAGTCAATCCTGGTCAACCAACACAGGGCAGTTGGGCGAGAAAGTCAAGAGTCCTGCGTACTAGTGAGCGTCACTAGTGGCAGCCCAAAGCTGCAACTAGTTTAGTGGTTCTTCACTTGGGACCCAGAAATTGAAACAGGACTCGTCGGTCAAACCGAGTCTTCTGTGAGTTACACCCACAGCCATGGATCACGATGGATCATAGAGCGGCTTCTCCGTCGTCCCGCAAGTCTATTGAGATCTTTCCATTGTCTTCCCCTCATCTTTCTAGCTCCCGAGGTCCACACATCCAGCTCCTCGCTTTTTCTTTTTCTGATGTTTTTCTCCTGTTCCCTGACGACGGTGTTGGCACTCAGAATTCAACGATAAAAGCAAAACGAGACTCGGGTCTGTTGGTGGCCGTCGGGAGAAGAGGCAAATTCCAGGCAACGCAGCTTGCAAGTGAGTATCCTCGGCCCATCAGGTGCAGTCCTAGCATTTCCGTGGTGCTTGGCCATGTACGGTTGGATCAGGAGTGATAAACCTGGGACATTATTCAAAACCGATCCGTCAAGCCGTGTGTTATCTCCAGCTCGCATCTAGCACTCCCTGTGGGCTCACACGCCTCTCATTAGACGCCGGCAGTGGCGTAGTGGCAGCATTAACACCAAAGCTGCGCTGCTGCAGCCGGAGTGCCCGTCTCCACATCCCTATACAAAATGTAGTGGGTTTCTGAGGCGATTGTCTGGACAAAGCATAGCCATCCAGCTGAACAAGCTGAGAAGGATGATCCAAGGAGGCAACCGAAACGCAGAATCTGCGGCGAAACGATCTTTGGGAAAATCTATCTTCTCGGCTAGTTGGTGGTGGGGTTGCTGCATTAAGCCATAAAACAATTCTGCATCAGTATTTTTCCTATACTCCGTAATGTCGTTCCAGGTCCGGCCGAGAACAGTCCAGGTGTCATAGCAAATAGCTAGGGCGAGACAGACAAAAACAAAGATTGGCCGCAGAAGGGCATGCACGTTGCTCGGACCTTCTTCACGAAGATTGTATTCACCACGCGCCGATCGCGGATGGCGAGAGAAAATTGAACCCTCGAAGAGCCAAAATGATCGCGAGACAGGAAGAAGGTTTGGGGACTCCTCAGCTTTGTGTGACCGGGTTGATTCCAAGTATGTTGTTGTTGTTATTGTTTTTGACAAGTCGAGATGTAGTAATCTGAGAATTCTAAACGGTACTTGGTTGCCTCAGGCTAGTTCTGGCAGACTACAATCCAGCCGGGTTGCCGATGAGAGCGACATGCCAGGCGGGCTTCAGGCATGCATGTACATACAGGCCCTGTTTATACAACATTTGCTGGTCTTGCTACGGGAACAACGGTTGGGTAGACGGCTTCCTTAAACGATGATAGGCTTGTTTGCTTGGATTGCTTGCGTCGTGTCAGACGTACGTTGGCTACTGGTATCCGAGGTGCAGGGTACTGGCTGACATCTGGGGAGAGTTCTTAAGCTGGTCGCAAGACCTACCTGCTCAGACAGGCGTCAAGGGTTCGAATTGATGTCCTCTTGTTGATTATGCGTTACTCTGTGTTCGGCGATTCGCGCATGGACCTCGTGCATGGGAAACAGATGGAAGAGATCAGGAGATTGAGGTGCACCCTCCCCCCATGTCGATGATGGTTTGAGTTCACTAACACACCTTTCAGCGACGATAACAAGAGTACCTGGTGCGCCAGAGCCTTGGATATCACACATCAGTTGCTCCTCAATTGCCTATATAGGCAGGCCGATCCTCTGATGAACCCGATCGGATACATCGACTGCCGTTGGAGAGTTGAGCACAGAGTCTCTCGCATGTTCTTCTCTCTCCAGAGTGGTCCCATCAGTTTGGTCCTCGACGTCGCATCAGGTGCAGAAGCCATTTCTCAACGGAACTATTTCCAACAGTTGGATAGTGAAGCAGTGCTTGTCTCTGGCTGTTCTCAACGCCCTGCGATGGGGCGGAAAATAGTACGGAGTATGATACCTATCAGAAAGATTCCGTCGAGCCCCCGCCCGGCCAGTGAGATTTCCGCGCGGAAACGAAATCAAAGATGACTCGTCAATTTGCAATCAATTTGAGGACTTCGAGTCGGTTGCAATCTCATATAGGATCTGAGACCTTACGGACCGCGGATTCTGCACTTCATCCAACGACCGCATGCAAAGGGCCTCTCCGCAACGCAAGGGCATCTGACCTGCACTCTACATACATACAATCCTGGTCATGACAATTAACGCGCTTCCGGGAATGCAGTCGGTGAGGGATCCCACCAAGGTCTTCTTTGGTGCGGGTGGTACCAGAAAACTGCAAGTTTACCGACATGGTCTTCGACGTGTTTATTCGCCACTTGTAGAGCGAAGCACCGATATCCCTGTTCGCCACGCTATTGAGGCGAGCGTTTGCGCTCAGACCCACGAACAATTCAGTCGGGAGACTTCTTCCTCACCCACATATAGTTGGCAGTGCATTGATGAGAGGGACGAGTCTATGTATCTACGCAATGCGGGCCGCGTGGACTGATGGGGATAACACTCCCACACCAGCGCAGAAGCAGCCATGGCATTGCGCCTGACCCGACCTAGTTTATACGTCTCGGAGGACGTGGCTGAAGGTTGCTTGAACCAGGCCTTGGACAGAGTTTCCGGACGCTCGCTTGCACAACTGCTTGTGGTACGGTAGGTGGCACGGTAGCACTCAACCGGAGAGGAAAATTAATTATTAAAGGCAATGCAGGCAAGTCAAAGGTCGTGGGGGTAGATCTGTTCGACGATTCTACAACTTGGAGTTATAAGAGCGGCTGGAAAAGTACTTGACTCAAAATTGGTAAACTTCGTTGGTGGTATCATCAAAAAAAGAAAGGTGCACCAATGAGAACAAGGTCATTGTTGGGGGTCGCTCTAAGTATGATGCAAGCTTACAAAGGTGAAGCAAAGCTTAGAGACAACTTTTGTTCATTCATAGTAGCAGGCGTCATACAGTCCAGGAAGCAAGACAAGAACCTGTCTACCCCGGCGGATTGGTTTTTTCTTACAATAAAGAAGCGCTTTGCTTGCCCATAGCCCCGTCCACTTACCGGACTACATCTACTGGGCAATAGCATAAGCACGACGGCGGTCACGCTCCTCAGCGATGGAGAGCTGCGTATTATGTTAGCAAATCTTCTTTGGAAGGCGTAATGGATTATAGAACATACCTTGACACCCTTGCCCTTGGGGAGAGAGATCCAGGGCTTGTCGTGACCAATGACGAAGACGTTGCCCTCACGGGTAGCGAAGGTGTTGTCAATGGCGTCCTTGATGTGGACAATGTTGAAGCCACCATCGTGACGCTCACGGTGAGTAACGACACCAACACGACCCATGTTGCGGCCACCAGTGACCATGCAGACAACGCCAGTGTCGAAGCGGACAAAGTCGGAGATCTTGCCAGTGGCAATGTCAACCTTGACGGTGTCGTTGACCTTGATGGCAGGGTCGGGGTAGCGGATGCTGTAGTACCTCAATTAGCACAAAATGTCCTCAGGCGTTCAGACCCTTACTGGGAGTATAAGGATCCATTGAACAAAAGTTCTCTCGTCCTCCGCCGATCAACCAAAGCTTGGTCCAACGACTGAATGACGCGGAACTTTTGGAGAGCATTCACTCACGTTCGCGCATCGTGCGTAACCAAGAATGGGATCCCGCCCTTGCCGAGCTGCACCTTCTTGACCTTGCAGAGCTTGTACTCGGCCTCCTCAGCCTGGATGCGGTGGACGGTGAAGCGACCCTTGGTGTCGTAGATGAGACGGAAGTTCTCGCCGGTCTTCTCGATGCCGATGACGTCCATGAAACCGGCAGGGTAGGTAGGGTCGGTGCGGACCTTGCCATCGACCTGGATGAGGCGCTGCATCATGATCGCCTTGGTCTCACGGCCGTTAAGGGCATACTTGAGACTATAAACCACCGCCGTCAGCCATATATCCTTCGCCAGCACAGATGATCGAGAGGTAAATTGAGTGTTTCGTACCGGTTGCGAATGAAGACGATCAGGGGCAGGCAGTCCCGGAGCTTGTGAGGACCGGGGGAGGCCTTGGGAGCATAGGTTCCGGACATTTTGTCCAGGAGCCAGTGCGAGGGCGCACTGAGGCGCTTTTGGTGCTTCTTACTGTTCGATCATTTCAGTCAGAATCAGATTCTCTCCAATGCTGTTAGGGACGGTTTTGTCCCAGGACAGAAATTCCTCCCAAGACGCATAAGGCGCCAGTCGAGAATCAGAATTGTCGCAAAGGTGGGAAACTCACGGTCCGCGAGGCATCTTGACTGCTTTGTCGACTGGAACCCGGTAAGTTGTCGGAAGTGTCGCAAGGAGAAGAAATGGAAGCAAAGAAACCTTGATCTTTGATATGAGATCCACCCGCGGATTTCGCTAAGATTCTTTGTGGGATTATGCCCTAACGCTAGGCCCAAACCAGCCTCACTGGCCTAAACCAAACCAAGGTTGGCATCTTTCATTAAAGACATAACTTTTGAGATTATCTAATATGAAGTTTTATACAACAAGGAATATTCGTATAGAAAAAAGGATAGGTCTAGCGCTTTCTAAAGAAGTATGTGCTTTTACGCCTTTAAATGTATCCCTTGATAACAGCCACCTCGGCATTGAGGATCGACGAACCCGCCGCTCCAATGACAGTGTTGTGCGAAAGGGCTGCGAATCTGATGTCGAAATAACCACCAGGGTTACCTTCACGTACTCGCCCCACGCTGACCGTATACCCTCTGTTGATATCACGGTCTAATCTTGGCTGCGGCCTGTCGGGCTCATCAAAGACCTTGATTGCCACTTCCGGGGCGGAGGGGCAACCTAGCTTCTGGGCTTCAGACTGATAATCCCTCATTGCTTGCGCCACTTCTTCGGCGCTGGGCGCTGGGCGGTTCTTGAAGCGGAGCGAAACGAATGCCATATGTCCGTCGGTGACACCCACCCGGGTGCATGTCGCTCCAACCCGGAGCCCTTCTTGCTCGCTGAAGGCGGTCGCATCTGCATTCAAGGAGCCAAGAATCTTCTGTGCCTCGTTCTCCAGCTTATCTTCTTCACCGCTGATGTATGGGATGACATTATCCATGATGTCCATGCTGGGCACGCCGGGATAGCCAGCCCCCGAAACGGCCTGTTCCGTGAACACCTCTACTTCCTCCACAGGTCCAAACTTGGCTTGAAGAGCGGCGAACGGAATTACAATTCCGATGACAGCGCAGTTTGAGTTGCAAACAAGGAAGCCCTTCTTGAGCCCAAAGTGTTTCCTTTGGTGAGGAATAAGGTCAAGGTGTTGAGGGTTCACTGTAGGAACAACGAGGGGGACAATGGGATCTTTGCGATAGTTCTTTGCATTCGAGAAAACAGGAATCTCGGCTTTGATGAATTGCATCTCTACAGTGGACAAACGAGGTTCTTGGTCAGCGAAGGCTTCGAGGGTCGTTGTTCAAACGGGTTCAACTTACCGAGATCGCCCGCAACATCACTGTTCAAGCCGGAGAATACAAGGTCACAGTCACTGAATTGATCCGCCTTGCAATCCCGCAAGACTAAGTTGCTAAGTTTCTCCGACATTGCCGTGCTCTGCTTCCATCTCACGGCATCCTTGTACTTCTTTCCCGCAGACCGTTCTGAGGCTCCTATGGCTTGAAGCTCCAAGAAGGGATGGTCGGCGAGCAGAAGAATAAACCTCTGGCCTACAGAGCCAGTAGCACCGAGAACACCTATACATCATGAGTACTGCGAACGTTCAGTTGTCCGATTGCGAAAGGGCGCATACCGCACTTCTTCTTCGGAAACGTAGCCATTGTGCTTGGGTTATCGGTGACACGATAGGCCGTAATAACCTAGTTCATGTGTTAGCTCGAATGCTGTAAAGTAGTGAACTGGAAGCAACGCAATGAAGCAGGGCAAACGAAGCGTCAATTCAAGAATCTTGCTTGGTGCAAGCCCCGCAATTTTCAACCTTGACACTTGACAAGCCTCGGGGGTAAAATTCGGAGTCTAGGTACCGACCCAGCCCATTACTTCAGTTAAGGAGGTAAAGAATCACCGGACTTACCACTCAGCTTTTGAATAATGAAGCTTTGAAGAAAGACAAATGTGGCAATAGAGAATCGGACAGCGATATCGCTCCGAGGGGAGTCATCGCCCCGCGATGAGTCAGCCTTTTCCAGGGCCCCGCCAACTCTAATTGGATCAGTGCCCCACAGCCCGGAGTTTTCATACTACGCCGACCTAGCTACTCGCATACTAATCCGAAGACCACGGCGATGTGACTTTTGTGATGAAAATCTAGGTACCTTGATCTGTGGCTTTATCTCTAACTATTCATCTTTGAACTCAAAGATCTTCCCTGGATTAAGCAGCCAGAAAGGGTCAAATGCTTTTTTGACACTGCGCATCACCCCAATTGTCTCAGGACCAAGCTCCTTTCTGAGAGACGACTTCTTCCCTAAACCGACGCCATGCTCGCCCTATTACATTATCAGCATTGGCTTGTATCCATTACACCAAGGGCAATCGGTGACCTACCGTGCAGGATCCCTCCATGTCGAGTGCGCGGTCAACCATGTCATATACCACCTTCTCAACACGCGCTTTCTCTTCCGGATTCTTGGGGTCATACATAATGCTAGCGTGAAAGTTACCATCGCCGATATGCCCAAGGATACTTGCAAACAGGCCAAGGTCGTCGAGCTCTGTCTTTGAGATTTCTGTTGCTCGGTTAGCAAGCAGTATCACAAAACCCAACGGCGCCGGCATACCAATTATATCCGGCAGCCTTGAGATCGGAACTGCGACGTCTGTAGACCACACTTCAGATCCTTCTTTCCTCAGAGCCATCATACTCCAGAGTGACTGCTTTCTTGCAGACCACAGGTCATGCGCTTCTCTCTCTGACCTTGCAAACTCAAAAGACTCAGCGTTATTGCTCTTTGAGAGGTTTTTAGTCAGACTGATACTGTCCGCAACGCCGGCCTTGGTGCCTGAGAATTTGAAGAAAAGTGTGGGTAATGTCTTCCATATCCTTCCCGTGCCACCCGCCTGATTGATGACATCCATCTGGACATCATCAAGGATTTCCATGCACTGCACGGGGATTCCTTTCCTTATGAGCTGCATGGCAGTGGATGCAGCATCACGAATTGTTGGGAAGGCGACGACGCCAACACGAGTCTCCTCCGGGATTGGAGCGAGCTTAAGCGTAGCTTCGGTGACAATACCAAGCGTCCCTTCAGAGCCGACAAATAACCCCGTTAGGTTGTATCCAGCTGATGTCTTGCGGGGCCGCCGGCGAGTCTGAATCACCCGGCCATCTGCCAGAACCACCGTAAGGTTGATGACCCAGTCCTTCATGGTACCATACCGCACAGCATTCGTTCCACTACAGTTGGTCCCAACCATGCCTCCTATCATAGCAGATGGGCCCGGATCCACGGGAAAGAATAGGCCACTGTCCTTGATCTTTTCATTCAGTTCCATCCATTGGATCGATGGTTGAACAACGACGTCCATGTCTGCTTCATGTAGTTGTATAATCTGATTCATGTTTGCGAAATCAATGGTCAATCCGCCATAAGGAGCCGAAAAATTAGCCTCGAGGCTGGAGCCACCAGAGTATGGCACGATTGGCATCTTGTATGCGTAGCAGATTTTCGCAATCTCAGACACTTCCTCCGTAGTGGATGGGTATGCAATAGCGACCGGTAGTCGATCTGCGTTCAAGCTCGACCACTCAGAGAAACCATGTCGTAGCAGATCATCTTCGTCGGTCACAATTGCCTCTTCTCCGAGTTTGGCTCGTAACTCAGCAATGGCCTGGGAAGGAAAGACAGTTGTCAGCCAGATTCTTGAACAAGTACCCGCTGATGAAAAGTGCGCACTTACCTTCTCAAAGTCCTTTGCGGTCCCGTATTGTGGAATCCCGGTCTCTCTGGTTTGGGTTGATTGAGACGCGGCGAGGCCATAGCCGATGCCAGCAGCGAGGGTGGAGAGGAGAATTGTTTGGCCCGTAACCCAGGAAGACGAACTCCCTTTTGATGATCCAGAGCTCGGGTCATGAGCTTTATTCTCCCTCCGGTCTCCTGGGCTGGAGCTGTTCAAACGAACGGTCTTTGAAGGTAGGTAGAGCTGAGCACCTGGTCGGCGAGAGAGGATGCAGGGATTTGCGGGGAAGCCCCGAGACAGGACATTCAGCCTTCGTGTAGCTCTCATCTCACAGGATCGCGAGAATTATGATAATTCAGATAGTAACACCGTATTTTTGTTGCGCCCGCGGTGTAATCGTCGTCGTTTTATCCTGAGAGCGACTTGCGAAAGCGCTCTCGGCTGCTGTGCGGGGAGAAACTCCATCGGCAAAGACAGGCCAGGATCACGGAATTCGGCCGAGTGAGAGGACGACGAAGGCGAATGGTAGTGGGATGGCGAGCTTTGCTGACCTTCCCCCACGCTTGTCTGGCTGATCCCTCCACCGCGGTCGGACTGAAGTCCGAGAGCGATCCGTGGAATTCGAGAGTCTTCCCACAACAATCTAAGACAAGCCTTGGCAGTTCGCTGCTGACGAGTCCATGGAGGAAGCGGAGAGTATGGCACCTGTACAGATTGGATGGATGCGCTCTGAACTGAAGCAAGCAAATGGCGTGGAATTATTATTTTTGGTATAGGACAGAGCTAATCTAGACAATAATGGCGATAATGGTCCCGGATACCACTACCCACCTGTCAAGGCCACATCATTTTGCTTCCGAGGAGGTACCTACGTACCTTGTAGTTCCTGTTAAGATCCGGGGGAAAATAATGGGGTGGAACTGGGTGACTGCCCAGGTGGTGGCTGCCGAAACCAGCCCGTTGAGGGGGCAACCAACCACAGCAGAGTTCGAACCTCGTCAACATAATCATTCACTCTTCTCGCCCGTACAAAGCCTCAGTGACTAACAGGTTGATCAGAGCTGAGTACTTACCAGTTTAGAATTGATAACGCCTGATCTTCCGGGCACTCATCAGAATGACGGCTGGGTCAGGTACATTCTCTCTGAGGCGAGAAGTGGAACGCTTGGTGACGGCGACATATGCACCATCACTCCAGGTAGACCCCACTCTTAACGATTAGCAGAAGGATAGATAAACTGATTGATTATGTGGCTCTAGAATCTCTACAACTTGACTCAAGAAGTCACTCCGACCTTGATTGATTCATGGGCTTCCCACAAACCTTGCCAAGTCGGAGCTCTAGCTGAAGTTCTTGTTGATGGTCTCTCACGCTCGCGCCTGGCTCTGTCCATTCTTTCCAGCTTCGGTAGCTAAGCCATAATGACCTGTTGCAACTCTTTCTAACGCCATTGATAGGGAGAGCGCCTGGGTTCAGGGACTATTTACTCCAACAACATCCATACCTTTTGGATCAGTTCCTTCAACAGTCAACTGGAAATGATGAAGCCGAGGTAAGCCTATAGCTAGTCGACGGTAAGCAGGACTAAACGTATGGCAGTACGTTCCAGTATGCATCTCGCTGCTCTCTTCTCCATTGCCTCGCAGCACCGTTCCACCAGCAAGCCTTGTACCTTTTGTCATGAAGATGGTTGGCAGGGTACAGGAGAGCCCGTCAGTGGACAATGTACGGTCCCTCTACTCGATATCAGGCTGTTTAACAGGCATCTTGCGCGAGCTACCACAGGACGTAATGTCCTGCTTGCAAATAGAACTAACAAAGACACTCCGTGACCTCAAAGATCACATGGGAAACCTCCTGTGTCTCGCAACATTCGCAAGGCTTGCATCTTCCTGGAGCTCTGTGGAGTTTCCGTCCTGGTTGCAGAATGTCAAAAACTTCTTTGGGCCCAAACGTGGTCTCAAGACATTAGACCTTGTAGTTCTGCGGGTCATCCTAGCCTGTTCGGCCAACTGTGAAGGCTTGACGGCTGAACAATCCGCGGAAAGCATCTATCTTGCAATTGAGATATGCAATACAGTTGACATGGCACAGCGGCGCTGCTGGATCGAAGGAAATTCGATCAAGATAGCCAAGCTTATCGAGAAGGCTACGCGAGATGGCATTAACCACAGCGTACAGACTCTGGTAATAACATTCCTGCCGCCCATATAATGTCCGTTCAATACCGCTCACGCCTCTACTAGGGTCTATCATTCCTTGCATCACTTCTTCCCGAATCTGCACTGTCCCCTTATCTCGCGAGATTACCCCTGGAATGGATTGTGCCTGAGAATAGCGTAAATGTGCTCGAGGTCCTCCCATCACATATTTTACCTCACTTAGTCGAAGCCAACGCCGTGAGTGTGTATTCTTGACTGCTGTAGCCTCCTACTAAATGCTACTAGGCTCACTCACATCAGTATGCGCTGAATAAAGTGTTGGGCTACGTCTTCGCAGTTCTTTCCAGCAAATCGGACGACATCGCCGTTGATGGATTGCGATTGGCAAGATCATTATTAGATGGCTTGCGAGCTTCAGAATTGCCGCCTCTTCCTCCCGCGTTTATAAGTTCAATGTCTAAGAGATATGGCGATGCCGTTCAGGACTTGGTGGAGAATTACCCCAGGCAACCCAGTTTCTCAGACTGTGAGGGAGTCGCCGCATGCTATCATGCGGTTTCGAATCTCGAAAATGAATTGATCTTTGATTTGCTTACATTCTGGCTGAAGATGACCCTATCGCAAAGGATTGAACAAGTGGCGTCACCATCATCCGAGTTGAACATACTTATGAAGATTATGACAAAGAGCAAGAGCATGCTACCCCAATCGAGATGCACATTCTCAGATGCCAGACCTCTTGCTCTGCGCAATTGTCCCCCTCTCCATAGAGTCCTTGAAAAGACAAATATCTCAAGAGGTGATTGGAGAGCAGGGATGAAAGATATCATGGCGGCCAATTCTCGCATGGTGAACGACAGCATCATGCAGAAAGTTGAACACATTTGCTATGAGCTAGAGCAACGCTGTGGCAGCATTGAAGCTCCTCTCAAGAAGGCGGAGGAAGAACGCAGTCAACAGTATCTGGAGGCCGAGAGACTGAAACGACAGACTAAAGATCTGGAAGACGAATTACAGGTAGCCTCAACCACAATCTCAGAGCTGCGGGAGGAGATGTCTCACCTAGAAATATACGCCAATTCAGCTACTGGCCGTGCCGAGGAGCTTTCTATGAGCTTAACTGAGGCAAGACAGGCGCTTGAAGACCTTCAAAGTACCTCGGAAGGTACTCTCGCCGGCGAACGAGAGGCCTTTAGGACTAGGGAGCTCGACATGATCGCTTCCTTGAGCGCAAAGGACGACCACCTGGAAGGCCTTCAGGAACAGCTCAAATCCCAGACGGAAGAGCATGCGCAATTGGAGACGATGCTCGTCGCGATATCTAAGGAAAAGGATTCCTTCCATGAAAGTATCGTCACGCTAAAGCATGAGGTCTCAATTCTACGAGCAGAGGTCCAAGAAAGGGACAAGGAAATTCAAAGCCTGATGACAGGGAAAGAAGTCGCGGACAACCAGACTGAGGAGCTACAAGCCAAGGTTAGTAAATGGCCTGTGTCTAGTACAGCTCAGTATGCACTGACTCATAGTACCATCATCTACAGTTGCATGAAGAGGCGACAGAGTCAGAAGGGCTTAGGGCTGCTCTCCGAGACACAATCGAAAAATCAAAGGCAGAGTTAGAAGAGATCAGAATGCAGTCCGAGCTTCAATATTCAAAAATGGCTGAAGAGGTAAGCTCCTTAGTAGCTGCGTTGTCTGCTCCTCGCTGACGCTCACAGGCAACACAACAAAAGTCCAAAATCATGACTTTGCAACGTGCGATGCAGGAGGCAACCTCCAACGCGACAAGAGACCTACAAACGAGAGAGAAGCGGATTCAACGCCTGGAAAGAAAGGTACAACCCCATCGCCATCCATTTATCTCTTTTTCTAACAATGGCACAGGTTCAGCATCTACGAGATGAACGGGCGGCCAAAGCTCGTGAATTTATAGAAGCACAGCAGCATATTAGCCGACTTATGAGTGTCATGGGATTTAAACCTACCTCTCCAGATAACCGAGCCTCGAGCAAACACCGCGCCCGGCCTTTGCCAGAGCCGTCGCACTTTGCCATGATGCAAACACAAACGGACACAGTTGCCGGTGACTCTCAAAGTCAAAGTCGAGGGGATGATCTGCTTGCCACATCCATGGAAATCAGCACGCCTCGCCCTGGGCCTTGTAGCCCTAAGCGATCCCGGAACACCGCATTTCCCTCGGCCCAACCGTCACCTCCCCGGTCTCAGGAAACGAACAAAAAATCAAAAGAGCCGGCATTTCAGGGCATTGCTACCTTACGCAGGGAGCGAAGGCCTCTCGCAGAGGCCGATGCAAATAGCCAGCCCAACTCACAGTTAACCCAGGTATCCATAACTAACCCCCGTGATGAGTTCCACGGCAGCCAGTGCAGCAACCAGGCAGATCAGAATTATCTTGATGACATTGACTTGGAGTTTTCAAAGGAGTTCGTCTTTACAAGCACCTCTCTTTCTGAATTGAATGGCCATACACATGGCCGAGGCTGAGCGTGTAATGTTATATAATTTTTATGAGTGAAGCAGTATCAAATCATCAAATTAAGTGTTACTAGACTTTCTTTTCTATCTTCCATTCACTTCTGACATAACTTCTTGCATATATTGCTTTGTCTAGCGGGTGCCTGCAGGAGTCTCGGCGTCGTCAACTGTTTTGATCAACTTCACATCTGCCTTCCAATTTCTCTGGCGGCAACCCCTAGTCTCAACCTATTCCATCTCGACAAGAACAGGAACGCGAGCTAGCTCGAAGGCATACCAGTGAGCTCAATTCTACCAGCTTTACCCTCCTTTTTAAGTAGAGAGCTACCTCTAATTAACTGCTGAGCTAATTCAGCGTTCACTTGTGAGGAGAAATCGCGAACACATCTCAGTACCCTTCTGCAAGTCTACGTCTTGAACCTCAAATACACCTCACCTTCGTCCTCACCCTCATCCTCGAACAATCCTCAGAGTGCTTACTCTGTACCACTTCATGACCTTTGGGTCTTTGGAACCACTGCCTGCCACTCATTCCAGTACGATGCGTCTACCCAGGAACAGACCGGGCTCTGCCCCTCAGCTCCCACAACCGATCATGGCACCTTGGGCGTCGTGGGAATCAGTTTCTGTCAGACTTACGAATGTTCCTGATAAATTGAGTACCTTTGAGCTCTTCCGGGCATTCAAAAATGAAGGTATTATTACCTCCATCGACATCTTTGAGGATTCGCATGGAAACAAAACCTCAAAAGGCAAGATCCGCTTCAGGTAAGGTGAATCCTTCTCTTTTGCTCTTCACGGTTCTGATTTAAGTAGCCCGCCTCCCAAAGATGACTTTTGGAGGAGAGGCTCAAAAACTGTCTTCGGCCAGGACGGGAAGTCGTACACTATATACTTGAATCTTGAAGACAGACCTCCTGAGTGGGATGTACCAAGTCCAGTCCGTCCTGGTATCAAATACCCTGCAGAACTTGTGAGTTACTCCCCAATAAACCATACTGGTATCCAATACTCCTTAGCTAATCCCGCACATTCAGAAAGTACCAATCTCTTCGATGGAGATCGGCTTCCTCGTCAATGAAACAACGATGATGCCGATGCGCACAGTGGGATCATCAACAAATGAACAGGCCTCTGTGGTGTTGAACTTAAGACGCAAGGATCTAATTGTATACTTCAGGCTTCCCATACTCGGTAGACAACAGTCGCAAGAGTATCGCCTCAAAGTTCCATTTTCGCAGCTTGACAGGTTCTTCCAGACGCGAGACCCATCGACTGGTAACATCTCCCATTACACTTTCCTGAGTTCTCCCCCACATTACCATCGTCGAATCAACAACACTGAGAGTACATTTATTGAAGAGACGAGCTGGCGAGAGTCGGATACTTGGTTCAGGCAAGCGCATATCGTTCATAATTCGCAGGAGCATGCTACGCTTCCGGTCAGCCTCCGGAAACAGAATCCAGTCATTGATATTGGTGAGGCAGCTTCCCTAAGCCCACAGCAGTTTTGTGATTGACTAGCTAACCCAATATAGGTCGCTGGAATGCCTTTCGGATAAACTACCCTCCAAATAGCGACGCGAAAAGAAGTTTCAGTTCCTTCTGTGACATCTTGAGCGATTATAATGTCGCTGTGGAAAAATCTGATCGCTTCACCACATGCGCCAACACCGAAGAACGGCGTACACCAGTCTGGAAATGGATTGATCTCAACTCTAGGTCTTCAGCTACATCGATACAAGACCTTTGGGATCCGGACCACATTCATCTGTCTTTTCCAGTTCGTTACCAATTAGAGGTGTGCATATCTCAGGGCTTCCTCTCGGAATTCAATATGAACCGTGAATTCGCGCTCAAGCTGGCTGAACTCGAGGAGTCGCACGCAAAAAAGCTGCTCGAGCATGTTGCTCTTCAAAAGAAAATCTACTACAACCCGATGGAGATCTTCAACCTTCAATTCATAAAGGGGGCAACGGGAGCAAACATACCATCCTACTGTTGTCAAATGCGTTCTGCAAGGATCACTCCAAGCACAATATACTTCAACATACCCTCGGTTGACATATCAAACCGTGTCATCCGAAGGTATATCCATCTCGTTGACAACTTTCTCCGAGTCAGATTCACAGATGAGAAGCACTGGGGTCGCATACACGCTGCTTCAGATAACAGCATAGACGAGGTGTTCACTCGGATCAAAAGAGCCCTAGCTAATGGCATCGTAGTCGGGAGCACTCGCTACGAGTTTCTCGCATTTGGAAACTCGCAATTCCGCGAGCATGGGGCGTATTTCTTCGCACCGAAAGACGGTGTTACGGCTGCCAGTATCCGTGCTTGGATGGGAAAGTTTAGCGAAATAAGAAACATTGCGAAGCATGCCGCAAGATTAGGGCAGTGCTTCTCAACCACTCGGGCCATCGCTGGATGTTCGGTACATATCAAGAGAATTGACGATATTGAGAGAAATGGTTACACTTTCTCTGACGGTGTCGGAAAAATTTCAGCATTTCTCGCCCAAATGGCAATGTCGGAGCTGAAGATCAAAACACCCACGGGTAAACCTCCATCGGGATATCAGTTCCGCCTGGGGGGTTGCAAAGGAATGCTCATAGTCTCTCCGGATGCCCGCCGACAAGAAGTCCACATACGCAAAAGCCAATTCAAGTTTGCAGCTCTTCATCAAGGACTAGAGATTATCCGTTGGTCTCAGTTCTCCATCGCAACCCTCAATAGGCAGCTCATCCTTGTGCTATCCACCCTGGGAGTTACTGACCAGGTATTCCACTCCAAACTCAGGACAATGCTCAGAAACCTGGATGAAGCTATGCAGAGCGACCCAAAGGCGGTTTACCTACTCAGAAAATACGTGGATCCCAACCAGACTACACTCACCATCAGTCAGATGGTCCTCGACGGCTTTAGGAGGTCAAACGAGCCGTTTGTGACCTCCCTTTTGACTCTCTGGAGGGCATGGCATCTGAAATATCTAAAGGAAAAGGCAAAGATAGTCCTTGATCAAGGTGCATGTCTGTTGGGTTGTATGGACGAAACTGCGACGCTGAGGGGGCATTTCTATGACAAAATTCCAAAAGCAGGTACATCGCGTGAAGAGAAGATTGCAGCGCTGCCTGAGATTTTTGTTCAAGTCTGGCGCACCGAGGATGGCGGGAAATATGAGGTGATTGAAGGGTTGTGCATCCTAGCCCGTAACCCTTCACTGCACCCCGGAGATATCCGGGTTGTCAAAGCAGTCAATGTCCCCAGTCTCCAGCATCTCAAGGACGTCGTTGTTCTACCCCAAACTGGCGATCGAGATATCGCAAGTATGTGTTCCGGTGGCGACCTTGATGGAGACGATTACTTGGTGATTTGGGACGAAGACCTCTTGCCGGACGGCTGGTTTCGAGAGCCAATGAACTACACAGGCAAGAAAGCTCAGGATCTCGACCACGACGTCACGGTTGACGAGATTACTTCGTTTTTCGTCACATACATGAAGAACGATTGTCTACCCACGATTGCACATGCGCACCTTGCATGGGGGGATTACTTAGAGAACGGGGTGAACGAGGCCAAGTGCATTCAACTCGCTCAACTTCATTCAGATGCCGTCGACTACAACAAGACAGGTAATGCAGCGGTCATGACACGCGCCTTGCGACCCCGCAAATGGCCCCATTTCATGGAGAAGAACAACAAGCCAGAGCATTGCACCTATCATTCGGGTACTGTTCTCGGTCAACTGTACGATGCGATAGAGCGTATCGACTTTGTCCCAAGTCTAGAGAAGGATTTCGATCGACGAATCCTAAACTGCAAAATAAATGTTACCGAAGATCAGTACGAGTTTGCAAGGGAGCTCAAGGCTCAATATGACATTACCATCCGTCGGGTCATGGCGCAGCATGAGATCAAGACAGAGTTCGAGGTATGGTCTACCTTTGTGCTTGGCCACTCCAACATGGCCAGAGACTACAAATTCCACGAGGATATGGGAACAATCTCCGCGGGGCTTCTGGAAGACTTTCGAAAGCGTGTCTATGAAGAAGCCGGTGGTCGAAACTTCGACGTGCTTGCCCCTCTTGTCGTCGCAATGTATAAAACCACACATGAAGAAATGGTTGCGGCGCTGGCCAAGCATAGAAAGGACAACCCACACAATGGAAGACTCTTCAATAGCTCCTCGACCCTGAAGATTGAGCATCTGCCTCTCATCAGCTTCCCATGGATTTTCCACAAAGTCCTAGGTCAGATTGCAGTCGGTCACTACGATCATCCAGAGGCTGCAGATACTGTTACGCTCAGTCAGCTTAATGAGGGCAAACCAAAGAAATTCAATTCCGGTGATGCTGGTAGAGATCTTACCACACCTGGACTGACGCAGCCGGTCCTACCCGCCGGAAACGATGATCCATTTGGACTTAACTTGCAAGATGCCGCCACAGTTAGGTCAAACCACGCCATGTCCTGGGATGAGGGCGACATTGGTTCTCTCGAGCAGCTCCTCGATTTTGGCCTCCTGAAACCCCCAAGTACACCATCCTCGTCATTGATCATTACCAAGTCGGAAAGGGAGTCTAGCTTGCTAGATCTGGATGCCGGATGGGTGGCCAACCCCATAAACGTCATGCAAAACTTGAAAGAGAACGTGAAGGGCAATGGGACGTCGCAGGAGTTGTTGGAACACAAAGTCGAGCGGTCTCGTATAATCGAAGTCGAAGAGGAAGAGTGCAGCGGTGGTGATACGCTCGGCATTAACAAGTTGAGCGAGCTGGCTGGTCTTTGATCTCGTTTGGACAAGATGAGAGGTGGTACTGATGCTAGAGCATTTCCATCTTCGAGTTTAGTACCAACCATGTATCCCACATCTTCCATTACACCTAGAAATACTACCTAGGTTGAGCATGCGATTCAGTAAATTCATTATGCCAAAAGTGGTGGTGTCCAACAGATTCCTGTTTCGCTTCCAAAATCAAACATCTAACCAATATACGAGACTACCACTCCAAGCTATCCCCACAATTATCCTGCAATAGACCGATCACAGGGCCCAGAACCGCATTTGTATGTCTCCAATGGGAAGAACTTCGAGTTCTTGCATAAAACACGGGACAGTCCAAGCTGTCACACTTGACGTCGTCCCCGAATGGAATATCCATGCAGGATCGGCAGACACGCTCGAGGTTGGCGACTCTCTGCTCAGCTTGCCGCTGACGTGCGACGATGTCTAGCAATGAGGTGTGCGAATGCTGCATGCAATCTACGCAGAGTGGAACTTCAGAATCTTCGAGCTTAACCTTGCAAACGATGCAGGTAGACGACTTCATGTATGACTCTAGGGTCTTTGAAGGGTTGTTGCTCTTTCCTCCAGCGATGGCGACGGCCGCTCCATCCACCCGGCGGACACGGTGGAATTTTGGCATCTCGTCGTACCATTGGCGGACGTTTGCCCCTACCAGATTGAAGATGCGCTCTAATGGGGGTATCAAATTTTTGGTGATGTAGTACTCTGCGTCGAGATCGAGCTGGGCGTCTTGGAGGAGGGTCTCGGGGGTCACACAACGATCGATCAGTCTTGACCCTGGGGCTCCAGTAACCACGACATAGGGAACACGTTCGCCATATTGAGGTTCCGCACGCGGGTCCTCAAGCATTTTCTTGGTACTGATGAGAGCACCTGCAGGGAGTGTTCCTTTTTCGCTATATGTTCCCAGCTTCACTGCCCTGGCAAAGCAAAAATCTTGTACGGAGACACGTCCCTGCATGATCCTTGTGCACTGGCTTTGAAAGTAACTTTTGACCTGGCTCAGATCCGCTGTCCTGAAAAGAAGCTTGAGTGCTTTCTCCTCAATCTTTTGCTCGGCTGGTGTACCGTCGCGCCGGACGGTCTCGATACCTTTGGCGTCGAATTCGGGTTCCCTCTGATCTCTATGTTCGTACTTGAAACCGACATAACGCTTCTTGGCAAGTAAAACGCATGGATGATAAACCTTCTCGAACTTGAGTTTCACAGGGTGTGGGTTCATGTCTGTGACAGCTCGCGCAATTTCTTCTCCGATGTCAAAAGCCTCTTCTCGACTCCGTCCTTTGAGGTACACAAACAGACTGTCTGTATCTCCATACACTACTTCGGCGCCCCATCTCTCAACCGAGTGAATGAAAGCAATCGCTCTTTCAAGTGTCTCGCGACCTGATTGGACGATGCTATCTGCTATCTCAGAGCAAGGCATCCTCCCTGAGAATGATGCTGAGGTGTACCCGTATGTAACGTTTGCGATCAGCTTGAGCGCAAGTTGTCGATTGTTGAGAAGGCGTTGCAGTGCCTTGTCGTCCTTGTCCAACTTCATGCCAGTCTTCACCATGACGCGAGTCTCTAGTATCTCGGCAAGCATTTTGGCGAGCAGGGATTTGCGCACGGCAGGCTTTGCATAAATCATGCCGTTTGGGGCAACATTGATCTGGTCTTGTAGCAACTCCAAAACCCTCGGTTGTCGATTGTAGTCTGTAAAGCCCATTTTGTTCCGTCCTCTCCAGGAATGGACTCTCCCGAGAAACGTCGAGTAACAATAGTTATAAGCGATCATGATACTAGGATATAAGGACTGAAAGTCCAAAACCAAGAGAGGACTTGTGTAAAAGTCGCTTTGGGGTTCCATAACCAACGGGAGGCATTCGAGAGCATTCTGCTGACCGACTTGTTTCCTACTTGGGGAAACAAGCATAAAGTTTTCGGGTTTCGCAATGCGAAACATCAAGGACTCGACCTTGAACTGAGATCCTCGAGAGAATACGGAGTAGAAATCAATCCCGAGCAATCTGGCCTGCTCACTGGTCCTCGGGATCAACTCGTTTGCGTCTAGAATCTCAATGTTGAGTTTGACGCGTGAGATAAAATAATTGACCACTTTCATAAAGTCTCGGGGCCTATCACTCTGATACCATGCGGTAAGATCGCGGAACGAGTAATGTGGAATCCTGCGGTGCAGGAGGTGGAATACAACGTTTTCCATTGTGTATTGCAACAAGTTCATCTCGCTCCTCATGGCACGCCAGATGTTGACCATGTGCCGGCCGGTAATTCGGATTGACGAGGTGTGGTTGAAGCCCCATTTATCAGCCTCCATGCCAAATCTTCCATGTGCCTGCGACTTTACTCGAGAAAGTTCGTCGCAAAGATCGAATTCATACTTGTTTCTTGCTCTTTCAATCACGTATCCCCAAGAGGCATTGTGAACCTCGTACCCGGTGATGATATCTGGGTCGTAAAATCGGACAAGGTCAACTAGCCTGTTGATTAGGTCCAATTCCGTTGGCTCATGTTCCCAAGCAATACTCAACGCTTTGGATACCTTCAATTCAGGCCGCTCTCCCTCTCCCTGAAAAACAACTCCCGCCTGAGAGCATGATGGATCGTCTTCAGCATCATCATCTCCTGAGCCGACGCACCAGAAGAAAGACACTATTTCGTCTTCCTCTGGGTTTGGTGAAAGTTGTCCACGTGTGTTTACATGAAGCTCTAAGCTCATGGTGCTCATGTATTGTGCCTGATGCTCAACATTTGTCGATTTCTGATTCTGCGAATATTTGAAGCCGTACTCATTGTTCTGTGTTGGCCCCTCAATTTGTGAGAGCGCTTTTAACCTCGCCTCTCTCTCTTCACGTTGCTTTTCTGACTTGGCCTTTTGGTTCGCGAGTTCACGTTCCTGGGTCTCAACCCAAGCGACCACCTCAGCACGGCTAGGTGGTACGGGAGCGAATTCCCAGAACCTGGATGTGGATGCCGCCCGCAGCTGTTTGTCCAACTCTTGCCAGTCACTTTTACTACTGGACGCTGAGGTTTCATCCCGCAGTGCGTGTGAGCGGCCCAACGGATCGAATTTGGGGAGATGATGTATCCCTATTCCTTCGAGTCGAAATTCCTTTCCTGCGTAGTCGCGTGGACGTTCGGGCACATCATCGTCGCAGCTATAGTGAGGCTTTTGGTAGACGATGGTGGGATATCCGTAATTAGACAGCGTTGAAGATACCTCATTAGAGCTAGGACAGGGTCGGCGCAAGCAACCTAGACGAGTGCTTTGAGGAATGTTGAATGCATCGGACACAAGGACGGAGAATTCAGACGCGCTGATATCTGCTGAATCAAAGTTCTTGACGGTAGAAGAAGAAGTAGACAACTGTGATGTGCTCTCGCCTTTCTGGGTGTAGCTTGTTCGCGGTCCTATATCTTCAGGCAGAGCTTTCGAACCCGATGCTTCCTGGCTAAACCGCAATATCGTCATAGGATCGTTGGGGTCTTTGACGACAGGAAAATTCAATATCCTGTTTTGGCCAATTCCTCTAGGACGGATTGTGTGTTGAGAGGATAGGGCTTTCGTCTGCAAAGACATTCGCACAGCAGCAGAAGTTGACAGGACATTGCCTATCGCGGTTTCGTTGCGCCGTTTGCGCTGGATAGGGTCATCTCGGTCTCGAGAGCCACTAGTATCTGTCTTGAGCAAATGTCCATCATCATGAGTGGAAGCTGCGGCGGGCACTTGTACTTGTTTCCGAGACTTGTGAGCATTCCTTGAATCCGAATCGCCCACGTCCACAACAGTGTCCAGCGTATTCGAGCCACGCAAGTTGCTTTGTTCTGAAGGCGGACTAATTGTGCAAGGTGTGTCGAGATATTCTGCATCAGAAATTTCATCCTGAGGCATGTCGTCGCCTACCATGATCATTTCATCCAAATAGTCCTCTTCCTCAGATAATATGTCGACCATACTGTCATTATCAGAAAAATAAGAGTCCCAGTCTGAATCGGTTGGTCGAACGGCATTTTCATCCACCAAATCCTCTCCCCGCTCCCCTGTTTGATCACTCCCAGCGTTGTAGGACAGTTGCAGGTTAGCAAACCCGTCTGCGCCCGGATAAAAATCCTCGACGCTCTCGAGTGCAGATTTGATATCCTTGGCGAGGGGAGTTTCCTGAACAAGCCCATTCAGCGTGACGTCCCGGTCATAGTCCTGCTTTCTCTCTTCAACGATGATTTGATGAACCAGGCGTTTCAACTCATCCCCATGGATCCACTCTCCTTGAGAAGTATTCCCTGGGTTAGCCGACAATGAGACCAAATCTTCGTCACTAAATGGGCTGCTCTCGGGATCGACAAGTCCAAGGCGCTTCTTCCTTCGCTGCTTCTCGTCCTGCCATAGCCCTGCTAGACTTGGCACAAGTTTTTCGTTTGAGGACACGGGCCCCAGGAGCTCACCAAAGTCCTGGTGGATGGAACGTTGGCTGATTTCCAATCTATTAAGGATATCTTGAACGCACACATCTGCTTCCAAAGAACAATGGCTTTGCTTGGGCAATATGCTTTCGTCGGTTATCCAGCCAGATGGTATGGAACGATCATGCCAACGAGAGGTCAAATCAGGCAGATCTAGATACTCCGGTATGGAAGAGCGAAATCTAACCTTGCTGCACTTCATGAAGGCGCAACCATACAAACTGTAATCGCACATCCATTGCGGAACGTATTGCAGGTGGCTTTCGAACGGTTGAATTGGGCGTTTCATTACAGCTCCTTGGAGAAGCAGGTCCGCCAGTCTAGTGATATAGATGGGATTCAAAAGGTAAATCTTGAAAAAGAACCGGAAGCCCACGTGGTAGCCATAGAATGGGACACCTTTGACCAGGGTGATATGCGCAACAAAGGCCGCCTTCTTGTCGTATGCATTCCGCCGATAGCTAAGCGCCAAAGCATGGTCGGCAGAAATGTGTAGGCTTCTTGCGGCCGAGCGCACTGACGGATGGGTAAGTTTTGAGATTAGCAGCGGTTTGATACAGGGAAGACTAACCTGCCTCAGGATCAAGGTCCCCATCATACTGAACATAGAGATATGGAAAGGCACCATGCACATGAACGCAAACCTTTTGACCAGTCTCCGTAGTGCCGAATATCCGAATCACCGGAACTTTAGGCCTATAGGATTTCTCACTCGCGTCATCCGTAAAAGGCAGAGGAGGGTCAAATTCCGTTGGGTTTGCTTGATAATGGTCCACACAGTTTAGACGCACTTGAAACGGCTCCATGAAGTATGCTCGTTATGCGACAGCCAACGCTGTCAGCAAGAGGAGGAGGGACTCATATGCAACGATCATATCATGACAAAAGTCTCCATGATCAGGTCGCACGATGAGTTCGCATAAAACAGGGAAAATGAAAGCTGGTCATGGAATGAGGCAGGCGTTGACGCGTTTGGGTTGGGTGGCGCGAAAACGCCTGATCACGTGCTACCAATAATCTATTGATGCCGAAGCTTCCACTCACTGTCAAAGATTCTCACCCTTTTGCACAACAGTGCTGGACATTGTTGGGAGCTCCATTCATGACCCTGCTCTAAATACTCTTCATAAGTATACTTTATTCCACGGCCGTTTCTTGCCCGCCGCATATATATCGTCGCCATGTCGCGAAAACCTGCAGACGTCGCATCGAAAGAGCGCAACGAGTATATCCCGGCTTTCATTTCCAAGAAGCCCTTTTACGTCGACGATGATTCCTCGGCAAATGATTATCTAGAGCATCAGCGTCTTCAGAAATCAACGGCAGATCAATCGAAATGGTACGAGCGCGGGAAGCGTGCCGGTCCAGCTGCCACCAAATATCGCAAAGGCGCTTGTGAGAACTGCGGTGCCATGACCCACAAAACCAAGGAATGCTTGAGCCGGCCGAGGAAACAAGGTGCAAAGTGGACAGGCAAAGACATCCAAGCCGACGAAATTATACAAAACGTCGACCTGGGCTGGGACGCCAAAAGAGACCGATGGAATGGGTACGATGCCGGCGAGTATCGACAAGTAGTGGAGGAATATGAGGAACTGGAAAAGCTCAAACGCCAAACGAAAAAGGACCCCACGGCCGCGAATGATGATCTAGATGAGGATGCCACCGAGCAGGAAGCTCGATATGCGGAGGAGTCTGATATGGGGAGACAACAAAGCACGGCGACCCGCAACCTACGACTTCGAGAAGATACCGCAAAGTACCTGCTGAATCTCGATTTGGATTCGGCCAAGTACGATCCGAAGACGCGACGCATGGTAGACATGGGCGCCCAAGAGGATATGGCCGCTGCTCTTGTGGCTGAAGAAAACTTTGTGCGTTCTTCGGGTGATGCAGCTGAATTCGAAAGAGCCCAACGATATGCATGGGAAGCACAAGAACGTGGTATTCAGAAAATCCACCTACAGGCCAACCCAACCTCAGGCGAAATCATGCGGAAGAAGGAGCTGGCCGAGGAGACTGCGAAGCGCGAAACACAACGCAAGGCGCTTCTCGAAAAGTACGGTGGTGAACAGCATCTGAAACCAAAACCGCTCGGCGACACGATTGTTATCGAAAATGAACGATTTGTTGAATACGATGAAACAGGAGCGATCAAAGGCGCGCCGAAGAAGGCAGCAAAGTCAAAGTATCCTGAAGATATCCTTACGAACAACCACAAATCTGTATGGGGAAGTTGGTGGCATAATTTTCAATGGGGTTATGCGTGCTGTTTCTCGACCGTCAAAAATAGCTACTGTACGGGTGAAGAGGGGAAAAGAGCATTCGAGGAGGGAGGTAACATGTTGCTGCTTCCCGAGGCCGACGCAGAGAAGCCCTCGCATGCCATTGATACGCCTGCCAACCCAGACGAAGCTACAAACTCTGAGAGCACGAGTCAACAGCGGGATTCGACCACGAAGAAGCGAACCCTCATGGAGGTTCAAACAGGAATCTCAGAGGAAGAGTTTGACTCTTATAAGCGCAGCAGACTGGCCGCCGATGATCCCATGGCTTCATTTATAGGCAAAGACGATGGTCAATAGTTCAGCGGTCCTGCTGAGGAATTATCGCAATGTGATCGGTTTAGCGTCTGTAATTTGTACTACATACCATGAAACAATGAACTCCGCAAATGGATTAACTCCCTAGAGATCGAGCTCAAGATAAGATCGCTCCTATATACTCAGACTGGACAGACGATGTCACGTGCTGCGTTTGGTCATGTGATGATTGTCTCTTGGTCTCTTGGTCTCTTGGCGCCCCCAGGGCTTGTGCCCTTGCCCACTATCGCTTAGCAAGACGCCCCGATCCAGCGCAACTTTCGATCCGCCTAGAAGCGACGACGACAACGACAACCAGCCCTTCAACGGAATCGCCAGGTAAGTTCTGACGGAGATATCTTGATTGTTTCTTGAAAACCGGACTTTTGTACTAACAAGTCATTTGTTCACAGTTCCCGTAATTCAAGATGAGTACGTCCGCCGCTGTCGAACCGAATCCGCGAGAGAAATTTGCGAACTGACAACGAATATAGCGAAGGGTACCTCCAGCTTCGGCAAGCGCCACAACAAGACTCACACTCTGTGCCGCCGTTGTGGTCAGTAATCCCATTCCTCCGAACCGTTTCCCGACGTTACAAGAAGATCTTTGAAGATTGGATTCAATTGAAGAATGAGTCGGGGTACAGACACATAGGGCTAACGACCTCTGTCACCGAATCCAGGCCGCCGCTCCTACCACATCCAGAAGTCGACTTGCTCGAACTGCGGATACCCCGCTGCTAAGACTCGCAAGTGTACGAATAACCCCTACATCCTTTTCCTTGAGCGCGTGATTGGAGGAATTTTTTGAGAGTGAGTTATGAGCATGGGCTTACGAGAATCTCTGGGCAATAGTCAACTGGAGCGAGAAGGCCAAGCGACGCAAGACCACCGGTACCGGCAGAATGTCCCACCTCCGTGAAGTCCACCGCCGCTTCAAGAACGGCTTCCAGGTCGGCACTCCCAAGGGCGCCCGTGGCCCTGAGAACCACTAAATCGACTTCGATGCGGCGTTTCTGTTCCCAAGGGCTGGAGAGTGGTCGGTATGAGTGAGGAGCCTCGCATTTGAAGCAAGCGGTTTTCATATGCGGGGGGCGCAAAAGATGCTTTCCCCGTGGAGTTGGTGTTGGGACAAGTCTTCGCTTTTGCCGTCAGGGCACTTTTATCTTAGAATGAAGGGCACCGAATTGACGGTATCTGGAAGACAGAAAATTTTCAAATCTCATGGGCCTTCGAAATGGATCAAGTTCAAAAAAGGGACAAACATGAATGAATTTCCTTGCTTGTTTATGGCTGGCGAATATACCATCTTGTGGCCAAGTCGATATTGAGATATCGATTCAATGCGATCTGTCTCTGAATCCATCCAGCGGACTACAGCGTACTACAGCGTACGAGGCCATGCCTTTTAAAGACCCAGCGCGCCCGGCCACGGTATTGGATCACATACTAGCCTATTCCCCGCGTCCAAACACATTGGCACCACCATCTCTCTGGACAAAATACAGTACTTCCTTCTCTTCCCAGCTTTCTGCCCCGCTGGCACTCTCTTTCTGCCCCCAAGCCCCTCCTTTACTGACTCTCAGCACCCCACTCACGTCCCTCGCAGCGCCTGTCTCTAGGTTTCGAAGCTGCATAATCATGCTAGCTCTGTGAGCCATTCCAACAGCGAACGCCGCATGCGCCGTCTCTAATGGCGTCGTTGCCTGGTGAACAAATGTAGATGCATTGTGTATTAGCGGAGAGTCGGCGGAGATCGTTGCAATGGTGGCAGAAGCAGCCTAGACGTTCAGTGGAGGCCACCGTCAGCTGGATCCGGCTCGTATCTCTCATTACATCTTCTCGAACATACCTGCTGTAGACCCATGATCCATTCCCCCATTTCCGTAGCGCCTATGCCCTTGCTCGGCCCAGTCGCAGCGAGTAGGAAATCTGGCTGATCAATGACCAGTAGAATCTCGGAATCATCTTCATCTTCCTCTAGTCCTGAAGCTTTCAGTTCGCTTATCACCATTGTAATTTCCTTTTCAATCGTATCCAACGCGGCAAGGCCACTACCCGCAAAGTGCAGTCTTTTCATCGGGCCAGACTGCCTCACAGCCCGAGGCGAAGCGCCATCGCTACCAGTAGATGCGGGCACTGGCTGGCGTGACCGTGCTGGGGCAGGCTGTGATCGTATGGGAAGTGTCGTTCGAGGAGCTATGCCAGGTCCGGGGTAGAGTTGCGGCGTAGGTGCTGGCTGTGAAGAAGTAGATGGAGCGGAGAAAAGTTCGGAGAGTCCGTCAACAAATGCGAATTGGCGCTTTTCTGTAAGGCGTGCTAGGTCAAGGCCCTTGAGATTTACTTACACGTTAGCCAAATTCTTGCTCTTGATCTCCAGGAGTTGGAGGATAGCACATTAAGGCTCAGGAGGGCATACCAATCGTTTTGCTTCCGACCTCCAGAACTCCCATCCCCGGAGAAAACTCACGAGCACCACTCTCCTCGACTTTCGAGTTTCGACTTCTGGGCCCCCATATCCAGGATGGGAGGCAGGCGAGTTGCCTAATGCTGCATATAGAAATCGCAGTACCAACCAATTGCCAGTGGCTCCCAGGATAGACGACACAAGTGTGAGTGTAGATTGTGGCGGGGAAACCACATATGGCGTGAGTAGATGGGGGAGTGCTAGTTGGCTGGGCATCGCTGCAACCTAGTATGCAATGATATGGAGTCAGGAATATAGTCCCGTCTCTCGGGTGCCGTCGAACTGCATCAGATAGATAAATTTTGGCGTTAACTCGAAATATTCCAGTCCCAAATGACGTCGTGAAAATTGGAGGCACAAAAGGATGATTGATTGGCCAGATCTGGTACCTGAGTTGCCCCACGTTTAAGGTATCCAGCGAAGTATAGGTACACCCAGTTGCTTGTTGTGTTATTCAAACGGCTGGGAGTGGTAAGACTAGGATACCATGCAGTTCTAATATATACTCCTTATGAACAGACACCATCTTTTTGTAATTGCTCAAGCAAACAATTGGCTGTTGAGGGAGAATATGGCATGGTCACATGACCAGATCCCCCACCCAAGTCTCAACCCATCTTCAATCTTCATCTCTCAAAGTTCTCCAGGCTTATTCCCGTCCATCTGACCGTCAAGCGCGCGCTTTTCTTGTCTCTCATGGGCTCCATAAGAATAAATGCGCCGGCCGCCGCTTAGACCTTGGAGTGCACATCGAGTTCCGCCTCTGCCGACCGTGAGTCCACCTTCATATCCGTGCTCTATGTACCCCACTGCAGCGACTGCTCCTCGAGGCCAAGTTCTTCCCCGCGGAACTTCTCGCTGCTACGCCATGTGTCTGCGCCTTGGCTGAACTTTTCCCCCATCACGTTCTGTCCATCATATTATCCGGAACAGACGTCCCTATGATCAATATTCCTTCATATCCCAATCTGGTGGAAGCACGTTTAGTTGTTGTTCGAGCATCTATCTATACGCTCAATTCGACCCATATGGCAACATCTCCCACCCTGCTAACCCCCAATGCGCAGATGATCCCAGTTCTCTGTCATTGTCAAAGAGCGCGAAATACCTGGTGTCGAAAAACAAGATAAACATGGCTAGTACTCGCGATTCTCATTCTTATGCAGTAAGTTTCTCACTGGGAAGCACAGTACAAGTTCTAACTCTACATAACAGTGTGATGAATGTCGTTTACGAAAGTCCAAGGTAGTAGATCCTCGATCCTAGCTTAAAGGCTGAAACTAAAGACTTATAGTGCTCCAAGGAGAAGCCTACTTGTCAACAATGCAAGCAGTTGAACAAGGAGTGCAAGTATAGCCCAAAGGTTACTAGAAGCCCCTTGACACGCCAGTGAGTCTCTTGCATATGTCTTCCCTTCTCTTCTATTTTAATGTTAACAACTACAGGCACTTGACCTATGTGGAAGACCGCTTGCATATCTTCGAAACTGCCCTCGGGAGGCTGTTCCCCGGAGGTGATCTGGACGCGACGGTTCGCTCTCTCTTGCATGATCAAGAATCACTTCCAAAAGCCAGCTCCTCATCCAAGTCTTCATCAAGGCATTCGACACCCGCAAAGGCTGAGGCAGATCGGCACGAACCCGCTCCGGAAGCCCTACCCCAACAAGCGGATGGGTTTGACTGGACTGAAAACAGGATTACGGTCGGTGACTTGACAGATGGAATGGCTGCTTTGTCCATAAAGCCAGAGGGCGCGGGTTACTTTGGTATGTCAGGCTTTTTTTTCCTTCCCTTTCATATCCTATGCTAACGATATAAGGGGCATCCTCAAGCGTCGTGCCGCTCCGAGCGCTGCTCAAGCATGGTTTCGATCTCAACATCCCATCTGGTTCATCAAGGCCAGTGGACAACTCGGATAGGATTCCCTTGAAATCCCAACTTCTGAACATTGCCCCGTCTGGCGTTGTTGAACAGGCATTCATGGATGCTTTCTTTTTAAACTACCACACAAGTTATCCATTTGTTCACGAGGCCACGTTCCGAGCTCAATTTTACGAACAAATCCCCCGGCCCCATGGGCCGGCATGGCATGTCCTTTTAAACACGATTCTCGCCCTGGGGGCATGGTGCATTGGGGACGATAATTCCGACCTAGACATCACATTCTACCAAGAAGCCAGAAGTCGGTTACAACAAATGTCCGTGTTTGAAGCCGGTAATCTCACTCTTGTTCAAGCACTGTTGTTCCTGAGCAATTATGCGCAAAAGAGGAACAAGCCAAATACAGGCTGGAACTTTCTGGGGCTTGCAGTCAGAATGTCTATGAGCCTTGGACTGCACAAGGAATTCCATGGGTGGAAGATTAGTCTCCTGCAACGAGAAGTCCGTAGGCGACTATGGTGGGGTGTCTTCATATTTGACAGTGGTGCTGCAAAGACGTTCGGTCGACCTATCCTTCTCCCAGAGGATAGTGTCATGGATGTGAAACACGTTGTGAACATTCATGATGAAGCGCTCACCGCGAGTTCTGTGGCTCTACCCCCAGAGGTCAACGAGCCCACCTTGTACTCCGGAATGATTGCGCAGGCTAGATTCCATTTGTTGACAAACAGTGTCTACCAACGCCTTATTTCTGGTCCCAGCCTGACCCCTGAGGAGACGCTGAATCTCCAGAAACCCATCGAGGAATGGTACAACGCACTCCCCGACTATATAAAGCAGCCCAACTCCCTTCCGGTATCGGATAACTTTGCTCTGGTTCGCAACCGACTTCTGTGGCGGGACTGGAATCTAAGAATTCTCATTTACCGCCCCGTTCTTCTAAGGTGGGCGTCTCGAAGATGGACTCCAAATACACCCACAGAACCAGAAGACCCCTTTGAACTCGACTGTAGGATGCTGTGCCTTCGGAACGCACGACTCACCATATCATCGATCACGGACTTTGTAAACAACCATCTCTGCACACGCCTCGGTGCATGGTATATGCTGTATGTCCCCGTTCAGAATCGATAATTCTAGCTAACGTTCGGAACAGCTACTTTCTCTTCCAAGCTGGTCTAATCCCAATCATTCTTCTGATGACGGATCCAACAAGTGCGGACGCCCCGAGCTGGCTTCATGAAATTGAATCCACAAAAGCGCTTCTGATGCATCCCTCGCTCAGCCACAATCACCTCGCTGGCCGCTGTCTTGACGTTATCAATCGTTTAATCTCACCTGTATACTCGACGACTCCTACATCCCCAGCCGGATCTGTCGGAGCGCCACACCATCGACAACAATCACAGCCAATATATATGCCCTTTGCGGATCAACTCTTCAATGACCCAACTTTTGGAAGCATGTTCCCCGATGTCGACCAGGAATTGAACATCACCACTGGAATGGACTTCTCTGAATGGGTGAACTTTGCGCCAACGCCCCAAAATGAATTCACCTGACACACTATACCTTGAGCATAATGAGTTGCCATTTCTGAGATCACACATGAGGGAGGACAAACGAAGGATATTGCGCATGAAGTAGCCTTCTGCCGCCAGTTCAAAACTGATACCATAGCATGTCCGGGTCCATCTCCCCACTTTGGTTGTTACGTACTGCACGCGTACCCACCCAAGGTGCTCGGCAACCGCAAGTTAAGCGCCGGCCAATTGGGTGCGATTTCTCCTTGCTTTTTCACCCATGAACGACAAATCAAGAGCTCGAACCGAGGCCATTTATACCTCATAGCCCAAATTATCTTTGGAGGGAATGCTAGTCCCGTGTGAAACCCGCGCATGACGTCTCATCTTGCTACCGGCTGCTCAAGTTCTACGGTTGTGTCTTCTCTTCAGCGCCATATACAGATGACGGGACCACTTTTGGTGATGGGAAATTAACGCATATACGGCTGTACAGTCTAAACTCCTCCGTACATTGCTTTCGCTTGTTCTTGAAAGATGGAGCTCAATTCTGCAAGGGGTCTCAACTCGGCTCAGGTACTCGCTACCTCAAGCTATCGGTACTGCTAGGAGCATTAATGTACGGCTAACAAGCTTGTAGCTTTTCTTGTTTACACTTTCCAATAGCAAGCTAAGTAATGCGAGTATTGAGAACTCAGTGTAAGATCGAAAACAGACCGTGTTAAAGTCGTTGTTTGTGTAAAAATTCACAAAAGCCTCGCACTCTTTCATTAGTGTTGAGAACCAAGTGGTTCCCTTGAAAGCTCAGATAGCAATCAAATCCGCTCACACCTATGCAACTAGCACACGCTAATAGATGGAAAGACGAAGTAGTACGAACAAAACAAGAGAAAACAGCAAATAATTTGGCTAGTGGCGCATTGTATCTCAGTTTCGCCGCCAGGGCAAGGCATCTGTGGCATGTGGAGTTCGTATCGCGGGGTCATACAGTTCGTGGGTCATGGAAGTTTGGTGGAGAATGATCACAAGATATGTTGCATCAACTTATTTTCTGGATTCGTGAGGCTCCCAGTGAATTGGTTCGAAATCTTGATTCTGAAAATGGGCTTGATTATACGGGGAACTGGCAACCAGTCAGTCAACTCTGAGAGAATTGCAGGTGTAGGTAAAAGGCGCGTACTTTTTGAATGGGGCAGTGACTGGAAGTGAATGGCTCAGATTAGGTTTCATGACGAGCGGGTTTAACCGGATTTGAGGCCCATCGTTGGACCGCGGAGGCAATGCGCTCATGATTGGAGGAGGCCCGGTCAATCGAATAGGCGGCTGTGGCGGGGCAATCGTTGTTGGTGGTGGTGTATGTACAGGAGGCTGATAAACTTCCTGAGGTGGTGACACCCGGAACGGATCAGAGGGAGGTTGGGGCATTGAATGTGCCAGTCCAAATGACGTGTCCATCATCAAATTGGGAATCGCCATCAGGCTAGAATTGACGTCGAATGAGAGTTGATCAGTTCCCCAAGTTGAGTAATCAGAAGACATGGCATATTGAATGTTGACCATGGGCTGCATGTTCAGAGTCGGCTGATAAAGCAGGTCATAATGGCCTCTAAGTTGGATTTAGTCATTCTCACAGACCAAACTAGCATCGGGTAAACTTACGGTCGGTAGAGGAGGCGAATAGCCCCGTGGCCCGGCCTTGGTGGTGAGAGAACGTGCGAAGTCACTGCGTCACCTTCGCTACGATCGAGATAGAGGATTTCCACCGTGAGCCCGGAAGCCTCAATCACTCCGTCGACCAAGCCTTGTAGACCAACTTCGTCAATCTCCGTCTTGACTGTCTCTATCCGGGTCGCACAGTATTGGTCTAGAGGCATCGACAGGAACGCCTGGTAACGGTGAGGGTTCAGTTTCATCCAAGCACTGGTCAGAAGCTGTCCCGAACGATTAGCATGAGGACTATCATCAATCTCGTGTTCGAGCGCGGGTACAACGACGGGGTTACTGACGCGGAAATGAGTGATTATGGCATTAGAGTTGTATTCATCATTGAAGAGCGCGACAAGGAAGGAGTCGTCGCGCTCGCCCCGCTCGATGGCACCGATTATTTGACCAAAGACCTCCTCCGTCGCATCCACAAAAATCTCATACAGATGCTCTTCCTGGCCAACCTGGTCGAGAATCGTGTTTAGAGACTTGATTCGTACCAGTTCCTGTTGTGCTTGCATGGGATTACGAAAGTTGAAAAGGTTCTCAAAGTATCCAAAAGCGACAGCTAAGATACGTGTAAGCTTCTTATCGTGGCTTGGGATGTGGATTATGCCGTTTACCTCTCCAGCCACAATTGCCATCACCTTTCATGATGCGCGAGTGAGGGTGCGTCACAGCCAGCGCCTATAGGCAGTCAATATCATGGTCGCCAGCAAAAGGGCCCATCTTTATCATACGTTTGTCTTGGTTGCAAAAGCGGGATCCGCATTGGCGTATTCAACGGCAATCGCTTCGGTAGACTGTTTGTGGGAGACGAGGGGCCCCTGCTCGATGTGTTAGCTATGCCTTACGTCCGTGTCAATGCTTTAATTTGCTTACCGGGAGCTCCGGCTCGAACTTGTTGGAGAGCTCCTGGTACCGCTCCATCTCTTCGGTCGACATCGGGTTCATATTGTAAGCGGCAACGTAAAGAGCACTTGACAGCTGAGAGATGCCGTGATTGATAAAAACGGGCGAAGACAGCGGTTGAGAGTAAAACCCAGGGACCGATTCCTCTCTAGGGTGAAAGTGATTTAAAGGATCGAAATGATTCCTATGAAGATCCGATAGGGACATCGCACAAAGCCAAGTTCGAGAGATGTTTGGAAATGGGCAGTGCGGCACGAGACAAGGTCGGGAAGAAGCGATCAGGGCGTGTCTTAGTCCAAGGACATCGTCTGAGGAAGGCACTATCCTCTCCTGCGTCCAATCCTTCCTTGAAAAGTTGTGTTTAGTAGTGGTGAAACCTGCTGATATCTAATGGGAGCCTTAGCATCTTCAAGCTTCGTCACAAGGAAATATCGTGGTCAGGCGGTGGTGGTGAATGGGGGAAATCAATTATACAACAACTAGCAGGTGCTAGAGGATGGTACAGAGGAATTGAAGGCAGGGGCTGGCTGGGGGTCGAGATGGAAGAAGTGTAAAGCAGACGAGCTTCGAGCCAGATCGCCCATCAAGCATGTGACACAGCAGCCATCCACTTTCCAAGGTAGTTCACCAACAAGTTTTCTTCGAACCAAATGAGATCAGGGAGATGGAATATAAGTCCGCCCCAATGGGCGTTTAGAGGAGGCCGAAGAGACGGAGGTTGTGTACATATACACTTGCACACGGGGGGAGGAGGGGCAGTTCTGACCTTTGTTGAAGGAGTCTTATTATAGCTTGTCCTCCATCGCAGCAGGGGAGAGACCAGGAAAGATAGGCGAGGGTGCCGGATAAATAATAAAGGGAGGGAAAGCGAGGGAGGAACGACGCAAGACTGGGAGAGTGAGAGAGATGGAAGTCGCGGGGAGCAGCAGCACCAGCAGCGGGGTTTGGTTCACGGACTAGCTACGCAGCGTCCAGTCACTCACCTTCAGTATCCACGGGCAGACTACGAGGGGCAATCAGAACAGGATCGATTCGAGATAAGGCTGTGGATCGCGTCTTACAAATAATACCAAGCTCGTCAACACTCTACTTTGTTGTTGTTGTTCTTCTCCATCCACATCCACGGTCAGATCATCCTCCTGGCCGATGTTGTCACAAATGCCGGATCCTCCTCTGCCAGCCAGTAACATTTGCTCTCCGCTGGTGCTCAGACCGCATCCCCCCTCAGCCTTCTCCATGGGATGGGGACTCGCCATCCTGGGTGTTAATGGTCGAAATTGAAATCACAATTTGCCCCATCACCGTCCATGCCGTGATAAAGCGAGGGTAAAAAAAAAAAAAAAAGAACAAAAATGGAGAGAGAGAACCCGTCCCATTGCATGCACTCGAAAGCGACCACATGTCCGGGCACCACACCGCGCTTGACTGGGCCGATGCTTGCTGCAACTAACCTAGTGCAAACCTGCGAGTAAGATGGCTGGCTTTCAGATCCAAATTCCCTCGTCTAGGAATCCTTGGTCCGTTTCTCAACTGCAAAGACGTGGCCATTCATCCATTCAGAAGACGAGCCTCTGTCGACCTTCTTTGGTCTCCGCGCGCTCGCGGCGGTTGTCCTTGTGCTAGCAGGGGCAGTTAATCTAACTATGTACTAAACGAGCACCTGGGTTGCTCCGGACCGTCCAGGTCCTCGCTGTATCTAGCTTTCCGACCCGGCTTGCATGCAGCAAGCATTTACGAGGGTGGGCAGGAAAGCAAACGCACGATGCCAGGAATCAATCGACGCCGAATCGCCGACGCCTTTCGACCCAATTTGCCTTTTTTTTTTCCTCACGGCCTTGCCAGATAACCAAAAGAAATAATGCCATCGGCTGCGCAGCTCTTTGACAATCACCATGCGAGGACGATAAGACCTCGAAACAAAGTTTCAACTATGCATTGCTTTGGCCCCGTATGCCATCCTTCGTTTCCAGCTGCATTACAGGTTCGCCAGATCAGCAGAGTTTGGAGTCGCACTTTCAGAGGAGACGAATCGTCGAAGGATTCCTTTGACGTCCGTTAATGAGCTATGGAGCACATAAGACTGCGGCGTAAGGCTTCCAATAGCCATACTCTGCCCGAAGAAGCAACGTCAACCCCTTCGCTCGAGGCCTGCAGTCGATTAGTCCACCAACCCTATCTCGTTGCGTTCACCTCTAGGACTGCGTATTCTCTTTGGAGGGCAAGGTGCCAGGGTCCGATCTCCATCTTTATCAAGTGGTCTTATTGAAGGGGATCAGGCCAATGTGGCGCTGTCTTAGGACCGTTCTGCTGGGTAACTCTAGCATCTTTCTCGTCCTCGTGGACATCCTCGGCCGCCTGTATGGAATTCAAATCCTGAAGACTCACCAATAACTCTTGGTCAACGTTATCTGGAAAAGTCATCCAAGTGAACTCTTCTGGGAGATGGAACATTCTTCTCGAGCTGGGACATGCCGACCTTGCATAAGCTACCTCGGAAAGCCTGTCTGAACCATTCATCTTTCCAGTAGTCGAGTCCACAACATATTATATGTCACAGACATGCTAAGGACGGATGGTTGCCTTTTTACCCTATGGTTATCGCCTCTGTCCACCGTACCTGCCGAGATCATCCTCTTTTTTCCTTCGCTTTCAAGCCTACATGCGTGGACAAGGACAGTTCCGATTCGTCTCATGTATGCACAGCTGGTGCACTCGGCGTTGAAGGTTTAATTGCTGTGATCGTACCTTTTGACAGATCTTCGATATTTTGACTAAAGTACTCCGCACAATGGAGCAGCTCGGTTTCTCCCGACATTTTTGCTTCTTCCCGCGTCTTGGACTTTTTTTTTGCTCTAGCCTCTAGTCTACCTCAGGCCGTCGATCATTTATTGACAGTTAGTTTGTTTGTCACCAAGATCTTGCCTTCAGTTTGACTCAAAGACCCAACGATCACGAAACGGAGTCAGAAACGGGGGTATGGCGGCAGGATCGCTTCCTGCCTCGGCGCAGGTTTGAAATGTCATCCACTCACGGCGCATGCATTGTTTGGCATTAGTGGTTTGGGCGAGACAGCCGATCGTCATGCACCGGAGAAAAGGCCACCGCAAGTACCTTATCTGGCTCTGAATTTGGAGAGAGCTTTGCCAAAGAAGACCTTGAGGTTGCTAGCAAACTCCAGTTGGCGAGAATCGGCATTATTAGCATTGCTCGGGGATACGTACATACATACATCCAATGGCTCACTTTATTATATATCCTTCTGCCAACCAAAAGGTCATTCGTCCAACTAAAATCACAAAAGACCGCGACGGACTCGGAGCTAGCATAATCAACCGCAATTTCGGTATGTACGGAGTAGGCGAGCAACCTCCAGTCGTTCTTTTTCTAGGCACCACTAGCAAGTCTACAGCTGCAGCTTTGTTCATATAATTGTCATTCCTCAACCATGCATTTCATCCCCACGAATCAGCAAACCTCGTCCCCGACAAACAACGGGCGGATCATGCTTCCTTCGTCCCTTCTGAGATCCTACAGGTCACCGGGAGCTGTGGATTCGTTCGTCGTGCAGCATGTACCGCCAGATGCTCAGCACTATTGGTAATTTGGTGCTCCCGGTGTGTGAGGACTTACATATGATATTATGTACACGGCAGTCACCACCACACGGCAACGAAAGGACCGAGAAATTCAATAATGATAGTATCTTGATTTCTGCAGGCCACGGGCCACAGACCAACGCCCAGCCAGCAGCCCGCCGGGATTAATGGACATCATTCCATGATTCGACAATCGCTCAAGTACTAGTAGTACCATTTCTGTCTCCCGTACAACCTCCGATCGTTCTCTTGCGCCCTTTTGTCTTCTTTCCCCCCCTCCAGCTTAAAAGGTGTCATCATCCGGGTCAGTCTTGGTCCCATGTCCTGATCCTGCTCTGCTACTACCCTTAGCCCCTCTCCGGAATCGGTGGCTGGAACGTAGACCCCCTGTAGTAACATCGTTAGAAAAGGCCGATTGGTAGAGCATGCCACTTCGCATCCCATATCCCGGCGGAAACGCGCTGAGACCCTGCGATACATCTTCGTTTTTGAATCCGTCGCCGTCGTTGAGAGTCGCTTGCCAGAGCGCTCGTAGAGATTCGTTCCACTCTTCCAGGGACTGGAGTCGATCCACGTCGCTTGTGCTCTTGCTTTCGACCACGACCGTCCCACTTTCCTCGTCAATCTTGGCGTTGAGCTTCTTGTCAAGAATGAGGAAGCTCAAAATGTCCTGCGCCTCTGTGTCCGAGATCTTAATGTGTTTGGAGATGAACCTGAGTGTGAACCGGGTATAAGGTGCAATCAGTTTTAGAATGGCCTTGGTGCGCATGTTCCTGCTGACCTCATCGATATTCTCTGCAATAAAAGGATCAGCCAAGACGTCCGGGTTCTTGCTTAGCACGTCTTCGTATGCGTGAATGTCGTCTCTCTGGAATGCATCCACTAGATCGGTCATGGCAGAGATGCGGGGGTCGTTCTTGTATGGTTTCGTCTCTTGCGAATGAAAGGGATTGATATCCGATTTCATCAGCATGGTGGTCAGCACGAGATATTTGAGCACCTGGATCCGCTGCATCGAGCCCGCCTCGTCGTAGTTTCGGAACGATTCAAAGAAATCGCTCTGCGCCTCTTCCCAATTCTCCTCACTCATGTGCATTTTGCCCCCGCATTCTCGGATAATCCCCATGATCTTGGGATGCGGCACCGCCGATCGCACACGAAGAGCGCGCTGGTACAGGGCTTTGAGTCGTTTGTTGTTCTTCGTCTCGGCGTACATTTGGATCTCTAGCGCGTATAGTTCCAGTAGATATGTGCCCTTGCTGGTGTCATCCGATCCATCCTCCTTCTGACAAGCCCGGTGTAACTCTTTGACTTTTTTGCTTAGCTGGCCATACTCCTTTCGTTCTAACCAGAGGCGGGCCAGTTTGATATTTGTCTTGAGCCACAATCGCTCGTTGTTTGTGTTCTGGAAGGAGTTAAGGGTGAGCGAGTAGAATTCCTCCATGCACTGATACGCCTTGTCGTCATCCGAGCCCTTTTCGATATAATCCAGCATGTTGTTGATCGACTTTTCGGAATAATTTCGCGTAACGGCGGACTTGACATATGTTAAGAGTTCCCTGTAGTGTTCGACGGCCTAATAGGGGTGAGTATCGCGCGGCTGCTGTCAACGGGAAGCGTACATCACTGTATTTCCCCAGCTTAAACTCCAGCTTAATCGCTTGTTTCAACCCTTTGAAGCCCCTGTCATACATTTAGCATTCAAAAAACCGGAGTCCGAATAGAGGATAAATATCTACCAATCTCCTTTGTCCTGTTCCAGGGCGGGCACTCCCAGGAACTCGTCGATCGCCTCCTCGGGATTATCGATCTTGATCTGCTTGGCATTGTAGTATTTGTTCTCGATTCCAATGTCTTGCGTCTCGTCATCGTCGGCGTCCTCGTATTCAAAATCGTACCTAGCGGTAGAACTCGTGAGATGGGTGATTCAAAACCAAAAGTTGCGGCGAAGCGGATACTAACTCCTCGTCGCTATCGTGCATGAAATCATCGTCGTCGGACATCTTGAGGGCAGAATGATTCTAATGAAGGAATAATAAGGTGTGAGAGCAAAGTCCAGGTGCTGATTTCACGGGTGTAGGGATCTGTCAAAAAAGATAATAGCGCTTGTGTTGGTACAGATCAAGGTGAGCTTGCGTGCTGTTGTGAAAGAGTCTTGGAGCTTCCGCTGCGATCAGCCATTCAGGGCCTCCCCCGCCTTCAAACCTCTGGTGGGTCCAACCAGCTGAATCTTTGTTGTATACCATGGCGTATATATGGACTATTGAAGCTTGGTATCTTTTCTTGCTACTGCTTACAATGCGGATACATACTTGAGATGGCTCAGGGGCCGAGCAGAGCCATTCTCTGGTAATGATGCAAGTAACAGTGCGTGTTTGTTCGACATATATATTTGATGTCACAGACCCATCGCTCATCAGTTTCAAAATCTACCTCAGTTGACTTGATATCAAGGAACTACTCAAACTACTTCGCTCTTTCACGATCATTACCTAACTACCTACCTCGTACCTTGAGGTATCGAATACAACGAGTCATGAAGGTGAAGAATCGAGGCTGACAGCTCCAAGCCAAACATCCAAAGCAGAGTGGAGCACGTCAAAGAGGCCCAGAACATCGCCGTTGCCCTCAAGACAGCAGTGGATGGGGAGCCACGGTCTGAAGTGAGACATTGACGATCTTAAAGTATTTCAAAGCCATTTTCTAGGAATAGATGAGATGGACAAGGCTTTCTGGTTCAGGCACAGGAAGAAATGAAATCTCGCGACCGCTTGGCAGATGACGATCATCCTATTCGTCCCCCAAGTAGGTTTGATGACATCGCCATCATTGCGGGCCTCGCCCGAGGCGCAGTCTTTAATTCTTCGACTCCCACAAGCATCTCTGTATGAACCTCATCCTCTCTTTCACACGCTTACGATTCGCTATATACATTTCTTATTCTTTTTATATAACAGCTACGAGCAGCCTGCCTTTGTCGAACCCCGAATCCCCTTCCCCTGGACTCTCTCGCATTTCCCCAACCTCGTCTTGCGCACACGATGGATCTCTGCGGACGCCAGAAAGTTGTTCGGCGCAAGATGGTGCTATTGTCAGTGCGAAGATGATAAACATGGCTTCTTCAACAGTTCTGACTATCAAATAGAGGCGATGGTGCTTGCGGTAAAACCTCGGCCTTGAACGTGTTCACCAGAGGGTTGGTCTCCTACCCCCTCACGCTCTGTATTTACTCCCACTGACCTACCTCTAGTTATTTCCCAACAGTCTAGTAAGAACCGGATGCATGCGCTGCTTCACTAGATATGCGAATAATTACTGACCACCGCAAACTTGCATAGTGAACCGACCGTCTTTGGTTCGTGGCTTCCCGCAGAATATATGTACAATAAAGATATAAGCTGACTTTCCGTGACCCTAGAAAACTACGTTCACGGTACTTCCCCATTCTTTGGAACCTGTTGTTGAAGCCGTACTCATCCTTACAAGACATCTTCGTCGATAACGTTCACATGGAATTGTCGTTATGGGACACCGCCGGCCAGGAAGAATTCGACCGCTTACGGGCCCTGTCATACGAAGACACGCATGTCATTATGCTCTGCTTTAGCGTGAGTGGTCCTCAAGCAATACCAAGGATGAATGGCTAAGATATGCGACAGGTTGACAGCCCCGATTCGTTCGAAAACGTGGCCAGCAAATGGATTGAGGAGATATCAGAAAACTGCCCTGGTGTGAAACTGGTCCTCACAGCTCTCAAGTGTGATCTGCGTAAAGATGAATTCTTGAACGACAACCCAAACGTCATTACTTACGAGCAAGGACTGGCAAAGGCCAAGGAAATCGGGGCCGTCAAGTACCTAGGTGAGACTTCATCTATTATAACGTCTAGTAACGGCATTGACGGCGGATAGAATGCTCTGCTGTGCAAAACAGAGGCATTAGAGAAGCCTTTTACGAAGCCGCCAAAGTCGCCCTCGACGTCAAGACACAGAGTTCCGGCTCGCAAAATCGCTGCGTTATCCAATGATCTTCACAGCACAACCGCTTCTCACATTTATCCATCCATTATATACCCGGCTTGACTTGCTTTCAACGACCTTTTCTTCTTTGCTTCGTGCTTGAACGACGAGAGCCTTTCTCGTCCATGGCTTACGACTCGGCACTCCAGCTCATGCGGCGTCGGCATTTATTCTCTTCACTATATATAATTCCACAACGTGGGTTCCTACTACTACTTAATGTCTAACTTCTGGCAAGATTCGCCCTGCGTCAACTAACGCGCATTCGAATTAGAGTGCGGATCCCTTGGCTGCCGGACCATCCATTGATTTTCATTGACCATCTAAGCGGATTCTTCCTTGTGTCTTCTAGACATTGTACACGTATCGCTGTGCATGTATTTGTATCTCAATGTCTCTTTTGATGTACTCCTGGATCGGCTTTGTTTCAATTCAAGTCTTGTTTCATTATTGTGGTCGTTCTTACAATATCTATAAGTCTATAGTGACCGCTAGTCAAGGTCTTTTTCTTCGACCTTATAAACACCCTCTATCCTTTCTCCTGTAGCACTCCCGCCACACGCCAAATCTGCATTCACCCTCCGCACAAAGGCGTCAACAAACCTCCCAGCAACTTCTTCAATTGAGACACCCTTAACCCCTTGTCCCTCCAAGCTCGTCGCCTCCCTCCCCTCGAGCCCACACGCAACAATCTGTTGGAAATACCACATCGGCTCCTCTGTAACATTGAATCCGATTCCATAGCTGCTGATATTCCGCCGCAAATGTACTCCAACAGCTGTAATCTTTCTTGGCAGCGAACCATCCGTAGACCTCCCAGGCACCCAAACGCCCGGATCCTCTGTAACAGTCCCTGTCACTCCATAACCCGAGAGCACATCCAGTACACTATTCTCCAATAACCGAATATGGCACCTCGGGGTTAGGCCGAGCCGGCGGAGATCGAGGATTGTATACGCAACCATCTGCCCGGGGCCATGGTACGTCGTCTGGCCGCCGCGGAGGGTCGGGTGGTATTCCGCTACCGGATTGTCATTGTGGGATGATAATGGTGCTGTGAGGAGATGGCGGATTGGCTCGAGGGAGGGTGGAAGAGAGAGCGCTGTCTCGGTTGTGTTTGAGGGCGGGTGGTCTCGTCGGCCCGTTGTGTATACTGGATTTGGGGTAAAGGTAATTATTGTCGGGTCCGGGGCTGGTGGCGTTGGGGAGCTTGGTGGGCTGAGGAGTTTTTTGTGCGCGAGCAGGCGGGTCGTGAGGGTTTGTTGGAGGTTTGCGACAAGCGTGAAAGGGGTGATGGATGGGAAGTGGAGGTGGGCGAGGCGCATGATAGCAGAAGTGATTTGATAGTTAGAGGGTGATATAGCTGTCAGACCATTTCAAGGTATTTCACGAGCATAGAAAGCAATTGTGGCTGGAAATGAAGGATGTGGTCTGTGAGTTGTTTCCATTTGGAGTAGCTCGGAGGAGTTGCGATAATCGACGTCACCGAGCACTTTTGTGCAGCATCATGTGATGAACACTGGAGCCATTCTTACAACTGGCATTGGCATATATTATTGCTGTCCACTGAAAAACTTCCTATTCGATGTAATCCATTGTAATTCGCTCGGCCTATGAACTTTCCCTATGATCGAGCTAGCATATGATACGCAGCTCTGACGCCCCAATAGAATCCCAAGGTGCCGACTTGAATGGACCATTATGGAGCTGGACACTTCAGACAAGGGTGCAGAATCAAGATAAGATGGGTGGCAAACTGCGGCCACGGTCCTTAGACTATATGCGAAGAGACTGACGCGCGATAAGGAAAAAAAATTGCACGATTTATGGCTTGTTCTATAGAACAACACCATTTATTTCGGGCTGACTTGAAGGTTCTTCGCCCTCCTGTACAACAATCCAGTCTCTCACACCACCCTTCCAGTCAGCGATCCGGCCTTCGCGTACTCGGACAGTGACCACTCGAACATCCTCGTCAATCGAGAGGCTGGGCCGGCGCTGACCGGCCTGTTGCTGCTGTGCCTGACCGAATGTGCTCAATTCCTCCTCAAATGTGTTGTTCTCCAGATGCCTCTCTTTGCACCAGGTCTCTTCCTCAGAGCCAGACTCCAAAAAGCGAGCCTCTGCTGTAATGGTCGTGGAAATGCTTGACATTGCACTCGTATTCAGAGCCAAAAGTAAACTACCCAGCGAAGATCGGGTTGCTGCAGGCGGTGGCGATCCATCGCGGGCGCCCCCAGGATTTGTGCGGGTTGGTGGACGATGTGACACCCAGTCGTGTACCAGAAGCGACACTCGAGGATTGGTCTGTAAGTGGATTGTTTTACGAGAAGACGGGTTCGTAGTCATAATTATCGTGGGGTATGGGTCAAACGGCGTGGAGGGCAGGTAGGTGTAGGACATGAGGGAGATGTGGGGGGTTAAGCCGTCACATGTAGCTAGATGAAGCTTTGAAATATTAGTTTTAAAACAGTTTTAAGTAAAGTGGCACACGTGGTACATACAAATCGGGAGTTCTTGAGGCATGAAATGACCTCTGGTGGGAGAGTCGTTGCGACATGTCGATGGGTGGTCGTGGCAGAGGCCTCATACGAGAGGGGAGGGTTCACCGTATCGCCCATTGTGTCGGCTCAATCACCAATGCAAAGGCTAGGGGTGGATATGATCTGAAGGAAGAGTTGTGGTGATGAGAGCTGCCGACTTTGAGGTGTGATTACTTCTGGAGGGGCAAATAATCACCATGTTGGATTATGGATGATGGTCCTGAGAGATGGGGCGCGGCTTTACCGGATTCGGTCCGCTTCCGCTTGAGCTCCAAGCTCCCGCGCCGCTGGGCTTGACCTGGCGAGTGTCTAATACTTTGTTGAAACTCCATAGAACTACATTAGTAGAAGTTCAATACATCAATTAAACTGTGGACTGCAGGAAATCACTAGCTGTACAACAGAACTATGCAAAGTGACCTCAAACCAGCTTGTGCCCCAGGCAATTCCGTGGGTGTGGGATCACTCGTCCTCGAAGGATTAATCTGATGATCAGAAACCAGGTCGATTGACACTAATCATTATTATTCAACGTTAGTGAGATCAGTTCATGGGTACTCTCCATATTGCCGCATGATCTGGTCGAACATGCTCCTAAACAGAGGAGCGCAGCAGGTGATCAGCAAACCACGTGACAGTATGCGCAAGCTGTGCCTAGTCGGACAGGTGAGAAAGGCCAAAAAGAACCGTGCTTTGCTCTGTACAGATAGAAACTGCAGCATGCATGTCGTCATAGATAGCAGCCGCAAGACCTGGACCGCAAATCGCCAAAGCCACAGCTGGTGAACGAAGGGGTGGATCTCAATCTGAACCGGCTGGGGTCTTGCTCAACAACACCGGGCGCCGAGCGGCCATAAAAGTCCTCGAGTTCCTCCTGCAACCTCAGTCAGTCCTCAATAATAATCCCAGTCAGCTTATGTACTCCAGTCTCCAAGCAGCGCGCTAAGACGCTAAGACCTTCCCCCGCACCTTGACTCCAGGCAAGCTACGAGGTTGCAGTGCGATCCCCAGCTTACTTCTACCCTCCCTCTCCCCTCTTTCTCATCGCCTTCATCGCCATTGGTGTGTTAATATCATTAATCTGCCTTTGCACCATCCGTGGTCGAGCTCCGCTGTCATTCCTGGGGAAATATCCTACTCCGCTCGGCGACCCAAACTCACTTTGCTGATCCTGGTCTCTGAGCGAGTCTGCTTCCTCACTGGTTCTGAGTGTTACTCTTGCCTTGTGTCGCACCTGCCGTTTGGCCAGTCGGTTCTACGCGTGTCATCTTCATATCACATCCCTGCTTCCTTGTCTGTCAAATCCCCCCTCATTTGAGAGTTCAGAGCCCCTCTTGTGTCCGTTTGCCGCCTAGGGATAGGTGTTACCTCTGTGTTCTCTTTTGCCGCTGAAAACCGTTTGTCGTCTGCTTCTTCATTAATCAACACTGGTGTTATTCTTCTCTTCGTGTCTTCGTTTCTGTATTTCTTGCTCAACCGTTTTCTTTTTTTCGTGATTGTTGTTGAGATTGCACTGTAATTGTACCAACCGCGACAATGCTTGCCCCCCGAGTCTTTCGGCCTGCTACCTCGCTGGTCCGACCTTTCCATACCTCTGTCCCTTTCTACCGTTCGCCCTCTATCCGTGACATCACCCCGGATTCAGCTGAAGAGTTCAGTGCACGCCAGAAGGAGTTTCGCGAGAACCTGGAAGTAGCTCGCAAGAAGAGAGAGCAGCAAGAGAGTCAGTCAGTCGGTGCTTCTGCTTCCACCTCTGCCAATGCCCCATCATCCCCTGTTGCCCGTGATCGCCTCCGTGAGTACGCTAACGCTCCCGCTGCTCCCCTCAAGAGCAATGCGAGCGATGCCAAAAGTCCCGTCTTTGATGCCGCCGATGTTCTTGACAACCAAGCATTGGGCTCACTTTCTACCCACCGTTCTTTAGGAGATGAACACTTGTTAGAGGCCAACCGATCGCCCAAACGCGGCCCTTTGTCTTCCTTGATTTACGGCACGAAAGAAGGCCAGCAGCTTGACAAGGACATTGAACGCTCATTCTCCCAAGTCCTCGCCCGCGGCAAATACGTCCACTCCATTGTCTTCCACGAAGTGAAACCCGACCGAGTAGACGAATATGTCGACCTTGTTGGCCAGTGGTACCCTCGAATGGCCGCCGCAGAAGAGAACCGTGTGAATCTGGTCGGGAGCTGGCGCACACAAGTCGGGGACAACGAGACTTTTGGTACGAACCCAATAGAATAGAATGGACCAGACCCTCTTCTAACGATGGCAGTCCACATCTGGGAGTACCAGCGATATGAAGGATATCACGCCTCGCTTCACAATATCTCTCGCCACCCAGAGTTCCCTGCATTTGACAAGAAACTCAAGAGCTTGATCAAGAGCAAAAAGACGTCACTGATGCAAGAGTTTTCGTTCTGGCCGACAACACCTCCACGTCGCCTCGGGGGTCTCTTTGAACTGAGATCTTATACTCTTCACCCTGGAAACCTTTTAGAATGGGAAACTCATTGGCGGCGCGGTCTCAAGGCCCGCCGGGAGGTCATGGAAGGGGTTGGGGCATGGTTTGTGCAAATTGGTGACTTGAACACAGTGCATCATTTGTGGCAGTTTGCGAATCTGGAGGAGCGCAAAATCCGCCGAGAGCAATCTTGGGGCATTGAAGGCTGGGCCGAGACCGTGCACAAGACCGTTCCCCTCATCCAGACCATGCAAAGCCGCATTCTGATCCCGATGCCGTGGAGTCCTGTTGGCTAAGCTTCGATAATTATCTCGGGAAGACCTCGTAAGTAGACTTTTCAGAGGGATGGCCCGAGCATCATGAGTTGAGGCGCGAAAACTTGTCGACGCGTCAGGCGGCCCTTGTCTGCGAATCTGCGAGTGCGATGTGATTCAAGTTGTCGTCCTGGCTTTCCCGGAACGAGGTCGATGACTTTGCCCAATGTTACTTGGCGGTGCTTTAGTGTATGAAACATAGCATTTAGCGCTTTCGAAAATTGTCCACTGCATGCTGGGTAGACCAATCCCAAGGACCAAATGCTTAAAGAAACATCTTCCGCCAGCCTTACCAAAGTTTACTGCCCATCCTGTATTATTAGGCAGACTCGAAACATGAACACTTTGCAGTCCGGCGTCGTCATATGGCAGCCTCGGATAATTGTTGGCAGCCAACCCAGGGCTACCCCACCTTGTCCTTTAATTTATTCGACGGCGATCAACAGGATGCGGGAGCCTTTTGACTTGATCCATGCGCAAGTTGCGGTGCACGCCTTGTGTTGTTGGAGTTGACACGTGGGCGGCCGATACCCACCATACAGCCGATTCAAGGAATCCCACTGGGCTAAACACCAGAGCCATGGTTCTGTGACATTCTGCGTACTTCCTGTAAAGTATTCTGGACAAACTCCGAGCTCGTGCCCGCCCCAAGGGGAGCTTTTCCGCCGGCAGAAAAAAAAGTGTTGTAATAATAAATAACCTTGAAAGCTGCTGGCTTTGCGCGAACAGGAACTCGTCAAGGCATACTTTTCCGGGGCGTTGCAGCATCCTTTTTCTCCTCTCCTCATCCCCTCCTCTGCTGCCAGAAGGACGACTCTTGCCGGGCGCTCTATCATTACTCCTTTCATTCACCCTTTGTTTGGACACCACTTTTGGCCACCTTGCACTCATCATATACAAAAGAACCCTTATAGAAAAGCCCGAGTAGGTCTCACGGTCAAGATGGTATACCTGCGACAGCATCAGTTACCGAACCTGAAAGACTATCGATATGCGGGCGTGGATCTGTCCCTTGTTAGCCGATATGTCCTCAAGCCGTTCTATAATAACTTCGTGATCAAATTCTTTCCCATGAGCATGGCGTGAGTAGTGACAAGGCTGTACTTTATGTCTTTGCTTTGGCTAACGAGCTTGTTCGCTTCTCTTAGTCCTAATGCTGTAAGTCTTTTAGTCCAGCCCTACGCGCCAAAACAACAAAAATCCCGCTTAGCATGAAAGACCTGATAATAATCGAGGGTAGATTACCTTGACGGGTCTTATTTTCGTCCTGATCAACTTTGCCACCGTTCTATACTACAATCCAACGCTAGACCAGGACTGCCCCCCTTGGGTTTATGCCAGTTGCGCCGTGGGGTTGTTCCTGTACCAGACGTTCGACGGTGTAGACGGCATTCAGGCGTATGAGTTCCAGTTTCCCTGGTGGAAACAATCACTGACGGTATATTAGGCGGAGAACTAAGCAGAGCGGTCCCCTAGGCGAGCTCTTCGATCACAGTATGTCGACAAGCTGAATCAAGCAATAGGAACGACTAACTCCTTGATTAGGTGTCGATGCGTGCAACACTGCTCTGGGGGTTTTGATCTTCGCGGCTGTTATGAACCTTGGCCAGTCCTGGGCTACCGTGTTGACCCTTTTTGGATGTACGTACCTAGAAGACTGATCTGGAGCTCAGGTTACTGATCTGGTATCATAGCTACCATGACATTCTACGTTCAAACCTGGGACATGTACTATACCCAGGTCTTGACGCTTGGGATTATATCTGGACCCGTTGAAGGCGTACTGACGCTTTGTGTTGTCTTTGGAATCACTGCATACATGGGAGGGGGCAGCTTTTGGCATCAGCCCATGCTCGAGACCATCGGTATCCCCCAGTTCGGGTTCATTCCTCAGCGAATCTATGAGGTCCCTTTTACTCAGTGGTATCTCATTTACGGCGCGTTTGTTCTCTTTTTTGCTGTTGGCTCGAGCATAGCCCATGTCGTGCAGGTTCGAAAGGAGAAAGGAAAGGACTCCATCAAGCCCCTCTACGGCCTTCTTCCGCTTGTTTTGACTTGGGTCCTTGTGCCGGCTTATCTCTATCTCAACCCGACCGTCCTTGAGAACTACCTGGTCCCATTCGGCCTGTATGTCGGCTTGGTGAATGCGTACGCTGTTGGGCGAATGATTTGTGCCCACCTCGTCAAGTCCGAGTTCCCCTACTCCAACATTCTTCTTACCCCTGTCGCTCTGGGTGTCATCGATGGCACTGCTGTACTTTTTGGTCTTTGGTCGAAGCCTTTGCTTGATACTATTGGACATCCCGCGTTCGTCTTTTTGTCTCTGGGACTGGGCCTTGGTGTTTATGGAAGCTTCGTGGTAAGCTACTCAAAATCGGCGAGAGCACTCACGCTGTTACTGACACGTCTAGCACGATATTATTACCACAATCTGCGACTACATCGATATCTGGTGCTTGACTATCAAGCATCCGTACATGCCGGAAGAGACCGCCAACGGCGATGTTGTTCGTGCATCCAAGAAGACGTTATAGACAGAGAGTTGCGGCATTGCCTTGTAGCTCGACATTTGCAACGCTTTCATGGTGTTAAGAATCTACGACGACTCTCCTTTGTGGTGGCTAAAATCCTTTGAAATCCCTCGCTATATCTATTATGCCTTATGTCTTAGCGGAGTGGAATATTACTAGCGATAAAGTAGACAATAAACTTCATATGATTGAAAGTACTAAAGAAAATTATGATCATAGATCCAAAACCTTACATAAGCTATACACTGGTGGAAAATGCTTTGTTAGCGAGGGCTGAGCCCTACAGACGCCCCCCAAACGGGTCAACCGGGTCCCGCAAAGTTCTCAAATCGAATTCTCGCCATCTCCACGAGACCTCTTCAGTTGCTTCACACCCCAAGCAGGCCATCGCCCATCAGCGCTCTCTTCAACTACCTTCGCTGATCGACATTTTTTCTCGTCAAGATGGTGAGTTATTTTGCCTTTTGGCTTCGCACCACATCAAGAGCACCCTCCATACCGGCCTCGATTATATTGGTCACGTTCCTTCAGCGTGGTCATCGTCGCCATCATCGCCGCCGTCCAATTCGGATCGACTCTCGAACGTTTCGACTTTAGCACAGCTTTGCTAACACATCTGCGAATAGGTTCTCGCGGTCGACCTTCTCAACCCTACTCCTCAGGCTGAGGCCCGCAAGCACAAGCTTAAGGTATGATCTCGTCGGATCCCGATACACAATGTCGACATGGGTAACTAATGCGGGAACTTTTATGAAACGATAGACCCTTGTGCCTGCTCCTCGCTCCTTCTTCATGGATGTCAAGTGCCCCGGCTGCTTCACAATCACCACCGTCTTCTCCCACGCCCAGACCGTCGTCGTGTGCGCCGGCTGCTCTACCGTCCTCTGCCAGCCCACCGGTGGCAAGGCCCGTCTCACCGAGGGCTGCTCTTTCCGCAGAAAGTAGATGTCACGTTAACGGAGTTGGAACGATGACGATTGCAACGTGGCGTTCTTCGATGATGATGGATTAATACTATTTTTTTTGAGAAAGCACCTGCAGATAGAAGATGGAATCCTCGCCCCCTGCGAGAAACCCCGACAACACTCCTGGGCAATGAGAAGAATGTTCCTACAACCTCACTTCACCGTTCCAATACCAAAAAGCATTTTCTTCACATCGAGGGGAGTTCCGGATATCTGGCACTTGATCGGTCCAATACTCTTGTCAACTTTTGTGCTCTGTTTCCGTCAAAATCCAGTTTCTTCTCTCCTTTTTTGTGCTTGTGCTTTTATCCTCTTGCACGTCGTTGACTCGACGAGCGTACTGAGTTTGTGCACCATGGATATTATGCAACAGGTTCGCCCGCCTGAGCCGTGCCAATCAATGCGGATTTGGGATGTCAAGGAGTCGGGAAGAGCATTTTCTCGTTGGTGAAATATGGGATGCCTGTTTCCGTGGCATGTGCTCAGGCGGGCTCGCATGTCTTCTTCTCAGTCCTGGACAGTTGCGCTTGAAAAGGACTACTGGGCCTGGCCCATGAGGGAGACTGCAACCTGTAACATTCATGGTGTAGTAGCAAATCGTACCATTATTCAAATCGACCCGAACAACGTAGTCTGGCCCTCTAGTGTTGTAGTACATAGCACGTATCCACAGGACGATTCCGGGATTGTCTGGGGCCCCGGCTCCACACCCATTGCTTTTCGACTTGTCAAGGAATTCTATCTCTAGTAGTATAATCGTTATACTCTCTACACATGCAATGGATCGTATCCAACATATCTATAACAAGCTGTAGCAAGCATGGGGCTGGATTATGGAGTGACGCTTCTGCAGCAGGATTAGTTATCTTATCTCCGTCGCCGCGACCCCAATCTCAAACCCCTCACACCTTTTTCCTTCTCCGTTTGGACCTCTCTCTACCTACCTCTCTCCTGTCCTCAGTCTCGCCCCCGGCGACAGTCTGCACTCCAATTAAAAATGGCAACCCGGCCGCCCCTCAAACTCCTCATGCTTCACGGATATACGCAATCCGGACCCCTCTTCCACGCCAAATCCCGCGCCCTGATAAAACACATAACAAAGGCGTTTCCCCTCCACGAAGTCTCCGCCCTATACCCCACCGGTCCCCTGCGACTGAATCCCGCCGACATCCCGGGGTACACCCCACAAGAAGGATCTGGCTCCGGCGCAGCGGACAGCGAGGAAACCGAGATTGAATCATACGGGTGGTACAGGCGCTCCAACACCGCCGAACCACCCCTCTACGTTGGGCTCGAAGATGGGCTGGATAAGATTGCCAAGGTCCTTAGTGAAGAAGGCCCGTTTGACGGCGTGATTGGGTTCTCGCAGGGTGCTGCGATGGCGGCGATGGTGGTGTCGTTGTTGGAGGAGAAGCGGCAGGACGCTTTTGCGCATTTTGCGTCTTCTTCCTCTTCTGGAGGGGAGGGGTTCGCGTACCCTGCTTCATTTGCCAAGTTGAGCCATCCGGCGTTGAAGTTTGCTGTGTGTTATAGTGGGTTCCGTTCGCCGGGGGATCGGTACCGAGCTTTCTACGAGAGTCCGCCTATTCAAACGCCGGTCTTGCATGTTTTGGGTTCGCTGGATGCTGTCGTAGAAGAAAGCAGGAGTCGGTCGCTGATAGAGGCTTGTGTTGGGGATCCAGAAGCAGAGGGCAAGGTGGTTTGGCATCCTGGCGGTCATTTCCTGCCGAGTCAGAGACCGTATCTCGATGCTGCTGTGAGGTTTATCCGAGAGTGCTTGGATGGTGCTGTGCAGGAGGACAACGCTAATCATGAGGAGGATGTCAACGACATGGATTTGCCGTTTTAGATGCTGTTTCTTCCTTATACTATACCTGCTTGCTCGATTTTAGATTTATACTGCTTAATAGAAGGATAAAGTATATAATGAGTAATCTCAGTTTTCGACGGATAAGTGGATAAAATCAATTCTACTATTGTATAATTTACACCCATTGAGTGACTCATGCGAAATACGACAGCACTTAGCGAGCCTTTGCCTTTTCCCGAGGTGGGAGGATGCGCGCCATCATCTCTTCCTTGGTAATGAGATGATCAATGCGCTCCAAGAGGCCCAGTAGACTCTTCATGTCGCTGCTCCATTCGTTCAGCACGTCGTCGGCATCACGGGGTTTGGCAAAGTTCACTAGCCGTGCAGGCCGGTCAATCTTTGCATAGATCGTCTTGGAAGTGACAAGCTGGCTAATGTACTTTTCCGTTTCCTCCTCAGTCAGGTCCAAAAGCTGAGTTAGACGACCCATCTGAATGCGAGTGTAGTACTTTGCCACCACACGCACGTTATGCTCAATGACACGCTTGCGAAGGTCCTGCCACCTCGTGTAAGGCTGGTCCTCGGCAGACTGGCTCGGCTTGGGACTGAAGACATCGGTGTTGCACAGATGGGGCCCAAACGACTCTGCGACGATGGGCCACCGCATAAGTTCGGGAACTGTGAAAAGCTTCACGAGACGAGACTCAACAGGAACCGCAGAAAGTCTTGAATCTTGCTGAATGCGGTGCAGCAGGTCAGACTGTTCGTTGTCATATGGTGACAAAACAATGTAATATATAATGCGTGCAAGTACCTGGGTATGTTAGCTGGCTAGCTGTTATATGGATCGAGATCTAGTTACCGCTCGAAGTTGTTCTGGGTTGTTCTGCACCGAATCCGTATCAAGTACCTCCCTGTAGTGCTTGCAGACTTCTAGATACTTGTAGTCGTGATTGGCAAGAATGATTTGTTGTTCGTAATAGCGAAGCTTCAGGTCCGTTACGTCGTCATCGACATCCATGGGAGGCTCGTCAGGCCCGCGAGTCTTCTCCCTCTCTTCAGCTGCTTTCTTGAGCTTTTCGATCTCCTCGGGGCTCTTCTTCGGCTTTCGGGCAAAGTATCGTCGGTTAATCTTACGGCTTAGAACCGTCGCCTGGGTCCAGTCGCCTCGTTCTATGCAAAGCGCAACTTGTTCCAGAATGAACTCAGTCTTCTCCCTTCTCGTCATCGACCCGAATGTCTCAACCTGTAACTCGCAGAGAATATCGGCGGCGGCGTTCAAGTCGCCTTGCGACTTTTTGATTTGAGATAAGATACGTGTAACACGAGCTCTTTCGACTTCGACGAAGATCTGAAGACGCCATTAGCCAAGGATAGCAATAGAGATACCAATGTACCGACCTTTCCCTCTGTGACTGTCCGCAGGGTCTGGATGACCGACAATTTGGTATCCAGATTCGGTGTCTCATCCAGGAATTTCATCACTGTCTGCACCATCCTTGTGATGGCTTGTTTAAGCTGGCCATGCTTCTTGGAAAGGAGAAGGACTTGGTCGTTGAGGAGGTTCCAGTCGCCGGAGTTCTTGCTGATTGTGACAATCGTAACGAGTAGTCGAGATGTCGTGGGCAAGTCAGATGACTATGAGTATATACAGTCAGATCTAGCCGGCCGTACATGGCAGGATGATATGGTACCTGTCTTGCTTGCTTCTCCAACACCAACAGCTTGTCAATCGCTCCTTGAACATCGGTCTGATAGAGCAGTTAGCACTGCGTGATGTATGAAGATGCCCAGGTAAGCGATCTGTACCTTTGCAAGCTGCTCCGACTCCGGAATCAGCTTGTCAGCATCTTTGGAGAAGTCCTTCTCCGGCTTCAAGAGTCCGTCGGACATGGCGACCACTGAAAGTGTGTTCCTGGTTGATAACAGGATATGATAGGGATAGGACCCAAGACAGGAGACGAGAGGGTGGAAACGCCTGTGGTAATGCGAGCGTGATGTGAAATGACGGCGGAGTGTTCGTGAGGTATGATTGCATCTGGAGCTCTTGCGGCGTCAGTTCGAGCTGGCCAAAGCTCCAGGTCACGTGAAACATCACCCTTTCAGTAGTCTAAACAACAACACGCAAACATCTTTCTGATTCGACTTTGCAACATGATTATTTAACTCCCGAAACGAGTACCTTTCAGTATGACATCCGAGGACTCTATCTGCTACAGTCCATAGTTTGAATTCCTCTTTGCGCTCAGCATGTTGTCTGCTTATGCTTTGGCTGGTAGCGAAGGGGATGGACAGTTGGCGATCTTAGGAGAGATACTCACCGATTGATGAAGCTACTTCTATCCACACATTTTGAGATCTATTTGGCATCTCCACGGACGGCAAGGAAAACACTGGGCAGTCTGATAGTCCTCTCTTTCCTCGGAGATGTGAGCCTTATAATTGCCTTATTCCTCAGGCATAAATTGTTACTCAGCCATCACGCATCACGCCATCGTAACTAACTGCTTTGGGTTGAGGTTGTATAAAACCTACAGAGAAGAGAAAAGTCCGATAGTTTTCTGGACGCTGTTTTTGGGCTCTGAAATGCTGTGTCTTTGAATCTACTAATAATACTCGGAGATACCTTATCGACAAGGCTTCATCAGGAATATCAATTGAAAACGGGTTCAAACCTCGATCCGTTATCTCGATTTGCCTCTTAACCAATTGGCTTCTTATTTCCGCGGAGCACTGATTCATCGACTTTTTTTTTTTTAAATACTCTGCTCCGCGACACAAGCAATCTTCGAGATACGCTATTATACTCCGACCGCATTCATCTTTGAACTACGAATCTTGCACTTTTTGCAAAGTTGAGCAGAAGCCGCTGAGCCCCCTCGTTGGGAGTACTTGCAAAATCTTGACACCATGAAGGATGCATCATCACAGGGTGAAGCTCAGGTGCCACTGCTGGCTTCTTTAAACACGGAGTCCCAAGTGCATCTTATTGTGGGATCGAATCCCCTTGCTGCAGCTCGTTGCGCCAAAAGCGTGGGCTCTGGGGCGAGACCCACCATTATATCGCCTGATGCGGACAGTTTACAGTACACATTGGCCGCGTACATTGAACAAGGCTCTGCGCAATGGATTCAGAGGGACTTTCAAGACAGTGACTTGACGAGTCTAGGCAGAGAGGAAGTCGATCATGTTGTGGACATGGTTTTTGTAACCCTTGGCGCCGGCCATCCTTTGAGTATGCGTCGAACCTAATATTGATACCAAACAACTGCTAATATACTTGCAGGCACACATATCTCAAAATTATGCCGGCGTCTAAGAATCCCTGTGAATGTATCAGATGCCCCGGAACTGTGTACTTTCAGCTTGCTTTCCACTTACTCCGATGGTCCTCTTCATATCGGACTTACGACTTCGGGACGAGGCTGCAAGATGGCGTCAAGATTAAAGAGAGAAATATCATCTACACTACCACCTCACCTCGGCAGCGCTATAGATCGTCTAGGTACTGTGAGAAGACGTCTATGGGAAGAAGACTTTGCTGCAGGGCTCTGTGATGTGAACTTTGATGTCGACGAGGACGACTCCACTGGGCAGAAGCACACATTCAACAATTTGGTCACGGAAGACGATGTCAATGCAGCAAAGACTCGGCGCATGCGTTGGTTATCGCAGATCTGCGAATACTGGCCCCTTTCCAAGCTCGCCGCTATCACCGACTCGGATATCGACAGCATTCTCCAGGCGTACAGCTCAGGAAAGGTAAAGGACACAGATGTTAACGGAGTGCACCTATCTGAGAAGAAGGGGAGGATAATTCTTGCTGGTTCTGGCCCAGGACACCCCGATTTGCTCACTCGGGCAACGTATAATGCTATTCAGAGCGCTGACATTATCCTGGCCGACAAGCTCGTACCTGCACCCGTCCTAGAATTGATCCCACGGAGGACAGAAGTACATATTGCCCGAAAATTCCCCGGGAATGCCGATCAAGCACAGGAGGAGTTTCTTCGCATGGGATTGAATGCTCTCACCCAAGGCCGCCAGGTCCTCCGCCTAAAACAAGGTGACCCGTATCTATATGGACGCGGAGGAGAGGAACTCGAGTTCTTCCGAGCGGAGGGATACGCACCTATCGTGTTGCCCGGAATCACCAGTGCTCTGAGCGCTCCTTTGTTTGCGGAGATCCCTGCAACCCATCGAGGAGTATCTGACCAGGTTCTGGTTTGCACAGGGACTGGAAGAAAAGGCGCCGCACCTGAGCCTCCGACGTACGTTCCCACACAAACGGTTGTGTTCTTGATGGCGCTTCACCGAATATCTGCCCTCGTCAACTCCTTGACCACTTTACCTGAAGGAGACTGTGGCTCGCCACCACAGAAGCGGACACTATGGCCGAAAGAAACGCCGTGTGCTATTATTGAGCGTGCTTCTTGCAGTGATCAGCGGGTGATTCGCTCCACACTCGAGCATGTCTGCCAGGCGTTCGAGGCTGAAGGATCGCGGCCGCCCGGTTTGCTTGTAGTAGGAGCTAGCTGCCACGTTCTTCACAAGCCAGAAGACCAGAAGTGGATCGTTGAGGAGGGATTTAGAGGACTGGATGAAATACAAAAGGCGATTGATATGCCAGTGATGAACGGAACAGCTTAGGGTTCGGGTGGTCGTCATTGATGTTGCTGAGTTATATTGATACCCATAGATCTTTTTAGAATTGAATATAGAACAGTACAATCATGAGATTAGAACGAGCCTGCGCCATGGTTGTGTCAGTACACCGTTCCCTCATCAATATCAGGCCTGGGTTGCGAGATGATTTCCCAAGTAGGAAGAGAAACAAAGTCCAGGTCACCTGCTAGCGCCAAGACTACTGTTGCCTTCCTGTCATCTCGAACTTGACCAACGTTCATCCAGACAACAAATCCATCGTCACTCTGAAGTTAGTGCATATCCATCATGGCCTCGAATCGGCCCTCAAAACCTGGTGTGTATTTGCACAATGGACAGATTCTCCAAGCGTACGCATCAAAATACCCCTCTCGCCGTGCCGATCACTAATGCCATGGTCTCTTATCCACAGTCCTCCGCTTTCCGTCCAGATAAGACGCTTCCTCGAAAACATCTACTTGTTCTTCGGTCTCTACTTCACGAGCTTCTTCTCGGTATGCGCCCATCGAATGCTCAGCCCTGGTTTTGTGGAGCCGCATCTTGCCGCCGAACCCTTCAACTAACCGTTCAACTCCTAGCTTGATCCGTATACTGCCGCTGAAAACTCGTCGTTCAATATTACTAGATCCTCGAACCAGTCTAATAACAAGCCTCGCTGGTCTAGCTCAGGGGGACCTCGAGGAGGAGGAGGAGGAGGTGGTGGTGGTGGTGGCGGCGGCGGCCCTGGCGGTGGTGGTGGATTTGGAAGTTTCGGATCAGGCAAATTCGGCCGGGTGGATGATATCAATGGCACCTGCAAGACCGGCTGTTGCTGATGTCCAAAGAAAGCGAGCTCTAGAGGCCATCCTGGACTGCTGAAATCTTAAAGCACGTCTAAGGGAATCTCGTCAACCTAAAGAGCTTCGTTTGGAGGCGCGAAGCGGACTCTTATTCCCCTACTTTCTCTTTGAACATCGCGTTTGTGGAATTTTTGATGCTTCTCTGTACTACGATAGTGGCTTAGAAAATTTTGTTAACATCTCTTAGCTCTTGAAAGCTGCGACAGACTCCAGGTAGTATAAGGATGCGAATTCGCTGTAGCTTCTCGAACCCTAATTCCTTCGTCAGATCCTTCTTAGGACAGCAACCACAACTCACTGGATCATAGCAGTCTACGTTCACCCGTACTAAAGTGAACTGAAGCCTTTACTGCTATCCTTTCTGCTGGGTTACTTCTCCAGATATCATCACGTGAAGCTCCACGTTCTCCGCAGAATAGAGGGGCAATTTATGTTCTAGAATTTCTCCCACTTTGTTGGCACTCGTATCTCAAAGTTCCCCCGACAGCAAAATGTCTATCCCAAATGACAATGCCGGGTGGGAGGCCACGATCTCCTCGTATCAAAACTCCCTGACCGAGGTTTCCACCGAACAGCGCGCATCAATCACCTCCCAAGTCAACCGGACAATCGACCACACCCAGCTAGCTCTAGCAGCAACAGAGGAACAAATCGACGAGCTGTGCACTCAAGCCTCAAAGTACCAATTCGCAACGGTATGCGTCCGCCTTAACTACGTTCAGCAAGCTGTGCAGAAACTCAGTCAATCGCCTGATGTCGGGGTCGCATGCGTGGTTGGTTTCCACGAGGGCATGTACGAGACCTCCGAGAAAAAAGATGAAGCCCGGAAAGCAGCTGAACTTGGCGCTACGGAGCTGGATATGGTACTGAAGTACCCATTGCTCAAGTCAAAGCAATACGTCGACGTCTACGAGGATATTTTGGGTGTGCGCAATGCGGCTCCTTCTCCCATTGGATTGAAGGTTATTCTGGAAACCTCACAATTGACTCGAGAAGAGATCATTGCGGGGTCTGTGATTTCGTGCTTGGCTGGGGCTGATTACATTAAGACGAGCACGGGTTTCAACGGCGCGGGCGCGACGGCTGAAAATGTGGCTTTGATGTATGAGACCGCAAAGCTCGTGGGCAAGGGGACGAAGGTCAAGGCTAGTGGTGGTGTCCGAACTGCGGCAGATTGCCTAAAGATGCTGAAAGCTGGCGCTGAGCGGATTGGTGCTAGCTCTGGGGTGAAGATTGTGCAGGAGCTGGAGGGTGCTGAGATCCGGGAGCAGGGACCGTCTGATGGGTACTAAGGGTCATTATCATGCGACTTGTTCAACTGCATAGATAGCTCGCGGTTATGAGAGACTCACTGTATAGTTACGCTCTCTTCCTTGTTCCTCGCAAAGACTCACTTCATACTTGCTGCCTGAATTAGAGGTATCTGCCGTTCTATGCTGTAAGCTGGAATGCAAGCATAGCCTGTCATTAAACCCTCAAAACATCCCGCGAATCTGCAGATTATAATAGTAGAGCCATGGCCAAGAATGTGGCAAACGTATTTGCACAACATTAGCGCCCAACTTTCCCTTGTGTCGTTTCCCTAAAGCTATGTAGACCAAGAAGACCAAAGTAATCTTTTGGTCAGAACAAGCGTATACTATATAAAGTCCAATTCGATTATCGCTGGTAATATGCTAGTGTCATCAAGATCTATGCTCAACCCAAACTTTTTAAGCCGTTGCGCCGTGGACTCACCCATACCCTAGTAGTGTTTGTGCAGCCCAATGAAACATGCTAGGCATTCCCTAAAAATTATGAAAAAGTACAATGATCACTCGTCGCTACTATGATCGTCAGTGCCACTTGTTTCAGAACCTTCTTCAACATCTAGGCGACGGAGCGCTGTATCTCCGTTCTTCCCTTTCTTCTCCGCAGCGAACCAGGCCTCTCGTCGTCGAGCTGCCCGCTCCTCCTTGCGGGCTTCACGCTGAATTTTCTCTCGGTGTGACTGCTCCTGTTTCTCTTGGAGCTCGTTGATATAATCATGGAGATTGGCCAGGTCCGATCGCAATTTGGTTACTTCTTCGATAGTAACCTGACGAGCGATTTGGCTTACCGAGACCTTTTGTTTCAAATTGGCGATTTCGCTCTCCAAATCAGCAATCTGGGAATCCTTCGCAGAGTCATCAATGTCCATTGCAACGTTCGAAGATGTGGCTGTAGCAGCCGACGCTGGCTGGCCCACAGTAGCAAGCTCAGCTAGGCCCTGTTCCAGCATTGATGTTGGGAAGGAGGCATTAGAAAATGCATTCATGAACCAGTCTGGCCCTGCGGACGTCGCGTCAGGTAGAATGTGGGTATTGAATTCGTAGTCGGCAGGAATCGTTCCCGCAAATTGGGAGTTTTCGGATAGAGAATGGTCGAATCTGGGTTTAACGATAGTATGTGATACTCTCTTCAAACTAGCGGCCTGCTGATACAGCCCACTGAGAGGCTGCATGATGACGTTCGTGACTGGATGTGTCAAGTCGGCTATTGTTGAGGCGTATTTCCGCCGCCCGACATTCCAGGAATAGACTTTCCCATTTTCATGGCCGGAAAGCAAGACCATGCCATCGTAAGAAAGTGTCAAGGTATGCGCGGCACCGCTATCGGCGGAAGGAGGGAGCCAACGTTCTTCAGCGGGTATCTGGGCCGGGGTCGTTTGTAAAGAAGGATCATGAAGAGGGTGCTGAACAGATTGGTCCTTGTAAAAGTCTACCGACTGCAAGCTTCCATCCTCATAGCCGACGTAAAAGGCTCGGTCAACCGGGTCAAGCGAAAGAGAGACGGCGTTAGCCGGCAGGAGGAAATTCCGCAGGACATGACCGGTCTGATAGTCCCAAGCAATGGCAGTATTATCCTGAGCTGTAGAGACCACGATATTGTATCTACCGGTGCTGTGTCCCACTGCGATTGCGGTAACGGCGGCGCGGTGGTTCGAGAATGTGCGGAGAGGCGAGTTCGGGGGTTGCCTTTCGCGGCCGGATGGAGGTTTTGTGAAAGAAAGAAGATCTACCAAGGACCATACGTGGATGGTGGCATCCGCGGAGCCGGAAAGAATAAAATTGGAGGTGGGATCAACCGCGACAGCTGTGACGGGTCGTAGATGCGATGCGGTTGTAACGACTTGGCGTCCCGTGCAGACCTTTTTCCAGAGCACCGTCAGCTTTAATCATACGTCTCTGATGATTGTACTCACCTCCCATAGAATCAAGCGACCCCCCTCTGTTCCCAGAACCACAATGTCGCCATTCTTAGACCCAACAACCGCGATGCTGCGAATGCGCTCATGGAATGGAACTGTAGCTTCTTGATTTCCCTTATCCCTACTATAAACGTGCACGGTTGCCTTTTCTGATTGCGCCGCGAATATGTGCGACGCCGTCACAGCCAGACAATTCGGGGCGGTTGAGCTCCTCTTAAAGGTTGAGCGTAGGGTAGCCGACGGTTGGAGTTCATGAAGACAAATGCCCACGTCTCTGAGTGACGCCGAGGCAGGGGTCTTCGCGGACGCCAAGGTCGACGCGATGAAGCATTCTGAGAGCATGAGGAGCTGTTTATCAGTCCGGAGTTGACCGTCCAGGAACAATTAGAGAAAGCCGTTCCATATCTTTTTTTTCGCGATGCGATAAGCGGGAGTTTGCACTGTTTGCACAAGCATCCTTTACCCTGTGTACATGAGTCACGTGCTGTTTATTCTCTTTCGAGAAGCAGAAGGCATTGAGTTTCCATGAGCTTAATGCTTGATCAACACCAATTCAACCCTCGGACAGGAACCTCCCTGGATCCATTCACTCCTTCATCTTGCAACAAGACTAGCTTGGCCGTGTCCGCCAAGTGGTCTAGAGCATAGTCACAATGCCCTAACCAGCGTCAACAATGGGTCAGCCCTCTTCAGGAACTCAGGTCGTGTCAAGCAAATTTATACGCCTTTTTGAGAAATCTTAGCCATGGGTGTCAACTGCAGAGTCACAATTCTCCGCCACAGCTTGGTTCGAATTCCTGCACATGCTGCTGAGATTAATCGCCCTCTCCAGCTATGGAACCCTCCATGCAACGGCACCCACAGCAACCGAAGCAAGGGGCCCTCTCTAGGGGCTGCATCTTTTGATTGCCCGGTGCAACAGTTTTATTGGATCGAGACATCGTGACGTTCCCCCAGTGCCCTCACTAGGGGGTTTCCTGCTCTATTCGCCTGCGTCCTGCATGTCTCATTCCTTCTGTAATGACGAAATGCAAAGTCCCTGCAAAGCCCTTCGCCCACGTTTCGATGCGGCCCTGTGCCCAATGATCTAGATCCAGTATGCTCTGACTGGCTCTTACCTCTCTTTGGAATGCAAGGACGGCGAGCGGAGTGGCCCTTTAGGGCCTACACACTTGGCTTATGTTCCAGAGTTCCTCTGGAAGGGGGCGATGAACATGCCCGTTGTCTGGCGTACTGTGCAAGGTAGCCAAGGGGTGTTTTTAATCTGGCCGAGGTCGCAGTATAAGGGCTCCTCGGCCGCTTTTTACGCCCGTTTGGTCTGGAAGCTTTTGCTGGCTTTTGCTTTGTTTTCCGTCTTCCCTATACTGATCGAGAGGTCCAGCAGATTCATCAAACATCCTCATATCACCATGTCCTCGACGGACTATAATCTGGCAGATCCGCATACGAAGCATCGTCATAGTCACAACCGCCACCACACCGTGGCCGCAAGCCCTGTTCCGACATATGCTAACAGGGGTGTTCCGACGTATAGTATGCTGAACCAGGAACCTATAGGCCACTCTAGCAACCTACCTTCCCCACGCTACTCTCCGAACGTGCAACCATGGAAAAGACAGCAGCCTCAGAACTCCCTCTCTTTCATTCCATCCACATCTCCCCGTTCTGAACAATCCGAGTACACCACATCTCAACCAAGACGAATAGCGGACCGTGGGGCAGCTTGCATATCTCCATTTCGCTCAGTGCGCAAGATGAAAGAGCCTTTTCAACTTCGTCTGCCGACTTCACCGTCTATTGAGAACGGCTCTAGCTCTACTGGGGACGCCCGAGTGACTTCACGTCAACCTGAGCTACGGTCATTGCGGGCCTGGAGATCGGACCAGAACCTCATGGCTTCCAGTTTAGAGACATTCGGTCTTCTCCCTAGCCCTCCACTGTCCGACTCGCATACTCCTCAGGCATCTCCATCATCGACATACTTTTCATCAAAACAAGGGCGTGGAATTGAGAGCTTCCCTCTGACAACAGGACGCTGCACTCCTCACGCTACGGCAACTGATACCCCAGCGCAGCATCATTCCACCGAAAGCACAAATGTTCATATGGCGCATTCGAACCTTGTAAGACAGTATGAGATGAGTGATGGGCAGTTTACCCCGTCAACAACGGACTCAGGATGTATGTCGCCGCCTGCGACCTGCTCGGATACAGACTCGGTTGGAACCCGAAACTTTTCCGGGTCATCCGCAGCGACACATCGAAGTCGGTCTGGCACAGTCTCAAGCGAAGGTAGTTGGGTTCCAAGTAGCCTATATTACTGTGAAACATGGCTTCAGGGTGCTCCCATTGATTCAGCAGAGGAAGAACCGGGAAAATCGACCGTCCTGAACCGGAGGAAATTCCAAATCGTTCAACAAAGCCCCTTTCTCCCGGACTGGAAGCGAGCACACAATGATGCGGTAGGGTTAGTCCAAGCCAGAGTATTACATCTTACTAAGTATTGGCAATAGGTCCTCGCAGTGAAGAGCAAAACCAAGCCAAAGTTGGTTGATATTTCACGACAATCCTCACCAGCGATGAGTTACTCGCTTCCCACGCCGACCCATATACTTCCTGCCACGCCTGATCAAAGCCTACCGGAAGTTTCAGCTTTCAGCCCTGACACGCCTCTAGAAATGTCCGATAGTGGTTATGCTACGAATAATCTGGCACGGCCTCCAAAGGAACAGGAAGCTGATAAGGGAAATACACCTACAGAGTCCGGCTCAGTGGTTTCAGGAGACGCTAGCGAAACAGTTATTTGTGATGTCTCAGCTGAAAATAATGCCCGTCAGAAACCACACTCGACGACTGACATGCTATCTGAAGCCGTTGCCTCACAACCACAGGCATCTCCGAGTGCTTCGTCGAGTAAGGTGGAGAAAGAAGAATTGGAAAAATGGTGGGATCTTGAATGGACGATCGACCAGCTCGAACACTCGGTGAAGGAATTCCCTCAAAACATACTTCGACTGACTTCTCCTGTTGTGATGTTCCTCCGCCGCAACCAGGAACGATCCCTGATCCGTCCTTTTCGCCAAATATTTCCTGATGCTCCAGAATCTCTCCTCGACTCGCTTTGTGCTGTTCTGATCGCGAAAAACTATCTGCTCTCATTGCCATCGTCCAGCCGCCGGGCGGCCAGTATATCTCCACGTGTGCAGTTTACCAAATCAGACACGGTTCCAGAAAAGGCCTCTTCGATTCTGGGGATGAAGTTTGCACAGCCGCCACCGTCACGCATCCGAGATCAGGTCCTTGGTTCTCGAAGCGGCAAGCTTCACCAGGATTTCGACCGAATCATTGATGATTTACTATCCACTCTTCACGGTCCGCCTGACGAGGCTCTGAAATCAGCTACACTAGTTCTAATCCAGGTCCTGGAGACCAAGGCATAGACCGCTGTTTTAACTTGACATCGTGCAATTTGCTGTTTGAACTTTATTCTTGAAGCGAGCTACTTTAGTATAGATATCTTTACGCCACCCGGTCTTTTTTTTTTTTTTTCATTTGCAATTCCAGCGTCTGTCTGTATGCAGCCTTTCTTTCCTATGCCTCTTATACTGATAGCGGCTGCTGGACTATGTCCGCCTGTTCAGCTGTAGGTACTTAGCCCCAGCCATAATGTGTAATTAATCGCTAGACATCTGACAATGTGAAATAATATATACCAAGTCGAATGTCAGCATATTCAATGTTTACACTCACTAGCAACCATCAATTCCGACTCATAGATCGGGATTACTCAGCTGTTGCCACCTGAGGCATGAAACCGACTATTCCAGACTAGTGCAGTCAAGATAACTGTGACGGTTTCCCGCGGAATTCATTCTTCTTGCAACAACATTGAGCTTCAAGCAATCCACGCCATGGCCGCTGCGACAAACCGACTGAGAGTACTGTACTCATCATCTAGGGCCGCGGCCTCTCACACAGGGAGCGTTTCCCACCTCACCTCCCGCGGCTACGCAACCACAGATTCCTCCTCCGCCACTGGCGGAGCTTCAACAGCACCCCCAAGGAAACGGACAACATTTACGGACAAGCTCAACACCGGCCCTTCCTTTGCGGACTTTGTCTCTGGCGGAAATGACAATGCGCCTCTTGATCCATCCGAATCTTACGCCCTCAAGACCGCAATGGTCGGCCCCGCCGGCCGCAAGAAGGAAATGACCCGCTTGCCGTCATGGCTCAAGACACCAATTCCTGATTCGAAGAACTACCAGCGACTGAAGAAGGACCTCCGAGGATTGAACTTACATACCGTGTGCGAGGAGGCGCGGTGCCCCAACATTTCCGACTGCTGGGGCGGCGGCGACAAGGCCTCCGCTACCGCGACGATCATGCTTATGGGCGATACTTGCACGCGCGGTTGCAGGTTTTGCAGTGTAAAGACCTCCCGGACACCGCCGCCGCTTGATCCACACGAGCCCGAGAATACAGCAGAAGCAATCTCCAGATGGGGTCTGGGTTATGTGGTGTTGACGACTGTTGATCGAGACGACCTTGTCGATGGTGGCGCTCGCCATTTCGCCGAAACCGTGATCAAAATCAAGCAAAAGGCCCCGAATATTCTAGTGGAATGCTTGACCGGCGACTATGCTGGGGATACAGAAATGGTTGCTCTCATGGCTCGGTCCGGCCTTGATGTGTACGCCCACAACGTCGAGACTGTCGAGGCCTTAACGCCGTATGTCCGTGACCGCCGGGCCACATTCCAGCAGTCACTCCGTGTCCTCGACGCTGCGAAGAAGACCACCCCGTCGCTCATCACAAAGACCTCGCTCATGCTTGGGCTTGGTGAGACTGAAGACCAGCTCTGGGATGCGTTACGCCAGCTGCGGGCTGTCAATGTCGACGTCGTCACATTTGGTCAGTACATGCGGCCGACAAAGCGACATATGGCTGTTCATGAGTATGTTACGCCGGATCAGTTCGAGCTGTGGCGCCAGCGTGCTCTCGAGATGGGCTTCCTCTACTGTGCGTCGGGTCCTCTGGTCCGGAGCAGCTACAAGGCAGGAGAGGCATTCATTGAGAATGTGCTGAAGAAGAGGCGGACTGGAGCTCCGGGGCAGGCTCTGGGAGAGACTCTCTCCGCTGATGCAACTCGCTGATTGCCCTATTCTTTAGGCTTTTTTTTCTAAACATTCTCGGCGCAGGGTATAGGCATTACTGGCTCTTGGTTGTATAAAGATTTCTCACTAGATATATGTTAATAGCACAGTTCAACACAAAATCAATTTGACTCGAACCCATCAAATCTTATCCTTCGCCCTTCTACTCTATGGAGCATATCTAAACCCCTCCACTCCCTCCAATGCAGCAATCTGCCCTTCATCCGCCAACCGATTTCGACGACGAAGATACATAGACATGCTAAACGTCCCAACCGTATACAGCATCTGCATTGCAATCGTGCTCCTGTTGCGATGAGCCGAGTTAGCCTGTCCTCTTCTTTATCCACATTATACATCGATAATATACATACCACATCCCCGGAAGATACATTGGTGCATCCTGTGCACGGAAAATCGTGCTCCCTGTAACACCTCCCGCAGCACCAACGGCAATCATCGCCGCAGACACGACGCCCTTCCGTACTGGCTGCGCGGTCTGGTTTTGGCCGTAGGCTAGGGTTGCGGGACTAACTCGTGGCGTCAGCACTAGTCAGGGCTTGGATTGTATATGCTGGAGTTTATTTGTAATGGGATGGGAGACGTACACGTTTGCCTGCGTGCCGAAGACGGCAAGGAAGGTTCCGAAGTAGCGGACCCCGGGGGGCACAGCGTAGAGGGTTATTAGGAGGCCGACGATGCTAAGGGGGTTTCAGCGGTGAGGGGTCTAGGAGGGATAGGTGGTACATACGCGGTCACTGACTGGGTGCATAGAATGCTAGATGGTGTTTAGTCAATAGCCATAGGAGTGTAGTGTTAATGGGCTGGGCGCTTCACGTACACCCATCGAACGCGGAATTTATCGGAGATCCAGGCCATGAGGAGGCTAAGGACGACAGCAACTAACTATTCGGCAGGTCAGATTAGACAGTGACGACTACAAGCATGAGAAGTTCTGAAAACATACATAGGGCGGGCTAGTCAGAACCTGAGCAAGAGCATAGGTAAAGCCCATTCCCTCTCTCAGGATGATGGGCATGAAGAATGCTAGCGAGTATACGCTTGATGCGCAGATAAAGTATTGCAGTGCACTGGCTAGCATCAGCGAGCCTGCTTGATACTCGGTCTCTATGAACTCACTAGAACCCTAGCTTCCAATCCATCAGATAGACTAGACTCTGTTTGACAGTGATATGCTCATACTCTCGGCCACCGTGTTGGTTGGCGATTCTGGTAAGGGCAGTTCGCTTCTCGCGACTGCTTAACCAGCTTGCCTTTTCGGGGACTTTATATTGGGATGGTTAGCCAGGGGCAAGGTGGTTAGGGTTAGGCCAGGCAGGAGCCTTACATTGTCCGAGAGTGAAGATGGCGATGAACCCTGCAGCGATCGTGACTGCACCTTCGATAATGAAGATCCACCTCCAGCCTTGTCGGTATATTCCATCACCCGCTCGAATCAGAGAGAGGCCGTATGCGATCTATGTCAATTGTCAGCATCACAAGTCAATCTTGTGTGTCAGTGGGTAGTTGAGAGAACATACAATGCCACCAAACCCCGACGCGAACAACGAGGCCATGTAGAAGATAGAGACTCGCCTCGCCGTCTCATACGTTCTGTACCAGGACGAGATGAGGAACACGGCACCGGGGAACACTTAGGTCTTCTGTCAGCCCGTCGTGGTTTCAAAAGAGGGCTGTGTGTTTGGTAGACTCACATCCAGCCTCAAACGCTCCGAGCAAAATCCGCAGAATAGCAAGAGGGACCCAATGCCGGACAAATCCCATTCCGAGAACACATACGCCCCAGGCGATGATAAGGCCGCTAAGCCATATTCTGGCGCCGATGCGCCGGATGACGAGGTTCGAGGGGAGCTCGAAGAGCGCGTACGGGACGAAGAAGAGGAGGAGGGCGATGTTATACCGGGCACCTGGAAGAGGAAGCGTGGTAAGATACTGTACATTGAAGACTAGTAGGAGTGGCCTGGAACAACACATACCTACGCTTAGCTCCAGATCCTGGGCCATGCCTGCAATATAGGCTGAGGATATGTTGGTCCGGTCCAGCAGCGAGAGGGCGAATACGACGCATAGCACTGGGAGGACATGCCAGTCGATTCTCTTTCTTCTGGAAGTCAGCGGCAAATATTGTACTCGCTCCTGGCATCGAAGTCATACACGAGTGCTCTCTCCTCCGAGTCACTCCAATCCTGCGTATTGGTTCCCGAAACAGCCTGCTGCTCAGCCTCCTCCAGATGGGAGGCGTTGGCGTCTTTATCTGCCATAGTGAGCACAATGATCGCATGCAAATAGACTACTCCCTGCTTACTCTACGCGGTGACATGTTGTTGCTTTTTAAGAATTCAAAACACTCTGCTCCGCTCTTTGCGTGACATAGCCTTGGGCCGAGGGCAACCCCTCTCCAAAGGATAACCTGCTAGCGGGGAACAACTTGGCGTAAAAGGGCTTTTTGGATGTGAATGCCGTATCTAAGATCATCAAACGATGGAATCTTGGGTCTGGACCTAACCGGTGTACTTCTCCCCCGCAATCGAAGCCCTTGTCCTCCAACTTAGGCAACGGCAGCCGGTGGACCCAATCGGGTCATTCTCAACCTTTGGCGTTACCCTCGGATCAAATCATCTGGTCTTTGTCTTCTTTGACTATAGCATGTTTATGTTTGAATCGTGTTACACCAACGCTAGGTTACAGCCGGTTCCGTATTCGACGGTTCGTTTCGACGTCCTGAACAGCATATCCAAATACATGTACAGGCAAGAACTGAGATAATATGAAGAAGATATGAAGGTTGGCTAGCCGCGCCCAAGCGGGAAGCGAAGGAAAAGAATCTCCTGTTCTACAGGAAGATGTCTTATTGAACCTAGGCGATGAGCTCCTGGATTTCATCATTGCCCAATCCAAAAAGGTAGAGAATGTCCAGGAGGCTTTCGCTGTTGAGGCGAGTGGGTGCCTCGAGCTGAACCTTGCTCTTGGCCTTAAATGCAACACCAAGCCCAGCAGCATGAAGCATGAGCAAGTCATTCGCGCCATCGCCCACGGCTACGGTTTGCACAATGTCAACTCCGTTCTCCGCTGCGATGGAGTGGAGCAGAGAACGTTTTTGGTTCGCATCAATGATTGGATAGGTTGGGACAAGTTTGCCCGTCAAGGTCTGCGATGTGGGATCAATCTCGAGCTGGGAAATATGTGAGCTCACATCGACAAGGGCAAGGTTGAGGGGACGCGTATACGCACATGGTTTGCATGGGCGTAGTCGATACCTAGCTCACCAGCCAGCCACTCCGCAAGTGGCTGGAACCCACCACTGAGGACTGCGAGCTTGCAGCCAAGCTTCTTGAGTCCTTTGCACAGTTCCCTGGCGCCAGGAGCGATAGTGATGACGGATTTCAGCTTTTCAAATACATCCGCGGGGACTCCCTTCAGGAGGCTAACTCGCTCCTTGAGCGATGCGGAAAAGTCAAGCTCGCCATTCATCGCACGTTCGGTAATTTCCTATCAATATTAGAGCCGGCACACTGGGCTGAGCTTTGATATACGAACAGAAACTTCCTTCTCAACTCCAATAAATTTGGCAATCTCATCAATCACTTCGTTCTGAATCAAAGTGCTGTCCATGTCGAAGACAACTAATCGCTTATGTTGGCGGAAAACACTCTCCTTTTGCAGCACAACTTCCACGTTCCATTCCCTTTCAAAACGCCAGATGCTTTCGTGCTTCCGCAGATCCGCAAATGTGAGATAATCTGGGTTTGGTGGTGGGGAGAACGTAACCTCCACGACGCGAGGCTGATCATGTTGGTCGAGACAGCGGTGGGAGGTGTTCATGCGATGGTACGGGGTAGGAAGAGATTCGATGATTTGAAGAAAGTTTGTCAGGCACAGCTGAGACACATACGGGCCGTATAGGTGATCAAGTGGCTCGGGCTCCGGTGCCGGTGGTTCGCGCGGGATCTTCTCAATATCAAGGGTCGGAGCCGAACCGACAGGAACCGTGGGGTGTGGAAGCTTATCCCCGGGTCGAGCGTTGGGGGAGGAATCGGGATGAACGTGGGGATGGACTGGCTCGGAAGACTTGTAAAATAATGTTGCGACCAGCTTTGGGGTACCCTGAGGGAGAAGACCTTCCTGGTGATGGAAGATGCTGTGGATGATGCCACTCTCGGTCACCCTCTTAGGATCGGGACTGATGGGATTTGCATTTCGGGAAATGGCCGATGGCGGAGACTCATTAAGGTTGCCGAGCACGTTTCCTATGGTTTGGGTAACGATAGCGGGGGCGGGAGCAGGGGGTTTGTATTGCTGGTGGTCATGGATGAAAGAGCTGCTCGAGAAGCTCTGGCGCAGGACAGGACGGGCCGGACGAGATCCGGCGGGGTTGGGTAATGACATCTCGCAAAGCTTATGCAAGAGTGTGGGGGAACGAGGGGGTCAATGAAGGACAAAAGGAAGATGGCACAAGTGCGCGGGGTTCAACGAGGCCCGCGCGTGGGGGAAAAGAGTCCCTCTGATAGCGCGAGAACGGGATGCAGGTGAGAAGCGCAAGAAATCCAGACGCCCGTCAGAATCAAGAGATTCAAGACTCAAACCTGCCATGTCCTGCATTGATCGACGGCACGTGGGAATATCGTGCCTCAGGCTCTCAGCAAATCCCACGTGCTCTCCGCCTGGCAGAAAGGCAACCGTCCCAAACTCTTCACCCGTAACTCCTATCCAAGAAGCCAAGTGGGGGTTGTCCTCCAGAATCCAGCCTGGGAGATGAGTCCCCTCAGGTATCTACAATATCGTCGGGATGACATCCTATGATGCCACTTCCAGGTGTGCAGCTTGGACAAGGCAATTATCCTTACTAATCTGTGAAATGTAACTATGTAACTATTGTTCTCATCAATTCCTCCTCTTTCGTCACTGATAGCTAATCACCATTATTCAGTGTCATCAGGCTCAACAAAGGGATAACCCCTGCCTCCGCTTCTGCGCCGTAACAGACGATTTATAATCGAACCTCGACGATGCGACCTGTTTTCTCCGAGGGCATTTCGCCCGGTTTCCAGGGCCATGCCGGAGCGGGTGGATTTCTCATCACCCTGATGGAAATCACGTGATCGATGGCGTGCTCTCTGCTTGATCTGAGAGGATCAAACTTTTCACAACTAACCTCAATATGATTGCCACTATACTCAACACGACAGGCGGTCACAAAAATGTCGTGCTCGAGGGCGGCAGAATTAATCGGCATGTATGAGGGACGAAAGGCAGCGAAAAAGGCGGCTCCATTGCCGATGATGTCGTGATTGCCCTTGTCTGCTCGTTTTTCTATATCAGACGGGCCATTGGCACTTTTCCCCCTCTCTACACAATCCCACTCCCCCGCCAGAGCATCACATCATCCCACAATTCCCCTAACCACGGCACAGCACACACACCCTTCCGGTTGTGTAAGTCGATATGCCAGCCAAGATGCATTCCAACTACCCCTCCGACACTGAGACCGCGGATTTGAGGGATTCTACAGAGTCCGGCTATGTTAGTGGGGGCTCAAGCGACGACTATCTCCCCGAAATCGTCTTCACCAAGCCGCATCTGCAATTCCTCAACAGACAGCTTCAATTCCTCGAGCCTCAAGGTTGGTGCCCTTCTGCCTTACTAGTGTTCATGCGTCTCTAGCTAACAACCCGAAGATGTCCTCAGATGGTGTGTCACCTCGCTTCCTCACTTGTACCAGACCACCGCCTTTGGTCTCACAGGCCTCGTGATCATGGACATGCTTTCCAAACTGTCCATTCCACGCCCTCAAATGGTCAACCTTATCTTCCTCGACACTCTGCACCACTTCCCAGAGACCCTCACCCTTGTCGACAAGGTCCGCAAGAGGTACCCTCATCAACACATTCATGTTTACAAGCCTCAAGGCGCCGAAACCGAGGAGGAGTTTGCCAAGAAGCACGGTGCTAAACTCTGGGAAACGGATGACCAGCTCTATGACTGGGTCGCCAAGGTGGAACCGGCTCAACGTGCATACCGTGAACTGAACGTCCATGCTGTCCTGACTGGACGTCGACGCAGTCAGGGAGGCAAGCGTGGAGATCTCGACATAATTGAGGTCGACGAGGCCGGCCTGATCAAAATCAACCCACTCGCCAACTGGAATTTCGACCAAGTCAAGCAATACGTCAAGGAAAACGACCTACCATACAACGAGCTTCTGGACAAGGGCTACAAAAGCATTGGTGATTACCACTCTACGCAACCCGTGAAAGAGAACGAAGATGAGCGTTCCGGCCGCTGGAAGGGTCAAGCAAAGACCGAGTGCGGTATCCACAACCCTCGATCCAAGTATGCTCAGTACCTTATGGAGATGGAGCGCAAGCGACAGGAGGAGGCCCTGTCTCAAGCGCTGCAGAACCAGCTCACAACCGCCCAATAAGTATTGGGTTATGGTCGTATTTTGCATAGCACTGGCGTTTCCACTTGGTGTTCCCGTTCTAGCGAGTTTACATGCAGTGTCTTTTACTTCATCGGCGCAGTTATGGACATAATGTTGTTACGATTGTTTGAAAGACTTTTTTTTTTTGGGGTGGGGGTGGGGGAACGCGGACGTTCTCAAAAGCATTTTCATGCCAATCACTCTTCCCACATGAGGGTTTTGTACAGAAAAAAGTGACGCATAGAGCAATCTTCAGTACCATAATACGATCCAGAATTATAGAAACATCAGATTACTCAGGCCTTTTTCCTATCCAGATGATCGCTGCTCAGTCATTGTGGCATATTCTCGCCAAAGCCAGTGGGGCAACGAGGGTTTCCAGAAAGCTTCCAGCCAGCCTTGCGAAGCATTATTGGTCGCGCAAATGAAAAGGCAGACGAAGGCAAACGTCCGTGCCAGCATCAACCCCTCTTCTCAGACCCCTGAACCCTGCCCAGGAGAACTGATGTCCGCTCCAATCATGTCCGTTGAGGACAAGTAGCATCGAATGGACTCTAGCTTACTTGAGAACAATAATGGCAAGCAGACTGAATGTTTTCAGGGCGGAGTGTTGTCGTGCTGTCAGAAGCGCTAGAAAGAGGTCCAAAAATACCAGTCATCGCGAAAAACTGGCTTGGTCTACCTGCCAATAGAACACCGCGCTATTCATCACCACGATGATCATTTGTTTCTGCCCAGATAACTATCTAACTTTGGTCCACGAATAGTCAGTGCCCTTCGCAAACCAGGCTTAGTTTCTACTCGTAGGAGGACATCCCTTCATGCTCCGTGTCGTACCCAGAGTAGGCCCAAGCACGTCAAAGCTGTGCAAATGTCGTAATGAAGCAATGACCCCGTATTTCTCCGATGCGGCCACGAGTCTGGCCGCTGTGGTCATACTTGTGCAAGGCAACGACCGTAAGCCAATATCGCAAGGCTCGGCGAATTTGTCGTGATCGAATCGATGATCAAGTCTTGGCTTTAGGTCTAGCCATTTGGCTGAGCCGCTGAAGAGACTAAGGGATATAAACTTGCGGAGTAAAAAAATCGCAATTTGTCTGTGCGATTACACCACCTCGAGGCGCTGGCGCTCCCGCGCTTAACGTCAGTGTGGAGAGAACCGCAGATCGCTGCTAGATCGATTCTTATCAATCTTATCAATCTCTTGGCATATTGTCCTTCGTCGTTCTACCCTGGTAGGCTTTATTGCTGTGATTGAATCAAAGCATCTTATGTTACCAAGTAGTGCTGAAACCAATACAATGCGCTTAATAATCACGAGATAATGTTCCCATAAGCGGCGCAAAAGAGCGGCACAGGAAGAGCCCGGCGGGCGTCCCATAGGTACCAACTTTGAAGCGACGATAGCAGCCTGCAGCAGGCTCAAACGCATCTTACGCCACTTGATGGTTCCCTGAAAGTTACTTTACCCCTGAAAGCATGGGAGCCTGTGGGATAGCTCCACTTTTGGTCCCTCAGTGCTAAAGGTTCAAGAATCGACAGGGAAAGGGGTAGACGGTCAGAGATAGAAATAGGACAATTGAAGCATCAATGGAGGGAGTTACGGCGCCGACCACGCTAACTTTAACTTGAAAAGAGTTTAAAACCGCTAAGTAGCCCTATTGAGGTATCGAGGCTCCCAACCGGAGTTCCAAAACAATTGAGCAAGATTAGTAGGCAATTAGTAGGCGAACCGCGAGCAGCTGCTGGCTAAGATGTGCTACAAGCCTCGCACGCTCAAGAGACTTTAAAAGAGCTTACGTCGCCAACAATGCCAAGAGGGAATATTCAGGTATATACAGAGCAGATGCAAATCGCTGACTGTCCGGCTCCAAAGACCACACGACATCTTCACTTGTGGGGTTGACCAGCAAGCTCCAAACAGGATTCATTCGAGGGGAAATGAGCCAAGAGTAGCTATACCTAAATAGGTTTAGCGCGCACGCCATCGATGGCCGGGATTGCGATATCTTATTGCTTGCAAATTCACATCGTCTCTGCTGTCAAACGCTTGCCCTGTTTCAAAAGTGTCGGAAGCTCGCAGCCTTTTATAAAACAGGTTACAGAGCCCCCACGGACTTGCATGGTTGCTTTTTCTAACGCCTTGGAAGGCTACATACCATTTCCTGCAGCGTGCAGTGTGCACATGTCCAAATTATCATCATTGGCCAGGAGCTTCTATATCCTCATCTTGTCGAAACTGATGATACCAAGGTAGGTAGTATCCTCCATGCTGACGACGATAATCTTCCCCCTGAAAATCATGGCCATCAAAGACGGGATCCTGGGGTTATCTGTAGGCTCAGCATTTGATTACATGTTCTCTAGCAGCCGCGTTGCTCTGGTTTCAGAGGTTCGAGTGTGCGTAATGTTGGAATAACCTTGGACCAAGAGTATACGTAGACCCTCTGACCATCCACGCTGTGACGCTGCACTTCCCCACCCCGAAAATCCATCGCGACAGTCTCTTTGGCTAGACATGATCAATGTAGTGATAATCGTTCTCCTGAATTTGTCAATCTCTGGTTCCGCACGTTTTCCGCCCAGGTGGCTCGGCCTTTTTTCTCCATCTACTTAAAATGGCAGTCTCCCTCGCATTCTTGCCCCTCATCGCCTTCCCATCTTTTTTTTTATTCCACCTCCCTCCTTCCTGCTGCTTCACCTTCTCTTTCAATTCCCGTTTTTGAAAGCGCAGCTCATACAAAATGGCCAACCCTCCTCACGGTGGTATCCTGAAGGATCTCCTCGCCCGCGATGCTCCCCGCAGAGGCGAGCTCGAGGCTGAGGCCGAGACGCTCCCCGCAATCGTCCTCACCGAGCGCCAGCTGTGCGATCTGGAATTGATCATGAACGGTGGCTTCAGTCCTCTCGAGGGTACGTTGACAATTGCGACTTGATCTGATTTGGTGGCACAGCGGAATTGTGCCCCGCTTCACTGCTTCCTCGAGAATTTACAATTAACGCGCGCTGCAGGTTTCATGAACCAGAAGGACTACGATGGGTATGTTTCCCTCTTCTCACGCTTTCAAATTCTGTTACACAATGCGCTGCTGTTCTTGAACGGGGATACGCTCTGAATTGAGAATTGACGTCGTCGTGGAAAGAGTATGCGCAAGCTATTTGAACTTGTTGCTAATGCTGGCGGTTTGTTTCGTTTAGTGTCGTCGCCGACTGCCGACTCGCCGACGGCAACGTTTTCTCCATGCCCATTACTCTAGACGCTTCAAAGGAGGCCATCGATGAGGCTGGACTCAAGCCTGGCTCTCGTGTTACCCTGCGCGATTTCCGTGACGACCGCAACCTTGCCATTCTCACAATCGAAGACATCTACCGCCCTGATAAGTGAGTTTTTCGAGCTTTCCATTCTTTTCCGAATCTGGCATATGCACATTCTCGCCCTTGGCAATTGTCGTGAGATGCAACATCAGTCATTGGCTTGGGATCTCGCCGAGATCGGACTTGCAGAATTGCGCTTCGCCAAGAGCCGTAGGCGCATCGGCTCCGTCTTAGAATCCAATGACGTGATTTGCTAACCGCATGTTTTTTTTTTTTTTTGTATAGGGAGAAGGAGGCCAAGCTTGTCTTTGGTGGTGATCCAGAGCACCCCGCTATCAAGGTCCTGAACACTAAGATCCATGAATACTACATTGGTGGAAAGCTTGAGGCTATCAACAAGCTGAACCATTACGACTATGTCGGCCTCCGCTGTATGTGTCGACTGGCCCCTCCGCCGAGGAAAGACGCAAGAAAAAGTAAAGCTAACGCAATCGTTCTCTAGACACCCCCGCGGAGCTTCGTATCCACTTCGACAAGCTCGGCTGGTCCCGAGTTGTCGCTTTCCAAACCAGGTTTGTCTTGACTTGTTCGAGCTGCAGATATAGAAATGGCGTGACTCACACTGTCTACAGAAACCCTATGCACAGAGCTCACCGTGAGTTGACCGTCCGTGCTGCACGTGCCCGTCAGGCCAATGTCCTCATCCACCCTGTCGTTGGTCTGACCAAGCCCGGTGACATTGACCACTTCACCCGGGTCCGCGCCTACCAGGCCCTTCTCCCTCGCTACCCCAACGGTATGGCAGTCCTCGGTCTCCTGCCCCTCGCTATGCGTATGGGTGGCCCCCGTGAGGCTATCTGGCACGCGATCATCCGTAAGAACCACGGTGCGACCCACTTCATTGTCGGTCGTGACCACGCCGGTCCCGGTAAGAACTCCAAGGGTGAGGAGTTCTACGGTCCTTATGACGCTCAGCACGCCGTCGAGAAGTACCGCGAAGAGCTGGGCATCGAGGTTGTCGAGTTCCAGCAGGTGACCTACCTGCCCGATACCGATGAGTACAAGCCCAAGGACCAGGTTCCCGCTGGTGTCAAGACCCTCGACATCTCCGGTACCGAGCTCCGCAACCGTCTCCGCACCGGTGCTCACATTCCCGAGTGGTTCTCTTACCCCGAAGTCGTCAAGATCCTCCGGGAATCCAGCCCTCCCCGCGCCACTCAGGGTTTCACCATCTTCCTTACCGGTTACCAGAATTCCGGCAAGGATGCCATTGCCCGTGCTTTGCAGGTTACCCTCAACCAGCAGGGTGGACGCTCTGTCACTCTCCTCCTTGGTGACACTGTCCGCCACGAGCTCTCGTCCGAGCTTGGCTTTAGCCGCGAGGACCGTCACACCAACATCCAGCGTATCGCTTTCGTTGCCGGTGAACTGACCCGCGCCGGTGCTGCCGTCATTGCTGCCCCCATTGCTCCCTACGAGCATTCCCGCAAGGCTGCTCGTGAGGCTGTGCAGGGTACTGGCGGCTCTTTCTTCCTGGTCCACGTCGCTACTCCTCTTGAATACTGCGAGAAGACTGACAAGCGCGGTATCTATGCCAAGGCTCGCCGCGGCGAGATCAAGGGCTTCACCGGTGTCGATGACCCCTATGAGGCTCCCACCAATGCCAACCTAGTCGTCGATGTCTCCAAGCAGAGCGTTCGCTCCATTGTTCACGAGATCATCCTTCTTCTCGAGAGTGAGGGCTACTTTGAGCGTCTGTAAATGTTTTTCTTATGTTCTAATTTCCTTTGTTTGATGCGATATAAAGATGAAGCTCTGAGATGGGATTGGTTTGGTTATGGGTACAATTATAGACCGGTTGAATGCCATCATAATGGATTGATTATGATCTTCGAACGACGATGCCTTGCGTTGTAGACAGTAAGCAAGTCAGTATATATTATGTCACGAAACATAGAAGTATGAAAGATGCGTGCATTTTAAGTAACCGTAAGGATCATATAAAATGATAATCAGCCTTGCCGGTTTGACTAAGGGCTGCATACCTAGTGACATTCGTCTCAAGTGTGGCTTAGTTTGTTGGTCCCGAAAAGGCAACCGGTACTTGAAGCTGGTAATAATGCAAACAATGCAAACAGCTATTCGAAACGACCATCATCGATTTTACCGACTCAATTCAATTTACAACACATCTCATCCATCGCAAGATGCTCCGCCAACATACACGCATACCCCGAATATCGGGGTCAGTGGAACCCTCACTGGCCCCGCGGCTTGTCCCAATCAGCACTCGCCGACCATGTCGCCGTCCGTTCACCCAAAAGCCCGCTCTTCAAACCCTCTCCACCCCGCGAAGTCGACCTCAGCTATCCTTTCTCTCCCCATCGCCTATCAATCGAGCTCTTCCACCTCTATCTGTCCATCTCCGTCAGCACTATGCAAGGCTTGTTTCAACCGAGAGCCGCACACACTTCAAAAGGCGCATGTCGCGTGTCCTACGATTTAGTCTGTCGTTCGGCGCGATTCTCATCCTGTATGAGATTATCAAGATTGGGGTATATCAGGAAGAGCTCGAGCATAAGTGGCCCACGCCGCCGGAATGGTCGTGGAAGAGTCGATGGTGTCTCCGGGCGGCTGCGGCATGGCAGCACCCGGAGGAGATTGGAAAGTTACTGAGTGATTGGCCGATGGTGGCGGGCTATTTGAGGGAGTTGCTGATGCGCTTGGAGGATGTGGAAATTGATGGGAAGGGTATCGTTGAGCAGGAGGATGGCGGAATCTTCATCGAGGGTGTCGGAAGAACGGGCTACGATGTCACAGCAAAGAGTGAACCGTGGAGACGGGGTTACTTTCAAGCTCTCATGGGGGCCGCCAAGGCAGCAGAGAATCTTGAGGGGTGGTTGACTGATCGTGTACAGCGCGTCTCAGCACCGGCAGAGTACTTTGTTGGTCCGTCGAATCCTCGCCCTAAGCCAGTGCCAAAGAAGCAAAAGGTACCGCTTGAGGAAAACTCCGAGCCCGCGTCGCCCAGTCCAGAGGTGTTCTATATGAAGATCCTGACTACCCGTGGCTTTGATACAAGGCAAAAGGTCCAGGCAGCTCTCGCATATGCAGACTATCTGGATTACAAAGGACTCCAGAGCACTGCAGCCGACATGTATACATGGGCAATGGATATCGCGGCCGCAGGATTCCCAGTTGATGCTGCGAGTGTGGTCGACGTGAAGACAGGAGTGATCCAGAATGACGCAAAGGTCGCGCCGTCCGAGAACATCCTCCGTGTGTCCACAGCACTGGCAGTCCATCACGCCAAATTTGGGAACCTTCCCACAGCCCTATCAATCTTCACCTCTGTCCTGAAAGCCCGCCGTGCGCTCCCACCAGCCCCTCCCGGTGCGCTTCTCCCCCCTCCGCCTGCGTTCCCGAAACGGACCAGCGATCCCATCCGCTCCTTCTTCAACACTCTCAAAACTATGCTAGTCCCCGTCGAATACCCTCCACCCGCACCTTCCGGAAACGAACCACCTCTCCGCACCGCAATGTCCCCCTGTGACGAAGCAGGGCTAATGGCATATATCGGCGAAATCATCTTTGCCTCGTCCTCTGAGGAAACGGGCTTGGCCTGGACTCGCGATGCAGTTGATATCGCCGAAAGCACCCTTCTCGAGCTCGATGCATCCACGCCACAAAACCGCTGCGCTGATTGTCTTCGTGTTGGCTTGGAAAACTGGAAGACAATGGTCTCTCAGCTCGTCAACAAGGCTCAGCAAGAAGAAGCGGAGACCATTGAAAAGCGCAAGAACAAGGGTTCGTGGCTCGGCCCTTCGCAGAAGCAGATTGAGACCAAGACGAATGCGAGAAAGAGGTGGGAGGCCGAACAGTCAATCTTGAACGATCGGATCACCAAGCTTCGTCCCATAATTGTGATGGATTCGGCATTCGAAGGGCTCGTATCGGGGGTTGGCTTGTTTGTATAAGCAGCCTTCCGGGAGCCATTTCTAGTCTTTGTTCTCACAATCAAAGAGACATGTGCTTCTATGGAGTTCTGGCGGAGTTTATACCAGTCGTAATTGACTTACTTCTTATACATGAATTGGGCTTCTGGGCTAGGGTAGTTGGCTGCATGTGACTTTGTTTATGTTCAAGTGTATATTAGTACTGATGAACCCTTGATCGGTATCTCGATCTCGCAACAGGAATGTCTCGATGCATATTACTTCGCATTCAAAGTAGAGATAGTAGGGCAAACCAACAGCATTAGCCGCGCATCATGCGAATACGCTCCATATGATCTTGCCAAAGATTAACTGGAGGAATAGAAATAGGTAACAATTGGTATGGAAAGCTGACGGGTGTATATACTTGAAACCTCCCACCGAGGAGAAACAAAAAATCAGGTGCAGTGGGCACTTGTAAGATAATTATGCACATAAAAAGGAATACAAAAATGGGAATCCAACAGCCGAGTCTGTAGGATGAAGGGACGGGGAACTTGAGCTTGTTGAAGTCAAACTTTACTGTCTAAGCCTCACCGACCGTGTCGCCGTCAAAATCAGTGATCGTAAAGTCGTCGAAGTCCAGGGTAAAATTGCCCATCACACCCGAAGGGATGAGGTCAACCACCAAGTTCCCACCCGTCGAGTTGGAGAATCGTTTTAGATGTTTCTCGATGGACTCCGCTGAAAACATAGCCGCGTTGAGTTCGCCAGTTTTCTGAAGGATGTATAGCACGGCAATACGGGAGAAATCAACAACCTCAGTACTGGTAGCGTCTGGAGTCGAGGTTGGTTGTGCAGTAGCTGTAGGTGTGGGAGAAGGTTCCGCTTCTTCCGCATCTTCAGAACTCTCGGTGGTCGGGGGTGGCGTGGATTCAACAAGAATACCGTTGATCGTAGCAACAGACCTTGGAGCGAGAATTGAAGTGGTGGGAACATGCCTGAATGCAGAGACAAGCGAATCCCCATCGTCGAATGCTTGAGGATCCAGAGGGACAGAGCGGCGTTCGTTGCTGTTGGACGATAGGCCAGTGAAAGACACTAGCGCATTTTCAGTCGTGCACGAGACGTTGTTTTGGCTAAATAGAGCCATGATAGTAACAGGATCCAATGGAATGCTAAAGTTACTCTGTGAGTCCTGGAATAGACGTGGAAGGTCATCTCCGACAGTCGCATTCCTCGATGCTGAGCCTTGAGTAATTTCAGTAGTGACACAACTTGCATCACCTTCGTTCGTACAGCGCGAGCCAGTATAGCCATTGACGCAGACACAGGAGCAGACATCACCACTCGAGACGCTTACACCGCCGTTTGAACAAGGAGAAGTCCTCGCGCATGTTGTACTACTGCCGTCATCACTCTTGTTTTCTCGAGGGACCACAACCAAGAAGATAGGTATAAGTACGGCGGCGGCGACAACAAGAAGCAGGATGATGCAGGCGGCAATGAATGCCCATAAGGGCATTCCGCAGCAACGGCGTCGTCGAACGCTGCCTTTCTCCCCTTGGATTGCTTCTTGACCCCGTTCCTGGGAGTTCAGCTGGTGGAGTGTGGACCTCCTCCAGAAAATAGGCCAAGAAGAGCGGCCCTCTGGCGTGGCAGCAGGGTTAGGGAACGAGGCTAGGATGTCTTTGATAGAGCCAGATTTGCGATTTGGGTCACCTGTATCTCGTTAGCTTGATCAACAGGCAGCGCGCCCTTTGGCAAGGCCTACCGTGAAACGGAAATCTGGAGCCACCCCCAGCATTCAAAAGATCGTTCCGGCTTGCTGTCCGCCCATGCTCAAGATTCGTTGCAAGTTTTGTTGCACGCTTGATCAAGTCCGAGAGACTCGTAAGACTACCGCGAGCTTCAGCCTCTCGGACAGCGTTCATGTTTAGGCGAGGCGGCCTTCGGGCTCCAGGCCTTGTCTCACTCATGGTAGGAGTTCTTTGAGGTAATGTTCCATCTATTGAGGGCCGTTGATGGTTGTACGGGCGATTGGCGCCTCTATCCTTTCCCAGCATAATCGGCGGCTTTTCGGGGTCAATATGTGACTCCTCAGACGAGGACGAGTCAAAGGAGTCTCGTGTTTGTAGACCAGCTGCAATCTCCTTGAGACTAGCACCGGCCATGGGCTCTGATGCCGCAACAGTTTCGTTGTTACTTCTTGCCGACTGTGGAGGGCCAGCGCTAGGCTTGCTTATCGTGCGCAAAGAAGGCTTGCCCCGTTTCCCAAGACTAGCCTGTCGAACTAGAGTCGCTTCAGCATGCTCGGTCGTACGTGGGGTTTGCTGAGCACCATCTGAATCGCTATCAAGATAAGCCCCCAATATATCGGATTCCCGCTGCTCAGAGTTCCAGCTAGAAGGAGTCACTCTGCTCTGCGCGTACGGCTTATTCATTATTGTTGGGCTATCAGGCAATTCCTCGGGTATTGGCGACACAGAGGATCGGCGATTCTTGATCGAGCGCATTGGAGGAGCAGCGAGGTTGCCATTTTTGCTTGGAGGGAGAGGCGGTGGAAAATCAGGTATTGAAGGGATAGATCCCACAGATTCCGCTGCTGATTTCCTGAAAGTATCTTCGTTTGCGACAGGGATAGGTTCTCGTAGAGCAGGGTGGATGTGCTGTTGATTATGGAAAGGTTGAGAGAATGACGGGCCAGGGTGGTGAAGATGCAACGGACTAGGTACAGCGTCCGAGACGCTTCTTTCTGAATAGACAGAAGGTGATGGGAGATCTTGTCGGCTTGGGCGATGGGGAGGTGGCGTGCCTCTGGGTGCCAGCAGCCTTCCTTGCGAGTCGAGAATGTTTGACAGCCTCCCCTGCGGATCGACCAGGCGCGTTTGTGGGCTACCGTTACTCGATAGAGGCCATCCGTTTGCTTGGGGGGCACGCGGCCCCGGTGAAGGTGCGATTGTTTTTGCCTGCGGAACTCGGACCTTGGGTCGTCTACCTGCTTCTAGCATTTCTCTTGCCCGCCGAACAGATCCTTTTCTCTCGGCTAGTCTAGGGTCGGGCCGTCCATGTGAATCGCTGAGACCAGTGTCCATATTCGCGGGAAGACTAGCAGGGCTTTCAGTAAAAAGGTGCAAGGCGTCGATCTAGACGGTCAAACGAGTGCTTCCCAGCTTCTAGAATTCAGAGAAAGTAAGTGCTAATGTTGAGAATTACTCTGATAAAACACGGTGCACGAGAACAATAGCCAGCTTGATATCTGCCGAGAGGATGTCCAGTGATGAAAAGGAATGTAGATGAATAGTGGCTTTCGATGACTGAGCCAAGGCAAAGGCTCAATGTAGGATGCGATACCGAGTATAAATGGTTGAAAAGAATGGACTTGAGAACCAGATGCTCAAGGTTGAACGAATGTGTGTGAATTCAGAAAAAGGGCACTCAATGCCTCAAAAGATCTGGAAAAGAGAGTTAAGACTGTTTCGCAGACTGCCGAAGGTGTACTGTAGTTGCTGGGTAGAGGTTGCATACCGCAATTGAATTGAAAGAATTAGAAAAGGAGGGTTGAGACTCGCTCACAGTTGCATTGTCTCTCTCAGCTGATGAGCCAACTCTTCAAGCAGGCGTGCCTGACGGATATCAAATGGTCAAATCCAGATATCGGAGACAACACCTGAATTGAGACTGACAGATTCGCCCAGAAATACCAGGATACAGAGAGCTTCAAGCTCTTGCCTGAGAAGAAAAAGAGAGATGCGACGGTGTCCGAGGTGATTCAAAGATCAAGAAAATCACTTGGACGAGAGCACCTCACGCTTGGTGGGTAATGAAAGGGAGAAAGGGTCTTCCGGAGACCCTCAAACCAAGCCTCAGACGTGAATATTGACCTCTCTTCCCATCCCTGAGCACGGCTGTCGAGGCTAACTTTGGTCAAGATTTAGACACCAGGCTAAAAATTGCACAGCCTAACTTGATGGTCAGGACCTTGGTCCTTGGATTTAGAAACTGTCAGTGGGGACGCCGTTCCGACTCCTGGCTTCCTTGACATGAGCTAGCGCGGAAATACTAGCCACAAAGGATTGCTGGGTGTCGGGATCGATCTATCTTAGGAGCGTGTCGCTGAGTTGGCTTGGAGACTGAACACTATGAACGGAGGGTAAAAGAGACATGCTTTGCAGCATACAGAGAGAAACAGTAATCATGTTCCAGAGACGAGACTGAGAGTCTCGCGTCTCAAGTTCTCAACACAGGATTTCCGCGCTTCTCTGTTGGACTGCGGTGCAGTTTCATCGTTTGCAAGTCGTTGCAACACCATCAGTCACCATGTCGTCGAAGATCTAAGCGAAAGCGATAGATTGGCCAAATGCTGTGACCGAGAGCAAGAGGATTGCTGGGGCTCTCGAAGGCGGCTGCTATTGGCTGGTCCGGGCCGCTAAATCGACGGCACGTCTCAGATATGAGAGGAATCCCCACTCATAACGGGCAGAGAATCCATCTGAAACCAGGGGAGGCGTGTGACAAGGTGTGATCAAACCCAAAAGACCAGGGTGCAGACGACTATTCGCCAATAATCGCTGAGCTTTTTCCTCGGACGCCATCAAGTGTTCGAGGGGTGTATTCTGGAGTCAGGAAGGGCCCAGCTTCCTGAATAATGTGTACCAGCATGATCCAATTAAGTTAGGGTTCTTTTCTCTCAGGCGACGTTCCCGAACCTGGGGTCGGGCAATTTCGCTTTCAGGGGAGGCTAGGCTAGTTTGATGGACTAGCTCCGTTTCGATAACGACGCCAGCGTCGGAATAAATTAATTTGGAGACATCGAGAAGGATTATTTTCTGGAATGGCCCAACTGACACGACTCATTTGCGGAAGAGGGTGAAGAGAACGATATTGAATTTTGTCCTATCAAGAGCAGCATGCGCGGGTGCATCGACTGGATATGACAGAAAAGGAAAGGGCGATCGAACTCGATAAACCGACTGTCATGTGATCCTGCCTGCTGAGGCTGGACCAATGACTCTCTGAGCCGTCGAATCGTGTCATCTTTTAGCATTTTGGCCCTGATCAACTTTGATTCTGGAACTATGACGGAAGCTGATCTTCCAGCTTCAAGATGCAAGAGCCCCACAAGCGCGGCACGACGCTTCATGAGAGGGCCAGTAATAGAAATACCTGGAGCACTCGCTACTGTCGTCCCAGTTCCTCCCGCAGTCGAAGAATCTTCCTCTCCGCAGCCTGCATCTCGACAACAATACTCGCTAGCTCAGGCAATTTGCACTCGATGGCTTCCGTGAAAGACTTTTGAGCGTTTCGCAAAGAAGGCGGCACTAATATTCCAAACCATCTCATGGGGTTTGAAGCGTGTGAGCCCTTCTTCTGCAGATTGGGCTTGGAGTCTGTCTCTGCCACAGGTCTTACTGGGCCTGGCAGATCTTTCGCATCTTCGACAGTATTCCTGCAGCCAGTATCATTATCAACACCAGGAAGCTTGGATTCTGCCTCTGGCTCATTGTTTGGGCCTGGTAGCTCGTTCTGGTCGCTTAAACCAGACTTTTCGTTTGCATCGCTGTTTGAGGGGGATACGATAGAGAAGATCTGTTTCGTTGATGCAGCAGTATCAGGCAATTCTCCTCGTTCGATTATATAGTCTTGCTCGCCTGCGGGCGGAGGTTGTAATAAACTGTTTATAGATCGTCCGATCAGACAATTGGTTCAAATGGTGTCTGAGCAAGAGCTTCGAATCTTCTTTGGCCCGCGTCAACTCACACTCTTCTTGTGGCTTTCATCCGCTCGTCATAGTAATCAGCACCATACCTTCGGCCAGGGGGGCACGTATAGTTCGCTTGAGCAAGAGAGAGAAACCCCTTCCACAGTGGTCAGCTATTGTTCCCACAGAAAATCTGGTAGACCGAACCGATGAGAACCTGGACGCTAACTCGCCCTGCAATTTCTGGTGTTTATCAAGGAGCTCCAGATATCGTTCCAGGAGTGTATCCAATGACCGTACAAGGTCAGTCGCTGGGTCAAGATCGGGAGCCTCTGAGGGCTGTCGGGAAGCAGGAGGGGTAGCCAGTTGTGCCATTGGGTATTGAAGAGGTGCAGGTGAGGGAAGTTGGGGATGCTGGCGAAAGTGGAGGCGGGAGCGTGTCCGATAACTCCGTCATCTCGACCCAAAAAAAGCAACAGAATTTCCCGAGCTCGAGAACCTCGCAACTCAACCTCACCAGTTGACTCAGTGCCCCATCTCGTAAGTATTTCTTCGTTCATCCTCTTCTACATTCGCGATCTCCGTTCTTGTGGATTGTTTGCGACGGAACGACTCCTTGCCCCGTGGCTCTCCGATACTGGAGCTTCGAATCTCCGCGCCACCTCCGCTTGCGACACTCGGAATCGTAGCTAACACTTCACGAAAAGCCGCTCCTTTTCATGGCTGGACTGGCTAAATAGAGGATTTCCAATATTTGAGCTTGTTCATCCCTTGTCTCCACGCGCCCTGTTCGCCAGAGGCCGATATCTGACCGGGTCCGGTGACATCAATCAGGTCTCCGCGGTCATCCCGATACACCTCCGCTCGCGCTCAACGATCCCCTGAGACATTCCCTCTCCGTTTTCCTTCGGCTCTTCGCCTTCATATTCCATCTCCACTCTTGATCTAAATAGAAGTGCCACCATGTCTGTTTCTGCGCTTCAGCGGGACACTGCGTTCCAGGCCCGGTCTCTAGTAAGTGCATCCAAATTTGCACCAAATATCAAATGGATCTCGGAGCACTAATTACTCCCTGTACTGCGCAGTTCCGGTCTTTGCTTCGTCAATCCTCACAATTCTCTAACTACAACTTCCGCGAGTACGCCCTTCGAAGGACCAAAGATGCCTTCCGCGAACATCAGCATGAGACTCAGGAACGGAGAATTCAAGAGCTGATACAGGAGGGACTACAGAGCTTGCGGATGATGAAGGTCAGTCGCGATATTCCTAGTGTTGGAGCGCCGGACGCCTGCCGAAATGACGTTGATCCAAGGGCCTCGGGACATCCGTCGTGACACAAGATTTGCTCACACCATGTTTAGAGACAAACCGTGATCAGTCAGTTCTATCAATTGGATAAGTTGGTTGTGGAGGGCCAGAAAACAGTGAGTCACGCATTTCCGACTTCTTCCTGGAGTTATCCTTGACAAACTGTTATAGGGAAAGGAAACCGGACAGGAAGGAGGAATTGTTCGCCAAAAGGATACTGGGTAAGATACTCACCCTAGGTTCATCGCACTTACGTCGCAATCCTAACCTGTACCAGCTGGGACTGATTTAACAAGTCGTATACATGTTTGGAACACAATTATCTCAAGTGGCGCCCCAACCGGACACCCCAGTCCAGATGTTCCGTCGTGACTTTTGAGGTGCTGATGATGGCGGCGGGGAAAGAATAGACTTGGGAATCACCTGTACTTTTATCTTGAAATTACGCTTTTGTGGCTCTGATACAAATCACTCCGAAACTCGGATCTTCTCTCACCTATCTCCGTCAAAAAAAAGGCCTCTATCGTCTAGCTGAGTTTGTGCTGCTTCGTAAGTTGGGGAGGTTACAGGTCACGTGTCGCTCGCGCCGGGCCTCGTTCATGAGATCCCATTCCGCCTCCTCTGTCATCACCTCATTATTTCCAGCAACTTTAGCGTCCATTCTCAAAACGTGGAGCGCTTCAATCATTCCGGGAACTATTAACTTCTAATTGACTTTGGGTTTTGTTTTCCGTGTAGGACCTGACTTCCAGGAAAGTCGGGATTCAAGCGGACGCGCTCTATGCCCCCAACAGTGAGTTTCAATCACTTATCATTGCTACTGAGAGCTGCAGTCGCGTGGCTTTTATGATCAATTTCTAACAACTACGTAGTTTAGGTCCTCCCGGTCAGGGCGCCAACTCGGCGACGGCGTGAATCGCACCAGAACCGGCCAGATCGACCACGATGTCTTCGAGGGACTTCCCGTTCGACGATGGACGCGCCAGGTTCAAACTGTATCGCAAGAACCGAAATCCGACGGGACCGAGTCAGAACCTCCCGGACTAGGTGGGAAGCAATCCATCCCTGAGAATCCAATGCCCAGGGATAGTCATCTACTTGCTCCTATGAGTCGAGCTCTTCTGCGCGCGGCGCGTTCTGGATGCATCTACATTCGTCAAGCCTCAAAGGACTTTGAAGACGAAGAAAAGGAGACTACGGATCCGGAAGAACAACAAGTGATACAGAATACGGAGCGCAATTTCTCGATGCGCAAATGGGCAACGGTCCCCAAGCATATGGAGCCGCCAGAAGTGGAGTTTTTGGCCAAACGACGACCGGGCCTGCCATCTCTATACGGGGCCACTGCTGGCGTTGTGGAAGGTGCCAACGGGTCGGTGCCAATGAGAAAAACTCGGTTCAAGAAAGTTGATCCAGTGACGGGTAACATCTCAATCTACGCAGCATGGGTTCCTGAAGGACACAAGATTGAAGGCGAAGTTACCGACGATGCTCAGTTGGCTGCTGATAATAGCAAAGTCACAGTGACTCCCGAGGCGCCCGCCCCGGGTACTGTCATTGAAGGTGTTGGGGTGGTCAACGCGCAGGGTGTGGTCGTCGCAGAAGCAGGCTCAGCAGCAGTTCTCACTCCCCCAAGGAGACGACCTCCTCCTCCGAAGCGTAAGGCGAAGGGACTCAAGGGCAGGAGAAAGAAGGTCATGTTTGCCCCAGGTGAAGGAACCGACGCTTCTCTAGTTCATGGGCCCGGTGCTGGTGTAGGGGATAATACAGCAAAAGACACAGACTCGTCGCGAATGTCGGTGGATCAAACCACCCAGGATGATGAGGATGACGATGGTGAAGAGGGCGAGGAAAGCGATGATGGCGAGGGAGATGAGTCCGGGTTTGACGCCAGAACCCCAGAAACTCCAGGCCCGCAACCTAGTACTGAACCGGAGCTGAAGCCGACACCTGGTCCTGTAATTGAAACAGTCGCTACATCTGCATCAGCTACACAAGTGTCAGAGGCTCCATTGGCGACTAGCTCCGTGCAGCCTCCCACACATCCATCTGTGCCCCCTCTCGACGAATTGTCACGACCGGCCACCGATTTGTCGAGCTCCATGCCTGCGAATAATCCTAGCGAAGCGAAACTCACGCCGCCTGAAACAAAGGAAGATGTTCAAATGACAGATGCTGCGCCTGCTGATGATCGTCTGCCTCCTTCGGCACCGGTTCCTAGCACACAACCACAGACGGTTTCTGAGATCACTCAGCCAGTCCATACTGAGAAATCTCTGTCCCCGCCACATGCACAACAAGCTCCCGTGATGGAGCCAACGAACATCCCAGCGCAACGCCCTGAGGAACTCGCTGTTGAACAGCCGGCAGAGCCAATGGATATAGTCATGGCTGAATCAAATATGTCGGTCTCCGAACCTGCCCAAGCAGCAACCGAGAGCTTAGAGGTTCCAACAGCAGTGCCGCAACCTCCGCAGGCTGAGGCTCCAGAGGCTGCCACTGTTACCCAGAATTTAGAACCTCAGCAAGACGCAAACGAGTTCAACCTGTTGGATAATTTGGAAGCTAGTCTGAACAATATGCCACAGGAGACGCCTCGTGACAGGCAGCAAGGGGTCTCAGAGCAGCGTCCACAGGATCCCACTCAGGAAGGCGCAGCAGATCCCAAGCCGGTCGTTCCTTCCCAAGCACCTATCGAGACGCTGACAGAGCCTCAGCCTGAAGAAACAGCAGAGGAAGCAAGGGAACCTGCACCTGAGGAAACGGCAACCCCAACCATACCTGCCGCCACCCTACTTGAGCCAGAAGCAACCCCAACCCAGCAACAGGAACAGCGACAACAACAATCATTACCGGCACTCCAATCGTCACCACCAACACAGGCTGAGCAGCAACAACCGCAACGGACACTCGAGCAGGCTTCAGAACCACATATACCCTCAGAACCTCTAACCTTCATCCGAGGTCCTTCAACGATACCCGAACAAGCCACAACCGAACAACCAGCTCGAAGCCCCCAGGCATCAGCTCCAGGACAAGCACCATCAGAAGCTCCAGCTCCGTCCGCGCCAACAGCAGAGCCTCCCAAAGCCCAAGACTCTCCGCTGCCACCGTCATTCCCGGTGCCTGCAGCAGAGCAACCGCAAGGAACGGAACCCTCACGTGAGGTAGTACCCCAGAATGCAAACGAACAATTGGGAGACAAGGTTTCAGCTAAGATGGACGTTACGCTTCCTGTCCAGACTGTATCTGAAGCCCAGATTGCCCAGCCACCTCCTTCGTTTGTTCGGAGCCCTCCTATTGTTTCTGGGCCCGCCGAGCCTGTGCCTGAGGCCCAGCATGGAGAGCGACAGGTCGAGGTCGGATTAGCCCAACAAGGGCAGGAATATGAAGCATGCGGTAATGCTTCTCTGCCACAAGATGAGGCAAACAAAAGCTAGATACATCAATTGGCGCTTGCCTGAATGCCAAAGCTTCGCACCACACATTGATCCTTGTATCGTCTTTTCCTTTTTGCGGCTTTTCAGCGGCGAGTGGTGTTCTGATTGCACTTGGCCCCATTCTTCTTGCATTGGTGAGATATGTGAGCGCTTACTGCTCGTGTAACAGAGTGATAAATGAGTAAACCCTGTAACACATGGACTATATTGGCGAATGGATCCCCTGAATCACGTATATTGGACTTGATTAGCTCAAAACAATAGTACCCTGTCACGCTACCCTGATCAGCCGAAAGCAAAACCTCCATTCCCTTTCTTCCAACGCACAAACACAAAACACATGAGATATTCCATAATAGATGCCAAACATGAATCAAAATCAGAAAACGTCGAGCAATCCCAAGCCAAATAATAAATAAAGGTAAAAAACGTCGAGCAACTGGCAACGCCAGAGAGACCCAGTACCCTTCCGAGGCTCCGTAGTTAGGTAGCGTCCAAAGTCTTCAGAAGTAAGGATAAGTGAGACATGAGCAGAGAAAAAGAGTATGAGGCATCTATGCTAGGATCTCCAAGTCCCTGTGTATTTGCTGAGAAGAGCCAGCGAGGCTCCGAGAAAAAGGAGCAAATCTGACCAAGAGGGGCCGGGGGTACAACGAAGGACCAAAATACAGATGAACGGGCGACTCACTCTGCAAACCTTGGAATTAATGAGAGTCAACAGCCCATCAAGGGCAAACACCACGGAACTGGTGGGCTGTAGTATCAAATCCAAAATCTATGACATTGCCCCTTTTAATGTCTCTTCGTCCTCGCGGACCGTCCCGAAAAGACAATCGGGGCTTTCGCTACCTTCGAGATGTTTCTCGAAGGTCCCTTGTTGATCGTCTCTCGAACCTCTTTTAAGATATCTTTCTTCTGGGTTAATGTTCGTTTTCGAGTGGGCGAGCTCTTATTCACAGCGGCAGCCTTGGTTTTAGCTTCTGTAGAAAGACTGTGAGGCTTAGCTGGTGATGATGAAGCCTTGGAAGCTCTGGCTTTGGATGTCTGTGCCGGTTTCCTGACCCGAGCTGCAGTCCTCGCTTTTCCTCTGCTACCTTTGATTGTAGGTAGCTTGATCTTACCCCCAGATCTGGAACTCCCTGCAGTTTTCTTCGAGGTGGTATTCCTGGAATTCTTAGGCGTAACGGTGGATGGAGCTGAATTTGGTGCCTTCTTCCGGGAGACGGCCGCCTTGGTCACGGCCATTCGGGCTCTCGAAACGGCTTTTTTGACTCCGGATTTCAGGGATGATGGGGCCAGCGGGCCACGCTTCTTATTAGTACGGGAACGGGACTTGTTGAGAGCATTCTCCCTTCTTCTTTTGGCGGCATTTGCCTTCTTTGCGTCCGCAATCTCCTTTAGCTTTGCAGCTCTAAGTTCTGCACGTTGCTCTTTCTCCCGTGGCCGAGGGCCCAGAATGCCACGACATTTTTCTGAACCACATCGGCATTGCTGGACGTTCTTCTGCGAGTAAGGACTGGTAGACTGATCAGTAAAAATTGCAAAACGGGGTGGGCACACTCACTCGAAATTGTAATCGTAGCTCAACTCTTCTCCTGTCATGATACCGCGGTCACCGGCAAACAGGGCCATCCGTGGCTTTCCAGCCACGGTCCACTTCTCCATACGACAGTTAGGCTCGCAGGCATGGTTCACAAAACGAGCGATGGAGCCACGGGTGGCGTCGATAATCATGTTTTGGTCAAAGTACATCAAGTAATAGCACTATTTATATGTTAAAACAAGCCAAAGACACTGGGGACAGGGGGAGCAAAAAGACCTCGTTCTTTTTGTAAATAGTGCGCATGCGTTTCTCGCATTCCGCTTGGGTTATGATCTCTCCCGTATATTCCACAATGATCTGGTTTGGTTCGAACGTTCGGTTACTGCGAACACCGTAGCCGCGGTCTGCAGTCTTAATCACCTCAACTCCAACATTATACTTGCCCCCAGCCTTGGCTCGCTGTTTGAGCTCTTCAAAGTTTCGATTGCCGCATTCAGGGCCAAGCCCACAGATGCTGTTGTCACACTCATAGAACATGTAGCGATTCTGGCAATCTTGGTCACAGCCGGTCTCTGGTATGCAAGTACACTTGGACAGCTCCTCTTCCTTGGTCGCTCGCCAAATGCTGCTGGCTTCGCCGACAAAGACGTCTAATCAATAATCAGTATTATTCCTCCTCCATGAATGGTGATTTCACGTACTTTTGTTTGTTTTTCTCCATTCGTTGGGCTTTGGCTGGCCTGGAGGAAGAGGGGAGTAGATATCAAAAGGGAGCTCAAAATCTCTCCCCGTTTGCAGTAGTCTCTCGCCGGCAAACATCGGCAGCGGCAGAAACCTCCTTTGGGGGTTGGGCTGGTTTTGGTTGAGACTTTTTCTCCTCGCGGTTTTTGTTCTGTTTTGGCTTGGTCGAGAGTTTGTATATTCTTGCCCCGAGTAAAGACCATGAGTCAACCAGCGCTTCGCCTTGAACCGAGCGATAGCTTCAGAAGGCGCAGGTGCTTCCTGCGCAGTCTCCAACCCTGATCGATCTTTGGTAGGAGGTTCACTGTCTGCTACACGTCGTTTCTTAGTCGGCGGCTGCTCGGTGGATTCAGAGTCCTCTTTTGGAGCAGCAAGTTGACGAGGTCTAAGACTGGACCTTCTGTCTGGTTCCATCGTGGCGCTCCGTTTTCCCAACACAGTAGATGCGCGCCCAGCGAGATCAGAGATCTTCCCCAATATGCTCAGGCGCGAGGAGCGCCTGATAGGTATCTGGTTGTCTGGTTTGGTAGCTGTAGAGCTTTCTCTTGGCCTGTTGTGACTCTTGTCCCGGGCTAATGCCTGCTCCACGCGTTTACGTAGGGTCCGGGGTAGCAAAGCGCCAGGCACGTCCTCCGGCTGTAATTCGTGAGATGACTTCGAGACCGGAGTATCTGGAGCCATCGGGTGGTCGCGGGGATCCATAGGGTCCTGCACAAGACTCGTTTCAGTTTGCAGAGCCGACTCCATGATCGCGATGCTATGACGAAGTTGGGAGGAGCGAGGTTTCTTTCCCAGCGGCGCAGCGCCATTGTCCAGACCCTCGACGAGAATCGTATGCTCAATTTTCTCGGCAATAAATGGTGAACCATGATCGCCCATCTCCGCGTCGATATCCAGGCGTGCCGTTCCCCGCAGCGAAGCGCGTGTCACACGTGTAGATCTTTGTTGTTGTTTTTTTTTTTTTTTATTGGACGCGTTTTCATTGTTGCTAGAGGTTTCCGAGCGGCTGTTCTCGGGTGTGAGAAGTTGCTCGGTGTATTCGAAAGCCATTGTGGCGTCAAGGGGCTTCTTCACGAGGTCCGAGATGGTTGCGGGAGTTGCGGGAGACGCGCCGGACAATCCTAGTCCGCCATCCATAGCGCGGTGTGCAGGATGAGGCTTGCGGCGAGTGCTGTATCTTCAGTCAAAATGATAACGGCTGGAAAGGCTGAGCTGTCCGGGGGTCCAGGGTTTCGTAGAGGAGTGATTAAACTACGGGGGCTCTGTTCGTCAGAAACTAGCCTGCCGATGGAGAGCTGGAGAGAGAAATAATCCGCTTATCAGGAGGAACGCTGGGAACGCCCTATAAGCCGGAGATCATTTTGCAGATAACACGAGCAGCTGTCCAAGTGACAAAAAAGGTACCAAAAAGAGACAAAAGGGGAAGGGGGTTCGGTTTGGGGGTTGGATGGAAGGGGAAGAGGAGAGAGGAGGATGCAGATGGCAGAAGTGGAAGGAGAGCAGGACTCAGGTGTAGTGACAGTCTCAGCCGCGGAATGCCCCCCTCCCAACTGATTCCGGCGAACAAATCCCTCATTTACACTTGTTTCTCCTTCTACTTCGTCTGCTTTTCTGCTCCGTGCATTTCACTCCGCTCGATATCGCAAAGTCGGCTTTTTGCTATCTATATCTCTTCCGCCTGGTTGATGGACTACTGAACTCTACAGAGGAGACTATCCAGGTAGATACCACGATCTACTCAATCTGGCGGAGTTGACTACTATGCCTATGATGACTCATTCTTTCGTCTCTACAACGGGTGTCTCGATTTGATATCTACGGTGTACACATGTCCCATGAGACATTTCGTCAAGCAGCCATCTGAAATGCCACTCGGAGCTTCCACTCGGCGACTCAAGAGAACAAGGGTTCCCGCATTCGAAGACTTTCAAATCTCCTACTCTGGTATAAGTCATACAGAAAAACCTTGGGTGCTGTCACTTTCCTGGCTCCAACTCTGCACATCTACTGATTTCCAGATATATGAAGCGCACAACTCAATGTTCGCAAGGTTTCATTTTGCAGCTTCCATTTACCAGATAAATGGCAGCTCCGTTAGTCGCAGAAGTTCACGCAGGGTGCTCTGCCTCAGTACTTTCACGAATCCTAAAGAGTGCAGTGGCTGCCAAATGTTTATTCCCAAAAGTCAGAGTCAAATCCAAGCGGCAACGGATTCGCCAGGTAGTTGGTCAGAATGTAGATGGGAACAAATCAACGCTCAGCATAATAAGGGCTCTCAAGCCTCTTTCCCCTTCCAATGCTACTCATTCGCGACCCGGTGGTTTTCAACTGGCTACTCGCATCCCAGCATGGTCGATTCCCGCTCCCTGAAACCCAGTTCAAAATTTCAATCAAGAATATGTGAAATGACAGCATTTTTCACTGCAAGCTATGCTACATCCCTCTCATCTGGGTCTTGGACTTTAATATCAATCATCATTGCACTAGGCTATTCGAGTGAGATACCACTCATTTGAGAACAAGGCCGGCTGCGGCTATGCATGTGCTGATAACTCACCACCTTGTCTCAACCCAAGCGCCTAGTGCAATCCTTCCTCTGCAACAGCCTTTCCAGACCTTTATATAAGTGATGCTATCAATCATTCTCGCCGCAACCGGACGGGACGTGCTCAACAGGCTCAATGCATATACTCATGTTGCCATATTGATGCATTATGGAGAATTTCTTACTTGCCCTAATCCGTGCTAGCTCTGTAATTGCCCGTGTCGCCCTTTCCCGGCCGAGCGATGGTGGGCCCCGCAAATCGGCAGGGTTAAGGCGGCCTCCCCACTTTGGCACAGCTGGCTCAATTTTGCGGTCTCTTATTGGCTGGGGCTGTATACCCTGTAGGTACTACAGTACATACCTACAGAGTAAGGTACAGTCTCACCTGAACTTTCAAGAGCACCATGTCAAGGAGCTGCTCTGATAATAACTGCGATGGTTCTCGGGGGACTCCTCAGACTGTAACCTGGTCATACTTCAATAATCCTCAAGTACTCTCTGTTGACTTTTCATTTATCGAGGCCAGCATCTGAGCAGATCAGCCCACCTCAGCGTTTCGTTAATGTTAGAGCAATATATATTTATTTATCTAACAGGACGCATCGACAAGTAAATCGAATAGATCGTTCGACATGCTCCAGGCATCTCATTTCAAGAATTAGTTTAAGCCAATAGAGTCGCTACCTAATACAGCCGTCCATCCATGTACGCAAATCCCAAGAAAATCTTGCGGGCTGCCTAGCGACTTGGTATAGATACAGGCCCGTCAATATCACAAGACAAGAATAGGAAAATGTTTGAAGAGAGGGAATGAAATCCGAGACCCAATGACAGGATAGAATAGTAAAGATATACATAAGTAAGAGATCGTAAAAAAGAAGGCGGGGAGAGAGATCAACCCAAGGAGCTACCTCAGCTCTGATTCGGTGGAGCAGGAACTCGCTGCATTTCGATATCGTTCTGAGGTTCAACGTTGCGAGGAAGAAATTTTCGCTTCATCGTACTTAATCGTTGGTCTCCTTCCTGATAATAATCCTTGAATTGCATGTAGGTTGGCGGTCGTGGTCGGCCGAATACCGCAATCCAGTTCCGGATGACGTTCCCTTGTGTGAAAGGGCGATGACGATCGGCTTTGGCAAACTTGTGCGAGTTCAGGTACTCCCGCGTGGTTTCGCCCCGACCGACGAGGAAGAGATGGTAAGCCCACAATGAGGCGGGGTATGGAGCTGCTATGGCTCCGTAAATGACCATAGCAAAAGGCACTCTCCACTTGTCAATGGCGTCGCCAAAGTTGATGCCTTCTTGAGATCGGTACACAAGAATGTGCGCCAAGCTAGCGCCGAGTAAGAAGAGCGCTAGGAGTGTGGACGTGCTGACAAAGGCAAAAAAGTAACGGTAATTTCGGCGGCCGACACAATTATTCAGCCAAACACAATGGTGGTCGAGGGTCTCGATACAGTTGTCGCAGACGCGGCAGTGGTAGCATCGCGGAGGACGCCAGATAGAGCAAGCCTTGCAGTACTTGACAGGCACATCCATAGCGGCAACGTCGGAAGTTGCGAGCTTCACCATGACCCAGTCATTCGTTGGAGGGCCGATGGCGAGAGGGTCGTCTGACGGATTGGGCGGAGGCATCTGGTGGAGGTTACGGGGGATAACACCGGGATCGACTACCGACGCATGTATAAATGAGGAGAAGCAAAGGTAGAAGAGGTAGGCGAATAGAATTGGGATAGCCGGAGAGACGTGATGCCATAGCCATGGGCCACTGGAAAACTGTTAGCACAGAAAGAACGTAGAGTAAAGAATGTATTTGAGCGATGCATACGAGTAACCAAAGAACAAACCGGTAGGAACCAGGACAAGAAATCCGGTTGCGATGTTGACTGGCTTGTCCCTAGAGTTTTGAAACCTCCCTCCACCCCAAAAGATAGTGTTACCAACAAAGTATTCGTAGTTCCTGCCCTTGTCGCGATTCTTCACCGGAGGTGGCCGCTTCTCAATGGACCTTGGCGATGATTCTGCTGATGATAGCCGTTCATGTGTTCTACTGTCGCGATTCTCAGCCGGTGCATTTCTATTCTGCAGCGATAGGAAAGAGAGAGGTGATCTCTGCGGGGTCTCGGGCTCGGTTGTGGTCTTATAATTCACCCCAAGATTGAGGTGCGGTGGTCGATTTCGGTCGGGTATAAGATTCGCGCTTTCGCTTCGCACCGTGGTATTCGCCGTGGGGCTGGCATTTGAGGTACCTCTATCAGGTATGATCGGATCGGTGAACTCAGTCCCTCGGGAAGGGGGTACTTCTTGATCCACAGCTGGAAGGGAGTTGGGGAAGGTACTGTTCGAGACCAAGCTCCGTCTGTTGTGGTTGAGTTGATCCCCCCAATCTTCGGATGATGCCGTTGTCTCCTTTGTCACTGGACGGCCTCGATGGGCTTGTAGGCGCTGAGATGACATTGGTCGGAAGAAACCCGAAGCAGCCAGCGAAGGGATGTGTGTTCGGCTCAATCTGCTCCCGGAGCTTCCTGGTCGGTTGGTGATTTGGCTAGTGGAAGTAATGGAGCTCCTCGCCGGCGGCGGGCCTCGTCGGGATACGGAGGGCCGTGACTGCGGTACTTGCGACGACACCGTATATGACTGTGACTGGTCGCCGTCTTCTGAAGCCATGTCCGTCACTCGCGATGAGATGCCTCCAATCGACGGAGGGCGAGGAATGCCCAACGCGTGCGGTGTAGGAGGAGGGTTTATAGAGTCATTGTTCTCTGAACTTTCCGGTTGGAACGCCATAGCGATGGCAAGTTGCGGAGTTGGCTATTGACAATCGCAAAATCTCATCTCGCGGTGTGGTCGGTTCCGGGCAATGTTCGGCGAAAGCTCATGAGATGGTAAGGAGCGACAAGAAGTAAGAAGCGCGCAGAAAATCCAAGATCAATGGATAGAATAAAGAGCGTAGGAGGCCTGATACAAACAATTTATAGTTAGCTATCTGCGGCATCATCCACCAGCCCGCGCATTTTGAGATAGGCTCGGGGCGCTACCTGCCCCTGTCTCTCCCAAGGGGGGTTCTTAGCCACTAACATACCTTGAGGAGCCGTGATTTGGGGGAAAACTACTCGCGAACGCGGATTTGCAGCACGTTCACTAGCAAGCCACCCACATAATGAATATGCAGCTGGGTAGTGCAAGAGCGAGAAGCCGTAAGGAGCGGAATGGAAAAGCGAACAGTAACTCCAAGTGCAGCTCTACAAACATCAGCATTGGGTCACAATTCGGCAGGCGGGATGACTAAGCGCCACACTTTGCGACCAACCAGTCGGATGTCACCTGATGGTCGCGCCGTCATCGTCCGACCTCAACCTGAGTAGAGTTCGCCCTCCCGCTTTTGCAAGACAATTGCTCCCCTCCAATCCTCGCAGCAACCGCGATTCCTCGCTTTCAAATCACCACGATGTCTTCGATTGCCGCCATGGCCTCTCGCCGGGCCTTTACCCGCCAGGCTCTTTTCCGCGCTCCCCAGCGCCGCCTCTACAGCTCCAAGCTGGAGGAATCCAGCCTCGACCAGGCTCCCAAGCGTGACCCCGAGCTCTATGTACGCATTTCTATCGAATTCGGTCGGGTTCAGCCAAAATAATGAGGCACTCGTGTCTAATTGGAAATAGGTCTTGCTCGGTGTCATGTCTGGTGCTTTCTTGATTGCCGGCTGGTAAGGATCATGCCATATTCCGTGCTCCTGGGGAGATGCCCAAAACAGTTGCTATGCACTCAATCGATAATCAATGGCATATGGACTTCGATATGCACATACTAAGATCTTTGTGCCAATAGGTACTTCGGCAAGAAGCCCACCTCGGTCACCTCCGAGAGCAACGTCCGCATCCCCGACAGCTCCATGCCCTGGGAACGTGAGGACACTGGTGGCAAGTCCTACAAGTACCAGTACCACCCCAACGGAGATAAGAGCCAGCCTCTCCGTAACGCTCCCAGTGCTTTGAACACTGTTATCGTGCCCAACGTTACCCTACCCGCGGTATGAATTATTTCCGTGTTGTCCCGCATCCGAATTGCCATTGACGTTTTCTGCTTTAGGACCTCCACGAGCGCTTCAACAAGTACGGCAAGGAGGAGTACGACTTTTAGACAAGAGAATATTATGTTGCTTGTGCTGGGGAGGCCTTGATGCTGATCGTTGTACAACAAAATTCCCCATTCCGAAGATTAGAGTAGTGAGAGTGTTAGCAAGAGCCTGTGCATAGTTGTTTTATAACCTGACTCAATTTGAGAGTTTCTTTTGTTGTCCAACCATGGATTATTAGACTACATAATCATTGTACAATGCCACACACTCGTAAGTTTAGTCAGTCAAAAGGGAGAATCATTGTCAAAAAAAAATTACAGAGAAATGGGCGTTGTGAGATAAAGAGAACAAGAGAAGGAGTGTCAAAGATGGGGATGAAAATGCGGCAGCTAAGCCCAGAACAAACGCCCGCTTATATTCCCCTTTCAGAGAGTGGCATCATTGCCCTCGCTGGCTGGCTTCGGCTCGGGAGAATCAACTTCTTCCTTTAAGCTTCCTGCGCCAGCCGCGGAAGCGGGGCTGTCTTCCGCAACTTCCTCTGGCTTGTCGAAAGTCTCAGGATTCTGGCCCTCAACGTCTGGGTGAGGCGGAGCAATCTCGCCATCAACCATGTCAACCAAATGGCCTTGAGCTAGACGAGTCCGGGTCTCGTGCCTTGTCTCAAAGGATACCTTGCCCTCCTTCCTTAGCGATTCTACCACTTCCTCATCAAGAATATTACCCTGGTGATCACGGTACTCTACTCGTGCTTTGGTAGAACGAAGTTGAGTGGCAGTGGAGGTGATCTTGGGTTCCTCGCTTTTGACCTCGGCAGGTTTCTGCTTCTTGACTTCCTGCTTGGGCTGCTGTTTCGGCTCCTCCTTCTTAGCAGCCTTCTTAGCTGAAAGGGCCGCATCAGAAGGAGTGGGCGTTGTTGGGATCGCGGCGTTTGCGCTTGTAAATTGGGTTACATATTGATTGAGCTGAACTATATTAGAGACAGCCCCAGAGAAATAGTTCTTGGCTATTCAGCACTTACATCAGTATAGAAAGTGTTGCAGTCGAAATCCCAAGATTTCAAAAGTTTAACTTGCTTGCAGGCATCCTTTGTCCAGGGGTTGCCATAAACCAGCGGGGAGTAGATTGTGAATGTGAAGATAGTGAGCGCAAGGAAGATACCAGCCAATGCCTTTCCAATGACAGGCCGAGATGGAAGGCCCAGGCTGCTGATACGGTGTGTGATAAAGTCGAACTCCTGGGCAAGAGTGAGGATAGCAAAATAGAGGGCCGGGAAATAGTGGTGCAGGAAGAGCTGGCGCGCCATAAGATAGAACGGGAAGTAGTGGAAGAACCATCCAAGTACACTGCTGCCGATTTCGTAGTCGAATCTCTTAAAGGTAGAGTTTCGATAGTCATTGCAGTTTCGCTGCCAGCGAATGACAGAAATACCCTTGAAAATGACATATATCAGGATAGCAGCGGTCGACGAATACCAGACAAACGGATTTCCGAACAAGTACACCTGCCGATGATCACGCCCCCAAAAGTTGATGCCACGGAGGAGCGTGGGCCACGACGGGGGACGAGAATCCCAAGCGTGGGAGTCCGTCAATCCGGCATTGGTAGTCCACATGACTTTCTGGAGCTCAAAGAACTTGCCGAAGAAGCCGGGATTCCTGTAGGTGACCTTTTCTGCGTCCGCGGGTAACATCGGGTGCTTGTTCGATTCAACATACCATATGCTGTTGGGTAACGAAGCTCCCTTTGCGCAAGTGACTTCCTGTTGATCGAACCCCCATTCTGGCAGCTTGACCTTGTGAGAGAACAGGACACAACCAGTCATGACATGGACGAGACGGAATTTGGACTGGATGGTACGCAGTCGCTTCTTTGCCTCCTCTCCGTCCGACAAAGATTTGACAATCTCGACGCGCCAAAAGTCGTTGGCATCGCCCGCAAAGCCTTCGTATCCATATGCTGAAACTTCAAACTGCCAATCCACATCAGTCACAGGGGGACGTTCATTATGCGAGTGTATCCTTCGGCGAGTCATCATGTGGTTAAGCCTAATGACTGCGCCATCTTCTATGTAGTTTGCAGTGATGTTATCCCAGGCGAGAGGGCCTTCAATCTCCGCACCGTCAGCGCCGATAGGCTGTGTCTGATTCTCCGCAATGAAAAGGTTGTTGTCGTCCTTGTGGGGATAAAGGGTGATTTGCTGTTGTTTGCTGCCGGTGGGATACATGTGACTATGGGAATGCAAGTAACCGCCCTGCGTGTTATGGTGGCGGATGCTAAGACGGGAGCCGAATATGACATCTGCAGGCACGGCGGCCATACCCTTGGAGTTCAAAGTCGCTTGAAATTCAGAGGACATGAAACCATCGCCCTCTCCCGGGTTGACCAGGCATTTGAAGTGAATGGCGAACATGGCACAGTAGAATCCGAGCGGGATCACGATTAAGCAGAACATTCTCGCAAAGAAATGTTTGAACCAGAGTCGCTGAATAACAGTCAGAAAGTATCTTACTCATAAAAGAAAAGGAACGACTTACAGGAGTAACAGTCCTAGTATCACCAAGAACCACCCAAAGTTGAAGGATGGTGAGGGAACCAACCCAGGCGACTGTAAAGAGGCCAACCCATTTTGTACTCAGCGTAGCACCTAAACTCAGGCCAGTGGCTACCAACCAGAACCACCAGGGTCCGCGAAAGGCGTGTGATGGCCCGAGCTCCTGTTGATTCGTGAAACAAGTGAATGAGAGAGCGGTAAGCGCTGTAAAGAACACGAGGGGAGAATCCAAGAGAATAAAGCGAGACTGGGTGACTAGGCCATTCTCTATGCGGGATTAGCAGGCAGTTGCAATTCTGGGCCGTGGATGAGGGCTTACCGAAGAGGATTGCACCAGCTCCCAGCACTGCAGTGGGGGTACGACATCCCGTGGCCTTTAGGGTCAAGAACATTATCGGCACGGTCAGGACACCCAAGATTGCGGGGAGCATCCGCATAGCTACATATGGCACCCCGGGCTCGAGGTAGTCCTTCCCGATCTCTTTGAAATCAAAGTTCCCTTTGAAGCCAGCGAGCCAGCCTGCGAGTGTGATAAGGAGCTTGGCGAGAGGCGGGTGAACGTCCATGAAAAAGCGACCCTTGATATACTTTGTAGCGAAGCCGCCGAAGCTGTTCGGAGGTTAGGCGTGCACATAGGATCTCCCAGAGTCGGAGGAAACGTACTGTACTTCGTCAAAGACAACGCTGCTCGGTTGGTAAATCCTGAAGAGGCGCACGACAGCGGCGACTATTGTCACCAGAACCATAACCTTATAGTCGGATGTCGGGAGGTTGAAGATGTCGTTATTCGTGACGCCATCGGATTGGTAGCTGGATGGTACGGCAGCAACTTTCTTTCGGTTCTTTGGCCGAGGGGAGCGACTAGGCGAGCGCGAGGAGGTTCGTGGAGGGCGGACGTCTAGGGTGTCCCTGGATTTCGGCGCCATCTTGAAGCTGGGGGTCCCAATGGAGAAGCAGTGGGTCGATGAAAGGTAACTGAATAGTAAAGAAGAGAGCGACGGTTTATTCCAATTGTAAAAAAAATAAAGGAGCAAGGATTAGGAAGTCATAGAGAAGTCGATTGCAGCTTTAATACTCCGACTCCAAAAAGCGGTGATCCGAAAGCTCACGCCAGAGGAGAGCGAATTGAAGAATTGGGTGCAAGAAGAATGATAGGAGAATTGCTGAATATGTGTTGTCGAGACTAACCACAGAGCGCCATGGCCGAAGAAAAGAAAGGAAGGGTAAGAGAAGAACAGGGGGCTTAACGAGGTCGTTTGGTCGAGGCTCTAAGGAAGCGAAGCCGAACAAATGATGTGTAGTCGGCCAAAGTTAACACGTGTGGTCGAAGCGCTTACGGACGAACCCGCTTTCATACTCCTCAGGTCACAGTGGCTGTAATGATTCTTTTATGGGCGAAAACAGGGTGTTCAATATTACAGGGAGCTAAGTATTTAAAGCGAATCAAAATCTGAATCATCTCAAATGAAACCAGCGAGACCAAGCCGACAGGATTAACTTGTCTCAGAGTCTGGCCCTCGTCGTCAGTTCGTATTGAGATGTATAGCTTACGTAACTGGAGCTATCTCCTCTTGGACTAGCCCTGGCGCCTATGGTACCCAATAGATCAATAGTTAGACGCGCGGCTGAATCTACCGCTTTGGTCACAGACAGGATGAAATAATAATGGTTGGCATCAGCCTCGAGCAACCACATTGCCTCCCCATCACTCCTCGTCCAGCGCACGCCCTAATTGGTGTCGCAAACATGGCATCCATGAGTACGGGAAACACGCCAACCATCACAGATGATATGAGCAAGCCTCCTGAGGGAGTGGTCTTGCCACCAAAGGACATTCGAGGTTAGTTTCGCACGGTCTCCCCGCAGAGTGATGCGTGTGCTAACGAGACGAAATAGCAATTGTTGAAAAGACGGCTGGGTATGTCACTCGAAATGGGGCTGTCTTTGAAGGTAAGTCTCAGTTCATTCTTGCTGCGACGTCAAAGTAAAAGCTAACTTGCTCGACTCTTAAGACCGTGTTCGCGAAAAAGAACGGAACAACCCCAAGTTCTCCTTCCTAAATCCGAATGACCCGTATGCACCATTCTACCAATGGCGTCTAAGTGAAATCAAGGAAGGGAGAGGGACTGATGTGTCTGCTGGCCGCGCAGGCGAGCCAACTCCGACTCCAGCACCCGAAGCACCGAAAGGGCCTGCAGAGCCCCCAGAGTTTCACTTTTCAGCTCGAATGCCTATCATCAACGCTCAGGACTTGGAGGTTGTTAGACTCACAGCACTCTTTGTGGCCAGACGGGGGAAATCTTTCATGACTGCCCTGTCACAGCGCGAGGCCCGGAACTTCCAGTTCGACTTCCTTCGCCCACAACACAGTCTGTATCAGTTCTTTACGCGATTGGTCGACCAGTATACTATACTCCTGCGGCCCGAGGGCGTGGATAGTGCTACATCTGAGAAGAAGAGAATCGCGGAGCTGGAACAGAACGTCAAGAACAAATTCCACATTCTGGAACGGGCAAAGCAGCGTGCAGAGTGGGTCAAATATCAAGAGCAACAGAAACAGAAGAAAGAGGAGGAGGAAGAGAATGAGCGGATAGAATATGCCCAGATCGATTGGCACGACTTTGTGGTCGTGGAAACAGTTCTCTTCACCGAAGCGGACGATCAGGTTGACCTCCCCCCGCCAACCTCTCTCAACGACCTGCAATCCGCCTCGCTAGAACAGAAAGCGATGATCTCGCTAAACCCTCTCCGCATCGAAGAAGCTATGCCCACCGACTTGGATGCACCCACATACTACAACGCCTACCCCACGCAACCCGAGCCTCAACCTGTCGTCCAACCAGCCGGTCCATCATTTCCTTCACAGCCGATGCCGCAACCGATTCCCCTTCCCTCTGCTGCCGCCACAGCCGCTGCCCAAGAAGAAGAGCAAAGAATCCGCGAGCGCATGGAAACCCGCGACCAAGCGGCTACAGCCAAATCGATCCCCACCCAACAACCAATGCGCATCCGCTCCGACTACGTCCCCCGCGCACAAGCCCGTCGCATCAACCCAGCCGGCGCCATGGCCCTCTGTCCAAACTGCAAGCAGCAGATCCCCGAAGCCGAACTGCAGCAACACATGCGCATCGAGATGCTCGACCCGCGCTGGCGAGAACAGCAGGCCAAGGCCCAGGCTCGAACGGCTACAACCAACCTTTCCACAGCCGATGTGGTTGGCAATCTGAAACGACTAGCCAGCCAACGCAGCGATGTTTTCGACTCTACTGCCCTCCAGGGTATTCCTGATCCAGAGGAAGAGGCGAGGAAGAAGCGTATGGCTTATGAAGGCATACCAGGGGCTGGGCCTATGCAACACCAACAACCGCCTCCGGTGGGGCCAATGGGTGGCCCGCAGAATCCCCAGAACATGAACATTGAGGAGCAGATTAGACACCTTCATGAGCGCTATAAGCAATGATGCAAACAATTTCCACTTGGCGTTATGTTTCAAACCCTGCTGGCGTTTCGTGGGCTTTTGGGTTTTGTGGACTCTTGCTCGATAATATATTTCTTTGAAAACGATGCCTGTTCCTGCTTGTACAGTATCGCTACATCCTATGACATCTATAGCACTATGAGAAATCATTGGGCGATCCTATAACATGAAACTGTTTGAGCAAGTTTAATTCTAACATAGTAGCCACTGGTATTCTTGTAGATCGTCCTCTCGATGCATTAAACACCGTTTACTGGAGCCATGTATATGGCAAAACAAACGTAGAAGTCAAGTAATCCATAGGCAAAAGAAGAAGAAGAAGAAGCAAGACTCCCAGTACGCCGATAAATGACGTCTCGGCGCCTGATACAATAAGCAAGAAGTAAGTCAAGGGCAAATAGAGTGAACAAGTATCAGGAATAGGATACATGTACAAGGACGAGAATATTAGAGCAAGATTAGTAATAATACATGTCGCAGGTTGCTCCAATTGGTCCACGCGACAACGAAGACAAAGAAGTATTAAGGGGAGCAGTGTATGGAGTGCCGCCAAGCTAATGTGGTGTGAGACGGGGGCCTGATCGCGCTCAAGAAGGGTATTCTGCTTTGATACGGCGTGTCAAGGGCGCAAAGGGTGATGGACCTTCTGTTGTCTCGACGACGGAGTCGGGCATATGACAACGACATCGACCAGCGATAGCGTTGAATCATGCGGAATCGCTTTGCCCAAAGTTGGTTCTCGATAAGAGCCTTGGTAATTCGGGAGTGATGAGTATGGTGATTGAGACGTGCTAGCGCAAGAATTTTTTAAGTCGTGGCGCTAGCAGCGAGGGTTTGTGTGCCTGCGGTTGACTTTTCCTGTTCATGAGTAGTGTCCCGTAGACCTCCATCCTGCTCAGTCTTCAGTCCTGGGATCTCGAGAGACAGAGTGTCCGGCTGCTGTTCCTCGGCAGATGGAACGTCGGTTTGCTGTTGTTCATGTCGTTCTTCTGGGGCATGTGTCTGAGCGAATACAGGGACGATGCCACCGCCAATTCGAGACCAGAACATTCTTTCCCTCAGGCGAACTGTTTCCTCCCATGCTTCCTGGATCTCATCGGGTTCCTCGGCGTGAATGTGGCCGTCAAGGATGAGACGAAGATAAGCCGTAAACTCGCAGCACGAGCGAACCTTTTCCAGACAGAGAACACACAGCGGGTATCGTTGAGCTGTTTCACTATCCGACGTCCGGAAGCGGTGAGTTCTCTCGTTATCGGAGCCGCTTCGTCGTTCGCCGCAGAGCGAGCACGGGAATTCGTATTTTTTGACATCCAATGGCATCGGTTCAACGACAAGACTTCCCTCGCAGATACCGCTGAGCACGCTTCGTCGTGTTAACCAGGATATACCAGGGGCAGCGTCAAGTCGCAAGGTCGGTTCGATGTCTTCCATCACAACACGTTTATAGAAACGCGCCTCCTTGAGAGGAATGCTCGAACCAGCGGGTTGAGGAGAAGAAACACTTCCGTTCGGTGAGTGGGGTTGAGATTTTGACGGCGAGGAAGTAACTGAGCCGAAGCCAGCACCGCTGAAACTTGCCAAGCTCATGACATTCAGACCGGAGTACGACCCACTGGTTGCCCTGCTTGGAGGCTTGGAGCTTTTTACCAGAGTGAAAAGCTCGCGGAAATCATCGTATGCAATCATATCTGTTCGGCATACCGTCTTAATGAGATGGGGAAAGCTGGTGGAAGGTCCAGGTGCAATTTCGGCAAAGACAACTTCGCCAGGAATGTCTGTTGCGTCCATACTCTTCCGGATGAGACTGTGCTGCAGTGGTCCAGCTGGCGATGGGGGTGCGGTCGAGATGGCTGTTCGGCCATCTAGGTCGTCCTTGGAGATATTCATTACGTGTAGGACGGATTTCAACTCTGATAGCTGTTCTTGATGCGAGGCAAGGAGCGACTCTGTATCTTTGATTTGAGACCGTAGCTGCTCGTTCTTTTTCTCCACTGCCTCGCGCTCAAGCTTCGCCGCAGCAACCATCTACTAAAGATTAGACAAGAAAATTAAGATAAAAAGTGCGCTTACCTTGTTTGCTTCCTCAAAGAGAGCAGCGGTGAGGGTTTCGAGTTCCTGCTCGATATTCTTCTTCTCCTTCTCCGCTAGGACCCGCTGCGCCTTTTCCTCCACCAAGGAAGCTCTCAGGCGAGCAAACTCAACATCATAATCGGCTTTCTTTACGAGTACATTTTGGTCAACATCGCGGCGATATTGAGCATTTTCCGACTCGAGAGCGCGAATCCTTTCTTGGGCTTGCTCCAAGTCTTGGCGGGTGGCGACTAAAGTGTCGTCGAGTTTTGTCTGGTTGTTAATCGCTTGAACGAGCTTCAGACTTAGCGTCGCAACTTCATCATTCAGGTCAGGGTGGTGCGAAGGTGATATAGACGCTTCTGAGGACCCAGTGCTGTGCAAAAGTCTCGGGTCTTTCAGGGTGCTGAAACCACTGTCGGCGAACCCGCCTTCGCTTGAAGAACGGATGGTGGGAATTGGAGGCGCACTGGAGGCGGCTACGGAGAGATCATTGGTAGATTTGGCTTTTGTAACGTGCCTATCGGGGGAGAGGGACCTGTTTCCGGACGATAGAGATCGCTTGTGGCTGGTTGATCGCGGGAGCATGTTCGACGGGGAAAGGAAGCCCTGATGCGAGTAGTAGGAATGAAAGGCAATCAAGCTGGAGAAAATTAGCATAAAGAAGAGATACCGCTTGGACCCGGGAACGTACTCTGCCATGGTGGTGAGGAATCCAGAGTTGACCAGGCACGAGATGGGAAGCGCCGGAGCCAACAGATAGACGTCACGGTTAGGCAGATTAGTGATTCGGTCGTTTCATGGAAGAGAAGGATAGAACGGAGGCCGATCGTTCGATCTCGAGGTCTTCGGTGCTACTTGAGCTGAATTGCAAGGGGGGGATTTCGGCGCGAGGTCAAGGTGGCACCGGTGAGTTTAGCTGCGACGCATTGAAGCTGTTGAAAGGAACGGATTCGGAGCTGGAAGGGAGCGGATGGGCTCGGCGACAGAAAGGACGGTATAGCGGACAAGTGTGGGAGCTGGGATGAATAGGAGAAGGAATGTGAATGACGGCAGGAAGTCAAGAGAGCTGGGGTTTGGGGGAGTTGGAGCCCCTCTTCCAAGAATGCAGCCGGTGGTGGAGGAAGCACTGAAGCCCTGCAGCCTCTTTGTCAATCGTCAGGAGCGCTCAAGCCTCAGGCTGCACAGTGGAACCTGTGGAAGCGCCGGGGCGGAGTCGCGGTAATTACCAGATCTAGAGTACGCGGGTGAAGTGGCGGGTAATTTACTCCCCATCGAGCAAGCCGATCACGGGACGCCAGGACAAGAGCCCATTGTCGATGACGATTCGCCGAGGCAAATCAAATGTCTCATACCATGCTGCCAGGACCAACGTGCGATGTCAATCAAGGAGCCTGTTGCCATGAGTATGTGAGACATCTGTGGTTTCTATTGCTGAACTCCGTGCGTCTGCCCGCGACATAGTTGATCTGCACTGATCAATTGCTGGGGCATTGCTGCGGGCTTGGGTAGAGCAGCTACTCCGTAGAGCTTCCAACCTTTGAGCTCAGGCACCAGCCAATCCTCGTTTAGAATGTCTCAAAATCGATCTCGGAACCTCTCCGTCAACGGAGCAGTCAGGTAAATCATGTGTCAATAATCATGTATGATGCACGTAATTTCAAGTCGCATTCGGCGTTATACTGGAGTTGCCCTCATTGACGTTTGGGCGCTTTCCAAGTCCCTGCGAGGTGCCCCACACTTTTTAGGCCTTGTAGCCTAAGGCCACAACTATGAGGTGGGGTTTGCATTTCAAGACGCAACAAATCTTTGGATTACTACAATCGACACTGCTGACGAGTATTCCCATATATTCATCCCACTCACCCATTTTGACTTCTTATCCCCAATTTTAACACGCCATGGCCGATGCAGAGCTAGAAGAGGTACGTGACACTGCGCCTGTTTCCACCGCAGTCGCACTGATTTTCTGCTGTAGATCAGACGAGCTCGTCTCGCGCAACTCCAGCAACAGGGCGGCTCACGAGGGGCTCCGTCGGAGGGCAGCCAAGATGACCAGAGAAAGTACGTTTGATTGGCATACTATCTTCCCCTGCTTTGCTAAATAGTATCTCTAACCGCGTTTCTGATCTCCCAGGCAAGCTGAAGGTATGTTTAAACGAACGCCGACCCGCTAAGCGTCCCGCTCATACATCCCTCCATGAGAAGCCGAACGTCGTGGTACGATTCTAAGCCAGATCCTCGAGCCGGAAGCCGCCGATCGTTTAGGCCGAATCCGCCTTGTCAAGGAGTCGCGCGCCACAGACATCGAGAACCGGCTTATCATGCTCGCACAAACGGGCCAGCTACGACAGAAGGTCACAGAAGAACAACTCAAGCAGCTCTTGAATGCGGTCGCGGAGAATCAGCGCAAGGACGAGGAGGAACAAAAGATCGTGATCCAGAGGCGGAAAGGCGGCTGGGACGATGACGATGATCTGTTGGATCTGTGAAAGAGATGTCTTGTATGGTTTCGGAACCAATGAGGCGTTATGAATTACGATGCATCCGACCTATCTAATTTGAGGTATACTTGCCTCCGAACATGCATATCTGTGATGGGCCAATATCCCCGATAAGACAATATGGAGTGGTAAGGTATTACGTGCTATGCTTCAGCATCGTGAGTGTGGATAGTATGCATCTATGCATGTCGCTAAAAGTACAGTGGCTACAGAGTTATCACGAACTATTCCCTTCTAGCCGTTCCTTTTCCCTCTTTTTCTGCATTCTAATCATTCGCCGAATCTCCCTCATGTCCGGAGGCTTCTCAATCCCCAGTTCTGCTCGCAGTTCATCAACATCCTTCTCTAGAATCTTCTCCCAATAGACGTTGATGAGCTCCTTGCTAGAGAGCCCGCTCCGCACCGCCCACGGTAGGTACAGGGAGAACAGCCTCTCTCGCTCCGCAGGCTTTAATCGCACAGAGGCAAACATGCTCAGACCAGTCATTGGAATCAATGTATTTAGGAACTCGAATGCCTTGAGCGCCAGCTCACCTTCCACGAATGTTGGTAATCCAGTCACAGCATGGTAAAAGTCGTGGCATTCGCGGTATCGCTGCATGACATATGCACACTCCGGGTCATCGATATACTGTACATTATCCCTCGTATCCGGTGATACACCTTCCTTATCTAACCAAGCCGCGTAGGTTCGCCCGACAGAGTTCTCCGGTAGTGAGCGGAGATAGGGAAGCTTAAGGGTTTCGGATGTGATGCGCGGGCGGTCGCGGAGGATTTGTCGACCCGTGGGGTCCTTGAGCATTGCATCACGGAGTCGGTATATGAAGTACGGGGTTGCTGTCACTTCACCAAGCGTCGCAATCAAATCTGTCGAATCAGTTTCGGTCCCAAAATAGCCTTTGCACCTCACACCTACCAGCACGTCGCGGGTTCAAGAGAGCCCCTACGGCAGAGCCCACAGTGAGAAACCCCTTCTCGAAGAAGCCAAGCGGAACATGATGCGGATATTTTGGTGGTGCGCGATTGAAACCGGAGAAAAGCCGTGAAGGAGGTTGCCGGATAAGGCCGCGTAAGGGCGCTATTTCTCGCGCACCAAGAGCTGCGGCTCCGGAGCGCCTGAGAAGTGACATTATGCCGCTGAAATGTGGAAAAGCATTATTTGTTCAGGTCATTTGAGAGGTCGCGGCGCAGGAGGTGGTCTGATGCGGAGCCTCAGCGGAGGGCTTATCGACGACACAACTGGTCGCAGTGTGGGCCCGTAGAACTGATAAAGATCGATAAAAATCGGAGCATAAAATCATACTTTGTACTTCCCACAAGAAGGTGGGACCTTTCTAAGCCAGAGAATTGTGGTCCAGCCATGTCGTATCGGGGAACCTATTTGACCCAGATATTGTAGAAGCGGCCGATCCCTTGAGATTGTCACTTCCCACGCAGCGCAAGCGAAATGACGCCGGAATGGTGGCCCGGAGAGGACCATGAACAGTTCGTGCAGTGGGCAATATCCCAAGGCGTCATTGTGGATGGAGTTGGTCCAGCACGCTTCCAGGGACGTGGTCTAGGAATGATAGCTATGCGAGACATACAAGTACGTAATCGTTGTCGACACGGGTTGCGATTCTGTCTTCTAATATTCTAATATGTTCCATGCACAGGAAGAGGAGGTTATTGTGCGAGTGCCGCAACGAGTAATGTTAACAGAAGAAGCCATTCCGCCTTCATTCTCTAGCAGGTTCCCCGAAAAGACGCCGGTTCACGCGCTTCTGGCTGCATTCTTGTGTAATGGCGAGCCGGAGGACCTCCAGCCCTTTCAGCTCTGGAGAAAGACCTGGCCTAGCCGGAAGGACTTTGAGGACTGCATGCCGATTCTATGGCAGGAGAATTCCAGTTCCATGCTACCGCCGTCTATCTCGGGTAGATGGAAGAATGTCCAGAAGCAAAAACTCGACTTTGAATACGAGTCCTCGCACCAAAACATCCTTGCTCAGCAGCGGGTGAGATTGCGCAATGCCTGGGAGAGCGTTGTTGCTGTGTTTCCGGAGACTGATTGGGAAGGATTCTCCTACCACTGGCTCATTGTAAATACTCGGAGCTTCTTCTATCTGATGCCCGGCCAAGAGCAACCAGAAGATCGGAATGATGCTATGGCTCTACTGCCATTAGCTGATTACTTCAACCATTCCGACGTGGCAGTAAGTGTGTTTGCGAATGGTCTGAGGTTGCACTTCGCTAAATTTCTCAGTGTAACGTGAAATTTGATGGCCATGAATACGTATTCAGGGCCGTAAAAGCGTATAGTGAGTTCCTATTCAAATCAGTATAAACCCCTACACGACTAATAGTGGAATTTGAAGACACAGGAGAAGAAGTCTTTATGAGTTACGGACCTCATACCAATGATTTCCTGTTCACTGAATGTAAGGCAAGCTTTTGTTCCTCCTTCCACATTGCTAATTTCAGTAGACGGTTTCTACCTCGATTCGAACCAGTCCGAAGCACTATACCTCGATGACATTATATTTCAAGACTTGAACCCGTCCCTCCGGGAGGAACTAAACCTACAGCAATATTATGGGTAAGGTATCCCCCTTCCTGAATCGTACCGAGTATCAGGTTCGAACTGCTCGCTGATACAAGCCACCAGCAACTATCAGGTCACGGCCACGGGAGTGTGCTATCGGACCGAGATAGCCGCTTGCATTGTATACATGTCTCTCAAAGACTGGCAAAACTACACCCTCGGCTACTCTACCAGGGGAGTAGACGCAGAAAAGTCGGCAAAGGTCATCCGCAAATGGATCGGCACATACGTAGAAGAAGCGAATGCGAGTATTGACGAGCTGCTGGAGAAGCGTGGGTCTGGAAACATAGACCGGGAAGACGAGGGAAGGATGCGAATGCTGATCAAGAGGTGGAGCCAGGTAAAGGATCTTTGTTTGAGAGCTCTAAAGGAAGTCGGATGAGACCAAAGGTGTGTAAACTGCTCAACTCCCGCGCCGTTCGAGGTCTTTCATAACGTCAACTGGGATGGCCTGGGACTCTCTTTGCCTGAGATCTAGCTGCTTCGCAAGCACGAGATGCTTTATGGTATAATTCACCACGCACTTGATACCAAGCTCTTCACCTCTTCGCACAATATAGCCATTCAAGTACTCGATTTCGGTTGATCTTCGACCTCGTATGTCCTGTAGCATGGAGCTGGTGTTTTTCGCTGTTTTGTGCATGAGCTGCGTCGCCATCCCTCGCAGACGCTCTGGAGAGAAGCGACTCTCAATCCCAGGTATACCCTGCAATTCCGGCAAACTGCAGATCACACCGGAGATTTCAAACAGAAGCAATCGCATCAAACGAGTGACGCTAAAGTTATAGAGGAGTTCGCCATTATGGCAGTCCATCAACACGGTCAGTGGGTTTATGATTGAGTTCATTGCTAACTTTTCCAGTTGATGCATCAAAACGGACGAAGGCGGCTCAGCGACAGCAACCAAGGGTGGTGTGAGTGTTAATGTGCGTAGTAGGTATTTGGTGCTTGGTGCCCAATCTGGTTCTGTATCATTCGACGATATAGGTCGAGAATCCTGCTGCGGGACAGGGCCTAGGATTGTTGTGCCTACGCCATTATGGGAGACGTGAAAGGTGTCGTTCCTCTGTGCTAGCCCATGGCTAGTGATGCCAACCATGTAGTGTGGCCGTCGGCTCGGGTCCGGAAAGACTTTCGCGTTTACTTCATCAATGATGCCCATGCCATTCTGCAGGAATAACACGGTCGAGTTGGGTGTCAGGCGGTGACGAACGCCCTCTAGAGCCATTGGGGTCACAGGTGCCTTGACCGTAACTATGAGGCATTCAATTTCCTCATTATCTTCCGCCACGGCTGCCCAATCAGTCTCCGCGTTGGACTTTGATTCATCATTATTGGCTGCGGACGAGCCATCAACCGAGCACCACCTTTGGTTGTGGAAGACATTGACATCAAAGCCGGTCTTGATATCGTCTAATCCGTTGGTGTTGATAGCCAAGCATTTCTTCCTCGCGAGCCAAGACGAAAACATCAACGTGTTATGCATCATAAGAGTGATAGGTGGTGGAGATGGCCGGCTTTTCAAGGAGTGGGCAACAAAGGTGCCGACATTTCCAAGGCCGAGGACGTGGATGCGCCCGGATAGTCGACGATTGCCATCATTTCCAAAAAACTCGTCGACATCTTGCGTCCAACTCGATGCCGGTCGACTCAAGAAAATCTTTTGGAAACCATATCCTCTGGCCGCCGTCCGCAAGAGCGGACGAACTCCGAACATGTACAGCGGCACCGTGGAAAGTAAACTATGTTGCGCGGTTCAGTGTGGAAGACACAGATGGCTCAGTAGAAGGTAAAAAGCGATGAACGAGTCAAGTAGCGTAGATCGAACTCATCCGAATAACGGTCTCGGTGTTTATGTCTTGTGACTTCATGGACGTCAATTGTCAAGCATGTCTACTCCGACTTACGTACCTTACGCTTCAAGTCGCTCGTGAGAAGAGTGTGGTTCACCGCCCAAGCCCTTCACCGCTCTACTGGGACGGCAAAAATGGGGTTCTCCGCAAAATCTTTCAACATTCCAGATTCCTCTTTCCGCCGAATACAATTCTTGAGGGTCATGGAGACTGCAGCTTTATTACCGCTGCTAGAGCAGCTGGACGACAATGTTGATGAACTCGAAGAGGTCCTCGCACCTATACTAAGGAGTACTGTTGTTGAGACGTCGAAGAAACTACCAGTTCTGGACAAAGCCAAGTTCCATGTGATGATCACTTATGCTCTGGAGTCACTGATCTTTTGTACGTTTATGATATGGTATCGCCAACAGCAAAACTAACCTCTCATCCAAACAGCATACCTGCGGCTACACGGTGTAAATGCAAAAGAGCATCCCGTTTTCAGAGAGTTGACAAGAGTGAAACAATACTTCGAGAAGATAAAAACTCTGGAAACTCCGCCAGAGCAAAGGACCATGGTACTTGATAAGCAGGCAGCTAGTCGATTCATAAAGCACGGTCTTGTATTTTTATCCTGACTTGTCTATATATTGAGTGACAACTTACAAGTATAGGCCGGAAACGATAAGCTCGACCTGCAGCGAGAAGAACAACTTGCGAAGGAGAAAGCGCGCACGCAACTAAAGGCGTCTCTTTTGGCCAAGAAGGCGAAAGCGACGCCCGAAACAACATCCAAGAACATCTCAAGCGGATCCAACTCCGACTTTAATCCCAACGTCGACAGTGACGATGATGTTGTTGATGACGCAGTGCTACAAGATCCGGAGTCATCTGAGATAGCGACTGGAAGCCAAAAGAAAGCCAAGAAAAAGAAAGCTAAATCCGGTGCTCAAGAAGCAAAGCATAAAAAGCGCAGCAAGGAAGATCGGAGAGAACGTCACAAAGAGAGGAGAAAGAAGAAGGAAGAGTCTCGGAAGGCGAGGACTTGAATAATTCGTTTTGCTCGGCTACATCCCACTTATATCTCATCTGCTGGCGCCCGGCACCACAATACAGCTCACGAAACCCGGTTCCAATCGCTTCACGTTCCGTTGATGCCTGTGCTTCTGCTCCTGGCATACATATGTGAAACGAGCTCTTACAACGGAATCTACCTCGGCGCTTATCCAGCGGTACCTCAACACATGACGGGAAGTTTTGGCATTAACTAATCTGAGCTATGCACTCGGTAGCTGCTGGGAGACAGTGCTATATACTGAAGGTCATTGATACAGGACTCAAGGTCCCGACGCCTGAGCTGGAGTGACATTTCGATCTTTCGAGAAGCGTTCTCGATCATACACGCAGGTGACTCAGTATACAGTCAGAGTATGTGAGTTGAAGTGGCGAAAGGCGAGAAGGCGCAAGGCGATTCATTTATCCAAAGACTCACTAGTACCACATGCTTGGAATTGAGAGTGCAGAAACATAAAGACAATATCTTCTTTCATTCTGTTTTTCCTAGGTGTAGTACTTATGCAGTAGTGCTGGCATCCATCGATGGAGGGCAACGAGCTGGGCTCCAAGTTAGAAAACCTGATACCGCATGAAAACCAAACTTGCCGAGGATATCCCTGGATTTTGTGCTATAAATCACCATAAAATACGGGTCCTGGAAACCTTCGGTCACGAAGTAATATTGATGACATAATGAGCAAGCTTGGCCAATCGTAAGCTCTCAAATTGTCCAGTGCACCGGAGTTTTCGAGATGTTCTCCGCCCGCGATTCGACCGTTTTCCTTCTCCTCACTATATAACTCGGCAGTCCCTTCAATCATCCCCGTTGTCATCCCTAATAATCATCTCCTATCTACGCACAAAAACACAGTTACCATGCCTCGTCAACGCCGTGGTGCCGCTCCTGCCGCTACTCCTGCGCGCAGCGCTCCTACTCGCCCTACCGCTCCTGCTCAGCCGGCTCGTGCGCCGTACGGCCAACAGCAACAGCAGCCTCACTCAACCGCTGCTCACCCTCCTACTGCCGCCCAGGCTCCTGCAGCTCCTGCTCCCGTCCAGCAGAGCTCTGGCCCCGGTCTTTTCGGTCAGATGGCTTCCACCGCTGCGTAAGTCAAAAACCCTTCCGTCTCGTCTTCCGTTGCGACTATTCCGCAGTGGCAAACCGCAAAAACAACCTTCACCTTTATCTACCTCGCAAGTCAATGTCAGAGGCGCATACTGACCATCTTGTAGTGGTGTAGCTGTTGGTTCTTCCATCGGCCACGCCATCGGTGGTTTCTTCTCTGGCGGTGGCTCCAGCGCTCCCGCTGAGTCTCAGCAGCAGGCTCCCCCGGCCCAGTCCCAGCCTATGGACAACGGTTTGTGGCAAAGCAGTGCCACAAACAGCTCTTGGGAGAACCCTGCCTGCGAGACTGACATCCGTAACTTCCGCAAGTGCATGGATGACAACCAGGGCAACATGTCCATCTGCGGCTGGTACCTGGATCAGCTGGTACGTATACACCCTTCTTCTTCCTAGCATGACCGCATGTGAACTTGTTACTAATGCGCTTTTGCTCTATTATAGAAAGCTTGCCAGGCTGCTGCTAAGCCCTACTAGACACCTGTCTGTGTAATGTTTTGCGTTTGTGGAAATCTAGCGTGCTGCCATGACAGATTTAAGACAATTGGTTTAGGCCTAGATATGGACAATGCTTGCATATCGGTTGAATGTTACCCGACTGTATAATATTCCCGTTGAGGAACGATAGTCTGGGCTTTGAACGGATGTCGATGAGTCCTTGTAGTCTGCTTCTTACCCGGAGAAGAAAAAACACAGATACCTAATAGAAAAAAAAAAGAATAATCTCCTTCATATCTTAAGCTTGGCACTCTCTAAATATCGTGATACGTACTGATTGCCTGGGATCGTCTACAATGTATATATATTCATATATACTCGGGGTGGCATCCAATGTACACCCTCCGAGCGCTTACTGGCTCAAAAGAAGAGCAAGCTATACAAATAAAGACGGCTGTTAAGAATAGCAATAAGGGTATACTATTTCCTAATAGGACCATAACATGCAGTCATCGCTCATCATCCCCTCTGGGCTCAAAATTCAGCTACATTGACGAAACGAGCGATTAGGAACTGAACAACGACATAGGGTTTGAGCGGCATAGCAGACACATACCTGATTTCCGTTATAGAATTCGCTCCTGTCCTGCCCTTCCATTTGATCTCTTAGGGTCCGGATATTCGGCCCAAATGGTCGCCGCCTTGGGGTCTCACCCGTTGACTGTGACCCGGAAGTATGAGCGGGTTCCGGCCGAGGCTGCGCAGCCTGATTCTGACCGTACCCAAGCAGGGACCCAAAATAACCGGTTGCAGTGCCAACAACGGAAGAGACAATGCCGTAGACGGAGGATACTGCGCGGACAGGTAATGAGCCTGATTCCGAATATGCTTCAATATATGACTTGATGGGTACCATGACGAATGTTGCTGTGGACCCAGTTATAATCTCGCGGAGAGTTTGGTCTTCTTCGGCGATGGTGAGTGTTTGATTTGGTAGGGGGGTAAGAATGTGTTTTAGATTATAGGGCTTTCTCTCTTCCATCTGGCTGTCGAGCCAAGGACGGACATCTTTTCGGATAGTATGTGAGGGCGAGAAGGTTGAGCGGACAGATCGTCCGTCGAATAACCGGACCTGAAGACGGTACTCTTGTGGTGTAGGCGCTGGTTTGGAGGGTGACTGTTGCGCAGGTTTCTCTGCCCCGGGCGCCCGCGAAGCCGGCGTTTCTCTCTTAGTAACATTTTTCAAGGACTCCTTCGGCTTGTTGGCGAACTGAATTGCCCTATGCTCTGGTTGTTTTCGAGGAGGATGTACTGCAGTACGCCGAGAGCTTTCTGCTGGGCCCTTATCCGCTGTATTCTTCTCATCTTCACGACCCCTCGCGGTGCCATGACTAGGCTGTTCCTGACTAGATGACGTCTGAGCTGTAGGCGGGATTGTCGTAGCCGAAGTCGCAGTCTGATTCGCAGCCTGCGGAGGCCGTGGGGGGGAAGCGTCCGCTCCTTGGTTCTGTGAATATGACGGCTGGTCTGTGGATTGCCCCGCTACCTGAGTCTGAAGATTTCTATCCTCCATAACCGCAGTAAGACGAATGCGAAACTCGTCTATTTGGACATCTGGAACGATGTATTCCCGCAGCATTCCATTCCTGCAAATTGTTAATATGACTTGCTTGCATTGGAATCGCATATCTGAATCTGGATACGTACTTAATAGCAACTACCGTCGGGTATTGCGAAACGGGACAGACAGAGGCCAGAAATCCAGCTTCTGGGCTCTCTTTGGTGATGCGGAGTAGAACAGACCGCGCTTCAAGAAGGCGCGTGAACTCCTGGCCGAAGAGCGAGTTATTAGAGGGGCTTCTGTATACAGTACGTAGACCTGGACAGTACCTCGTCGCCTGCAAAATACTCCTCCTGCCATGTTGAGCTTGTTTGGCCGTCATCTGTTGATAGGACGAATGGTTAGGTAGTGTCGGATACGGTAACTCCCCTCTGGAACAAGAGCTCGGTGTTCTCGATGACGAACCTTGCACAAAGCAGATGACAGCCTTGGACTCCTGAACGGCTAGGGCAATGCCCTCCTGAAGAGACCCCGAGAAAAACATATCGACTCCGCGTGCTGTGGTGAGCTATTGGGAGAGATGTCTTGAGGGATGTTGTACTGCGTCCGAACTGGACTGTCAATCGGCGCCGATCACGCGGTTCCACATCTCGGCTTCAAATGATCTCTCCTCCGGCATCAAAGTTGACTGCCCACCTCCGAGTCCAGCATCAATTCCCATCCTTTCCGGCTCGCAGCTGATCAATGAAACGCCCCAGTTTTTGATTACACTTTACTAGACTATGCGACCCATTTTCTCGGTTCTGCAGCGGGCCGCTGCGCCTCGAGCATGGCAGCACACCATCTCCTCTGCCCGCAGTCCGCGCACAGCATTCAAGCTGGACTCGATCTGCACAAGATGTCGTCGCCAGCAGATGCAAGTGCGCTTCTTCAATGGCCAGCAAGTGGGCGACGACCAGCGTTGGTTATCCGTCGTGGACCACCCCGCACAGATCGTCCGAACAGGCCGCAAACATGGACCGGGGCTGATAATTCTTGGTGCGCATATACTACACATTCTTAAACCGGATTGGTGCCACTTTACTGCTGCTAATACTGTACGAAACAGCGTTGATCCCGATTATCTCTTTCGCTCTTGGAACGTGGCAGATACAACGTCTAGATTGGAAAACAAATTTGATCGCGAAATACGAAGATCGGCTTGTCAAAGACCCTCTCCCGTTACCTCCGCGAGTTGATCCCAGTGTCGTCTCGGAATTTGATTATCGCCGTGTCTACGCTACAGGTCGATTTCGGCATGATCAGGAGATGTTGATTGGGCCGCGCATGCGTGAAGGTCAGGACGGGTTCATAGTTGTTACGCCGCTGGAAAGAGGAGAAGGAGAGAGCACAGTGCTGGTAAATCGAGGTTGGATTTCCAAGAAAGTGATGGACCAGAAGGATAGGGTCGAGGGGCTCCCACCGACCGAAGTGACTGTCGAGGGCTTAATACGAGAACCGTGGAAGAAGAACATGTTTACCCCTGATAACAAGCCCGAGGACGGGAAATTTTACTTTCCAGATGTTGAACAGATGGCTGAGCTGACCGGCAGCCAGCCGGTATGGATTGAGCAAACGATGGGTAAGCTGTCATGACCATTACTAGGTGCATCTTTGACGTGGCTGACTCGTCTCCATTCAGTCCCAGATTTCCTCGAGGCGATGACCCGGGAAGAAAAAGGCATTCCGATCGGCCGGGCAGCGGAAGTGAACCTAAAGAATAACCACAGCCAGTACATCTTTACATGGTATGTTTCAAGCCACCTGGCCCATGCGAGACTTCGACTCCTGACTAATCGATATAGGTACGGACTGTCCCTCGCGACGTCCATCATGCTGTGGATGATAGTTCGAAAGCGTCCCAATGAGGTCACACGCCGGGTTCGCCAGAATAAAAACTGGTAAGAGACGGTGAACTCTGTGCATTTGGCTTTGGCGTTCGGCTTGTTTTGCGGTATATTCTCCACTGTATTATAGTATTCATCTTGGCGCCATCGCGAGCCTCATGTCCTGCAAGAGTTCCTTTGGTAGGTGCTTCTGCGCAAGGGAAAATACCGTTGTTGTATTATTGAGATGGCGTTGCCTATAAAGTTAGCATCTCCATCGTAGATAGCGCGAGACTTTAGAAACTTACCTTCTCATCAAGGCAGTGACATCGGCTTCATCAATTGTCTTGCGCCCAGCGTGTTTTGAATATGCTGCCAAGTCCTCGCTCACTTGTTCGAAATACCACGAGGAGGCCTGCTCAAGTGCTGCTAGAGTGGTCTTGCTGATCTTTGCTTTCGGCCCAGATCGGGCACGTGCAAATCGGGCGGCTAGCTTGCGAACGACACCAGAAGGCATGTTTGGAACCGGAATACCGTGTCGTGAAAGTTTCTTCTGTTTCGAACCTTGAATGACAGTTTCTTCATCGCGCAGACCTCCTCCGGCAAGTCCCGGACTCTCGCTCAAGGAATCCCTGTCTGGAAAATTCAACTCTAGACCGAAACCGCCAGTTGCGTCTTCATCATCACTATAGTCGGACTCGGGACCAGCATTTAGTCCTAGATCAACAGGTGGCAACTCGAATCCTTCATCATCATTCAATGGCCCGTCCTGATCCAGATCCTCAGCAGGCGCGACGGGAGACGGAAATTGGAAGTCAAAGTTGAATCGCCCGAGATCTTCGGTGTCTCCGCTGCATGTGCTTATCAGTAAACGTATTTCAGCGAAGGAACTGTTCAGCTTACCCCCTATCAAACGCACTCTGACTAATGAGGGTTTCATCTTGTCCATTGTCTTCGTCAAGAGCTATTCCTGTAGCGTCGTCATCGTCTTCCGAACCATCTTCAAGCCCGGTAGCATCTCCAAAGTTCTCACTCAGACGAGCACCGTAACTCATCATGGACAGCCGGCCTCTATCTCGATCAAAGGTGGCTCTCCGAGGATATTCGACGGAAGTGTGCGTCATGTCATCATCCTCTAGTGCTAGCGACATCCGTGGCGGGCGTATCTCAGGGCTTCCCTCGTCATCGTCCTCTTCAACCTCGTCTAATGGCAGAGACAGCCGAGGCCTCTCGGGCGCGGGTTCATTATCGAGCTCGTCAATCTCATCAATCTCACTTTCTGGCTCCGGTTCCAGTGGTGGTTGCGGTGAAGAGCGTATTGGTTCGGAGTTTGGGGCGAGAGCTTATGAACAATATCAGCGGCTGGTCTCAGAAACGCCAAAACCACTCATACCTTTGCTAAGATTCCGGAGAACATCGAAGACGGTTTCGCGTTGCCCTCGTCCGCTTTTTCGGCGATCACGTCCGGGCGTATTGGCTGCCCGCCGTTGTATCGCGCGAAGCCCATAAGGTGTCGACGGGGCCGCCCCTCTGTTTCTAGGTGTGTGTCGCGAAGTCGAGCGGGGAGTTGCTGACGCTGCAAGCCGGCTTGGGGTGGATGGATGTCGCGTATGAATAGGAAGACGCTGAAGCTATGGAGAGTAAGTCAGCGAAAAGCATATAATGGCATTGTTTTGCACCAACCCTCGTGAGTGTAGTATCGCCAGCCGGAGTTGATGCCCTAAACCCCTCGGAATCTCGCGCAGAGCGGCGGCTCCGCGAATTGGGAGTATCCGACATTTGACCAACGAAGTGTAAGCGCGGAATATTGTATGTTCAGCGCACCATGAGCACTCCCCGATTGAACTGTTCACTGGACGATGATGCGTCCAGCCAAGAGCGCAATGAAGTCGCGTCCAGAGAACAACAACCCTCACTGGAGGATCTATTTGCGGCGCAGTAGCTCCCAGCCTATCGATAAGGAGAATTGATGACTCAGCATAAAAAGTTCCCCAGGAAATGCGACGCAAAGAACCGATACATTTGTCGGGACATTTTTCAGAGAACGGAGAGTTCCGAGGATTGAGTTATTCTAATTACTCAGGCCAAAATGTCCAGCGAAACACCCACCCCGTCTGGTCTCGCCGGCAAGGTCGACAAGAAGCGCAAGAGGCAAGTCGAAGAACCTCCTAAGCAGAACAAGACCGGCGCTTCCAAGCCCACAAGCAATGCTTCTGAAGGCCCCAAGGACAAGAAGCGAAAGCATGGCAAGAATAAGAAAGAGGGAAATGACAAGGACCAGGAGGATAAGCCCAAGGCTATCAGAGGAGAGCCTTTGGCCAAAGAACGCAAGGGCGGTACGGACGAAGCCATTGGAAAGATGGATGGTCGATTGCTCGCAGACCACTTTGTGCAAAAGGCCAAGCGGCATAACAAGGACCTCACTGCGGTCGAGTTGAGCGATTTGAGTGTTCCAGGTATGGTGATGTTCCCTGAGTTTGACTACCTGCAGTTTACTAAAACGAAATCCAGACTCTGCCTTTCTTGATACATCATCATTCGACTCCCCGAGGACTTTGGACGAGCTCCCGGACTTCTTAAAGGCATTTAGCCCAAAGGATGCCAATCTTTCTGACTCTTCCGAGCAAAAGGGAACGCCACATACTCTGGTAATTTCGCCTGCCGGTCTTCGTGCTGCTGATGTCGTCAGGTACGAACCCCCATTCTCAACCCGCTGTGGAGAAAAAAAGTCAGAACTCTGACCAGAAGTAGAGCGCTTCGAACATTCTCAACGAAAGAATCTCCTATCGGCAAGCTGTTCGCTAAACACATAAAGCTCGAGGAAGCCAAGCAATTCCTGGAACGCGCTCGGTAAGCACCACCCAGTCGATTTAGCTGCACATAGTTGCTATATACTGATCTTTAATTTAGAGTTGGGATTGGAGCTGGAACCCCCTCTCGTATCTCCGATCTTATCGATTCAGGTATGACCGCATCGCGTGTTTGAGTCCCCATCAGCTGATGCCTGGCTACTGAACTGACAGGCACAGGTTCTCTAAAACTGAATGAGCTGAAAAGAATCGTCATTGACGGCTCTTATGTTGACCAGAAACAAAGGGGTATTTTCGACATGAAGGAAACTCATCTTCCACTCTTGCAGTTACTCGCCCGGTCCGAGTTTCGAGACCGGTACGGCGCAAAGGACAAGAAGGTCGAGATCCTAGTCTTTTGAATTACGATTATAATGATTTTTGTTGGCGTTTTTTGACAATGGTTGAGGGGCTTGCCCCTTGTTGTGGGCTTATCTTATTTGGTCATATAGATAGCGTGTACAAAATCACATCCCGTAAGGCAAACACGAGTGCAGGTATCGAGCGTTCATAGAGCCCATCTCCGGTTATTTTCACTGCCCGATTGGGTAGTCTTCTCGGCACGCCTCAAGGCCTGGCACGCTAAGCAAGCATGCCATCACTGGCATGTCTGGTAGAGGCGGAACCTGGCTCTTCGCCTTCGCAACCGGTCCGTCAATGGTTGGTTCCGCAGGGCGAGTTGTCCTTGAGTAATGGAGAGAAGCTGTTCTTCTTGTTGTAGAGATATCCAAGAAGACATTCAAGTGCCGCAAAATTGCATGGTCTTATGGACGGCGGTTTCAGCAGCATTGCGGTAGTTCGCGCAATACGCCTTGAGTCGTGCAATACCTTCGTTTGGTATGCTTACAATCTGGGAAGACAGGAACTTCTCGACCTGATCAATAAGCCTCAAATCGGATAATCTGGAAGCATCACGAGGATTCTGGATAATAGTCGATGAAAGTGTTGACAAAGCGATGATGGGATAATAGATAAGGATTCGGTAGGCGAATTAGCACGGCATGAAGCATGAGAACAAGATGTGCACTTACCCAATCAAAGACAAATGGCCCTCTGGCATATATCTCATCAGTCTGATAGAGGCCCTCGCAGCGTGCGCACATAGACTCGAAGACTCAAACACTTTGGAAGTGTGGGGTGGAGGAGCGGAAAAGTCGATACCTTGCTTCTTTAGCAGTTCGTCCGCTATCATAATTTTCCGACTGCAGATCAACCGATGGATTGCAATAATGCAGTGGAAGTAGGAGTAGTGGAGATAGAGCATCATAACAGATATCGACGGCTGGGAAAACTTGGGTAAGCCTGGCGCATCTGGTTGACAATCTGCCGGCAGGTTTTCTATCCAGTCCTGAAGCTTCTCATCCAGTGTCCCTATGGAAGCTATTATCTCGCCCAACGTCCTATTCTTTGCTGTGGCTGAATACAGATCCTTATATAATTGGCCCTTGATGGTCGCGAGCTGGCATTGTGCTTTGAAAACATTGAAATTGCTGTGTTGATTGATTGTCGGAATTATGCGAGCACCGTCTGCCGGTGGCTCTGTAGGGATTTCAATGCTCATATCGTCATCACTCTGCGCTGGTGGCTTGTCGAAGCGGAGAGAAATCCTGATTTCAGTCAAAGAGATTAGCTGCATAATGTATGAAATAACGTTCAGTATATCTTACTCTCTATCAAGGCAATAGGCGATCCAAAAAGTATACCGTCGCTGTTTCAAATCTTGGGACGATGCTGGAGCTCCTTCCTCAGTAGTCCCCAACCCCAACTGTTGACACATACGTATCGCGGCAGCAACGAGAAAGTTGCAGGGCTCAGCGGACATCGTCCCTAGAAAGAAAATTGACTGGGAGACATGTCAGCTCATGGATGTGGCTATTGAAGCCGAGATTAACCCATACCATTCCGAGAAGAGCTTGAATGGACCATAAATCCGGTTGACCAAGGCAGAGATCATGGTAGACGCTAAAGGCATTCTTGATAAAGAGCCAGCTTCTTTGGTGTTCTGCCTGAGCAGTAGTTCTATCCTTGATGCGAAAAGCAATTGCTAGAGCAAATACAACGTTGACGCTGGCCCAGAGCGCAGGGGATTGAAGAACGACGTCAAGATTATCCTGATCGAAGAGAGACACAAGCTTAGCCTGGTCATATAGAGGGCATAAGCAGTTGAAGCTTTTCAAGAACTCGTAAAGAAGGGCTGAGGCTTCTTCTTTCGGGGGTAGCGGGCAGAACTCCTTTCTTGGGTAGTCACCACTCAATGAGCCGTACAATGTGGCCTTCGAATGACTTTCAGATGATAGGGTGGGGGTCACACCGGCCTTTTGACCCATCCACTTCATTCCTTCAGGCGATAATGCCCTCAGACCTGAGTGAATAGGTTAATTATTGAAACAAAGCCCTTATATATGAGACAACTCACCACGAGCAGTTGGAGTGTCGAGAAGGCATCGCGGGAGGAGAAGTCCAGCAATGTCATCCCAAAGGCGGCCTTCCTCGTCATCTTGAGAATCGGGCACGAGTTGATCCGTTTCAAGACACGTAAAGATGGGGTTCTGAGGTGCCCTCGAACCTACGTAGGTGTCATTCGGGTGTAGACCACCATTCGAGCTTCCTTGGTTTGCACTATCGGCAGGCTCGGAGAGCGGCGGTGATGGGGGCGACTGTGCACAATCGGATTCCGCGAATCCTGGCAATGTCTGTGCTGACTCTGTTCTGCGGATATCAAACCCCAGTTCTTGCAAATGTGCTTCCATTCGCCCTATGTTTGACTCTAAGCGGTTGATCATCATAAGACTACGGTCAGGTTTTGTATACGTCAGTCGCCATGTACAGATGCCCATTAGTGGCAAGGGTTATTTGAGTACTTTTTGAGATTTCTTTGACGTCTATACTCATTTGCATCGTGGCTTGTCTTGAGTCTCTTTGGACCGGGGTGGTCCGAGTCTTGGTTCGCGTCAGATTGCAGTTCGTTGAACTGGTGCGTCTCGTTCCGCTGCGAAGTAAACGATTAGCGCTTACTCCATGAATCCGGGGTTGCAACACCCACTTGTTTTCTGGACCGATTTCTCCCAGACCCTTGGTCTGTCCTTCCTCCGCCAGGCCGGAAGCGGGGTTTAGCGACCTTGTTGCTACTCGACGCGTGCCTCATTGTGGAGTTTGCGCGTTGTCGAGTGTTGCTGTCTATTCGCGGTGAATAGACGTTGCTCCAAGTAAGAGAATAATGAGCAGAGGAAGACGGCGAGAGATAAACCCAAGCTTCCTTCGACGGGGTTATCTAACAGTCGCCGCGCTAGTTTGTTGGCCCCCAGATCACACGTTACGACCTGCTACTCCATTCTGAAACGTGGATGCGAACACGATGGCCAAGACACTCGGTCGCTTGAACGAATCCAGTTTCTGATCCTCATTGGTGAAAGCAACACGGGCATCCATTGCACCTAAACGTCCTCAGTTATTGTCCGGAGGGGCTGCGATCCGGAGGCCCAGGCCTGGAGGGCCAAACCAGAGAAACAACAAGCCCGAGCGGTCGTCCTCCGAGTCCTCGGCGTCTTGCACTAGTAATGTCCTGTCAATAAAACCCAGGGATCAGTTTGAATTGGGGCTAGCTTACACAGTCGAGCGGAGACTAGCCAATGATGCGCGTTCAAATAACGGAATCTCAAGGTCACGTGCTTTCACATTGCGGACGGAAGCCGGATGCTTCCCCGAGGGTCAACTTGACAGTCGTATTGAGCGGTACTCATATCCATGGATAGTTTACCGGTTGTCGACCAGGCCAGTTGACCCTGCAACCTGAACACCAATCATTAGATCGAGCTTGCCAGTCAATAGATGTCTCATGATCGTGAATCAACGCGAAGTCTTCCCCGTCGATGGATTCGGAGTGTTCTCAAGGATTAAAGACTGGGTTTCTTCTGATCATAATGGGCCTCAATTCGAAGCATAGCCCTGAGATCTCTGGTGCCAGTCTATCGAGACCAAGTTCCTCAAGCTATCCGAAGATGCACCACAGGAGTGGCAATGGAATGCATCGCTCTTATGTATGACCGGGAAAGAAGAGGCTGCAAAATGGGTGACAGGGTCAAACCACTTTTGCTCAGCTCCCTCGGAACCGGGAGCAGTGACTCCCATGTAGTCACATAATTCAACAAAGAAATTACCCCAGCCCTATGCCTCCTGGCCCAGCCAAGCCAATATGGCACATCGCATTGTTCTTGCCCAGGAGAATGATACCCCAGAAGCTCAAAATACTGCCGGCTGCCCGGAAGACTTTTTGGACCATGCTATGCCTTATTCACAGCCGGGTCTTTCTACTACCGGCATGCCTTTCACAACAAACACTGCAGATACCTCTCCAATCGGCTTCGGGATTCTTTTTGGCTGATGTGTTATCATCCGTCTGTCTCTTCCTCCTGGCAGTCGATGGCGTTTCCGATCCGGGTGGAGTTCTTTCGTGATATGACGGTAAATCTGCTGATTGTAGATATCCTCGTCATAGCCCCTCGGACGAAATAATCTAAGACGGAACCTCGAGGGCCCGTTTGGTAGTTTTCTCAGTATATAGGCCTCGATCTCTCCGAGGAATCGACAGCCTTATATCAATTTTCGTTGCTCACCTTCCCGCCTCGGTCAGCAGTTCCTCTTCGAGTCATCGCAGGTTTGAAGGTTTACACTCTTGTATGATCTTGTTGGCGGGCTCACGCCAAAATGTCGCTTCTAGGGACAATTGCTCCTAATATCCCTCGATCCCAGTCGGTAGTCAGCCACAACATGCCACAATTGCAGGATTTCACCGACTATGATCAGTCCGATCACATGGGTCCTCATACAGACAATGCCGACAAGGAAAAGAGCGAAGATGGGGAGACGCTCAACGACGATAAGCACGACATGGAGGCTCATATTGGCTCTCTGGCCAGGCAATTGACCCGCCAGCTGACCCGTCAGTCTACAAGATTGACATCGAAGAGCACGCTGGAGAACCCGTTCTCTCTCGAAGACCCCGACTCGCCTCTCAATCCCAACAGTCCTAATTTCCGAGTGCGAGACTGGATGAAGATGCTACTAGAGATCAGGTCTCGCGACCCAGAGAGATACCCTGAACGTACAGCTGGTATCGCTTTCAGAAGCCTCAGCGTCCACGGCTTCGGGTCCCCCACCGACTATCAAAAAGACGTTCTAAATGTGCTTCTCGAGTTTAGCACTATAGCTCGTCGACTGATTGGCAGAAAAATGCCAAAGATTCAAATCCTCCGTGGCTTTGACGGAGTGGTGAGGAGCGGGGAAATGCTGGTGGTTCTGGGAAGGCCTGGAAGTGGATGTTCAACGTTTCTCAAGACAATTGCGGGTGAGATGAATGGAATCTCGGTTTCGGAGGATACAGTGATGAACTATCAAGGTGAGCGAGAAGCCAACTAGGGGAGGAACTATAGCATCGCTAACGCATTGTGATATCTCATTCTAGGTATTTCTGCCAAGCAAATGCACAATGCCTTCCGAGGAGAAGCCATCTATACAGCAGAGACCGATGTTCATTTTCCACAACTCTCTGTAGGAGATACCCTGGCTTTCGCCGCTGCTGCACGGGCACCACGCAACCGCCTTGAGGGCGTGACTCAGGAGCAATATGCTAAGCATATGAGGGATGTGGTAATGGCAATGCTTGGACTTCCTCATACAATAAACACACGCGTGGGTAATGACTTTATCCGTGGAGTCAGCGGTGGCGAGAGAAAGCGTGTTACTATTGCAGAGGCTACATTAAGCCAGGCGCCACTTCAGTGCTGGGACAATAGTACAAGAGGGCTTGACAGCGCCAATGCTCTGGTAAGCAGCCTCGAATCTCTTGCTTGCAGCAATTCCAATGTGCTAATGAATGGCTGTAGGAATTCTGCAAGAACTTGGCTTTGATGAGCAAGTACACTGGCTCAACCGCCTGCGTGGCAATCTATCAAGCGTCGCAAAGCGCATATGACGTTTTTGACAAGGTCACTGTTCTCTATGAAGGAAGGCAAATCTACTTTGGACACACCAGAGAGGCGAAGGAATTCTTCGTTAATATGGGATTCGAGTGCCCAGAGCGACAGACAACAGCAGACTTTTTGACATCGCTTACGAGTCCATCGGAGCGTCTGGTTCGCCCTGGCTATGAAGGCCGTGTGCCTCGTACACCTGATGAATTCGTTACCGCGTGGAAAAATAGCGACGCATATGCCAAGCTCATGATGGAAATTGAAGGGTTCGAAACGCAGTACCCTATTGGAGGACCATCTTATGATGCCTTTGTTGGTGCACGCAAGGCTATGCAAGCAAAGCGTCAACGAGTAAAGTCACCATACACCGTTTCGATCCAGCAGCAAATAAACCTCTGTGTCATTCGCGGATTTCAACGCCTTCGAGGGGATTTCAGCCTTACAGCAACAGGTCTAATTGGCAACTTTGTGATGGCTCTAATCATTGCCTCAGTTTTCTACGACCTCCCAGACGACACTAGGAGTTTCTATCACCGGGGAGCTCTTCTGTTCTTCGCGGTGCTCATGAACGCATTTTCAAGCGCGTTGGAAATCCTGACTCTTTACGCACAGCGGCCGATTGTGGAAAAGCAATCAAGATATGCTTTTTACCACCCATTTGCAGAGGCAGTGGCATCAATGCTATGCGATACCCCCTACAAGCTGATCAACTCTGTCACGTTCAACATACCGTTATATTTCATGACCAACCTGCGTCGTGAACCTGATGCTTTCTTCACCTTCTGGATTTTCTCCGTGGTCACCACATTTACCATGTCAATGATTTTCCGAACTATTGCCTCTGCATCTCGTACACTTTCCCAAGCCCTTGTACCGGCAGCCACGCTCATGCTAGCCATGGTCATCTACACTGGCTTTACTATCCCCACTCGGAATATGCTTGGCTGGTCCCGTTGGATCAATTACATTAACCCCATTGCTTACGCGTTCGAAAGCTTCATGGTCAATGAATTCGATGGTCGGCAATTTGAATGTATGGGTATTATCCCTTCTGGTGGCCAATATGAGAGCGTTTCTATGGAGCACCGAATTTGTGGAACAGTTGGTGCAGAGGCCGGCTCCTCGATTGTTGACGGGTCCATGTTCCTTGAGCTAAGCTACGAATACTCGAGGAGTCATCTATGGAGGAACATGGGCATTATGATCGGATTCATGGTGTTTTTCACTTTAACTTATCTTGCGGGAACCGAATACATATCAGAACAAAAGTCAAAAGGCGAAGTCCTCCTTTTCCGCCGTGGCCGTCAACCCCACATCTCTGTCATTCAGAATGATCCCGAAAACCCCAGCTTACCTGCCAACGTTCCCCAGACCGAAGAATCTGCGCCCCAACCGTCGGCAAAGATCCAGAAACAAACGGCAATTTTTCATTGGGAAGATGTCTGTTATGATATTGAGATCAAAAGACAACCAAGGAGGATACTTGATCACGTTGATGGCTGGGTCAAACCTGGCACATGTACTGCCCTGATGGGCGTATCTGGAGCAGGGAAAACGACATTGCTTGATGTTCTAGCCACCAGGGTCACAATGGGTGTTGTAACCGGCTCAATGCTTGTTGACGGACACCAGCGTGATCAGTCCTTTCAGCGAAAAACAGGGTATGTGCAGCAGCAAGATCTTCACCTAGCTACATCAACGGTACGGGAAGCTCTTGAATTCAGTGCAATACTACGTCAGCCTGCCCATCTCAGTCGCCAGGAGAAGCTTGACTATGTTAATGAAGTTATCAAGCTTCTGGGTATGGAAGCATATGCGGATGCCATTGTGGGTGTACCTGGAGAGGGTCTGAATGTTGAGCAACGCAAACGATTGACGATTGGAGTGGAGCTCGCTGCAAAACCTGAACTCTTGCTCTTTTTGGATGAACCAACAAGTGGGCTTGACAGCCAAACCTCGTGGTCTATTCTAGACCTGATTGACACCTTGACCCAGCATGGCCAAGCGATCCTTTGCACTATACACCAACCATCAGCCATGTTATTCCAGAGATTTGACCGGCTTCTGCTGTTAGCATCTGGAGGGAAAACCATTTATTTCGGTGAGATTGGAGAAAATTCCTCTATCCTTTCAGATTACTTTGTCCGCAACGGCGCTCATGCATTGCCCCCTGGTCATAATCCAGCTGAGTGGATGTTGGAAGTGATTGGAGCAGCTCCAGGCTCTCATACCACTATTGACTGGGTGAAGACATGGCGAGAGAGTCCAGAATATGGCAAAGTCAAAGGACACCTTGCTGACCTGAAAGCCACATTGTCAGCAAGGCCAGTTGGAGAAGCCGATCCAAGTGCACTGAGCGAGTTTGCTGCGCCATTCTACATCCAACTCTGGGAATGTCTGGTTCGAGTATTTGCTCAATACTACCGTACGCCAACCTACCTTTGGTCCAAAGCCGCTCTCTGCATTATTACACCACTCTTTATTGGCTTTTCATTTTTTGACGCCCCGACGTCCCTCCAAGGGCTCCAAAATCAAATGTTCAGTGTGTTCATGTTGATGACGATCTTTGGAAACCTTGTTCAACAAATTATGCCCAACTTTGTCACTCAACGTTCTCTATATGAAGCACGAGAGCGCCCGTCAAAGGCATATTCCTGGAAAGCCTTTATGACTGCTAATATTATTGTTGAACTCCCCTGGAACTCGCTGATGGCAGCACTCATATTCTTCTGCTGGTACTACCCTATTGGCTTGTATAATAATGCAAAGCCAACTGATGCAGTAACCGAGCGTGGTGGCCTTATGTTCCTGCTAATCTGGACTTTCTTGCTCTTTACTTCAACATTTGCTCATATGGTTATTGCAGGGATCGAATTGGCTGAAACGGGAGGCAATATCGCAAATATGTTGTTTTCCCTCTGCCTGATCTTCTGTGGTGTTCTTTCCTCCTCAAGTGATATGCCTCGTTTCTGGATTTTCATGTATCGAGTCTCACCATTTTCATACCTGGTCTCAGCAATGCTTTCGACAGGCCTGTCGGGAACGAATGTCGAGTGCGAGAATGTCGAGTATCTCAGGTTCACACCACCCGACAACCAGACATGCGATGAATACATGCGCCCCTTCATCAACTCTTCTAGAAGTGGCTACCTTCTCGATCCCGGTTCTACCTCTGAGTGTTCGTTTTGCACAATGGACAAGACCGACACGTACCTTGGGGAAATTGGCAGCGACTTCTCTGAGGCCTGGAGGAACTTTGGCTTGATGTGGGTGTACATCGCGTTCAATATTGCTGGGGCAATTTTCATCTACTGGCTGGCTCGCGTACCCAAGGGAAAGAAAGCGTCTGGGACGACATAGATGGGGCTTGCTGCTTGCTCTGAAGATTCAGGTGAAGCTCGCTATGGACACTGTTTTGTTTTACTTTCTGCGCTTTCAGTTAACCCTACCTTGACCGTGCCGTTCTTTTCCTTTTTTCTTTCTCTTCTCTCCTGCCGTCTATTGGGGATGTCTTTTCGCTGTGCAGTATTTATAATCTCGACTACTTTCAACCATACTCACAACAGCTTTGAACATACAATGCAAATGTATAGACCCTTTGTGTCTAAGCTCTCTACATTCACTCGATCCGTAATTTAGCCCTAATCCATAATGCCTCAGGCAGACAAAAAGCTGAGTGGAGAGCCTGATAATTTCACCGCCTAGGACCCATTCCGCGCTCCGCCCGGCAAAAAGCGGAATTTTCCAATTTTTTTGCTTGTAGATTATCCCCAGACCAAAACTTGTTGTCATTCTTTAAGTCCCTTCGAGTGCCTTTTCTTTTGGTGGGAATTGCGCAGGTTCTATTGAATTATATTATACATTCCGCGATTTCTTCAACTACCCAATCAACTCTCTATAATACCGATTATCGCAAATTAAACAATGGGCGAGAAGAAGCGCAAGCTCGAGCAGAATCCCCCCGAGGATGTCGCGGTCGTTGAGCCCAAGGGAAAGAAGGCTAAGCGGGAAGGGAAAAAAGAGAAGAAGGAGAAGAAGCGCAAGGAGCAGGATGTTACCGAAAGCATGAATGGGGTTGAGGAGGCCGTTGAAGAGAGGTCCAAGAAGGGTAAGAAGGAGAAAAAGGAGAAAAAAGAAAAGAAGGACAAGGAAGAGAAGAAGGAGAAAAAAGAGAAGAAGGAAAAGAAGGAGAAGAAACTGAAAACTGCGAATGAGAATGTTGAGGAGGAATCCACCAAGGAGACAAACGGCGCCGAACCAGAACGTGAAGCCAACCAGGAACCGGAGGCGATGGACATCGACGGCGACGCAGCTGTGACGGAGAAATCGGGAAAGGAGAAGAAGAAGAAGGACAAAAAGGCCAAGAAGGAGAAGAAGCAGAAAGACAAGGAACAGTCAAATCCCGAATCAGACCAACAACAAGAGACAGAAGCTCCTGCGAAGCAGAAGGCTGCCAGATTCATTGTTTTCGTTGGTAAGTGCCACAATGCTCGAATCAGGACCCGCACATGTGTCTCAACCAGCTTATAGGAAATCTCCCCTACTCCGCCAACGCCGAGTCACTGAAAGCGCACTTCGAGAAGATACAACCGATATCCGTGCGAGTGGCCACTCAGCAGGACAAACCCACAAAGTGCCGCGGCTTCGGCTTCGTCGAGTTCGACAATTACGACCGGATGAAGACCTGTCTAAAGCTCTATCATCACTCCTCGTTTGATGATGGAAAGTATCCGCCTCGGCGAATCAACGTTGAATTGACGTAGGTCAACTGTCTCTCTGCGTTAGGGCCTATAATCCATATACTGACGAGATAATTAAATAGTGCCGGCGGTGGCGGGAAGTCTGAGCATCGAAAGGCGAAGATTGAATACAAGAATCAGAAACTTGCAGAGGAACGAAAACGCCAGGCCACTGATACCAAGAAGGAGAAGCCCCAGAAATCAGAAGGCGACGATTCCCGGGCAGACCCTTTCGCTGGTATCCACCCTAGTCGGAGGATGCGCATGGCTTGAGAGGCTGAACGCCCCTTATAATGAGTTATAAAAGCGACCTTTGACGGGAAGGGGCTCGACTTTTATTCTTTTTTTTGTTTTTGTTGCTTTCAGCATTTTCGTGCAGATACCCTACACCTGCCAGAATATAGTTCAGCTTGGAAATGTGGTTTGATTCGGTTTCATTCTGTCGTCAATGGCCCTTGTAGGTCGCTCAAACTTTCTATTCTATGTACAAGCGAGCGCGTGGCTCCGCGTAGATCGCGCAAATTGTGAAGACTGCACCTGGGACAGAGGTTTCGAATTTCAGCCCCAATATTCTGTAGTAGATCAGACAACACCTCTCTTCATCGCATTGCCGGACTTAGAGCTCCCGAACCCGGTCATTTGCAACTCGCATGCTCTGGACAACTTCAACTGCGAAATCCCATATTTTCCGCGTCAAGACGAAGAGCGGTACTTCGGGTTCATTCTCGCGTGTCAAGTGTAGCTGTAGAAGTAGTGAAGACATACTGACAAAGCTGGCCACGGAAACCACCAGGAGCGAGGCAGCAGTTTCACGTTTGATCGTAGCATGATTCTGGGTGGCATGGTACAAAAAGGTCAATGTCTGTAAAGTCAAAATGTCAGCAAACCTAGAGCTAGTATACGATGACAGCTGAAAGAACTCACAGTTGTAATTGAGATCCAAGCTGGTAAAAGAAGACGAGGGTCGGAAGATGCGCCTGATAGGTAAAGAACCCAAGATGTGATGTACGCAATTAAACCATTCGTTGTGAGGAGACGAATAACAACAGCCGGGGGGGTATAATTCAAAAGCCTGTCGAAGATCGGTAAATCAAACCGTTTCAGGAGTAGTAGTTGTGATATACTTACCAGCGAGACATCATACAATCCGCAAAAAAATAAGAAAGATATGCAGATGCACAGCACTGGGATTGCACAGTTAGTAACAGGGTAATGCCTGGAAAGAAGGACAGAAGGAGGGCTGACATACCCACATAATAGCCAATGCTACCTCCGTGACACGAAATCTCCTCTCAACGTCCCAGTCCGCTCCGACACTCCCAACGATCGCCGCCGCCCATCCCTCACGTCCCATTCCCGGCCGGATATGTAAGAGCTCGGCCAGGAAAGTAAAGGCACAGCGGAGTCCCCACCATGCAGCAGGCGCAGTGCTCAGAGCCCGACAGACTAGGAGAGGAACCCACCATTTCCGATCTACTCCCAGTATAACTGCAACGCGCGGATGTAGAGCGGAGGGCGTCGTGTCACCGGCATCAGTGCTGTTGGATGTATGAGAAGTAGAAGTGGGGGAGGGCGGCACAACGGGGGATGTGGCAGGCGAAGCCACGTCTTTATCGCGAATATCTATCGGCGGAATGGCGATGGAGGGAAAATATGACGAGGGCATGAAAAAGGTGGAGGCGGAATGTGAGTGTATCAACTCAGGCTCAGGAGACGATCGGCTGCGGGGAGAGAAGGGCGGAGGAGCATCGTCCCGGAGAGGAGCCAGCCTTAACAATACGGCATATGCAGCCGTGGCATAAAAGACACTAGAGAATTGACAAGTATGAACTGCCTGAGAACGGCGTAAAAACACTTATTGGTATGTGACTGTCCCCCGATCGGCTTGTCTGTTTTCTGGGGCAAATGGATGGACGTGGGCTTTTTCAAGGCGACCAAGGTACTAGCAACCGAACGGCGGACCGAGCCACAAGGTATCTGAGCTTTGACGGGGTCGACGAGGATCGACAACGCTTTCAAGCAAGCGCGTGAGGAGCAGAAAGAGAGATAAGAAGTCTAGAAACTAAGCTCAGGAGACCGTCGCTGCCACGAGCCTGCACGTGACTCCACCTCCAGATTTCTGGCGCCATCAAAAAATCGCATCAACTTCGACCAACGGGGAACCAGCACACGACTCTTACAATGGCGGCCTCAACACCAAAAGGGTCGCTCTTCTCAGTGGCTCGAACTCATACCACGGTTTCCCCTCTGTCTACCACATTTTCGTCTCAATGCCGACATTTCTCTCTATCCTCGCAGCGCAGCGCTCTGCAGCAGAATCGAGGCATGCCGCAGACTATCTCGATGAAACAGCCAGCACAACCCAGCATGAAGGCTAGGGGAATGAACGTTTCACGATCAGAATTGCCGCAGGATATTGGAATGCTGCCAGGGACGTTTATTCGGCCGTTATGGGGAGATTTACCCTCCATCTTTAAACAACCTAAGGAAAGACTACACTTTGAATGGTTGTGGTTGAAGTCGTGGTTCCAAAACTTCACTGCGTGAGTATAGCCATTCCTTGCTCCATGGATGCTCAGTGGCCGTAGCTAACTGTATTCTAGCCTTTTTTACTTCAGTAAGTTTAAGGGGAATTCGCAGCCATTACTGTTGAAAGAGCGACGGCAAATAGCTCTCAAGCTTCACAAACAGATGTACACCGCATACGCCAAGTAAGTCGACTCCAGTAATCTATGTTTCATCTGCTAATTTGCCTTTCTTGCAGCGGAGACGCAAAGACAATTCGCAAAATCTGCTGCACTGGCCTTGCAAACGACCTCACCCGCCGCATTTCGACGCGTCCTCAAGGCGAAAAAGTCACCTGGTCCTTGGATAAATACATCCGCGGCCCGTCAACCCTGTTCACCGGAATTCGCGTTTTGGCAGATCGCCTAACTGAGATCCCCGAGCTTCCGAATTCCAGCGTCCGTCAGGTCACTGTGCGCATCACGAGTCGGCAGTCGACAGGCAAAATCCAGCAACAGAAACCCGGCGCCAAAGATGTAGCCGAGCAACCGCCCACCAAGTCGCGGGACTGTACCGAATATATCGTTATTCAGAAATTCAAGTGGATGGGTGAGGAAGACCAGTGGCGCATTTGGGGCCAGACTACGGCAACAACCATCGAGGATCTTGACAGTCCTTTCTTTGCTATGGGGGTTTCACTTGCAGATCGATACGAGGCTATGAAGGATTCTATGGGCCGCCGGTGATTTGAACCGTGAACCAGCTGATTCCAGTCTGGAAATCCCACAACCGAGAATACACTCTATCCTATCCCAGGGAGGCTTACCCATGTGGTGCCCGGACCCGCGCCTGAGCCTTGACCTTCGGGTTTGTTCTGCTGCGGGCGAGGGATGAGGTTTGACAGATATCCTTCTGGAAACGTGATACCGCCTGATCATCGGCGCTTTTCCTTGGTATCTACTCATGAGACGTGTGTCATTTGTACTATATCTATTCGAGCACTTCTCCTTCGAGACCTGTATATATATATCTTGCTAATTGAGCTTGGGTCAGAAGTGGGAAAACATGTACGATTATGAAGAGCCATATTATGGATTATATAACGTGGGGGGTCATGCAAACATCTCCAGTAACACGAGGTATTTATGTACAGTAAGACAAGAAGCATAAATGTGATACAGCTGAAAGGAACAATCGAAGGGCACCCTCATGGCCTTTTGCCAAAGGCCATTAGACGGAAACATAAAGGAAACTTTGCGGAATAATTAGAACACAGCATCGTGATCATGGGACTCTCTATACGCTGCTCGACAGACCAGCTCTAGTCATCGTCGAAAATTTGGAACGTGTTGTTCAGGATTGTCTCAATGACACGAACTTGCCAGCCAGCATCTGCAATATTGCCGCCGGAGCTTGCGCCCATCAAAGTAGGGCTATATGACGCGTCAGTGAGCTATCTGAGGAGAGAAAACAGCGAGGGCATACCCGAAGCAAATGGCAATGTTTCCTGCATTCATGCGGTTCTGCGTGTAGTGCTCTTGAACCTTGTTCAAGTGCTACAGCAAAAGTTAGAACTTATCAGGAAATATTGAGGAAAGACTCACCAAGATCAATGCTCTCAGAGTCGCGTAATGGGCATCGGGAAGGCCGTTGATGATTGCATGAAGCGAGTCTCTCCGTTGAATGTCATCGTCAATGCCTAGGTGAGAGGTTAGCATTAACGCACATACATGAAAGACTTTGGTGCTCACGGGCCGCATCGATGAAACCTGAATATGCCTGAGACGTGAAGAGAGGATCCGGGAGATCTCGGAGGAATTGTTTCAAAAGCCCTGCAACACTGTTCACATCATGATAGAAGTTTTCCGGATTGGTAAAATCGACTTGAGAGGAGTCTATCATGTGCGAATTAGGTATACGTTATGAGAACGCCAGAGGAACGCATACCATTATCGAATAGGGCCTTCATCTGGCTAATGTGATTCGCACTGCCTGAGAGCCGGTAGATACCCTCTACTTCAAGCCCAAACAACTCTACAGCCTGGAAGCATTGATACACGATCATGGGAACGGCGGTTCCATCGCGGGCGTACAGCTCATCCAGTGAAATACCAAATACTGGTTTCAAAGGAGGAAGACTCGATGGATAGCCATTGCCTGGTGGGGGATATGGACCTTTCTGCACGGGCGGTGGTGGGTGCCCGAACTGTGGCTCAGGCGGAGGCCCTGACGACGTAGGGTAAGGAGGCTGGAAAGGTGGTGGGGAGAAGGTGTCTGGATTCTGAGGGTACGGAAGGGATTGGGTGCTCTCGAAAGGAGCCGATGTTGGTATTTGAACTGGCAGTTGAGGAGGGGCCTGGGTGGACGCAGGTGGGGGCTGTGAAGCCGGCTGGGGCATCACGACAGAATGCCGCTTGTTTTGCGAGGATGTAAACTGAGGGCTGGATGCCGCGGGTTCAGAGGATCCTCCACCAAAGGTCTAAGAAGGTTAGGGCATGACGCATTTGCTTTGGTATCGTGGGGAACTCACAGGATGACGGTGGTACTTGATCTGCTCTGAATTGATAGCCCCAGAGTTGAATTCATGGCTAAGAACAAAGTCGTGGTAATCCTTCTGGTTATCGATTGTCTGGATTACTTCACGGAGGCTCTTCGGTGCAATAGTAGCACTGTCCCCTCCTTCCTTCAAGGGACTGATGGATAAGCCCTGCCCCAGGAGCAATTTCTCATTGAACGCTCCTAGAAATTCGTCAGCGAATATGAAGGTGATTCGTCAGTAAGTATGGTATGCGCGGAAAGCATACCGAACTTTTGCATCTGCAGCGCAAGGCCCGAGTCACATTCCGAGATCAATTGCTGAATATTGTGCACGGCCTGGGGCCGATGGGACGATACCAGCTCTTGACGAGCTGATTGAGCAGCCTGAACCTTGGCAGCGTAGTCCGCATCCGCGGTTTGAACCTTGCGCAGCAGGTCCTCCTCCTGTTGAGCAACGGATTTGGTGCCCTTGAAGCCGAACTTCCCACCCGCCTTCTCTCCGGTCCTCACTCGGTCATATTGCTCTGCTAGAGAGTCGTATTTGGCCTTGGCTTTCTCGGCCAAGCTCTCCGCCTCCATGACTCTTTTCTCCGCGTTCAATCCTTCGTGCTTCCATTGCTTGCGACCCTTTTCAATGTTCGCTGCGAGCTCACTCAGGTTGTCCGACATTTGCTGCAATGACACCGCGAACTGAAGACCATGGTCCGCCATGCGGTCGTGGAATTGGTTGAGCTCGACACATCCATGACTATATGTCCCCTGGCGGTTTTCGGGTCGGTGAGCAGCATCATACAGGGAGCGCGCCAGCTTCCTCAAGCCCTGAGCATGCTCTTCTTCCAGCACGGATCTTTTCTTCAGGAATGTAGCGAAATCCTTAGTAAATGGAACGAGTTGTTAGCGTGAGGTGTATTGATAGACTCGAGTAGTCGTCGAAAGGAAAACGGACGAACCCTGGCGGAGGCAACACTTTGCTTCAATCGTGTCAGGAGAGTCGTAACACCAATCTGTAAGGCTAGTATTTAGCATCCAATCCTCGTTTATAACACGCAATCAATTTCTTTTCTCACATCTGAATAAATGACTTTATCCAGCCGAGCTCTCAGCTCCTCCGGAAGTACTGCTGGTGCTGGGCGGACCTCGAGACCTGTAGCGGAAGGGGCGGCGGAACCAGCGCTTAAGGGTGGCGCTCCTGGGTCTCCAGAGGAGGGGGTGTTGGGCGCAGGACCATCGTGGAGAGTGGTGTCCGCCATTGTGCGGCTCTGGTTGAGAATGTACAGTTAGGTTATGGGAGTTGGGAGTGCTGAGGACTCCCCTGAGATGCGCACAGGGCTATAAAAAGCGTACTGGATGAACAATGACGGAAGCCTAAGCACAAAGTTGGGTGTAGTCTATGCTGTCACCCGCTTACTCGTTTCGGTATGGCAGGCAGCGGGATGAGGAGTTCGCCTCTTATTTCGGTTTAGTGTGAGGCTTGGTCAGGTACCATCACGTGGGGCATAATCCAGCACCGACCAAAAATTGTGATGCCTGCATGAAGCATCCTCAAGTATGGAACATGAGAATAATAGGAGCGGAGAAAGGGCGGCGAATTGTTAGGTAAGTTCAAGGACCTTACGCTTCAGTAATGGGTTGGCTGCTCGTGAGGATCGTCGAGCTGCATTTCCAGGAGAACTGAGCGAACAGAACTCCCAGAGTATGGGGTCTCACAAAGAAGGACATTTCATGAAATGCAGAATGCCTACAGTTTTCATACACCAGATCTGAAATGTCTCCATTACAACATACAAGCAGTAGTATTATCATCTAGTTATTATGAACGCCGCCAAGTATAACTCCACTACGTACGTTCTCGATGACTCAGCAGCCCTGTGGAACCGCCGAGTTTCGCGCACATGAACCACCAAACTTTTCTTCCGATTTCCGGCACCTACACTCAAGTCCTTTGGTTGTCGCTGCCTGCAAAGTGCATGTGCTGATACGCCCCGCGGATCCATTCCGGCGATTGTCAAGTACTGATTTATACTGATGGACCTCGAGTACCGGGGTCTTCTGGCACCAAATGGCTTTCCTCCGCATGCGAATTTGATAATTCCGCCGGGCACCACCAGCGACCTTCGGCACAACCCTAGGCTTCCACGCCCACCGACAAGCTTCGATTTCTCTCCTAGGTCCTCGGAGCCCGGAGACATGGAGAAGACCCCGCCTGTCACGGGGAAGCGGCGGGGTGGGTGTCGCAAGGCTTGTAACGAGTGTAAACAGCAAAAGGTAAGCCGTACTTATCTTGATCATCCACATTCCATCCTTTGTCAATGGTCCATAAGGACCACGCGCCTAAGGACGCCCCGTTGCACCCTTTGTCCCATGTATTCCTATCAACATCTAGCTGGAACACGTGAATTAACCTGTAATAGCTGCGATGTGATATTGTCCAGACACCCGCCGACGCCTGCTCTCGTTGTCGGCGGCTCCAGATAGAATGCAAGGTTGAGCCTTCTTTCAAACGCATCTCCAAAAGAAGGTAGGGACAACTCTTGGCCGGCTGTACCTTGATCTCGATTCCTTCTGCTAACACTCTTAGGCGAAATGCTGAGATGGAACGTGAGATAGCAGAGCTCCGTCGGCGGCTCTCTACCAACCCCAATAGTGCTCATGCGGTCGAGGCTGCGGCTAGTGATGAAATGTCTCAATGCTCCGAGGATGTTTATTGCGGCCCGGAGTCTGCAAATACAAATCGAGCACGACCCATGTCTACTAAGCTCGAACCGCAGGCGTTGGCAACTCCATTGACTATGCACAGCGATAGATCCATCTTGTCTCAGGATGACGATCCTTGGCGGCTGGAAGATATCACCCTATCCAGGCAAAGAGTAGCACGGCTGTTTGACCAGTATGTGATGCCTTGTTCTCTGCTTATGATCCCTCTTTCTCTGTTCATTATATTCTGATGGTACATAGGTTTTTTAAGTTTTATCACCCTTTTCTTCCTTTATTGAACCCTCAGAAGCCTCCCGAGGAGTACCTCCGTCGTTGTCCATTTCAAGCTTGGACAATCATTTGCGTTGCTAGCCGACGAGCTCCCTCTGAACCAGGTCTTCTTAGTGCACTTTCGGGGCCCTTCAGCAGACTGCTTTGGTCAACAATAACGGGCGTACCACAGGACTATCGCGTTGTCAAAGCTCTCTGCCTGCTCTGTACTTGGCCACTTCCTACCACCAGCCAAAGGACGGACGCGACCTTTATGCTCTGTGGTTTGATGATGCAGATTTCTATGCAACTAGGACTCCACCGCCCGGTCCAGGCCGAAGAGTTTACCACATTCAAAATGGAAGGCCAGGGTGAAGCTGTAAAAGATCGCCTACAGACATGGGTTCTCTGTAACATAGTAGCGCAAAAGTCAGTCCGCCCTACCCTTTTTGTAAGTCAGGCATTAACAGCACATTGGCAGTGTCGCTACTGGATACGGGCAGCCACCAGGAACGATCTATGACTGGGCGCTGGAGCCTGCATCTCTTCGGGATGCGGATTATCACCCCTCAGATGACCTGCGGACTCGTCTGCGTATAGAAAAATTCTGTGATAGAGTAACAAAGTCCCTGTACAGTAGCAGGCCGGATCCTGCCGAGTTTATCAGTTCCGAAAAGCTCTTGATTGTGCAGCTATTGGAAAATGAGCTGAGGGAGATGGAGCTAGATTTTGGGAGGAATATATCTCGTGCGCCCCCTCTTCGTTGCTGTCCCCGAACCTGAAAGCTAATCGCCCTTTAGATATCAATATGATTCACCTGCGGGCGGCTGAGTTGCATATGCGCTATTTTGTATTCCTCGGATCCAATGCACGAAGCGACGATTTGACAAAGCTTTTTATCGCAACAACATCATTTCTCGGCCGGGTGCTAGACCTCGAAACATCACCCGGAGAGCTCATTGGCCACGCAACGAACTACATCCTCCAGATGATTATATCTGCGGCATTTGCTCTGATGAAGCTATTGAAAAGTGACTTTCGGCGGCATATTGATTTTGAACACGGAAAGCTGTTATTCAACGGTGCAATCTCAGCCCTCAGAAGGATCAGTGTCATGGATCACGATCGGCCTGTCCGATTGGCAGATATCTTGGCTCAAATGTGGAATGCCAATGGTTCAGAAGATTCTGGAGACGATACGCTACTCCTCAAGGTTCGTTGCCGCATGAGTATGAGCCACGTTTATGACACCGTTTGGCGATGGCGACATCGATTTCGGCCTGCGAAGAGTTATGAAGATACGCAAGCCACGACCGCCGCCAACCAGAGCCTTTCATCGGCCTCAATTACGCGGCAACCGGATGGGTCCCTGGAGGATCCTACGCTGTTGTACCCGCCGGCATTCGATCAAGAAGGGGCTTTCTTCAACGAAGCCGGTTTTTCCGAAGTCTTTGACTCACTCAACTGGGTCTTTGACGGATTACCTGACGCCGGGTTTGCAGCTCCGCCGGTTATGTAGGCATGGAGTTGAGACCGTAGAAAAGTTTCCTTCTGTATGTACATAATTCCGTCGACTAGATGAGATACCATTTGCGCCATTAACCACACTTAGCGAAGATTAAACATAGACTGAATAGAGGTGATCAAAGCTTTAGGGAGTGGATCAACTAACTACCCCGCATGCCGGAATGTCAGCTGGAATTTAGTTGTGGCTGGCGGAGAGGCAGATATCGTGATTCATGGTTACCAACAGATGGAGGTGAAGCTGCGGGCATGATTCGTGCATCGTTCATTGTAAGGCTGGGCCAAATCTGGAGGAACTTCTTTCTTGGTCCTTGTGTGGACATGATGGCTGGCGAACTATTGCAATTCTCACCCGCTGGAGGAATTGGAGAGATCAAGAATCGTTCGATAATTTATGAGGGCAAACCCCTGAGAATTGTGTACAAGAACCGCGGTTCCGGAAGATGGCCATGTGTGGTTCAGGAGTCTCGCTGCTCAGTGCTCGCAGCCTGCCCAGTGCCCCCCGGTCAGTGCGTGCAGGAGGAAAAATGATATGGTATGGCCAGATTTGAATTTGATAAACCCTGTAGCTCAACCACTAGCTAGCTCGCAAACTACTATTATTATAATCGATATCATGTCTATCTTGCTGATTGGCGTGGTTGGGAGCTTCCCAGACGCCGAGTTCTCGATCCTCCAGAGAGCAGCGAGGCCACAACGAGGTTGATGGCGGTGGTTGGTTCTCTGCTATCAAACTAAATCTCATCCATCTGATTGTCAATCCCATTTCACGGTGTGCGCTAGAAAGGTGAGCTCCGTTGGTCTCAGCTTGTCTTGTCGCTCTCCCTTCCCAACCACGCCCCATCTTCTCCCCTCTTCCTTCTTCCTCTCCTCTCTGCTTCCCCCCTCCAACAACCTCTCGGTCCTCTTTTGCTTCGTTTCTTCTTTTTCTTTGCAATTTCTCTTCATTTTCCACATTATATACGCTTCCACCTTGCTGCTTCCGCCGCCGTTGGTGCCGTTTGATTTTTGGTGACTGACCGATCGCTGCTATCGCTTTCCGTGCAGATACCCCCGTTTCGCCCGTCGCTCCGCAGCACCCACGACCGCCCTTATACCTATATTGCTTGCGTCGCTGGATCGATTGATACGCCGAATTCCCTTGGTTACTGTCGCAATCGTGTATATAATTTGAGATTTTCGAGTGAGAATGGCGACTGGTACTGCTACCCAATCGCTAAAGGTCAGGAGCACTGCGCGAATTCGAGCTTCGTCTTCGGGAAGGCAATGCTAATATGCTGCTCCTATAACAGTGTGTGGTGACGGGTGATGGTGCCGTTGGCAAGGTTAGTAGCTCCTCCGGCTCCAGCAATTCTGAAGCTAACCAGGCCTCGAAGACATGTCTCCTCATATCGTACACGACCAATGCCTTTCCCGGTGAATACATACCTACGGTGTTCGTAACCCCGTTCGACGTATCGGACAACTATTGACTCGGGCTTCTTCATAGATTTGACAATTACACGGCCAGTGTTATGGTAGACGGCAGACCGATTAGCCTAGGACTATGGGATACTGCTGGACAGGAAGATTACGACCGACTTCGCCCGTTGTCCTACCCGCAAACTGACGTTTTCCTCATTTGTTTCTCAATCGTCAGCCCTGCGTCTTTCGATAACGTCAAGTCTAAGGTTGATACTGCGCGATACCAGTGCCAGGCGGAACGTCTGGCTGGCTTGTTTGTTCATCAGCTAACATTCTCTGCAGTGGTTCCCGGAGATTGAGCACCACGCTCCCAACGTCCCCATCATCCTTGTTGGCACCAAACTTGATTTGCGGGACGACCCGGCCCAGATTGAGGGTCTTCGCATGAGGAAGCAGGAGCCTGTTTCGTACGAGCAGGCTCTAGCAGTGGCAAAGGAGATTCGGGCGCACAAGTACCTAGAGTGCTCTGCCCTGACACAACGCAATTTGAAGAGCGTATTTGACGAGGCCATTCGGTATGCCCGCTGTATAAAACTGTGATTGTAGCCAGCTAACGCCGATTTTCCTAGGGCTGTTTTGAACCCCCGGCCTGCTACGAAGCAACGGAACAAGAAGTGTACGATTCTATGAACATGCCTACCGCTTGATCGAGTGCTAAACCTCTTACTCTTCCCCCTTCGGTCTAATAATATAAATAACTAATAGGGCGTTACGGTATCCGGGGTCTCTCCTCTGCCCTAGTCACCTCAATTTTGATGATCTTTTTCTTTTTGAGTACCTCTCATCTTGTCCCCGCGCCGCATGTCATGAATATCACGCTCAGTGCTTTTCCCTGTTTTCTTCTTGCTCCGTGTCCGTCTGAAACCCAGAAAGGGTGTCTTCTGTCATACATCTATCTATCTCCGTTCGTTTGGGTCAAGCCTGAGCGCAGTATAAAGATGCACCATGCAATACAATACCGCGCATGCATTTATCTTTGCCACCAATGTTAGATATACAAAGTTCTTGAGAAGGGTCGCAACACCGTCTTCTATACTCGGGTATTCCATGGGGAAAGTAAGGATAGTCAGCGTACGGAGTCTAGGTAAGGAGTAGTTTTGATCTTGTTCCCCATTCGACCCCTAGTCCTTTGTGCAAAAGTATATCCGAATGAGTCAAAAAGACGAGGGAAACCCCACACTTGAAACCTAGCCATCATCGCCTATTACGACTCGCCTGCAAGGTACATGTCCTACGGGCAGGAGTAGTAATGAAATCCTTCTAGCGAAAGATAATGAGAGTACAACTCGAAAATCCTAGTGCGAAAGTGGTAGGAAAACAGGACTTGCTTATACTAGTGAGCTACCTGATAAAATAATAAGAATGATGAAGACACGACATCCCCGCTCAAGAACCCTTCTATGTGGTAGGTACTTCGATACGGGAAACCCCCCCAGATCGCCCGTTCACGATTCTCAGGATGGAGTTGAATAGTGCATCGGTTCGGCAAAGCCCAAGTCCAGCACAGCCGGTATAGGAATAGTCTAACCAACCAGCACTCCGCAGTTGAGGCTAACACAATGAATATGTAGGTAACGATGCGCGAACTGTCGCGGTCGCGATTCCAGCGGTAACGTGGACTGGGAAGAAGGGACCGGAACGGGAGGTGGCTTCTGGTTTAGAAACCGTGGACCTTGATGGTCTTGGCATCAAGCTCAAGGCCCTCCTTCTTGTCGGTCAAGAACTCCTGAACATCCTTGCGCTGATCTCCTTGGAGCTGGATCACCTCACCCATCTCAGTGTCGTTGACGATCGTGCCATTGCAAGCTGAGCCTCATGTTAGCCGCAAATGTCGAGATGGACGGTAACGAGTTGGGAAGAGCATACCGAATTTCTTCTTGATCACCTTCAAAATCTTCTTCTGATCGAATTTCTTAGGGAGACCCTGGACCGTGGTCAAGGTCTTGCGACCATTGCGCTCTGAGAGACAGGTTAGTCACGGGTCGAGGCGGTCAGGCGTGAGAGGTGGGATTCTAGATAATAGTGGAGAGAAAAGAACGACGTACGTTGAATCCGTATATGGATATAGTTCTGAGACTGTTTAGTCTCGCCGGTGTCTTCGTCAGCTTCGGCGAAGGGGTCTGTGAGAGCACGTGTCAGTCAGCCTCAGATCACGACGACATTCTACCCCGCCACTAGGGGCCCACGGAAATCGCGAGAATTGACGATTAAGCAGAAACCAGCATTCATCTGGAGATCGATGCCACAAGCTCGCAGAGACAAAAAGAAAAAAAAAAAAAAAAAAGCTGTCTTGCGACCGATGACACTCTCCCAACTGAAGTACTTCAACGTAGCAGGCTGGGGAAGGGGTGGCAAAGGCTTACCGAAGGTCTTGAGGTTTTCGATGGACATAAACTCGGCCTTTTGTCGTAAACGGCCCTTAAAAGCGGTTTGTTGTAAAATAAACTGGAGGGGAGATTATAATCTCGGTGAAGCGATCGCGAGTAAGTGGTGAAGTAGGTAGCGTTGACTTTCGATGGAGGGGATGATGAGGTCTGAAGTGTTCTAGCGGATTTGAGGACAAGATGGGTAAAATCGGTGAATCCATTTCTCCGTTGCCGGTCCATTACATCACGTGACTGATCGCCGCCATTGGGATGGAGACGCAGGCTGGCATAGATTTGGTTGCTTATGATGCGTATCCTAGCTTTTCACAGCGACATGATAAGAAGATTCCCTTTTGATTTGTGATAACTTCGAGTACATATCTGAATACAGGTTGGGTAGTGCATATATAGTACTGAAAATACGAAAACAGAGTTGATTTCAGTGACAACAATAAAGCAAGTTAAGTAGGACAATATAAAAAGCGCCTACGGCTAGCATAGTTTTAGCCGCGTCTCTGGACAAGGCTATCAATCGAACTTTTTCCTGGTTCGTGGTCAACACAGAGATGAAAAGCAGATGCGATATCGTCAGATATGGCGGTAAGGTCCGAGATCTGACAAGTCATCTGGTTTGGCATGTACTTTTGAACAACCTCTCCACATTTGTGCAATGAAGTCTGTTTAAGGTACAGAGATAGACCGAGATGTCCTTTGTATGCTGGGCGCGTGGATTGCTGAGGCAGGTTGGACGTGGATTTTCCAACTTGAGTCGGTGGCATTCCTCGAAATGTTTAACTAGTCGCTGGATATTGGTTTGTCGTCTCCGGTGCGTTATTGACTTTGCCAGTGAGGTGTGCATCAGCCAATTCTTTTTGTTTTGATTGATGGAGCGCTCGACGTGCTTGCATTCTGTCCGAACTGTTTTTCAAGTCCTCACCCTGACTGGAGTTTTGCTCCATGAAAGTGTCAACCTCTAAACGGGATAGTCTTTTCTGCACATATCCCTGCAGTGCAAACCTGGTTTTGTCGTTAGTGTGTAGCAGCATGGTTTGTGCTGGCGCTGTAGTAGTCGGTGGGATCGGTGCCATTATAGTCGTCAGTGATTGCACTGAGCGGAGCTTTCTTGTGACCCGCCAGGCTGCCGGCACGCGCTGTGCGACACAACAACCTATCGCTTTCAGCGACGATGGACTGGGAGGCGAACACCTGCGCTGTGGCGAATATGCATTTCCGAGCGCCGTGCCTGACTTTCTGTTGGGTTTGATGAATGGGAAATTGATGCGATATCATTATTGTTTTAGATTAGTATTACAAGGGCCTCCTTCAGTCCTTGCCCGTAGTGTTTTCAAGCCCGCAAGTCTATATACATCCTAGCCCATCTCAGATCTCACATTTGCCCATGGCCGACATCAAAGAACCGTAAAGTCCAACCCACTTCAGATCAATTCACAAGTAGCAGCGTTGTCGGCCTGCTCAAGGGGACGAAGTAGGCGAAGGCGTCGCGACGGAACCACCTGGTGTCGGCTGGGGAGGAAGGAAGATAGGAAGGTAGGTCTGCATCATACGTATTAAAATCTGCCGCTATTCAAGGGTCTTCCAGGTAGGAGAAAGTCATACAACGGCCAATGCCATCACTATTCGGGGGTCGCAAGTCAGCCTAGTATCCTCCTAAGACGGTGCCGGTAAAAACTCACAGGACATCAAAACAGACATGTATGCTGGAGTAGTCGCGGTCTTTTTCTGTTCTACAGTCTCACCCAGCCAGGACTGAAGCGAGAAGACGAAGGCGACCCTAGCACTGGTTAGATGTACTGAGGATTGTTGAACACAGAATAACACACCATCCAATCATTCTGTGAAGCGCAAATGGTCAGTTAAAAGAGAACTGCAGAGAGCTACCAGTATTCTTCAGATCTTACCTGTTTCGGGTGAACATCTTATCGGTCTGTCAGTACATTTGAAAAAACATAAATCGCATCACTCCAGGTTCAACCCACCGCTGCCATTGGCATTGTGCTCGACATGGCACCTGAGATAGAAAATCAGCCAGAATCTTGCGAGAGCCTCCCATCAAGAGGAGGAGCAGTTATATACCAGTCATATCCGCATCATTCTTGTCTTTCGGGGGGTCGACGTAGGGGATGGCTAAGATTCGATCATGAGCATTAGCGATAAGGGCAATCATGATGAAGCGATTCACGTAGTTGGACACGCAGCATACCGAGGTCTACCCTCCGCATATCTTTCTTGGATGTCATCTTGGGTCGTTCAATTGGAGCTGATGCTTTGTTGCCTGCGATTCAAGATCTGGATGGCAGCTGGCATTCAGTGATCGGACCCCATGGTTGCCGCCAAGCCTAAAGCGGCAAGTCTGGCTGGGCCCCGGACCCCCGGGGCCGGGGCCGCCGGTTAGAGGCACAATTGACAGGCGAAGGCTGAAGCAGAACAGCCGTTATTTTCCAACGTTCACCGCCTCATTACAATGTGATAATGTTACATTGATCTTCCAGGCAGACTGTGATCGAGCGGGATGAGGGACTGATGTGCTTTGCAGGGTCGCACCGCATTATTCTGCAGCAAGGGCTTGCTCGATATCCCGGATATCCCGACTGGCGCCCCGTCCCTCCAACTTGCAAAAGTGGCGGTACACCATTCAACCTTTTCTGGTCCAGCCTTTATTTCGGAATGACCATCGGCTAAAATCACAAGAAAATTGGTCCTTGAGTGAGTATTATTGATGAACAAAGTCGTGGTCGCCCATGAATCGTGTCATACGGTGTGTCATGCCACGTCTGGGCCAACTGCCATCCACAGGGGAAAGGAGGATCCCTGATCTCTGCATCACCGGAAGGAGGCCTTAGGTGCGGCTTACGCCGTACAGAACGCAAGACACGCAAATAATGATGTGTTCTCGCCAAAAGCAGACTTTTTTTTTTGTCAAAGCTCCCGAGACCCAACAAGACCTATCAAAACTTATATCCAACCCCGCGGATACACCCATTCGATTTGCGTTTCCAGACACCGGAAGTCGGGATGGGCCTTATCTTCTCGTTGTCGGAGTGATCAATGATCAATGACGAGTGTCCCAATCATATCCCTAGATCTCGCAATCAGGATATTCGTCCAGGATGATTACTGACTTCTGAAGAGAAGCCCCATCTGTCATCTGATGCCAAGCATAACCAGTCAGTGGGTTTTGCCGGAAACCCGGACATTCCCTCTCCTGTCGAGAATGCTAGTCAGTCCTGAGATTTAGAATCTCCAGAGCTTTCTTGCTCAGGGCTGAAGGAGGTGGGTTGTCATATTCTCTCGGTGCCAGAAAAGTTGCATTGCGCAGGATATAATGTCCCGCGCGAATGCGTGACCAGGATGCTGTAGACCTGAAGACTTGGATTCCCTACTTTTGGGCATTTCGGATATCTACCTACCTACCTACCTACCTACCTACCTACCTACCTACCACTTGGAGTTTCTGTGTCGTAAGGTGTATGCAGCCAGCGGCACATAACCAATTACATTCTTCTATGCGCACCACAGTAATGTTCCATCTCATGATATGAGGGTCCAACATCGTGAGGAGAGGGGATCCATCATGTACTTTGGTACTGAACTACAGTAATATTACTGAGATCGGCTTTGTTAGCCGCGGGACCGAGCCAAAGAACAATAGTTTACGGTTGTAATTTTGGGCTCTCCGCCGCGATGGTCAGATCCCGGCCAGTTGGCCCTCCTTACGTTATCTGGAGATCTTCCACGGTATCTCGGTCTCCGTCTTCGGCCTTTTCCTGTCCCTGGCTGTCTTCTCCCGATTTGCTTCTGCATCTCTAACTTTTACACCTGCTCCTCTCTCTCTATTCATATCAGTACATACTCATTTGATGAGGGTGCGACTCTGACCGCAGGATTCCGTCGACCACCCTCCGCTCCGCGCCCGTATTTACCAGTTCAATATAACATACTCGACCAGGTCGCTGTCGCCGCCGTTTTCCAACCTCAGAACCCACCAGGCACGTTGATCACGAATAGGAGATGTATAGAAGAGCCTTTTTCCTTGATTGATACTCGGTTGGGCAGGTTCTCATCCAACAAATCTATCCCTATCCCTTCTCGGCACACCTTCCGAACGAATCGTTTCAATGACCACTCTTCTGTCCCTCGGGTACACCATGAACTTGACATGATACCTCACTCTTCTGCCGGCGTCCAAGCTTGGGGCAAACCCCTGCGCACAGTCGATAACGGCCCTGGACGTGTAGATGCTTCTCAGGCTCTGAATTTAGCCGACTTCCGGTCCGAAAAGCAATCTACACCCGTTCTGTCGGCGCATTCTGCGCCGCCAGCGGTTATCGATCTCACATCCAGTGCGGGCGATACGCAGGAAAGGGAGCCCCCGGCGAAGCGATTGAAGTTGGATGCATCTGCCGGATCATTCCCCACGGATGCGAGCCTTGCGGCGACGAGTGGCGGAGTGGCAAGGAATACTCCAGGGATAGTAGCTCCTGCGAAGCCTGCCTCACTCTCATGGCGGGGTCGCCCAGTATGGTCATTCCAGGCCTTGATATCGGAGGCGTCAGATACCACCGAGGAAGGCTCGAGTTCGACCCCGGGCAGTGGGCGGCCTGCGTCGCCGCCTCCATTTCCGCATTTGCCCTGGAAGTCGCTGCCCATCGACCAGTTTGGAAGCAATGCGATGAAACCACGGGATCCCACTCCCGCCAAAAAAGTACAGACGACTCCTTTTCGCGTTGAAATACCATCCGATGCGCCAGTTCTCAAAGGAGATAGTAAGTTCTGCTGCAGCCTCAGCATGGTCGGCGCTAACAAGATATTCACCACGTTTAGGAGTTGCGGATTTCTCGCCATGGACCGGAAATCATCCAGAGGATGTATTAAATGATCATTCGGTGAAACAAGGACACTATGACCGCACGCAGGTATCGCAAAACGAGTCCAACACAGCTCGTCCGTCACTCTATGCGCAATTGAAGCACCGTTCCGGCTTGCAGATGCTTTCCTCGGTCTTCATGGCAGCTCTTGAGAAAAGACAGAGCCACAACATGGTCACTGCCCCATCTAGCTTCAAGCCACCACCTCGAGTCACCTTGACGGATAACAAAAGGGAAGCGTGGCTTCGTGATCTTGCCAACCCATCCGTTCCCCTACGCAGATTGAGTCGGACGATACCGCATGGTATTCGAGGAAAGGCACTTCTTGACCAATGCTTGAACAAATGGATTCCAGTCAGCCGCGCTGTGTGGCTTGCAAAGTGTGTTGGAGCCAACGAGATCCGGGCCTTCAAAAGAAAGGGTACCAGCGGGACACTCGCGCTGGGCTTGGAGGCCAAATGGGTTCGCGAGTGGACGAGTGGTGTACAGCAGTTTCTTGAAGGAGTGATCGGGACCTGCGGCTCGGCAGAGTGGAAATCGAAGATGACATATGCGTACGTTTTTCCCCCGTATTTTTCTTGTTAAAGCTAATAATATCCCATAGGGCAAGTTTGACCGCTCGATTGTTTTTCGAGCGCTTGCTGGACTATGACCAGTACTTTACCTGGTTTTTAGCCTCGCTAGATAGCGCCTCGCTTAATATGCTTCCTGTGTGGCTATTGATGCTCGGTATATATTGGAACAGCATCTTGCGATACAGAAAACGTGGAAGACGGTTGGCTGAGCTGCTTCTTGAGAAGCTGCAACAAGTACGTCTTGAATCATGACTCGGAAGCTAAACCTGACTAACAAACAGCAGATCAAAGATATCAGGCGGCCTCTACTATTCCAGCCCCTTGTTGACCGGCTATCATGCTGTATTAGAAAGCTGGTTCTTGAACATACATCGTCGCTCATACTTCCGAGTTCTTGGGACACCTACAAAGACCTCATTCGCTCCTGTTTGCATATGAAAGAGACTGCGGACAAGGCCATTTTTGACGCCCTTGCAGAACGCAATGTGCGCGTACAGCTACCCAAATCTCGACCGGAATCCACGCAGCAATCGGCGCAACAGCGAGCGTTGCATTTGTTTGATTCAATACACTCGTCCCACGATTTTCCTTCTACGTCCATGGCGTGCCTCAACTCGGTCGAAGACAAGCCAGCCCTGGTCGCCAAGCTTCTAGAATGGTCAGCAACTCCTTTCCGCTCTGGTCTTTGTCGTATATACACGGCGGCGAGACTCTTGCGAAAGTGGAAGATGTCCGGTGTTGATATTGACTCCTACATAATCATGTTCTTGAGTAATGTGGAGGATACGGCTCAACTGAACATGGACAACGTCTATCACGTTATTTCCGAACTCGTCAGGTCTCAAACCTTTTCAATTAGCAAATACCTACAGTGGCTCATGGCCAAAGGTGTTACCAAAGCCTCCAGGGCAAACAATGGCGAGGTATGTTCTCTTCAACAATTTTGAAGTATAAATGCTCAAATTGCACAGGTCATGTCTAGTGACGTTTCTCTCCTCACGCAACTTCCCATGGGCCGTCACCCAGAACATATTCGCAACCTCCGTCAGACACTATTATCTCGAGCTGGATTGTCCTTGACGGATGAGCGTTCTGCCATTGAGAGCTGGAAATCCTCTATTAGCCAACGGCTGCCGAATATTTTCCCCGTCAAATATAGCAACGCCGTCCCTACCAGCTTGTCGAAACTCAACCCAACTTGGGCAGTCAAGTCTGAGGTTAGCATGTGGGTGCGACAGGGGGTTGCTAAGCATACGAGAGACACTGCTAGGTCAGTCGCTTAGCCTTAATCTAGTAATCTATGCTGACAAACCCCAGAAAAATTGGAGGAAGCTCCCTTTCTATTGATTCTCGAGTCTCCGCTCTGACTGCTGGAGAGTTTTATTGTATTCGAGAGGTATTAGAGGACTTCGGAGACCTTTCCATCCTCGCAGACGTGCTCAAGCAGGCCACGGGATGCGAAGATAACATGGTCCTTGCCTCGGCTACCGATACCATTAATTACCATTTCGATGCCTTTTGTGTCATTGGTGCCACGTCCGACTTGTTCAGAGGGCTTATTGGGTCTTATGCTCGCCTCAAGCGATACGGTACTCTGAATCTGGAATTTGTATTTTCGTTGATTGAACTAGGACTGCGAATCCCCGATGAATCCAGCACTGTTGCTCTTCTTCGCCAGGACCTCGCTCGGATCGAGAGCAAGTCAGCATTGGCAGCACCATCGCCCCTGTCCGACCATCTTCCAGCAGCTTTCTGCGATGTTGATGCCTCGTTTCAGGACAAACTGGACCAGCTTCTATCCTCTGGGAACGGCATCGATGAATCCTCAATGGCTACAGTTTTCAAGTCCCTCACCAAAATACTCGAATATGGGAGCAATTTGGCAAAACTATCGGCCAACGATGCTTGCAGATATCTTGCTTACCTACGGCCGTTCAATCCGAAGTATTTTGATCTCATGCTTGTACGATGGGTTTGTGGACTTTTAAGGTCTACGTCTCGGCCAGTGATGTCTCGGATTCTTCCACCCCTCATTGGGGTTGGATGTGTGACGATCCAGAGCTTCGTGTCTTTGGTGAAGAAGCTATTGACTTCAGAGAAAGCGAGCCCGGGAATCCCAGAGCTGGCTAGCTTGCGACTAGACCTCCTCCAGCTCCTTGCCCCACAAGAAGAAAGTAATACTGACTTGGTACGTGTACTAGTAAGCTCGCGGTTCTTTTTTCCCATTACTAACGTCTAGAACCAGGTTTCCTATCGCTTTCGTATGGCGCGGCAAGAGTTTATGATCAAATATCCAGAGGCAACACTAAATATCATCGATGATGCAGTTCCTTTACTTGATTTCAAGCTCCAGGGCTCTAATACCGGGCCTTTGCGCGGCGATCTCACAGAATGTGCAGCTACATTACTACGCACCCTGCTTCTGCAAAACTCAAGCCTAGTGACGGGTTACTGTATGCAAAAGCTTACCCATCACTCACAGTTCACGACTGTCTTGGAGAAAGCAGTCGACCTTCTGTTGGGTTTTGATCTCCAGCATCGTGGTATGTTTCCGATACGGTGTCGCGCTCCCTTGCCACCAACTAACTCTTATCTTAGAAACAGAGTCCAGATCGCAGGCCAGAAAAGTCATCCTGGTGAACAATGACTTTTCACTTCCATTCTGTCAATTGAAGCTTCAGCTACTGTTCAACGCAAAAGCTGGCGATGAGGTTAGAAACAACATAGTTGATGTGATGTTCAAGGCTGCTGTGGAAGATTCTCGTTCTAAAAGATCTCACTGGCTTGGTTTGGTCAATCTGATGAGCCACGACGCTGCACGACAGGTACGGTCCAATCTCAGACCTTTCTAAAACTCCATGTACTGACTCGTTAGATTCGAGAACAAGCGGAAAACAGCTTCTTCTCTGTTCCACTATTTGATGAAGCCGGGGATGCTTCGTCCGCCTCTACAGCAACGAGCAGTACAAACTCCATCGACAACGCCAAGCTGTATCTCACCATCATTGAGAAGCTCGCGTTCAGCATTCCCGAAGCTGGCGTTCCATCTGTAGTGCCTCATCTCGTGGAGAGGTTTGACCTGCTACTTCAAAAGCTTATCATTATGCAGACGAATCTGCACAGCTTCTCTGAGAACAGACACGGGATGAGCTCGGGCCCGGCAGTCATGTCTCGATTCAACTTTGAACGGTCTCTTGCTTTCTGGTTCTCTGCTCTGCTCAGGATGACTGTGCTTCATCGCGCTGCCTTCACTGCACAAACGTCCTTGGCCCCCAAAACTGGCAGCCTGCAAGAACAGACACGTTTGCTTGTGTCCATCTTCTGCATCTCCCTGGCTCGCCTTCCAGATAACATCCTTCGCCTCTTTCCCACCGCCAATTACTTCCCTCACAGCGCACAGCCTCAGAATTTCCGGCCGTGTCCCGGGATACTGCTGCAAACTCACGCTTTGGACGTCGCAGCGTCTCTTATCGATTCATTTCCTGATGAAGCGCGGCATCAATGTGCCCGCTTCCTAAAGGAGAAATGCCCCCCTTTCCTTCAGTTCCAGAATGACCGTCGATTCCTCTACCTCTTGGGGCCTGTGGCGGACGGTACAACCGCCAATCCTCAACTTCCTGCCTCTGTCTCATCACCTGCCGCTGGCGGCTCTACACCTACTCCCACCCCTTCAGCTAATCTTACAGGAGCTCCTGTCAACCAATCACAACCCGTGGCCGCTTCAGCAAGTCACTTCCCTGGGTTATCCGAGAACGTAAGCTCCGCCGCTGATCGTCTTCGAATCCAGCACCGCGGCCGCATCATTGGGCCATACCCGGTCCGGCCTTGGGAGCTCCTAGAAGATGCAGCTCCGATCATGGGCGTGAATGACACCGCAGTGAGCCTGAAGCTTTTTGATACCCGGCGTATCAGAGCTTAGCATGATCTTCGATATACCTCTTCTGGCTCGAACATCAGCTCCTACTTTTACTTGTTTTTGAGCCTGCACATACACTGCATGCAGGTGGTTATGATTATATCTTTGCGTCATCTGTTCCCGGCATTCTTCCTCGCCCATGATACCATACAGATTCGATCATATGTTTCACTTTTATATGTCTTTCTTCCTATGTCACATGTCGATTACCGGGTTTCCATAGCGGTTTTCTCTCCCAATATCTTTCTTTACTTCTTTTTTGGCATCTCTTTATATATCTACTGGGTGACTTTGGCTCTGCGTTGGCTTATATACATTTTGCGTGTGGATGATTTCTTTGGACTGTACATATAGACTGTTGGCGTTCGTACTAGGGCCGGAGGTGTTTCATAGGTTCTCATGTACGACTCACATTTTTGATCTACGACATGGTATATAATTGAATACATCATAGCATGCCTTTACATTATTCATCTCTATATTATTTGCTTGGTTCCTTAAGTGGGTGGTCAGAAGCCTCATTATATTATGCTCTCAATAAACAAAGCTCAACTAATAAAAAAAACAAGTGATCCCCTCATTCGAGTTTCAGTAGACACAAGGGAAACATCCGTGTCTATTTTGCTCTTTTCTTTTTTTTGCGGACATGGTAAAAACCTTGGCCAGGGTCAAAAATGAAAGAGACAGTTTGATATCCAAACAAAAGGCAAGTTTTCAAGAACCAGTAAAAAGAACAGGATAACGAAACAAAACTAAACGCACTCCAAACGCCGTCTAATTTCAATCGGGAAAATTGCGGGGAAGACCTATACAGTATATGTTAGATCGAAGGTCATTTTCGCTCACTCGTTTGAGCCTGGCTCGGTATGTAGGGCTTACTTTGAAAATACTCAACTATCTTGTTTCGCCGGGTGTGTCCGGCCTTGCAAAGTTCGATGCGAAGAGGCCTACAGCAGTAGTTGATCCTCTGATCGTAGGTGATGGCTTGGTCCGCCTGTTGGAAGTTCTTATCAAGCAGGATTGTCAGTAGATGGTACTTGAAAACCAAACCTGTCTTGGGGACAATAGGGTATAGCCGTACGTGGAACTGGACGAAGGCGACGGTGTGCTTGCACCGATTTTCTATGTGTACCCAGTTCAGCCCAAAGTAAGAGAACACTCCCTTGAGCTGTTCTCTGAGGACCTCTGGATCGTAGCTCCTGGGGAGGCTGAGTATGAATAAAGGTCAGCTCTAAACCCGTACCTATCTGGCTACATGCGTGGAGATGGAGGATACTCACTTGGCAACGAGGATGCGGGCCTCTGCAGGCAGATACTGCTGGGCGTTGGCGTCGGTGATGGTGACTAGGGAGACGGCGCCGTAGTCGTTCCTAAGGATCTGATCATGTACCCATCTGATGGGCTGGGGGTTAGCCTGGTAGTGATGGTGATGGGCAGGCGTTTGGGTATAGGTGTAGCCGTTGGAATGGGGCGGTGGGTATGTGTATTGGGGGGGGCGGGGGGGAAAGAGCTATCATATGCTGGAGTGCCATCAAAGAGACGGATGAGTTAGTATCATGGCTTGGTCGCTGATGGCAGCTAGGCTGAGGAGTAAGGGCACAAACAGATCCTCCAGTCATGAAGGCACCGGTTGTAGAGGGCTGCTTCCTGGGAAGCTCAGACAAAACGATGAGACCGAGAGATGCCATCTTTAATGATGTGGATGCTTTGTTGTAATGATATGTAAGTAGTTGAGTTGGAGAGACCTGTTAAGTGGACAAAAAGATGATACTCAAAGCCGGGAAGAGAGGGAGGAGAACGGGAAGAAAAGGGAAGGAGCAGCCTGCCACGCAGCTCACGATGGGATCGCCTTCCGAATGCTTAACTCCCAAAATAGGATCCATGGCCCGTAAAGTCTACTATGACTTTGAGTGAAGAGTTTTCCAACTCTCTTTTGAAGACCCGAATCAGATGCTCCCGGGGCATGGACGAACGCTGTTAAGGGCCCCTCGGATGTATTGTCTCTGGCAACTCTGTTGAGGACATGGGTGACGATATAGTCATGCCTTGACCTTCAAAGAAGAAAATCGGGATCCGAGAAAGGAAGTCGAGCTGGCGAAAGATACGAAGAGAAAGAGTGTAATCAAGGCGGATATGGCATTCATTGCATATCAGAGGGTAGCCTAGCTCAGCCCCTCTTCAAGGATATACAAGTACAGCCCTCGATAAGCACCATGCTTGGCTATCTCAAGCTACCTCGCTTGGTATCAAGTGTCTTGTAACGTTTCGTCGTTGCCACTAGGGTTGCCCAATACTTGGATCCAGGTAGCCAAGCAGGGGAATGGAGGCAGGTAAGCTTAACATTTGCCGGGTAGAATCAATGAGTTCAATCAATAAAAATAGAACCGCAGGGACGAGCGAGTCTCTGGATAAGTGACTTCGAAAGGAATAATCTCGAATGCAAGGAAGGTAGGTATAACGTAGAGTGACGGAAACCCCTAACTAGGACCGCAAATAGTGACCAAGGGGCTTGGGACAAGGAAGGCGTTTCCCACACTCTTGTGGATATATCTCATCGAAGCAACGAGATTGTTTTGAGGCCTGTTTGCGTCAGTTTGCAGCTCACGTTGCATGATTATACACCAGGTTATGGGAGGAAAGCGCAAGCATAGACCATGCTTCATTAGGCTCTTTGTAAGAGGAGAAGTGAACGCACCAGAAATTACTTACCTTTGAAGTTAAAGCTGTACCATAGGCTGCAACATAGGCTGCAGTGACTCACCAAAGCTTCCTGGCCGGGCAGCTCAGGGATTAGCCGGGCGTAACAGTGACGGTGATGAAGCGTAAAGAAGTTCACCCCTCCTACCAAGAACTATGAAAGAAGAGAAAGTGGCAGAAGCATTTTGTAAAATTTCTTATGTATACGACTGTAGCTGAAATTTCTGAGATTACCTGAGCAGCGAATAATCGTCTTTTTTTTTTTTGGAGGCCTGTCGAAGCGCTCAACAATGAAGCTCGAAAGATGCAGCCCATTATATTGCCCAATCCGATAGGGCGGTGAGACCCCCGACGTCATCTTCCGCCTGAGGCATCAAGCACCTGTCCAATTTCACAGCTCCGGACTTGGGAAGAATATCTTCCTCCTCAAAGTCAATCATGTTTCCCACAGCAAGATGTCTGGGCGCCAAACCCGCTGGCTTTTTCAAGCGGAGCGCGGACGAGCTGGGCCGACTATCCCGAATCGGTACGTTTTTATGCCTCCGATTACTGTGCTACAAACCGACTGACTGACTGCTTTTTGGTTTGCACAGCTTGGAACACCGAGGGCCTTCACACGCCGACGAAGCCATACCACCTTTTGGATTTTGAAGATGATTCGGCCGTCGCAGGATGCAAGACCATGGCCGACCGCGCCGTTGGAGGATTCAGCACCGCAAGCTTAGACTATATACCCGCAGACCCCTCGACAAATTCACCCGCCCATGCAAGATTCCACGGAAGCATCTCGACGAAGCTGCCAGACAACTGGCGGGTGGAGAGGACAGGTGCGTACCCAGTCGCCTAATGATAACAACAGAAGAAGCTGACGCGTTTTCGATTAGGATACGCCGCCTTCCGCAACCAAGACCGAGGCTTATGGCTTTTCGGTCGTCTATACTGGGACCTTGACCCATATACCTACCTAGCATTGCGAATCAAATCGGACGGTCGACGATATACGGTTAATATTCAAACAGATTCAATTGTCGAAACTGATATCCACCAACACCGACTATACACACGCCACCACCACGTGCAGTCGTCAGACGATTACCTCTCACCATACTCGTCGCCGGAGGCAGCAGAGCCCCCTGAGATTGCCAAGGAGAGATACCCCAACGGCATCCCGCCTTCTCTATCAGACGTTCCTCCGCCTACTACAGTCATGTCGTCTAGCTCCAAGACGACGTCCGGCTCGACCGGGTGGGAGACTATCCTTCTACCCTTCAATTCTTTCGTCCGCACAAACCATGGGCTCGTTGTCGAGCCACAGACTTCAATAATACGTCAGCGGGTGAAGAGTATCGGTATCGGCTTGACAGACCGAGTTGAGGGTTCATATGATCTCCGAATTCACCGTATCTGGGCCACGAATGGGATGAGCGCGGCAGAGCTTGAAGAGGAACAGCGAATCTGCGGGGCAGACGCTTTACCCCTTGATGATGGTGTCCGGACGGGATGGACGGGCAAGCCCGCGGAGACAATTGAAAGCATCAAAGAACCAAAAGACACGAAGCCGAAGGTGAAGGGGCTGAAGGGGCTGAAAGATGAATGGGATTAAGCATTGCCACAGCAAACAAATCAGATTGTACAGTATAATTCTCTTCACGAATCTTTCATATCTTGAACATTCAACAACACTTACCCAGCACAATCGTATTATCCTCTTAAGGCCTCCCCGAATTGAAAGATCTAAAACACAACTTAGTTCCCCCCGGTGATGCGCTCCCATGCCTCTCTATACTTCTCACTCGTCTTCTGCGCAATCTCCTCAGTCATCCGAACACCCTCCTTGCCCTTCAGTCCCTCCTTCACCAGCCAATCGCGCAAGAACTGCTTGTCGAAGCTCTGCTGGCCACGGCCAATCTCATATGAATCCTTAGGCCAGAAGCGCGACGAGTCTGGCGTGAGAACCTCATCGGCCAGAACCACTTCATCCGTCTCCTCGTCGACACCGAACTCGAATTTTGTGTCCGCAATTATCACGCCCCGCGTGAGCGCATAGGCGTGAGCGGTCTTGTAGAGCTCCACGGCGAGCTCGGCGACCTTTGATGCATATCGCTCACCAAGGATCTCGACGGCTGTATGGAGTCAATTGAGTTAGAATGATCCCCTGGTGCAGGATAGAGTTACGGGCATACCCTTATCAGGATGAATGTTCTCATCATGCTCTCCCTGCTCGGCCTTTGTGCTCGGCGTATAAATCGGCCCATCTGGGAACGCTTCACTCTCCTGCAGACCAGCCTTCACGGAGATTCCGTGCACAGTTCCAGACTTCTTGTATTCATTCCACGCAGATCCGGTAATGTATCCACGGACGATGGCCTCAATGGGCAAGATGCGCAACTTGCGGACCTGCATGCTGCGGTTCTGTAGAACCGGGTGCAATGAAGCGGGGATCTGTGGGGGAAGGTCAAGGGTGATGAAATGGGTTCGGAGCGAGGGGAGGGCGTCCATGAGGATTTGAAACCATTTTTGCGTGCAGAGAGTGAGGAGAATGCCCTTTTCGGGGATACCCTGTTCTTCAATGTTAGTGCTTGTAATTGCCGGCGTGATTGAAGGGAAAGCCTGGCTTGTACATTTTCCATAATCACATCGTAGGCGGAGATGCGGTCGGTTGCGACGAAGAGGAGGGTCTTGTCGTCGACTTCGTACAGGTCTCGGACCTTGCCGCGGGCGATGAGAGGCAGGGAGCCCTGGAGATCGGTTGTTGTGAGAGTGTCGGCCATTGTGAGAAACGAATGAGAGTCTGAGGAGGAATTGGAGAAATTAGACGGGTTTGTGACTCTGTCAATCTAGGAAATTTTTTGGCGGGGTCGCGGCTCTCCCGCGTCATCTTTGGCGGGGATGCGGCATGGGAGTGCAACCTGAGGCACCTAATATCCCACTGTAGAGGGACAAGTATTTAAGGTTGCTCTTGGGGATTTGAGAACGAAGGTGAGTGTTAAATTTGTTAGATATATGTACAGTATACATATGTGTAGCCGCTATGCACTTGCTAAGTCACTCATATAAGTCTTCTGGGTCTTTCCTCTAGTTCTTTGCCATTGCTCTCTTCAGCCCCCGAGTTTATTATATTGCCGGTTCGCTGCGTGAGCTTCCAAAGCACTGATTGGGTTACAGAACGGCCCATCACAGTGAAAGCCTAGTTAGTGTTTCAACCGAGTGCTAGGGAGTCATTCTTGGAGGTGATGACATGTCCCTGTGTCGGCCGGTAACGTAATTCACCAGCGGTCCGATCACCCCGGCCGGTCCGATCACCCACCAAAATATATTTCTACGCATTGAACTTGAAGCTATTCCTAACAACGCAAATCTTAATTAAATACAGTAAACTAAGTCGCGCGACGATTAGGACATCTAGTTCTAGTATGCCCCTGAATATTACACTCAGAATAGGTTGGTGGGGCTCGTTTTCGAGGTTCTAAGCTTGGTGGAGTAGTTAGATTAGCTTCCTCACCACCACTATCTTCCTGATTCAATTGCTCATTTCTTGATGAAATTAAGTCCCTTGCTTCTTGCACTTGGAGGCCTGGTGCAGGGGCCATCTAGCGTTTTAATCAACTCTTTTTAGTCGCTTAAACTTGACTTTCTGCGCGGAGATCATTCAATTCCTTCAGGGTAAATACAGCGTTGTAGATAGCTAGCTCGCAACCCTTTATAAGCTCATCTAAAGCACGTTTAGAAGGACTAGAAGGACTCTAGGACCGCCTAAAAAGCATCTTCTTAATAGAAGAAGCTTTCTTATGTAGCTGTCGAGCTGTATAAGGCGTGGCAAGCGCAGAGGAAGAGGTTAAGGCACCCCCCCGGCTAGGGGGGGGGGGGTAGGCGTAGATATTAAATAGTTAAATCGCTTTAGGACCTCTTCAGGATTATAAGGCACTATCCTAGTCGCGCGAAAGCCGCTCTAAGCGTTCTGAATAGTAAAGACCTTATCACGAGCTTCAGGATAGGCCTTTAGGAAGTCATGTTTATTAATATAGTAGAAGCCTAGGCGCATCTTCGCTTCAATTAGGCCTCCATAAGCTCGCTTCAATAGCCCGAAGCAACCAACATCTAGCGGTTGAAGCAGGTGCGATGAATATGAAGGCATATAAATATAGATAATCCTATTTTCTCTGCAAAGCTTGTTGAATTAAGGGGTCAAATGACTCCCATGACCATCTAGAACAAGTAGTCGATGACTTCCAATTATGCGCTTAGTTATATAAGGAATAAAGCAGTTCTGAAGCCACTAGAAAGTTATCTAATCAGTGGTCTATCTATTCGCGCTTAATTCAATCCTCTAGTCACCTAGGAGACCTAGTTCTTCAAACCATCCTTTAATATGGACCTTCCCTTTAAAGATTATGGTTAGTGGAATAACATATCCCTTTAATCTAATACATTTAATCGCGGTGACCCATTCGCGCTGGCCTGGCTAAATAAGGTGAGGCTTCCCAAGTATCTCAGCCCTTGTGACCACCTATGAGGTTGTAATTAGGCCCATAGCGAAGCCAGTTTTATTAAAGTTGTAGATATCTTCATCCTATATATCATTCTCCTTGCGCAAGGCCTCTAAGGTCTTAAACCACTACTTTAAGACCTTAGGATCCTCGTAGAGGGCGCGCTAGTAGTTATACTTGCGCGTGAATCAACTTTTAATGCTTTCATGGCATTAAATAAACTTAGTAACCTAGTTTTTTCCTAGCGGCTTTGGGGGGGTTGTTAAATCTACTTAGAGGAGAAGATATACCATTTCCTACACATGCGAGACCCTAGGAGCGACTCCTCGTCGATCTCTAGATAATATCCATTCAACTAGTGCCTCTTCCTGAGTTTCAGAGAGTCGGAATGCGCGGTTGCGATGTTCTACTTGAAATTCATGGCCCTTAATGCGATCGCGGAGTGTTGTATAAGGCACATTAAAAACCTCTATAGCTCGACGAATACTTGGAATTTCACCTTTTTCCAAAGCATTAATTGCAAGTTGAATCCTCCCCTCTTGCTCAGCTAAATTTTGACGAGATTGACGCGGTTTCCGTGGCATGGTTGATGGTTGAATAACTACGCGTTGAACACGCGATAATTTTTTGGTGGGTGATCGGACCTGCCGGGGTGATCGGACCGCTGGTGAATTACGTTAATGTGTGTGCAAGGAAGCCAAAAAAGGGCCCAAATGATGGTAGCGCTGCGGCAGCGCTACCCAGGGCAACTGAGACTATGGTTATGGCCTCAAAATCCCGGATCATCGCATATTAGGCGCCCATGATGCCGCTGTACGAGAAGCTCCCTGGTCGGATGAGGCCGGAGAGAGCTGAATTGTTGGCAATCTCAGCCTCATCATCTAACCCTTTACCTGACTTAGCAAAGTGATTACGTCACCGTAGGTTGGAGTTCGTTGATCAAACAGAAGTCGCCGCGCTCTTTGTGGTGTTCGTCCTGCGATTCCCATCCAGAAAGTTTCCTTCGTAGGGGCCACCTTGCCAAATTTGGAAAGGTGAACCAACGACGTAACCGGTTCTCCCATATCGACTCAATTACCCCCCAAGTGGTGAGCCACGAACTATTCGGATGAGTTGACGGGTTTGTAGCAGTTTCAGATCCAACCCGCACAAAAGGGTTGAGATACACGCCCCTCCGCCCTGAGAGTACATTGTCGGCATGGATCAAACAGCATTCAGATGCCTCAAGATGAGCCTCTGCTAGCCCGTCAGGCACTCCCCGGAATTGGACCGACGAGGTGGAATAGAATGCTTCCGTAGCCATGAAAACTAGACACCAGGTATCAGCATCTTATAGCCTCTCAGTTCTCATCGTGCTATGCTCCTGTACATACCCATTCCATCCCAGCAGCTTCTGACACGGACTGGTAGCATTGATTTCATATCGTCTCTTGATCTAGACGAGCGAAAGAACGGCCATTTTTGCATGAGGGGTTCATATCCGTCCGCATCCCGCAGGGCGAATTGGTCGTTATAGGCGGGAAAGTTTAGAGGATCGAAAGAGCACGCCGCAGTATATGTGCCATAGTTCGTGCCCAAAAGAGCCAAAACGTCCTCGGTCTGTTCATCCAACGACATTAGTAAAATGCGGATCATGGCGCAGCACACTGATGCTCACTGTAAAGGCAATGTCACTCAAGAATAAAATTCGATCGAAGAGAAGCCCGGCACCTCGAAGGTCATATAGAGGCTCAAGACACTTGTTTCGAAGCTGAGGAATGTAAGGTGGATGATGGCCCGAGTCGTGGTCGCGTGACGCTGTATTTCGAGGTTCAGCCACCGAGGTTATGACCCTTCTGCCAATTCTGTTTGCTTCCAATGCTTTATCAAGGTCGCGCAGGAAGTTCTTTGTATTGTCACTGCTTCCTGTCTCACATATGCTAACGAATATGTTGTCCGACCCAAACACATCAGCTAATCCGACGATCGCTTCGCTCCAGCCCTCGGGAAGACTCCGTTTGTTGTTCCGTATAACACTCGCGATGAATACTCGCTGGCGCTCCGGAGGCTTATAATCTAGATGGGTCTGCTCTTCGTTGAGATGCCGGCGGACAAGGATAACATCAGCGGTACTCCAGAGGACCACGATGAGGACGAGGATTTGGAGAAGTCGACGGCGGAGCTTGTGATAACGCAGCACTTGTCGGAGAGCTGCGAGGGCCAGAAAAGAAAGCCCGTGAAGAATGGACTTGCATGTTTCGATTACATGCATTGGAATTGGCAATTTAGCCCTGGGCGTCACATCAGGCTGTTAGTGGGTGTCAAGACCGGGATGTTTGGGGAGACTCCTGCCACAGCCATCAGACCGCGACGCTGGCGCTCCAGAAGGTGACGCCGCCAAGCCTAGCTTACTTCAACCAACCGCAACCCCTTTCATTCTTCATCAAACTACATCTACTCTGATCCAGCTAAGTGAAGCAGCAAATTCATTATGTGGTATCTAGTCCATGGTCGTCATGGGTGGAGAGAAAACGCAACACAGCACAGAAATGCATTTGTTGTACAGCAAACAATCACCACTCCGAATCTCACAAGTCAAGCCCAATATCCTCAAAATACTTTTGCAATACCTGAGAGTCGCCCGAGGGCTCGGCGATTGCAATATATGTGTCCGGTCGGATAAGGTACGCTGCCTCAGCTTGCAACCCGGCAGCTCGATACTTCTCACCCCAGGAAAAGGTATGCAAGGGGATATTCTTCGACTGGCACCATGTCAACAGGTCCTCCTTGGGCTCACCATAAACATGCACCTGCCAGGTTATTGACTTCAAGCTCTCGAAATTGTCAATGTCCCCCACAGTTACCCAGGGCAAGCGGTCACCTCCGTGGATCGAGCCGACTGCGCCAGTCGACAGGGCACTGTGTCGATAATTGATCATGATCTGAGAGACCCTTTGAAAGACCTTGTGGCGAGCATGGTCAATCTTGGCGAGCATGGGCGCAACATAGGGAACAACCCATGTCCGCAGGATTCGGGCGAAGTAGCCCTGAGAGATAACGAGGTTGAATCCGCTGTCTGTTGTGTTGACTAGCTGGGTGGCAAACGCTCGGCGTTCCTTTTCGTAGCTTTCCAGCAAATCTAGTGTGGCCTGTCCCTTGATAACTGCTGCTAGCTTCCAGGCGAGATTGATTGCGTCCCCAATACCAGTATTCATTCCTTGCCCGCCAACTGGGCTGTGAATATGTGCCGCATCGCCTACCAAGAATGCCCTGCCCTTGCGAAAAGCGGCTGCTACGCGGTGGTGACTGCGATACGTAGAAAACCAGTTAACCTTGTCGATCTGCAACCCTAGCGTACGTATCATCTCCGAGCGGACGTCCTCAAAGGTTATGTCAACGCCTTTTCCTGCCGCCTGATCGTCCACGGCTCCAGAAATGCGCGCTCGGCGGTTATCATCATACGGAAACAGCAGCATGAATTCGGACTGGTTGAAGGTAACATGCGCTTCCCCGTTGATCGCTGGACCACTTCCTTCGATATCGGCAACGAAGAAGATATGAGAGTACGTGGCCCCAGCGTAGTCGATTTCGCTAACACGACGTACAGCTGAATGCGCCCCGTCACAGCCCACAATGAAAGTGGCTTCACTGGTCTCAGTATCTTCATCTCCATTGCCGTCAACACGCTTCCTTAGCTGTGCTATGATGGAAGAGCCGTTCTCCGCAAAGTCTACCAACTCTCGGTCTCGTTCCACCTGGACACCGAGGGCATTGAGGCGGTCTTCCAAGAGTCTCTCATGCTGGTCTTGAGAGAGGATATGAATGAACGGGTATGGTGTAAGGCCGGAGCCAATATCGCCGATAGGGATGCGCCCTCTGTGAGATCCTTCGGACCACACATTTGTCGCTTGAATCTTATGTCCTTTTGCGACAACGTCTTCTGCAATATCTAGCTGGCGGTATAGTTCCAATGTCCTCGCCTGGATGGCTAGCGCTCGTGAGGTCGATGCATCCGCCCGCACTTTATCGATGATGCGAACGGAGATGCCTTGTTTGACTAGCCACAGGGCCGTAACGAGTCCCGTAGGGCCAGCACCTACGATGAGAACGTCGGGGCGGCTCATCCTAATACGGTGTGGTAAAGGGTAAAGAGGGTTTCAACTGAAAAAAAAAGGCCAATGAGGTTTCTCAAATGATAAATGGGTCAAGTAGTACTCGTCGTTGAAGAAGGAGGAATGTTGAACGGATAATAGAACTCGTAGTATCTTTGCTGTCCACCACATCGAACGTCTGCCTACTCGTATTTATACTTCCCACTTCGTGGCGATGGTAAAAAAGAGTCATCGCTCCCAAAGAGGAGGGCCTAATGACATAGTTTGCCTGGTCACATACCTTGGCGGATGCCCTAGGAGATCGAAAAGGGGAAAATCCGAGACAGATCTAGGCTATGTAGACGGAGAATCGTGCTTCGGGCGCTATACTTGTGGGCGTAATCGGTGATTCGAACCACCGACATTCCCGCTTCGGCTCCGTCTTGAGGCCCGACCTGGGGTGCATTCCGATTCTTTACCTTGGACTTCCCGAACGGAGATGGTCTTCTGACTTGCGTTTCCAAGAATGACTCCACGATTAAGTAAAAGGAATGACCGAGTCCTTTTTTTTACAGTCTCAAAAGTGTCCGCTGATGCAAAGTAGATAGTCAACCCTATGTCTTTCAGTGGGCCCGCTCTCATTGGTTCTCAAAGCACCAGAGCAACCGCCTACGCCTGCACGATTTCTAGATATATAGTAGATTGAACAACAAAATGCAGATGTAGCGTACAAAGGAAATCCAAGAAGCATAGTGATAGGTAAGCGCTTCGTCAACAGAGACTTGGGACTATATTTTCTGGACTTCTTTCCTCCAATCCGGATAAATGTACATGTCCTTCGTTCGTAGGGCATTGACGCGGTTCTGACTAGAACAGAGCTACCTAAGTGGCCTTGTCCTTGTTGTGGTAGTTGACATTGCTGTTCCAGCTGTAAAGACGTCAGTATAGCATCGTGAGAAAGCTTTGGCGGATGATTCTTTGTGAATGGGATGCGTCGCGACGGGAATCTTACAAGATAGTCTATGAAAGCGCAGCAGTTAGTAAAAAGCCAATTAAGTGGTTAGAATAACTCTTCATAAGCTCACCTTGTCACCATCTCCCCAAGGGAAGTTCTTGGAGCGTATGTTCTGGTAGGGGTATTCGACACGCTCCTCGAGCGGGGGCATGTGAGACCAGTGCTCCCAATGCTCGTTCCACAGGTTGTAAGCGTTGAGTCCACCACCGATCAGGACGGGAATGACGACGCTGGAGTGATTATAAGTATGCGGGCTTCGAGGTTGAGGAGGGGTACCGGTGGCATAACATACTAGATGGAAAGCTTGCGCCAGAGATCTAGAAGAACAATTGGTCAGTATCTTTTTGTTTTGATACAAAAAAGGCTGTATATAAGGCAGTAGCGGTCCAATGGACAAAACGTACCACTAGTGGAAGCAGCATGGTGCTTGACAGCAGCTCGCTCGCGGTTGAACTCGTTGTCGACGATCCAGGGATACTTGGACTGGGTGCTGTTCAGACGGCGCTGAGCAGCAGAGCGAACCGGAGCGGCACGCTGAGCGAGACGAAGGGCACTGCGCTGAGTGAACATGATTGCTGAAGGACGACCGAATAGCTCACAGCTGCGACTTGATCTTCAAGAGGAGGGAATATCAGACGACGTCGGTCTCCTCGGGTGGGCAGAGCGGAAAAGCCGCTTAGCGCTTCCCGTGATTCGTTCGTCTCCGGCCACAACCCGTTCAGCCTTAGGTCAGCACTTTCGCGTGATGTCACATCACGTGGACGGCCTCGACTGACAACAGCAACTACCAGAACCTCAATTCTCAAAGAAGACACTAGAATACGCATCTACTGCGGCGGAGGCGATCGTTACTAGAGGACGAATATGCGCGATTGAGGCTCAAAGCAATCGGGATGGGGTTTCGCATCACAACATGGAATGGTAAGCTTCTAGGCACCTCACCTAGCCCTGTCTCCACACCACTGTCTGGAAAGTATACTAATTCGATCTTATATTTGATTCAGTGAATGGAATCAAGTGAGCAGTTGCACTTTACACTACTTGACTGACTACTGACAGCAAAGGAACCCATTCTCGTATGAGCCATGGAGGAGTACTCGGACTTTTGAGGTAAACGCTCCCTCCGACCATGTAGGAGCAACAACTGACGCAGAACAGTCGATGTTCGACATACTGGAGGCCGACATTGTCGTCTTCCAGGAAACCAAAATTCAGCGAAAAGATCTCCGAGATGACATGGTCCTCGTGTCTGGATGGGACTGCTACTTCAGTTTACCTAGGGTCAAAAAAGGTTGGGACTACGGAGTAAATCTGGAACTTGACCGGCTGACCTCTTCTAGGATACTCAGGGGTCGCGATCTACACACGAAATGCGACATGTGCTCCCATCCGTGCGGAGGAAGGGCTGACCGGAACTCTTTGCTCGCCAAACTCCTCGACGCCGTTTAGAGATCTCCCCGAAGACCAGCAGATCGGCGGCTACCCGACAATAGAGCAGCTATCTCAACTCGAGCTAGATGCAGAAACTCTCGACTCTGAAGGGCGCTGTGTTATCCTAGAGTTTCCTGGGTTCGTTCTTTTGGGACTTTATTGCCCTGCCAACCGGGATGAGACTCGGGACGCTTTCCGCCATAATTTTCTCGACCTTATGGATGCTCGCATTCGAAACTTGGTGGCAATGGGAAAGCGGGTCTTTGTTACCGGCGATCTGAACATATCAATGGGACAGGTCGATGCCGCCCATGCGATAGAGAATATCCGAAAAGGAGTTATTACAGAAGATGACTTTGTCACTGCGCCTGCACGACGCCTATTCAATCACTTATTATCCGACGGGAAAGTTGTGGGCGAGCGAGATGAAGGAAGAGAGCGGCCGGTCCTTTTTGACATTTGCAGGTCGTTTCACTCAGATCGCAAAGGTATGTACACTTGTTGGGAGCAGAGAATAAATGCGCGACCCGGAAATTATGGTTCTAGAATAGACTATGTTCTTTGCAGCCTGGACATGCAGGATTGGTTCTGCGAGTCTAATATCCAAGAGGGATTAATGGTAGGTTCTTGCCATGAAAGGGAGCATGACTATGCTAATGATCCATCCAGGGATCGGACCATTGCCCAGTCTACGCCATGTTCAAGGACACCGTGCATGTGAATGGCGAAGAAGCCAGCATCTACGATATCATGAATCCCCCAGGCATGTTCCAGAAAGGCGAGCGCAAACAGGAATATACGATGAAACTCCTGTTGCCACTATCCGGCCGACTGATACCCGAATTCGACAGACGACGAAATATCAAGGACATGTTCATGTTCACTCGTAAGCCAAGTCAGACAGCACCGAAGGTTCAGCCCTCGCCACAATCAACCACACCCCTTCCAGCCGAAGAAATAGAGCTCATTCCACAGAGCATAGAGAGACCGCCAACCAGAACGAGCACCACTACCAGCACTGGTGCCCAAGAAAATATCCAACCAAAAGCCAACGTCCGCAAACGACCTATTAGAGCCGAGAACTCTACAGTCAAGCGTTCGAAATCTATGAATGCGCAAGCAGCAGCTACTAAACCCGGCCAAAGCACGCTGAAGGGATTTTTCAAGCCCAAGAGCACACCATCAATTGAACCCAGCGACCCAAATTCTCCAGCAGGTTTCATCTCATCTCCAGTAAAAAGCACCGAACGCCTGTCCCAAAGCCTCACAAAACTCAACGGGAAGCAAGGATCCAATAAGACTGACACTCAAGACATTCGAGACCTCGACTCATCGAGCACTTCGACGCCGGTAACCGTCGTGCCTCCCAACGAAGAAACAAACTTCATCGACCCAATCACCAATAAGGAAGACTGGACGAAGCTATTCACAAAGAAGCCACCGCCAAAATGCGAAGGTCACGAGGAAGAATGCATCAGTTTGAAAACGAAAAAACCGGGCGTGAATTTCGGCCGGACGTTCTGGATCTGCCCAAGGCCGTTGGGACCGAGCGGGAATAAAGAGAAGGGGACGGCTTGGAGATGTCCGACTTTTATCTGGGCTAACGATTGGGATCCTTCGACGATGTAACTGGGCTGGTTCTGGTGGTTGCTCTGGGTCTGAGGCCCGGCTTTTGATTTGAACAATCGGGGAGGGCGTGTAATTGATGAGTCTTAAGTTTGTCGGAAACTCTCAGATAATCCTCGAGATTTGAATCCGGTGACCAGACGAATTAGAGCACATATCCTTCTTATGACCTACAGTACGAGAGTGTATTTTTGGCTCGCAGTGGCCTTGGCTGTGTTAATCTCTCTCTGTCTGGCTAGAAACCAGCATTCCTCCAGAGCAGCGCTCTTACGAATATCTCTTTTACGCAGATATGTCTGATTATAATCTCCTTCGAGTATATAAACAAGCCGACACTCGATTCACCGGCGTCGTAGATGCAGACCTCAACGCTTAAGGGAGCACTACCAGCCAGAAGTTCGAATTCTCGCATTTCTTTGACTCAAGGATATCTAAGCCATTGAGCTCCTCTGCCTCTGAAGGTCTAGATACTTTGCAGCGTAGTCGTTGGCAAGAACCGAATCGCCCGTAAGATGCATCACAGTAGCCTTCTTGGCCATCATCTCGCACTGTCCTCTAATGTCCTCAATCTCTTCATACTGGTCGTAAGCACAATCAAGATAGCCCAAAGCACGGTTCATACACTCCTTCTTGGCCGGCGTGTTCTTACCAGCGCTCCAGAGCTTGCCAGCGATACCCATATTCGCATCGACGAGAAGAGAGTATGCGTGTGCCGCGAGATCACAATCGTTTGATTCCAGGACTTGTGGCATAATGCTCTCGATCATCTCAGAGACTGCTTCGAATTCCTGGAGGCTCAAAAGGACAGCTCCTAGAGCGCAAATGGCCTCCCACAAACTAGGAAGCAGTCTCGAACGATGAGCGATGTTTGCAGCTCTCATTGCCAAGGAAAACCCGCGCTGAGGCTGGCCCGTCTTCTCAAATATGCGAGCCTTTAGACAGAGAAGTTTGACCTGAGGTTGGATGTCGAAGTTGTCTTGGTGGATGGATTGCGCCGTTTCTTCGATGAGTTCTAGAGCTCCAGTGTAATTCGCTTGGCGGATCATAAAGTCGATGGAAAGGAAAGATAATAGAAAGGACAAATCGCTATCTGGAAGTTTGATGGATTGTAGTTGAGAGAGCAGGTAACCAGCCGCTGTTCGGTCGTCACTGGTCACTGTTAGGGACTGAGACTTGAGCGATGGAGAGCGGACATACTTGTATATTTTGCGCCGAAGTTGAAGCACGCCGGAGAAGAATGCCCAGTACTGGCTTGTCTTCAATGAACGAAGCCTTTCAGGACTGATTTGATTCATGTGAACGGAAACATCGCTGTATCGGCCCTGCTGCGCTAGCTGTAGAGTTATCAGTGAGCGGATTTCTTGAGCGGATGGCCTTGCCTAAACCTACTAGTTGGCAGCTTCGGAATGTGCTTTTGAGATAGTCCTCAAACGGCGCACAATTTCGGTAGCAATGGCGGAATGTCTCGCTACCTAGCCAGGCGAGATGTGCGGCTCCTAGTAGGTTTGGGGGTTAGCTAAAATTAGCCAGTAATGGCAGGATTGCAGTACCTATTCTGGAATACAGCGCAGTCTGAAGTAAGAGCTGTGGGCCCGTGGAATTCGACAGATTCTTCGTGACGTTGAGATGCGACGCTCGGACTACATTTTCAATTGCCGATGCTAGACTCTCTCCCTTGAGACGTCAGAACAATGGGGCAGAGGAGGAGTTGAAAGCTTACATTTTGAAGTTCGAGCTTCGCCTCACTAAGAAGCGTTGTGCTTAACAAGCTCCACATCTCTGTCTCTTTCGCTTTCGCTTTGAGAAAAGCGAGCCCTTCTTTCTCGTTTCCTAGCATACCAGTAGTCTGTATATCTTTAATAAGTTCCGGAAATGCCTTTCCGAAATGGTACAACCAGCTCATGCAGAAATTCAGGCAGTTCATGTCGTGAGACTCCCTGGCAATCGAGACAGCTTCCTGCATTGCAGATACTGCCTCCCCATAACACCCAAAGTCCGCCTGGAGTATGGCAAGATTCAGCAGCGCATATTGATAGGAGGCTTTATCTCGGCTATGCATTGTGTAGTCAAAGTAGCGATGGAGGCTGTCAAAAGACGATGGGTAGTCCCCGGCCCTCCAAGAATCGAGAAAGCTGACGGTGGTCAACGCTAGACATGTAGGATTAACGGGTTCAAGAACTCACCGAAGGTAATGGACCAGGTTAGGTAAAGTTACCCCGGCTTCGATTATGCGTTCCAGCTGAGCCTTCATCTCTTCCGGGACTCTCCCGCCAAATCCTAAGTGCATCAGAATAGTTATGTCGGAGATTTCAGGGAAGACTTCATACTCTGTAGCTCGCCGATTTGGAACTCCAGAAGCCGCTCAACTTCCTTCGTGCTGACATATCGATCGTCTTCTTCGTGTTCAATATGCCCGTAAGCGACCTGCGCAAGACGACTGTTTGTCTCAAGGCCGAGATCTAGAAGGTTGATGTCAACCGACGGCTGTTCATCAGAGGGGTTCTTGCGAGCCCATGTGCGGTATGTCGAAAGCCGGTACTTGACGAAACCTTTCCATAGGTTTACCGAATCGTGAAATTGGAGTCTCGTGAATTCCAGCTGAGCTCTTCGCACGAATGCGCCCAATGGGGAGCATCGTGATAGGCGCATACAGTTGGTCTCCGGAGCGAGGCCAGCATCCCTCTCTCTAATTTGCTCTTCCCGAGTTTTTGCGAGGATTGTCGATATTTCCGTAAAGAAAACTTCCAATGCATCGCACGAGTCAATTGACCATAACTTCCGGAGAAACAAGTCCCAGATGGAGCGACCGGGTATTGAAGAGGGCTGTGTTATCAAGGCATCCTCTAGGTCCTTGATAGACACGGAATGCTGCTTCGTCCAAGCCTCCGAGGAAGGGGTAGTGTCCCCCGCGCCCACCGAACTCAAATAAGCAACAATGAACGAGAGGACGTGAATAGCTGATGAGTTGGGGACAACACCTTCAGTATAGATATGCACGAGGCATAGCAAGGCGACTTTTGATGGTGTCAGATAACGGCTCATTGCTGCAGTAGGATGTGCATTATTTAGACTGAAGTGCTTCACCGTCCCACCAAAAAAATCAAGATGGTGCAAAAGCGGCTGAGTGGCGCATCAACAACGCGTCAGTGGACAAGATTTACCGTTTCTCAGTGAATACGTTGGAGCATACAACAGGATACAACTGGAAGGCAGTCGGTAGGTTTGCCCAACAGGACCAAGGAAGACTGGGGAAAGCAAAGCAACAAAGGCAAGTGAGGAAAGTTTGGTAGGTGACAGCCAAGCTGAGGATAAGAACTTTGATAAGGAAACTATGAATACATACGACCACAGGGTGTGGAGAACAGGGCTTCCCGTCCGCTCAGCCGTACTTAAGCCACACGCCGGTAGGTTAGTAGTATGGTGGGTGACCACATGCGAATCCCTACTGTTGTATGTTTTTCTTCTTTTTTTTTTTCTCCAGCGATGATGACTTGGTTGTTAACCCCCTTTCCACACACACTACTGCGATCGGCGACATCGTTTTTCTTTTCTTTTCCCTGAGTTTGTCGGACACAGCTGGCCTACTCCGTACAGTGGAGGAATCCCTCTGTGTATGAAGTACACTTCGTCGTCCGCAAAAGAATCGACTACTGCTGAGAAACGAATCCCTGCTTTGGGCGTCTCGCTACAGCGTGGTCGTCTGATCAAAACGTGCCACACTGCTTCACTTTGAATACAACTCGAAGCTTCAAGGGAGCCATAATGGGAGTATCCTCGACGACTACCCTTGCTACTTCATCTTCAACACCGCAGCCGGCTCTCGAATGCAGACCGAAATGCATCTGTCAGACCAATGCAGTCTACGAAGCCCACGAAGGGGCCAGTACTCTGCCATTGGACTGTGATCTTCTAGATTTTCATACACTTTGGAAAACAGCACTTTCTTGTGGTACACAATCCTTGTGATTTGGCAGATGTTGCTTGAAAGTAATTTAGTATAACACATCGTGGGCAAACACACAAGGTCAGCTCCTCCGGTTCAAGTAGCGTAGAACTCCATCAGTCATATCACCGAGGCTTGTAGCCTGCAAGGCTCTAAGCGTGGGATGTTGATGAGATAACACAAAAGGGAAAGGTATCGAAGGCGTGAAGACAGATGAGAACAGTTCAAATACAAGGAGAGAGAAATGCCAGACGAAAACAAGATAGATGTTCGACTTCAAAAACAATTAGCTGCATAATCAGGAAATTCAAAAGAGTCTCCAATAGATTGATCAGCGATACCTAGATGTTGAAAGAACGTTCCCCTACCATAGTCGTTCGGAGCCTGGTGGAGTAGAGCGTCGAATGAGTTCATGTCGTAACCGGTGTGTTCATCAGCCAAGGCACCTGAATCGATCATAAAATTCAAGTTATCGAAGTTATCTAGAGGATTAGGATATCCCTCTATCATAGTATCATTGCCCTGCAATTCGGAGTACATCGAAGGGGTGAATGCGCTTGGTGACGGTGCTGCAATCGAGGGCGGAGATTCGAGAGGTATGGAGCGCTTAGACTTAGGAGACTGGCGAGAGGTTGCACGGCGTTTCTTCTCAGAAGGCTTTCGTGGAGTATATTGGTAGTCTGGGTATTCTTCGGCATGTTTCTTTTTGAACTCTTCGGCCATACTCTTGAAGCGTAGTCTGGCTTCATCGGGCTCCGACTTCCATTGCTTCCCTAGAATGACCGCTATTTCAGTTAGCTTACTCAGAGCTAAAGCGAGTATTGCCTAACTTACATATTTCGTTGTTAGAGAGGTCAGGGTATGCCTCTTTCACTTTAGGATGGTGGTGTTGCCGATAGAGAATGAAAGCATTGGGAGGCCGAGGAATCTTGGGAGGTTTCGCAATTGCTGCTCTTGGTTTCCCAGGAGCTTCAACTGATTTGACTCCCGCCATACCTTGATGAGACGCAACAGAAATTGTGGTGCCCGAGAATGCCGGTGTGCGCATAACACGGAGTGCATTGATGGATTCGTCAATAAAGGCCACGACGGGAGCACCTAGGAGAGCACTGCCATAACACATAAGGACATATTTGAGATGACAAGGATACCATGACCTACCAAAGACGTGATTTTATTTCTTCGACATTGTTCTGGCCGATCACGTCCACCACGTTGGTTGGTAGGAGGACTTCGTTATTCGTAGATCCGAGGTGGCGCAAAGCGTCTTGCCAGAGTCGCTCCATGACATTTTCGGGGGATTGTGCAGTTGATTTCATGGCAATAGAAACAGTAGCCATCTCAGCTTCTCTTCTCTTTTGAGAGTATCATGCGAGAAGTGAGTAGTCGAAAATTCTATCTTGTGAGTGTTATCCTGAATCTTCCACCAGCCGGCGGGAGATGATAGGAGAAGGTGTTTCAGAGACAGTGACTGGGACAGCCAAGTTCAAGTATGGAATGAGATGAAAGACTCGGCCAGACATGGCAAATTAGAATGCGTTTCTATTGGGCTCTGGAGGCTGGGGTGTTCTTTGTTTCACCCAGCTGCATGAATAAGGACGGAAGTCTATTGACTCAAGAACCCTCAATAACCTCAATAACATCTACCCCACCTAAATATCCAGAATAGGATAACACAAGACAGAGTGCACATTCACTGTCAGGATTTCTACTGCTATAAATTCTCGAGCTTCCCTCGTCCTAAATGTCTGCAGCTCTTCTCTTCTCCACCATCATTCTCCATCGTTTCCCCTTTGAACTCTTGCACGAAGCTACACCACCCCCAAATTCTACCTTGTCCTCTGCAATTTCCAGTCCTTGACCATGGCGGATCCCTATGCTGCAATCATTTTCAGGCTTCTCGATGACACTATTGCTGATGCGAATGTTCCTTTGGACGTGAGGGAGCAGGCAACCTACATCAAGGTCTCGTATGCCACCCACCGCAACACCTACCGTCTCATGGCTCAGACCTCTGCGCTCTTCAACGGCGGAACTGTGCTTCATCCTTCCCACGGAAACCAGGGTCCCAATGGCAATGCTCATCTTCCCGTGTATCGTCTTGGAGGTGTTATTCGTGCAATTGCAATGGATCATCAGGTTACCCCAGGCCCCGGCGACTACGAAGGCCACCCAATCGAGCTTCTTAGCATCCTTGACCCAGCCATCCAGAACGGCCTTCCTGGCGAGAGGATCTTCGACCTTCATCGCTACCTCATTGCTATGGAAAGAGTGGCGAATGAGCACCTTGCCAGACTTACCAGACAGTATGGCTATCACTACATTCTCAGAGCTGGTCTCGAGGAGTACTACATGACGTGAGTTGCATCCGAGGCTTCTGTGTTCGATCTACTAATACCTCCTCAGCAAAGCTGTTGCCGAAGCCGTCATTTTCCTCAGAGCGGATCGTCGCGGCGTTGCATACCGTGTCAGAGCGCAGCGAGCCTGCTATGAGGCGATGGAAGAAACCCCGACTTTGACCGACCAAAGGAAGGCTGAGGTGATCAACTATGTCAACTGCGCGCCTGAGGATGCACATCGCTTCTGTAAGTAACCCCGACAGAAGTATCTGGGCTCTCTAATGATTCAATAGGGAATTGGCTGGCCGCGAACCGCGCTCGCTATCATGCGATGAGGCAATGCGTTGGTTTGATGAACAACATTCAGTGTAAGTACAACAGCGCCCATAGTAGTCTGAATGATGCTAACCTGCTTTCAGAGTTTCTTCAATAGGGCTCTCCAGAGTTTGCGTGCCGCCACTGGTTTTGACAAGTCATCCCACCTGAACGACCTGCGCCATAAGACCAAAACGCTCGCATCTCCTCGTGGAAAACCTCAGCCGCCATTGACACTGCTCTCTTTACATCGCGTATGCCACACATCCTTCACTCTTTCAAGCCGTTATTGACAATATTCTTCGAGGTACCATCTGCAATGCAACGAACGAAATTCTCACCTGGGCAAGAAGAACGACAATGCCCAAGGAGAAAGCAATCACTCCCACCAAGAATCCTGCTCGAACGGACTGCAGCTGATCTAGATTGCCGATGTATTTTCATTTTTTTCCCTATCTACTTTTGGACTGTTCTCGATCCTTTGTACCATTTCCTTATCCAAGTTGGCAATATCTCTCTTTTCCTGTTACGTTTCCTACTTTCACAAACTGCAAAACCTTCTCTAGTCTCAACAACTCATACCCAATTTGGCACCTCTCCTCTTTTTGGGTGGTCTATCTCGGTTTATCTTTTCATGATGATTGGGGCGGAGGCCATGTCGGGCGCGAGTCGGCTTGTGCGGTGATGGAGTGGAATGAGGCGGGGTTTCTCAAACGAGGAGTCGAACAATGCGCTGGTCCCTGCGTTCAACCCCTGCCTCTCTTCTGCTGTCGTGCTCTACTACTCAGACCTGGGAAGCTTCATGTAACACCTCGATGTAGCAATGTTGACACGGCGGTTAGACCGAAATACAATAATATTGAATCTAGAATCTCTCACTTTGAATCGTAGATCGAGATACGGCAATGAAGAGTTGGAGATTCGAGTGTCCTTCATGAAACCGAGGCTTTGAACTGTCAACCTTACAAAAGGAACAGCTACGCATTTGTGAGACACTTACGAAGTACTAGGAACGGTCACGGCCACGGCCATGGTCCGGCAATTCGACTCAAGTACTACTGTACTAGCGAGACATCACAGCTGACTGCAATGCATCTAACTTCCTTTCGTTTCCTTCTGCTGGACACTGCCTACACGCCCCTTCATCGTCACTAAAACGCAACCTCACCCATTGGCCAGAATTGCTTTAGATCCTTCATTCTCCTTTCTATCCTGATTATCCTCAATCACTCCCTACGCCGATACGGCCGGTTATCAAACGCCGGAACGCGGCAAAATTCCAATCAGCAAAGCTGAGCACCATACTCGACCAGCTCGAACGGCTTCATCCTCGCCTTCTTTCTTATAGGCAAAACTCGCTTTTACCGTATGCCAACGGCACAGGCACAGTATGGGATCAACCACACCGACCGCGCAGCAGAGGCCTCTAAAATGGGATCTAGCTTACCAAAACCGGATCCGAGACGAAGAATGACACGACCAGCTTCAGCTACATTGCAGCAATGTGACGAACTGGGCTTGACTTCACGCTGGAATGGCATTGGTTTAGAATCCTCAGCCTCGGTACGCAAAGTCCCCAGACGATGAGTACGACGTGCGACTATCGATTCCCCATATGATCGTCCACCTTCGTCCTGGCCGCTCGAGGCTTCAATTTGCCCCTCGTCTCTCTTCAACCCTGTTGAAAGATTGTCAACCGAATTATTCGTAAGACGCGGGCGGGCACCCTGCGCCCAGGAACGGATCCGGGATGCATGCAGAGAACAAAGGAAACGTACCCAAGCCTTGGGACCTAGGGCTGCAAAAGCACAGTCGTGATAAGATGTGACAGTGGGGCTAGGCGCTAATGCGAACCGGTGGTTCCATTGTTCCACAAGAGGCCGAGTCGACGACGCTAAGTTCTTCAGGTGCCTGCATGACGAATCATCGTCTCGTAAGTCGACTGGGGTCTAGACGTCGCGGGGGCGAAGTTGTCAAACTTCGACGTTTCCGGTACGCCCGGCCTGGCACTATCGATCGACAGGTGCAGTTCTTGAACAAAGAAGGGTTTGGCCGGCTCAGGATTCGGCCCTTGGAAGAGCGAGAGCTCCCGATCGGTTTTCAGAATCCAGGCGAATTGCGACGCATTGCGACGCCTTTCGACGGAGAAGTTAAGCGGAAAGAAAAGGTCATTTGATTCCTACGAATTGGTGTATCCAAATATCGACATAGGGAAAAGTGGAGCGAATGGGAACTAGCGACTCAACAGCGAAGAAAAGCGTGGTCAAGTGGGATGAGGGTAAGATATACAGTCCATGGAATATTTCATGGGGGCAAGAAAGGAAAACAAAGAAGGGGTTGATGATTTGTAGAGAAGGAGGATTTCGGAAATGGGAGCCGCCACCACGGCGTCGACACCGTCGGTTGCGAGCTTAATCTTCTTGGTAGGAGATTTTGCGCATCTCGCCCAAGCGTGTCCGGGCACGAGCGAGAGCGTTCTCGAGCTGGAGAATTTCGACCTATAGCGTGCTTCCGTTAGCGGCTGTTGCGATCATGTGGGAAGAAACCGCAGAGGAGCGGTCAAGAAAAGGGACGAAAATACCTGTTGCTCCATCTCCTGCACCTTGAACTCGTGAGAACTGAGCTTCGCGTAGTCCACCGCCTCGTTGTCATCGCGGTTCTTCTCAGCGATTATATCCTGCACCTGTCGCACTAGAGCCCGGCAAGCCGCACCGACAGCCTTGCTTGCAGTCTCTAATCGATCCTGCGACTTGCTCATGAACGTGGCCTTGACACGGCTGGCAGCGACCAATTGCGCCGTGCTGGCAGCAACATCGTTACTTGCCACGATAAGTTGCTCAGGAGAGTTACGACCAGAGATCACGCCGTCTGCGGTTTCGATCAATGTGTTGGTTGAAGAGGCGACAGCCTTGGCAGCCGAGATAAGACCCTCCGTCCAGCGGTTATTCTTCTTGTAGAATGCGGTGCGCGAGGAACTACCACGTCCTTCTCGGACAATTTCCTGCTGCGACGCAGTAGCGGCCTTGATGAGCTCAGCGATAGCGTTTGTCACGGCAATCGCAGCCTCAAGAATGGCGTCGTTGATCTTGAGCTCATAAGTAGAAAAGCCATCGCGGGGTTTGCTCTTGAGTTTCGCTAGTCGCTTCACTGCGGCATCGATCGCATCTGCAGCCTTTGTGAGCTCTTGGTCGACCAAGTCTCCCAAGTCACCGTTGGTTTGGATTCTGGTGCTCTTCGGTGCGAAGGCATCTACGAGCTTTGATAGAGCCTGCAAGTCTCTCTGCACCTCAGAGTTGTTGTTGATAACCACATCCACCTTCTTCATAGCCTCCAGGCCTTCGAGGCGGAAGGACTGGAGTCCTCGGAAGAAACGCACAGTGGCTTGCGCGGACTTGCGGGAGGCATTTATCAGCTGATCAGCACTCTTGTCATCGTTTGCAAAGCGGGTCAATCCCTTCGTGTTGCTAAGGACATCAGCGATAGCTCCAGAGAAGGTAGAAACCGTCCGGATAATCTCCGCATGAGGGCTGTTCGGTCCGTCGCTGATGTAGTTGTTGAAGGCAGTGGAAAACTCAGTTGCCGAAGCAGAAGCCTTCTCAATCTGAGAGAGAACGTATGGGGGAGAAGCATTCTGGTTACCAGCCTGCATACTGGAATCCAACTCGTAGAGTGCATCATCGACACGTTGCACACCGGCTTGAAGCACAGAGTCAATAATGTCGTTGATTTTAGAGACAGTGCCGTGCAAGACATGGTCGATCTGAGTATCCAGGGCATTGTCGGCGTCACCTTGGCTCTGTGTGCACGTCAGCTTGGATCCACCATGGTGGTGTTTAGTATCAGACGCACCAGCTTCAGCTCCTCGAGTTCCTCCAGGGCTTGCTCCATAGCGGACTTATACACCTCGATTTCCTGGTCCTTTTCGCGCAGAGCAGTGTCGTGATCTCCACTTCGGAGCTCGTTGTTGGCGCTGTACTCCTCCAGTGCGCGAGTTTTATTCTACACTTCTGTCAGTGATCACTTGGAAAGCGAATTGGAAGGTATTTCTATGGCTGACCCTCAATGCCTCCTCCAAATCAGCCATCTCTCTGTTGTACTTCGAGAGCAAGGAGGAGATTTCAGTGCCCTTCTGCCGCTCTGCATTCTCTGCTCGGTCGAGGGCGAAGCGGAGTTCTCGCTTAACCTTCTCCAACTCGTCTTTGTTGGATCCCGTCAAACGCTCCCGATCGTGGAGAGCACGGTCTCGCTCCCGGATCATGTCAGCCAACTCGAGGTTCTTCGTCTTGAGTTCACGCTCCAGCTTCTCTCGTCGCTCAATAGCCTCCTGGGCAGACGCAGCCTTGAGCTTGAGACTCTTCGTTGTCTGGAGCAGATCCAGATGTTCCTGTCGGAGTTGAGAGTAGAGCTTGGCCAGAGCTTCGTACTTGCTTCTCCAAGTGTTGACTTGCTCCTGAAGGGCTCTAATTTGCTCGTCCTTCGAGGCATTTTGCATGTTCATATTGGATGTCAGCTGATTCATCTGCTCTTCCAGGTCCTTAACACGGCGATCGTATTGCTGGAGCATCAGCTGGTCTCTCTCGTACTGTGCGCGGGCGTTTAAATTTTCACGTTCAAGTTCGGCCAGTCGACCCTGAGTCTGGCTCTGGTACTGCTCTCGCATAAGCTGCTCCTGGGCGAGGCGCTGCTGCTCTGCCTGTAGACGTTGCTGCTCTTCAAAGTCACGCTGAGCTTGCTGCTGCGCAAGAACCTGCTGTTGCTGCTGGTCTTCCCACTGTTGCTGAAGGCGGCGCTGCTCAGCTTCGAATTCTTCCTGCTGACGCCGAGCCTCGGTGCTCCAAAAGTCATTGATGGGCTCCGGTTCGACAGCCACAGGCTTCGGCGGCGGGGATGGCGTCGCCTCGATCTCCTTAGTCGGTCGCTTTGGTAGAGCTGGACGTTCCTCGTCTTCTCCAAGAAGACTTGGCGGATCTTGCGGAAGTTTGGGGATAGTGATGAGACTGGTCAGGTAACGTAGATTCGAGCATTCGTAGTAAAATCTGACGAGCCGATAGTGCTGGGCGTCATAACGGCCATGCAGAGGAGAGAGCGCATCGGCGTCACCCGTGGCTGGGGAAGTCAGCCAGTAAGTATGATGTATGGAGGGCATGAATAAGGGGATTGGTTACCGGTGTGCATAGCTCTGAGCATGCTAGTGATGAACTTGTAGATTCCATAGCTCTCTTGGACAAGAGGAACCAAGGCTGAAATCCGGCATTCATTGTGAGTGCCTGATTGGAAATGTGAAAAGATAAGTTTCTGGAATGCATCGATCTGATCCTGCAGGCCCATAAGATCGGTGATGGTCTCGTATCTAGCTTCCGGTAAGTAAGGGGTAATCAATCAGATCCTGAGGAATCTCGTTACCCTTCATTCGGATCATTGATCGACTTCAAACTAATGTACTCCTCATACTCAAAAAGTCCTGCGACAAAGTCAGTAACTATATAGCGGAGTAAAGGCGAGGATTCATACCATTAAACTCGGGATGATTCCGGTGGAAGGCCAGTTTAGACTCCAGATAGAAGACGTATTCCCTAATCAAAGGGCCGTATCCTATCCACACCACACTAGTTAGTCGCACGGGCAGCAAGCCTATCAAACTCTCGCGGGATATCCGGCAAACCTCGAATGCCCTCTCCTCCGACGCCCCTCATCAAGCTATCGACCCAATTGACATGTTGTTGCGCCTCACGGATGACGACCGGATGACCCTCCTGCAGAACCTTGTGTATGGTGATAAGAGCCTTGAACGTCTGTACTTCGTCGGCAAGCACCGGTTGCCTATGCGCCAAACCCGCCTGTCAGCATCAGAAGCAAGGAAATTGCTTGAGCCCGGAAACGTCAAACGTACACCTTCATTCCAGCCCAAAAGGCAGTCGACGATTTATGGTCCCATGTATACACAATGCAGCTTCTAACATGTTTCCCTGTAGCACGATATCAGTGGTTGGAGTTTCGTGGGAATGGACCGAGCGGCGGAGCGTTTGAGAGAGGAGGCAGGTAATAGGAAGGCAGGTTGCGTACGTTTAGGCGCAGTCTCATCTGCAGGTTTAATCTGGTTAGCCGCGATATCCAATGAGTCGGTAGGTGAAACAACTGCGCACGCAATACGTACCGATACTCGTGGCCTTGCGGATGTTTATCGCCAGATCAGCCTCCGTGCTGCGGGGAGCAACGTCAGTACACTGAGTCGGACCACTATCTTCTCAATCGCCAATTGTAGAGCGCAACGTACCGACTCATTTTGACGTCTGCGACCTGCGAGAGTCAAGGACAACGATCGACCGTATAAACGCTGCGGGAGCTGGGGAACACAGTGCGGACGAGCAGCCTGGAGAGGGGGGAACGACCGGTGATAACGAGAGATTGGGCGGCTGGAACTGCGAATCTTCGAAAGGAAAGAGGGAGAAGAAGATGAGAATTTCCTCCCGCAAAGAGACTGAAGAATAAAAGTACAACGAGAAGGAGAGAAGATTGGAATGACGTTTGGGTAGACGGTGAACGCTGACGCCTGGCGTTTCCCTCCATACAGACACCCAAGTCCGCCGGTCTTGGCATCCAGTGCTTCGTCATCTCCATGTACATTTCGCTCAGTAAGCTACACGGCTAGTTTTCGATGGCACTATTGGATGTCTGAGAGACTTAGATTTATTAGAAAGATTGCTGGAAGAGAGTAAACTTATTCCATGCCATGTAATCGCCCAAGACTCCATTGCGCCAGACCAAAGGATACACATAAGGTTTAAGGAAGGCAAATCCGAACACAAAGGTATCAGCACTGGTGCCTGCTTTTCTTGCGAAATTATTAAGCCAGCTCGTTATTTGTAAGAGTATGCTTCCTGCAGTACCTTGTCGCAGTTTCACAGAAACAAGAACCGAAGTTGTTGATGGCGTATCATTCTAATTCCCGCAACAGAAGGCCATTAGCTACGGGGAGCCCTGAGAGCTTACTCTGACCAGTGTCCCGACGATGAACTGCTGACGGCTGAGAAAGTGTGCCATCTTGTTCCTTCACCTGACTTTGTCGTGTCTTGACTTCAGAGTCGCCCTGTGCTCCAGGTTGAGCGCCTTCAACAACCATACCTCGTCCAGCGAGGCCTTGGTCGGGGGCAAAGTCAGCAGGGCTATTAGGGGCCGAGTCGTAGGGAGCTTCGATGACAAGAAGTTCATCAGACCGATCCGCAGCGCCGTCTTCACCGATCACCGGCTTTCGTCGGGGAAATGGAGATCTGGAAGTCGGATGTTTCGCGGTTTCTTCTGACGGCTCATGGTCCTGCGGGCTCGTGGGGACAGGCTTACGCTTTGGTATGGAGACGGAATTCTTCTTGACGTTGACCTTTGCAGGTCTGGGTAACGGTGTACCTGGAGGGGGAAGCGGATGCCCACGCCCGATTGGTTCTTCAGGTGTGCCGGCAGGCCGTGATGCTCCCTGCCCTGCATTAGACTCTCCCCTTCCAAACATTGTTAGCCCCCATTTCTTAGCCATAGTCGTTGCCGTATTCAGCGAGAGCGAGGTTTGAGACTTCTTATCCGAGGAAACAGGAGGAGGGACTGAACGAATTGAGCTCTCTAAGGTAGCAGACCGCCGAGTTTTGTTGCTGTTCAAGGATGTACTCGAGCGGCTGGCTGCGCCTTTCATACTCAGCGATGTCTCACTGATCTGGGCAGAGGATGGGCGCTTAGGTAGCTCGTGGCTCGGTTCGTCCAGGCCTTGGTTTGACTCGGCAATCGAAGATTCACGACTATGAAATACGGCGTCCAAAATGCTCTGGTCGTCAGTTGGCGGGGAATGGTTCGGCGTTCTATTCGGCGAAGCAGGGGGAGAGCGGTTGGATATCTCGATCATAGCACTAGTTGCATAGCTCTTCTCTTCGTTTTTGTAATCGGACAGGATGCCATCCATTTGCCCATGGTCAGCAGTCAATACGGGATCAGCGGTATGTGAAAACGTGCGGGACCGAATCGCCCGTGGCGGAGATCCATTAACTTTCCCAGTTGGTGAGGGCATGTCAATACTCTTATCAAAGCTCCCGGAGAGTCCTGACTTCCTGCGCGATTTCACAGAATTGGTGGCGGACTCGGCAAGAGCGGGAGCACTCATGGTGCGATCATCCTTGGACTTTAATGTGTTGATCGGGTCTTCCTTGGAGCCTTCCAGCACTTCAGACCCGACTCCGGATTCATCAGGAATATCGACCGTCGAATCAGGCTCTGATGTTTCTTGATGCCAGATCCCGCCACGGAACCGCTGCGCCAAAGTATCCAGGAAAGGAACATCATCCCAAAACGGTAGTACAATGCTTTCTGCCACCATTTCTCGAATTTTGCTCTCGATTGTGCGGATGATAATCCCGTACGTTATTTGCTTTGAGCTAACAATGGGCTCAATATCCATAACCATATCGGGCATCGTTTCAAACGCAATCCACGCTCGATTGCTCGGTGGCGGCTTGAATCGTATCAGCAAGTGTCCCTTCAGCTCTTTCAGTACAACCGCCAAAACAATGTCGACCTCTCTAGCCTTGAAGCGCTGTCCCAGGTCGATGCGAACAGTAGCCGCGATCTCCACACGAAAGTTACCTGTGTACTGAACGTCGGTTTCGACGCAACAATTGCCGTCGACAGTGAGATCTTTGAGCCTCGGGTTGATAATGAAGGGCGCGCCGTTTCCCATGTTGATACTGCGGAGACCAATCTTGCTGATAAAGTTTGGTTTGTTGACTCGAGAGATTTTTTTGACAATCTTAGTCCGGACAAATTCTTCCATCTCTGGAGTTTTGTACAAAGCAAGGAACATCCGGCCTAATACAGCATTTATCCATCGCGTTTGAAGCTGCTCCTCGGAGGAGTGTAGGCGCTGGACTAGTGTAACGATATGTTTCACATCGAAATCTTGATGCGTTGGCGGCCGGTCCGGGGGCTTCCCCATCTTGGTTTGGTTCTGAAGCATAGCAAAGTAGAAGTCTTCTTTTTCGGAGAGATTCTCGGAGAAGAAGTAAAATGGAGGAGTCGGCCCTCCAAGGTCTCCCAGAGATTCGAGCCGTCTTGAAAGGCTGATGGCATTCCTTTTCAGCCAAAGCTCGCCTTCCGGTATCTCCCCTTCTCCGCCGTAGATGCTAACATCATGATGATTGAGAGAGATCACATATCTTACTTCTACCTGGTTTGCATCATCGTATAGCATGAGATGGCCGTGCCTGATTGCTCACCATCATTAGTCAAGACGAACTATACTCTGAGTATTGGAGTGAAGGCAGTACCGAAGTACAATGTAAAACATATTCCGCGCCCGTTTTGCATTCTTCGAAGTCGTTTTAGTCGGCTCTATTGTCGGAGCTTGCTTTCGGTCAAAAAGACTCCTATACATCGCTTGATACACGCTTGGGCTTTCTGCGGCAATGACCTCCCCTGCGGGGGTAGTCCTCTCTGGAGGTTTTCCATTTATACCACCTGGGACGTATTCACGACAGACGACAAAATAGCCCGCGGCAACATCAGTATCGTGAGTGCGATAGAACTTCTCCGCTAGCTCATCGGTTCCAGATTTGAGACTGTATTGATCGTCGTTGGAGCGGCGGATCGAGGGAACGGTGGAGGCGCTTGAATGGTCGGACTGCGGGGAGGATGACGGAAGAAAGAAATAGGAGTAGATAAGAATCAGCGACAGGACCAGAGGAAGAAGGGTAAGTCCGCCGAGGAAGTATGCAAAGAGAAAACTGTTGAAGTAACCCATTGGGAGCCCACTCGATCAGACGGGTATCAGCGAGAGCTCCGCAACGGCCAGCGCCTGGTGCATTATGAGGTACCGATGGAGGGGCCGAGGTTGAGCGTGTAGCCGCGTGAGAAAAAGGGCCAAGAGGACAACGGGGGAAGACACAGCTCATAGGTATGGTGTCAGTTGTTCACAGTTGGGAGCTGACAAGAACGCGAGACATCTGGCGGCTCCTGATACATCCCAGTCAGCGGAGCGGAGTTGGACCTGCCAGAGTAGCTTCAAGCTGTCGCTAATAACGATGATGACGTTGCACCCGCCATTCCTCCGCCCCTTCCGTACCTACACTCCGAACGCCCCGTCGATTCTTTCGAATACTAGCCCGCTGCTATTATGCTAGTACTCAATTTAAGATGTATCAACATGACTCCTCATGTCCCATTCAATAACCTACGTAGGTACATTCTGATTCATTCAGCCATACTGGGTGGGTATAACGTAATCCGAGCCATACCAGAAAGGAAAAAGAAAAAGAGAAAGAAAAAAAAAGCCCGAGAAGAAAAGCCCATTTAATAGAAACGCCAAAAGACATGCTGGTTTCAATAACTGGCTGCAGAGGTGGGAGCCGAATTTTGGGAATTAACGCTTGAAGCAATCAACATCCGACGCGACCAAAAGCCAGCCATCAACGCCAGTAGGAGCATTTCGTAACAGGACAAGCGATTTGCGAAAGAAGTATTAAAACAAATCCTTGGAGAATGGTAGTATGTAGACGTGCGGAGAGTAGGATCGTGGTCACCAAGGAGGGCGTTAGAAGAGAAAGAAAAAATATGCAACCAATTACTCTGCCTTGCCCTGAGTCACTTTGGCGGCTTGGATAGCCGACATCTTCTGTGTCCAGCCTTGCGTCGGTTGTGGCTTTTTGACGGTGCGAAGGTCATCTGTAGCGAACCCTGAGATGCGCATGTTGTAGTTTCGTTCGAGAACGAGCTGGATATCCCGGATCTCAAGCGTGGACGAGTGGCGAAGCTTAGCAAGACGGCAGGCGGCAGTAATGACATCGTCGACGAAATCGTCTGCCATTTGAAGGACAAACTATGGTTGTTATTTGGGTTAGTTAAGGCGTTCCTTGATAGAGTACACGCAGAGAAGCAGAGAAGGAAAGAGTTGAAGGCAGTAGTGGAAAATGATAGCCTACCTCCTCAGCATCTGGGGTGAGCCCCTCGCCTTCTCCTCCGCCAGTTACCTGTCGAACTAGAATGTCGAGCATTTTCTTGCTGAGGACTCTCTGTCCTTCGCCTTCAAGGACGTAGCCGGGATGTTTCTGGATTGCAGGCTGGCCCATCATGCCCATGGCGCCGTGACTAGGACCGCTAGACAAAGTCGGGCGATCTGGAGCCATCGGGACCGCTTTTGGAGGGGGCACATTCAGGTTCTTGGGAATAACCATGTTGATATTACGGGCTGAGTTTTCAGTTGACCGGTTTTGTATGTAACCAGGAGGATGGGCGTGAGTGTTGGCAGCAGCCTGACTCATGTTCTGTGGTTGACCGGCGTTGGCATTGTTGGTTCCATTTGCCGTGGTGTTAGTCGAGTAGCTTTGTGCGGCTTGCGCCATTGCGGCTTGTTGAGACAAAGGTCGCGGGGGTTGTCCCTGGGCATTTGTGGACTGTGCAGTGGAAGAGGTCGGTGTCGAGCCATCGGGAGCAGGCGGCTGGTTGAACCCTGGACCACCTTGCTGCGGTTGGCCTTGCGGTTGTGCCTGCGGAGGTTGCTGCTGGGGCGCCGTAGGAGCAACGGCAGGTGCAGTAGGGGCGCCCTGAGTAGCAGGAGCTTGGCCCGGATGAGAAGTGGCGGGGGACATTGCGGCCTGTGCGGCCTGATTTCGTGCAGCGCTCACAGCAGAATTGATTGTATGAGCAGCTGGCGCCGGTGCTTGCCCAGTATGGACCGAGGCAGGAGCTGTCGTTGACCCAGCTGGAGCCACCGGGGCAGTCGTGGGTGGCCTAGCAGCTCCTTGTGGTGGAACTGGCTGTGGTTGCACGCCTGTCCTCTGTTGCTGGGCTTTGAAGACGTCTTGCTGCTCTTTGAATTTCGACAGGAACTCGCTTCCTTCGCGGAAAAGTTTATCGGCCTGCATCTGACGGTTTTTGAATTCCTGCATCTCTTCCGCCGATAGGCTCCCATTGCTTTGGCGCTGTGCGATTTGCTGGCGTAACTCGCCCAAGCGGACTCGTCCGATCTCCTGCTTCTGAAGCGCAATACCGTATCGAAGTTTAGCTTCCGGGAGCCATGTCTGCGCTTGTTCACTTGAGATGTTTGGGGGGAGGAAGAGCGACAGCGAATTGACCTTTTGCTGGATCTGCGGAAGAAGCTGGCCGAAATTCTGCGGGTTGACAGACTGCGATCGTTGGACCGGTTGTCCCTGTGCCGCAGCAGAGGCAGCCTGCATCTGCTGATGCTGTAGCTGTCGGTTCTGTTGGTACATTCTCATGCCTTTCATCAACGACTGGGAAAGTTGCGACAACCTCGAGTGTGCTTGCTGATATTCAGCGGATTGTGGATCGCGACTGTTGAGGATTTCCCAGAAATTTCTTACTAGCTGGGTATGTTGAACTTTCTGCTGATCGTTGAGATGAGGGAGTTTCTGCACCTGGTCCGTCCGAATCAGGTTTGAGTGCTGAGGGACCATCTGCTGAGGGCCTGCGCCCTGGGTGCCATCCATTCTGCAATATACTGATCTATATATAACCTATGACGAGTCGTTTCACTAGGACAAAAGGGCGGCAGTGGAATATAACGAGCGAGTGAGGGACGCGTTGATGCAACGCTGATGCTTGAAAGGAGGGATCGAAGGTCCGGTTAACCGCGTGTAGGGGTTGCGTATGGCAGTCAAAGATCGGAGGAGAGGACTGAAGTAATCCTTATCAGACGAGATATGAGCCCTCAGTGCTAGCCTCTGCAGGTCTGGACGAGAAGTAGTGGGATAATCAGAATAAAGATTCCGAATTTCTGATGACAGGAAGAATGACGCCGAGATTGACCCTCACTCGAGAACCGGAGCCTCAGGCTTGGCATTTTTCACTTGATAGTACATAACACACTGACAAGCATGCGTTGTCTACTTCCAATGTTTTATTGGGTATTGTTGATTCTTGTCTATGAAGCTATTGTTTCAAGTAAGCCGGGTTCACTTTATTTTCACTGAGATTGTCCATTCACCCCAAAGGATGTATACACATCTTCGGAGTGTGTATCTAGCTCAGGCGCCCTCGACTGGTGATTTATAGACAAACGTCTTCCCATCTTACGGCACTCTGGAACTCTATAGAATAAAGCTTTCAGATCGGCAGTCCGAGATTCATGGTTCCTCGATGATCGAAACGTAACCAAGAAGCTGTTATCCGCTCTCAATTATCCGCGGTCGGATATCAGTTCTGTTACTGTAACAGAGTCGTAGCTGTCGCAGTTGTGGTAATACAAGTAGCGACAGGAGCTCGCTTCAAGGGACAGGCTTCGACTTTGCCGCGAGCTGAATGTGTCGCTAGCCGTCATATTGTCTGGGTCGTGGCGTGAGTTCATTCCAGTCGATTTTCTCCGTCTAGGCGCCAGCCAGCAAATGGGTCGGGAGCGCTAGGTATACCGGCGCAATGCGTTATAGTGTCAAAGTTGAGGTTTTCCGGAACCTAGGTAGCAGTCAGGCCAAGAGACGAACGCGACAGATTCATCCCAGTAGGCCGCCCAAATCACGCTCCATGCCAGTGACGCGAGCCTCTAGAGTACGCTTCCTCCTTTCTAGGTCCTTTATCTCTTCCAGTTCTCGCTCAAGATCGGCGTCCGTAACATCAGATATTTCTGATTTGACTGCTCCCGTATTCTCGTAATCGTCGTAGTCGTCATCATATGAGCGGCTCATGCTTTCCAGTTCTTCGGTGTTCCTGGCTACCCGCTCCTCTAACTCGGCGATTGACTGAGAGACCAGTTGATGGCGGTAACGAAGACTCGCAATCTCATCCTGGGCACCCGCAACAGGGCTTTGGCAATTGTCAGGTTGAATGGAGAGAGGCTACAGCAGGTAGGACTCACTAGACGTTACAAAGGATTTCGGCGCCTTTGAGCAAAACATCGATATTGACTTCGCCGCGGGGACCATTGCCAGAACTCCTAGCGGAACGCTTGATCTCCTCCATCATATCAGACCCCAAGACCCGAGCGACTGCCGATTGATTTCTGTTATTTCGCGCTGAATAAATGCGACTCGCCATAGACTCTGCTTCTACCTCGGTTTGAAACTGCGTGGCTCGCCTTGTCGCTCGTCGCTGAGAGTTGCTCGATTTCACCATTGGGTCGCTTTGAAAAAGAGCCCGTTCATGGGATTCCGTGTCTCGAATCAGAGCGGTAATATCGTGGGAACCGAGGAGGGCATTTGTAAACATCCGTGGTGGGGGGAAGCTAAAGGTGGTGTTAGCATTCCAGCAGAGAGGGGCCAGAAGGTGATTCTCACGGTAGTTCTGCGATCGCATTCGACGAGAGCATAATCTGCTCCAGGTGGGTCTCTAGGAGCGACATTGTTCCTGTGAACGATTGGCATACAACCCCGGTCGCTGGTGGTTTGCAAGTGTAAACAGTTCGAGCTCCAGCCGAATGCTTTGCCAAGAGAGACCGATTGTTGTTGCGACTGCCTCAGGCTCCCTTCGTTTCGTTTCGTGGCGATGCGATGGCAACAAAGCTCGAAATCACAAAAACAACACGCAGATCTAAGCTCCGCGAGGAAATTTCTTTTCTACGGAGATTATTTTAACGTCCCGCCTTTCTCCACGCGACTCTGACCTTCTTGTCGCGAGGCGACGGGACTTTGCAGCTGGCTGGCGCTTTCGTCGGTAAGCTTTCCCCCAACTGATACTGACTAAGCTCCGTGTGCTGGATCTCTTGCTGTCCATCCGCTCAGAGGCCAGCCTTGACATCACATCACCACCTCATCAACCGCCCTCTTCACACTTATACAGGCCCCGTCCTTCATCGTCCTCTCTATTTTCTAGTTTGCTTGCTGTATCTGGTGCTGTTCTTGCTCCCCGTGTTCTGTTTCTCGTTTCCCCGGATCGTTGTCTCAAATCACCCCTTCCTCTGCTTCCGGTACCGCGGTCCTCATTTTGCTCACCTGAGCTCGAAGCTACGCCTAGACCACAGAAAATGCCGGCTGAGAGGCGCTCCTTGAGATCAAACAACAAGTCGGATACCTCGTCCTCTGCTAACGGTGAGAAGACTCGTTCTGGTTCCCAGAGCTCCAGCTCCAACAAGGATAAGCCGGCGCCTACTCGCGCCGCTGCCAACAAGGCCAAGTCCACGAAGGCTGCCTCTTCAAACACCACCTCAGACTCCGGCATGGGAGAACAGCGAGACCAGCCGCATACCAACGGCACCGATCCGACAAAGAATGGCGTGAATGGCTCTGAAGATGTCGAGATGGAAGAGGATACGGCAGGTGGGCCTACATCCTCATTCTACGCCAGCAAGGGCCGGAAAGGTGACCAGAAAATGACTGTTGTAGTGCCTCCTACCAAGGGCTCGAGGAAACCCGGCGACAAAGGCCAGGACCAGGAAGGCGATGTAGCCATGGAGGGCGTTGAGGGCGAGGAGCCTGAGTCAGAGATCGATCCCAAGGCCAAGGCTATCCAAGGTTAGTTGTCATTGCACCATATTGATTCCAGCATCGCCATACTAACGAGATTGCGTTTCAATTCCGCTCAGATATCAAGACAAACTTCACCCTTCTCGAACGAGCCGTCGCCCATTTCGATCCGAGATTTACGCTACGCGTTCTGAGATCGATATCTTCGATGCGCAAGCAGATTACTTCGGACGTGCTTGCTGAAGTTATTGTGGATGCCTATCCGAAATCAAGTCCCACCGCTTCGTTCTTGCTGGATGCGGTTGATCAAGCTGGGGCCTTTGAGAGCGTCAGTAGCTCAAAGATGGAAGTTGACACCGATAAGACCAAGTCCGCTTCAAAGGAGATGCTTCCCGAGATTGACGTATATCTGTCCATCTTGGTTCAGATCTACCTATATGATCGGAAGGACATTGAGGGTGGCGCCAAGTTCTCGACCGGCCTGATTGAACGACTACGATCTCTTAACCGCCGTACCCTCGACTCGCTTGCTGCTCGCGCGTACTTCTATTACTCCCTCTTCTTCGAGCAAATTGCTCCACTTCCTCCTTCTCCCGCTGCCACCGTGACTACAATCCGCCAACCGCTTCTTGCAGCTTTGCGAACCGCAGTTTTGCGTAAGGATGTGGACACTCAAGCTACCGTAATGACACTGCTCCTCCGCAACTACTTGTCGACCTCGCACATTTCACAAGCCGATCTGCTGATTTCGCACAACCACTTCCCTCCATCCGCATCAAACAACCAGATCGCTCGTTACCTATATTACTTGGGTCGCATCCGGACCATCCAATTGCAGTATACTGAGGCTCATGGGCACCTGATTGGCGCAACTCGAAAATCGCCTTCGAGCCACAGCGCACGTGGGTTCTACCAGGCTTCTCACAAGCTACTCGTCGTTGTTGAGTTGTTGATGGGTGACATCCCCGACCGTGCGATTTTCCGACAGGCGGCCCTTGAGCGAGCTCTGCACCCTTACTTCCTGCTCGTTCAGGCCGTGAGTGTGGGTGATCTTGACGGATTCCTAAACATCGTAAATACCCACAGCGCAACTTTCCGGAAGGACGGCACATACACTCTCATCCTACGCCTGAGGCAAAATGTGATCAAGACGGGCATCCGTATGATGTCGCTCTCTTACTCCCGCATCTCGCTTCGGGACATCTGCCTGCGCCTCGGACTGGACAGCGAAGAGTCGGCTGAATACATCGTCGCCAAGGCAATCCGAGACGGTGTGATCGAGGCAACCCTAGATCATGAACGAGGGTTCATGAAGAGCAAGGAGGTTGGAGATATATATGCTACTAGAGAGCCCGGCGAGGTTTTCCATGAGCGTATCAGGGCATGCTTAGGTCTTCATGACGAGAGCGTCAAGGTAAGGCTATTCCCCGCCGGTAACTCAATCCATCGATGAAATTTCGGCTAACTTTGGCGTAAGGCCATGAGGTTTCCAATGAACCAGCATCGTCTCGAGCTGAAGAGTGCGCAGGAGGCAAGGGAACGTGAGCGAGAACTGGCGAAGGAGATTCAGGAAGGAGACATAGACGACGAGGACGCTGGCGGCGACTTTGATGCCATTTAATGGTTTCGAAAGTTGCTTTGCGTATGCGCTTCCCTTTTCTCATCTCCGAAGTCACTTTATTCGGAGATTGAGAGGGATTTGATTACATTTTGTTCCTACTGCAATGCTACCACCATTCCGGTGTTGTACGAGGGCAAATGGCGGCAGATCCCTGTGTTTCCTATATTCTACTAAGTCGTTTCCTTTGTAACTCGCATCAATGTTTCTAGATGATAAGAGAGCGTCGGGGGCGCCTTGTTGTATTGTAATTTAGGAATATTTTGGTGCATGACATGGTAGTAATATCTGTAAGAGAAGACGCGTGCCCAGGTTCCAAGAGGTCACTGTGATAAGCAAGACCCGTTCCGGCCCGAATGGAGCTCCGCCGCCAGAGAAAAACTTCCAGCATTTGCTCATGCGCGGACTCGACCTCCACCCGCAAGAGCAGCAACGACTCCAATCAGGCTCTCAATCTTTGCATACTTGCTGAGGGAGTTGCTTACTCTTTCCTTTGTCAACATTGAGCATGAAAGCTCGCACAGTTCCAGCTCGCAGGCTGGTACTTGCATCGCCCATCAAACCTCAAACGACCCTGATATGCTGGCAATGCCTTCGCAATGACCTCTTCCTAGAGCGGATCCAGTGCCAAACACGCAAATACCACCCTACCCGGCGGAAAGATGTTTCTCCCTTTGGCGCAGCCGTGTCCGCTGCTCAGACCATCTTCAAGGGCCTCCCAAAAGCTCCTCCGGGCATCTCGGTTGACCCGCTGAGGATCGTGGGAAAGGAGCTTAAATTCCTCAGCAAGAATATCCGTCAGCTACTTGGATCGGGCCATCCCACCTTGGATAAGGTGGCCAAATATTATACCCGAAGTGAGGGCAAGCATATGCGTCCCCTGCTAGTGCTGCTTATGTCCCAAGCAACGGCGTTGACTACTCCACGGCAGAATCGTCCTGTGTCCGAAGCGGACTCGACAGCGACGGTCAATGACCCCATAACCTCTCCCTCAGTCCTCGCCGACGCCAACCCGGACCTAGACCGATTTACATCCTCCTCAGCAGCCGATGGCCAGTACGATTTCGCCGGCGACGAGAATATCCTCCCCTCCCAACGACGACTCGCTGAAATTACCGAGCTGATTCACACAGCGTCCCTCCTCCACGACGATGTCATCGATAATGCCATCACCCGTCGCTCCTCCAACTCCGCAAATATCCAATTTGGAAACAAGATGGCCGTTTTGGCGGGTGACTTCCTCCTAGGTCGCGCCTCCGTTGCCCTGGCCCGCCTGCGCGATCCCGAGGTCACCGAGCTCCTGGCCACTGTCATCGCCAACCTCGTTGAAGGCGAATTCATGCAACTCAAAAACACCGCCGAGGACGAGAAGAACCCTGTCTTCACGGATGAGACCATTTCGTATTATTTGCAGAAGACGTACCTGAAGACCGCCAGTCTCATCAGCAAATCGTGCCGCGCTGCCGCCCTTCTCGGACACAGCACACCGGAAGTCGTCGAGGCTGCTTACTCCTACGGCCGCAACTTGGGTCTCGCCTTTCAGCTCGTGGACGACATGCTCGACTACACCGTTAGCGGCGTGGAACTCGGCAAACCCGCCGGTGCGGACCTCGAACTCGGTCTCGCAACTGCACCTCTTCTCTTTGCCTGGAAGCAGAACCCTGAATTAGGCCCTTTGGTTGGTCGGAAGTTCAGCCAGGAGGGCGACGTGCAACGGGTATGCATCTCCTCTTATCCCCAGTCCTTTTTCATCTCACAAAAGCAAAGTCAAAAGGGAGCAGCAGGTGGCTAACCATTTAATCAAATTTATCAGGCCCGCGACCTCGTCTACCGCAGCAACGGCGTCGAGCAAACCCGCGCACTGGCCCAAGAATACGCAGACAAGGCCATCGCCGCCATCAGCATCTTCCCCGGTAGCGAGGCCAAATCCGGCCTAATCGAGATGTGCGTCAAGGCCATGAACCGGAGGAAGTAAAAAAAAAGCTCGCTTTTGCACGCGAGTTTAGCCCGTCGGCCAACCAGCCAGGTAAACGACCTTGATCGCGGCCTCGAACTGCATATACGCCGAGCCCACCTTTGAGGCTATACTGCGATTATTATCATTATGACTCCAGCTCTCAACCCAAGGAAGGGTAAGGACAAGAACGAAAGCCTCGAGCGGATCTCAGGCTGCTGGATTATCTCCTCGAAACCGTCCAAAAGGTCTTGCTGAAACTCCGCTATCCGTTTTGACCCCTCGGCAGGAATGTCATCAACAACATATGTACCAGTAATTTCGTTTTTGTTATGTATTATCTATTTGCATTGGCTATTTTGTGGGATGCTATTGTTTGATATTAGTCTGATGCATCTCCAACCCATCGAAGAAGGGAGTTGTAGTTTCGGTATACGGTACATAGAGGAAATCTCAGAGATTGGGTGTCGAGTAATTCTACTGACTACTTTCTGCTGCGTACTAGAGGCCTTAGAGCTATAGGATAGGGCAAGACTGAAAAGGGAAGTAAAAGGAGGCCCATTCCAAAGACAATTCGATGCCGGTATCATTTCTCTACTTACTGTACTTCTTCTATCAATTTCTATGAAGACATGGTGACAAGAAAAGAAACGAAAAGAGGAAACGTATCAAAATCAAAACGGCAAGCGGGAAAAAACAAGCATCGCGATACGAACAAGATGAGAAACGCTCAAGGAAACTCACGCAAAAAGAAGCAGATTTGGGTTTCCAATTCCTGTGTATACAAGGGGAAGAAAGGGAAACGGAAGGAAATAGGATATAGCGCCAATTGAGGATCAGCGCGCATAGATTATTTTGGACAATCGGAGAAAAAAGAAGAAAAGATATTGGTGGTTATAAAGGAGGGCTGGATCGAGGTACCGAGAGCGTGGGTATTCTCAGGTATCGAAAAACAAGAGGAGATATAATGACATATGAGATGGGTACTTCGCACGCACTTGGGCGGGCTAGAAAAGTTCAGTTGGGCTGACTGTGGTAGCCATTGTTTGTATACAAAGCCACAGACACATTGAGGTTTGAACCTGGAAAAAAAAAGTGAGTGTGTGGGGATCTTGAAAGATCATAAAGATAGACGAAGAAAAAAGAAAAAGGGATAGGCGTATAAGAGAGCCGAATCGGACGCGATCTGGGGCGCTCGATGTGAAGACAATAGCAGCAGATGTAGGTCAAGTCAAGGGGATATGTCGACCCAAAATTATAACCAATTGGAAATGCAGGCTGATAGAATATCAACTTTGGCGAAAAACAACCGTGCTGATGACGGTATGCAAAGTGCTCAACAGTCCAAATAATCGCTCGCATCAATCGTGAGAACATCAAAACTATCACCTTCGAAAGAAGCGGAAGATGGCAGCGGGGCGTTCAATGCATGGAAATAGGAAATAACCTGGTGCCCTGAAAAAGAAAATAGGTATAGATGGGAATATTGCGAATGGGGATATCATCAGAATCGACAAAAATCAAGGCCAGGGCGCAGGAAAGTATTCGCAAACGGCCAGCAGCGGTGCAGCCATTGCAGTCATCAAACTGGAACGGCAAGGCCTTTCCCATTTTGAAGGAACCCGTTCTGCTTCTCTGGAAGCTGTAGTGGTACACCGTTACTTGGCGTCAAGGGTAACTCCTTATCTAAGTGTGGCGAAGGACACCGTGGACTGCGTTGACTGTGTCCACCGACACTACTACCCTCACCAGCTTCGTCCACGATTGGTAACGTACTAGGTCCGGGGCCACAAACGCCCGCCGGTTGCTGGCTGGGAGCTGAGGCGGCTGCTTCATGTCCTGGCTGTGGTGCAGATTGCTCACTCAGGCCGGCTTGCTCCGTAGCTTGTGACTCTCGACATCGTTGCGCTTCCTCCTTCGACATCGTTATCCGTTTGATAAAAGCGATGAAACGGTCTCCATAGCTTTCTGGGGGAATCGGCGATATCTGAGTCCGGTCGTGAGTAAGACCCTTGACAAAGTGCTCTATTCGTTTCACGGTGCCATACTACTCTAACTGTTAGCCAGGTGCTCAATCTAGAGCCTAGAATCAAGACTTACATGTGTCAGACAGTCGATGATACCCAGATAATAAATTTCCTGGCCGGGCTGACCGTTTTCATGCGTAGCTCGAAATCCTCCGTCATCAGAGTAGAACACATGGTACTTTCGTTCATCAAGGATTTCGTCTGGCATTTTTGCGGTTGCTTTTTCAAGTGGCACAGGTCGTTCCTTTTGGATAAGCATTCGGAGTTCGCGAGCCTTGCGTTCATTTTCCAGCTTAGAAGGAGTGCGCATTAGCGTGTTTGGGTGGATTTCCTCTTCACGATCAGCCCCAGGCTGGAAGACTTGCAAAGTCTTGTCACGAAGTTTCTCCTCGTTACCCTTTTCAAGATCGTGTATACCCACAAGAAGTGAATAATCCATGATCTTCAGCCGCTTGAGTAACTCCACATCCCGCTTGAGTTGAGCGAGAAAGAATTCACGCTTGGCCGGGCCGCATTCCAGCTGGCGTTCTCTTCGAAGCCAGTTCAGATCCTTCATGGTCGACCGTGGGTGATCTTTGATATAATCCTCGCTCATCTCACGTCCAACCATTGAGCCCTTCAAATCGAAGGTGTAATGAATATCACGGTGTGGTGGGAAGAGGTTGTTCATGACGACAAAGTGTATCTTGCGGCCATAAGCCATCTTAACTCGATGTAGACCATAAAACTGCGATATCAGGGTGTTTGGGTTTTGCTCCACATGCTTGTAGTATTCGGGTAGGATTTTCCGCAGCAGTTTGTGTTCGGCGTGGTGAATCGTCTTTATGATGTACTTGTAGTCTCGTGAGAAGTAGAAGAAACTGCCACTCTTTCCTGGGGAGCCAAGTTCCGACAGAATATACTTGCTCGTAAGGGACATCAGGTAGTCGGCAGGGTCAAGGCGGAACTTCGATCTCAGGTGACGGAAAACCCAGGGCGCGTAGTCCTTGAACTTAAAATCGTATTGGGCAGATGGCGTCAACTCGTTACCAGTTCTAAAGAGAACCAAATCGTTAGTAACCACCCATGGTGCCCGTATTTTGAGGTATTGACACATACATATCAAAGGAGAACTTGTGTGCCGCTTCAAAGTCGGCCGGCGTCAACTCTCGATCCATCTTCGCGTTGATTCTTGACACGGTGAATCGAATGCCAGTGAGCATGTTATACGAGGTAACCCAGTTGACGTGGTTGCGATCGACTTTCGTTCCTACTACAACCCTTTCATCGTCTTCCTCGTCTCGTCGTTTCCTTCTCGAGGCTCTCCTCTGTTTGATGGCCTCAGCCCATCGAGCTGCGTCTTCGTCTGGATTCGCTTCATCGATAAAGATATCGGACTGGTTCGTTCTCGTGTTTCTGCGGGCCAGGCCGAGAGACGGACGGCGGATTCCAGCTGTTGGTGATAAGCGGCCACTACTGTAGGCGACGTCTTCCGGCTGATCACGACTACTGCGGCGGCCACTAGTGGTTCTCGGAACTTGTAGGGTATGCCGTTGTCGAAGGCTCGAGTTTGCCGAATCTTGTGTGTTGCTCCGGTTTACTCCCACCGGGACTGGAGGAGATGAATGCCGATAGGACCCTTTCTGGGTAGGTGATAGGCCTCCAAGATCCGGAGAAAGCCGGCCAGTGCTATCAGGAAGAGAAGTCGACAGTCGTGATCCTGGTGCGTTAGTCGCAGAGTCTGGGCATACCAATTCGTCAACAGACGGTCGCGAATAATCCCCATTCACCATATGCTTGGCGTTGAGCGATCTATGGCTCAATGATGCCCCATTGACCTGCTGACTAGCAATTGATGCAGTCGGCGACGCTGCCCCAACCCCTGTGTCGGAGGACTTGCGGGGAAACTCCCTCTCCATGGTATTGGAGGACGGCCTTCCCTCTCGATGTTCACGAGCCGATCCGCTTCCTAGCGAGTGTAGGCTTCCATCTTTTGACTGCAAAAATTCTCGATTGTAAGAACTGGCGCTCGAACGGGGTCCGGTCAAAGAATATGTGCTGCCGTTGGGAAGATGCCGATCGTTCGAAGGTGTGTCCAAGTGGCTAGAGTCCCCATTCGGCCAATTTGTCCACAGAAAAGTATTCCCTACGGAATTCTTATCGTGGGATCGATCTTGAGGCGGGCCGAATGAGCGGGGATGTGTAACGGTAGCAGTGACCGTCTGAGAAGGGTAGTCGTTTGAGAAGGACGGCATGATCGCTGTTGACGCCGGGAGGTGCGAACGGCGTAGGTACGATGAAGATAGAAGGCGGAGGGCCCAACGAGAGTGGTGGTATGAGGGGAGGAACTGTCAGGGAGAGCCGGTCGATCGGTAGGTGAGAGATAGCGTCGCAAGGGGTTGAGAGTAACTGATCGTTGTCAGGAATTCGGGATTAGGGATGACACCCTCCTTGTCAAATCTAAGCGGCCAGCCGCGGCGTGGCAGATGATTTATGGACTGATTAGCATGTTCCGAGCAATCTCGAGGAGCAGGCGAAAGTCAACACAGTCCGGCACCCCCGACTGCGCGTCGTAGAAGAGGAAGGCGGGGATGGAAAGACGACGAAAAGAGGGTATCGCTGTAAAAAGAGGTAGAGAAAATTAATCCGGGAAGGTGAAAATGTCCGGTAGAAGAGAGTAATGTTGGTGATGAACAGGAGGAGGAATGACAGCAGAGTGAAGAATCGACTATGATGGAAGGACAGCAGCAGGTTTAGTTCCAGTCGGAGATTAGAACTTGGAAGACGGACTCAAAAGCGAACGCTTCACAATTGAGTATCGTACGCTCCATGTAAATGCGCGTAATATACAGACTCGGGGCATTTATTCCTCAGGCGCTGACTACTTGTCTGTCTCTCTCCTATTCCTCTCAATCATGCAGTTTTACTCCAATATTTCCTTATGCTACTGCCTAGTTGTCAGGGCCTTTTAAAGGCAGGGGGGAGCCCGGCAGTCCGTGGTTCAATGCGAGCTCCACCTTTCAGCTCCCAAATCAAAACACCATCTCCAGCTTTTACACAAGAGCTTTGCAGAGGATAATCTTGACTCTCCTACTTGGGCGGAGCCTGGGTCATGATCAACCTCAACCTTGCGAATAGTAACTACCTTGGTGCGCTGTAAGATAGACTAATCGCCGACTCTCTCTCTCTCTCACGTTTCTGCAGCGTCCCAGTGGGCAATCTTATATTTAGAAACAGCGCAGCCCAAGTCTTAGCATCATTAATGTCATGAAGTTGTCGATACATAAGTTCCCCAAGAGTATAAACGTTTCAATCTCGTCTAAATGGAAAGCGAGGGAGAGACACTTTATCCAGTTATGCCATAGTTCTGGTTTCTCCAGGTCAAGGCATCGGGACTCACCATATGTTTGTCATAAAAGACGGGTATGCAGTGTGCATAACTTTATACTTCAAACCCTAGTTGATCATCATTGTACAATGGCCCCAGAGGTAAAACTTGCATACAAGATCTTGATTAGATTTTCAAAATAAGAAGGGTCTAAGTAGCTACACTACTATAAATAGATCCTAATATTTTTCTGATGATATTACTAGTTATAAATCTCTGTTCGTTATATCTCTTTTAAAAATCCTAATCTACATCCCTCACGCCTGCACCAGAATATACTTTGGGGGTCCATAACCTCAACCCACCAGTAGCCTTGCCACCATCAAAGTCGGAGCTGTATATCAAACAATAGTGAGCAACCAATTCGAGTCCATGGCCAAGACCCTATGGTACAAAAACATAGACATGGCAATGGCATGCACAATCTAAAAATTGAATCGGTGAGCAGCACTAGCAGGATAATGGCACAATGCGAACCGTTTATCTCAGACGCAACCGGCCACACCAATCAAATGCTTAGCTATTATTTTACTATGACGAGAAGAGCATAAACATATGGAGATAGATTGGACTTGATCAAAACCTAAGAATCCCATTCCCGAGCCGCAGCATATCCGGGAGATCAACAAGCAACATTTCCCGTTTCAAAATCCATCACAGGACGCCAACCCAACCAACATAGCAATAAAGGCGAATAGAACAAAAAGATACCCCAGACTCACCCAAGGAAGGTATAGTGAACAAAGAAAGTACAGCAGAAGGATAAGAGAACACAACGTGAGAGATATCCGGAAGCACATCAAGTAAGAGCCAGAGTAAAACATCAAGAGGGCGCTCAAAACAGACTTCAAAGAAGGCACTCATGTTTAAGCCTTCTTAGAGGTCTTCTTGGTCACCTTCGCGGCGGGCTTTGCCGCCGTCGTGGTCTTGCGACCAGACTTGGTAACGGTGGAGACCTTAGGCTTGTCAACGACAGCAGGAGCCTTGAACGAAGTTAGTGCGATAGCCCTGGAGAGTATCCGGCATGATGACTTACGGCCGTGCTAGTCTTGCGAGGCTTAGCAGTGTTAGCCTTGGGCCGTCCGACGGACTTCTTCACGCCGGCAGTGGACTTCTTAGTCTTGGGCTTCTCAGCCTTCTCAGCCTTCTCGGTCTTCTTGGCGGCGGCCTTCTTGGGGGCGGCAGCCTTTGTGGTAGCAGCAGGTTTCTTGAATGTCGTTAGCATGGACTTGAAAATAGAAGGGAGGATGGTTACCTTTGGGGCAGGCTTAGCAGGAGCTTCCTTCTTGGCCAGCTTCACGGGGCCAGATGGACCTAAGAATGAAAGTCAGCATTACACAAATCGATTTCAGGATGCGCAGAAATCGCAATGAATAAAACGACGACGAAGATTATAGATGATAACGCGATGATGTGCGGGGAAGGGTGTTGAATGGTGCGCGACAAAAGAAATGACCTACCCTTGGGCTGAAGGAATTCTCCCTTCTCAACACCGGACTTGATGGCCTTGTTGAACTGGCTATCAAAGGCATTTTGAGAAGCAGGCGCAAGCTTGTTATTGGCCAGCACATATTTCTTGATGGACTGGCGGCTGCGAAGGGAATTAAAGTTAGCTTGAGGAGCGACAGGGTCATGACGACGGGCGACAGCGAGGGTCGAAGAACGGCATGCAACAAGGCGAGAAAGAACACAAAAACAACGTACCTGCTACCGTTTCTTTCTTTCAGCTGAAGGGAGAGATGTTAGCGATCAAGATTACGATGAAAGAGATCAAATCCGACGCTGATGTTGGGATGATCAACAAGAGGGGAGACGGGTCACGGTCGGGGGTTGCTCCCGCCCGGCAGCGTCATCCAAGCCACTGCAGAAAGAATGTGATCAACTCACATTCAAAATGGCGACCTTGATCATATCTATATTGCAAGAATCAGCATTTATTCGCGACAATAGCGATACTAGTTTTACCACGACGCGAAGTGGTGGTGAAGCAGGATCAGTGAATACATACCACGGTAGGAGGCGTGGGTTGGGCCGGCGGCGGTCTTCTTGGCCGCGGTGGTGGTCGCTCTCTTGGGAGGCATGGTGAGTGATGGTGTTCAGTTGTGAAGATCAGAAGAATATATAAAGAAGTTTAGAAGGTCTAGAAGATCGAGATCTCCGCAGCAGACGACAGGCAAGACTGGTGGAGAGGAGTTGGAAGCAGAAAAAGATCGGGAGGGAAGGGGTGGGAAAGCCGCGGGGCATGGGCGCTTTATATAGGGCAGCCGGTGTTGACACAGGATCACTCGCAAGCAGAAAAACACGTCAAGCTCCCATCGCTTCCCTTATTTTTCTCTCCTCGCCCTTCGCTTCTTCTTTATCTGTGGTTTTTCTGCTTACCTTATTGGTAGCTTTAGATTCCCTCGATAATTTTTTTATATTTTTAACTGTTTGGCTTTGGGTAAAAAGATGTTCTCGAAATGTAGTCGTCCGCCCACCTTTTGACCTCGCTTCCCTCTCAATTCTTCGCGCGAGCACTCCCAACCCAGACTCCTACGCGTCTCATCTCGACTTTTTCAAACCCCTTTCCCTCAAAATATCTCCTTTTCTGAATAGTAGTCTGGGCTTATTAGTGTCTGGCGCAGATTCCAACCAAGTAGTCAAGACCATAAACGCGTGTCGCGCCTGCTCGTTTGCGCTTTCCCAAGTCACATCGCCCATCCTTTGTTTCTCTCTAGACTCAGAGTTGCTGCTCCGCGCCATCCTCCAGCGTCCAGCACACTTTACTAACCCCATTATGAGACATCCAATATCTCCAAACTATTCTCAGAGGGCTCGCGCAGTTCTCGCTTACTTTACTTACGCTTCTACTCCGTGGAAACGGGCCCGATCAATCGCTGCGCATGTGGACTTCTCACCCGCAGTCTATGATGCCACCGCTCCAACAATAGGCTCTGCAGTTCAATTAAGCTCATCGCCTACTAACACCTTGCGTAATAGCTCTGAAACCAGCAGCCGAACGATGCATCTACTCATCTACCCGGCAGGTCCTCCCCTTGCATTGCATTGCCGCATCCTGCTGGATGGGTGGAAAGGGGCCCTCGTGCGCACTCTGCGCTTTCGGCCCTTTAGGTCACGAGGGTGGATGTATGCACCCAGCATTGACTTACGGATTGAGCTTTGTCCCCGGCCGACCCAGGCCTGTGTCTGCTGTGGCTCATGGACTTCGCTTCTAGTCTACTCCTGCGTGATCTAGTTTCGGTTCCATGGTTTGGCTGGTTGTCTGGTTGGCTGTCAACCATTGTTTACCTGCGCCCGCTTTTGAGTCTCCGGCTCGGGGGAGGCTTCCCGCTCTGCGGGCTACAGTATGGCCATTCGTGGTTAAGATAAATGATAGCAAATCAGCCCTCGGCGATGAGTGAGCTTAGCTCCCTGCATCAGACGTCTATTCTTTGTTGTAGGCTATAGCTAGGCAGAGCGGCTACTGATAGGACGAAGCTCAAGATAGCATCAGCTCCTTGGGTGATTCCGCTCCATGCGCGCACGAAACAAACAAAGGCCGAGGCCAACTGTTTCGATCCCCTGCTTGAGCTGGGTTGATTTTCCTGTCTTAGTGCCCCGATCAGCCGTGGTTCGCGAGCTACGATAGCCGCAAACAGACAGTCCCCAGCTTGGGAATGCTTGGCTTGAGGATCCTCGTCGGTGCCCATTTTGCGCCTGGGGCAGATTTGGCGTCTGCACTTGAAAGTTGAGCTTCAGATAGCTCTGTAATCCCTCACTGGCGATACCAGCGCCTTTTTTGTTGTCTTCGTTACTTTGTGATACTTGGCTTGGCTGATATGAGAATGCTGACCCCGCACTGCTAGTAGTATATATATCGTCACCACACCTCTTAGACCATCGAATTCACGCACGCGATTGTAGGAGTGTAGGACGCGTGCTTGGATTAAAGTAAATCCTCCATATCAGAGATTAGGCACCGCACCATATGTCTCTTCTAACAAACACTAAGCCATGTATCTGCTCTCTGAGAAGTTGGTTCTTGAACCAGACCCGAGCATGATGCGACGCGTGCGGTGTGCCGTTTCAGGAGAACAAAACACATCAAGACGACATGAACCGCGGCATTTCAAGAGGGATAACTTGAGTCTAGACGCCTGATATCTGGTTCACAGAGTTTATTCACGAAGGACATTGCGGTCGAGGTTTGAGCTGGGTTCAATCACATTCGTCGCTCAAGGCGACCATCTGCCGCGGTCGTGATGTCTTCCCGCGGAATCTTGTTGCACATCAGTTGACTGCCATAAGCGACCCGATTCCCAGCAGCTTGTATACTACGTGAGACATGCCTTGGCGACAAGACCGGAAGGAAGCGCGGTCAGGATTATGCGGCCCAGTATGGCCCTCCATACCATTTTTACGCAGGATATACACCGGGATCCTTGCGCGCTGGACAACACATATGCTGGATGAAAAAACTGACAGCAAGATGAAAAAAAAGTAGCTTTGATTATACTCCGGTAAACGCCTGTCCCACGCAATGCCACCGTTCTTTTGCGCCCTCGTCAAACATGAAGGACCAAGGACGCTACGCGGCACCCCGAGGCCGCGCCTTCGCCTCTTTCTTGGCCTTCGCCTCTTCCTTCTTGCGCTTCTTCTGCTCCTGGATCTTCTCGTCGTGCTTGCGCTTCATATTCGCCTTTTCTGCGTCTGTTTTGGCAACTGGCTTGAAAAAACCTTCGAGGCGCGACTGCTGCGCGGTTTTCAGGTTCTTCTGAAGTCGGGCGGCACCGTTGCGGACGCGGTCCTCGTTGAATCCTTTGTCCTTCACGAGGAAGTCGACGAGGCCTTCGATGTCTGGTGCTTCCCATTTGAAGTCGCACTCGGGATCGTTGGCGTCTCTGACATCCGGCTTGATAAAAAGCTCTCGGGCGTCCTGGTAAGGCCAGGACTCTGGCATAACTAGTTTGTGCTTGGGGTCCTTTTCAATAGATTCGACCACCTTTTCCAGTGTCCCGTACTCCCGAATCAATTTTAGCGCAGTGTTGGGTCCGACTTTGGGGATGGGCTCTAAGTAATCACACCCGAGAAGGATGCAAAGGTCGATAAACTGGTTTGTGCACGGAAATTGTGAGCATCGCAGCTGTCAAGCGGGTGTCAGGAGAAGTTACCTGATTTCGATCCATGCCCATACCCTCTAGTGCCTTATCCAAGTGAATCTCTTGAATTGGCTCTTTTCTCTGCTCACTGAAGGTAAGGTGTCTAAGTAAAATGGGCGAATCGAAGCATAGCGTATCCATATCCTCCGACGCAGCAGCGTAGACCTTCCCTGCACGGGCAAGCACAGCACACTGCGCCTCTGCCTCTGTTGGAGCGTCGATGTACGGGATACCCATGAATTTCAAGAGCTTCTTGCATTCCGCGTTATGTTCCCTTGTTACCCGCACTGTACGTCTCGAGAACTTCTCAACATCCTCGGCGGTACCGGTTTCCTTGGCTTCCTCGTGGGCTTCTGTCGCTTCGAGCTTCCGCGCGCTTCGCTTTGCGAGTTCACCAGATTTGAGCTTCGGCGGGGCCCCGTCGAAGACGTATAGGGGTTTGATTCCGTTGTCGACCATGCGTAGTGTGCGATAGAACATGCCCATCAGGTGTGACGTGGTCTCGCCGGTATCACTCATGAGCTGTTGTCCCTCGGAACGAACGGCGATGAGGAAGGAGTAGATGCTCATGGATCTGCAGCGCGTTAGTATCGACCCCAACTGTGTCTTGCTTTGGCGACAGGTGGGAACGTACGCATCCTAAGAGGGACACGGGGTGGATTAGCTCTTCCGTCCGGAAGTAAAGTCGAAGGTAATTGAAGCAAAAGAGACAGACATACTATAGCGACCTTTCGGCCAAAGTGGTTTTTGATATCCCCTGCCTTGATGGCATCGGGCGCATTTTCAGCGATCACTTGATAGAGGTCTGGAAGCTTCAATCAGCACTGGGAGGATAGAACAGGGCGTAGCAAACGCGCTATTCACAAAGGTCTTGGACTCACGTTTAATACCCATTTTGAGTATTCTGTAGTATTTTTGGTGAAAGAGAATACGGAATGAGGTTTTTGATAGCAACATCTAGACATGAAGCTCCGTCGCGGCGGCGGAACGCGTTGGACGCGCCCGCCGACATCATTAGACCGGAAGCGGATTAGCGGAGCCAATGTCAGTTCGCACGTGATCAATGTCCCCGCTTCGGAACCCCAGTATCCAGCCCAGCTTGCTTTACGGCCCCGAGACTAAGGCCTGGCTGGGGCTGGGCTTGTCTTTCGGATTCCGGAGCAGAGGATTCGTCGGTTGCGCAGAGAAATATCCGCTGGTCACAGGATCGGAAACATCGCTATCGGGCAACCAATTCTGGCGGATCCTCCCCGACCTGCCAACCCCTCATTCTCTTTTCTTATCTGACTGGTCTACGGCTGTTGTACCGTTTGTTGCCTGAAACTGGTCGAAGAACACTAAAGAAGAAGGATCCAATGAGCTGTCGCTGGCAATGAGCACGACAATACCTTTGCACCATGAAACGGAGTCGTCCTCATTTTGAAGCGAATGGCGAGGCGTCCTCGGGTTCGTCGCCTCAAGGCCCTTTACCACAGTCTATATCAGAAAATGACTCACGCCAGAGTCCGATGCATGTCCCGAAGATCTCGCGGAGGATACGAGCCTGTACGGAATGCAAACGCCATAAAGTTCGGTGTGACATGAACGCGGGGGAGACGATCTGTCAACGATGTCGGCGGATGGGCTTGGAATGTGTCGTCAACAAAAGTCTCCAGACATTGCTGGATGACGAGGCAGAGTAAATATTCTCCCGCAGTTATTGTCCCGATCACGCAGTTGACATTGAAATATGGCGGTCGCTAACGGAAATTTGCGTTACACTGCAGGTGGAAATCAACCATTGAGCTCGCCATGGCCGATCTGCTTCGCAGAGCTCAATTGCCAGAATTGTCGTACTACCAAGCGGTCGGAAAATCAACAGAGCGTCCATCCAAACGAAGAGGCCGCAAAGAGTCCACTGCGTCAATAGAGGATAGCCCTCCAGATCACGCTCTCGAGGGAGTTGCCCAGTCGATTGATCTAGGCGCCGAAAAACCGAATGTTTCCACTGCATCCCTTCAGCAACAACCGCAATATGCCATCGACAGAGAAGAGAATGGTGCTACGTCACTCGTCACTGCTCCTATGGGGAGTTTGTACGAAGTGACCCAATTGAGCGATATACGGGCCACCTCCCCAGAACGACAATATGCGACCGATCGAGCGCTCGTTACGGATTTTGTCTCGCGCGGAGCAGTGGAGCTACATGAAGCAGAAGAATTGTTTGATCACTTTGACCGTGTTCTAAACCGTTATCTCTGGGACGGGATATTACTCGTCCATAATGATCTCACGGCTCTGCGGAACTCCTCGTCCATGCTCTCTGCAGCCATTCTGGCGGTCACGGCTCTCCATCTGCCCAATAAAGAGAGAACCTTTGATACATGTTACACCGAGTTCGCAAAACTAGCGTCGGAGTCCATGCTAGACAGACATCATACCCTGGATGATTTACGCGCATTATGCATAGGGGCTTTTTGGCTTGCGGATGTGAGCTGGAAGCTGTCTGGGTATGCAGTCCGGATTGCTACCGAACGCAACCTACACCAAGCCTATCGAAAAGCCACATTGGGATCGCCAGAGCACAAGGAACAGGCTAGGCTGTGGTATCTCCTCTATGTAAGGATGTCTCGATTCCTCTTCTATATCCGCTTGGCTCTGACATCTGCAGACTCTAGAGCATCACTTTTCGATCGCCTATGGGAGGCCGCCCATAATACACGAAGACTACAGCATTACAAATCACCATACCTTTATTCTATCCCCGTCAGCCCCGCAATCCGATCTTCGCTTGCATAGCCAGGTGGATCTGTTCATTATTCTTACGAGGATATACCATGCATTTGGTCCAGACGTGGATTTGGAGGTTCCAGAAAGTGAATTCTCGAAAATCGATAAATATGATGCTGAACTCGGGCAATGGCGGTCCGCTTGGTTACCGCGTTTAGGTACGAGAGGCCAACTCCTTATCCTAGCTGTGCTTGCTGACGAATCGCCTATATAGCCGGAAGTCGGTACGTTGGTGCTTATCCCTATAAAGCTGTATATCTGCACTATAATTTCTCCCGCTTACAGCTCAATTCGGTTGCTCTGCGAACTTATCATTCTTCAAATTCGACACGTCCAATGTCCGCTGAACGAAAGAAGCGGGCAAACCTGGCCATCGAATCTGCAATCAGGACGCTCATGGTTGTCCTGGATGAGCCTGACATCCAAAGGGCTTTGGTCGGGGTTCCGCTGTATCTTCACAGCATGATCACATTTGCGGCGGTGTTTCTCCTAAAGATTGCTGCCAAGGGCTGCTCGAGTGTCATCCCTGGGAGCCAAAATCAACAGAACTCAATTGCATCGGCAAGTCTCAATATCGACGTTTCGTACGTGCGTACCTTGGTCGGCCGCATCGTTGAGTTGATGGTGTCCTGCAGCAAGAGGGCCAGTGAACGCCACCTCAGCTACCATATATCCCGGGGTCTGAAGAAAATGCTCACTGGACTTGAAGAATGGGAGAAACGAAACTGTGGCTTTCAGCAGCCCACAGGACAGGGCTCTTATGACCAATCTTCAATGTTCAAGCCAGTAATCATACCCGCACTTGGCGAACGCGATACGATTTTGAGCCACCCGCCCCCATTACTAGGTGTTGCTCCCTTATCCGCAGAGAGGGGCAATGGATTCGAAACCGAGAGGAAAGATCCGAATGGACTCTCGGAAGGCTCTATGGACCCTATGATGGCTGATCTCTGGGGTTTCGACGAAGAGTATTTCCCTACTGGTGTTTTCGATTTCCTTCAGTCCCAGATGCCTGCCTGATCCATGCCTTTAATCGGCATGTATTTCGAAAGAGACGCGATGGATCCTGGTCGCTATAAGGGCTACTCATTCATCCCAGCACATACTTGTACAAGTGCAGCGCGCAATGTGGGAGTTCACTGGTCCCCTTTGTCAACGGTAGAGCCTCTGCTTGATAGCCGAGAACTGCATGTCCGTTATCCGGTCCCATACCGATCGCGAAGGGGCCACAAGGGAGGTCTTGGAACAGGTACAGATATGAACGGTCTAACAAGCTTGACAGCAATCTAACGATCAAGGAACTTATTCAGCAGGATGTTTTGGGAAGTGAGTGACACGGAGAGAGGTTGTATGGACATGGTGAATCTAGTTTTGTTCGATAGTGCAAGTTAAGACAAATACCCTATAGCATATAGCATTCTAATATTAATGCAGTACTCAATTGAATGGATCTGAGTAGCTACTCTATTAAGACCCAGGAGGAAGCACTGGGATGACGGCCTCCAATGGGGTTGTCGGCATCCGGGTATTTGCGTCTCATCTCCGCAGCGACTCCCGACGGATCGCAAGGGGACCCGGCGGATATACTGATAAGAACCCCAACTGCTCTCCGCGGGATTCGGCTCACTTGGAGTAAAAGTTGGAGAACATCATCAACTTGACGACTCCAGGGTGATCCAGCGACACTTCTCTATAAAAACCTCAGTTTGACGCGGCTTGATCCGTTGCTTGCTACTTGGTCACTCATCGCTTCTTCAAGTAATTGCCGAGGTTTGCCTCCTGTAAGTCTCCAAGAATGTCGGCTCTCCACACTGCGCTTTTCCCTGCCACCCTCGTCTTCTCCGTTGATATAAGGAGTCTGCAGTTCAGTTGACCTTACGGAGACATTTAGACAATTTCAAACCTACTTTCTGGCACAATGAATCCTTCGTCCCTTCTCCGCACTGCCTCGCGCTCGGCAGGCCGACTAGGCAAGATCCCCGCAGTATCGCGCGCCGCTGCTGTGCGTGGGTACGCCACGAACTTCAACTGGCAGGACCCTCTTCTTGCGTCGGAGCTGTATACAGAGGAAGAATTGGCCATTCAGGATACTGCGAGACAGTACTGCCAGGAAAGATTGCAACCAAGGGTCCTTGGTAAGCTACGAGCGACATTGTTCCATGCTTGGGACTACTTAGGCTTCTCACTAACATCATCCCTCAATACAGACGCCTACCGAACCGAGAACTATGATCGAAAGATCCTAGAGGAAATGGGCGAGCTTGGCCTCCTTGGCGCTAGCATAGAGGGGTATGGATGCGCTGGCGTGAGCACTGTTGCTTCTGGCTTGATTACAAAAGAGGTCGAGCGCGTGGACTCTGGATACCGATCAGGGATGTCCGTGCAGAGCTCACTGGCGATGACTGCAATCCACGAATTCGGCACGCAGGAGCTCAAGGATAGGCTGCTTCCAGATCTAGCCAAAGGCAAGCTGGCTGGTTGCTTTGGTCTCACCGAGCCTAATCACGGCTCCGACCCTGGATCCATGGAGACGATTGCGCGCGAACATCCTACGCAAAAGGGCGTTTACCTGCTCTCCGGCAGCAAGACCTGGATTACCAACTCACCCATATCCGATGTCTTGATCGTCTGGGCCAAGCTGGAAAGCACAGGGAAGATTCGCGGATTCGCGGTTGAACGCAGCAAGTGCCCACCAGGGACGCTCGAAACTCCTGCCCTCAAGAACAAGTCTGCTCTTCGCGCATCCATCACAGGCATGATTCAGTTGGATGATTGCCCAGTGGCGGTAGAGAACATGTTCCCCGATGTTGAGGGCCTGGTGGGACCGTTCACCTGCCTCAACAGCGCACGTCTCGGTATTGCTTTCGGAGCCATGGGTGCCCTTGAAGACTGCATCGACCGTGCTCGGACGTACGCGCTGGAGAGGAAGCAGTTCAAGGGTAACCCTTTGGCAAAGTACCAGCTGATCCAGAAGAAACTGGCAGATGCTGTCACAGATGCTGCATATGGCACCTTGGCTGCAACCCAGGTTGCTCGACTGAAGGACGCTGGCAAAAGCACCCCGGAGATGATTTCGTTGATCAAGAGACAGAACTGTGACCGAGCGCTTGCCAACTCCCGAATGTATGTGCACAATCCCAAATTAATAATGCTCTATTTGATGCTAATATGTGCTTCACAGTCTCCAAGAGATCTTTGGAGGTAATGCGGCAAGTGACGAGTACCATATCGCTCGCCATGTGGCGAACCTGTTTGTGGTACAGACATATGAGGGCCAAAGCGACATTCACGGTGAGTCTAATCTTTGACCTTTTCCTAGAAGGGAGTTGACACTGACTCTTTGTACAGCTTTGATTCTAGGTCGTGCTATTACCGGAGTTCAAGCCTTTGTTTAAAGATGTCGGACATGAATTCCTCGAGACTGTTAATATTGGCTTTATTCATAATAGCCGGATACACCTTCACCCTGTATATAAAAAATGATATATATGAATTCCGTACTACTAGTAACATGCTGAATCGTACTGGGTTTCGTGTGGGATGACGCAGCGCATCACGTTCACGCTGCGCCACGTGGGCACGCGAGCGGCGATCAGGCGGAAACGAGAGCATGATCGGGGAACAACTTAAGCCTCGCCCAAGTCCCAATAAATTAGTAGTACAACCCTGGGTCGCTGTTGGCGGGCTTGTCGGGCGTCTTTAGTGTCCGCCTTGCCGCCTTACGAATAAAAACATAAGCGCCTGTGGACTGGTGATGCAGAAAGAACCAGTTGTCGGCAGGTGGCGATGCCGACACGACACTCGGCTGTTTTGCCGAGAGGCGACGGCCTTAGTTAGAACGAAGGAGGCAAAGATACTGAGTTAGATTTTGCATACATCCCTGGCTATCTAGAAAGATCTTCTTTTAGAACGAGGATGCCAAGTCGTTGCTGTCTGGACTGTCGATATACTTTTCTTTCAAGGCAGCGGGGTGGGGTCCACGTGATAGTACTGTACGGGCCGGTACGGCGGCGCCTTGTTTCTAGGGAAGCCAGCGGAAAGGGCCCGACCTGATTGGTAATACAGTGGTAACGGTATGTCAGGCTGGCGTTGGTGTGTAAAGAATCCTCCAGTCTCTTTCCCTCAGCGACTCTCTCTTTCTCTTCTTCGTTTCCCCTCCTCCAGCCTCGCCCGACGTAATCCTCATTGTGAGTATATCACTCCCCCTTTCGCCTTCCCTTTTTCAACCCCTGCCTCAGCTTTCCCCTCCTCTCCGTCTATGCACCTATATCTCGTCAGTCCTCCTTTCTGAGACCGTCAACGTTTCTCCTGACAGTGTCACTGACCGTCGACTTCTGACTCTGCAGATACCCGCCTTCGAATTCAACCCACTCATTCTTCAACCGTCGACCGGCTGATTTAGCGTCTTCTCTCTTTTTCACCTTTCTTCCTCATATCACCTAAAAGATGGCTCTCAAGAGAATTAACAAGGAACTCACTGATCTCGGCCGGTAAGCACATTACTCTTGCCTGTTCACCCCACCCTATCGCGGGGGGCTACCCGAAGCCACCCCGTCAAAATATGGCCTCATCGATCTTTCCCTCCACCAGATTGCTGATAGATGGTCTTTGATATAGTGATCCTCCCTCCTCTTGCTCTGCCGGCCCTGCTGGAGAAGACCTGGTATGCTTCTACCCCTGCTGTGTCCCAATCGCGGGGCTGCTCGAACCGCAGATCCCCTCATTCGGTGTTATCGATCGGAAACATAGGACTAACATCTGACTTAATAGTTCCATTGGCAAGCAACTATCATGGGTCCTGTAAGTTGCCAGAGTCTCTCGGTTGTGATCGCTTTCGGGGTTGCTTCACTTTGTCTAAAGGGAAGGACCTTGCGAGCTATCGCAATGGTCTCTCGTGTATGCCGTTACTAACTTTATTGTCTTTCAGGGTGACTCTCCATACTCGGGTGGCGTGTTCTTCCTGACGATTCACTTCCCTACCGACTACCCATTCAAGCCACCAAAGGTCAGCTTCAACACGCGGATCTACCACCCCAATATCAACTCCAACGGCAGCATCTGTCTCGACATTCTCCGAGACCAATGGAGCCCGGCCCTGACAATTTCCAAAGGTTTGTCGACCCAAACATCTTCTTGCTTGATCTGAAGACTGACGTGACTCTGCAGTGTTGCTTTCCATCTGTTCTATGCTCACAGACCCCAACCCTGATGATCCCTTGGTGCCTGAGATCGCGCATGTCTACAAGACCGACCGCCCCCGATACGAATCGACCGCACGCGAATGGACCCGCAAGTACGCAATCTGATCTTCGCCTGTTAAGTTCCACGGCCACACTTGGTCTTCGAGCGCCCTGCTTGTTCTTTCGCTTTGTGACAAACATGCAGGAAGCCTGGCGTACCGTGATAGTAGATCTCTTCCTTGTTTTCTTCGCGGACCATTTGCGTGTTTTAAATTATTCCTAGTTTGTTTCGGGGTTTCTCCTTTTGGCGGGAAATGTCATATCCAACGATCATTATGACCAAATCATCATGCATTCATGGCATTTTTGTTTTACTGAATGGAGTCGGACAATGTTACATGATTCACACTACAACCCAAACATGGTGATTTCTCTTGGGTCGGGGTCGCAGAGGTGGTGATTCGGTCGCCCGAACTTGTTCCTCTATGGAAAGGTCTGACGGCAGGATGCGTGGACTGTTGATAAGCGGAAGTCGTTAATGACGCTGGTGATGGGGCCTGGAATTATATCAAATAGTATATCGAGACAAGTCCAACTCAGACCAGTTGTACGAACTGCCCCTCCATCGTCAGGTGCTAAGCATAGGGTAGATAAGCTGGACACCCGCGTCAGCGACACAGCGTAGGCCACGTCATGAATGAGTTCTCTTCTAACAACACCGAGGATGAACCTAGCACCTTCGCATTTATCGCACCAGAAAGGAAAGTTGAAGCGTTGAAGTAATCAGATAAATTGTATCAGTTTCTTGTGTTGGCGTTAGGAGATATGAGAATGGAGAGATATTCAGTATAATGAGACGGATATAAACGCTGATATGTATGTTATATTATGCACTGAGAAGTAACCGTACACTAAAGACGGTTTTGTCGGGGCAAGTCAGCCTTGTGTGGTATTTAACAGGTAAGCAAGGCATTCTGTATGTGAATCTAGCAAAAGACAGCAAATGGAAAAGCTGTATGGAATATATGTATGTTGGTCTGGTCGAAGACGAAAAAGAGATTGAAAATATGAAATGGTCAAATATGAATAGAAGAAGAAAGCAAGAAAGAAAGATGAAGAGGCAGCAGATGCAGAAAGTTGAGAAGCATAGTGTGCAAGAAAGATCAGACAACCTGACTTCCACGGCGACTACTGCTCATCTTCGAACCGGCCTTAGAACCACCGCCCGCGGTGCTTCCGGCAGCCTTGGCCGTCTTCTGAGTCATGCGAGAGGCATGACTAGAGACCTGACTGACACTGTCGCTCGGTCTGACGGGCTCATCGAATTTCGACGAGCGTTTGGACGTGTGACTCTTGTGTGTATGATGCGAGTGATGCGAGCGATGCGAATGCGACGACCTCCCCGACGAGTCACCGACCTGGCTGATCGAGTCGTCAGGCGTAACGTGCGTATCGACGTCGAAATCGTCGTCGTAGCGCGCGGCGGATTTCGCACCCCAGCGGTATGAGGCGTACGAGGCCGTTGAGCCCTCGGGGAGCGGGATCTGGCGAGCCGTCCGGGTAGACGAGGCGGTGCTTCCGGCGTGGGATTTGGAGGACTTTGTGATGGAGTGGTGGGACGCGCTGTGGACGGATTGGGTCTGGGTCTTGGATGCCTTGCTGGTGGAAGTCGAGTAGACGCTGCCCTTTTCCGAGATGCGGGATTTCTCGCGGAAGGAGCTGATCAGGGTGCTTAGGTCGCCTGGGTACTGCTGCTGGGCGTCGAGAGCGGGAGGGTACTCGATTGCGCGGATGGGGATCTCGCTTTGGTTGTAGATGGTGCCTTCCGAGGCGCGGCGGGCCATGTCGTCCATGTACACGCTGCCGCCCTTGAGGCCGCGGGTGCCGTACTCTGTGCCTTCGTAGATGGTACTTGCCCAGGGGTTCTTTGATGTCACGCTCCGGGTCAAGGGAGGGCGCGAATTGGCTTGAGAGTAGGTGCTTCGCGCCGGAGGGGGAGCCTCGATAGCTCGGTAGTTTTGATAGTCCTGGATCTGTGAAGGGGCTTGTGATAATCCCGGTGTGGATGGGAGCTGGCGAAAATCCTGCGGAGAAGGAAGAGGGTATTGTTGCGTGGAGGTTGTCTCTGGTGTCTCTGAGTCGCCCTTGGACATGGCGTAGGCGATTGCTGCACCAGCGGCAGCGCCGATGAGTGTGCCAACTATGGTCTTGGCAGCGGTGCTGTCGTCACTCTTTTGCGTGGTATGAGTGTGCACGACGTATGTCTGCGGGGGCGCTTGTTGGATTTCACGGGACGAGACAACTGTGCCGCCGCGTTCTGAAGGAGCATTCCGGCTCACAGAGGTGATGGCCTTGGATGCATAGGATTTGGCGTCGGACTTGACGGTGGTGGCTTTTGAGACGACTGAGCCATTCTCAAGGAGGGCGAGAGCAGGCTTGCTGACAATAGACCTGCTGGCCACAGAGCTTCGACTGCTTCCACCATCGGGGCTGGGACGCCAGACGGCCTCGATGCTGTTCCCATCCATGTCCATCACAGCAGCACTAAAGTACCCTGACTGGGAGTCGCGTGTTTTGGGCTCGCCATGGAGTTTACCACCGGCTTTGAGAGCATAGATGAAGAAAGAATGGACTGCGTCCTTTGACGGGGCAGGGAATGCAACATGAGCAGCGCCGGCGGGGAACCTATGCACCTTTGTTAGAGTCGACGTTGGGAAAAAGCATATACGAGTCCACTCACCCTGGCTTTTGTTCTGTTATCCAAAAGTCTGCAGGTTCATCGGAATTTTGGCCGAAACCAATATAGTCATCATGACGGCCAATGAACTTGTAGCCTAGAGGCTGTAGGCAGGAGAGGAAGAATGATGTCGAGGTAGGAAGGTGGGAAACGGTCAACGTTAAGTGTGATACAGGCATGTTTATATGTGAGATTATATCGCTGAGCTTAGGCTACAGCGATTCTTGTTGAGAGATGTTGCAGACTGAAGAAGTGATAGTATAACAAGGGAAGAGCAAGGATGGATTCCAATAGCGGGGATATGTGGTAGAGAGACGACTAAGTAGGAATGACCCGAGTTCAATAAAGTAGAGGAGAAAAAGTAGAAGCAATGTTCAGAACCAGGATGAGGGTGGTAGATAAAGAGTAGGATAAAGCTTTTTACGCAGTGACTTAGTTTCCCATTATCCAACCAGAATCTGCCAGGGAGCTGCCATTGCAACCATCCTTGCCAGAGCGAAATGAGCCTTGATATTGCGGGCAGGAGTGCATGGATGAGGACAAAGCCTAGCCCTGCAGACGGTTACCGGAAGAGAGAGGCCCCTATCGGAAGTAGAGAAATAAAGAAAGACCCACGATGCGACTATCGGTGAGCTAGCCACGAGGGGGTTGAACAGCATTTGAATCACAGCCAGGTCATCGTGGAGAAGCCTGACGCCGGACGGAGGTTCCGGTAGGTGGCCCCGTCGAGTATGGAATGGGGTGGAGACTTCGCAAGAGGAGGGCCAAGCGGGCTCAATAAACTCAGAATGGGTGAGGCAAGCGCTCGAGAACGAGGTGGAAGGCATGGATTGGACGAGAGCGCCAGGATGACGGTGGAACAGCCAGGCCTTAAGCGTGACATTGAACTGCATCCGAATCACAAATACCTGGTGTAAGTAGAAATCTCGCCTCTGCTCACGAGAGTGCTCTTGAGTTCCGCAGTCGGCGTATGGTGTCCGCCATATTCTATTGGGCATTGAGCTCGTCACGGCCGCCAATCACATTGGAACAGCGAGCAGAAGGGAGGAAACGGTCGAAGAAAGCGAGTTTGGAGAACCACTAACAGAAGAACTGCCCCTCCTGTCGTATGCATTTCTGGCGACGGCCTGTTTCGTTCCTGCTTTGGGCACGTCTGCTGCTGCTAGTCGCCGCTGGCGCTGTCTGACCGCTGGAAGATAGCCCACTCGATTGTCCTTGACTCACGGGAGAAGTCTCGTTGGACGGTTGACACTTCGTCACCAAGTCATCTACAGATGCAAGAGACTATTTTGGGAGAGTACCCGTGGAGCGGAGCTTGGAAGATGCTGATTGTAACTGCGGTCATGGCTTGGGGATCACAGGCGCTTATCCAAGGAATGGAGCCATGAAGAGAACGGGCGGACCCTGTCGGGCCCCAACTGAAGCGGGAGATCCACAAGCCCAGCGAACACGCGATGTCTGCTTGCCACGTCGTGGTGAGAGGAAACACCGCCCTTGGCTGTTGGGGCCACTCAGTCCGTACTTATTACACGAGGCATGTCCCCGAGGCTGAGATAAAGCCAAAGGAATGAGTCACACCCGGATATGAGACTCGGATTGAGGGAGAAATGAGAGTTGGTTGATTAACGGGGAGAGAAGTCGTCAGTCGCAAAGCCTGAAGGGAGAATGAATGCCTTACAACCTCTGCTGGCTCGGCACTATTGAATGTTTATCCATGACACGAGAGATATTTTTTCTGCGACATTGTGATAGCCGGAATCCCAATTTCGATCTCATGTACTCCGTACCATTTCACAGCTCGTGTCCGCTTTGGATACTTATGGCATTACTTCTTATATGTCTAGATGTAAACTGACGCCTATCCAAGAGATGTGATACGAGGCCCTGAACCTAGCTCTCTGCCTGAAGATATTGACTACCGCGAATCGGTCGTATTATGAGAATCGCCTCGTAGGAGCGGATTGGATCACAGGGTAGCGTAGCAAGTCTAGTCTCTGACAGTCCTGTCTTCTCATACCCAACAAGTCCGCTGTCGCCAGCCCTGCGCAGGGCCGCCCGAAAGGACCGTGAGCCACGCAAGAACAAAGTCTGTACCGTCGGGCTCGTCTGTGTCGTAAATTGGGAACCGCTTTTTGCATAAGTGATGTAGAGAGAAAATGATATATCCAAAAGACAGTTGGCGATTAGCTCCGTAGGGACAGGGTGAAACGGCGCCGAATTTGACAGGGTATATCCAAAAACAGGTATCTACCGTGCTTCTGATGGCGCCACTGATGGTCTGATGGCAAGAAAATTCGTCACATCGTCAAGTTCAAACCTTTTCGAGGGAAGAACGAAGTTTAGATTGTCGGGCGCTGAAATTTCAAAGAATATCCCACACTTCCTCGGCGGCATGACAAAACTTGCTGCATGCGACACTAGCACTCAGACTATAGTTGCTGATACTGATCGCATCATCCTTGAAGGTGTCCGCAAAATCATCCCGACCTTTGGCCATGGCACCGACGAAAATACAGATACTCTCCTTGGGGCCGAGCGACTCAATGTAGTCCTTGACTCGCACGACTGGAGCCTCGTAACTGAGTGTCACCTTGCGGCAGTTTGGGGGCAGATGGTCGGTGATGGGGTTCTTGATGACTTTGAGGAGCTTTTCTTGCGAGTTGGTTGAACGAATGGAGAGTCGATGGAGAAGCTGAACCATAAGACCGGCGAAACGCTTGAACGTGCGAGGAATGCGGACAGCGGGGTTCACTTCAATCAAAACGCCCTTGGCAGTATGAATGTAAATTTGTAGCTTGCCGGCTTTGTTAATGGGGGAGTCAAGGAGGGTAAGGAGACACTGAAAGTAAAGGCAATGGGGTTAGCTCTTTGATCAGCATGACTCCCTTGGGGAATGGAATAGCCAACCTGATGGGCAATGTCAGGACGGGCTTCACTAATGTCCCGGTTCATCTTGCGCATAACGCCAATGTGCTCATCACTGTTAAGTAGAGAATATTTCTCGTCCCGGCCTGTGCCATTTCGTCCTCCATGTGACGCACGGAATGTTTCCAGACTGGCATGGGAGAGCACCACGATCAAACGCTTTGTTTCCTTATCACCAGGAGGAATGGCGACATGTTGCTCAGCGACAAGCTGAGGCAACTCGGGAGGAGGGCATGATTGCGTCCCTGAACGTTCGGGCACGTCAGCAATCATGACTAAGTAGTTAATCCGCTGAGGGGTGGGCTGTAGTATGGCGGGGACGGCAAAAGGCAGACAGTCGCCTCTTGCAGGGAAAACTCGAAGAGCCTTGATAGGGCTCGACGCCAGCTGAACCCTAAAGCTCCAGCTGCGGTAACAGAAGAACAGGTAAAGATAAAGGGTAGAGAGGGGTGATCCGTTGGAAAACAGTAGGGTGAGGAAAGCGGCAGAAATGAGGGGAAAAATTCGATGGAGATGAAGAAACTCGCCCGCAAGCAACGAGGATTTTCATTGGGCAATTGGCACGTACTGGCGCGTTTTCTTTTTCCTGCTACCTGCTGAGCATCTGACATCTTGAGCGATCTGACTTTTGGTGGATATGTGAGACTGCGATGAGCTGGAAGCTGTCAGATGTTTTGAAAGGCGAGACGATAATAATAGGTAAGTAGGTCGAAGCTTGTCGCTGGCAGGTGGGAGTGAGGATGCGGAGAAAGAATGGTGTCCTTCTGAGATTCGGCACGCTGTGGTGAATATATAAAAGGAGGACGAAGCCAAAGGTTGGTTCGAGTCAATCAAACGGCGATTTCTTGCAAGGAAAATCTCGTCGGGTCGGAGTCAAAGAGAAAGCGTGTTGAAGAAGCATAAGGCGGAGGAGAGAAAAAAATCATTTAATTGTTCGGGTCCGCTTAATCTGGAATCCCCGTTGTCGGAAGAGTTAAAATCATTCGAAGAGCGAGATGGACGGAGTAAATATCGTCAACAATTGCGCCAGAACCCCGGCTGGATTAAATATATGTCCATTTGATTACTCTAAATCTTTCTGAGGCTCGAAAGGTTCGTATACTCGGGTCCTCTGCGGAAAATTGGTGTTCAGGCTGGCGTATTCGTCGTATACAGCTCCCTGTCAACCCAGTAAGCCAACTTCGTTCATGCTTTGGGACTAGGCCAGCCCCCTACTTCCATTTGGCAACTGTTAGTGTCAGAAGTTTCAAACGTTCGATAGGCTGAATCCACCGACAATTCTTGGACGACTCTTGGTCTATGATCCGAGATCCCTCGGGAGTCGGAAGGCTTCTTGCTCCTCACCCCTTGGTGGTCTGTCGGTCTGTCCTATAATCGCCGATCAGCACTACGAGGGATGAGAATGATGAACTCTGTCGGGAGTTGCTATCATTGGCCGCGGGGTCATCCAAAGTATGCCCAGGTGGTTCTTCAGTGGAAAGGATTGGCTTGATCTCCAACCCCACGAGATGGCTTCCCGCCTCGTGAAAGTAATTAAAATGTGAAGCTCTTGATAGGTGAGAGCGGACGCTACATCATTTTCGCGCAGACGAAGGATGCCGGTCGCTGGCGCGTAAGTCGGCCAGTCGTCTCTCCCTGCTTGGTCTGGCTTCCTCACGAAGAGCGCAAGGGGTCGAGATGTTCCATTAAAGGAATCATGATTAGATTGCGATTGCAAACCCAAGTGGCATGGTTTCGAAGAGAATTCGGTTCCCGACAGTCGCTAACTCGCGTATGGCCCCCGTCTTCGGACAGATCCTCGAACCTTCTCAAATGGCTGAAGCTAGAGATCCATATTCTCTATCACAGTCGCAAGTGGCCCCTAACTATGCAACACCAGGAGCTGACCGGTGACATGCGTGGGATTTGTTTGGATGACTTGATGCACAACCTAGGATGATGCACACGGTACGAACGTTTTGCACCATTGAGAGCTTCTCGGGCATTGCACTTGTCACACCCAGTGGCGGTTAAACTTGCTTCTGATTGCCGGGCGAGGACGTTTCATCCGCCGTACACACCACATGTTGCCTTAAACTCTTGATGTCAAACGTAGTATTTACACTTTGACAGGGTATGGAATCGGGCCAACTGCGATAGGATCAAGATCGGCCTTCGACCAAGAGATCAAGACGTACTCCAGAGTAGGGGGAGAATGTGCTGCATGGGGCTAGGAACCGTACTCCGGATTGGTGATACTCTCAAGCTGTCTGTCGATCATCCGGCGTTTGGTATGTCAAACTTGCTCTTCTCTTGCAATCCAACAAGGCGATTTGCATGAGACATTCAGTGCTCTGGTGCAGTAGTCTTTCGACTGCCGCTCTTCAGTCATCATTTGACGAGGGTGCTTGCATGGAGTGGCGATTGACTCGGAAGCATGAGATCCGAAAAAGCAAGAATGGAGAAGAAAAGAGATAGGTTCGTCTGATGGCAGGCCTGACAAGAAGGAATGTTGGGAATGGAGAGCAGACTCAGCAGACCTGGGGAGTTCCCCAGTCGCGACAAAGGATTCTCCAGGAAGGCTGGCTCTATGCTCAGCGACACGAGCGGAGAGCTTCATGTCCCTGCTTACGATATCTCTTCCCCACAGGCGTCGTGTGCTCTATGAAGCTGTCTTAGTATACGCATTTTCTAAGCTAGGTAGAGTCAAGAAAACCTTGAAAGCATCTGGAAGCTTCCCACTCTGCCCCCAAAACCCACCTGCGAGGCGTGGGTTGGACAGGTTCTGCCCTGTTAACCGGGCGTGCGCCGTGGAGAGTCACGTAGTCACGTCCACCACGGGGGCACTGTCGCAGGACATAAAGACGATACAGAGTCATCCCCATAGATAGCCCTTGCTTCGACAGCAGATCGGTGCTGGAGGAGGGAGTGCAAGGCGAGGAGCCCCGTAAGGCATCATCCATCATCAGGGTTCCGCAAGGGCTGGGCCAACCAAGGCATGGGAAATAATAATAAGAGGAGGGAATAACTGCCACCTCAGCGAAGGAGTGTCGAGGCTGCCATCCAGTCATACCGGGGCGTTGGAGATACATACTTTATGCAGGCAGGAGCGAGAGCAATGGTTGGCTGCTCATGATTTCAGGAGGCGAAGTCGGCCAGTTCTTGGGCTTCGGAGCCCTCCAGTGCGAGACGAGCTGTAATAAAAGGAGTTCCACAAGATTAGGATTCGCATCATCAGGTGGAAATCTCAACGGCAGCCTAGACTCATATAACACGCTCGCCTGCTCTTGACCGTTAACACTCGAATAAGCCCTTTTCACAGTTGCTGGCATCTGGATGGCAATATAGCTGAATCAGGTTAGCTGGTTCCTCTCACGCGTTCCGTCACCCGTCGATCACTGGTCGCCGAAGCCTTCCGTCCGTGGAAAATAATCATCACGGCCAGCGTCATCAGCTCATAATAATAACACGAGGTCTCCGCTCGCGTCTTTCTGACTGCCCACTCTTCTGCTCCGTGCGACCGCTTCCTCCTTGCACCCAAGGCCCCATGTTTGGCACCGCAGGATTGTCATGATTGGAAACAGTCACCCTGAAAGAGCACAAAAAAGGGAGATGCCGTGGACTGTCACGAATTCATTCAGGCGGTGCGTGTTTTTTGACATTGCCCCTCGCTCTGTCGCTGCGAGCCTGGCCGGTGCTTGCCCTGCTAACACGTCCACAGAGGTCTCATGATGAAAACTTACGGCCGCTCACCGTGGCGCGTCTACGACGACGACCAGCGTCCAGCACCGAAGAAAAGACGCGTTTTATCGGATAGCGAGTCTGATGCCGCTGAGAAAAGCCTACAGTATGCTATTCGCGAATCGACTGCCAACGTGCGGTCGAGCCCGTCGCGTCGAAACTCTATCGCACTCTCCGACGGATCACAGGACGATGACCTTTCGACGCCCCCGTCTTCCCCTCCTCCGCCACGCTTGACCCCTCCGCCGCAAAACACCCGCAAACCGACCTTTTCTTTCCTCAAGCGCAAGCACTCAGCCACCGATGGCGCGACTAACGGGTCTCCGCTATCCGAGGTGAACTCCAACAGCGTGCGCGCGTCTCTCGATCCTCCCAAGAAGAAAGCAGCAACCTCGACATCGCAACAGCAACCGGTACTGAAGCAGATGCAGCTCGACTTGGGCCACGAGGTGCGCAAAACGTGTGCGACCTGCGGGATGGAATATATACCCTCAAACGCTGAAGACGCGTCGCTCCACAAGAAATTTCATGACATGAACTCGACAGGGGTGGACTTGGGCAAGGCTTTTATGAGGGCAAACGCGTCGCGCTGGGTTTACGAGGCGACTCGCTTTGATGAGGGCTATGTGGTGATTGTAGACCGCAAGTCTTCCCCGACCGCGAAGAACCAGGCCAAGAAGGTGTTGGAGGTGCTCAGCAAGGAGCTCTCATCCCCAGTGATCGAGGACGAGGTTTTGTGGAGCCAGACGGAGCCACCGAAGCATCTGCGCAAGAACGGAGCGACGGAGAAGGTAGACCGATACAAGGTCTTCCTACATATGAAACACTCTCGGTGCGTCGGGGCGTGCTTGACGGAGCGCATCTGGGAATCACATCCAGTGGACAAGGCATCTCTCCAGAAGGATGGCACTGATGCTGCTGTTGCCGTCGGTGGCGCGTCGCACCCCGCCATTGTAGGGATCTCCCGTATCTGGACATCGGGTTCATCTCGGCGAAAAGGAATTGCGATGGATCTTTTGGATTGCGTCGTGAGCAACTTCATCTACGGGATGGAGATTCCCAAGGAACAGGTGGCCTTCAGTCAGCCAACCAACAGTGGAAAAAGCCTCGCACAGGCATTTTTCGGGCCAGAGAACGAATGGCATGTTTACAAGGAAAGTTGATGGTGCTCATATGATTATTTTTTTGAAGTTACTAGCATGGTGTGCGATATTTGAAGGGGGAGCGCACAGCTCGAAGCCGTCTATCTTTTGTATTCGCCCCTTCGGTTTTCCTTTGTCCTCTTACTACATACACGGCGAGCTGATACCCTTATATTTCTCTGGCATCGGGCCTTGAGGGAGGCTTACTGTGACGAGCATTTATTCTCTGTGGTTTTTGTATTCGGTGGTGTTATTGGATGGGACAAGGCTCTGGGGGATCTGGTTACTATTCTTTGTACTATATAACTACTACATCACTTCATTTCACCCTCGGGTTATTTTGCCCATCAGTTCAATCACGGGCATGTTGAAGAGCGCCAGAGATAGACCAATGTATATTGAAAGTCGTGTACTAAATTGCCTCCTCACTATGGCCGTCGCTCTTTCCGAACGTTGAGTGGACGGTCAGCAGCGACGCCTTCTGTTGACGCTTGACTCCTATCAGCTTCACTTTCTTCCCCTCTTCCCAACCAACCTGCTAGTTTCCCTTCGCTCGCCGTAATTTTCCCCTGCTCTCATGAACGGTGCTTCTACGACTCTTTGCGATGTCTGGATTAAATCCTTTCCGCCCTAAAAAGCCAGAAGGTAAGAGCGTCCATTCCACCGCTTCCGAGTCTCCCGCGTCTCGAGGTGACGAGACCGCTGTGAAACAGACTGACAATTGTAGACCTTGCGAAGCATTCTCCCTCCCAGACGACTACGCCATCCTCTTCAAACGTCCCAGATCCTATTTTCTTAAGTCCTTCATCAACTGCTGCGACGAAAACAACCCAGTCAACCCTCTCCTCCGCGGCCAGCACCAGCGCGAGCATCACCCCGCCCCCTCCTCCTGACGCACCCAACCTCGACGATTCAACGAGTTCAGACGATCAATCTACATCGGATCCATTTGACCGTGCTTATGATGCAAGCGACCATGAACCTGAACGGACGCAAACCCCTTCTGAAACCCCGAATATAGCTCCTCCGGGTGATCTACCACCACCCTCGTTTTCATCCTCAAACAACCACGCTGCGGTTACGCCATCGAGGGAACATTTTACAAGACATATAAAAGAGAAACAAACTGATCAAAATGGAAGGCTGCGGGATACGGCAACAATCCCAAGATCGTTGATGTCGAACCAGTCGTCCAGTTCTTCGGAGGCATCAGACAGTGACGGCGCCGCCGACGAGCCGCCTCAACCACAAGCAAACGCCAGAACATCACGCCGGCCAGTGTCATTAGGTCCGGGCGTAGACCCAACCACCCTCAAAGATCGTCTGGCGAATCGGGAGAGAATCCCACCACCTCCTCCAAAAAGCCATCATGGCAAGCGGATCAGCCCTGGCCCGTCTATTGTTCTGCCTCCATCGCAGACGACGCCAGGCAAAGCCGCGAACCGGGTTTCTTTCCACGGCTCTTCTCCAGGATCTTTGGCATCACCGCGAATATTTCAGACTGAGCAGGATTACTTTAGCACACCTTCACAGACGAACCAGTCTGTGTCGCTTGTTGATCTTCCTAGGCGCAGTCAATCCCAGCACAAGCGGCCGCCTACACCACCCCTCAGTCGGAGGCACAGTCAGATGAGGCGCTCAAAATCCACCCTCGCAAAGCCAGCGTCTTCCCGGCCGCCCATGCCACTCGCCGAGGTGGAGGTTGCCGCATCGACCCCTCCAAGTCCAGGCTCCCAGCCATTGACTCCCTTGCGGAGTAGAGATCCCAACTATAATTCTTACTTTCCTGATGAAACCAGGTCAGTTTCGTCTCTGCGACAAGAAAACCTTGGACCAGCCCCGTCCGTGCAGCCTGCAGAAATAGGCCTAGGGGTTCAGCCGGATTCCCAAACAACATCGAAGCGGGCATTGATCGTAACTCAATTACCTCCACTTCCACCTCCGCGCCGCACTCGGGGGAGCAAACATAGCAACGACAAAGATAACCGTCTTGGTCCAGAGCAACGAGCAGATGGCTCCGAAAACTTCGTGCCCCATCCGTCAAACGCAAAGGATATCCTCGCGGACCTAACGCGCTTACAGAAGGAGGTGGATGACCTCAGAGGGCAGTACGAGACTCAGCGGTAGATCCCGGGTGGCGCAGCCCAAGAAGGGAGATATACGCTGCTATATATATGCGCGTGGGGTGACTGAAGAACATGAGCTACTATAATGGTAGAGCTTAGCTGACTCTTCTGTAGACTGTTGTTATCATTTCATAACCTGGATACTCGATTCTTATCGCACGGATCTTTATATAGTCTACCAGATGTGCCGCTTTCGACTAACCACATATCATTGGCATATCAAGTAGTCTCAACATATACTATATCAAGAAGACTAAGCCTGTCTACTTGACTAAAACATACCGTAGACACAAAGACTGTCAACTTGGGGAAGTGCTTTTGCGCCCAGGCACAAACAGTGTTCCCATAACTCACCTCGTTGGTGATGACGTCATCGTATATGCGGCTTCTCTTCGAGACAATGTAATTGCCTCCAGTTGGGCACACTACTGGTGGATAGGATGGTTTTTTTACTTAGGATCAGCTTAATCCAACAATTGACCAAGGCATCATCCAATCAGCCCCAATGTATCAGACTCGCATACTATCTGTGGCGCCCAGCTCCGTCTACGGAGTCCGATTGCTGCGGATCTTGGGAAACTTAAAACGGCGGCGTGCAGGAGACACGCCGCGGGAGGTACTTTGGCAACTTCAACTCTTCTTGAGCATACATTGTACTAATCCTTTCAAGCTTCATCAGTCTTACAACTAGGCTGCTTCTTAGTAACTCTCTGGTTCATCACCCTCCAATCTTCTTGATTAACCTCTAATCAATCACTACCCTACTACAGCCTAATCTACTGCCCAACTATAGTCCAAGCTCAGTTCAAGCGAGCTTCAGTGCTATTCCTGGGCAGAGCTGCACTGCAATACCTACATCTATTTTGCACTTCGTTGTGCATGCACGGCAAAATGACTACTCCTACTTTGATCAACCTCCCTCCCCCTCCCTCTGATCCGGTAACACCATCTGATATGGGACCGTAAGTCTCCCCGCTTCTCTCCTTCATACTTCATCTTGGCTCCTGACACCTCATTGACAAATAGGGGAACACCCAACTCCACCACCACATCTCTCTCTGCCCTGTCCACCACCGCCATCAAGGACGGTCATCAAGGGCAACCACTGGGCCACGGCCGCCATGCGCACCATTCTTCTTCCACATCGGTGAGCTCAACCAACACCTTGGAAGCTGAGCGCGCCGATCGCATCTCCCGTCTGGCCGGTCTGGAGCGAGTCGCTACTGCACGAGCCGGCGGTGCAGGCCACCCAGCCACCGCACCGAGCTTGGCATACACACCCGGCTACTTTGACAGCGGCACCGGTTTCAAGGAGAGAAGCACGGTTGGAAGCGCCAGCGCAACTGGCAGTGTCGGCGCCCGCACAACATGGGCTAGCGGTAGTGATGCCTTTGACGCAGATAAGATGAGCGAGGATCCCGATGATGGCGTCTCCAGTGTCGGTAACATTAGTGATGAAGGGGATGCCAGTCTAGTCGGCTTTGGTGAAGGGGCCAGCACCATGAGTGGACCCATCTCACATCCGGGGATCAATCGAACGTCCAGCGGTCGACCAAGTTCAATCGGAAGTCCAAGCCGCGGCCGAGCCAATAATCCCATGACGTCCTACTCGCCGCATTTTGGTGAGAGCGCTACGATGCAGTCCACGATGGCCGGGAGCGCATCTGCAACTCCAGAGCCAACGCATGATGCCCGTATGGTCGATGGGATGACCTACGATCCTGACGTGGTAGATACCACTGTCAGAACTCCACGGCTCGCTACTCCGGGTTACTCCGAGGACCCTCACAGTGAGCGCCATTAAAGAAGCGAATTGGCTGAATATTAGGAAGGTCATACTTCGCTGAAAATTACGGAAAGTCATACTGTTTATTGAAAGCAGGCGTTTAGGATGGAAATGTGCTTTATTCTGCGTTATTGGGAACGGTTTCTAGGAGTCTGGTTGCGCCAACGAAACGAAGGTCAGATCTGATATTCTGACAGAGACAGATGCTTTACTTGCAAAGGCAAAGCAGGTGTTATTTCGAGAAGTGTAGCATAAGCAAATCCAAGGCGGTTTTCTCATTGTCTCCGGGGGCGCATTGCTATGAATAGGTTTGTAGACATTCAAATGCGCCATAACAGCTGGCTTGCGGCTGAGAAAGCATCAGTAGGATCACCATTTGGCACTACCTAAGCGCTGGACGAAGGGAAGATCCAAGATAAGAATATATAAAACCTAGAAGCTCCGTGTGTGTTGAACAGTGGTGAAATTGTGACGCCTCTACCAGAATTGCCGAATTGGGCAGATTCGCCGCTTTTTCTTCTCAGGCTTCTTCTGGGCCCGCCTCATCTTGACTCTTTACTCTTCACTCTTCCACCATCTCCCATTCACCACCCCCTCCTACAGTCGTCCTGTCCTGTTCCCTGCTGGCATTTACTTGTCAAGCATTGACCCAAATTTGAACTACCGTGGACTGGAGACTTGACAACAGTTTCCCAACCCGCCAAGTACCAGCGTCTTTAGCCACGTTCTTTGTGTGTGCGTCTGCCCGCGTCTCGCCCTTCAAACCAAACAACCGGTCGCCACGCATAATTGCATCCTTTGGATTCGGCTCTTTGTTTCGTCCGTAGCGTCACGTTTCGACTACTTTATCCCCCCTGATACTCTGGGATCGGTCGCGTCATCCTCTTGCTTGTGTTTACTCATTGGCGGGGAATCTCAGTTCAGCTTATCCGCAACGTGGGTTTTCTAGAACCAGGATACTATTTGCGCGCATTTACGCTACGGTTATAACTTTGGACGTTTTTTTGTGAGACAGCCGTGAGACCCGAGATGGCTGCTCCTACACAACTAGCTTGTAGGTCTTTCCGATAATGCTCAGCCGTCTACCGACCCCTGCCCGCGGTGGGGCTTCGCCGACCCGAGGAATGCGATAGCTGATCTTTCACAGTTCGCACTGTCAAGGGAATTGGTATCTTGGATGCTTCCCCCGTGTACGAGCCGTTGGCGGGTTTTGAGAGGTTTGCTCTACCTGCGAAGACTCATTGCCATGCACATTTTCGCTAACTCAGATTTTCTGTCACAGACCGGAGGGGAACATTCGCTGCAGCGCTTATTCTCCTTGCGGCCGATATTTCGCGTGGGCGTCACCTGAAAAGTATGCACATTCTACTCCAATAGCGAAAACGCGGCTACAAAAACACGGCGATTTTGTTAACACAGCTTAGGGTCACCATCATCGATCCCTCGGTCGGACATGCCGTTTCTACCATTCCCGCTGAGAACGTCTTTGATCTAGCCTTTTCACCGCTCGGAACATACCTGATTACGTGGCAACGTCCGTCCAAGGACGCCAACGGCGACGCCGTCAAGAACCTGAAGGTTTGGCAGGTGGTGGAGTCGGGCAATGGAGAGGAGGATCGCATTGTGGGCCAATACGTTCAAAAGTCGCAGACTGGCTGGAACCTTCAGTACACACCCGACGAGAAGCTTTGTGCTCGTGTTGTCACCAACGAGGTGCAATTCTACCAGAGCGATAACCTGTCCAAGGTCTGGAATAAGCTGCGCGTGGAGGGGGTGGCAGATTTTGCACTCTCGCCTGGACAAAACCAAGCGGTTGCCGTCTTCATTCCTGAACGCAAGGTACGTCGATCTAGAATCAAGGATTCTGCTCTGGACTAACATCTCTGCTGTAGGGACAACCCGCCGCTGTCAAAGTCTTCTTGGTGCCTCAGTTTGGATCGCCAGTGTCTCAAAAGACCTTCTTCAAGGGCGACAAGGTCCAGCTGAAGTGGAACGCCTCCGGCACCAGTTTGATTGTCCTCGCACAGACGGACGTGGATAAGACGGGCAAGAGCTACTACGGAGAGACCACTCTTTACCTTTTGAGCTCTACCGGCCAGTTCGATTCTCGAGTGCATTTAGGTATGTCCACACACTCGGTTTTTTTTTTTTTTTTTTGACAGGAGACTAACTTTGAAACAGATAAGGAGGGTCCGATTCACGATGTGACCTGGTCGCCCACTTCGAAGGAATTCGGTGTCGTGTACGGTTCGATCCCCGCCAAAGCGACCATATTCAATATCCGTGGTGTTTCTAAACACAGTTTCCCTCTCGGCCCTCGGAACACAATTCTGTTCTCGCCCCACGGTCGTTTCGTTCTCGTGGCCGGCTTTGGAAACTTGGCTGGGCAAATGGACATTTACGACATGGAGAAGAACTACACCAAGATTTGCACGGTCGAGGCAGCAAACTCGAGTGTCTGCGCATGGTCACCGGATGGCCAGACTATCCTTACTGCCACCACCAGCCCCCGTTTGAGAGTGGACAACGGTCTTCGTTTGTGGCACGTCAGCGGAGCCTTGTTGTACAATGAGGATATCAACGAGCTTTACGACGTATTCTGGCGCCCGCAGTCGACGACTCAGCATCCACTTGGCGATCCGTTTCACCCGCTGCCTACTCCGCACTCCTCGGCAGTCGCATACCTTAGCACCAGGAAAGCTCCAGTTAAGCCCGCTGGTGCATATCGCCCCCCTGGTGCTCGTGGCCAGTCGACCCCACTGGCCTTTAGACGCGAGGATGAGGGTGGTGCGGCCCATATCCGCGACGGCACTGCCACTGGAGGCGCTCTGAACGGCCCCGCTAGGTCTAGAAGACGTGAGGTGCCAGGTGCTGAGCCAGCTGGGGAGTACCTACCGCCGGGAGCCGCTCCCGGAGGAGGTGTTGCCCTCCCGCCCGGCGCCGATCAGCCCGAGAAACTGTCCAAGTCGGCAGCTAGGAACAAGAAGAAGCGCGAAGCCCGCAAGCACAAGGAGGGTCAAGGCGAAGATGGAACAATCGAGGCCAGCCCTGCGCGCGGGGAGAAGGGCAACGACAACGCTCGGCCCAAGTCCCGCGGCGTTGACGGCAACAACGCACGCAAGAACGGCCAGCAGCCGAAGCAAAATGGCACAACGACGGCTAAGCCAACCAAGGACGTTGAACCCCCAGTTGCCGATGCGGGGGTCCCCAGCGCACAAGATAAGAAGGTCCGCGGCCTCCTGAAGAAGATTCGCGCGATTGATGAGCTGAAGATGCGACTGGCTGGTGGTGAGAAGTTGGAGGACACACAGATGAAGAAGATCCACACAGAGGACGCAGTTCGCAAGGAATTGGACGGCCTTGGCTACACTGGATAGATTCGCTCCTCCGAGTCGAGTGGAACCGCTTATAGCATTGCAGGTGCTTTTGCTTGCATGTGTGAAATCTAGCGGGGCATAACTGTATGCTTGCTCTTTGGCTTCTCATTAACGCATATGTATCATGTATCCTGTACATGGTACCAAGCCATAAACCATAAATCATACATAAACCATCTTACTATCTTAAACCCTTCAACAATATACTAGATAAGTTCTGCAATTCTTCTTTCCCGTGATTTGTTGTCTCTGACGCTCAGCGCGGTTGGTTTCAAGCGACCTTGAAGAGAGGTCCCAAATTATTATTTTGACCGATGAGTGAAACCTCCAGGCGTATGTCACCATCGTATTGCTGGAAAGAAAAGTGGTGTACTCGTTCAAATTGAGGACACAATATATATTGGGGGAGGCTGTCGCTGTACCACAACATATTTCAACAAGGACCAAATGGTGCCTTACAGGTTAAAAATACCCAAGAGCTATGCTGCAGAACTGTAAAGTCTCGCGGAAATGGAATCAGAACCAAACGATGTCGATTTGATTTCCAGAATTGCGTCGACGCACAATCCATCCGTTTGCGGATTATTCAGTCCAACGACAACGATGCTCGAACAAGGCAGAGGCGTAACGAATAAGGAAGAGGAGGCTACCTACGAATCTCTTGCTATTACAGTGAATGTCCACACCAAGCGCCCGACCTCGTTCGTTCCAAACGAGATTTGACTGAAGCATGGGCGGGACTCCCTTCGTCTTGAGAGAGCCCCCATTGATATATCGCGGCCGATACAGAGCTTATACCTTTCGAGAAGGCATTTCAAGGCATGATCCTCGCCTTGCGCTCCACCTTACAGCGCGAATGTTGTGCATCTAGATGAGATCGAGTAGAATTATATCGCAGGATAGAAGGAGAAGAACAGAAGAAAGGTGGTATGTGTATTAGTTCATTATGCGGGGTATCGTCCTGGATCTGGATTTTCCCTGTGTGGGTATCCATGATCGTTGTACATCACGTAAAAATCCGAGTACGTTTAATGGGGCTTCCAATTCGGAGGGAGCGGTTGCCATGTGCCATGCCGCTGAGCAGACGGTCCATTCCATCTACGTCGAGTTCTCCTCGACGAAGTCGAAGCTGGTCTGCCTCAATTGTGGGTGGCTCGGTGATGGACGCTCGTGTGACGGGCCCTACTTCAGGCTCTGTTAACTTGGGCGCTAAAATTGAGAGTCGGTGCTCTGTGGTGACGATCATATCGAATGCTCGGCTGTCTGGTCCTCGAGATGGGCGGGGAAGTACAGGAAGGTGGGCGATGCCCTTGAGTGGCTCTCCCATTAGTGCGATATCCTGAATGGGAGTCACTCGGCAGCGATTGGACGCGTCCAGTGTGCCTGTGGCTCTTACTGCACTTCTCCACAGAGTGACCAAGCTGGGGATGATAGCACCCTGGTTGCCATGTTGGATAAGAATCGACTCGTCAGGCAGTGCATCTTGTGAGGAGTTAGTTTGGTACACGGCAATTCCACCACTCAATGACAGGCTCGACGCTCCACTTGCAGACCCTTTGAGAAAGGTGTCTTCCCGCATTCGTTTCGTCGAAGGTGTCATAGGAGCGAATTTCGGACGTTGTTCAATGGCAGGTCCGCCAGCTGGCTGACTGAGAATCCGGCCACTAACCGAGAATGTAGTCAACGCGCCGCCAGATACCCCCTGGACACTGGCCTGCCGCTGGAGAGGCCCCTTGGCTGTGCCAGGACCCGCGCCTTCAAGATCCCAGACGCCCCATTCCCCGTCAGCCATAAGAACCATGATCGCTCGTCCGTTTAGCACCCACTCTGCGTGTGTGATAGTTTTGCGCCGCGTGAGCCCAGATGTTGACTGCTCAAATCCAGGGTAGAGGCTGATCAACCACTTCCCCTCGGGCTCGGAAGTCTCGTATTCACTCTGGGCGCTGCTTGCTCTTCGAGTTGACTTGAAAGGTTTCGTAGAGAAGCAAGAGTATACCTTGACACAGCCACCGTGGAACGACACCAATAATGTTGAGTGGCGCGCCGCCGGATAACTCGAGGGGTTGAATGCAATGTTTTGCGCTGGGGCGGGCAGATAGCGGCGCTTCGTCTCGACCTCTTCGACACGTAGGCGATACTCAAAATCGCCAGCGCTACCTTCCGCTGCAATCGGGATCCGGTGAATCAAGAGGAGGCCAGATGATTCTGTGGAATGGGTTGCGACAAGAAGGTCCCACCTCCCTTTACTACCAGCGTCCTGCTGCGAATCACCCTCTTGATATGTAAACGTAAGGCTCACACCATGTGGGATATCTTGATGAGGTACACCGCCACCGATGGAGTATATGTGGACACCTTGTGTGGCTATATCGGTTTGTGTAGGATGGGGAGGAGCCAAGGGCAGTGTCACCACACGTGTCGAGTAATCTGCACAGACAGCCGACACCACAATGGATTTATTCAGGATGGCAGGAAATGGATCGAGCGGGGACCGCGCCGTCTCAGAGGGAACGCGAGGGACCGCAAGTTCGATGACCCGGCTTCCAATGGGGATGTCGAGTTGACGGAGCACACTCTCATACGGGTGCGCTGGGTCAACCTCTGGATCTTCTTCCTCGAATCGAGATTCCGCCTCATCATTTGATTCCTCCTCATCCCTCCGTGTATCTGCCATGCTTTCGTCGTCAGAGTCGAGGATCATTATCGCATCGTCATTGCTACGGCTGGGTTTTGACGGTTTGTCTTGCTTCAAAGGCGTAGGTGTCCGATCCGAGAATGGTTTTCCCCCTCTCCAGATCACCTTCAGTCCATCGTCATAGCCGTAGATAACAATGGATGAGCCGTTTGGGGCGATGATCGGATAGCCTTGAGCTGCGTAAACACGATGGGGAAGCTGGTAGCTACGTTCGCGCGGCAGAGTCAGCACTGATTCCGAGCATATAATTCAAATCCGAAGTACCTTAGCTGAAGACCGTCATCCCGGGCTCTAACCAAGGGGCGCGAGGGAAAGGATGGCATTGTGTGAGTTGAGACTTGATTCAGCAAGGTGACTCTCCAGAGTGCCCGGCTGGAGATCGAGCTTGTTGATGAGGTGGGGTGATTGATTCAATGTAAGCGAGGATCAATGTAAGCGGAAGATTGTTTTAGGTAATAGATGGTCACGAGCGAAAGTGTGGGAGGGAGAAGCTGGGAGCTGTTGTTGTTGTTGTTGCAGAGGAGAGGAAAAAAGCCCGGCCTCGAGTATTTTGGATCTTTATTTGTCCACCGCGTCACCTCCAGTCCGCAAGCCTCAGCTCCTCAACACGCTCCCGTTTTCATCGCTTTTTTTAATGTGTATCCAGTCGCCTCACTAAAAGTCTGATACTTATCCTACGCGCCCGCATACCCGTATTTCGCAACGGAAAGCCGACAATGGCGTCTGCCACTGGATCCTCTTCTCCCCGCTTTACCTGACGACCCGCGCCGATTATGTCTACTGTTCGGTCCCTAGGGCTACACGAGTCCGCGGCCATTCCTTTCCTCGTTTCGGAGAACCTGCTGCCCCCAGATCCCTCGGAGGAGCTCTACTCATGGACTACAACTCTCGACAACGGCCCAAACGGCTCGGTGGAAGACGAGTTACTGTGGACGAAGAGCTGCGTGGTTTGGTCGCGGGCAGGGGTCATTAAAAGGGTCTTTCGACTGGATCTGGAAAAAGAGGATATCAAATATGCTCTGTTGACGAGCTTCTCTGTCGGAAAGAGCAAACATACTCATGCCAAGTCCTCATTTAGCTCTAGGTCGGCAGTATCTCGAACGGCTCGCAGCTATTCAGACCAGTTATCCAACATTCAGTCATCCGATACAAAGGACCGGAGTCTTCCAAAGCCTGAAGAACGGTCCGGGAAAAGTTCCTCACGGGCGTTAGTCGTCGTTCTAAAATCACAAGCCCACATCTTCTTCCTCGAGGGCAACAGCCACGTTGTTCCTCTATCCTTTGAGGTCGAGACAGTATTTGCAACACCTCGTGGATTACTGTTCCAAAGGAAGGTCCCTGAGGAGGATCATGGCAACTTCCCACTGGTGCCTCCGAACTCGTTCATGTCATTGCCCCTGGACTTTCGCGCGTCCCAGTCACTAGACTTTTCTTCTGGTGGCAGGGCTCAACGGCCGTCTCTCAGCACTGTTCCTGCCCAGAGCCCTGGTTGGAAATCACGGACTAGTACTAAGCGGGCGGACCTTCCTAGAGTTTTCTCTCTTATGGACCCGCATTCGGAGATGGGCCTTGTAGTAACTAATCAGTCTTCGCGATGGCGACAAGCTAGTCTTTCCAGCAGGCCGTCCGGATTCGATGTTTTGGATCCTGCAGATGAGATTATCTATGTGTCTCCTAGAGATGAGCTAACAGACGAAAATGGAGATGGTTCAAGACACCCTCTTATCCTTGTCCTAACCGTCAATACAAGCACGGGTCTGTACACACTCTGGATGGCACGTTACCGAGAGGATGAAGTCGCACCGTCGTCCAGGAAGAAAAGACGTCGCGAAACCGGTGGTACTCGGTCAAAGAGACGCAGCTCCCATTTCGGAATGACTCCAGGGACGACAACGCCAGGTGCGCGTCCCTCAGCCGCGCGAGAGAGCTTTGGCCCAAGAGGGGAGAATTGGAACTCGTCCTTCATGTCTCACTCACAGTACTCAACTGAAGGGAAGCTTGATGATGATGATTTCGCTTCCAAACTAGGTCAAGATTTCAACGAGATTGGTGTTCCTTCCAAGACTTCGAGACGAGTGAGCTCACTCCTTGCCCGCGCAGATTTGGCGACCAGCCAGGATAGGATCACATTTTCAGACCTCGCGACAGGGAGCCAATCGAGCACGATTCCTCCAGGAGGACTCCGACAGTCTATAGGAGCGGGGAGCATGCGCGGAAGTTTTGGCTTCAACCCAAAGGGCTCCTTACCTCCAGGTACTGGTTCGGTTTATAGCACCACGGGCAGCTTTGTGGATGCACCTGTGGATAAGCTCCTCGAAGAGCTCAATAACGACAGTCTGTTTGAAGGCATTGAGAACATGGATCTCAAAGAATCCGCTTCGAGTCTCCCGGAAGAAGTACTCCTGTCTAAAGTGGAAAGCTTTTCTTCAAGATTTTCGGGCAGTTTTCTCACGCCTTCAAAGTTGAAACCATCTAAAAAACTCAAAGTGATGACAATCTGTCCGTCGGATAGTGGTGGCCCACCCAGTCGACGCTCTGCTACGCTGGCTCTCTGTGTGGTGGATCAAGAGGCGAAATCCATGACTGTCGTCAACATCAAGGTGGATAAGGTCGTGAGGCCTACTAAAGATGCAGTATCTTCCAAGGGGACCAAGGAGAAAGCGCCATCTAATGAACGATCTTTGCTAGTGCAGGCTTCGGGCATCCAGCATTTCTCGGGCATCTTAGACGTATGCAAGGTGGTCGATAGGGAGCTGTCCCGTATGGTGACGCTTAGCGCTACTGACGATGGAAGCACCAAACTGCACTTGCAAACCCCATGGAGCTCCCCCATGGCGCTCGAGATACCCGCAAAGCTCATGCTACACGAAGTTGACTCACTCTCCACTCTCATGTCTATGAATCGTCCACGTGAAGGAAGCATGAAGCGTGTCATGGCTGACTCGTCAATCACCATGACGGGGCTAGACCACCCTGCCTCGAATGGGAAATTTGACATTATTGACTCCATGGGGCGAAGGCATAAGATTCAAGTCCGAATGGAGCCCGCCAATGCGCTGGTCCGAAAGATATTCCGAGTCCTCAGGTTCGCTCTGCCAGACGCAGACAAGGCATGCGATGGACTTTTGATAGGCTGGTGGGAAACCATGAAATGGCTCCAGGAACGGGAAACAGGCGAGAATGACCTTGAGTGGACTGCCCTTGTAATTGTCCTATTCGCAATGGCCATCCCCTTCATCGACAGCGACCAGACAAGACATGCACCACGGCAGACTCGCAGGAAAAGAGGGCTGCTCAGGTCCAGCAGCGGGAGCTACGTTGATACAGAGAGCTGGGAAGCGATGCTTGATCAAGAATCAGGGTCAGCTGGTGTGGTGGCTCCATGGATGAACACCGCTTCTTGGGGCTGGGTTGTCGAGCAGGACGCCGAAGATGAGAGCATTGTTGTCGGCCAAGGCAAGAAAACCTCCAAGACGGAACACTTGCCATCCAGTCGCTCAACATGCCGCAAGAACACCTACCTGATTCGATGTGCGGCATTGACGAGGGAATACTTGCAAAGCCCGCGAGGCAATGCGACAATTGGAGTAGACGGCCACCTTCCTACTGCGCGCGCCAACACTCCGTCTGTACGACGTGCCGCCCTCAGTACTATCTTGCTCGCTCTACATCTCCTTCGAGAAGACCAAAAGTTGACAGTGTGTGATAGCGAGCAGTCACACAGATCACTTGGCCTTCTTGCCCCGGTTCTAGCCCAACTGGGCGGCTGGTTAGGATGGCCATCATGGATGTGGGCAAAAGATTCTTACTACGGCATGGAAATAGCAAGCATAGACCGCTGGCAATTTGAGGACACTAGAATATCCTTGGCGGAGGTGCCTCGCGAGCCGTTCACACCCCCTTCGATCTTTGCCTATCTCGAAAATGCCTGGCGTCGGCCAGTAGACCCATTCTTCACTCTACTCAGCCTCATCAACCAGGCTGACAGGTGCTCGACAAAAAACAAGGTATGGCGAAAGTGCTACACTCTCACGCCAAGGACTCTAGCATTGGACGGGTTCCTATCCGAGATGCACAATAACCCAGCCCCTCTTGACCGGATCAAGCTTCTTCATCGTTGGGGGTTTACTCGAAGTGTGATGGAGACCTTGCCAGAGGGCGTTAGCACTCCGCTATACGAGGCTATTCTGCAGTCACAGATGCACGCCTCGACGTCCTGGAGTCCAAGTCTCCTAGCATTGATAGATAGAGACGATCTCAGTACATCAATGAGTCTTTCACTTGCGTCTCGCCCCGCACCAGCTCCTTCTCAGTTTATGGTGTCCCACGACGCAATTCGTGACTATCACCATATTGGAACATCCGCTCTGGAAATCGATGCCATAAACTCGTTCGAAGCTTCTGCGGAGGCCGACCGATTTTCCATCACGCGCTTGATCTTCCGTGATGATAAACGCTTCATTGAAGCTGCACGGCTGCTGAACCAATCCAAGCCCCCCGCGGCTGAATGTACCCCAGAGCCCGAATGGACTGATTCGGATCTACTGGAGGCGCAAAAAGAAGTTGTCCAGCTGGTGACGCTGCGAACACTATCTATCCCTACGGGACGGGCCATGCTGGCATTTAGTGGGCGCCTCCCTCTCTTGACCGAAAAGCTACCCATCCCATCCTTCTCGTTGCAGTGTGTGATGAAGCCCTCAAATGTGACCATAAGTGCGGACAGAGCGTCTTTTAGCGAGGAAAAGGTTTGCTGGGCTTTCTTCCACAATGGCGTTTCTACTGGTCTCGCCATTTCGAGAAATTCTAGGGGGATCGACACCTCATGGATTCTGTTCAACAAGCCTCAAGACTTGACCAACCGACATGCTGGGTTCCTTCTGGCACTGGGCCTCAACGGGCATTTGAAATCGCTCGCGAAATGGGTTGCTTTCAAGTACCTGACTCCCAAACATACAATGACCTCGATTGGTCTATTGCTAGGTTTGTCCGCGTCGTATCTGGGTACAATGGATACACTAATCACTCGATTGCTTTCGGTACATGTAACGAGAATGCTTCCTCTCGGCGCGGCAGAGCTCAACTTGTCGCCGCTCACGCAGACCGCGGGCATCATGGGAATTGGGCTTTTGTACTGCAATTCGCAGCACCGGCGAATGAGTGAAGTGATGCTGTCGGAAATTGAAAATGCGGAACCAGAAGAAAGCTCGTCTTCCCATGAATATCTTCGGGATGAGGGTTATCGCTTGGCTGCCGGGTTCGCTCTCGGGTTTATCAATCTTGGTAAAGGAAAAGACCTAAAAGGCATGCGGGACATGCATATTGTTGAGAGATTGCTTGCAGTGGCAGTTGGCACCAAGAACGTTGATCTAGCTCACATTCTCGACCGAGCCACCGCAGGGGCCACCATTGCCCTGGCTATCATCTTCATGAAGACAAACGACGAAATCCTTGCTCAAAAGATTGATATCCCCGACACCACAGTACGCTTTGACTATGTCCGGCCGGACCTGTTCCTCCTTCGGACGCTTGCGCGCCATCTTATCCTGTGGGACAACATTGAACCTTCCGATAAGTGGTTCATACAGAGTCTTCCAGAAGTGTATCGACACCGCTATCGTCTAACGCGTGTGCGTCGCCTGCAGAGCAACGATATGCCATTCTTCAACATCATTGCTGGTCTATGCTTCGCACTCGGCCTTCGATACGCTGGTTCCGCCAAGCCAGAAGCGCGCGACATCCTCCTTTCGTACCTTGATCAGTTCATCCGCATCTGTCGACTTCCAGCCGGTAACTATGACGGAAAACTGGCCCGAAATTCTGTCCGACACTGCCAGGATGTTGTTGCATTGTCGGCTGCGGCTGTCATGGCAGGTACAGGGGACTTGGCTCTCTTCCGGCGTCTACGGTCTCTCCACGGTCATGTGGATCCCGACACACCCTATGGAAGTCATATGGCGGCACACATGGCTGTAGGGATGCTGTTTCTGGGTGGAGGAAGCTATACACTGGGCACATCCGACATTGCCATTGCGTCTCTCATCTGCTCGCTGTACCCGATATTCCCGACAACTGTACTGGACAACAAATGTCATTTGCAAGCGTTTCGCCATCTCTGGGTGCTCGCTGCCGAAGCACGCTGTTTAGTTCCTCGCGATCTTGATTCCAGGCGTCCAGTTTCAATCCCTATCAACGTGACGAGCTCCGACGGCGATACCCGTTTGCTAACTGCGCCTTGCCTGCTGCCCGACTTGAGCCAAATTTCAAAGGTCGAAGTTCGCAGTCCCGACTACTGGCCTTTGGTTCTAGATTTCGCGTGCAATCCAGAAATCCTCACAAAGTTCCGCCGGGGCGACCAGTCCGTCTACCTACGACGCAAAGCAACTTACAATCCAACGGGCACCTCAGTCTTCGGCTCTACATTGGCTGGTCTGAGCGATGCTCAGGATATCCTTCCCTCATCGTCCACCTCGGCCTCCAATCAAGGCAAGGGCCTCCCCCTCACTGCCTTACCGAGCGTGATGAACATCAAGGCCAGCGGCCCCCTCATCGGAACGCCCAAGTCCGCAACACAAAGTATCTGGGACTGGATCTTCGAGCTCAAATCCCTCCACGGCCTCCTAGACGCGCGCGAAAAGGCCCTCGTCCTCCCATCTTCCTTCCCTGCACGCCCTCAGCCGGCCCCGGCACCGAACGATGCACCATGGCTCCGCCAGTCCGTTGTAGACAGCAAGCTCGTCACCGAACGCACGGCGCGGAATATCATACAGGCTGCAAAGGGGCGAGGTGCGGACCCGGACGAAGTGCGAGACCGCCTGTGGCAGCTTCGGCTGCTCTTCAACTGGATTGATGCGCAAACCCCGGAAGAAGACAAGGATGGGGAGGGCTCTGCCTCTTCCCTGCACTCGAGCGGACTTTGGCTGCGTCGTGACTACATTGAGGAGTTGCGGTGGAAGATTTGGGGTGTTCAGGTTGGGGATAATGTCAAGGAGGTGGAGTAAGGGAGGTGACGATGCCATGCACTATGTAACGGTGTATTAACGGAGTTAAGGAGATAACACCAATGGGCCGTTTATTGCGGGTTATTAGGAGCATATCTTAGCAGTCGATCATAATTGAGTGTCTGTTTTGTATTGCTCTTCGCTTGTGTATTAATCGTCATTCGTTATGATACATTCGATATACCTACAAGTATATGCAGCTCTGCGTGTGATTGGAATTCAGGATAATGGCAACTCCGAATCATTGCGATCGAATCTCCCCGGGCTTCAGGATTCCGCGATCCCCAGCGCCGCCCATCTGCCATAACCACACGCCTTCTATTGCCCATGCAGATGCACTAGCATGGCGCCCGACGCCGCAACCCTTCGTCGAAACAGAGCTTTGCTCATCAGTAGTTGTACTCGCAGCACCGCGACGGGACGAGGGCGCTGATGTAGACGGCCCCGCTTCCTCCAGCATACCAGCCACAGCACCCTCCCGCTCAACGACCGACCACAACCCCTCTACTAACGGACTCCCTCGCTCGCCGAACTGACCCTTCCCTAAACGGAATAAGATCCGGCCGAGGACCTGCCAGGCGACGCAACGCTGCGCAGGGAACGACGAGCGGCTGAGGATTGCGAGTTCGGGGATTGTGTATCCGGCGGCGTGCGGGTCGTTACCGTGGTGGTGGAGGCCGAGATTGGTGGGGAGAGAGAGCGATGTAGAGGGGGAGAGGATCGTTCCGGTCAGAGAAAATCGTAGTGAGGCTGGGTGGACGGCTTCGGCGCTGCTTCCGGGGTGGTATGCGGAAGAGGGAGGGGCGCCGGGTTCGTCTGGATCGGAAGGGGGCGGCTGGAGCCAGGATAGGGAGGAAGAGTCGTGGGAGATATCAGGGAAATAGTGGGCTTGTAAATCGGTCAAGAACGAGGGTGAAGAAGGGTCTAATGCTGGCATTGTGGTGGAGCGTGGAGGAGGGGTGGGGAAGTGGACGGAGCCGGAGGACGGGAAATCTGCTGCTGGGAGAATGTCTTCGGGGACCGTCGAGGGAGGGAGCTCATCTGGGTTGGGAGATGCGCTTGGTTTTGGTGTAGATTTGAGCGGTGGTGGTGGTGGTGCGGATGCGGGTGTTGGAGCTGACCCCGAGTCTGGAGGAGCTGAAGAGGCTGGGGTATCGTTTCTGGCAGCAGCAGCGGAAGCTGACGGCGCAGGATTATCATCATCAATACGAGCTCGACGGAGGAAGCGCTCAAGAAGTGACGGATCAAGAGATGACATCAATTCCTCTCGTTCTCTTTCAATCTGAGCATCTGACATGGACGCTAGCTGCTGGCGGTTTTGTTCCTGAATCGCGGTTTTCTCATCGTCTAAACCATGCGCCGCTTTTATTGAAGGTTCAGGTGTGGCCTTAACCTGAGCTTGCCGCTGCTTGAAAGCAGATGGTTTGGCGCGGCGACGGTGGGCAGGGAAGCCGGTGGCTGACTTGAGAGTGGGAGGAGCAGGAGGTGCGGCGGGGGAGCGTTCTTGAATCTCTCCAATGACACCGGGGATGGCAAGCGTTGAGGTTTGAGACGGAGGAGGAAGGTCTTCGGGGTCGGAATCAAGATCTAGAACAAAGCGCTCTCCGCGGAAAGCCATGATTGGATACAGAGGAAGTCGGGGTACAGCTGCAAGGTCAAGCTGGGGAAAATGCGAGGGAATAAATCAAGTGGGATGTTCTAACTAAAGAAGAATGGCGCAGCTGACTCAGCCATGCGGCTCAAAGTTAAAGATCGCGCTAGTCCATGAATAATTAGCCAGTCAGGTGACAACCCATCCCAAAGGGGATTGGCGTGCAGGATCAGATGATCTGTGACTTGTCGCTCGATGGAAACGCAGCATCATCTTTGTCTTATGCACCTGGCCCATTGAGGGTTATTTGTCACGGTCATGCCTTGTTTCCAGTCTAATAGTAGCGATACCCAACTCGTAGGCGGCCCGCCCTGATTTGCCTTGCTCGTGGCGGTGCGTCCCGAGGGCAACACGAACCATGTCGGCGATCGGCCTGCCTTGATTTCTATACATGAAAATGATATCCAACTTACTCGTGCTATTATTGCCCCAGCGGCATAATACGTATCAAAAATAAAGCATCCTCGATGAGAGTACCAACTCATTTTTATTCGCTATCGACTCCAAAATGCTCTATTTGATCCCTGGTGGCTCGTCGATGAGCGAGACAGGGCCTGCGGGCCTGTCTGATATTGCATTCTGACCAGCCGCAGAGTCGCCCTTCTTGCTCTCGCTTTCCGCTCCTTTTTCTTGCGTTCTTTGCTCCGTCTTCACCCCGTGTTCTTTTCCCCTTCTTCATCAACCTCCTCCATCGCCCCTTCCCCCCCGACTTCCATCTCCCACTCTCGTTTTTCCATCTTTTTCTTATCATCAGTTCTGATCTACAAGATCATTTATTTTGTTAAACGCAATTCCTTCAATTTTAACTTCCAGCACCAGTTTCCGAGCCCGCCCTTTTACTCCCACGCTCGCCCTCCGTCCGTCCCTCTCGTGTCGTTCGTTCTAATGATCCACATTCCCTGATCTTTTCCATCATGTCCTCTGGGCCGCCCGTCTGGCCGGCTCAGGACGAACACACCGCCGAACCCCGTCCCCGACGGTCGCGTCGAAAGAAGGACGACGACGCCGCCGATACCGACCGCAAGGAACCTGCCAAATCCACGAGAGGCAAAGATAAAGAAAAGGACAAGGAGAGCCTGAAGAAAGAGGAAATGGACAACGACAAGAAAGAGTCGAAACGGCCAACCCGCCGTGGGCGAGACAAGTCTTTGTCCATGTCCAACAGCAACAACCCTACAAATGCTGCAACCCAATCGACTCCCTCTAATTCTCGCAAGAAGCCCAGGCTGGAACCTACACCCCCTGATCAAAGCCCAAGCACTGCTTCTGCCGTACCTGCAGCGCCTTCACCGGCTCCGGTTTCAATATCAACGCCAGCTCCAGCTCCAGCGCCCGCGGCCGCGGCCGCGCCCGCACCTACTGCTTCGATACCTGCTCCGAAAGTCAGTCCAATGCCTCCTGCAGCAATTGCAGCGAACCATTCCCAGCAGCTGCCTCCCCAACCGGTTCCACAGACCCGGTCACCTTATCCTCCCTCTCAATTGCTCTTCTCATCACACCACCCTACTCCTGCCGCGTCGACTCCAGCGACGTCATCTCCATACTCGACAATGGTCTCTGCTCCCCCGTCACGACCGCAATCTCAGCCATTGGCCCCTCCTCCCAATAGAACTAGTGGTCAAAACTACGATCCAATCCGCTCTGCCTTTGACACCACCTCGTCCGCGCCGGCTCCGTCTGCGGCTCCTGTTCCTGCCTCTTTTAGCCCTCCCGGCCAAGTGTCGCCTCGCCCATTCCGCGCCAGTGCTTCGCCGGCAATTTCTAGCATAATCGATCCTCCTCAACACGCTTCACCACCACAATATGCTTCGCGACCGTACGGCTCACCTGAGCGAAGTGTATCTAGCTATCCTCCAACTCCGGCTCCGCCTCCAGTCGCCTCCCCACATGCACAGCTACCTCCGTCCTCTTCACCGTATGCGCACCAATCTCCATACGGGCCGCCCGCTTCACAGGTCCAACCTCCCCAGGAATCTCATACCCCTGCTCAAGTGATCTCACCCCAGGTTCAACATGCTGTGCCCGAACGCAAGCCATCTCCGCCACAATTCCAGCAAACAGCGACGGCATCGACCCCAATGGAGGTGGATAGTCAACCCACTGCGCCTGCAGTAGCTGACAAGGCGCTGAAGAAGGATTCGAAGCCTGCTACAGCACCCTCGTCAAAGCCGCCCTCACCGAAGCCTGCGCGTCCAGCGAAAGAAGTCCCTCCTCCTTTACCTCAAGGTTCAGGTCTCATTTCCACCGCGTTATTCGGTGGTGTAGATGACAGCGCCTCTGACACCTCCACTCAGCGCACGCCAAACATTATTGTGCACATACCTCTCCAGGGGAATGGCAACAAGATTATTAATTTCGCCCGCTTGGCAGAGGAGCAGTATGGCTTTGCTGCGCTGTACCCACAAGTAGCTGCCCGCCAGGAACGTATGGCGCGGGTCGCAGCGGCAGGAGCTGCACTGGAAAAGAATGATCGGTCTGGTCGTGGGATTTCGGCCGGTGAGAGCGCAGATGAAGATCTTAGCATGGAGGTCGATCGCGACAGCGAACTTGAAGGTGCGGGTGCGTCAGGTGGTGCGGCCGCACAGGCAAATGAGCCGGGCGATGGAAAGAAACGGAGACGGCGGAGGAAGATGGAGGAGTATGACCGGGACGATCCGTTCGTGGATGATAGCGAAATGGTCTGGCAGGAACAGGCCGCGGCAAGTAAAGATGGCTATTTTGTTTACAGTGGTCCTCTTGTGGCAGAGGGTGAAAAGGTTCAGGTTGAACGGTATGTTATTACTCTCTTTATCCGTTGTTACATATGCTTATATTTCTCCCAGCGCGGATGGCACAATCAAACGAGGCCGTGGCCGTGGTCGTGGCGGACGCAGCCGAGCTCCTGCAACGACCCATCAACAGCTACCGCTGGCAGCAGCGATACCTATATCCCAGGAGACAGGCCTTCCTGTGCGCGGTCCCGGATCAAGGGGTGGCAATATTAATCGCCGGCCGCGCGTGAGCAAGAAAGTCGAACAGGACAAATCGGGCGGCCCTACGTCTGGATCGCACGGACGAGGAGGAGGCGGTGCTGGCCGCGGTGGTTCAACAAGCACACGTGGAGGGAAAACACCGATGGTGGAATTGGCACCACGACCAAGTCTCGCACCTGCTCCGCCGGGCGTGAACCCTATCGGGGGACCAGAGGTTGCCATGAAATAGGCTTGTGCAGTTTTTACGGTATGCCTCTGCCATTGAGCTGGAATCGAAACCGACAACCGTATGAGATCTCGTTATCGGCGTTGTTTGGCTTCAGGTATAGAGAAGAATTGAGGGCGCGCATGAGCTGGAAGCATGCCATGGGAGAGTCCGTTTTTTCTCTGTTGTCTTGTCATGGGCATGTTTCGGGTTGTTTGGGTTCTACGAATGAATCTGAAACTAAAGGTGTTTTTCTTATGCATGAACCGGTGTATTTTTCTACTACAGATATTCTTTTGACTGGGTCATACAAAATCGAATTCATTTCCTGTGTTAGTTTACTAGCTACGAGGTCGGTGTTTCATCATAGTACGGAAACTTACAGTGCGCTCAGAGAGATTGCTCACATCGTAGATAGTGTAGTCGAAGTACTTGGTCTGCTATATATCGTATAAGCCTGTTGATTCGTTAGAGTATCGACAACGCTCAACCTAAAACTGGTCGGTCCACCCTTTGTCTTTCTTCTCTTTGAACCGCTCATCATTGATCTCCCACCACCAAGCATGCGTTGGATCGTTACTCGTCCTCGTCTCCGGATTCGGATCCTCATCCCACGGCTTCGGACTCAAGATATAATGCACATTCTTCACATTCTCATCCACCCAGATGGAATCATGCACTCCTTCCCGCCGTAACGTCTTGAGCGCATTATAGATGTATGGGAGCGCCACCCACCGGCCGTAGAAGATATCCGAGAGCAAGGATTGGTCCGCAAAGTCGTAGTTTGACGCCGTGGACGAGGATAGCTGCGCGATTATCTTGTCGTAGATTGCCTGACTGGGGTTCACGACCAGTAGACCGCCGTTGGCCATACCCAGGCCCGTTGTTGGCGGTGCGCCGGTCTTTTGAGCGACTGCGGGGGTTGAGTGTTGGGAGGTGAACGCGCAATTTGAGGGGATCCTGTTGCCAACGTGTTAGGTTTGGTATTCTCTGCCACATGCCGAGCCGTAAGACGCAAAGAAGGAGACATACCAATCCTTCGGATAATGCGCCTTCTTCAACGGATTACAAACACACGCATGGCTCGCCGCAAAAACCCTCTGCCCAGTCCCCGCAAGCTCCGGCGCATCCAACTCCAACTCCATCAACTCGTCCATATTCTTCAGCACAACCATATCACTATCCAACTGCACAACACGCTCATACTGCACCAGCGAGAATGGCGTGAGCTTGCTCCAGCAATCATAGAAGCGCACATCGTTGACGAAGTCCTTTGAGACCGTCGGGAGGAGGTAGGGTACGCGGCGCTTCAGGATGCCCCGCGCATCGAGGGCGGCGTGGCCTTCTGGTGGGAAGGAGTCGGTGTAGAGGACGAGGAGCGGGTATTTGGAGCCGGACTTGCGGAGGGAGAATTCGAGGGTTAGGAGGCCCGAGAGGTAGTCGGTGTTTGTGATGAGGGTTGTCCAGACTGGGGCATTGGGCGGGGTTAGTTTATCTAGATCTGTGATGGAAACGCGGTGTTATGGTTGAGCGGTCTACCTTTCGTCGCGGTCGTCGCCGGCGTGGCGTTCTCTTCGCCGGACATGCTGCAGAGTGTGGCTGGGCAGTGAAATGTCTAGATAAATGCCTGAAGGGACAATTGGAGAAGAGTGGCTTTTATTCCCCTCTGGCAGTCGGAGATTCGGAGATTTGGCGGGGATCTTATCAGCTTATGTAAGCTTAGCGCTGATATGCCATTTCTCATGCTGGATGGCATCATCTCATCTTTAGGTACATCTCGCATGGATCGAGCATGTTCGTCTTTTGGAGGAACAAACTTCTCGACAAACTATACTGCTATTTTTATATTCGATCGCCATTAGGGATCTTGGAAGCCACTCACAAATCAGTAGATAATGTGCCCAAGATACGACTAGAGGGCGTGATTGGCCTTCCAACCGCCAACATGGACGCACGAGTAGGAGACAGTCAGAGCCTCGCACTTCCGACCGGACTTATAAATCTCTGGCGACGCAGCCTGGTGTTAACCATCGCCATTCTTCTCCTAAGTTTCATCTTCAATCTTCCAATGGAGGTCTCATCAGCAGTCGCAACCTGGTCCTCTTTGGCCGTCACGATAGTCGGTTTGGGTTCTATCGGGACACAGGTCAGAGTGATTCTCGACCAGGCCAATCCTCTCTATGCGCTCCGTAACATCGGACATCTGGGGAAATGGTGGTATCAGCAGCCGGACATCCCTTGGCACGGGGTTTATAAAGCCCCCTCTTGTTGGGCCTACGATGTCAGTGATTCTTGAGCCGGGGTGTACGGGAGAAAGACAGTCTTCGTCAGCCGTTTGCCCGAAGGTCAAGTTGGGCCTGCTGGATGGGTGACTTTGCTGCTGGTCATCTACCTCGGCTCCAGCCGTCCAACGTATTGGGTGTACCGAAGGAAGCGAAGCGACTGTGACAGTTCGAAGTGGGTTACTCTCGGCTGGTAGGGGTTTCAGTAACTACTGGGGTTGTCTGCCCGTCGCCCCGTTTGAGGCATAAGTCGGTCACAGTCCAGGAGTCCATGTTGCTCGTTATTTCGCGAACAGTGCTTCTGACACTTTTCTGTGGGTATTTGCTTACCTCCGATATTATTCGACCACAGGGTGTGGAGAACAGGGCTTCCCGTCCGCTCAGCCGTACTTAAGCCACACGCCGGTAGGTTAGTAGTATGGTGGGTGACCACATGCGAATCCCTACTGTTGTATGTTTTTGAACATTCTTTTTGCACCTCTCTCGCGAGCCGCATTTCCGTCCTTCTCAGGTCAAGGGGCTATGAGGTCTATCAGATGATCTTTGTTGCGCATGATCGAACCGCCCTGGCAAGAGTGTTTCATCGAGAGTGGGCATTGCCTGATAACTTTTCCTTCGCCTGCATCATTCACATGCGCATTCCCTGAGCGCAAGACCTGAGAACTAGGTATTGCATTATGCTTCAAAGGGTCTCGGAGGCCCCCACGGCGGTCGCCAACTGTACAGCATGATCGACGGGGATATAGCAGGCATAGACTCTCTCGCGATGGAAAGACTAACCCATGACCACCTCGTGAGAGTTGCGACGGATCTCGCGCTGGCTTCTGGAGCGGAATGGACGCAGGGATCTATGAGACAAACCCTGGGAGACACGTCAAGGACACCCCGGCAATCCCTCTCACCCTAGACCGGTGGCTATGATCGCGCTTACAAAGTGTTCGGTTTTGGAGCGGAGTATCGATTTGAATAATCATAGGTGCCACGATTTGCCCATGGAGGTGCACTATGAGATCTACCTGAGACTGTTGCTCTAGTTGCCTTCAGGATGACATGACAGCTTGGATGGACCGACGGCATGAATTGCCTAGTGAGAGTTTTGACCACGCTTGATGGGATACAACTCCTATGACATGGATTGGCCACGAACCTCAGGCTATCTTCCCGTAGTCTTTCACAGTCCTTGCCTCAGCCTCAAAATGCTTCAGAGCCCAGTCTCATTCTCCGAATGCAATCACATGGCTCATTCGATACTCCGTCTGCCACAGCGCCATTGAGAGCGCGGCCCACGCTCCTTCCCAGAACCATCCCCACAATCTCGAGAAGGTGTAACTCAGCCTGGGCGTGTGCCTTGCTCACGAGAATCATACAGGCAAGGAAGGAGCGGCCCACCAGGAATCAGATGAGAAAGGTGCCAGGGCCGTCGCTCCTTCCTGCACATGCCACTGGAACTCTGGGAAGGTGCAACCGGGAGCGTACTTTCCTCGTTCGAACACGACTCCAATCAAGGAAGGCACAACCCAGCCCCGGGAGATGCTCCTTCCTCACGGGGACAATAACGAATAAGGAAGTCGTGTGCGATGACAGTTGGGGTCGCTCCTTCCGTACGCATCGAGTACTCTTATACTTAGGTAAGAAAAGAGCGACCCGGCCCCGGGAGACGTACCTTCCTAATTCAAATTGGTGATAGATATGGAAGGTACGATGCTTGCTCGCTCCTTCCTCACACTACCAAGTGGCAACTAAAGGAGGAGCGGTCCAGCCTCAGAAAGCGTACCTCCCTTTATCAGAGGACAATAGAGACGGAAGGAACGACCGTTATGCGGATCAGACGAAGAAGGCACGATGTTGATTGCTCCTTCCTTATCTAATAAAGGGTAGATCGGGGGGAGCAACCCTGCCCGGGGGCGTGCCTTCCTCATTGGGGTAGTGAAGGCACGGTTCTCGCTCCTTCCTTGAGGACCATGAGAGCTCTGAATGCACGCCCAGCCGAGTACTGGTATGACGGTCAGTCCTGCAATGCGGTGCTCCAGGGAGATTGGGTTGAGGGAACACCATACTTGATTCTACTGGTGGCATTGCGAATAGCTCTACGCGTATAGATACCGATGGTATACGAAGGGACCAATATGAAGGAGAGGGAACTAGGAGGACCTGTTTCAGTGCCCGAGGCCATGGCACTGTGTTAATCTTGCCGAATCACGGCCATTTTTAATGCTTGACCGGGAGTACCGTTTCTACGACGGAGTTCAGTTAATCATCAACGCAAGATCTTCGAAGATCTGCGCGGCGAGATACACGAAATGTTGTCCAGTATATCTAGTGCTCTGGTCAAAAGAGCCAGCCCTCAGTCCATGCTCGCAACCCTCGTACACGCCACAACCAGCGCAACCACCATGAGCAGAGGCTGGACTGATATGCCACGCCTATCATAGGCACCGCTAGGCGGGGCACCGTCTATAGCACGTAGTGGAAGTCGGGGTTCTCCAACTCGGTCATGTTGTGGATCCCTAGCACAACCCCGTCGAGCACCTCGCCCTCCCTCCGAACAACAGCACCATACTTGCGATCTCGTCTCTTGTAATCATATAAACTCGCAGACCGGCCGCAATGAAGACACAGAGACAGACTGTACCGCTCGCTACATTAGCAATGCACCAAGATATATATATATATATATATATATATATCTAGATAGAAAAAACCAGGGAAAGAGGAAGACACTCACAACAAACAAAAATAAGCATAATAGCAAGCACCTACCGCGGCCCATCCCACTTGCAAAAGAAGAACGGCCCCGCAATATTTCCCACCGAAAACGCCATGAAGAGGAGCACATTCGTCGACCGCATGCTTCGTATGCACCGCAATATTTTGCCTGACAATCGTGAGCGTAAACGACCAGTCACCGCGTACGATTTGATGAGCCAGTACGCGATGAGCCGGCCCAATTTGTTTGCACTGGGCACGTTGTTTGTGCCGTAGACAGAGGCGATTCCGGCAATGGTCAGGATCATGGGTCCGATCATGCCTCAGGTTCGGAGGCCCTCGTGGCGTGTAGTGAAGTAGACCCAGATTATCATTAAGCCGGCGGGAGACGATGGAGGAAGGGAGGCCGATGAGGAGGGTTTCAAAGGAGCTGAGGCCCAAACCAGAGATTACGAGGGACCCAAAGTTTGTCAATCCTGGCATATGTTAGATGGCTTTTGATACAAGTGAAAGGAGAGGGGCGAGTTCGGCATACCTCCGTTGGGTAACATAGAGAAAAAGACAAAGCTGGCGAGAAACCATGCCTTGAGATCTTGACGTAGTATCAGATCTGGTAGTGCTTTCACCCGTAGCTCTTGATGCCCATCGGATCGGCTGCAAAACGCTGAACAGCGAAGACGTGTTCTTCCTCGATGAGGAATTTGGCGTCGTGAGGGCCTTCAGGCATGACGACAAGTCAGGTGATACCGGTGCTGACCATATTAGGTGAGTACTATAAGGCCGAAGAGTAGTGCGTACATTATAGGCATGGCGCGCAGGACTAGGAAGATATACTCCCACGACAGGATGGTAGTATTATCAATATGGTCAACTGCCAGGTTAGCAGAACTATCTTTAAGACGAGGAAGGATACATACGCCCGTAACTAGGCAGACAGGCCAGGATGTTAAGTATCCCCTGCATAGCTCCCCCCGTCATTGTCCTCATAACCTACTCTTGTCGCGTGTAGTATGCGAAGTATACAGCACAAAACCCGGACTGGCCATGGACTCGGCAACGCCCAAGAAGAATCTCAACACAACCCGTCCTGCATAGTCAGAACACGCCATAGGCAGCACGATAATCGCACCCCAGGTCAGTGTCCCAAAGGCAAGAATCTGCGACGTGTTGAACCGCTGCAGCAGGAAGTTCGCCGGGTACTGCGCGGCGAGGTACCCGAAGTCGAAGAATGGAGATGTCCATGAGTACTGGTTACCGACGAGCCCGAGGTCCTCTTTGAATGTGAAGAGCACCGCCCAGCCCATGGTGACTTTGTCGACGTAGTTAAGGCCGTAGAAGACGCACATGCAGGGGAGGTGGCCCTTGAACTTGCGGGCGACTCGTTTGGTCTCTTCGTCGGTAAAGTGGCGGTCTCGTCGGCTGGACGATGTTAGTGCTCGCATAGTTGTGGGTGTCTGGGAAAGTACCTTTCAAAGACTTGATGCCATCGATAGTAGCAGCAGGTGGCTGATCACCATTCTGGGCCTCGTTGAAAGCCTCAGTCTTTTCCGCCATCTTGTTGTCTGTCCCAGTAGATTAGGGTCTCGAAGACTTGCTGAAGACTTGCAATTGCAGACATGGAATGCGTGGGATATATTCAGGATTTCTCAGGATTTCTCAACGTTCCTCAGCTCGCTTGTTACCGCACCCCCATCTGCCTATCTAGAACAGTCCTGTTAGCGTGATTGGAAGTTGGCCGTTACTCCAAGTCTCCAACAACGAGCCTGATTTGAAGCATCCACGAGATTGTCATATGATATTGGGCCAAGCACGGCCAAGCTCAAGCCACCGCCACGGCTAAAGCTTTGTTCGGTCTCATAGATCTTTTACCATGGTGGGCTCTCTGGTACTGTGATGACATTCTTCCGCAGCCGCGTTCATCTGTCACAAAGAAGACAGAAGAGGATTCCGCATTAGTTCCTGTGCTTTCGAGGACAGCGGAAGGTCCCTATCGTCAAGGAAATAGTCGTCCCCAACTCAGTTAATCAACCGATAGAGCAACTTCCCTCGCGATTGACAGGAACATCCCGAAAGAAACGCCCCGTACATATCTAGACGAGTATTTTGTTCTCTGTTTACTGATAACTGCACCTCCTGTAAGGGACAGGCTCTAATACCACCCACCCAAAAACCACGAAATCAAAACCACAATGACAACAGACAAAGACTTCATCTGCCTTATAAACCAAGAAGAATGCCTCAACTTTCTCTCAAGGCTAATTCAGATAAAATCCTGCTCGTGCACTCCAAGCGAGAATGAAGCGACGGTAGTATATCGCCAAAGCCATGAAAAGCATCAGGCTTGACGCCGGCGTCTATCCATTCGGGGACGGCTCGAGGCAGGATACCATTAGGTTGTAGCGAGGTCTGCGGAAGACAATGCCATTGTCTCAGAAGGGGAAGAGGCGGGAAGAATCTGCTGCTTAACGGCCACCTGGACATGAACCCCTTTTCGGGCGGGTGGACGATCGACCCCTGGGCCGTAAAACGAGACAAGGAATGTACCTATGGAATCGAGGCCTTGAATATGAAGTCTGGTTGCGCAGCGTACTTTTGCGCCGTGAAGGCGCTCAAAGAAGCGGGATGAAAGCCTCGAGGGGTATGTCCTTGATACTCACATACGTCGTTGGTGAACTCCAGAGCGGCGTCGAGACCATCGCTGCGATTAAACAGTAACACTGCAGTGGTGCAGACTACTTTGTCAACTGTGAGCCGAGCGATGCCCGCGCAGGTACCATGCATGCGCAGTCGCTGTCGGATCGTGCTGAAAGATGTGACGAGGTATTTGTCTACGCCTATTGATGCGATTCTGGCCGCGTGTGAGCTTATCCCGCGGCTGAACGGAATGGTATCCAGCGGTGCGCTGACGGCCGAGCATCGCAGCATCAACCGGTGTCATATTGGTGTTGTAAATGGAGCGCTGCGTGAAGATCTCAATGAGTGGCGGCGGATTGTGGTGCGCATGGGAGCTGCCAAGATATGCGCCGGGTAAAACGAAGGACTTCTGCTGGATCTGAGAAGGGATATTGAGAACGCGATTGAGGAATGGATGGGCCAACCAATGCCGGCTTTCCAGATGGACAGGGACTCGAGGATTGTCCCCGCGTTCAATGACGCGTATAAGTCTGTTCGAGGCGACGAGCAGCCGACGGGTGTGCTCCCGCCGACATGCTTTTACGGAAGTAATGCTGGGCATCTGTATAATCTGTTGAGGTGTGATGCTTGCTCATGAAATCTTACCAGAGAACGACAGAGTTCGCCCAGATGCACTACATCCGGAACACCCAGACTTGCAAGTCCCTTCTCCAACCGCTCCGCATACCTCGTCGCTGAGAATGCCAAAACAGTATTCGACGCAAGTCGAAACGCGACCAATCCCCAGAGCTGGGCCATTGCTTTGTGCTTTCTGTACCCCGGATCACCAAAGCGTTCCTATCCAAAACGTAGAATCGTACTTCGTATGGTACTGGTAGACTGCATGCCGTGGCCCCGCATTGAAGACCAGGTCCGCCGATGAGATTCCGAGATGGTTTTGACACACGGTAAAATCGGAGCCTGTGCCGATGTCTTTTACTATGGGTGCGTCCAAGGGTGGGAAACGGGCTTTTGTGTTGTTGAGCTAGTCGGTGTAGACGGTGCGATGCTATATGGCACTTCTGTATCTGTATTGAAGAGGAACTACCCGTCCTCAACCTCTACTTCCTCATTCAGTGGAGAGGGAACGAGTTTTGCGGCTTCGTAGAGCGTCTCGGCGAGCAGTGGGCTTCCGACTGGGTCTTGTCTATCTCCGTCGCTGGTAGATTCATCGACATTTATGTCTAACCGGGTCAGTGGATGACACAACAGAATTTTTCGCGCTGTCCTTACATGCAATGCAATTCTTTTTCGAGTAGTCGAAATTTCGGGTTGCCCACGCTGTGGATTGAGGAGTCCGTATTCTTTGCTGTTCCAGGCATTAGCTAATATACAGTTATGGATATGCAAAACCGGGCCCTTACATGGTTCAGAGGGGTTTCCAACCGGCTGTGAGAGTCTTTCTAAGTGACCGGACAACCTCGTTCATTGCTGTGAATCCAGACACTGGGTCCACGCAGCCAGCGGACCACGCATTCGGATGACTCTCCCTTGATAGTGCCAACGACGTTGTACAGTTCTGTGTCAATGTACTCGGTGTCGTTAACGAGCTCCAACATCATATGACTGGGGCCAGAGTAGTAATCAAGCCCTGGAAACCGTCCTTGCCAACCCGGCGGAGGACCAGACCGACCCAGCCCGTGATCTTCCAAAGTATCGAACAAATGCCTCGCATCACGGAACGAAATCGAGATACTAAGGATAGACGGCGTGAATGCCGGCTCAGGATATGGCCCTGCACCAACGCTGAAAAACGATACACTGCCACGCTGAATCGCAGACAGATGCCTTGCTGGCCCGTCAGGGAATACGGCGTATCCGTCTTCACTGCTGAATTGGCCATCCTCATGGGGAACATTGTATAGAATCACCCCCACCGAACCGGCTTCCTGAGCGATCTTGACTTTCAGCCCTCGCAGGCTGTCAGAGTACCTGCAGAGGACAATGCACCCGCGCACTGCAACGCCATTGTCCTCGAGGCATTGAAAATCCTCTGGACGTCCGAGGTTTGCGTAGATTAGTGGTGCTCTCATACGGCCGGAACAACTCATGCCCATGGAATGCAGGCGGGCCGATAGACGATGCCGGTTCATTAGGGAGTACATCTTCCGTTAAGAGACTCTTCAGAGAAAATCGCTGGGTCTGAATCGAGCAAGCGCACTGCCGAGTCCTGACCTGGATGGTTGAGGCGTGTTCCATGGATGCTGATCTCGGTGGGGATGGCGTATGATTTCCAGAGTGCCTGGATTGAAGATGCGTGAGCCTCGTCCCTAGATGGGTGGGTGCGCTGTACAGGCAGGACCATTGGCGTAGCTTGTCGATGGAGGGGTTGTGGAGCGAGGCCTTCTATGGCTTGCAGGCGAGATGCCTCCATTGCTGAGGTTGGGGGTGAGTTTTGCGGTTTCGAGATGCAGCGCGCATCTTGGGGAAAATAGCCGGACGCATTGTGTTATCGTTGACTTTTGAGATAACCGTTGGTGGTGGGGCAATGAGTTGGGGGTCGACCCCGAAGGATTCTGCACTAGTGTGGCAGTAAACACTGAGTTTCAGGATGGGATAATCCGACATGGGCGTGGACGCAATGCGGCATCCAGACTTTGCTGAGCATGACTCCAGACGTTGACAATTCGATTCATAATGGATACGACACTGGGTGGGGCACAATGTAACGCTGGGCTGATCTGGGGAAAAAAATTCGAGATTCGCCATCCAAGCACGCAATGGCGCTGCCCGCCCAGATCTGGGCAGAGCTTGATTAAAATCCCGCGCCTTGGTACATTCTTCCACCTGTACACCCGTCATTTTTAGGTAGTATCTCGGTGTATACACCATGGACCCATCAACTACCGAAAAACAACCCACCGTCGGCAGTCCGAGCCTGGGAGCAGAGCACGGGCAAGTCCTGCATGATCGGCTCAACCGCGGCCTTTCAGCCCGGCAGGTGCAGATGATTGCGATAGGGGGAACCATCGGGACGGGCCTGTTCCTGGGGACGGGCAAAGCGCTGGCCACCGGTGGACCGGCCTCGATGCTCATCGCGTATGCCATTTCCGGCGCCATTGTGTTTGTCACCATGTTGAGCCTCGGCGAGATGGCCGCTTTTATTCCCGTTGCTGGCAGTTTTTGTACTTTTGCGGGGTACGTTCCTCCATTCTATGTGACGCGTCGGTCGCTGATCTCTGTTTAGTCGCTTCGTCGATGATGCCTTTGGTTTCGCATTGACCTGGAACTACTGGTTCAACGATGCGGTCTCAACGGCGGCCGACTTGGTTGCTCTCCAGTTGGTACTGCAGTACTGGTCGGATAACTTTCCCGGATGGGCATTTAGTCTAATCTTCTGGGCTGTCCTCATCGCACTGAACTTATTTGCTGTCCATGTCTATGGCGAAGTCGAGTACTGGATGAGCGTGCTCAAGGTCATCACCATCATCGTCTTCATCATCCTCGGCATCGTCGTCAACTGCGGAGGAAACGAGTCGGGCCACTACATCGGCGGCGAGAACTGGCATATCCCCGGCGCTCCCTTTGTTGGAGGAATCGGAGGCTTCGCTTCGGTCTTCGTTACAGCTGCGTTTGCTTGTATGACTATTTATCCCCACGCGAACTTGTCTAGTACTCACAATATACAGATGGAGGAACCGAATCCATCGCCATTACAGCAGGCGAAACCAAAGACCCCTCGCGCACAATCCCAAAAGTCGTTCTCAATGTCTTTTGGCGTATCCTCATCTTCTAGTACGTCTCACAACCCCTCATTATCGAACATCCCACTAACAACATACAGCATCCTCTCCTCTTTGATAATCGGCCTCAACATCCCCTACAACTACCCCGACCTAACATCCAAGGATGTGAAAACCTCTCCCTTCACCCTCGTCTTCGAAATGACCGGTACCCGCGCCGCAGGAAGCGTCATGAACGCGGTCATTATGACCAGCGTGCTGTCAGCCGGAAACCACGCGCTCTTCGCGGGCGTGCGGTTGCTATACACCCTCGCAATTCAGGGCCACGCACCGTCGTTCTTCGGGAAACTGAATCGAAACCAGGTCCCCTGGGTTGCGGTTCTCGCGACGGGAATCGTCAGCGGGTTGTGCTTTGGGAGTAGTAAGATTGGCGCCGGGCAGTTGTGGACTTGGTTGCAGAAGTATGTCTCCTCCTTATCTATGCCTTCCTCCACAAGACCATAGGCTAACAAAAAGCCCAGCATCGTCGGCGTCTCCAACCAACTAAGCTGGATCTCCATCGGCATAACCTCAATCCGCTTCCGGCGCGCCCTCGCAACGCAAAACAAAACACACCTGCTTCCCTTTCGCAACTTCACATACCCCTACGGCCCCTGGATCTCCGTGATCCTCAACATTGTCATCGTCCTCGTTCAGGGATGGAGCTGTTTCAGCCCGAGCTTTGACGGGGTGAGCTTTGTGAGCTTTTATATCGAGCTGCCGGTTATGCTTGTTATGTTCCTTGCGTGGAAGCTTGTTAAGCGGACGAGGTTTGTGCGGTTGGACGAGGTGGATCTTGTTACGGATACGTATGTGAGGGAGGAGGGTGAGGAGAAGCGGTGGTGGAGGAGCGTCGTCAATTGGATTGTTTGAGGGGGTTTAGGGGCAGGGGGGAGTGGGTATATCGAACTGTATAGTAAAAAATGGTATCATCAATTGGCTCTCTTATAATATACATGTATACATGGCTTTTGGTCCTGGGGTGTCTACGAAACAACCCACGGAAACCCACTGGGAGTCAGCCACTGCTCAACCGGAACATCATAGAACAGATTCCCCAGCTCGGGGAAGGAATCGAACATAAACGCTCCTTCAGCCTGTGCCGTTGGCAAATGTGGCTGCTGCTGACTTGGCTGACTTGGCTGACCCGGCTGGCCTGACAAACTCGGAAACAAGTGCGGTACGATCGGGCTCAAAATATCGGCCGCTTTCGCCGCAACGGGGCTCCGAGGCGCATTCGCATTGAGCAAATCCACGCACTGCAGGATAAGCTCGATGGTCTCGAGCTTGGTCGAAGGTGTAAGTTGTCCGTTCCCATGTAGGATGAGGAGCGTCGTTATAGAGAAGAATGCGTAGAAAGAGCCCAAGCCGTTGACGTACCAACGGTACGACCGGAAATCGAATGTCTCGGACAGTTTGATGAAGTTAGCGAGGATTGTTGTTGCAGACTTTTCGCAGCGTGCTGTACTCTGGGTATCCCCACCAGGAGCGAGCCAGCGGCGATGTAAAAGGAGGGCGAGGTGGTTTGTGTAGTTGGCGAGGATGTAGTAGTGCGCTTGGTGGTAGGATTCGAGCTCTAGATTTTGATCAGAGGGATGCTGAGAGAAGCGCAGGAGGTGGCATTGCTGTTCATGGGCAATTTGCGCGTCGAGCGACTCGGTTTTGGCGTTATCGTGCGACGTAAGTTGACAGATGTCAAAGGCGAGATTATACAGGCGGAATTTGTAGAGGAGGTAGGTCATTTTCGTCGGAGGTCTCGCCATTGCCATCTCTGGCGTAAACTCTCCATTTAACCGTGTCAAATCCTCATCTTCAACATCAGCTGGTAGATCGACCTGCGCCTCGATCCGGAACGGCATTAGGTTCCCAAGACAGGTATTCTGAATCGTGTATAGCATCCTCAGCGCAGCCCAGCATCTCCGTCGCTCTTCTGCCTCGACCAAGTCAACACCAGCTAGTCGCGCCGGATCGACCGCACACCCGATCGCAACAGCAATATGCAATGTGGTGCCGAGCAACGACCAAGCCGGTCCCTGAGCGTGGTTGATCGCATAGATCAGCAGCACGAGCGCTTGCACGGTACAAAGGTTATGACGGAACATGAAGTTATCTGCAACGAGGCAGCGCATTGCAGCGGCGCGGTATTTGGCAGAGAGGGCGCGGATGTTTGTTCCTGGAGACGGGTCGCGACCGAGATGTGCGAGGAGAGGATCTGTGTCGGAGAGGGCGGTGACTGAGAGGCTGAGCATGACGAAGAGGAGGGATAGGAAGGGTAACGGAGCGGACTTTGGGTTTTGTGTGAATTCTTGGTATCGCGCGTGGAAGGTGGGATCGTGGAGGATGTGGAAGAGGGGCGAGAAGACGGCGAAATAGGCTGATTTGAGTTGCTCGAGTTGCGGGAGGGGAGGGAGCATGTCGAGTAGCTCGTCGGATATGCCGCCGGGTTGCTCGAAGAAAGGAAAGCCGGTTGGGAAGCCGGGACTAGACTCGTGTAAAGCATTAAGTAGGTCTGAGTCGCCAAGATCATTCGAAGGGACGAAGCGGACGTGGTTCGTGGGCGAGACAATCAAGCGCCCTGATTGTTGGGCGGGCGGGGGCTCCTCGATCGGCTGGGGCACACCTGGACTCGAATCCGGGGAAAGAAGTCGATTTCCATTGCGCTGTTCGAGCAGTGCTGTTGTCACAGCAATATTTTGTCTCAGGAGGTCTTCTAGCGAAGAGGTACTAGTTGGAGGATTGTTGTCCTGTCGGCGAAAGCGACAACTGGATGCATAGCCACGGCGTGCACAGGTATCACATGGTGGAGTATGACTGGAGCTGATGCATCTGATTTTGCGGTGGCGGCAATTCTCGCAGCTAAGCGGGAGTCGTTTCGAGGTCATGGCTGGTGACGGTGGACGAAAGAGTTGGAGTGGGGGAACCGCCGATTTATGGGGTCGGCCAGCGTGCGGGGTAAACATTTGGCTCCTGGAACCGGGGACCGAATCAGCGACGCCGCTTTAATGAACGGGACTGAATCATGGGGTCCACTCAAGCGATCATGGATAACTCCAATTTTACCAGGTCGGGTATGAAGAAATCCAAATATTCTTCCGATTTCATGGCAGGATGATGTACTTTGGCTTGACAGAGAACTACATCCGCTGAAGATCCTCTCACCCATGTACAGGGGTCACTCGTACATCACGTGCAGAGGATGGCGCTTGCCTTGGTTGAAAAGGCTGCCTTGCGGACAGCCTCACAGCCATCCACTTGACCTTTTCGCACGGGCTGTGGGCTTCATCAGCCACAAATTCGTGGGCTTACCTCCCCAAGAGTCACGCATATCTTTCTCTTCTTAGACAACATCTCCTCTCTGCATTTCAAATGAGTGTTCGCCGTTGAGCAGAAAGCCCGAACTGATCGCGATTTCGCCAGGTTGCGGTGTCAGCAGCATTGAAAGCACCTTGACTTTAAGGTGCCACATTTACATCTAGCTTCATGCTCTTTTCAGTCCCCATGTTGAAATTGTCGACAATATGACATGGAGCGCCATCATGTTCCCCTGCGCTCACCCCGTCGAGCGAGAACCGAGCGCGAATCGAGTCCAGATTCGGCAGCCCGCCAAACAAAACGACCGAGGCTGAGTTCACAGAATGGAAGCCAAAACTTGGATTTTCTGTCCACAATGGACCTCTTTCCTGCAAATTTGAACAATTCCTCGAAGCGACGCCTACCCCGCGAGAGCTACACAGTCGGATTGATTTCGGCCCTACCCCTCGAGATGGCAGCAGTGATGGGAATGCTTGACGAGATTCATGAAGATTCCGGCAGGCACCAAAGAGATGATAATAATTATGTTGTCGGCCGTCTTGCTGGACACAACTGCGTGCTGGCATGCTTGCCTGTCGGAGTTTATGGAACAACGTCGGCCACATCCGTTGCGAGTGGGATGCGGTTAACATTTCCGTCAATTGAATTCTGGCTATTAGTCGGCATTGGAGGCGGAGTACCCAGCAGTGTCAACGACATTCGACTCGGGGATGTTGTCGTCGGTGTGCCGTCGCCCAAGCATGACGGGGTGGTACAATATGACTACGGCAAGACCCTAGCGGAGGGAAAGTTCATACGCACTGGATCCATGAATAAACCGCCAATAACCCTCCTGACCGCCATTTCCAAGCTTCAAGCGGAGACTTGGACCCAGCGACAGGCGTCCATTTCAGACATGGTCTCTGATATGATAGCGCGACATCCCACTATGAGGTTAAAGTACTCATACCCTGGACCAGACAGAGATCTACTATTCAATGCGGAGTATCAGCGTGTGGCAGAACATGACTGCGCAGGATGCGATCTGGATAAGGCCGTGCAAAGACCCACCCGGGACTCGGACCATTCAAAAGTGCATTACGGACCTATTGCTTCAGGGAATCAGGTGATCAGAGACGCTCTTACTAGAGACAGTCTGGCGAAAGAACTGGGCATCCTGTGTTTTGAGATGGAAGCTGCGGGACTGGCGAATTTTCCCTTCCTGAGTATTCGCGGTATATGTGATTATGCCGACTCACATAAGAACAAGCGGTGGCAAGGATACTCAGCGGCAACAGCAGCAGCCTATGCAAAAAAACTACTCACCGTGATATCGCCAATGGATTCATGTACCCGTTCGACCCCGACTGCGGACGAGTTGCGTACAAAGGGGGAGAATCTCATTACGTCTTTGCATTTCGATCAACTTCAGTCCCGGCAGAACACTATCAGGGGAGCCCATGCCAGAACATGCAAGTGGCTTTTGCGGCACAAAATATACCAGCAATGGCTCGATCCATCCCGGATACCTGAACATCATGGATTCCTGTGGGTCAAAGGAAAGCCCGGAACAGGAAAGTCAACTATCATGAAATACGTATTCGAGGATGCTCGGCGCACTCATGGGGGAGACGCCACGATAATCTCGTTCTTCTTCAATGCGCGTGGTGAGACATTGGAACGGTCAACCACTGGCATGTATCGCTCCTTACTGTGGCAAATCCTGACCGCCGTTCCCGAAACGCGGCGTGCACTCGACAACGTTCCCGGCACTGATAAAATTGATTGGAGCGTTGCCAGACTGCAAGACCTGTTTCTCAGTATCATACAGATCTTAGGGGGAAAGCCATTGATTGCCTTTATCGACGCGCTCGATGAATGTCAAGAGGAGGAGGTCCGCGAGATGGTCGATTTTTTCGTTGATCTTAGTGTTCTGGCCCGATCAGTCTCGGAAGCGCTACACATTTGCTTCTCGAGTCGGCATTACCCGCATATCACATTTGGCCAAGGGCTGGAAATGGTACTGGAAGGCCAAGAAGGTCACGACCAGGATTTAAGGAGCTATATAAACAGCAAGCTCGCCGGCATCAAAGATCCGCAAATTAGCGAGGTCAAAATTCAAATCTTCGAGAAGGCTTCTGGTATTTTCTTGTGGGTTGTGCTCGTTGTGCATATTCTCAGGAGGGCTTACGATCATGGGCGAATGAATGCCGTCCGCCAACGGCTCGAGGAGATACCGCCGAAATTATCCGACTTGTTCAAGGACATCCTGTTGCGAGACAGGGAAAATATGGATGATCTGTTTATCTGCTTACAGTGGATCCTATTCGCAAAGCGACCTCTATCACCTCATGAGCTTTTCCTTGCCATCCAGGCACATGAAGAAAGCTTCTTGCCGCTGAATGCCATGCAACCAGCCGAAAATAGTCGGATGGTATTCGCAGAACAGTCTATGCCGACGGAAAATACCGAACTCGCCTCCCGAGCTTGCGGGCAACGTGTCTACCCTCCCCTTGATGATGACGGCCAAAATCTGGTGAAGAGATTTCTTCTAAGCGCATCGAAGGGTTTGGCGGAGATAACCAAGTCCCGTAAGAGCCCGACTGTTCAATTTATTCACGAATCAGTTCGAGATTTTCTTCTCAAGGATGACGGGATAACCCACCTTATCAATGAGATGGGCATCGCCCTGGTATAGAGGAAGCAGGATTTATTGAAAATGTGCTGTCTGAACTACATCAACGCAACCGTTCCACGCCTATCAAGCCGCCAACAAGAACTGCCGCAAGCGAAATCGGCCGAAGCGATCGCGCTGAGGAGAAAGACGTCGACAGCATTTCCGTTTTTAGAGTATGCTGCTGCATTTATTCTAGAACATGCCGACGACTCCGCTGCTGAGGGCATCTCACAGCACGAGTTTGTTATAAACTTTCCTAGGCGCAGCTGGATCCACGTCAATAACCTATTCGAAAAGCACCAGATACGGCGTTATACAGATGCCGCACCTCTCATGTACATCTATGCTGACCGTGGGCTTCCAAGTCTGGTACATGTTGCCGTTCAACAAGGATTGCCAATCAGTTCTCCGGATGAGAGATACTCTTGTTCCATTACCGCGGCGCTACAGAGGGATAATCTGAGAGTCGTCAAGGCGTTTTTATCTGCCGAAAATGATCATCCTCAGCTGGAAGACCGGTTAAGATCCTTGTTCAAACCCCGGAGACTTCCGCGGGGCGATCCATCCGTGCAAGTGCTGTCATCACTCTTGAAAAACTGCAGAGTAGACATCGTACGGGCTCTGCTGGAGGCCAGAGTGCTGGACGTGAACACAACGTTTGTCTCTGCATTTCCAATACACCACTCACTCCTGACTTATGCGATCGAAAACAAGAGCTTGGGCTGTGTTAAGATGTTGCTCGACTATGGGGCCGATGTGAATACGCCGCTCTTTGGTAATTACTTATCGCCTCTATACCGTGCGACTGAAGGAAGAGACTTGCAGATCATCAACTGGCTTATCGATGCTGGAGCGGATGTGAACCATCTAAATAGTGATCCCTCGCCGAGTTTCGATGAGACACCGCTTGAAGTGGCAATTACGCACGGGAATCAAGCAATTATCGAAGTTCTCTTAGCGGCAGGAGCCGACGTGGAATTGACTTATGGATCTGAACCAAAGTACCCGCTGCTTGATGCGGTTAGAAAAGAGCGAGAAATACCAGTTGAACTGCTGCTTTCCGCAGGAGCGAACCCCAACGGCGTTGTCACAAACAACGACTCAAGGGAGGCCATTCGGCAAGAGCTGCCTCTGCACGCTGCCATTCTTCGAGACAACAGTAAGATTGTTGGCTTGCTCTTGAAGCACGGGGCCGACCCAAATGCTATGTACCCTAAAGAGTATAAGAGTATTCCGCACTTTGAGTACAGTGACCCGAAGCTTGAACCGAATGATAAGGTTGCAAAACATTCACCACTCTATATTGCCATGGCATGCTGCGGGAACGAGGTTCTGTCGTGCCTGGTCGACGCAGGAGCAACTCTGAACCCCTACGATAGCAGCAACCCCATGCAGGTTCAATCGCTAGTTTTCTACGCGTTCATGGAAGACAGAATCGAATTTATCAAGTGGTTACTTCAGGCAGATATTTCAGGGTTTCGTCACAAGGCACTATCGCCTCTCCACTCTGCAATCATTGATAATGAAATCGGAGATGTCGAATCCATACTCAGACTGATAGGGGATCTGACGTCGACAGTGGGCAATGGTGAGTTCTAAGGTGTTGTTCCAATCCCGTCTGCTTACATGTACTGACAAGACAGAAAAATGGTTTCTTGCACTAGACGATTCTACCTGGGGGAGCCCGCTTGCTCACGCCGCGAGACTTGGTCGCACGGATATAGTCAAGGCATTGATGCAACATGGCGCGGGTGTGAATGATCCCTCTCCTGCCAAAACAAATCCGCCACTAGCAGCAGCCATTGATGGAGTGTGTGTGCCGGAGACGCTCGAGTTGTTGGTTGAATCTGGGGCACAGGTTGGCCTTACATTGGGCATCTGGAACTCATTATTCTCCAAGTTGCCAGACGCGCACGGGGCTGACAGGCCATTGATTGAGAAGGTACTAACCAAAGCAAGAGTTAGCGAACCAATTCACGCACTATTGATCTCGGCAATCAGTGACTGCATGGTGCAGTGTCGCCAAGAACTGATTAAACTGCTCGTGAATAAGGGGGCTGATATTCATGGCGTGGATTCATTTGGTCGGACATGCCTTCACTGGGCGGCGCTGGTTGGTGATGTCTGGACAACAGGGCTTTTGCTTGGGCTTGGGGCGCGTCAAGATGTTCGCGACAAGCTGGGAAACACCGCCCTCTTGCTAGCATACAGAGGGGTTAGTGATGATGAGGAATCCGACCACAACCAGGCAAATATTATATCGCTTTTGTTGGAGCATGGTGCTGATACCTCTGTTGAGAATCGCCTTGGGCATCGATGCCTTGATCTTGTTCCCTCTGGGGCTGAGACTTGTCGTAGGTTACTCTCGGAGGCAACTACGTCGGCAGCCGATCGAGTATATTATGGATTTGTGGATGATATATAGCGGCGTTCAAGGAGGTTGGTAAAGACTGGGTGGTGCATGGAGTTGAAGAGCAGTCAGCTTTTATACATATACTATACTTGTACCTACTACTGGTTAGCTTGCGAGGGTCATGTACATGTTTGCCTAACTGGAAGGTTTAAACAGCTCTCTATCCGCTATTTTGCCATATTGTAAGGATCGTATAATATGAGATCGACTGAGCATTCACGCACTGGTATCACAAACTAAGCAACAAATCAAGCAGTAGCAACTAATAAGCCTTCTGCATGGGCGCCTTGATTTCCAACTCATCAATCGCCTGCGTAATCCTCTCCGTAAGCTCCTGACTCGCCGCCGCACTGGGAATGAGCAGCTCCTTGCGCCCAGCCTTGTGCACCCGCCCATTGATCATAATCACATTTAGTTTCGAGTGGTCCTGAAGGATCGTGATATTATCCAGGGGATCCCCATCAACAAGCACACAGTCCGCGAAATTCCCCGGCTTGATCTGGCCCATCTCGTCGGAGCGCATGAAGAGCTTCGCTACGCCGTATGTCGCTGCGATGATCGCCTCGTGGGGTGTGAAGCCGAGGAGTTTTGTAAAGTGTTCGAGGTCGCGCGCGTATGTGCCGTGGGGTGTCCAGGCGAAGCCGTAGTCGCTGCGAGAATCGTATCAGTACATACTCTGTGAAAACTATGGAGGTAAGAAGATGAACGTACCCTCCAGGCAGAACAACAATCCCCCGTTTATGCATCTCACGCAGCCCACGGATCGCAGCCTCAAGCTCCTTCTTATACCCAACCTTCTCTGCAGCCTCCGTAGCATAACCAAAAGCCCCTGCTTCGTAGAGCGTCGCGACGAGCCAGTTTAGGGCCGGGACGACCACGTGCGCTGAGCGCTTTTTCTCGAGGGCGTCCATTCCTATACAGCGAGTTAATTATCCAATCCTTGTACTATATGGGACTATTTGGAATTGCATGGGATGTGGCGCTTACCTTCCTCATCAATATAAGACCCATGATAGATAATCTCAATCCCATGCTCAACGCACTGCCTCACCGAGTCTCGGGCACGAGCATGTGCGCACAGCCGGATACCGTGCTTGTGTGCCTCATCCACACACGCTTTTGTTTCCTCGTCGGTGAAGTAGCAGTCTTGTGCATCGCGGATTTCGGTTATCTGCACCTGTTAGTATATCAACCCATGCTGGACAATCATGGTTTGTGCGTACCGACTCCCCGGACATGGATAGTTTCACTTGATCGACGCCGAGCTCGACGTGTTCGCGGATCCTAGCTTGTTGGCAAGATTTTCCCAGAGACATTCTCAGAGAGGAAAAACAAGACTTACACCTTCCTCATCTCCTCAGGCCCATCCGCGTACGCCGTGATCCCCGGAACGAGGTCGCCATCCCGCCTCGCCATCTCCTGGCCGTTGGCCAGATACCGAGGGCCGGGGATATCACCTGCATTGATTGCGTCGCGGACCACGACGTCTAGTCGTCTTTTAGCTGATGCGGCTCCGAAGCACCTGTATCAGACTCAGCCATCATTACCACAGGAATACAAGTTGACGAATGGAAAAGGACGTACATCGTATACCCCGAATCAAGAAAACACCTCGCGCTTCGCGCTGTAAGTAACGTATGCTCCTCAACACCCAATTCACCCAGTCGACCGAGGTCGCCTCCATTCCAGCTCAAGTGCGTATGTGCATCGCCCAGCCCGGGGATTAGGGTCCGTCCGTTGCCGTAGAAGACGCGGACGCGGGGGTCTTTGAGCAGGTCTTCTTTTCCGGGGACTGTGCCGACGTGTGTGAAGCGTTCGCCTATATTACTCATTAACGTATGTACTTGATTGAAGGGCGTCTTCGAAACACACCCGTAATCAGCACATCGCCCTGATACGGCTCTTTCCCCGTCGCATCGATGATCCGTACATCGGTGAATAGGATCCGAGAGTCGGGATGTGTGCCTGCAATCGAGTAGTTCTTTGGCTGAAGATTCTTGGGAAAGTGTAGCTGGTCGATGTACGCGATGTTCCGTGGGGCCCCGGTGTACGGCTCCAGTGGGTGGTCTGGGGATGTCCAAGTTGTGCTCGTGGACATGTCGCTTATGCTTGACTCGTTCAATACATCAAGTTGACTTATGCAGACGAGAAATACCACTGTCACAAGGGCTTATATACAGCTTCCTCCGCAGCAAGCGGCTGCTCTTCCCCTCTCTTGACCTCGAACCAACGGACCCATGGATCTACGTGGGGATGCGGATGCGGGCACCAATCGCTCGAGAGCAAGAGAAACCAAGAAAATCCAAGTAGATTCTACCGCTCAGCTCCGCGAAACACCGCGTCTCCGCAGGCCCGAGCGCGGGTTGTTCTGGTTTAGGGTAAGATTGTCAATGCTGTGAATACTCCCAGTTTCGCTCTGGGGAAAGGGCCACCGCGTTCATCCGTGGCCACTGCCTTGAATTGGAATCCATTCACTCTCCTTTCATTGATTCCACGGCCTTGAACGTCTCCAAGTACGATTTACCAACATATGCATCATGGGCTGGCTAACTCTGCGTCGCCGGGCTGAGGCACCGGCTCCCTCGGTTGTACCGGCGGAGAAGATCGGCGTGTACGCCGAACACACCGAGGACATTGACACGCCATCCTCACCACCACAACCAGGACAACCACGCAGATTCCTCAACACAACATACCACCTCGCCGAGCCCTCAGCACCCGACTCAGCCCTCCCGTACATGTCTCCAAAGATCCTGTCCGAGCTTGAAGAGCAATACAAATCCTCATCCGCATCGCCACCCACCTCTTTACCCGTCTGGATAGTAATCAACAACGTAATCTACGACTGCAGCGACTTCATCCACGAACATCCAGGGGGCAGCGTTGTGATCAACAGTTTCGTTGGGCAGGACTGCTCGTGGCAGTTTTGGCGGTTCCATAGTAAGCAGCATTTGGTAGACTATGGGAGGGTTTTGCGGGTGGGAAGGACGGAGGGAGTGAGGAATCGGTTTAAGGAGCCGGCGAGGTATATTGGGCTGGGTGCTGCAGATGAGGGATGGTAATGGATTTGGGGTTGATTATGAATAGACTGATTGTGGGCGTTTTCCTTCGTGAAGGTGTTGCGAATCGTGATAATTCATAGAGTTGATTATATTACTTGTACATAGTTCGCGATACCCAGTGTAGTCCTCCAAGTATACCATATCATCGCTATCAATTACTCTCTCATCCGATAACCATCGGCATTACAAGCGCCTCTTCATCTCCTTCTCAGACCCTGGATCCCATCTCAAAGGCCGGCAACTTGATCGGGGTAATCCCGGTATACAGCCCTGTACATCCGGCCCAGACTAATAATATAGACCGTCAGCACTCACTCCGCACCGATCCCAACGTCAAGAAAAAAAGAAAAGGGAAAACTCACAAGAGAGAAAACACACCACCACGCCGACAGCATACCCGGCAGTGAGCAATCCCTCCACCCCCGTCATAAACCCACAAGCCAGCAGTAAAAGACACACACTCAGGGCAAGCAGATCCAGAAAAAGCACCCAGGTCGACCGCATCGCCGCAACCGTGTACAGCACCGTGATGATGAACCACACCCACAGGTAGAGGGCCAGCGCCTGGTTGAATTCGGGCCGTAGGGCACCCGTTGTCGCGTCCGTGTATGCAGATAGAATCCCGCTTCCGGGGATGTAGATTAGAGCGTAGGAGAGGTTGAATGCTGCGTAGGAGGGGAAGACGGTTGCGCCGAACTGGAATAGATATTCTTTAGTCTCGCCGGGGAGGAGGATTGGATGGTGAAATAGGGCAATGGGGATAGATGCGTACGGTATTCCCGGTAATAAACTCCATAATCCCCGCGAGGAACTGACACACGCCGCCAAAGAAGATGAGCATCCCGATCATGGCATTTGGGGATTGGATGCCGCGGGCGTGCAGGCCGTAGACGGATATGAGGAAGATGTCTTTTCCAATTTGATCAGTCTATCATTTCACATCTTCACTTTCGGGAGGAACTGGGGGAGATGTATACCGGCAGCGAATGAAATCAGTCCCAGTGGTGTCGGGTTGGCGAAGCTGCGGTGCACCACGGGGAGAGGGAGCTGGGAGCGGTCATTGACATGGCCGCCTGCTGTGAGGAGGCGGTCCAGGTGGTTGGACGAGGCCAGCGTGTCGGGGTCGCCTGCTTTGGAGGTGCCAGGGGCAAAGTCGCTGGTGGAGGACATTGCAGAATGGGTATAGATTATGGATATGTAGATAATATGGAAATGATAGTATAGTGACGAGAGAGGGGACTTATATATGACCCTATCAGTGAGCGAGGCCCTTGTGCAGGGGTATATTCTACACTCCACGCGCAAAGTAGCCCTCCCCCCTCCACCCCCCGGACTCCAAATTCCAGATCTGCATCCCCAATAATTCGGTTAAAATTGGTCTTTGAGCTCGAACGGAGATGCGCGGGAGTACGTAATGAGGTAATCTCCACAAATATCGAGAAAGCAGCAATCTTTTCCTGAAGCCGTAAACAACAACAAAAAAGGTGGGGAACGGGGGTTCTGGTCAATCTGCAGCGGCGCACGTCCGAGTTGGAGTCAATTGTCGAGTGGAGCAGGAACATGAGGGGTTCCTCGCTCGATTCTCTTATTTAACAGGAGCGCAAAAGAAATCATCGAGGAGCACAGACAACAAATCCTCAGACCAGCATCATGTCCTCTTTCAATTACTGCGCATACGTCGACCCCAGCTCTGGGCAAGACCGCATCGGCCACCTCGACCTGCCGACCGAGACAATCCAGCCCCTCGCCTTCACCTCGGGCACGCGAATCGGCAACCTGTACCAGGTCATTGAAGCGGGCGAAGCAAACATTGTCGCTGCGCCCGAAGACCCGATCCCTCAGTCGCAGATCAAACTGCTGCCCACCATCTCCGGGCGCGACATCCTCGCCGTCGGCAAAAACTACGTCGAGCACGCCAAAGAATTCAACTCGTCGGGCTTCGACTCATCCGATAAAAACGACCAGCCCACCTCGCCAGTCATCTTCACGAAACGCGCGACCTCGATCATTGCCCACCGCGACCAGGTCCTCCTGCACCCTGGCTTCACCGAGACCCCCGACTACGAGGGCGAGATTGGCGTCATCATTGGCAAGGCCGGCCACAAGATCCCTGAGTCCGAGGCAATGGACTATGTCTGGGGGTATACCATCATCAACGACTTTACGGCACGCGAGAGACAGCGCGACCACAAGCAGTTTTATATTGGAAAGTCGCCAGACACGTACTGTCCCATTGGGCCTGTCGCGGTGCCCAAGGAGAGACTCCCGGAGAACCTGCGCCTGCAGACGTTTGTCAATGGCGAGAAGAGGCAGGATGCAACGATGGACCAGCTCATCTTTAGCATTCCGAACCTCGTCTCGACGCTTTCGCAAGGCCAGACGATCCAGCCCGGGGATACTATTGCTACGGGGACTCCTTACGGTGTAGGCTTTGGCTTCCGGCCGATGAAATTCCTCAAGGCTGGCGACGAGGTCAAAGTGACTGTCTCTGGCTTGGGCAGCCTCGTCAACCGCATCGCCCCCTTGGACACCGTCAACCCAACCCTCGACCGCGTCAATGCCTCCTCCTCCATCCCCATCGCCAACATCAAGACCCGCTCCCGCAACGGCCTCGTCCAGGTCAACAACAAATCCCTCTTCTACCAGTTCCGCGGCCAAAAGGACGGCAGCCCCGTCATCTTCATTCACGGCCTCGGCGGCTCCTCCTCGTACTTCTCCCCGCTCTTCGACAAACTCGCCGCGACACATGCCCTTCACCTCACAGACCTCGAGGGCCACGGCCTCTCCCCCACATCCGCAACAAGTAGCCTCACAATCGCCTCGCTCGCCGCCGACATCCGCGCCGTCTACACAGACTCCAAGCCCGCAACCGTCATCGCCCACAGCATGGGCTGCCTCGTCGCGCTCAGACTCGCCCTCGACAATCCCTCCCTCGTATCCTCCCTCGTTCTCCTCGGCCCCCCACCCTCCCCGCTCCCCGGCCCGGGAAGCGCAGGCTCCTTTGCGCGCGCCGAAACCGTCCGCCGCGAGGGTATGCTCTCCGTCGCCGACGCAATCACCAACGCCGGTCTGTCCTCGGAAACAAAAGCTAACAACCCGGTCGCCGTCGCCGCAACGCGGCTCTCCCTCCTGGGTCAGGACCCGGAGGGGTATGCCAAGGCGTGCATGGCGCTTGCGCGGTCCGCGGAGGAGACGCTCGAGGTTGAAAAGATTACAGCCAAGACGTTGATTCTCACGGGCGACCAGGATGCGGTGTCGCCGCCGGCGCTGTGTGAGAAGTATCAGAGCAGGATTCAGGGATCCGAGGTGGTGGTTTTGAATGGGGTTGCGCATTGGCATCTTTTTGAGGATGTGCAGGGAACCGCGGGGTCGGTATACAAGTTTCTTGGTTTGTAAACGTGTTGGTTAAGGAATAGATGATAGAGAATAGATTCCTTTCTTGTTGACTAGAGGCGCCATGAGTCGCTGACCATCATGTACAGAGGTATCGAAGACTCATAGAGTTGAATGACTGTATAGACTGCTACCGTAGCGATACAACGATGATAAGGCGATGCTTGCTGAGGGGGGAAGACGATTAGAAGGGTGCTCTGGAGGTTCCCAGGCGACTCTTCGCGCCTTCTTACATTACGCTACCGAACAACATACGTCCTCTCAAGTGCCCGGCCTGATTCTGTTCAAACTTTAGCACACTCCTCCTGACCGACGTCGCTATCTCTCTCGGAATGATTGTTCCATCTTGATTAGCTGGTTTGTCACGCATACTCTCCGCCCAGAGCGCCCCAAACATGTCGATTGCTCCACGAATGAAACTTGCAGACCGCATTCGAATAAGCATTTGGCCTCGGATGGCGTGATGCTTGGTTAGGTTTACACAGAGCTTACTTGCCCTCCTGCGTTTGGTTGAGCCAGACGAGAACATTGGGTGCTGACGCGGTATCGACAGAGTTTCGCTCGACAGCCATTCCAGTCCTGTACATTGCAGCTAGGTTTGCAGAAGAAAGTCTGTATATCGCACACTCGGAATGAATCTCCGCGAGCAAAATGTCTACGTGTGCAATTCCCATCTTCCTCTCACTGCTATACACACCACCGAATCCTCACCACACCCCCACGACCCTCTTCTTACAAAGTCGACTGATTCAACATGTTCTACATCTGGAGCTTCTTCCGGCGGATCTTCCACCGCGCAGCAGCTCCTCGCACCTCGCCGCTCGTCAATCTCCCCACCGACTGCGTCCTCATGATCATCGAGCACCTCCCCGCCGTGGACCAAGCCTGCCTCGTCCTCACCTGCAAATCCATGCACTACACCTTTAATTTCATCCTTGACAACGAGCTGTTCCGCTTTCCACGTCTTTACCAGCTCCTCATGCCCCAAATGCAGCTCAACTTTGGCCACGCTCGTCGCCAGCTCCTTCGCCGGCTCGCAGGCGACAGCGACAGCATCGCATACTGCGCCAAGTGTCTCAAGCTGCATCGGCAGGACCACTTTGACCTGGACTGGAGCTATTTCTCGGGCCCGCCGGTGTACAAGCCGTACTGTAACCGCTCGTCCGGTGTTGTGGATCTCTGTCCGTGCGTGAGCATGACGGTTCTCGATCGAAGGGCCGTGGTCAGGTACCTGGTTCAAACAGCAAAGAACAGGGTTGCTTACCTGAATGGTCCTCTCGGTAGCGCATTTGGGGAGGTGACTACAGATCTCGGACTGCCTGGACTGTTCCACAAGTGCGAGCTGCGGACCAGCGGTAACAACCAAGTATTCGCCCGCTTCCAGGCAACTCTCTACATCAGCGACGACAACCAGCTCATGGCGGCTACATTGTGCACACCTATGCAGGACCCCAGGATTCCGTACTGGGAATTCTCGGGACTGCCAATCACCATGTACAATATCGTGTTTGCCGCTGTGAATCGCGACCTAAGCCGGCTCATCGGCCCTTGGTTTTTTGACGAGGAAGACGAGGAAGACGAGCAAGGAAATGTGGATTGGACCGCCAACCCGAGGGAGCTGGAGGCAAAAAGAAGCCTGGGATACTATGACGAGCATGTTGGCAACAAGCTCTGGGCAAGACAGACGAGGACCAGCTGTGGGGCTTTTGAGCGGGTGAAAAGGTAGGCCTTGCCCCTTGCAACAGGTTGAAGTGTATCTGATTCTAACCGGGACAGAATACACACCAAAGCGGCTCAGCTACACTCGACCATCCGTCGTTTCAGCGAGACGGGAGTTGAGCATTCGGGTCCAGAGACATTCGCGATACTTGACGTGATGGGCGGGGACTTTTCGTTTGAGTTACCTTGATCTCGATGCGTACTGACCAAGACTATAGAGTGGTAGAGTGAGTGGCCGTGTCTATTCTGGGTTATTAGCATGGAAGCAGCTAACGTGGCATAGAGACATATTATTGCCCTGCGCCATCATTAGCATCACCCTGACCTAAAAGTACTAGAAGAGATTGTCCTTGTTCTTTCATTCCTGACAGTTGCATCCGCCTTTCTCCTCGCCTACTATGTTTCTTTTAAGAGCTTCACGTCGACAGCCCTAACCCCGAACCGGGTCGCCCACGAGATTACAAGCATACAAGCAGCACGGCGTGGCCGATGACTCCGCAGTCGATACAGTTCACACCCCTCCCCAGTTCTCTCTACACGAATGCACCCCTCAAATTGGCATGGCAGCGGCCAAAGACATGGTAGCGCCAGCCAAAGCCAAAGGCAACAAACGACCATCTCACTATCCCAACTCTCAGCACACTCACATTCCGGCAGAGACGCATCCCAAAACGCGACATGTTGTCCGCGAGTTTCATTCACCCCTATATATCCGGTGACAAGAATGGCAGGCGCGACCCTGACCTGACGAAGCGCACATGCCTAAGGCAGAATAGGAAGGAACGACCGTCGAACCATCGCACCTTCCTTGTATGCATTGTGTACCTTCCTAGAACGAAACAGGCAGGGACGACTGGTACATTGGTCGTTCCTTCCTTGTATGTCGCGTTTGGCCGAGGGAAGGAGCAACCGTGGGGCACATTCCTAATACAGGACAAGAAGGAGCGAGGTTCCAGCACCAGTCGCCCTTTTCCTCGGTCAGTGGTCACCAAGACAGGAACGTGCAGGATGGGGGGCTAGCGACCAACAAGGTATAGAAGGTTTAGAGAGAGCAGAGATTTACTGAATTTGTGAGCATGCGTATATCTGGGGATATGCTTTTCGCGATTATCTTGCTTTGTTTTCTTTCTTTTTTTCTTTCTTTGCTATACTACGAGGCTGAGAATTTGAGGGTTTCAACTTGTTGAGCTTCTTGTGGAGCATTGTATGGATAATGTGTCTATTCCAAATCAGTACTACACTCAAGGTGATACCTCTGCGGACATGTATGCCATCTCTTCAAGAGCAACGACAATTGTTCCCGGCGAGGCCTCTATAGTTCCAGCCTCTCTTGGCCATTAGCATGACTTTCCTTCCAGTTCCCACTGTACAGGCCCCTATCGCTCACCCTCGTCGCGCGACTTCTCCCCAGAACCTTTTCCTCCTCATCACGAGCCTCTGCTACAACAAAGACTTCGCCAGAGACCACATTCTCCGAATCAATGTCCACTTTCAAGACCGTTTCAAACCCGGTCCTTGCCACCTTTCCAAGAACCCCCTTGTTCACTCCCTCCCCATCAACAAGATAAACCCACCAGGACCTCGTCTCCGTATCCCCATTCCACGAAACATAAACCTCCAATGTATCATCGCCACTCTCGCCCAGAACCAAAACCGCCGGCTCCTCACTCGAATACCCAACCCAAGGAGCCCGAAACCCACGATAACTCTGCACATCCCGACTCGGAAACGAATCAAGGTACGCATGGAAAAGCACCTCGCCCTCGCTACTAAACTCCGTAACCGCACCCGCCTGTCCCCAATTCACAAAGACGTTGCCGTTATCTAGGAACTGCGCATTCCCCTGCGAATCCGCAACGAGCCCATCGGGTGGGAGAAACGTCTGGATCCCACGGACACTCTTCTTCTCATGATCCAGCTCGATATACCGCACCTTGGAAGCCTGTCCCTGCGCCTCGTTATCGAAGAGCGAAATCCGCTCGATGGTCCCATCCTCAGAGCGATACCGGATCCGGGCATCGTGCTGGAACGCGAATCCTGCGTCGTCGGGGATATCCTCAAAGTCGGACCCTAGGGGTCCGCCGAGTTGCCAGATGACGGACCCGTCTGTGCCGTTGATTTTGAAGATGGCGGCAACGTTCCGGCCGGATATCAGGTAGTTGCCGTCTGTGTCTTTGGCGGCACTGTTGAGGTGGAAGTAGTCCCAGGAGTTGTATGGGGTAAAGGCGTTGAAGGGGCCTTTGTCGGAGAGGGCGAGGGCGCTGGCTGGGATGGGTCAGTTGGAAACCTCTAGAGTCGGGTGGATGTGTGACATACCGTGTGGGCTGACGTTGTCGAGGCTGTACCATTCGAAGAGGAGTTCCCCGGTCTCGAGATCGATCTCTGTCCTTTTGTTAGAACGTAGCACAATGTGGTGTGGGGTTGTTGCTCACCCTGGAACCCACTGCTCGTCACCCACCTCTGCCCCTCTCCACCCCCAAACTCCTCCAGATCAACGGGCACAGGAACCGGAACCTCCACAAGCACGCTCCGCTCTTCAACAACCTCAAACTCATGCACAGAAACCAATCTCCCCCGATCCCCCTTGGCCCGCAACACCCTCACCGTCTCGTACCGCTCATTCAGCACCACATGGTCCCCAAACATCCGTCCATGCCCTCCATCCAACAACCCTGTTGCGGCCTTGAGCACATTCTTCCCGTCAATGACCGTCGGCCCGAAATTCGCCACGTACCCCGGTAGATAGCCGAGTCCGGACCAGACCAGGTCGCCCGAGGAGCGGAAGATGTAGGCGCCTGGTTGCGTGGGGCCCGTGCTTGTGGGGTAGAAGCCCGGTGTCGCGGTTAGGAAGATGTAGTCGGGGGAGGTGGAAGGGGCGGCGGGGATTGTGATGTTGAGGATTGGGGGGCTGAGGTCGGGGCGGGTGAGGTATTGCCAGTGGGAGTTGGCGAGGGTGCAGGGGAGGGAGGAGACGAGGAGGGCTTGTGGGAGCAGCATTGTCGTGGTATTATGCTTGGGAAGAAGCAATTACTCTTGGGGAACTGGTCAAGATATATGGTCTGGACCATGTTTTCACCATAACGTGCCACAATGGTGCAGTAACAGTTGGAGCAATGACACCAACCGCAGGATCATCACGCAATCAACGCCAACGCCAGCGCTAAACGACCTGACATTAACCCCGAAAATCGGCATTCGGCTATAAGCCCTTGACCAAACTATATCCACACCCATTCGCCGGATACTCCAGGTACGGAACTATTATCGGATCGCCCAGACCTTCCAAGTACATACAGACCGCGATACACTCCAGCCGGACCCTCCCCTCGACCCACGGCTGCCACGCGGACAACGAACACATCAGCCCCATCCAATACGCGAGGATAACCAGCGCCCGCGGATCGCGCCGTCGACACAGCGTGACAAACCCCGGCTCCAGCCGCCCCTGCCACGTCGCGCAATGCGCCGCATTCTGCGCGTTGGGCTCGAGTTCCAACAGCGGACTCAGAATCTTCAACGCAAAGTAATACGGGCTCGTCTCCGCCGTCGAGTCCTCGTCAATCTCACACAGATCCGCCAACCCCGTATGGAACCCCTCGCGCCCCCGCTCAACCTCATACCGAAACAACTTGGTCTCGACCTCGTTACTCTTCATAAACGGCACGGCCCAGATACTGCTGGGGACGTATCGCCCCGCCATTTGCAGGATGCAGTTGAGTCCGCCCTGCACGGCGAGCCAGTTGAGGTCGCTCGGCCGACCGGTAAACACCCACGAGTCTCGGATGTCGAATGTCTGGGGGACGAGCGATGTGATTCCCATGAGCATGCAGCCTGATACGAGTGGTGAGAAGGTCTTCTCGGTGACGCCGGCTTCGAGCGCGCGCGAGTACAGGCCAAAGGCCTGCTGCCAGAAATAGGCCTCTGCGAGCTCGCGCGGCTCGTCGCCGGGGGAGACGCGGTTCATGTGGAGGATTCCGCAGCCGAGGATGGTGTACATTAGATATGGGTTCTACAGTAGAACCGTTAGCTCTGGCACTCGATTGCCTCACAGTCTTGGCTGCAGCTCAAGGGGCCATGTACCTCAAACGCAACGTGAAGCATCTCCCTCCGCATAACCTCGCGGATCAACGGCGTGCCCACCGTATTCACCGAACACTGCAAGAAGAACTGAAACGACTTGACCGCAATACTCATGACCACATCGGGGCTCCCGATCGCCCGCGGCGCAAACGCCAGTTCCCCGCTCATCCCCTGCCGCACCTTGCCGACCAACTCCGATACCGAGAGGGTGAACAGCATCCGGCCGGGTCCTGCCTCGGCTTCGGCCTCGGGACTACTGCTTCCGCGTTTTGATTGCGGAGGCGATGGATAGTAGATGCATGTGGCGCCGTAGTTTTCGCAGCGCTGGCAGGTGGGTTTGCGTTCGTCGCACTGGACATGTTAGCTTTCCGTTCCAAAGTAGATGGTTGTCTTGGGCCTGTACCTTGACACGCCGCTGCTTACAGACCAAACACCCCTTCCGCGACTTCTTGTGAGCCCGGCGTGCATGATACGTCGTCGCAGCGGGCCCACCGCGAAGTGTTACCTGAAACGTCGTCTGGAACGCACGCGGCGGAGCGGCGGCCATACTCGGTGCCATCTTGGCAACTTTTCTAGAAAACGAATACGATCCTCTCCGGAGCGAGCTAATCGACGAGGCGGCTCAATGGCGGGGAAGATATCCGGCTAAATAATTCGAGTTGAGGAATCCGTGATGCTGAATACGAGCTCATCGCCACAGAGCACGTGACGGGGCGGAGTATGTGAATGCCTCAGGCAGTTGGGCATCGATGGTGATTCGATGGCTCTTCGTATTGTAGAGCCTGATATGGTTTCGGTCCAGAGTATAGTCGTGGTGGCTGTGTTGCATGCAACTGGTCATCTTCACTGCCCGACGGGTTCTGTCACTGCTGAAATATATCCAGTTCTGACTCTAGTGACAGCATTGAGCCAACCTTAAGATTCACGCCAAAAGGTAGTGCCCGATGAGCAGGACCGCCTCCTGAATGGCCAGTACTCACCCTTAATCCTTCATCAAACCTTAGCTTGCATCTTTCGGGGGCTGAAGCATGCATTTTGTCATCAAACCCTAACTACGAGTCACGGGTCCCTTGTCGATGTACCCACTTTATCAGGGTAATAACTGATGGATGCTTCGGAGCTTGAGGCACCATCTGGAGTATACACCCTATAGTGGGGATACAGACTCGACTCTCATTAATGTCTTTGGAGTATATCTCGACTACTGCCTATCACCATCCTGGCCATCCTCACTACTTACGCTCCCATCCTCCTTAACCGCCCTCTCCGGATGCTCCGGCACCATAAAAACAACCCACGAGGTCGTCGGAATACACAGCACAAACATCACAAACGCCACAATGAGATTGACCAGCGGCGAGACTTGCGCAGCCCCAATCCCAAACGCCAGACACGAGCCTACACTCTCAAAACACCGGACGATCCCCACCGTCAGCGTCAGCGTCTCGAGATCATCGTTGAACACGCCCAGCAGCCAGTACACGAACATGTAGTGCGACTCGTTCATAAACCGGAAGAGGACGTTGACTGCGAAGCCGCGGCCGAAGTTTGGCTGCGCCCAGTCGATGGTCGGCTGTGTGGATTCGTACAGCTTCTCGTTGGCGAATTGCCAGCCGAAGAGCGAGAGCATGACGACCGCGAAACTGAACCAGGTGATCCGGGCGAGGATCGGGCGGCTGAAGAACTTCGTGTCGAGGAACCAGCCCCAGAAGATGTTGGCGGCTGTTGCGGCGATGCCTGACGTCAGAGCGCCGAGGGTTCGTGCGCGGACGCTGAAGTAGTTGGTCAGGTAGATCCCCTGGTACGTCCCGTTCCAGTTGAAGCCGACGAGGATCGGGATGAGGAGGAGGATATGCTTCTTCTTCATCTGCGCCCAGAGCTTGCGGAATTCACCGAGGACGGCCTTTTGGCGCGTTGGGTCTGGGATGTGTGTCCCGTCGGCGCGGATGACTTTGGATGGGTGCGAGATCAACAGGGCGAGTGGGAGGCCGAGGCATTGGAGGCCGATGAGGACGAGATACGTCGAGTAGCCGACTTTGCCTCGCTGGCCATCCTCGACGTTCAACGAGAGCTGGATGGACGAGCCGATGAGTTGGCCCAGTTCGCGGAGGCCGAGCCAGATTCCGGCTGTACAAGTCAGTGATGCGCTCTAGTGTGAGGGTATGTGATGTGTAGGTGCGTACTGTATTTCCCTCGATCGCCGACCCCTCCGTAGCCAAGTGCAATTGCACCTTCAGACGACCAGAGTGCAGAAGCCGCAATTCCGCAGGTGACGCCCCCAAACAGAACGAACCACTCGGTACCGTACCGGTTATTCGTATACAGCGAGGCCGAGTACGGCGCATAGCCAAGTGTCCCGAGAATCAAGACCCGGCGTAGACCATAGCGGTTGGCGAGGATTGAGAAGAGCGGGCATCCAAAGACCATAATGCCGAAAGTGAGGCTGTTGGCGCCATTGACGAGGTAGGGCTTTTGCTGGCCTCCGGCCCCGGTGTCTGTCCTGTTAGTGCTGAGCCAAAGCAAGGTGGCGGATGCAGGCTTACTATTCAGTGCATTCCAGATTCCCGGTTGAGTAAAGGAGATCAATCCGACGATAACTACATTGAACAACGCGCTGCGATACCATCTTGTCAACCGCGAGAGTGGTTTCTGGACGGGTTGATCAGAGTTGTGCTCCGGATCAGAGCTGACTGCCACCTGCGAAGTACCCATTTTCTAGATCTTTGACGATCTCGTTGATATCGAGCGACACTCTGGGGTAGCAATAGCATCTTAAATAGTCTCGGTCATCCTATGTCTCTGCTCAACTCTGCAGCTATCGCAGCCCCACAGCCTGCAACGTCTGGGCCATGTGGTGATCCTTGTCCAAAGCACGCGATATCAAAGCTGATTGGTAGATAGACCGTGCCAGCGCGTGAAGGTTCGTATGACAAGCCGCTAGGGCTGGACTAAAGATTTATAGGGATGCAGTGGCTAAAGCTACCATCTTGGCGACGTAAATACTCCGAGGTGTCTCGTTGCGGATGGCGTGACGGAAGGCGTGCTCGACGAATTCCGTCGCGCCATAGATATCCCTCTTGGAATGTCAAAGAGTTACTCGGCCGATAAATGACAGAATGGGTGATATATACTGTCGAGACAGACATGATATGCAGATAAGACAGAGTACAACGATCTTAAGAGGAATTTACATAGGAACAATGGCGGCCCAAGTCTCGTCCCCATCAAGCCATCCACTTGCCCAAACCACCCAAGCACAAGATGCTCCCCTCCTCTTTGATGCAGTCCCCTATACGCCCCAGGTCCCCCTCTCAGCCCCCTATCCGCCCTCAACCACCTTCCCCCTAGCCCTAACCCCCTCGAACCCCGCTGCCCCCATATCGGAAAAAGTCTCCGCAATCCGCACCCTCACCCAAAACAACACCCTATCTTCGCTCCTCCACGCGCACAGCGCAATCTACTTCAAGGACCTAAACCTCACCTCCGCAGAGGAGTTCTCCGCATTCGCATCGGCGTTCGGATGGATCCCGCACGAGGATATCGGAAATCCCGTTCGACGCACGATCCACGCGTATAATGTTGCGACGGCCAACGAGGGGCCGAATACGCAGCCGGTGTATCCGCATAATGAGTTTGGATTGAGTCCGCATTTTCCGAAATGGGTGTTGTTCTATTGTGCGAGTGCGCCGGAGACTGGTATGCATATACCATACCCCATTTCCTCGCTTTTCTTTGTTCTCTGCTCTGTAAGTGGGAGGGATATCGAGACTGAGAACGAATTAGGCGGCGAAACACCCATAAACAACTCGGTAATCCTGTACGAGCGCTTGCTGCAAAAACAACCCAAGTTCATCGCCGCCCTCGATGAAAAGGGCGTCAAGTACCAACTCTTCTACCCCAACACAGCCAAAGACCAGACCTCTTCCCCGGGGACATCTGTCCGGCAATCCTACGGGAAGAATGTCCTCGACAGCGACACCGTCGAGGAAGCGCGCGCAAAAATCGAAAACGAGATCCGGAGACTGCCCACTGCGACTTGGGTCTGGGAGAACCAGTCGGCGGACAATGAGCTGGGCGATTTGAGGGTTTGGCAGGTTCTGCCGGGTACGCCTCCCCCTGGCATATCATTCTTGTCTCCTCCTGAAGGATGTGATGAAGATCATGCTGACGGAATCTAGCCATCCGCACGCACCAAGACTCCGGCCGCCCCGCCTTCTTCAACAACATCGTCTCGCGCTTCCTGAACGCCCTTGTGGCGGATACACTGCGCCCACCGCATGTGACTGCCGAGGGGAGGTATCAGCCGCCAGCGTTTGTATGCTGTCCCTGGTTCCACTCTTGACCTTCTGAATGGAGACTGATAATGGTCTAGTACGGCGACGGATCGCTTATTCCGGACGAGTATTTGCATTCTGCGGTGGAGATTATCCAGTACGTACCTCTATCACGACGGCAAGTGGATTGGAGTATGCTAACCTAACTTGCGTAGGGAGACGAGGGCGTTGGTTAGTTGGACCAAAGGGGATGTGCTTCTTTTGGACGTGAGTTTCTCCTCGAAAGAATTGTTGGTGGAGAATGTACTAATGTGCATAGAACCACGCTGTGCAACATGCCCGTGAGCCGTGGACTGGGTGAGTCAATCTATCCAGCTTATCGATGATTAGCTTGGAAGCAATTTGCTGATTAGTGTATAGACCGCGAAAGCTACTGGCCAGCTTATGGGATGAGCCTGCCAAGGCATAAGTTATAATAGAAGAGCAAATAAGCTGTGGACATCGCTCTAGCAATGAATAATGACAGCAATACGCATAGCCATACTGCATTGACCGGGTTGTAACTCAACATCTAGTCCAGTCGCGGCAACGCAAGGCCCAACAACCCCATTCCGACATACATCGCACAAGAGATCCACAGCGGTACACCAGATGTAACATCTCCAAAAGTCGCAATGAACGGAGATGATATTGAGACGAGTCTTCCGCAAGCCATGAGCATTCCGCATCCCACCCCGCGATGCTTCGTCTCTAGGGATGCGGGTGTATACCTACACGACCATCACCATTAGCATCGGTATCACAAAGACGATATCTAGCCCGGGAAAGAAGGATAAGCGGGAAACGTACGCATAAATAACCGCATACAACGCATTCAACCAGAAATTAACCATACTCGAGAACGCGATATTCTGCGCCTCGGTGCGCACCTGCGTAAATAGGCCCGCAAAGACGGCGCAGATGCAGCTCGTTATGAATAGGGTCCATTGGTGCTGGAGCTTTTTTATGCTCACGAGATAGGCACTCAACAGCGGCCCGAAGATTCCGACGACGGATGAGACAGCCAGGTCGCGGTATGTTTGGTTGTTGCTGCCGTCGCCGAGGTTGGCGCCGTGGGCTTGTAGGTAGTAGGGTAGGAAGACGTTGTAGAGCGGGTAGCTGTTGTTTTATAAGAATTTGATATCAGTAAGAGAGAGGAGGGAGGGAGGGAGAGGCGTACCAGATTCCAACAAACGCCCAAAGAAGTATCAGGCAACCCATCAAGCGTAGCTTCTTCCACCCTTGGAACAGTTCGCGTACGGAAAGCACCTCCTGAAACCAGCTAGGCTTGGGAGGAAGTTCTGATGCTTCGCAAAAGTGACTGACATCCGCTCTGTGCTCGGCTTTGTTCTTCGCACTGATGAGGTTGAGGGATGTGACGGCGTCTTCGATCCTGCCCTGACTGACGAGCCACTTGGGCGACTCGTGCATTCCAAGGACAAATGTGCGGCCGATCGACATGAATAAACAGATGCCGCCGAGGATGATATCGAGGTATCGCCAGCCCATGTTCGCGGAGCGAGAGCAGGTTGCTGGTGTGGAGCCGTTGGGGCAGCAGCGGTAGACCACGAGAGGCCATGCTGAATTGCAGAGTTAGTAGACGTATCGGAAGCAGCATGAGAGAGGCGAGGTCAATACCGATGAGGCCAGTGATGGCGTTCCCTAGTCCCCATGTAAAGGCGGCGCCGGTGAGAAGGAAATCCCACTTTCGGGGTAGATTCTCAGCGAGCACCGTCAAGTCAATTGCCACTGTTGTCCATCAGCACCGCTCAGAGGTCAATGAGGGTGGATGCATACAGTTGCCTCCGCCTAAAAATCCACAAAAGGCTGTCCATACATTAACAGCAGCCCAGTTCGGCGACGATGCTGCCAACATTGTAACGATGGAGACTCCGAAGATCGAGAACTGCCAAACCAGCTTGCGGCCGAGGAGATCGGCAAAGAGACCGCAGAAGACGGCACCAACGAAAAGACCGGCGTATAGAGATGCTGAGAGGAGGGTCTGATATTTTGGTCCAAACTCCTTGGCAGCATTGGGCATAACGATGGTGATTGATATAAGGATCATCTACTGCTGTCAATAATACTAGTATGTAGCAATAATCGAGAGGTAGTAATATACCTGATCAACCACGAACCCAAAGCCACACGAGCAGAGGAGCTGCCATTGATACCGACCCATACCAATAGCCTCAATGGCCTGGTGAACAACAAGCTGATTGGTCTCATGCGCATCGACGGTCCCCTGCACGACACTCCTCGCGGACCTGGTCCGGTCCACCTCGTCCGACTTCTTCTCGTGGATTGACTCGGTCATGGTGCGGATAGAAGGATAACAAGCAGATGAGAAGAATAGAATTGATAACCACTCCATTTCCCCCGCTGTTTCACTGGTATATCAATGGTCTTGATGTCTCGTATCTGCCTCCGCCGAGGCTACCGTATCGAGATAGCCGCAACTCCCCCAGTTCTTTCCTTTGTTTGCCTATCAGCCCGGGGGGAGCCTTCCGTGCCAAGGTGGCGGGGAAAAATTGGAGATGGATTCAGCTTACTCCAACTCTTATCACTGATATCAAGGAGACGCGACTCGGATTCCTCCTGCCCGGCCGTGATTTCCCCTCACTAATCATGTCTGTTGATACCTACTTTCTGCCCCCGACCACGCACGCTCCCAACAGCCTGCTTCCCGTGCTCCATTACCGGAATGTGCTCCCTCGTCCACTTTCCGAGGAAGGAGTGACCGAGTTCCTGACCGCGAACAAGTGGGAGAAGAGGGTGCGCCCTCCACATCGTTAGGACAGAGTCAGAGACGACGTAGCTGAAATGATTAGGGAACATGGGGCCACATTCCCACTCGCCACTTCCACCCGAATAGCCATGAATGCTACGGTAGATTCTCCATCTGACTCTCACTCCCCATCTAACTATTCTAGGCATATTCCAGGGCTCATCTAAGCTCCTCCTCGGCGTGGGTGAATCCGACGAGTCTGGCGGCCTCGAGCTCTCGGTTCAAGCTGGCGATGTCATCGTCCTCCCGGCAGGCACAGCACATAGTTGTGCTGTGAGTAGCAACGATTATAGATATATCGGTGTATATCCTCAGGTACACATCTTTTCTCCGGAGAGTGATTCTACTTCAGCTCTAACATGTCCAGGGGTGTCCTCGATGGAGGAACCAAATGGGAAGTAAGCCGATTGACCTCCAGGCTCTGCGGAAGGAATCCAGGGCGGTTGGCATGCCCGAGGCAGATCCGGTCTTTGGAGTTGCAGGGCCGCTGATGCAGTTGTGGAAGGTCGACAAGACGGCGCGTTTGTAGTCTGGTGTAGCTGTTCTTCACTAGTGTAGACAATTTTTGGACGAATACAACACTCCTCTTGACTAGAAGATGTCTTCCTATAGCAAAGCCTTCTCGTCCCGCTCTTTAGCAAGTGGCACCGCATCAACAAGATAATAACTCAAATCAGACCCCTTATTCGGTACAGTCGACATCCGCCACTTCTCACTCTCCTCCCTCCCAAGCACATCCCCCGCCGGATCCTCAATCCACGAAAAGCCTCTCCCCAGATAATCAAAGCGACTTCCCTGAAACTCCCACTTATAATCCTCCCACCGGTCCTCAGCCAGCGTCTGCATGTAGTGCAGCGAGCTCCCGGGCCAGAGGGCCGTGATTTTCCCGCTCTTGCTGTTCTTGAACCAGCTGCGACAGGTTCCTGTCCAGACCATGTTTTGCATCACGGCTTGCGTGTGTTTGTTGAAATCTGCTTGGACGTCTGCGCGGATGTCGAATGATTTGACGCGTTGGCGGATGGTTTTGCGGAGGAGGCGCGTGATGTAGTCGCTTGTTGCTTCGAGGGGGCCTGTTGATGTTAGTATACGCATTCACATAGAAAATACAGTTGAGACACACCCATCAAGCTCCCATTCGAAATCGGCGTATTAGGCCCCAAGAACATGAGATAATTCGGAAACCCCGAAACCGCAATCCCACAGTACGAGGTCGGATCATCCTCCCACAGATCCTGCAGATTCACTCCCCCCGTGCCCAGAATGGGAAACCGTGGCCGGAAGCTGGTATTGAAACCCGTTGCTGCAATCAGCACATCAGCCTCATGCTTTACTCCACTCCCCAGTACAACACCGTCCGAGTCGATCCTCTCAATCCGCTCGAAGACCGGCCGCACATTTTCCTCCTGCAGCGCAATCAAATACTCCTCTCCGGGGTTAATCCGGCGACATCCCGCCTCGAAGCTCGGGATGAGGTTCTTCTGCAGCGCCTCATCTTTGATGAGCGCTTTCATGCGTCCCTCAAACCGGCCACGCAAGTCCTGCTGCTCGACGCTCCCCTTCGTAAAGGCGCCGAACATGCTATTGAACTGGTCTTCCAGCCCCTTTCGCATACTTCGGTACCCCTTCCCATCGACCCGAAATGACTTTTTCTCCTCTTCGCTGTAGATATGCCCCTTTTCAACTCCCGCCGGCAGCGCAACAGGTGGCGAGATCCACGACGGCGTCCGGATATACACGTCGACATGCTTCGCGATCTTCCGAACCTCAGGCACAACCTGAACAGCACTCGCCCCGGCACCAATAATCGCAACACGCTTACCAGTCAATTCAACCCTATCATCCCACGCAGCCGTATGCAATTGTGGACCGCGGAATGTGTCGAGACCGGGGATATCCGGCATCTGTAGGTTATTCAGGATGCCGCCGGCGTTGATGAGGATTTCGCTTTCGACTGTACCGTGGCTTGACACCTCGATTGTCCAGAGACCAGGCGAGGCGGACCAGGACGCGTGTGTGACGAGGCTGTTGAAGCTTATATGGGGTGTGAGGTTGTATTGGCGCACGACGGATTCGAGGTAGGATTGGATCTCCCGGGATGTTGCGTAGCTACACGCCCAGGACATGATTAGAACGCATCAAAATCATAGGCGGAGGAGTAAGGCAGGGTAGGGTACGTACAATCTCGACCACTCAGTATTCGGCGCAAACGAGTACTGATACAGATGGCTGGGTACATCGCACGCGCAACCTGGGTACCGATTCTCAAACCATGTCCCGCCAATCTCGGGGGATTTTTCGTAGATGTGGAAGGTTATATGGTTGGGCAGATACTGTTGTAGTTTGATGGCCATGAGGATCCCGGAGACTCTGTATCCATAGTATCAGTGACTGCACTCTTCCATGTTTCTTTGTTGATAGGATTGATTGCGGGGACGCACCCCGCTCCAATAATGGTCACCCTTAGGCGTTGATTGGTGGTGGATTGCGGCGACATGTTGCGATCTAATTGGTGAGATTGCGCTCGGTTCAGCTATAGAGTTTCATATCCAGGTAATATAGTGAAGATAATTGTCGGCTGATCTTATACCGGGCAGTGTCCGGCTCATCTCATCGCCTATTATGGAGTAGTGTGCGGGGTTGCGGATTTCTCCCCGTGACAAGCAGATATTGGAGATGAGATAAGATAATCGATTCTAACAAACTACTCGTCTATCTTGTTCCTTTGGAGTCACAGCTTGGACTGCTCCACGACCGTCAATTTCCGCAGCGGAGGCCCTCCGCGGCTTCCGTCACCCGACATGTTGACAGTCCCGGCTTCGTCCCTCGCGGGCTTCAGCCGCCACTTCTCGCGGAGTTCCTTGGCGGCTTTGTCTTCAAAGCAATCTGCGACGTATTTGCCGAGAACGGGGAGGAACTTGAAGCCACTGCGGATATCCGTTAGTTGTTGTTTCAGCATAGAGCCCCAAGAGAAGGTACTTACTGTCCTGCTCCACCAGTCGCCACAAACAAGCCCTGCAGCGTCGGATGATGGTCGATGATAAAGTCACCAGTCGGAGTATCTGTGTACCAGCACATCCTACGATTCAACCACGGACGATCCTGCAAGCTAGGGAAGAGCTGCTTTACACCGTGGCGCAGAGCTTCATCCGCATCGTCTGGCAAGTATCCGGAGGAAGCATTGCTTGCGTCTCGCCTGGGCCCTGAAACTGTTCGCCCAGTTGCTTCGGATGTGGCCTCGGTCGCGTAGCCGTAGCCGTGCCGGGCGAGTTTAAGAATGTTGGTTCCGGGTGTTGGAGGGAAGGAGAAGACACCGGTGCTGAAATTGATCATGACGGGGACTTTGGCGAATTTCTGCGCTTCCTCGGGGGTGAGTTGCAAGAATCCAACGGGCTGACCGGAGGAGGCTGCGGCGTGGGAGAGGTCGATGAGTCGGTTTGACCATGCGCCCGTAGCGAGTATGACTTGCGACGCAAGGAGATGAGTTCCGTTGACGATGTTGACGCCGACAACCTTATCACCTGAGCGACGCAGCGAGTGCACTGTTCCATGGCGACCGGTTATGAAAGAGACCCCAGCGACACTGCATTGTGAGGCCAGGAAGCCGATGCTTCCAGCTGCGTCTGCCCATCCTCCGGTCGGGTTATGGTAGCCTTGCGCACCGGGGATGCTCGCTTCGACCGCCGGATAGAGGGCGCGAAGCTGTGCAAGGTCCGACAGTTCATCGACGTGGCCGCCCTTTTCGATAATAGTCTCTTTCGACTTTTGTAGGTACGCGTTTGGCGTTTCTGTAAACAGCGCGAAACCAGACTTGTGGTAGAAGTCGGAGTATGTGGATGTCCACCCTTTGTGGGCTTCCAATGCCATCTGTGCGTAGAGCGGATCGGCATAGTCGGCTCGAATAATGCGCGAAATATCAACACTGCTTCCATCGACAACTGGAGGGACGTGTCGGTCGAGGACGGTGATGTTCTGGTATCCCCTCTTAGTCAGCTCGAGGGCAGTTGAGAGGCCGAATACTCCGGCACCAACGATGAGGATCGGGGCGGCGGTGTCGATGCCCATTGTGCAGATAAGAAGTGAGTTTTACTAGCCAAGGTCCACGAATAGGATGAAGAGTGAAGGATGATAAGTCGAGGTATGATCAAGCTGCGAAATTTCTAGGACAGCTGATCCAGATCTTCAGCCCGCAAATATCGGATGCGGACGTACCCCCGGGTCCGAGGTTATCTGTAGTGACGGACCATATTGGCATATCCACAGGTCCAAGATGGACAAGAAATATCGCAGGTTGATTGGTTGTTTGCCTTGCGTGGGCCCGGCACGTCCGCGATCCAATCGGCTCCTGAGACTAGTCCCCTGTCGAGCGAGATAACTCCTTGTTTCCATCTACTCCAAATCAGGCAAAAACGAGGGGCATTCATGGCCTGTCATGCGTTGTTGACACGAAGATAAAGGCCATGGTCAAGGAAGCGTAGTCTGAGGCGGTCGTTGCCCTCAATCCACAAGCCTTTTCGTACAGTTTTCGTTTCTCCAGTCACCACTCAAGCAATATGAACCGCCTCTTCGGGTACCTGCAACCCACCAAACCTACCGACAATGCCACAATGTCGAGTCTGCCTTCCTCGTGGTATCGATCCGAGGCCATGTACGGCTTGGAGCGTCGCGCCATCTTTTCGAAGAGATGGTTGCTTGCAGCGCACAGGCAGAGGCTCGCCGAGCCAGGGCAGTACCTCCAGCTTCACGAAGGAGGATTCTCATTCTTCATCATCCGTGACCGTCAGGGTAATATAAACGCCTTCCACAACGTCTGTCGCCATCGTGCCTTTCCATTAGTTCACGAGGAGTCGGGCAAGGTCAGCATACTAGCGTGTCAGTACCACGGTAAGGGACGAAGAATGCGAGCAGGGACTGCAGATTCTGACGGCTGCAGGATGGTCCTATGGCTTGAATGGAAAGCTCGCCAAAGCACCGAAATGCCAAGACCTTGAGGGATTCGAGAAGGAGAAGCACGGGCTGTTCCCGATCCATGTCCACATTGACAAGTACGGATTCATTTGGGTGAACCTAGAGGCATCGGAGACACCAAGTGTACCGTGGGAGAAGGACTTTGCAGGAGTCGATGAGCAGCCTCGACTCAAACCGTTTGACTTTTCCCAGTATCAGTTCGACCACCAGTGGGAGATGGTTGGCGACTATAACTGGAAGACGTTGGCAGACAACTACAACGAAGTAGTGTATCACCGCCATTTCTTCCAGATTGTAGCTGACTGTGCCGATCTAGTGTTACCATTGCCCGACCGGCCACCCGGGAATCGTCCAGTACACAGACCTTGGAAAGTACTGGGTCGAGACGGAGGCTGGCCATATCCAGCATTACAACACGGATCACAACGACCGCGAGGGTATGGGGATTGTCAGCACATTCTACTTCCCCAACGCATGCATGACCGTGTCAGCATCTTTCTTCTATATGATGCGCTGTGTCCCCATCTCTGCCTCGCAAACCCACATGCAGTACGACGTTTATAGACACAAGGATGCGTCGGACGAAGAGTTTCACAAGATTGATAGTATTTTCAAACAGGTTTTGAAAGAGGATAAGGATCTCTGTAATGGGGCCCAGAGGAATCTCAATAGCGGTGTGTATGTGAATGGGAGCCTCCATCCGCAGCTTGAAAAGGGCCCACTGTTCTTTCAGCGCAGCGTTAAGACACTGGTGATGGAGCACTACCGGTCCGAGGAAAAGGAGGGACGCGAAATTTGGCCGGCAACGCCGGAGCCGGATAGCACAAGCGGGTTGAGCGAAGAGGTGGAGTTTTGTCGGAAGCTTGACTGTCAAACGATGAATCAGAGTAATGGTCCTTTAGCCTGGTGATATATATGCACCTATACGTACTTGATTTTCTAGGACGACCGTAGACTTCCTCTTCGGGACACCGCCGCTTTAGTGAGGGCGCTCAGGGGTCTGCTCAGTGAGTATTTCACATCACGGAGCACTGCTCACTGAGCACTCAGCCCTTGCTCATGAGCTGTCACGTGTACTCACTGAGCCGCTCACCCCGTCTATTTTGCGCGGGTAGTTCAACAACTATGTTCAACGACATTTCCAAGAGTTGCCCGAACCCGCTCAAATACCCGCTCAACATGACGACGACGGAATTCAGCTTGCCCCCTGTCAGTGGAGTCAAGCAAAACGAAATTTGAGGGCAATGACGACAAATCTTGACGACAGCTCCGGAGGAAGGTATAAAGGCATGGCTTTTCTTCGAGCATTTTGCCTGGCATGCGACTTCGACGTCCTTCCCAATCTACACTCTATCTTTCCTTGTTTAAGAGTCGAATTTTCTTTACCTCTGTGTGCCCCCCGTCTCCGAGTTGCAGGCCAGCAATGGGCAGAAAGGCCTTTTTCCAGGATGCCGAAAACTTACGCAAACGTCTTGAGCGTTGCGCAGCAAATGGCTATGTTCCAAGAGCTCATGTCGAGGAAGACGCCGTACGGAAAAGGCATGATCGTACCGACGAAGTCAAACAACTGCACAAGCACTATGTGAAGCTCTACGAGGCGTAAGTTATCTTGGACCACATCTTCCCCTGAAGCATACTGAACTCGTACATCAGATTTTTAGTGTACTGTAACTATGAAAAAACTGGTTACGAACTAAAACGTGGCTGTCCAGCTCCAGATCATGTCGTTATCAAAGATTTTATTCGGTTCTATGTGCGTTCTGTTCAAGGCGATGGCCGGCTCAGTGATACGAAGCTGCCTACTGTTAGGACTACGTTAGCGTGTGCTGAAAGGTTCTTTGGTGGGTTTGAGGAAGCAACCGGCAGCACTATCAAGAAAGATGATCGTGATGAAGTATACTCGGCATGTATACCCTGGCTCATAAACGACATTCTGTGCTAACCGATCTTAAGTGGATTAAGAAAGGCTTGACGGAAGAGGGGGAGATTGAGGACGTGAAGAAGCAGAAGTTTGACTTTACAAGAAACGACTACAAAGACCTGGTGGCTTCGATGTGGACACGCGATTGCCCTGTCTTCATCCATGGGCTTCTTAAAGTTTTCATGCTGTTCGCACTGCAGGTCTTCCTCTTCACGGGAGCAAGAATTGGAGCCTTCATTCCAGAGGACAAACATAAAGAACTAAGGGGCCTTAGATTCAAGGTGAGGTTCTCCACCCAATATTTGTCACTTCCTAAGCATACGTTTTTGACTGTTCGCAGCATCTTGAACTGGTCTTATTCCGCAGCCCCAATCCAAACGAACCTTGGGAGATAGGGTTCCGGATCAATCAGCAATGGTTAAAGAAGCACAGAAGTTCAAAGTACACAGTGTAAGTGTTCAGCCGGCGGAGCAAGCAGGTTTCCTACTAGGTTGCCCGTGATTTCACCTAACGAATTCATTTAGATTCGGTATTGGAATACGAGACCACGCCAGACCACAGTTCGCTTCAGGTATTATGCTACTTATTATTGCTCTGAAGTACGGGGCTCTCTGGGGTATCGGCACCCTGGACGATATAGCTGAGTATGATCTCCGGAATGGATCGAGAACGGAAATTCCCCTCCGCTGGAAGACAGAAGCTCTCGAAGCACCAGTGTTTCGAAACGTCACAGCACAAGGCCCACAGGAGGTGGCCTTAACGAAACAGAGGTTTTGTTACTTTCTTCGTTGGATTTTTATTGCCGCGGGGTACTCTAATCAGCCCTCGATCCATGATATTCGTCGACAGCTTGGCAAGAAGATTGAGGGTTAGTACTACCTCCGACCGACTCAACAGCTAAAGCGTGCGTTCTAACATCCAACAGCCAGGCATGGCTCTGCACCGGTGTCGCAGATATATGCCCATCGATCTGCCTCAACCTATCCGGAGCACTACCTAGCACATTGTTCGTCTATTGATACGGTTGGCGACGTTCTCGATGAACCAAACGAGACCTATCACATAGAATATTGGCAAGGCTATAGACAGTTCCGAGAGGTTGGATTCCCTACCACTCTACCGGCTGAGAAAGAGAAAGCCGTCCTGGAGAACGCGGAGCTTGTTGCACTGAAGTCCCGCATTCAAGATTTACTTGGAAAGGGGGATTTTACAGCCGCAGAATCCGTGAAAAGGGAGTATAGGAGGAAACATGTTCGTCTCCGTGTCGATGAGCTTTCCCGTCATCAAGGCGACTGGTTTCAGGAGAGAAGAGACCAGCGGATTCTTAGTAGAGGGAAGGACGACGTGGAATGCGCCGAGAACCGCACATGTACGCGAGCTCTGGCACGTATCATGCCCGAGCTAGAGTTCCTAGGGGCAACATTATCTTCTGCGGAGCCACTGTCATTTGATCAAAAGCTCCTATTTGCGGAAAATATGCTGAAACAGTGTCACCGTGATTATGGTGTTATCTACCTCCCCAACGAGGAACCCGTCGATGGCCGTTGCCCTGTTGGGTCATGCCGGCTCGATATTCTACAGTGAGCTCCCGTCTGACACTATTTTTAGGAAAAGGAGCTAAGAATTGCAGATTTAAAAGGACAGAGAGAAGCTCACACATTCACAACTGCATCCTCAAGCAAAAAGCCCGGGATCTGAATATAGCTGAGGCAGAGCTGATCTACTGTTACGAGTGTATGGCCTGGTGCTTCAAACGCGAGTGGCGTGACCACTGTGAGAAACACATCCAATCGTGGAATGACCGCCACTGTGAGGTCATTATATATCGCTATACTGTGATCCGCCCTGGATACTGTCCATGTTGTCTCTGGAATGAAAGCCTACCAGCTGACGAGAGGCTGAAGCCCTGGCTGCGCAGTGCAGATTTGCGAGAACATATTGAGAAATGCCACATTGAGAAGTTTGACTGGCCATTGAAAGAGTCCGTTTGTGGCTGCACCAAATTAGTCAAATCAGAGAGTGACTTTCGGTATCATCTACATGATGTTCACGGCTTAACTGACAAGATATGGAAAACGAACAAACCCCGCACGGGCAAAAGAAGAGTCCGGACCGAATCAGCAGGCAGAAGAAGGAAAGATGGAGGACCGAGCCCGAAGAAAATACGGTTCCACTACTATCAGCCTCACTGTCAAGGTCGGCAACAAGCTGTTGAGTCCTCCGCACCATCCGTGACTCAGCTGTCTCCCGCAGTTGAGATTCAGAGTGGGTTTGCCGACACAGAGGATGCAAGTTTTCACCGCGGTGATACTGGGACCAGCTCGTCCAATGACTGTGGTGACGAAATATCGACTGCGTGTTCGGGCCAGACTTCTGTCCGCACAACTCCTGACCTTGGTTTGATCGACCCGCGGCTCTTTGAGCCTGGGCCCTTGCTGGATAAAAGTGTGCCCTTATCGACAGAAGTGTGTGCTCCTTCTGATAATCGCCCTTCATCTTCAAACTCGGCCAAAGATACTCAGTACCACGACATCACTGAGATCCGTTCCTGGGGACCCTCCAGCACTCCGGACATCTGCAACCGCGAGAGCGACCACATGAGCCCTACAGTATGGCGGAAGCCCGAGCCCAAACCGGCCGTCAAGAGAAAAGGAGGTACCGGTGCGCAGCGAAAGAGAGTTGGAACCAATGACGAAGGAGAAACACCGGAGAAAATCAAGTTTCTTCACTCTCAGCCTGTCCCACTTCATCGACCGTTTGCCGTTGAGCCTCACTTGCCCACCGCCATCAATCTACCGCCTCATGACACCGCGCAGGCCGGGTTCGTAAACCAACAGCATGTCGAAGTTGACCACAACGCTCGCGTTCATACCAGAGCCAGCTCAGACAGTGAGATCAACATGGGTGATATTTCGACTGTGACTTCGCCGCTCAGTTGTACGTGCATGACTCCTGGCCTTGACCTCATCGACCCCAGGCCTCTTGAGCCAGGATTCTCGGGAGAAGATGGTATCACCTTGGCAAATACGGTGCCCAACACTCCTGCTCATCGGCCCTCTTCCTCGAACGATGGCGAAGATACTAGACAGGGCGTCAAGACCGTAGCTCAGTCTTGCGAGCATTCGAGCTCGTTGTGCATCAGTGGCAAAGCTTGCGATCGTGAGGTCGCTCGCGTCGTCGAGCCCACAGCATCTCCGGGCCGCGCGAAGCCACACGCCGATATAGCGTGGGTTGATGGCGGTAGCCTCGAAGACGGTGTACCTCGCGGTGATACGCCAGCTCCTCGACGTGCACGGACACCATTCTCCAGCAGCTCACCTGCGAATTTCTCGCAATCATTGGCGCCCAAGACCAGAGGCAGAATGACGCCTAGATACTCTTCGAAGTCTCCAAATACTGGGTACATTTCAAAAGCTGACTCTTTGCTAGCGCCCGGAGAAAGAAGCGCGCTTTGCCGGTTGAAAAGTCAAAATTTGACCTGGAGGCAAATTATGCCCCATTTTCCTGAAAAGTCCGTCGCCGCCTTGCGACAAGCCTGGATGGACATGGAGCATTCTTCAGTACAACGTCACACGAGATCTCTGAGGAAGACACGGCGATAATTCGGAATCTTCCACTGGCATTCCGTATCACCCTCATTGTTTGACAAAGTAGTTCCTATATTTGTAGCAACACCCCGAATCAGAGAAGTAACTATACTTAGGGAAGGATGGGCATAGTTCCCAAACCCAGAATAAACTGTGACCTGAAGCCAAAGAGTTCTTTGGGTCTACGGCCAATTACTAAGCCAAGACTAAAGAGGGCAGTGGTCTCTTCGAGCCAGACGCCCTGCCAAAGCCCATTTAGAGTGTCGTATCATCGCACCCTGACCTGAGCTACCCAATATAATTATCTTATACCCACCCATCCAGTAAAGAAATCGAAGTTTGCCCAAGCGCTAGCCCTTCACTAACGTGAATAAGACGAGTCCCCGTCTACACCAGATCGTATCTAAATATGTCAGCACAACGGAGACATACTACTGAATCTAACTAGAATTCAACGTCTCTTGTGGACTGGTCGCCACTCCTTCCCGTAAGCATCAATGGTTTGCAAGCTAAGAGATAGCGTAAGGTGATTTTCTGAAAAACCAGGTTCCAATGACAATGACCATGCTGGACGATATCTTATCCCGTCAGATGACTCGCAGTCGAACGACGCGCGGTAGACTACCACCTTTCTAATTCGTTCGACCACAGGATCCAGACTCCAGGACACCACCCTCTTAGATGTCAAGGAGGGTGGTCCACTTTGGTGCTTTGGATAAGTCGTAAAACGAAGTTCGATATTGCGAGAAATTAATGTCGTACGTGTATCTCTGACCCACTAACAGAGGCAGAATACAAAATATTCCCTCGGAACACCACCCCCTCATCAGCCGCTGAAAGTAATATCCTGGTAACCATCGGAGCACCCGGCGACAGCCTCGAAGTTACGCCCGGGTAATTCGATCCTTTGGGCTTGTCTAGAGATTTTCTTTGATGAAGTATCATGGTCGCTCGGGCATCTTGTTCTTTGACCCAGTTTCTATCTGCTACTGACCAGTATTTTCACACTAACACGAAGCATTCGGGAGCTCTTCTGTGCCTTGAATGACACTATGCTCTCGACCGCGCGGATGAACATCCTAGTCGTTTCCATTAGCGTCGTTGTATACAACTCGTTCTATACAAATCTATTCTCCCCGAAGCTCCAGGCAATTGTTGACCTACTACCGTCGTACGGTTTCCTAACAAGTATTCGTAAAGAGAAGGTGAATACAGTTAGGAATGACCAAGATAACGGCTGGTTTCTGCTGACAATCTGCCATATTGGCATTCTATCTTCCCCAGACAATTTTATCTTTGATCGAGATCTCGTTTTAGTCGGGTGTAGAGCCATTTAATATCAGCGTGATACCTTTTCCAACCCAGCCAAATATCGTGCGTTGTGCTAGCGCAAGGAATGCTGCTTGCAAATAGAAAAAGCCCTCCCAAAGGTAGTGACGATATAGATCTTTCAGGCTGATAAAAGCCCAGCCTTGAAGAGAGAGCACCGACAAAAGTCGAGGGTCGCCATGTTTTCCAACAAAGATACGGTATTATATTCTGTTCCTACTATCAATTATCTCAGCTACTTAAACACAGCTTGCCCAAGCGCCGGACTTCAGTGAGCTAGGGTACTTGCATCGTGACATTCTTGGTCAAAACGAATTCACGCGTCGTCGTTCTTCCTGGTCATCCTGTAGTCGAGGTTTCCAGGTACAGAAATACTCATCTGGCCCGCCGCCTAACACCGACAACAGTAATAATTGACCGGGACGATCAAGCACTCTGCAGTTGTTAGCATCTTTCACATTGGGTGCTGCGTTCTTTTCAATCGTGCGCGCTTGCCCGTGGATTCATCTCGCAACTCTAGCGGCAGGAGCACCCAATGTCATTGGCTTGAGTAACTGACGATATACAGGTTGATGCCCGTCGGTTTCGAACCATCGATCCAGCTAGTTAAGAGTCTCGCGTTGACTAGCTTTCTACGTAGGAGAGTCACCAGTAACCGACTCCGAGTGAATAACAATAATATCTGCTATCTATTCAGATACCAACGACCGCCCTATCTCATCGGCGATTTCGTAGCATACATCAATATTATGTAGGTGACTACAGGAATGGCTGGGTGCGAACAAAGACTTGCCAACAATACTGTCCGACTACATCTCTTCCTAACGTCTTAGTTTACTTTTACGCCACTTCTTTAAAACTTATACTATAGATGGATATCCGTATACGCGCGTCAGTCGTCTGTTCGGGGTATATTCAAGAAACCTTACAAAGTTGATTAATTGATTGCAGTAGTTGGCCGGTAAATATCATTTAGAGTATCTTGACCACTCGCCGTTAGTAATATATGTAATATATTGTCCACAGGCCATTCTTAATTAAACTGCTCTTAATTCGTTGAGTACTGTACGATTTAATCCAAATCGGCGAACCATGACTCACTCATTCAAAGGCCATCGTGTGGCCTACTTACCGTTGCTGAAACCAGACTGCCCCCTTGGCTTGGACGTAGAGCTCACTTGTGAATCAAGCAGTAGAGAAATGCCTTTCCTAGGTCTTGGAAAAAAAGGAGCCGCGGTCGAACATTTTACGGCCTGCTTTGGACTCCGACAACTCCTTCTTGATAGCAGTCTTAATTCCCGGGGGTGGGAGGTGCGAAAGCACTCCCTGCAGTCCGCGGAATCATTTCAAGAAGGCATCTTAGACAGGCGGATCTGGCCAGTCTTTCATCGAGTGGAACCGTACAAATCTGGTATCGTTCGNTTCGACTGTGATATGGCATCCTGGGATTGAAATACTGTAGCCAGCTTATTCCGACATGTGGAATCGGAAGGCGCGGATCGGGAGTTACTACCTCGCGAGGGATCCACAAACATTACATTAGCCGAGCTTGCAATCAAGCTTCAGATATTGTAGAGTACAGTTACAGAAGATTCGGTTTATTTCCCACCGTACTATCTTGCCCAGGCTTCGTCGTGGCTCATTGGTGTGTTCTGGATAACGAAATCCACCGGAGAGGACATTCCAAAGCCGAACTTGGTTGAGATCATCGCTGCCTTAGCGAACATAAATGCCCGGGCATCTCTACCTGGTTAGTTCTTGCCGCGCACCTCATCACCAAATATCCCTGTCCAGAGGGCGTCAAAGTACCATCGACGGAATGCAAGAAAACTGCGGAAACAACTCAATTTGCAAGCAAGCCAGGTATCGGCACCGGCCTGAATGTTGAGACATAACTGGTCCTCTTCAATTTTCTTGTGGCCATCTCTTTAATAATTGACTCTACTTCCTAGACATGACCATTCCTTGCCCGATTGCATAACTCGTCTGATTTTCTTGCCTGTGGATTGCCAATCTCAACGTAGGTGTTGAACACTGATAATTTCTACAGCACATCCTGGTGATCAAAAAAGATACTTTGCAGTCAATGAATCGATGATGTTATGAAATAGCTGTGTCTCTTCGGTGAGCGTGGCGACGGGTATCCCAGAGGAACCCCTGGTGGCCGGCTGTGTAAATTCAATAAAATTTCCATCAAACATCAAGCAGAATCGTTAGTCCAGACGATTTTCTAATGGAAAAATCTCGGAAATGGGAATTGCCAGGATACCCAGTGCATCTAACGCATCTGTCATATTGGCACCCTGGTGAAAAACCCGCGGCTCAAATGGGGCCACTCAACATCGCAGGGCTGCCGATACTGAAAACATACGGTAGAATATTTAAAAGTCATCCAGTATCCAAGAGGACGGCCCGGTCTGTTCTATATATCGCCCCATTTTTTCATCTCTCCAGCACTACGAGTCACGTGCAAGCTCCAAGACATGTCTTCCGGTAGGTTATGAGCTCCCATGAGAACATACGGGATGATTGACTCGAATCCGCATGAGATACCTGGTGTGGTACCGGTGATAGCAACCATTCCCGGTCCCATCACGAAGGAGAAAGCTTCGTGGCCCCGGGACAGCTCGACTGGGACGGAGATTCTGAAGCCAATCCGTTACTACTTAGCTCTGCTAGCTTCGTCGCATCTGATGCCCACAAACCTGACTTCACCTGCCTTTTGTCAACCAACGGGGACGACGGAGCTTTCATCTACTGGAACTGTCCTAGTCTGCTTTCGCCACTTACCGCTGCGGGTGACGTCTTTCGCTACGTATCTGCGACCCTGTCACAGAACGTGATCGATTGGCTGGAGATTCAATTTTCCGTCACGCTCAAGTACACGGGTGAAGCTGTGACAGTCTTGCCCTTCTTCCTTCCTCGATGCGAGTCCACTCTCGGGAACCTCAGACGATGCCGCGCACAGATCATCGATACAATGCGCAGATGCACTCGCTCCAAGTGTGCGGCTGACTTCTATTTTCATCTCCTTATCTGGCCTCGATACGACTGCAATCCGGTTGGATGGAACCCGGGCGAACCACTGTAGACCGTGACTTACCTAGGGCCAGAGCGTGCGCTGGATCCAGACTGGTTCATTCGGAATCTATCTAGTTATTTTTGATACTTGAAGAATGTTACTTTAAGATCGGACGGATCTTGCTAACAGAGGATATTTGGAGCCCACGGTCTTGGGATTCATATTGTTATGTGAGATATTCGCTAATACATTGTCTCCACACACAGTTCCCCTACCCAACACCCAAGGTGATCGAGAGTATGCAAATTATTTAACAGATGTGAAACCACGGTTCAGGCCGCCCTTCAACAGGTCTTACGAGCTGTCAGAGAAGTAAGACACTTCTGGATTCTGAGGCCTGCGCGGGGGCAACTCTATGCGTAAACCCGTGTTTGTGTTTGGTTCACGGCCGATCCAGATCACGCCTGTGCGTCGCCTGCCGACCCACCGGTACACGAAACGATGCAGTATAAACGTTAGAATGAAAACCGTAGCTCCCGCAAACACTGTTCCTGTTGCAACGCCCACGTTTTGTCTGGATATGAGCCGGGCTCTCTGAAGTTGATCCAAAAGGGAATCAGTATCGACGGAGCTGGTCGCGGTATCGGATGTCGTAGTCGTTGAAGGTCTCCGTTCTGGGCGATGAGGAACTGCGGGCGTGTTGGTTGTGACTGCAGGTTTTTCAGGGGCCATATTTATCGACGTTGATGTCGGTCTGTTCTCCTCCATCAGCCTGGCAGGTCTCGTCCCACACAATCCGGAGTCACATATCTCCTCAGTCTTGGCGAATTTCCTCGATCGGGAGGATGGCATTTTGCTTGGATGCAGAACAAAGCCACCTCCATCGTGTACACTAAGAACTGTAGGCGTGGAAGAGCTGATAAAGGTCTCTCCCTCAGTTATGGCACTCAGCGATCCTCCATTATAAACCATTTTGTCATGACCAGAGAATAGAGGTGTGATAAGCGGCTTTGCAGGCGTTCTAGTCACAGAAAACTTTTCCCAGTTCCATGGCGGCACACCGGCCGCTTGAGTAGGTGTCGATGTCGCTGGTTGTTTGTGTGACAGTCGATGTGTGTACGATGTGCGGTGAAGCTGAGACGGGTCTTCTACAGGTCCTATGTGTGCGGCTGACCCAGCTTCTTGATCCAGGCTTTCTTCTTGGTTTGGACTGCTCCAAACTGTCGGAATAGATGCGGCAATATTTTTCTCAGGTGCTGGTAAAGTCTCTACCAGTGGTGCGGCGGTTGTAGTTGGAGCGAAGCCTAGAGGGAGTGCGTCCGTCGCAGAGAGAGTATTCCAACCAGGCACAAGTGAGCGATCTGACTCCGGTGTCATTATCCATTCCAGCGGGCTCACTGTAACCACGTCTATTTCTGAAAGCATATCATCTACAGCCGTCAGGACAGATGGAACGGGGAAAGCCTCGGAACCGATGGTGGGCGGCCCCGTTTCAATAACGGTAGGAAGTAAGTCTGAAGGCAAGTTCAGCAAGCCAAGACTGGGAGTGGTCGTTGGACTGTCCCTTCCGTCGCTAGTGAATGCTTCTGAACGTGGAGGATCTGACTGAAATGTGACCGGCAGGGTATCAGCTGCGCTTCGATCGCTCGGCCCCTGGGTCTGGTCAGGGGTTGGTATCAAGGGTTTATTTGTACGCGTATGGGGCGAGCCATCGCTCTGTATATTCATGGTGTTTAAAAGATCTGGGTCGTGCTGCTGCGCCTCTGTGGTCATCGTCTCCATGGAATTTCGCTGCAATGAAGCGGACGACTCAGTGGACAGGATAGGGAAAGATGAGGAACTGCTTTTGATTGGGTCCATTTTCCAGGCACTTGCACGAAGTGGATGACTAGACGTTCTTGGCGCTCGTCAGATCCAAAGTTTCTCTCTCCATGGACAAGGATCTGTAGATGGCATAAACTAACCACAAATGTATGAGCCCGTACGTACCTGGGAAGGTGAGAGGGAGTGGCTGACAGCCTCGTCAGTACATGACTGAGGGAGCATATGGTAGTCACCGAGTCTATAAAGCACCT